GGGGGGGGGGGGGGGGGGGGGGGGGGGGGGGGGGGAGCGCCTTCACCCGGCTGTTCCTCCTATTGTCCACTTGGGTATCTACCTTCGCAGCGAGCTTGTCGGCCTGAGCTCCGGTGCCGCAGTAAGCACGAACAGTCTTGATAGCATCCAGGGGTTTCCTAGCCGTTAGCGATTCCCCGTGTTTCTCGGCGAGTACGAGAGCGTAAATGCCTAGTCGGTTTCGTAAGTTTTCTGCCGTTGCTTTAAGCGCTTCGCGAATTGGTCCTGCTTGTTAGAAGTCCTTAGAGAGACTTCCTTCCGCAACGGCCCTCAAGACCGGGACTTTCGTGGAGGCAAGGACTGGAGTCGTTACCAGGTACGAATTTTCGCCGTTCATGCCATCTAAGACCCTATGCTTTTCCTTTGCCAAGTCGAAAATGGCGCCCGGGAGGGGCATGAAAAATGGCTGTGAGAAGTAAACAGAGAAGGGGGACTTTAGGAGCGTTGTCTCATTTGGCTGTTGCGTTGACGCCGCCTCCATCGTAGCCTGTGTGGTAGGCAACATTGTGTCGTCTTCGAGCCATTGATCATCCTAGTGATTGACTGTCAGGCACAGCCACAAGAACTTCGTCTTCTCCGTCGGCCATCGTGACGTACTGAACTAAGAGGGAGGTGGTCTATCTTTTCGAGTCTTAAATGTTTTTCGCTTGTCGGGCTGAGGTAAAAATTGTGCGGGGCAGGCTGTAGGTTATAGGAGGCGCGACGGGCGTTATCAGTCGCCCTTTCCAAGTTAGAACGACAAGGCAGCAACATCGCTGATCCGCGACCACCTACGCTCACTCCGCCATTTACAATTTCCATTCGGAAAGATCGCTTATGTTCTTTGAAACTCTCGCATTACCTTCGAAGATCAGATCATTGACCGCGGCAACTTGAGGATTTTGAGAGTGAAATCATGTCTTGTCTTTTGAATTACGCGCTTTTATGCATCATCTTCTGAGCTTGAGTAGTTTCTATCTGCCTCTTGCTCCCTCGCCAAGATCTCCTTCCACTTTTCAGCAAACTCGCGCATACCGCCTTCTCCGGCATTGCTGGCATCCACGACATCCTTGGGTAGCTTATGGGCGCTGTAGGCTGGAGATGCAAACGAATAGGCTTCCGGGTCGTCTTTCTTGACAAGCCGCAGCTCGGGAATCCAGATCTCTTCATCCGCCTCGTCATCCGAGTCCGGGGTGGCAGTCTTCGCATCGTCGTCTTCATCATCTTCTGCACCCATCGCTTCTGACTCAGGCTGCCCAGCTTGTGGCTCAACGGCAGGCCGCAGCTGTAGCCTCACAAACCCTTCCTTTTCTTGCTCATCCCTTTCTTTCTTCATCATTTCCTCAAAGTGCTCGGGCCCATCCATGGTAAGGAGCTCAAGCCAACTGAAGAGCAATGGGTCCGTTCTTTGAGCCCAGGGATTAATGTCTATCAACCATGCCTTTTCATACTTTGGCGGAATGTACACGTCGAACGAAAAGTTAGGATCGGGAAAGCTGTCGCGCAAATGTTCCTCGAACAAGGAGTTGATGACTTTGCGCAGCTGATCGACCATCGGGGCCAGGAATTCGTAGTGGTTAGGGTCGCGCTGCGTGACTGCGAGCAACCGCCGATTCCTCACAAAACAACGGAATTCGACCGAGGGGTTTATCATGAAGAACTTGCGCAGGACCAGGTAGTACGGGACCTCGGACACGCCAGTAATCTTCCGGTCCCCTTCAACGGCAGGAGCGTCATCGGTGTCGGCGAAGGCTTGCTCGAGGTCATGGGTGATGAAGTCTGAGCTCTTGAGCATCATGTATATGTCGCCTGGAGTGCGACAGTCCATGGTGTTTGTAGCGTTGATCCATGTTGCGTCCTTCGGCGACGACCAGTTCAGCTTGGGGCAGACCTTGCCGCCGAGCTCTTCAATGGTCTCCAGTATGGCGTTGTGGATCTCGGGCCACTCTCTGGAGGGATCCTCGTCGTCATCGCCGTCTTCGTCGGGGTTCTCGGTAGAGGAGAAGATGCCGCTGTCATCGTCGGACCAGTCGCGGCGGGAAGCTTCTTCGTCGGGGGGCAAAATGATGCCGTCGGCGCGTAGATAATTTAAGAAGGGTCGCGAGAGCGGTATCAAACGAGCCTTGGGCGTTATCTTGCGGTGCCTGCAGAGGAAGTTGTTCTGTGAGCAAAGAAGTACTTGGTAGCGGAAACGGCGGCGGGGCAAAAAATCACCTAGGATGCCACGCATGGAAAGAGCAGTTCAGAATGTGCTGCTTCGTGACGGGCGGGAAGGGGAGGTGCGTCAGAGGCGCATCTGTAGAGGATGACGGCTTCTCGGACTCGGCCATGTTGACTGCTGGAGAGAAAGGTTGAGGATAACAGCGCGCAAAAAGTGTCGACACTGGAGCGTCATCGCGGGGCGAAATGACTCGCGCCGCTCGATGCGGGCTCAGCCTCCGCACCACCTCCGTCCACACTCTGTCCCACCATCCACACACCCACGAAGGCGCCGGCCGCAACATGTCCTCCAACGTCGGCCTCACTACGCCCCGCGGAAGCGGCACTTCGGGATATGTGCAACGCAACCTCTCGCTCCTCAAGCCGCGCGATCAGGCCGCACCCTACACCAAGGACTATGACCAGATCAAGCAACACCGCCAGCGCCAGCCTGACAAGGACATCCTCGAGCATGACCGTAAGCGCGAAATAGAGGTCAAGGTCTTTGAGCTCCGCGACCGTTTGGAAGATGAGGGGTAAGTAAACTACAGCCAACATGCCCAGCGCCGCTGACGCCCGTTCTCTTGTAGTGTCGACGAGGATGAAATCGACGACCAGTGTGATGCCCTCCGCAAGAAGCTCCAGAAAGAGGCCGACGCGTCCAATGAGCGCCTTGACAAGGCCAAGGCCCGCAACCTGAAACAGCACCAAGTCCATGAGCTCGCCGCCGCGAAGATCGAGGAGAGCGAAAAATTGAGGAAAGCCTTGGGCATTAGCAAGGACTATGAGGAGGGCAGTCATTGGAGGAAGCAGGAAGAGCGGCTGCGCGAGGCCATGAAGAAAGAAGCTGACGAGGAGCTTGACAGGGTAAAGGAGGAGGACCGGAGAAGGAGCCAGCATGAAGACAGCGAGTAAATTTGATACCACGGCAAGGCGTTACGGTAGGAACCACAAAAGCATAAAGCACAAATGCATGCATTTCTCATTGCTTTCTCATCTACACGCTAACGGTGCTTCCTTTCAATCGAGCCAGCCCTCTTTGCCTTCCACCTCCCCATCCATCTGAGAATCATTCCCAATGTCCTACGCCTCTTTGCAAACCCGACAGAATCGTGCCAAGGCTCCGAGTATATGTCCATCGTTACTGTCTTTTTTCCTCTCCTTTTTATATAGGAAGTCTTGATCCACAATTCGCCCCTCAACCAGAACAGCTTCCTCAGCATTCCCAAGTCGTCATAAAATGTTGTATATTGAAAATCCATTTCCCATCGGAACGTGGGCTTACCCCTGTTGATGAAACGGTCGACATTTCTCTGGATTAACGGTGAAGTCACGAGACGTAGAATTTTTATCTCCGGATCCACAGCGATGACGAAGGGCAGCGACTCTTCTTCTGGCAACGTTGCTCGTACAAGTGTCCGACTCTCTCCCATCTCGTTGGTCAGGATCACGATAGGTGTGATGTACGTCGAGGGGTTGGCAGTCCAGCCGTGTCTCCGACTTGGCTGGTATTTGGAGCCCTCAACATTGGACTTCCGGTCCCTCTGGTCCTCTTGGTTCTGGTCCTCGGGATACTCGTGCCACCCAGACGTATCGTAATACGCTTTGCCTGCATAAACTCCGGGCCGATATGTGCGACCTAGTCGGCTGAATCGCAAATTCCCCTCACCTACATCCAAAGCGGGGTCCAATTCGTCGAATGTGCCGGGCGCGAAGGACACCTTCTTAGGTCGAGTAGCTGCGGATTTAGCCACGCTCTGTCGCCCTTCGGAGTCCGCTGTATCTTGCAGATACGTGTGGTATTGACGCTTTGAGGCCGTACCCCCTGGGCACAACATCTCCCGCTCGAGAGCAGGACTTGATCCGTCATATGCTGAACGGACGCTCTTTACCGCAGCACTCCCACACATCTCCTCCAACTCCATCCTTAAGGGTCCACCTTCCTCAACCCCTACCACCTCACCATCAAACACACTCCTCCTATGCTTCTCTTCTTCCCGTTCCTCTTCCTTCCTCTTCTCCTCCGCCATGTCCGCGTTCATCACCCGACACGTCACCACCCTGATCTCCATGGCCAGCTTCCTCTTCAGCACGGACAGGTCGGCCATGTTTTTGCGCTGTAGCCTGCTCTTCTTATGCATCTCCCTGGTCAGCCTCAGCGCAGATCGAGCATCGAGCGCACTAGCGGACATGATGTGAGAGAGCTGGCCAATGGCGCGCCACACATCCTCGTATTCCCATTTCAGCGCGATGAGACAGACGCGTGCGCACTCGAGGCACATGTCGGGTGTGTAGAGTGGGTCCCAGTTGGTTTTCCTAACGAGGGGTGCGGATGTGGTGGTGTCTGTGGCCTTTATTTCACCAGCACCGCCGATGCTGTCGGCTTTGCTACTGCTCCCAATGTCATTGTCTCCGTAGCATTTGTGACGTATGGGGCAGACTTTGCAGGCGGCAGCTGCTCGCGGCATTTTGGGCAGTTGTTTGACCGGCACGACGCGTGTCGATATTCAGTGGTGATTTTGTTGGGAAGATATTGGAAAGTGGCTCTCGGTGAGATGCTTGTTTGTGCTGGAGATGGTACTGGATAGGAGAGTGATTGGGGGAAGTGGCCGATTCTTGTAGTGCTCACAACGAAGCTGGCCCGGTTTGAACTCAGAGCGCAGCTTTTTCAGTCTCATTTGTAGTTCAGACTGATTTGCATCCCTTCAGGGTCGACAAAATTTGCATGTTGGTGCCGAACCTGAGCATACTGTGGATCAGTCCCACAGTAAAGCCATTTTTCTGGTTAGAATACCGCCGTACTGGTGGTTCGATTAGACCAGATTTCATTTGTGCGTAGTCACACTCCGTTGCGCGGAAGTGTTTGCCGGAGTTTCCGTGACGATAGCCTGTTGGTTTAACGCAAAGTTGAGATGCATATCAAAGTAAGTCTAAAAACAACTAGTTTACGAAAATAGGACTTTTTTAATCTCAGATTTAGATTGGTAGAGGAAAAAGTTTATCTAATATATCAAAGCCACCCCAACGCCTGACTTTTTTCTACGATGCGCTTGGCCATTTCCCATGTCTTCTCAACCTTTTCATCGTTATCTGGAGAAACGGTAAATCCATTTGGCGGAATATGCCACTCCTTAATTTCCTTCTCCGTCGTTAGGCTAAAGCCACTCGTATCCAGTAACAGGCCATCCCTTGCCCATTTTCCTGGGCGATAATACGTGCTCTTTCTCTCAAACCTCGCAGGAGAGCGGAATTCGTTGCCAAAGGCCCCTGATTTCGAATCGAAGTGCACACCAAGCCCCTTCTTCACCACATCCTCAGCATCGACATCCGCTTTTGTCGACTTCTTCAAAGCCGGCTTCAACGCACTGTCCCGCCACCTTTCACCCCTAGCCCCCCGCCAGCTCACCGACCTCGCCGACCTCGTCGATAGACTCTTCAAATTCCTCAAGCTCCCAGTGCTCTCCCTCCTCTTCTTCGTGCTCGCATCGCCATTCACCCTTAGCTGCCGTCCATCCACGCCGCCCTCCCCCCTCTCCTCCCCCTCCCCCTCCCCCTCCGCCCTTTCCCTCTCCTGCTCCAACACCTCCAACCCGAGCCTCAACTGCACGCACTTCCTCCGCCAGTGGCACACCCTGCCCGCCCAAAGCTCCTCTAACTCGCGATCCCCGGCCACGTCCTCCGACCCGGCTGCTGCTGCTGCTCGGGCCCCGAGCAGCGTATCATCATCATCGGCGTTCGCGTCGTCGAGCTTCCTCAGCTCCGCCCTCGCGCGCGTCACCAACCTGAGTGCGCTCGCCTGCTCGCGCTTCACGCACGCGACGCAGCGCCGCACGTTCAGGTTGACGCGGACGGGCTTGCGTTCGTGGGGCGGCAGGGTGAGCGAGTGGGGCGAGGAGCAGCGGGTGTAGCCGGGCCAGACATCATCGTTGTGGCTGCGCTCTTCCTTGTCACTGTCGCCGTCGTCTTCGTCGTCAGGGCTAGGGGAGAAAATCAGAGGGTTGGCGGCGATGATGGCGGCTGTGCGGTGGCGCACGGTGATGGGATGGCCGCAGTCGGTTGCGGTTATGGTGGTGGTGGTGGTCTGCCCCTTCGCTCCTTCCGTCTCCTGCTCTTCTAAGGAGGAGGAGGATGATGATGACGACGTAGACGGGGCCGCGATGTCGCAGTGCGGGCACAGCGGCGCGGTGTATTCTCCGCAAACATAGTCTCGGTGAGCGCGGCTCTGTGGGGAGACTGGGTAGTGGTGCTTGCAGACGCTGGCTTGGAGCGTGATGGCCTTCCTAATTGGGATTGGGTGGGGCTCAGGCGTGATTTGCTTCCCTCCCTCGGCAAGACTAGACACGAGATCGCCGAGGTCGATCGATGAGGAGAAATACAGGTCTTTTTCTGAAATTTCCTTTCCAGTCTTCATATCTGCCGGGGGCTGGTGTAGGTAGAGGAAAGAGTGCAGTTTGGCGCGCGCCTTTTTTGTCGCCTTCCGGCGGAATCTTTGGAGCGAAGTCGGCATTATTGACAGCATTTACAGTTGAGGCAGCGGGGTTTCTGTCCCCTGGTGCGTCTGGGGGATGAGTTGGTAGCTATATTTTGTTGGCTGCGATTGCGATGTTCGGGCGGGAGTGGCGGGGAACTACCAGTTTTTCAGTCCGTCGCGGTCAGAAGTCAAGGGCAGACAGAATTGCATGTGGGAAAACGTTAAGTGGAAGCGATGGCCGTTGAAAGGCTTTCGTTGGTCGCGATGGGTAAGACTGAGGTGTTGGGACCATGGTTCAGTAGTGTCAACGCCCTTCTCAAAGCAGCATCCTTATACTTCGGTCCGTCCCTCCCGTCCCGCAACTTCCGGTACCCCATCCTGTTAGCGGCTGACCGAGGTCTCAGAACAGTCCACCTGGCCTTTGTTTTGATCACATGCCTGCTTCAACTTGCTGATCGCTCTTTCATTGTCGCCATGGGGTATTGAAAGGTGTGGAATACGCTCTTGAAACGGTACACAAGAAAAGGAAGAGAAAATAAAAGACTTTTGGGTGTTTGGATTCCCGGGCATGGGCGAGGCCTGCAAGACGACTTAAACGTACAGCATTGGCGATACAAATGGCTTGCAGGGGCAGAAAAAGTCGAAGAAAGGCCTGCTCACATCATGTTATAGGCATCGGAGTTTCCAAATTCGGCATCGGAGTTGACTGCAGCGGCCTCACCGCGACGCCTTTTACTTCGTCTTCTTTCCACTGCTCACCGCCCAGCCCGAGCGTCCAAATCTCGTCAACTTGCTTGATCACTTCTTCCAAACTTGATCCGTCTCGCAAAAGTTTTGGAGCAGTTACTGGAGCCGCACCAAGGAGATTTTCTTGCTTGGTGACGGGCGCTGTGGGTGGATGGGCAACAAACCGTCTGACACACTGGCGCAGGCGCGTCACAATCTCAGAGTCGCGGCGCGTAAGTGCGCCGTAGGATGGCGCGGCGACCATCTTGAGCCACGCTGACATGGTACGTGCCATTTCAACAGCGATATAGTAGCAGGAGAAGCTAAGTATATGAGCGGCATATGTGGCAACCTAGAGGGTCCGCATCAGCCATGTCGTGCACTGTAAGAAATTCAGAATCTTACCTCGGTGAAGCCGGCCTTCGAAACGCTGGTAAACATGGAGGTGGCGCATTCGATGGGCCTGTAGGTCCAAGCTGGTCGATCCCGGTTCGAGTCCTCGTTCTTATGTAACTTTGTGGTGATGTAAAGATGCAAAAAGATGTTCTCAATGCGCGGGTGCGCGGGAACATTGGAATCCCATAGACATTCCGGGCTTGCCCACCACAGCTCGGTCCAAAGACTCAGGGCGCCATCAATGGTGTCACGCAGCCGAAACAGCGCCATGTCCCTGTTTTGCCAGCCTTCGACCGTCACGTAGTTGGTGGGGAGTCTGGCGGCAGCATTGTAAGAGTCCATGATGACGCAGAGAAGGATGAACTGTCCGAAAAGGGTGGCTAGCTCATAATCGGTTGAATATTCGGTGTCTTGAGAGAGGATAGCATGCGCGGCGATGGGGAAAATGATCTCCGACTTTTCCCGTAATCCGAGCAGTTCAATCTGTGCTTGCCATTCGGCCTCGGAAGTGGCTTCCCATATGCTCTCGGGGCTTGGAAGAGATAGCTCGATGGAGCTGGCGATACTCGGTGTATCATGGCCGTAGAATGTCGATTGCATGACGCAGTTGACGAAGAAGGCGAAGGCAGTCCTGAATATGTCAGCTGCAGCCAGAAGCCATCACAGCCGCTGACCATACCTTTTGATTTCTTCTCTCAATCTCCACCTAGCCCAATCATCATAGCCCAGGGGCGGAAGCGCGGCTGACACGAACTCTATCAAAGCCTGCGAAGGTAGTGAGCACCAATGGCGCAGGAAAGAGAAAGGAGACCAACCTGGGCCAAGGCGTGCTTCTCTCGGCTAGCCCACCTCCGCATCTCCTCGTTGCCGTACCAAACGGCGAAGTCTATTATCAAGATCTTTGCTTGAAAGTCTTGAAGGCGCTGGACGATTTTTAGTTGGGATTGGGTACGAAGGCTTATAGGCTTACCATCTGGGACTGCTTGTGTAGGGTTTCGGACGCAAGCTTGTGCATCCTCGCGGCTTTGGAGCGGTACTCATCCAGATAGAGGGATCCGGCCATGGCCATGGTGTAGTACAGAGCGGAGTTCTGGGCTATGCACTCGTTTTCGCAAGTCGAGTAGTGAAGAAAGGGGATGCGCGGCAGGAATCTCTGGCGAAACTTGTCGACGCATATTAGCATGTCCTGCGGCGACAAGGGCAAGGCGGGCGGCGGCAAGAAGGCGGCGGCATCCATGGCGAAAGATGCATTAGGGGCGTGGGCGAGGGCCAGAGAGGGCGGGATCAGAGGCGAGGTGGTGGAGTCAAAGACGGGCATGACACAGTTCTGCCAGGACGGCACGAAGTTGTGGGGCCCGGCAGGCAGGGCGAATTCCGGCCATTCGTGGATGCCATAGTCCCATTCGGTGGTCAGATTGAAGGAGTCGTGCGCAGACTGGGGCAGGTCCTGGGGCGGCGACTGCGAGGCGGTGCTGGCGGCATGGTGGCGCGGAGGGGTGAGGGCGGCACTCAAGGGAAGTTGGTTTAGAGCAACGGGCGGTGGGCTGAGATCGGCCGGCGGTGTGGTTGAGTCCTGGTGGGAGGCCTGCTGGATGGGACCGTGGGGGATGGGCCCGCGACGCGGCTTCCGCCTCCGCTTTAAGGGATTGGGTTGGTGGACGAGCTTGTGCCGCTGCAGGACGTCCTTGCGGTGGAAGCGCATGCCACAGGCCGGGTGTTCGCACAGAAAGCGCGGGAAGCCATGGCTGAGCTCGTGGCGGCGCAGGTGGTCTTCTCGCTTGAATTGGTCGGTACAGTGGGAGCACTTGTACCACGCAGGCTCGTCGGGGTTGAAGGATGACATAACGGATTGCGGTACTGCGGAGGAGACGAGGGGCGGGCGGCGTTTTCTCCACGGGGGACCCTCTATTTTGGGCTCCCCGACTTGGCCCCAGTCACGGGCGCTCGCGCGGCCCGATCGTGTTCGTCCATCTCGGAGTTGCCTCCAGTGCCAGCTTCACACTCGCCAGGACCACCCAATCTTACGGCGGAGGAACTCCTCCGACTACATATATACGAGCCCCCAGCCCGGAGAAATGCGCACGCCCACGCTTCGCCGCGCCCCTCACGCCATCCGCCGCCGCACTGCCAGCGGCGTGGCAGTGTCGTTGCTCTGGCGTGCGCTGGCAGACGCGCAAACCGCCAGCGTCAGGGCCAGACGACCGGAGACGTGGCGGGTTTCCGGCGTAACAATGCAGTGAAGTCAAACAGATTGACAGGGCTATTTCCATCACTGCAAAGCTTATAACTGACTTGCTAGCTAATGAGGCCCGCTGCATTTAGAACTGTCTAATTTGCACGACAGGCCAGCCAATCGCACGCTGGCGGCCTGTTTTGTAAGGCTGTGCTATGATCCCCGGTGGCGGGACGCAGGGTCGGCGCTAGCCGATAAGCCCAGCGTATTTTTTTCTTGTCCCGGCCGGCTCACGCCGTGCGGCTACTTTCGGCGACAAAGCCGTTCGACGGCCTCAAGTCGCCGCCATTCCATGACTCTCCTCCAAACCATCTGCACTCCTCGACCACGCCCGGGTCCGTCTCTGCTCTGCCTGGTTTATGCGAGTCAAGAAAGCATCACCTCTCGCCTTGCTTCATCATGCACTGATTCATCTCGGACTTCGTTCGGCATCCCGTTTTTTCCCGCATCTCCAAATTCGCCGATGACTGCTCTGCTTGCAATCTCTTCTTGATACTCCGTTTGTCCGTTTCCGTTGTCACAACACCTCCTTCGACATGGACCCTTATGGAATCTGTGCCAGCCCCCGCATTCTGTTCATCGATGCCTATGACTCGTTTGCCAACAACATTGTTGCGCTCCTGCAGCAGTCACTGAACGCCCATGTCACTGCTGTCCATATCGATCATCCAGCCTTCACCAGCGCCTCACCAGCCGATTTCTACCGCTTCTTGGATACCTTTGACGCCGTTGTCGCCGGTCCTGGTCCCGGAACAGTAGAAAATTCCCGGGATACCGGTCTCATCTCAACCTTATGGTCCCTTCCCGACAAACACCTCCTCCCGGTCCTTGGCATATGCCTGGGCTTTCAGAGTCTCGCCCACGCATTCGGCGCTACTATCGAGAGACTTCCCGAGCCGCGTCACGGAATTATCACCCAGGTCCACCACCAAGGATGTTCCCTATTTGACCGTCTGCATCAGGTCCACGCCACCCAGTACCACTCACTCCACGTCAAGCTGGGCTTTTCTCCGTCCTTGGACGCTTCATATCCACCGCCCAGCCTGTGGTCACCTTCAGCGCAATGCCCCGAGCTAAGACCGTTGGCTTGGGATTGTGACAGCCCCAAGAATGGCCCCGTACTAATGTCGGTAGAGCACACGTCCAAGCCGTTTTGGGGAGTTCAATACCATCCAGAGTCGATATGCACAGACTCGGAAGGCGCTAGAGTTGTCCAAAACTGGTGGGCTCAGGCAAGCAGATGGCTACTATCACGCCCCTCTCAGAGGTTAGCCAAGGTGCCAGTGGCCAGCCAGGACTTCCAAAACCGCATTCCCGCGCCAAAGTACACTTCCTGGGACCAAATTCACTGTCAACTGCTTCAGGCTTCTCTCGTCAACCGCCCTGGCATCCCAGTCGAATACCAGAGTATTTCATCTGCCGAACGTGATGTTCGCCGCATATGCGAGATGCTTGAAATCCCTGGCCAGGAAGCCGCTGTTCTCGAGTCCGGCTTGAACAAGCGGAAGCAACCGATACGCGGTGAGACTGGGAGTAAATCCATCATTGCATGCCTGGAGACTGGAAGAAACCTACGAGTCGAATATTTCGTCGACGGTCAAATTTTGGAGCTTCGGGCGGGACAAGATCTTCTGCATCGGGAAGGAGGAGCAAACGTTTGGTCATACCTCAAACATCTGATGGAAATGACCCGTGCCACCGACGGGCCTGTAGACTCGCCGTTCTGGGGAGGTTTGATAGGGTTCGTATCGTATGAAGCTGGACTGGAGACAATCAACGTCAAACCAACAGCAGTCTCTGGCACACAGAGCTTCCGCAAGCCGGATCTCGCCTTCACCTTCGTCACACGGAGTATTGTGGTTGACCACCTTTCTCACAAGATTTACGTTCAAAGCATTCGTGATGGGGATGCGGATTGGGTTCAATCGACCTCTCGGAAACTCGGCTCTCTAGCTTCTCGCTCGTCACAAAGGCCACCTGCCAACCTTTCCTCCATCCTCGCAAAGTCGACCGTATCGATTCCCTCGAGTACATCCTACGAAAACAAAGTCCGCGCCTGCCAAGAGTCCATCCGCGCCGGCGACTCCTACGAGCTGTGCCTCACATCGCAAACCACCATCCGCCTCCCTCGCACCTCCCGCAGCAGCAGCACCTTCGCGTGGGACCTCTACACGCGTCTCCGCCACCTGAACCCGGCACCGTTCGGCGGTTACATCCGCCTGGGGCCTCCGGGCGCGGGCGTCGACATCCTCAGCAGCAGTCCGGAGCGCTTCCTCTCGTGGACGCGCCAGGGCCGCTGCCAGTACAGGCCGATCAAGGGCACGGTGCGCAAGGAAGCGGGCGTGACGCGGGCGGACGCGGAGCGCGTGCTGAGCAGCTCCAAGGAGCGGGCGGAGAACCTGATGATCGTCGACCTGGTGCGGCACGACCTGCACGGCGTCGTGGGCGCGGGCAACGTGCGCGTTAGTAAGCTCATGGGCGTCGAGGAGTACGAGACCGTGTTCCAGCTGGTCAGCGTCATCGAGGGCGACTTGACCGGGCAGTGGGCGGCCGCGCAGGGAGCCGTTGATGCAACAACAACCACCACCGCCTCCTACTCTCCCGAAGACTCGGAAGATTCAGACTACTACCATCCCCCCAGCACGGCAGCGTCGTCGCAAGCCTCGTCCCTCGCCCCCTCGCCGTGCCCCTCTCCCTGCCCCGGCGTCTCGGCCTCGCACCCGCTCCACTCATCATCATTCCACCACACCACACTTCTTCCACGGAAACTCCGCAAAGCAGCACCGTCACCGACAGTGCGGGCCCAATATCCCGAGGAGAATGACCAAGCGGATCGCGAACGTACCAGCGCCGCCACGGGAATCGACATCCTCCACGCGTCGCTGCCACCCGGCTCGATGACGGGCGCGCCGAAGAAGCGCTCGTGCGAGCTGCTGCACGCCGTCGAGGAGCGCCAGCCTCGCGGCATCTACTCGGGCGTGCTGGGCTACCTGGACGTCGGCGGCGGCGGCGACTTCGCCGTCGTGATACGGACGGCGTGGCGGTGGGACGCGGAGGAGGGAGAAGAACAGGAGGAGGACGAGGACGAGGAGGTCTGGAGGGTGGGTGCGGGCGGGGCGGTGACGGCGCAGAGCACGCCAGAGGGCGAGTACGAGGAGATGGTGGTGAAGCTGGAGAGCGCGTTGAGGATGTTTGATGCGGATGTGGTGGTGGAGGTGTGATGATGATGGTGCTTGGGGTCGTCAGCACTTTCTTCAACACTTCTTTGGGGAAAAAAAAAGTTCCAAACTGCTTGAGAGGGGAAGCGTTGGTAGGTGGGGCGTTAGGTTGGTTCGTTTTGTCTTTTGGCACATTTCTGACAACCGCGGCGGCAATTGTGAGCGTTCAACAGCAAAAGCATGGGTCGGGGTACTTGGAAAAGGGGGGTTCGTGGAGCTCAACGCCCACGGGGGAAAAAATTCCCCATTAAACGGTAATGTGCACAGTTCCAGATTCTTCTCTTTCTGACAAAAGGGGCCGTTATGGTTGCAGATAGGTATATACATTATGACTAAAAAGTATGTACAGACATCTCGTCAAAAAGCTCGTCCAGCACTTGGCTCCATCGTCAACACTTGCAGCGCTTGCAGCGGCTTAAAAGCCAGCGCCCTCCAAAAAGTCGTGGGCAGCGGCAAAGGTCTCGCCGGCGGTGTAGTGGAAGTTCATGGCGTGGCCGGTGTTGGCGACGTCCTGGAAGCGGTAGTCGGCGCTGGGGAAGAGGCGGGCGGTCTTGTCGCCGTAGCCGGTGCAGTCTCCCGGGCCCAGCAGCGGCAGGGCGAGGCCGCAGAAGATCTGGTCCTCGTGGCCGGTGAGGACGAGGACGGGCTTGTCGAAGTCGTCGGCGACGTCGTTGACGAAGAAGGTGCTGATGGCCTCGCCCTGGGTGAAGGTGTGGCGGTTCTTCCAGTCGTTGGCGACGACGGCGGCGTCCCAGTTGGAGGAGTCGCTGGTGTAGAAGAGCGAGCGGGCGCCGGCCTCGAGCGTCATGAGCGAGTAGCCCAGGCTGAGCTTGCCGAAGCGGGCCGGGTCGACGAGGGCGGCCGGGGCGCCGCCGGGGGTGATGACGACGCCGGCGACCGACTGCTTGATCTCGCTCGTGTAGCCCGTCAGCACCAGGGCGTCGGCGTCGGCCGGGTAGCGGGCGGCCAGCGTGTTGCCGATGAGCGAGCCGTACGAGTGGCCGACGTAGGCGATCTTGGAGAACTGGCGGCCGCCAACCTTGCCGCCGCGCAGGGCCTGCACGACCTGGTGGGCGATCTCGACGTGCGTCGGCTTCTGCACGACGGTGATGGGGTCCGGGTGGTCCGAGGCGCCGGCTCCCAGGCGGTCGATGGCCAGGGTGGCGTAGCCCTGCTTGGAGGCGTGGGCAATCCACGAGTACTGGTCGTCGGTGCCGCCCACGCCGCCCGTCCAGTAGTGGTGGTCGAAGGTGATGCCGTGCACCAGCAGCTGCACCGTGTTCTCGCGTCCGGCCACTTGCACCTCGGGCTCGCAGTAGAGGCCGGCGATGTTGTAGGTGCCGTTGACCAGCGCCAGCTGCAGCTCGTTGCCGACGCCGTTGAGCAGCGACTCGAGACCGCTCGGCGTCAGGCTGGCCGAGTCAAGCCCGTCGAGGAGGTACTGCGGCACGGCGTGGTTCTGGGCGGTGATGGTGACGGTCAGGTTGATGTCTGAGCACGTTGGTCCAGTGCTGCGCCTGGACACGGCAGGCGCCGCGATGCTCAGGCCGGCATTGGCCAGAAGGAATGCGGTTGTAGCGAGCGAAGGCATCTTAAACGAGTGGATGTGGTCGGGATCTGGGGGATTGCGGGCCGTGGGAGCCTTGGAATCCTACCATCTGGAGGACCATGGTTGCATTTAAGTGCCAGTGGTTGTGAGGTCGCAGCCCGAATCTGGGGAGATCACTGTGTAAGCGTAAAATGAAGATGTACAGATGCGCGTGAGCTGGGACCGGACTATGCGCCGGAAGTGGCACCGACAGTTCGGTCCGTTCGTTCGCGCGGCCCGGAGATAACTCAGCCGCACATTTGAGTCGTGATAGTGCCAAAAGGAGTAGTGCTCGGCACTTTCAGCTGTCAAAGAGACGCTTCGACTCCCGCTTCGCATCAATCTTGTGGTAGTCGGTGCATCCACCCTACTCAACAAAAACAGCTCCCATTCACTTCGTAGCCATTGTCCATCAGTGTGGTCAAGTGCTTCCACAATACTCCTACACTAAAATAAATAAAATTACCGTCTTCCTTAACTAGTAGGTGTGCGGCTGAAAAGGAGAAGTGCATCCAGGCTAGACCCTACTCGCTGCGTGACGTCTGGATCTACAGTTGACAGGCCGGGGTGAGCCTTATGATCAGCATTGCAAGTGGATCGATGGGTTACTTAAACGATTTCCGAGCCCAGCCGAGACCATCCTTGCTGATCGGAGCCAATCAGAGCCCACTGCTCAACCGAGGCACATAGTAAACAATAAAAGGCCTCTTGCCTTGGCCTCGGAACTTGTGTGGTAGCGCTTGCCAGAAGCTGAGTAGCTGCCGAAGTGTGGAGTTGACGGTTGAATTAATCCTTTGGCTACCCCTGACAGCACAGGACCCGGGACCCTCACAATGGCGACGTAGTAGGCGGTCAGAGCCCTTGAATTTATCCGTAGGTAGTCTTGACATCTAAGATTTGTTGAGGCTAAGAGTCAATCTCATTGTCGAGGTTGCCTTCCGTTTTCGAGAAGCCTCCGGCATCGGCCTAACCAGATATGGCTCACCTCGCACTTCGCGCACCCCGTTTGGAAGCGCACTCCTTTCTCTGTTCAGTCCATACAGCCATACCGGTCACTCGAAGAAATTACTCCACGATACTTCATAGGTTCTGCAGGACTAGCCAGATTGTAACACTCGTTCACAAGACATGAAGTCTGACGAGCCGTATCATGTTCCGGCGAAAATAACGAATCATCTAAAGCCACATTTCTTGGTAAGTACAACCATTGATGGGCGTTTCAGCAAATTCATGGTTGTGGACAGCGGATTTGTCCAGCATTATAGAATGCAGAAACAGCAGCCCACTCTATGCGTAGCTATGCGCAAGACGAGATTGAAATGCAGCGCAAGCAGGCAGACGTCGTCTAAAGCCAAAAGATACGATTTAAAATGAAATCTGCTTTCAAATTGACTAATTGCCAAGGCTTTGCTTGACATCACTGTCACTGAAAAGCACGTTCTCGCACTGCCATGGAAAGGAGATACGCGTGGCAAATTATGCTTGCGAATAGAACACATGACCATCCTCAGTGGGACTCCACAACCAAAGGCACGTCAGTGAGATCCCTTGGGCCAATGTTTGGCCTCTTCAAGATTTCCTCAGTAGACACGCCCTGCTCGAGCTTCTTGATGACATCCTCGGGATCAAAATCCACCCCGATAGGATTATTTGAAAAGTCGGCGCTGGTCATGTAGGCCGAAGCATCCTCTGCATTGTCAAAGACATCCACCTGCGTCTCTATGTGGTTGCCGTCCGGGTCCCGGTAGTAGATGCTGAGCGTCGGCCCGTGGTTGACACACCATACCGGCGCGATTCCCAGCTCCTTCCGCTGGCTGTAGGAAGTCAGGAGATCTCGAACCGTGGCGAAGGTGAAGGCAATGTGCTAGATGAAAGTCAGGCGCGCGACGCACTTCTCCGGCGATACGATTCCTTACCTCCAACCCGGACGTCTTGGCGTCTTTGGGACCGATGTCCGGGATTGCAACAATGGCAATGCGATGATGCTCATCGTCGTACGTGAGGAAGGATATGAATTCATTCTCGTGCGACGACTCGGCGCCCAGAAAAGTCTTGTAGAAGCTCACCATGCTGGCGAACGTCTCAGGCCGCGTCCGAAGGACAACATGGGCGAGCTTGATGGGCGAGGTGACTTTCGTCGGCTTTCCGCTTCCCTTTGTGTCTGCCATGTTCATGGTTCCCGTTTCAAAGAAACAGCTATCGCATCAGACTATGACAGCCAGCGTCGCTCTTTAAAAGGTTGCGGGGCCCCTACGAACAGCTTCCAAATGAGACACTTACCCCGCCTCTCACTGAATCCTACTACATTCAGCTTATGTGAGATGACGCACGTGAGAGCCCAAACCTTTTCAGCAGCATTCGTGATAAATTCCGCGCTGATAAATGTTGAAGGGAGCTTCGTGCTCTGGACCCCTGACATGCACCACAAAGAAAGTTATGCTCTGCTGTGCTGACTAAATCGCCAAATTCCACAAATGCATCCGAAGACCGAGAGACCGAAAGAGCTCTTGAGACGGCTGCTCCTATGCACAAACTCATTCACTGCTTACATGATGTCCGTAACGCCCTCATGTTTCGCCCAAAAATCATCCCATGCAGCCTTCCACCTGTGCTGCACATCCTTGATCCACTGCGAAAACTCTATCTTCTCCCCTCCAATCTCAATCACCCCATCTTTTATGCCTTTCCAGTCATCCGGCGGGCTCTTCACGTAATGATGGTCCTTCCCGCAATAAGTTTGCCAGTCGGTGACGGGCTCGCCCTTGTTCCAGCCCACGCGCTTATTGTAGCAATCCGCGCACAGATCTGTATCTGCGCAGATTATGCAAGTGTAGATTGGCCCTTCGCCGGGATTGCAGATATTCCTGCTGCAACCGTTGCAGGAAACAACCCATTCTTTATGTATGTTAGCCAATGTGGTAACTTTAGCCAGCGCTCTAACCACTTACCGGGATCTATATCTCCGTACGGTGCGTTTCCGTCTTCTGCAGATGACTGCCCCGTAGTCTCGTCGTTCGGAGCAGCACCTTCGGCCGAGCGATCTTGCCCCGAAGTGGCATCAGCGGCGGAAGCATCGGGATCGGCAGTCCCATCCGCGGCCTCCCCATTTGTTTGTAGTTTTTGCTCATCGTCAGCCGTTGATTCGGATTCGCTGTCATCCTCTTTTGGTTTGAATTCCGGATTGAGAAAGTAGAACTGCGAGGCAGACGCGATCTGAGCATCCCTCTCAAGGCCCGGAAGGCAGGCCAAGACTTTGGCGAAGAAGCGAACGCTGATGAAGTCATTCGAACCTTCGTTGTCAGTGAGGCCAGCAATACAAGCATCAAAGGACTTGTTGAGTGTCGACTGAAAGTCGCGTAGAGGGCCCATCTTCCGCAACATCAACGCAGCTGGGAGCGCAGTGTTGGACATGGCAGGGTCGAAGTCCTCAATGCGAATGTAACCCGTCGGAAAGGCCAACCTCATCGTCTCGTCGAGGATGCTGGCCTTTACCTCCGCATCAGCCGTGCAGCGGAATTGTTCCGTGAAGACTTCAGCCAAGAGAGCTCTACTTTCGAGGATGATGTTTTCCACGATATTCTCACCCTTCTGGCTACCTTCCAGAAGCTGGACCAGCAACTCCTTGGCCCTTCCCAAATTTCCTTCAACCGTCACGTAGTAGCTCGCAAGCCAGTACCTGAGGCCAAAATCAGTGTTCCAGTTCAACATCGACATCTTGATCAAACGCTCGTAAGTCTCCGTGACCAGCTCCCGCTTGCCAGCCTTGACAACGGCATGGTGGAAGTCACCATGGGTCCCTTCCTCTACAAGCCACACAAGCTTGTCTTTCTCCCTGAAGCTGGCAAAGAACTCGAGTAACTTGTCGTCCCGCTGTTGTTCGATCAGCTTGACCATTATCTTTGCTATAATGTCGTTGGGTAGGAAGTCGTCGGGAATAAGGGCCTTTGCTTGGTCGTTGAAGATGCTGATGGCTGTCTCCACATCACCTTCGAGTACCGCGGCTTCGGAAAGTGAGAAGAAACTCTGTGCCATGTAGATCTTTGTGTCTTTCTCTTCGTTCTGAGGGACGAGCTGGGAGAACTCCTTTGCCATCGTAGTGACCGTCTCCTTGATTTCTCGGATGTATTCGGCTTTTTTCCCTTCATTCTCTTCTGTGTAAGCTAGTTGCATGGCCGCGTCGGACACACTTCCCAAAGCATGGAAATGCTCCAATTGTGAGGAAGGGTTTTCCAGGGACTTCTTGCATTGCTCGAGAGCAGATTCCCAGTGGTCGTAGGCCTTCATGACAAGACCGATTCCTCTGTGTGCGTAGCTGGACTTTTCCAGATCTGGAAAAGCACCGGAAACTAGGAGGATCTGCTCTGCTGTTGGGTTTTCACCGACATCCTTCAGCTCATCCTTCAAGATGTTTGTCTGTTGTTGTTTTTTTTGGCATTAGAAACCACTCTGTGAAATGTGCACCAGTTGAGCGGAGACTTACCAGCTTCAGAGCTTCAAGTGCAAAGTTGAAAGACTTCCAGGCCTCCCATCGGTAAGTGGCATAATTGAACCAATTGAAGACGTGCTTTCGTGCTATGCCCTCCATGAGCTTGGCGGGGTCTTCAGACAGTGTGGAGATCAACTCCGAGCTGTCTGGATTCAGAAAGCCAGAAGGAAGCTTTGACGCCCTGTCAACCCACTGCTTGACTGAAGTGAACATGTTTTCACGTAGGTCCGTTGACTCGCCAAAGATGCCAATAGCACTTGCGTTTTCTTCGACCTTCTCAAGAGCCCTACCCTTGTTTGTCACAATGTCGGAAAGACTCTCAATGACGGCTTTTGCATCTTCATCGCTCGCTTTCTCCACTTGAATATCCAGGAAGTGGGGTATCCAGAAATCGGCGGCGTAATTCTTCAACATCCTAATCGTGGCATCTTCCTCAACGTCCGTCGTGAGAATCGTGGCGATGGTTCTGAAAATGATGAGGTGAGCAGATGAGGGGGAACTGCGCAGGCCCTTCTCATCGACAATGGCTTCACGGAAGTACTGGCGCAGGGACCGTTCCTGAAAACGTAGAGGAACCCAGGTATTGGGGTCGGTATCGTCATGGTTTTCAATGGCCTCGTCGGCTGTTTCGGAGCCCTCCCCATCGCTGTCGTCGGAAGATTCCTCATCCTCGGATGTGATCTGAGCAAGCCGGAGGAGCCTGGCGGATTTTCCTTCAATCTCCTCCTCCAAGCTCAATTTCGTATCGTCATTGACGAAGGAGACAAGGTTTGAAGCTTCTCCATACGTGAGCGGGCGCTTCGAGTAAGCAAGCCAGGCGAACAGTCGTTTCAAAGAGGCGAGATCTTCAGCACTTCGGCCCTTTTGGCATTCGGCGAGTAGCACGTTGTACAGGTCAGATAAACTGTCTGGCAGCTTATCGAGCTCTTTCAAGATTGCCGCTTCCCGACGGAGCGAGTTGAGTCTCCGCAAAACGTGCTCAGCATATAGTACGCCTGTACCCAGTATGTTAGCAATGCTCCTGGTTCATTTTTACTGGTTGACCTCACTATCCGCTTTCTGTAAAAGCTTGATGACGATCCGCTTCTTCACGGGAAGTCGAAGCCTTCTGAGCCGTGATTGAGACTTTATCCTCGCCTTGATAATCTGCCGAAGATCCTTTCTCAAATGTTCAATGGTGATGGGAAGAGTTGCCGGCTGCAAGACCTCCACACCCTCCGTTCCAGGCCGGCTCGTGATCAGAGCCCGAATCTGCAGATTATCCTTTTTCACTTGTGCGAGGAGGTTCAAAAACTTCTCGCGGTCTGCTGCGTTGGCTTCATCAAGACCGTCGATGACAAGGAACAGTCGCGTCGAAGACTCGTGCGGAAATCTCGAGGCAAAGAGCTTCTCCCACAGAAGGGAGCCATCGCCTTCTTTGAGCTTTTCGGCATTCTTCTTCAGCTCTTTTGCGACTTCATCTCGGTATTTGTGGTCGGCCTCTGCCAGCTGAGCCGCAACTGTTTTCAAGAGGTCGACTGTTGACCGCATTTCCTTATGCTCTTCCTTGAAGAAAAAGTACGCAACATTCGTCTGGCAGATGTGACGGCGTTCCTTGAGTTCGTTGATGGCAAAGTACGCCAAACTTGACTTTCCCAGTCCACGGTCACTTGTGACCCAGAGAAAAGGCTCGTTCTCACCAACAGCAAACGTGTTGTACTCCTCGTTTTCTCTGAGCCACTTGAACGAACCCTGCACAAAAGTCTGTTTGATGTCCGCGTATGCCATGGCCGTGGCGGGGATGGCAACTGTCTGCATTGCCTCCTTTACCTGGACCAGAGCTGCCGAGCGCCTCGCACCGGCGTCTTTTAGTTTTCGGCCTTTTTCGCCCTTTCCTTGCTCTTGGCTGTTTTCAGACATGGAGGCGAGTCTGAAAATCATGCCAGACATCTTCTGCATCTCACGAGAATTCTGCTGACTGACCTCCAGTGTCTGCTGCCCCACCATGGCGCTCTCCTTGAGGATGACAGATTGCTCCTGCTGATTTGCGAGTACCTGGCGCGTCATAGTAACATTTTCGGTAACTGCTTGGTGTGTCTCGATCGTCTGTCTGAGCGTGGCGAACATGGTTGCTGACTCCAGTCTCTGAATGTTTGTCTTGAGGCCGCCCAGGGCGCCTTGAAGCTTATCATCAGAGCCTTTAATGAGCGCTTTCGACCATTTGACTACAAGGAGGCCAAAATTAGCGTGGTACGTATTGGAGAATCGAATTCACTGACTGAACCGCCCCTCTTTCTGGTATTTGGTTGCAATCCTGCAGAGGTCGAGGATAGAAGTGAATACCCGCATCATTATCGTCTGATAGATTTCGATATTGGGGACCTTTTTCTCGATGATGGAAATGCGCTCGAGGAAGGAGTGCTGGATGTCGAAAAAGGTGTAGATGACTTGTGAGGAGTCAGCTGGATGCACAGTGGCATTTGAAAAGGAGCCTCACCATCGTAGTCTTTAGACACGTTGTTAGAAGCCTATCTCGGTTAGCGTTATGTCAAGGTAAATGGCAGCGTTGTCGTACATCCATAACCCCTGTGCGTTGTCAAGTCAGTGGTTGCGGCATTGGAAGCATTAAAGGAAAGCTCACAAGTGAAAGCAGTCAGAATGGTCCCGGCAGCTGGAAAGGCCTGGCGCTTGTTAGCATCAAGATGATTAAAGTAGGCGACTCAGGTGCATACTGCGCTTGCAGCACTAGAGATTTGCTTCGCGGCAGACATGATCAACTCCGAGTTCTTGCTAACCAACGAACGGAGTTTGTCGGTGGTCTGGCCATCGTGACGAAAGTTCTTGAACCTGTCCAGGGCGTGCTTCTGCTCTTCGAGGATTTCCTTGGTCGACATGTGGCGGACCCGGGTGATGTCTCTCTCCGTGTCCTTGACATACTCGCGGATGGCCCTTTCCCAAAGGTCTGCGACGTCTGCCGGCGACTCAGCCGTGTACTCATCAGAGCGGTCCATGATGACTGGGGCTGCTGGAAAGGCAAGATGAAGGCTTAGAGCGGTGGGCAGCTGTTTAAATGCTGTCGTGAACGTGACCTTAGCCCCCACTCAGAGAATAGGCCGGTGAAGCAAGGGGCGCCTCAAGTTGCAAGGCTAAATCCCATGATAGGTCGGAAAGTAGTCCTTCGAAATGAGTTAGGCCATACTGATGATAGTGGCGGCTGTCCGAGCAGCCGGGGGATCCTAGCGGAACGACAGACTTTTGGCCCCCATTCTGACATGCAGCTCGGTGGCTTAATGATCCTCCACGGTCAATTCGGGAAAGCGGACAGCGGTGCCAATTGCACGACCGTCAGCCTCGTTTCATGGCCTGGCAACGTCTCCCATCAGGAACTATGTCCCGAGGGCGCTATTGAGTCTGCTGACAATTGCACCCTGTGTTAAGCAAAAGCAAGTCGGCTGTGGCCAGGGAACCTTTCCATTCACGCACCCGATGCAGCCTTGTTCCATCGTTTCCAGCGATTGTGCGCGCATGACGTGCGCACTGAGCGAGTGGCTTGTAATGAATCAGAGGAGATGGTGGATTGGTGACTATCGAAAGAGCGGGAGAAAGACCCCGCGCTAAACATTCCCGGCGCTAATTACCCGTGCCTGCCCTGTCTACTATTCCGCATAACCCTAATCGTTCCACAACCCATCATTCGCAAGTCCACCTCTGAATTTTGACTCTCGCTGCAGGCGAAGCCTAGTACCGTTGCATGCTATGGTGTGTATCAGTGGTTTCTCCATCGTTGGGGACAGGGGTGACTAACAATGACAGCCGGGCCGCTTCTCCTTCTTCGCCTGGGAAGTCCAACCATGTGTGGTACACGTCACTGATCCCGCGCCACAATGAGTGGAGAGCGTTGGGGTACGTGTCTCCGCGGAAGCTCTGGGAGAAGGCGCGGTTTCCGTTCTCTCTCCGGCCCCTGATGAAGGCCGTGAAGCGTCGCTGGCCGGCCATCCCGTCTCTAGTGCTGAACCACTCTCCTGCCAAGATCTCGTACATGTTGCAGTCGGGGAACATCTCACGGAACATGGCTGTGATGGAAACATGTCAGCGCGTCTCCAGCTAGTGCATGCGGAAGTACTTGCCAGAAATGCCGTTCGTCGACTGCTCTGAACTCGCCTGGCGTGCCTGTTCGTTGTTGCGCAGCCCGGTAATCAGCCTGTAAAGAGCGACGGTTGCGTTCATTCCACGCTTGCGCATGACCTGGTTGCCTGACAGCTCGGCATAGGCAATCGACTCTCCACCAGTCCGGGCAACACAGACACGGATGTCCTGCCTGCGATTGGGGAACATGTTGTCCATCAGGTCTACAATGTAATCAATTATTCCGGGCGATATGTTGAGGCCAGATACATACCAAAGGCGTCGTCCAGCATCAGACCAACTGCGGTGCGAGGGTCCTCAGGATCATCGTCATCGTCATCGAGAAGTGCCACACTTGTCTGAGGCGGGTCGTCGGTGCGCTCGCTCCTGGTGGGAGGCACGGGCTCATCTTGTTGCTGGGAAGGACCAGACGTGAAGTCTAGCCTTAGAGGCATCTTGGAAATGCGGAAGCAGTGGAAATGCGTCAGTCAGCAGAGGTGTGTGTGCAGTTTAGAAAAGTAAAAGAGGAAGAGTCTGTAAGCTAGCTGTGGCTTTTATACATCTAGCGCCCACCTGCATTTTACTTTGTCATGTGCCGCCAGCCGTACCCTGTTGCCTGGGTGACTACATTCACTCTTCACTTGACACACCTGTTTACCCTATTCACTCACCTGCTGCCTGCCTCATCTGTTCATGACTAGCTTAGAATGACATAGAAGCTATTGTGCTGGATGGTTCTGCTTTCCTTGTGATGCTCATAAATGCGTTAACACTTCCGCACAAGGCAGCACCACCACAGCTGACATTGTATTGCATCATGTCTTCTTTTTCCCGCTCTTAGTGGACTGAAGGGCCCGTGCCAAATTCATGCAAATGTAGTGTAGTCGAAACAACCTTGCACCTTGGCGCTTGCAGATACATTAATCAAAAGTATCTGTGTTACCTACAATCGTAGATATAGCCATGCAGTTCAGTCTACGGATAAGCTAATCATAGTGCTATAGAAGCATCGTTTATTTCATTCATGTGGGCCGATCCCAATGCTACATTACACCGACACCTGCTAGAGTCAATCTTTCTTCAACATGTCAGCCACCGGGCTGAAAAAAAAAAAAAAAACTTCCAAGATCTCACAATGGGCACGCACATCACTCTTCCATAGATCCAAGCCTTTTAGACAACGGCGCGCGTCCATATATGTAAAGTAGGAAGGCTTGGTAAGACCGGAGCGGAGCCAGGCGCCCGCCCGAGGGCCTCACGCACGCGCAGCACAGGCCCGACCCGCTAGCAGAGGAAGCAGTGCTGAGGTTCACAGAAGGAAGAAGCAGAAGCAAAGTAACTTAGTGTAGTTTCTAGCGATAGAGGGGATCATCGCTCGCTCTTACACTCCGACCTCAGTCCGGCGCGTGCATCTCGCCCCGACCCGCAAATGAGGCCCGGCGATCAGAAAGCAGGCAGCTAAACAGGTACCTAGCCAGCCACCAATGCGGCTTCCGCCCAGCATCGTTGTAGCTCGGTTCGAGAAGCGGGCGGATATTCCATGCCGAGACGTGAGTAAAGCGCAAGCGTGGGCGCCACATTCACGAGCATGCATCAGATCTCTTGACCCGCGAAAAAAAGCAGATTACCCGTCGTTGTTGCAGCAGCCGAGACGTGATGTGCGAGCGGCCCAAACTCGGCCGCGTGGAGCGACCAGCGGCGCCTAGAAATAGAAAGCTGGGTAAGAGAGTGGGCGGTGGCGAGCACGAGACGTTCAGCGTCTCGCAATGGTGTCGCAGCTTCCCAGGGTTTTGTCGACACGCGACATCTTGTCAGGTACCACGAGATGGAACACGATCGATAAAACACCCATAGGTACTAATGGTGCAAATCTGAAGAAGCCCTTTGGTCACCGGATGGGATTCCCTCCAGCCGCCCGACCAGCCAGAGATGTAGTGGCGGCGGCGCTTGATGAAGCGAGATTCGCAACGGCGAGAAGTGCGTTTAGAAGCGATCCTGCCCTTGAAAGGCACCATCTCCGGGAACCTGAGGCGGTGGCGAGAAACTCGAGGTGGTGCCTGAGGCTGTTTGGATACGAAAAGCGTCGATGGCTACGCGTTCAAAGAAAATGGCCTCATATTGGATATAGCTAGCCCCCAAACATATTCCGCTTTTTCAATCCCAACTCTAATTGCTCCATGACTCTTGAAACACAAATTTTGACATGCAGTAACCGGGAATCCAGAAGGGGAGGTCTGTCTACCCTCCAATCTTACAATCCGATGCTCTTCTTGACCCAGTTCTCGAGACCACCGAGCGCAATGATCTCCTGCACGTTCGGCGGCAGCTCACCAACCTTCTGGCTCCACTTTTCGCCGCCCTCGCCCTCCTGGATCGTGACCTTACTCCGGCGAACATCCCACTCAAAAGTCCAACCAGTCCGCCGCGTCAGCGTCTTCTCACCGAACGTGTTGCGCAAGCGTTCGACCAGGCGCGGAACCTCAACTCCCATAAGGGCGTTGTTGATGCTGTTACGCCCGAAGATGTTGGCGAACGAACCTGCAACGACTAACGGGATACCCTTGGCTAGAATTGCAGTAGCGGCTTGCTCTCGGGACGAACCGCAGCCGAAGTTGAAGCCAGACACGAGGATATCGCCAGGCTTAGCAACTTGTGCAAACTCCTTATCGTAGTTCTCCATGACGACCTCGGACATCTTCTCGCGAGTGACGTCGTCTTGGTACGTGTACTTGCCGGGGTAGATGCCGTCGGTGTTGATGTTGTCGGCGTCACAGAAGACGATCTCACCCGACACCTTCTCAGGGAAGCCGGGGAGGATCTCCGTCAGCGATTCGCTACCCGCAGATTCTGACTCAGAGCTGCCGTCCTTGCCTGAGATGGCTTGCTCACCGGTCGCTACCATGGCATCAACCTGGCCAATGATTGCCTCGAGAGCATCCTCGATGGTATTACCGATAAGGTCTCCCTCACCACGGACCACACCCGTCACACCCTCGGGCTGCTCATACCAGCCGGTGCCTGAGATCTTGCCAGCCAGCGCGCTAGCAGCGACGACCTCGGGGCTGGCGAGGTAGGCCTTGGCGTCCGTCGATCCCATGCGGCCCTTGAAGTTGCGGTTGCTAGCGCTAATGCCAACCTCACCGGGCTCCAAGAGACCCGTTCCGAGACCGATGCAAGGACCGCAACCGCTGGGCAGAGGTTGCGCACCCGCCTGGAGAAGGGTGTCCCAGTCACCCGCTTCCCTTGCGGCGGCCTCCTCATTGGTCGAAGCTGCAGCAATGTAGAAGTTGACGTGGTCTGGGATCTTGGGGACTTGGCCGTTGTTCTTTGCAGCAGCCTCCTTGAACACGCGGGCGGCAGCAGCTATGTCAGAGCTCCGAGAGTTGGTGCAGGAGACAAGATATGCCCTATTGACCTTGATATCCTGAGCAGCCAGCTCGGCAAGAGGGGTGGCAACCTTGACAGAGTTGGGGCCAGCGACGTAGGGGGACAGAGTGGAAAGGTCAAGGTAAAGCTTCTTGGCGTAGGTGGCACCGGGGTCTGCAACCGGGGCGTTCTCGAAGAGGTCATCAAGACGTTCGTGGTTGAAGCGGGTGAGACGGCTGGATTCGTACATGGAAGCCTCGGTGGCCTTGAAGCGCAGCCAACCCTTGAGCGTAGCATCCATGGGGAAGAGGCCGCTCAGAGCACCCCACTCAGTCGTCATGTTCGCGATGGAAAGACGGTCATCGATAGGCAGGCTGGCAAGGGTCTCCGGAGAGCCGGTGAACTCAATGGCGTGGTTGAGCACATCATCGTTGTTGAACAAACCGCAGAGAGCGACAATGATGTCCTTGCCGGTGACACCCTTGGGAAGAAGACCAGTGAAGGTGACCTTGGCAATGGGAGGAATCTGCCACCAAGTCTTGGTGGTGGCCCAGATGGAGGCGGCGTCAGTGCGCACGACAGGGGTTCCCAGGCAGCCGATGCCGCCATACATGTTGGTGTGACTGTCAGAGGCCACGGCGAGAGTGCCGGGGAATGCGTAGCCTTCCTCAACCATGATCTGGTGTCCAATGCCCCTGCCGGCCGGGTAGAAATCGACGCCGTGCTTCTTGGCAAACTCCTCGATCTGCCTGTACTTCTTCAGGTTGGCCTCGCTCTTGTTCTGGACGTCGTGGTCGAGAGTCATGACGGTCTGGCGGTTGTTGGCAATCTTGGAGCCGCCAATGCCCATGAACTTCATAGCAACGGGCCACGAGTTGTCGTGGGTCATGCAGTGGGCGGGCTGGATGGTGACATAGTCGCCCGACTTGACAAACTTGCCTTCGGGAAGGCCCACGGCATACTTCTGCACAATCTTCTCGGTCAGGGTCTGCGGCGCGCCCTTGGGCTTCTGCAGCGAGGAGAGGATGGACGAGGCATTGGTGTCCTCGAGCTGGGTGTGGAAGACATTCTCTTGTTGGCGGGCAGCAGAGGCACTGCTGTATAACCGCGGGCGGTGGAACGATGGGGATGGGCGGGCAGCGGTGGCGGCACGCAGCGCAGGCGTCCGAATTGCAGGGAGGCTTGATCGGACCTTGCAGCAGTCAGCGACGGAAGAGAGCCGTTTGCAGGAAGCGGAGCTTTACGAGGCTTGCGCGGCCAGCCAGACGGGCAGCTGAACGAACGGTGGAGGCCATGGTTGCTGCCGTGGACAGTCAGAGCACGCGTCGGCCGTTATCGCGCAACTTTTCTTGACGCGCGGGCCACCGCCGTCGCTTCCCCGGATTTTCGCTTAGCAATCCGCGCTGCCTCAGTGGCTCCAACACCGCAGCCTCCGAAGCCGCTGCCGCAGCATGCATTAGCCGAGAAGCATCATATATCGGTAGGAGAATAAGAATCTATCGCTCCTTCTTCCCCAGTGTGGAGCAGTGCGGGGTCTCTGGCATCTTCGAATGCACGTCCGTTCCGGCAGCATAAACCCATCGCCGACATCGGAAAGGTGGGCTGGCAAGTATGCACCCTGTAGGCACTGAACTCTGATGACTGCAAGCTGATCAAATTGAAATGGGTTTTCATCTGGCCCGGTCTTTGAAACGAGCTGACCCTCTCCTTTAGTTACTGCCGTCAATACCAAACGCTTACAAGAGTCTCGGCTCGCGGATTCGTTTCCGTAAAATGAAACTATGATAGACTTCCCTTCGTTGCTTTCTCAATGTTACCGTGGAACAAGCTTTGTGCTCCTAGTTGTCATTGCACAACAATCGAGGGATATTTCGGAAGCTTACTTGGTAGACCGCGGCATCTTTATTCCTGCCGTCTTGAATAGGATGCTGCAATCCTAGGCCTCAATCTGTGAAGCTAAGCACCGCCGTCCTCTAGCCACTCCTCATTGGCCGAATAGCGCTGAACACTGAATGGTCGCCACGCGGGGTATAGCTCGTGCGTCTAAAGCACTGGTCAGCCCGTCTACAAACAGTAGCATCCCTCGAATGCCTCGTCCAACGGCCTGTTGCCAGTAGCTTGTTCCTGAAACGTCTTACCCGCATCCTGGCTCTGTCAGACTCAACACGGCTGGTGCCGTACTACTGACAGAACGAGGGATTCAGCAAGCTGAAAACAATGAGTTCAGAGCCAACAGAGATGTGGCCCAGGATCCTGTGTGACTCTTTTTCCCCCCACAGATTTCCGGGGGCTGAAAAGAATTCCGTCTTAAGCCGCAGTAAAAATCCGGGTTTTTGCTTTGCGCCTAAGGACCTGATTCCCTCTAGACGCGTTGGCAGAATCCCTACGGCCAGCGATGGGCAGTCACGATTCCTTCATGTGGAGCCAACAGATCCTGCAGCCCGTCAAAGTGGAACAATGCTCCAGTGGACGATCTGTAAGCGGCTAAAGTGTTCGATGCTGGCATAAAACGTGGAGTGGCTGTAAAATGCCTAAGATGACACAGTTAATGGCGCCTCCGTACTCTTCTCTACCACGTGGATGAAGATGGGAGGGGATGGCAAGTCAATGATTCATTGTGTAGTTTGAAGCCTTCACCCGGCTTTAATCAAATTCGTAGCGAAGACGAGAACACGCGTCATCGTACAGAGTAATTACTGCTACCGCCGATCCGAGCCAAGCTTTGGAGATTGATGAGGAGGCTGGGCTGCTTAGAGACATCATGCAGGCCACGAGGAAGGCCGCCGGCGCCCACATGGGATGCGATGGACGTAGAATAACCCGAATTCCGTATGCGAGAGCATCTACAGCGCTAGTCACACGCGTATAAGAATTTTCAAGCGATGCGCTTGTTTTGTTTAAGCGAAACAAGGCGAGATGCGAGGGCGCAGATCTCGCTGGAACGCATCTCGCAGCGAGTACGAAGGAAATAGCGAAGACAACAAGCTGGATTGGGAGAGAAGTGGTGATGGTGCTGTTGTGGACGCTTCGTCGAGGCGAGATGATGTGGGGCCTGGTGTTGAGGGCGGGCGTGGCGCAGGCTGCGGCCTCCGACACTCTGAAACCCACTCCTGCCCGCCAACGCCTTCCTTCACCACTCACATTCGGCAGCCCGCTACGCCCGCCCAGGTGGCCACTCGACGCCGGCGGGTCTTGCGTCTTGCCTGAGCGCCCTGGGAAGCCATCATCGCCAGCAGGCCCCATCAAGATGGCCACATGGCCACGCTGACGGCGTATCGCCCTCGTTGCTCCCGCCCATTGGACTCGCCCTTGCCTTTGTCGTTTTGGCTGCTGCTCATGGGATCTAGATTGGCGTCTTGTTAGGCTCTTGCGCCGCGGCGATGTGCTATGATCTACGGTTCAGACTTGTCGGGGCGCCAAGTGTCGCCATCTCCCACAACAGCTGTCTCAGCATTGCACCAATCAACGTGACCGGCTCACAGCCCTGCACACATTTCCAGCTCTTGCTCCGGGCGGTCGCGCTATAGCTCCGCCGTTATAGCAGGTTTGAGAGTTCATCGAGTTCCATACCATCGCCTTTTCGGCTCGCTCCCGTTTCAGCCCCAGAAGCGACAGACCCGCAAACCATTCTACGTCTGATGTCACCCCGCAGTCTTCCTGAGCGGACCTGTGCAGCGAGAGAAGCAGCCTGCCTCTTGCCCGTTCTTTTGGTGCGTGGCCGCCTCCATGGTAGCCGCAATTATCGACTTTTGCCGCCGGATGGATTCGTGCAGTCCTCCATCGATACCAACACCAAAGGATCGTCTGGTTCCAAATGGGGAAGCATCTCTAACGGATCGACGGGTCCGTGAGCTTGCCCCTTCAAGAAAGGCGGCGGCCAGATAAGCTGCCATCGGAGACATGGCTAGCCGCCCATCATGCGCTCACCCAGGTTTAAGCATGCATCAGGCCGACCCTAAGTGGCCCTCTCAGACCCTGCAGCAGCTGCAAGCAGCGTCGTCCGGCTTTCCTGGTCCAGCCACTGCCCGGGCCACCACCTCTTCCGCCGCGGGAAGGGGGCCGATGCCGCTGACGCGAAACCCTCCACCTGCGGCCAATTTGGTCTCATAGCTGTCTCTGTACCTCATATGCCTCATGCCGCCCTTCTGCGGGTGGCAAGTGTCAGTCTCTCTTTCGTCTTCCTGGCTTCTGTTTCTTTTCTGGCTGGTTCAGGCGAGTTGGCAGCTGGATGAAGGTCAAGCAGGCTACGCCTTCTCTGCCACTCTTTTACTTTCTACTTCTTGTTTAATGCTTTCGTTTCTCACCATCCACTGCTGCAGGTCCTCAGCGCTTTGACAAATCTCCTCGAGTCTATTCTGCGCACCTGCAGATGGATGGAGTAAAACGGAGCTTCCTGGGCGCACAAAGCGCCGACACCAACATGGCCAGCGCCCAGGGCGCCAACACTAACATGTCCATGAACCTCCAGATCTCCGCCGCCCAATTCAACGAGACGCGGAGAGAAATCACAGAACTGGTGCTGAGCCAACAGAAAACCCTGCGTAGCATGCACATTGTCCTCGGCGTTTTCAGCTTGATTTTCGCCACAGTCATGGTAGCACGCATCCTGTACGACAGCTGGAGGGCAGCTAAGCTGAAGGTGGTTTTGAGACCAAGGTGAGGACCGCAGTTTGCACACAGAAAATCACCCGTTGACTGTTGTAGGAAACTCGAATGGCTAAGGTCAATACACACCGCTGAAGTCTTTCCGCTGGCTCTCGCAACTGGCTTGACCGTCCAGATGATCATCATAATTGCCGTTCAGTCGGGAAATCTTGATCGATTTTTTGAACATCATTGCCGAGCCGTTGTTCAGTTTATCCTGCCGAGTAGGGCCCCCCTGAGCTTGACTTCCTCGAAAATCATCCGCTAACGTGCGTGCCCAGCTATCCTTCTCGTCGGCTATGTAAACCTTGTCTTCGGCATCGAAACCACCATACGTGCGTTCAAAGGATCAGTACCGCGAGGGAAATGGAACGTTACGGGCTGCACGCTGGCCATCCTTGGGTGCCTGCTTGTCTCATGGCTCCCCACGATTGTCTGGCCCGGCAAAAACCTGTGCTTTGGAGAGCTCATCTGGATTCCCTTCCAATACCGTCGGGTCCTCGTGCCGCTGCTTTCTGTCCTGCTCTCTGCTTACATTGCATTGGGCTCACTACTAATCCTCAAGCTCCGCTATGACCCCAATTTTGACGCCGACGAGAGGGTTTCAGCATCTAGGATGGTCTGGTACTTGACTTTCGCTCTCGTTGAACATGTAAGTAATCAGCTCTCTTCTGGCGACCCGAAACTAACACAACCACTCTGCAGGCTCTCATTGTCCCGTTTTTCATTCAAGCCTATATGATGAACTTCGACGAAAAGTTTACAAGCTCTCGCGTTGCGGAGATTGCTCTCTTTTCCTCTGGAATCTTTGTCGCATTCCTTCACCTTTTCCTTCGAGTGAACGTAAACCGCATGATCATAAAGCCCGTAGGCGTTCCATGGAAGCAAAACACAAAGGCCATCCGATTCCGTCTTTTCGGTCCTAGTGACCTGGAGATGAACATCAGCAAGCCTTTGGGCGTCAAGGACCGCGCTTATGCGATGCAAGAATACTACTACAACAAACCGGAGAAGGGTAGCTACGACTACAGCCTCAACTCCCCGGAGATGTTCAGGCGGCCGTCCGACCCCGAGGCTACCTACACACCTCAGCTCCCCACCATTCTCGTCAACCGCGACTTCAGACAGTCGAACGGATCGAAACTGTCCGCCTGGCCACTTCCTCTTGAACCTCTCAAGAGAACAACCATTGGCAGCAGGCACTCTCGCAAGCCGTCTGGAGATAAGCGGACCCCTACCTATTCGCTCTTTCCCAATCGAGCCTCTATTGATGATGCCCCGCGTCTTCCCGCCACCATCTATAACCCATTCCAGCCATCAAGCGCCCGCGACAGCCGCAAGCCTTCATTTGACACTGGGAAGCGGGGTACCCAAGCCTCGCTTGCGCCATCCGTCACCGACGTGTCGGAGGCATACCGGGGCCTCCTTCCTCCAATGCCCCCGTTCGCCCGACCCCGGTCGCATCGCAGGGACAGCAGCCTGGACAGCAGTGCAACCGTTCAGATTGGTCTGCGACTTTCGGTTGCGCCCGCCGCGCTGATGGGAGGCAGCGGCAGCAACAGTATCAGCCGCCAATTGGCTCCCCCGTCACCACTGAGGGAGTCGACTGGTTCAACTGGAGAGAGCATCGCAGCGGCTGCACCCGCTCCACTTTTCTCCTCTAAGCCGCTTGGCCACAAGCGACAGCCGTCAGCCGGTACATTGGGTCCCTCAGGACCTCCACCATCTGCGCCCCCACCTTCGGCACCTTCGCCGGTCTCGATAGCGCAGACGGAGGAGAGAGAGGCCAAGAAAGAGGCCCTGCCTGCTATGCTTGCCGCTCCATATTCACCAGCATCCACACGCTTTCAGGAGGACGACGAGTCAATCGACGGCAGCTCTGAGTACAGCGCGCCTTCATTCAAGTCGTTCACCATCCTCAACCCCCAGAATAGCCAACGCTATCTGGAGAGCGCGCGCAACAAGGTTCTCCCACCCACGCCGCGTGAATCGATCACGGAGAGCGAGCGGAGCAGAAACACGGAAACGCCTGTGGGCGCAGGCAGTCCACCACGCGTGAACGCCACCAGCACGCCGGAGCGCACAGCTTCGCCCAGATGGGTGGATCTACGGAGCGGTACAATCAAGAGAAACAATTCGCCAGCGCGCAACGGCATGCCTGAGGCGCCGGCGCAAAAGTGGATATGACCAGACCATCGAGTCGGTGTATTATAGGATTGTGGGTCTTACGGGTTGCGGGAAAAGGTAAAAGAGGGTATCCGGATGGGTGGCGTGGGATGACGGCGCTTATTTTCTTGGGCAATTCTTCCTGGCAGAGGCGTTCTCGAGCATTCGGATTTGAGGGGCAATTTGTGTTTCATCTTCGGTTTTGGTTGTCGGCCCCTTTGCGAGGAGGCACGCACGATCTTACCCTTTTCCTTTCCCTTGTGGGGGGTTCTCCCATTCCTTTATCCGCAGTCGCCTCCGACCCTTTACGATCCTTTCTGATTGACGACTTTGTTATGATTCCCCATCACATCCCACTAGCATACCCACCTATTACCTGCCCCCTGCTGTTCACTGGGCTCTGTAGCGGTCGTGGCCAAGATTGTTTTGAGTTTGGAGTAGATTTAGATGGCTCTCCGCAACCGCAAAGGGAGACTGGTGCTGGCGCAGCTCGCCGAGCAGGCAGCATACGAGATGGAATACATGCGGAATCTCGTGCGACTTGGTGCCCAATGTGCGCTTTCCGATTGCCACTCGCGGTTGCCCGTTTGGGCCGGCGTTGCAGAATGGTAGGTGTTGCAGCCGAGAGCTAGCGTGGATTTGCTGCTCGCGTTATGGGGAGTTGAAGCATTTGTCCGGACACAAATGCAGAATCAATAATGATACATTCCCGCCCATTCACTGCCCACATAAGCTGACCGTCGTCTCTCGAAAAGCAAATTGCTGAGGCCCAGCGACTCTTTGCTCAAGAGCTCTTACCTGCAGCACCCCTCTGTATAGTGAGCTAATTAACCGACCTTCAACCGCCGCAGATCGTCACTCCAGACAGCGCCCGCCCGCCAACGACATCACCAGCTCGCCATGCCCGCTGCTTGCAACTGCTGCGGTCGAGCCTGTCTGCGCAAGCTGTGAAGATGCTCCCCGCCATCACCCGCCCTCTCCTCGCCTTATTGACGACCTTCGTCGTTCTGCTTCCGGCTGCTCTCGCCAACGTTGAGAAGACCGTCTTTGTTGCGCCTTCCGCCATAGCCGTTCCAAATGTTCGCCCTGGCCTCCAAGACCTCCGCCTGACCAGCCTTTCGCCTTCTGCCCACGTCTTGCGCACCAACATTCCCGTTGCCTTCAGGTCCGACGCCTCGCCACGTGGTCTCGACTCCTGGTATCTGCTCAGCGAGCTCACCCCGGGCCAAAGATACGAAGTCCGCGTGTGCTGGGCGGCAACGGTATGTGCGGTGCAGCCTACCTGCTTGTTTCACTCTGCTCACAGTGACACAGCAACCAACTTCTTTCTGGCTGGAAGCGCACTCCATAAGCCACGTCTTCGAAACACCTGAGCTCATAACCGCTCTCGCGAGCTTCTCGGAAAGCATACCCGATTCTAAACCCATTGTCGACGCTAGGAAGGCCACCGACCCGGCCGAAACATCTGCCTCGCTTCTTTTCCTCCGCATCCAGGCTGCTGCCGACTTTTACAGCCTGAACAAAACGCGAATGAGCAACCCGCCGGATGTGAAAGTGGATATCAGTAAGGTCATGCCCTGCATGAGGATTAGACATCTGCTGACATGCATGTTCAGTACTTGATCCTTTTATCCTTAACGCCGTGCCAAGGTCCCTCATACCGACAGGCTTATACATCATCGCGCTTGCTGTTGGGGCCTGGTTCCTCTCCTCCTTCATCGTCAACTGGGCATCTGCCATCGAGCCAGTAAAGCCCCACACGGATTGAATCGGGCACTGGAGCTGGCGCATTCGCTCGTTGGACTGACAGCGCCAACAATTTGGAGCTGTCGGCGAAGAAACAGCTTCCGTAGTGCTGGCCAAACGGAGCTTGAGAGAGCTCTCTGGCAGCACATTTCTAGTCTATGACTGACGATTTCCCTGACGCGTACTTCGATCGCAGGTTCTGCTACCGCTCGTGCACCACGCGCCATCATGGCACGCGTCGTTGATCCATCACTTGTCGCACTCCCCACGGAGCTTATTTTGCTAATCATCAAGTATCTGGAGCCTGCTAGCATCATCAACTTTGCTTTCGCTGCATACCCTGCACTTCAAGCAAAGATGATTGTCCCGCCTATGACCTGGCGTGTCTATGCACCACTTTGCAGGGGACTTGAGCTTCCGTCGCCACAACGCGGTCCGCTCGCTATTTTCGGGGCGTGGCCGCTTCCTACGGAGCTTACGTTACAGGTGCTTTCAGGACTTGGCCCCGAAGACTTGATGAGATTCGTCTTTGGCCACTACCACCTCGTCCCAAGGTTGCTTCCGGATATTACTCCTGACACCAATAAGCAGCTCACCAAGGCCTGGCTACAGGTGGAGATGGTCAGGGAGCTGCTGAGCAGAGACGAAGGTCTGTCTTGGACAGCGTCGTTGAACAGGCGGGACAGGTCATGGTCAATTTGAGGAACGGCTGCTCAGTGATACCCAATAGGAAGACTTTTCATTCATCCAGGAGTTAATCCGGTTACTAGACACAAATCCAAAGTATTGTATTGCACTGATATCCTCCTCCCCGTGGTGAGCCGAACTGTGGTCGGGATGCTTTTATATTTTTTGGAAAGCTAAACGCCTTCGCGGTAGAGACGGAATTTTCTCCTTTCCCCCCTTTTCGTGCTTTTGTTATAAGCTTTTGCAAGGAAAATCGCACACGTCTCTCGTAGGTTTCCTTTTTGTGCTCTGCCATGTTGAAATCCTGCCTCGTTCCAATGGCCTCGCGATAATTGTTGAAAGGACGCTGGTGGTCCATCGCACGTATTCAGATGCTCATTTAGACTTTTCAGTCCACAACCTCTCAATGGCCGTCCTGGTTCCCTCCACAATGGCGCCCCACTCGACCTTGTGGAGCTTCTCCTCAAAGGCCTCGAGCTTGTCGTCCTCGCCTTCCACGAATGGAATCTCCTTGGTTAAAATCGGCGTGCCCATATCCACCTCCAAAATGACATAATGGATCATGACTCCCGTGCGGGTGATCTTGCCGGCTTTCCAGTCGGCATGAGCACGGTCAATGGCATGAGTCTGATCGGAGAGGTCAGTTGAAAGTTCGGTGACGGCGGTGTCCTTTAATGCTCTCAAATACGAGGGTGGTGACTCACGCCGTTGTATTCACCGGGCAGCGCGGGGTGCAAGTTTATGATAGGCACCTTCGCATCCACGAGAGCCTGGAGGAGGGGCTCGGTCAGGATGAGCATGTAGCCTACAAATCACAAGATATAATTAATCACGGCAACCTCTTTCCACCTAGTGTCAAAGAGCGGGATCAGAGGGCAGAGCCTCACCAGCGCAGACTACAATATCCGGGTTGTCGCTCAAGATCAGCTTCGACAGGTCTTTGTCGAATTCCTGGCGCTGCTCCTGGCGCGACAGCTGGGGGAACTTCTCCTTGTACGGAGGGAAGCCGTGGTAGTGGGTCGGGATGCCGGCCTGCTTAGCACGCTCCAGACCGTAAGCTGCCTTCTTGTCCGAGATTACGCGGACGATGGTGCAGTTGGGGAGGCGGCCATCCTTGGTTGCGTCAATAAGGGCCTGAAGGTTGGAGCCACTGCCCGAGATCAGCACGCTGATGCGAGTGTGGTGCTGTTCCGTCATATTTGCGCTTTTGCCCACAGCGTGCTGCGATTTTCTGGTGGTGCAAAGGAAAACAACAGGCTTGGCGCGGGGTTGAGCGGGGCTGAATGCGAGGGCTCGAGCCGCACGGTCCTCTTCGGGTATAGTCGCAGGCTCTTGCAAACGGGAATGGCCAAAGAAGGCAGCAACTTGGTGGAGTTCCAGGCGCAAGAAAAAGTCGTGCTCCGGCGCGGCTGCGAGGTACGCGGGGTCCCCCGGTCCCGCGCCGATCCCCGGCGCCTCAGGCCGCGAAGTGGGCGCGCCAAGCCCGCGCGTGAAGTGGTGGCCGGCTGCTCCACCTTGATGTCCGGCAGCAGCGGCGGCGACTTGACGGAGCGGTTGCGAGGCCAGCCATCGCGGCCCGCTGACAGCGCGGCGTGCGGCGGTTTGTGGCTGGGGCGCGGCCGTGTACGAGTGACTGTGCCCGGTGAGCGCGCGACGGCTTCAGCAGGCGGCAGGGCGTGACGTACATGGAAGCGCGCGGGAACAAAGAGCGCGCCACATGACCGCAGCAGCCAGTCTAGAGTGCATTTATAAGGCTCAGCTTTCTTATCTTGGCCATCGTCTGACTGGTCCCAGCGCGATCCCTGACTGGTTCTTGCGCGAGTGCTAGGCACCTGCCCCTCTACCTCTCACCGCCCAGCGCCTGCGCCCACTTCAACATCGCCTAGGACCTCTCTCCGCCTCACCTCACCTCCACCTCACAACCACTCCCCGCCTCCAGCGACCGCCCACACACCTTGCACCCACAACCGCCCACACCACCACATCGCAACCACCGCAACCATGCGCTCCAAGTTCAAGGACGAGCACCCCTTCGAGAAGCGCAAAGCCGAGGCTGAGCGCATCCGCCAGAAGTACAACGATCGCATTCCGGTGAGCGCTGCCCCTTGCCCTGCGTCGCCCGCCACCGTGGACGAGAGCGGTTATCGTGCTAACGATGGCTTCCCTCTAGGTCATCTGCGAGAAGGTCGAGAAGTCCGACATTGCGACTATCGACAAGAAGAAGTACCTGGTGCCTTCGGACCTGACGGTCGGCCAGTTCGTCTACGTCATCCGCAAGCGCATCAAGCTGTCGCCCGAGAAGGCCATCTTCATCTTCGTCGACGAGGTGCTTCCCCCGACGGCCGCGTTGATGTCGAGCATCTACGAAGAGCACAAGGACGAGGACGGCTTCCTGTACATCACGTACGTATACCCTGCCAGGCTCCAGCATTTCGCCCGGATGAGTCACTGACGTACATGCTCCAGCTACTCGGGTGAGAACACGTTCGGCGAAGCGTTCTGAATGACCCCCCACTCCTGCCACGTTCCCAACCGGTTTCGATTCTATTCCCAACGGCACGGACGGACAAGCTCGGGGCTCTGCAACTCCTCATGGCGCTCGACAGAAGGCGTTCGGTGATGTTCTTTGTGTTCTTTTCGGGGTTTATTCTACTACGATAACTCTTGGCTATTGACGGAAATTGATGGGTTTCATGCTATCACGAAGAAGACGGGCGGCGTGAGACTGCTTCTGCGTCTGCCCGCAGGAAACGACTGGCTGCGGAGGGCAAAGACTGTACGGCCGATAAGCAAATACACCAACGCCGCAGTCGGTGGTCAACACAACAATAGGAGCAACATGCGTGATGGACGACCAGAGTGATTCCCGTTTTTCTCCCCCTTCCGAGCGGAGCTGAAGTGCCTGTCCGGACAGGGACGCCGCACTTGTCAAGGCTCATTTGCATCCGGATAGCTGCTCATAGTATTCGTGGTAGCTCAGAATCAGAACACTCCTTCGAAGTAAGCGTGAACGTGATGCCTGATGACATGATTGTCTTGCGATGCGGCGTGAAATGCCCGTCTTCGTGGCCTGGAAGCGGGTCTGGTGACCGCAATCTATGGATCTATGATCGATCCAGGGGAAAGAGCCGCCCCGGAGGGGTTGCGGGACAGGCCAGAGCTCCCCTTGGCTGAGCTCATTACGTCGACACCTAGCTCGTTCAGTGCGCACGCTCCTTCCCCAAGCCCAACGCCTCATGACTTCCGCAGTCGCACCGCAACCCTGCCGATTCTCCCTCTTCCCCTCCCCCGCATTGCATTATCCGATCTAGCCCTTCGGCAACATCCGGGCCCGGCCACAAGCTTCAATTCGTCTTTTGCTCCTTGCCTACCTTTCCGCGCGCGTCGCTCTCCCAACTCGTTAGCGCGCACGTTCTTGAAGCTTCGCGATCCGCGCGAACGTCCAACTCGCCGAATCACTCAAGCTCCGTCCAACACGCGCGTGCCCGTGCCCGCGTCCGCTTCGCGTCTTCCCGCGATCGTCTCCAATTGGGGCATAGTTTCATCTCATCGAAGGGGCGCGAGACGAAGAACGTCGGCAGCAACAATGTCGTTGCAGTACATTATCTCCAAGTATGTCTCTTTTTCTGTCCATATCCCCTCCTGCCTTCCAAGTCTTAAGACTGCACAATTTCTCCAAATTCTGCTCGACTGGCTCCCCAGCTAACGCCCTGTCTTCTCACGTACGCAGGCGCCTCGATCCCCTCTTCGCGATTGGAATCGGTACGGCCGCGGCGCTGGCGAGAATAGGCCGGGAGGAGAAGGAGAAGGGCAGAGGATGGGGCGAGACCTGGGTGGTGTTCAAGAGGAGGTTGGGGAAGACTTGGGAGTAAAGTGGGTCGTCTGCAAGTGGCCGTGTCTATAAACGGAAATGATCGAGGCCTAAGAGGTACAGAGGGGCATCGCGGCCGAAGACCAGCGTGAATCTGGTTTTCGCTCATGGCATGGGGAGCTGGAGCTATCGTCCGGACGTTTATGTAGGATTTTTAATTCGCATTTCCGTCCGGACGATAGCCTCAACTATTCACTTTTGTCATCTTTCTAAGAAAAACAAAGAACAAGAAAGAAAGGGCGGAGGCATAGTTACGCCTATGGCCGTGCTATTCTTCAAAGCCTTCGGCTACAGTACACCTCTGTAGAGTAGCAACTCGAGGAGGCTTAGGCGACTGCATTATGCGACCCAGGGAATGTCGACCAACTGAAATAAATGCGCATCTTCCCCTATTACTCCATTGATATTATCTCTGCCGAATCTTAGGAGCCCTGTGGTGAGGTAAGATGCATGCAGTCTTGTTTCTTTGTTGATTGTGTTCATGCTCTTTCTTTTCCTTTACCATGAAACCCCTTTGAGACACCTCTCTTCTCCATCATCAACCAGGTCATCTTGCGATTCTCACGAATCTCCAACTATGCATTTGTGGACTCCTATCGCAGCGTTTGCCTTTGTTGGCTGCGCTTTCGCGCAACGCCCGGCCAACGTATCTGTCTGCGACTACTACACCACTGTTCTTCTCAAGAACAACACTGCTGAGAATCAGTTGACCCATATGACGCTACTGGTCAATACAGTAGTGGTTGGAAACTATACAAAGCCCACCGTCGAAAATGTCACCTGGCCAGACGTCAAAGTTCCTGGCATTCTTGCTAATGGAACCGTGGATGGCAAGAACATCAGTCTTCTGCCGTAAGTGTTTCGCAATCTTTACCTTCACTAGAAGAGTTTTTTGCCAATAACTCATTACAGCTTCTTCAACGGCGCTCTCGCCTCGACCAACCGTGGCGGAAAGGGAGGCATGAAAGTCAACTTCCTTGACGATGGAGGCGCAGCTCCCCTGCTGCTAAACAAAGCGGCCAATGGAGTCAATTCCAAGCAATAGTAAGTACAAATAATATCAATGAAGCATTATTGTCCCTTCCTATATGCAGCAAAAGCCCCCCCCAAAAAATATGATCAATTAACCTATTCTTTCCGCATATTCAGTAAACTTCTTACACACCTTTACTCCTTTTTCGGCGCCCTTCTCGGTTGCAGCCTTCAGTCGTCGGAGAAGAACGCAACCTTCCCCGTTTATTCAGGCAACCCATCACAGTACGCAGTGCACAAATACATGGACCTCTCAGCCGCAGGGTTCGCATACTTTGTCCAGCAGGTTGGCCTCGCCGCACGCTCCTTCAGTATCCTCGAAGACGATATTGCCCTCGTCGGCAAGGCGCTGAACGACACATTCGGCTTCAAGTGCTCGGCGAACACCACCGTCGTCGAGGGCCAGCCGTCGGCCGAGCAGGCAATCTGCCTGGGAAAGGGCTGCCCCGTGGCAGATGGTGGGCACCACTGCCCGAAGAAGGAGACTGGTGGGCATGGAACGAAGCCCACGGCGACCAAGACAAGCAGCTCGAAGGGCGCGGCAGCGCCAGCGACAGTGACGGCAATGGCGGGTAGCGCTCTTGCGGCGGGACTAGGTGCTATGGCTTACCTTCTCTGAGAGAGTTTTTGATTATTTTCATCCGGCTCAAGTATAGTTGGATAATGAAAGGGATACTTGAGGAGAGAGCGCAGTGACTCTTTTGAGACCAATGATACAAGCAGGAGGGACGCGTCCATCGACTTCCTTGGCCAAATGCATGTGTTCACAAATTTCTGTGAAATTGATTGATGAATCAGAATCCAGCGTGGGCCATATTTGAAGTACCCAGCAACAAAAGCAGTGCTTCGGTGCTCGAACAATTTAGTCGACGGAGAGTTGGGGCAATGAGATGACGTTGGAGGTGGAGGAGCTTGGGCCGCCCAAGTCTGATTTGACGCTCCGCATTTTTGGCAGCCCGCCTTGCACGACGATGATTCCTCTCCGTCACGCCACGCTTCGACGCTCTACCAAGTGGCTCGCCAGCCTCTCGTCGGCGCATCGCTCACCTCCACTGCTACCATGGTTTAATCACACACGCTACGCCGTGGCAATTGCGCCATGGCGACCTCGACCAACTCTGCAACCCGAGTCGGCAAGCTACCTGCATACTTCAGCCGGAGAGACAAGCGATGAGCCGACCATTTATGCCCTCTCCACCGCCCCTGGTAGAGCTGCCATTGCTGTCATTCGAGTCTCCGGGCCTGCAAGCGTTGACGTACGCTACAACTCCCACTCTCTACGCCACGTTCTCTAACGCTCAAGCCCGACACAGATCTACCACGCCCTCTGCCCCGGCAAACCCCTCCCCCAGCCTCGTCACGCCGCCCTCCGCACCCTTTACGACCCTACCGCACCCTCTCCTCCTCCCCAGTCTGCCATCCTCGACAGTGCGCTCGTCCTATTTTTCCGCGGTCCTTTCTCCGTCACCGGCGAAGACCTGCTGGAACTGCACGTCCACGGCGGGCCCGCCATCGTCCGCGCCGTACTCTCCTCCATCCCCAAATGCCTTCCCCCCTCTCGCAAGCATCACCACCACCACACCTCGATCCGCTACGCCGAGCCCGGCGAGTTCACGCGACGCGCCTACCTCAACTCGCGGCTCTCGCTGCCCCAGGTCGAGGCGCTGGGTGACGCGCTGACGGCGGCGACGGAGCAACAGCGGCTGCTGTCGGTGCGGGGCAGCGCCTCGTCGCGCCTCGCGGGGCGCTACGACGAGTGGGCGCGGGCGCTGCTGCTGGCGCGCGGCGAGCTCGAGGCGCTGATCGACTTCTCCGAGGACCAGCACTTTGACGAGTCGCCCGCGCAGCTGGCGGCGTCGGTGGCGACGCAGGTGCGCGCGCTCCGGAGCAGCGTCGATGCGCACGTGCGCAATGCCGTCAGGGGCGAGCTGCTGCGGAGCGGCATCAGCGTCGCGTTGCTGGGCGAGCCGAACGCGGGCAAGAGCTCGCTGCTGAATCGCGTCGTGGGTAGAGAGGCGGCGATTGTGAGTCAGGAGCGTGGGACGACGAGGGATGTGGTCGAGACGGGTGTCGATTTGGGGGGCTGGTTCTGCCGGATTGGGGACACGGCGGGGTTGAGGGGGGCGGCTGGGAGCGAGGGCAGGAAAGAAGATGTCGGAGTGGTAGAGATGGAAGGAATCAGGCGCGCGAAGGAGAGAGCAATGGGGGCAGATGTGGTGGTGTGTGTCTTCTCTGTCGAGGAGGACCCCCATACCGGACTACCCAGGTTATCGTTAAGCCCAGAGGTCGTGGAGACGGCGCGGGAGTGCATGAGCCAGGGCGGACAGGTCATGGCCATCGTCAACAAATCGGACATGCTACGATCATCCAGCCGTGCTGAGCAGCAACAGCAACACCTCTCAGCCATTCGCGAGCTGCTGGACCTCCCACCTGAACGCATCCATTTCATCTCCTGCAAGGAAGCTGCTGAAGCCTCTCCCTCGACATCTTCGCCTGACCCCGGCAATCTTCAATCCTTCCTCTCCAGCCTCATCTCCATCTTCAAGGAGATGACCACCCCCGTCGTCCCGGAGCTTGAAGACGTCGCCGCGCCCGACATGTCCATCTGGCAGGAATCGCTCGGCGCGACCGAGCGTCAGCGGCTTCTTCTGGAGGAATGCTCGGCCCATCTCGCAGAGTTCCTGAGAGAAGTCGAAGACGGCGAGGCTGAAATGGACGGAGAGCTGGACATCGTGCTGGCTGCCGAGAGCTTGAGGGCCGCAGCCACGTGCCTAGCGAAAATCATCGGTAAGGGCGAAGCCGGTGATGTGGAGGAGGTGCTGGGAGTGGTCTTTGAAAAGTAAGTGACTTCGTAGTCCGTAGCTCACTGGTGCGTTTACTAACAACTACGGCGATAGGTTTTGTGTCGGAAAATGAGTATTATATTTTTCTTTCTTCCTCGCCCGACGATTTTGTCGGATATTGATCGCGCTAGAGCGCTTGTAAGACTACGTGGGGTAGGTTGCCATATGCGCCATGACTTTATAGAAGAGACGAAGCGAACGTTGGGCCCAGAAGCGATTGGTTATGCGGAAAGAGAAGACATGTGTATCTGGAGAAACATGATTGGTAAAAATTCGAGGAGGGTACAGCGGTGAAAAAAAAAGAGGCGCAAGAAACCAAAGAACCACGCCCAAGCCGTCATGGCCGGACAGAAAACAAAAACGCCGATCCCATGCATCCCACTTTTTCTGACGTCTCTTCTAAAGAGGATCTCCAAACCCGAAAATACAGTCCAACTCCTTGCTCAACCTCACCCAGAGGGAGGGAGCACCCGTAGCCCAGTGCAACCGTCGCTATGCAAAAGCGCTAGAAAGCCAACCAAAAAAAAAGAGGAAAATTGAGATGAGAAAAAGGGAGAACGCTCGTGAAAATCCAAGGTCTAGCGGAGGGGGTATCGTATGAACAGAGTGGCAACGTGAGCATCTACCGATTCGTACAGACATGATGTTGATGAGGGTGGGGAACATGCGGGCCAAAGGTGAAGCGGAAACGCTGGAGCACACAAATCGTACGCGGACAGGGTAACTGGAAGACAAGGGAGAATTACAAGGAGGCCGAGAATGCCACGGTTCGTCTCAGTTGTAACCGCCTCGTCCGGCCATGGTGACCAGCGGTGCGCCCAATGCCGATTGAACTGATTGGGCTGTGCGGCTGCTCCGGGGCGAGAAGGACGGGATGGGAGTAGCCGTTCGGGAGCGGTGGGTTTGAGAGGTGGAGGGGGGAGAGTTGTAACCGCCACGGCCCATTGTGAGGAAAGTCGCGTGAATGTGAAGGTTGATTTTGGATTTGGGGAATTAAAGGAGGAGCACGATTGGCTGCCTAGATGGTGGGCGAGGAAGAAAGAGTGGGTGGTGTTGCTGGAATGGTCTCTCAAGAACGGGCACTCGTCTTAAGTGAGAAAGAAGAGATGGTCGGTGTTCCGGGATGAGTGCAAGATTTGTCTAGTTGTATCCGCCACGGCCCATGGGAAGTAGGTTTTGGTGGTAGATGATGGGGGTTGAAACGAGCACGCTCTGTGTCGTCTGGTACGGTGGAAGTAAAATTTGTTTTTCTATTCTCTTGTGGTCGACTAGAGGGATGATGAAAGGACGTCTGGACTTGGCGCGAGGTGGTCGGTGTTGACGCGCAAGTGTTTGTGCGCAGGTGTGGGTTGTGTCGGGTTGATTAAACGTAGAGTAGGAAATGGGACTGGGAGCGAGGCGGAAGAAATAAGAAAGGTCGACTGTAGGAGACACGTAAAGCTGTGTAGAGAGAGGTTGGATTGCAAAGCTGATGCCTTGGGATATGACTCGACGTGGGTGACGATACTTATAAATCCGGTCTGCCTACGGGGCACTCAGGCACCAAGCCGGACATCCCACCTACCAGATGGCACATCCGACACACTCGAAAAGCAGCAGCAAGCATATGCTCGAAAGAGAGGTCGAGTACCAGTTACGGCGCAGACCAGACACAAGGGGGCGCAAACCCGTGGCCCCAGCGGAACTCGGCCCCTGCTGGCTGCCTATCGGATGGATCTGAATTAAGGTACACACATAGCCACCTCTAGCTAAACGGGGACGAAGCCACAGCCGCTGTCAAGGCGCGGCGGCGAGCGCGCTCACAACGGTCCGAGGGTGGGTGCATCCATGCCCGGTGTGCGCTATCGGACGCCGCGGCTGACGGGAGAGGCAGCACAAAAGAGGCGAGGCGTGCGTGCCGGGGTATCGGGAAGAGCGCACGAAAGAGAGAGCAGAAGCAGGTACATCACCACTACGGCGCGGAACCTGCTCGACGATGCGCAGCCGGGTTGTCCGCTGCCGCAGCTCAGCCCGTGCTCTTGCTGCATCAGCCAGCTGCATGATCCCCCACGCGCCAGAAGCTGGGAATAGCGCCTCGGCGGCCAAGGGTAGCAGCCGCCGCCCTCCCGCTTTTGCTCGCGCTGCGCTGCTGCGAGCGGGCAAGCGTGGGTGCGCTTTCTGCTTGCGGGAATCGCGTCTTCTCAGATACAGTCATACAGGAAGCACGTTGCTGAAAATAATGGCAAATGACCCGGCAAGTGCACGCGCCGTGCTGTCAGCACCTTATCGTCGTCGGTCACGGCCCTGCTGCAGGTCGCGTTCTGTTGCTGTTTCAAGCCTGAGGCAGGCAGAGAGGCCGCCGTTTCGCACCGTCAGCCCCCACCGCCGCCCAAGATAGCTCTGCCACGGCCTGTCTCGTCGACGACGGCAGTGACACCTCGCGTTCTCGCAGCCCCTTCGCTCGCGCGCAACCCGGGCGCGGGCTAGGGCTGCAGATCTTCACGAGGTCGCGCGACGGTCGTCCGTTGCTGCGGTCCTCGTCGCCCGCGTTCCTGCAGTCCCGACGGAGGGGGTTGAGCGACGGAAAGGCCGCCGTGCTGGGTCGTTTCAAGGCCGGTCGGGGAGGATGACGCGAGATCGACTGCTAAAAATAATGCCCATGCTGTGTAGGGCTGAGGCGGCTGTCCAGCGAGTCATCAACTCAGAAAATAATCCTCCGGCGCGCTGCTGCGGGCTGCGAGCTGCTGACTCTGAAGCCTGAGCCGTCTCCAAGACCCGATCCAGACCCCGTGCTTTGTCAAGCCTGATGATGCAAGCCTGCGTACCCCGATGTCAATATTCTTGGTGCATTATTGATCCCCGTCCAGCTGCATGACCGCCGACTCGATAGCGTGCATGCAGCGCCGTTCGACTCCAGTCCCGAGCCAGTGCAGCGGGATCCCCAGCGTCGGAATGGCCGCCATCCGAGGAATGCTCCATGGTGACTCTCTCCGCGATACCCCTTGCTGTTTCTGGCAATGCTGCGACCTGCCATCAGCACGCTGTCTGAGCTGCCGCACGGGGCTGGAGTTCCGCTGGCCAACACGACGATAGCACTATGCAGTACAACCCTTGCGCCGCCACTGTGGTCCGCGGTGGCGCAAGCTGCAGGAACATCCATTGCGCGTCCTGGCACAAGGAAAAGGTGTGCTTCAAACAAAGCAAAATCCCCTTCCAATAGATCCGACCTTTGCCCATGCAAACTCGCCGTCGCCCCACGGCATGTCCGTTTCGTGCAGAGCGCCACTGCAGGAACTCCTGTGGCATACATCGTCGATCGTGCCACACCCATCTCTCATGCTCTACACCTTGCTTCCGTGCTGCAAGGACCAACAAGATGTGGCGGTTCGGTCCGTGTCGCCCGGCCTCTTCATCCTTCGTCCACCGGCCTCTCAGACGTTGGCCCGGAAGCACGGCCGCACGGCTGTGGCGCCGAACATCGTACACGGCGACCCGACGGCTGTGCAGTATTCCTCGTCGCCCAGCCTGCAGGCCATGGATCGGAAGCCCAAGGCCGTCCGCAAAAAAAGCCCGCCTCAGAATCCAGGGGCCGTTTGCCTGTGACTCGCCGCGAACTGCATAGCCTCGTGCCTTGGAAAGCTGCCCTGGACGCCTGGACACGAATAAATCTGCTCAGCCTACCGGACTTTACTTTGTCAGAGAAACAGGCCATGGAAAATTGGAGGACCTGCTCGCATAAGTTTCAAACTTTCGTGTGGCAGCACCGACAGTTTTTCCTTTACTCCGACCCGTTCTACAGGGGTTTGCTTCCGCCGTCTCTCGTAATGTTTCCAGAGTGAGTCTTTACTCGGCAGATGGTCCGAATCCATGTGGCTGCGGGGAATCCTGGTCTACATTCAGGCACCGTGGCGCGCGGTGGCGTCACTGGCCGCGTATGACGAGCGGAGAGTACTATTGTCCGATTCGTGTCTTTTTATGGAGCGTGACCAAGGAACCCCTTCCAATTGGCCGCATGAGGAGCCAAAGCTTTAAACACCAGCTGACCTCTCTTGCATTCACTCACTGTACGAACTCACGTAGTACTACATCCTGTTAGCGAATGGCGATGCCCCATTCGAGAAAAGCACAAGGAACCTACAGTTAAAACTGAATCCTCCCGACCGTCTTCGTCATTGGGCAGATAGACGTAGAGGATAAGTGCATGCTCGTCAGAGAAACCTGGTGTTGCTCGTCAGTGATCTGCAATCCGCGGCGAGAAGCATAGATTGCGAGGTCTCACAGGCAATAACTTTGCCGCACAATCTGCCCACTGACATAACCTTGCTCCAATCTCTGCCGTCTATGCGCACAGTCGCCCACCCCTCTTCGCTGCGTCCGTCCGCACTTCCAAGTTTCTTCATTTTGGTACTTGGGTGTTGCCTGATGCCCTCTTCGCCTCCTTCGATGTGGGACGGGTCCAGCTCCGGGTTCGATAGGCCTGTCCAGACACTTGAAATATTCATCGCGTCCGTTCGGATGCTCAGCTTCAGGCAACCATGCATGTTTGCAGCCATCTCTAAGCGAGGACCGGATCCGCCGCTTCCTGTGCCGCTGGCCTTCGCCGCCAAGGCCAGCCGGGTGAATCGATCGGAAATGCTCTTCAATTGCATAAGAGGTGGTAGGAGGATGTGGACATCAGGCTCCCTACAGCGAGGCTCATGGATGCCTTCGACATTGCTGGGATTCAACACTCGCACCGGCACGTCCTGGGTGACGATGGTGTCCCGTTCTCTACCATCCTGCATCTCGAGTGAGGCTTCACCAAAGCCATAGGAATCGCTTGGGCCACCTGAACCGAGTGCGCCGTGCGTGCCGCTGCCGAGAGGGCTGGTGACTATAGTTAGAGACAGCACAGGGATGTTATCCTTCTTCGTTAAGCGAATCGAGGCGGAGGTGGCGGTCAAGGCAGACTTGAGAGCACGCTGGAGAGGTGAAAGCGGCACTTCCAGGTTGATAACATTGTCGGCGGCGGACTGGATATTGTAGTCGTCGTCAAAGATGGCATCCTGCTCGAAGGTCTGAATCAACTGTCATGCTTTACCATATTTCTTCCGATTGGGCACTCACGATCGCGAGGACACTGAGAACTCGTCAGTTACTGGCTGCTAATTTCGTCCAAGTACGATACTTACGCCCAGACCTGGGTACCCTGTTCAGGGATGATAGTGAATCGTACTTCATCTTCGTTCAGCCGAACCCACGCCACAGGCCCAAGTGAAGCAAGGGAAGCAGTCAGCTCTGGAATCGGTTAGCATAAGTGAACGCGGTCAACAGCGCGTGACATACTCGCGAAAGTATTGGCGTTCTGAATGGAGGCTTTGAAGCGCATTTTGGCAAGTGCTGTTGCTACTGTGGTGCAGCGCGACCGGCTTTGCCGCTGCAAGGGATTCAGTATGTGAGACCGTGAAGCCGAAGGCAATGCCCAGACATCCCCATTGCAGTTCAAAGTGGGCTCGGGAGTGAGTGCGGCGTGGAGAAGATGAGCATCTCGGTGGAACCTGAATGACGCTGGTGCGGAAGTCTTACCAGAATAGGAATGGCGCCACTTTAACGCGGAACGCGTCGCGCACGAGAACGCGTTCTCCGAACCGCACGCCCACATCTTCCTCAGCGTCCGACATCCACATCATGGCCGGCAACCAACGACTAAGAGGCCTTCCGGCCCGTAAGTACTCAGGATGACCCCAATTCAGGCAGGCCTCATTATCTAACTGCGAATTTCAGATCCCCCGGGCCCTACTTTCCTGAGCTACACGCCGAACGGACGAAAGCTGATCACCGTCGGACTGAACAACGCCATTCGCGTCTTCCAGACAGGCTCTGTTGAAGAACCTACCAACATCGACAATGCCCAAGATTCGAACACGGCTGTGGCGGCTGCTGTAAGCTAGAGTCGTCCACAAGGTATAACCAAGCGCTGACAGCCACAAAGAACGACTTCTTCGTCACCGGCTCCGAAGATGGCACCGTCTGCAAATACTCTCTCGAGACAAATACGCTCGAAGAGGTCCTTGTCCGTTGCACACTACCAGTCCGTGATATTGCTCTGTCTCCAGACGGCAATTGGGCAGCAGTGGCTAGCGAGTAAGAAGCCTGCGAACCATGACCGAACAATGAGTCTGATATTGCGAAGTGAACTGGTGGTCAAGGTTGTCAATACCAAAGATATGACCCGCGTTATCCACCTTAGGGAGCAACCACGCCCTGTCAAGCACGTATCCTTCGACGTTAGCGGATCTCTCTTGGCCGCTTCATGCTCCGACGGCCAAATCTACATATACTCGCTCAGCTCCGAAGAGCCGAGCCTGGTGAAGAAGGTAGACGGCTTGATAAGGTCTCTGGAGACCGATGCGGAGGCGAGCTCAAAGGTCCTTTGGCACCCAGATGGGCGAGCTTTCGCAGCAGCCACTCCTACTCGAGGTAAGAGTGATGGTTAAGCCATAAGACGGCATTCCTAATTGTATCCCAGATATTCAAGTGATTTCAAGAAGCGGATGGGATCATCAAAGAGCCTTCAAATCTGGTCATACCGGCGATATCACGGCGGCAGCGTGGTCGCCTAACGGCGGCCTTCTTGCAACTACTGGCCAGGACCGTAAACTCGCAATCTGGGACACAAAGACTCAGCGTATCATCAAGACCTACGATGACGCCCGGGCTACAATTCTTGCCATGGTATGGCATCCTGTCGAGAATATCCTGTCCTACACCAACAATGACGGTGAACTCTTCATCCACACTGATTTCGTGCCGCCTGAGTACGCTCCAGTGCTAGACAAGGACTTGCAGGCCGCTCCATTCATTCATGACCCTCTAGCAGAGACTACTGGCAATGCCCGGCGTTTGCCTCTCAATGGCTCCAAAGATGCGCGTCATGCTCGACGGGGCACACCGGATTCGTTAGATGAAATTCTTGGGGATGACGGGATGTCTGATGCGGACGGCTTCATTGAGGATGATGATGGGGCTGGTTACGCCGAAGAAATCAACGGCCATGGGAAGCGTGGACGGGTGGCTGATGATTTCGATATTCCGAGCGGAAAGCGAAGCAGAGGTGGGTTGCAAGTGCGGACCCATGCAGCTTTCCAACCGGGCAGCACCCCTTGGCGGGGCAACAGGCGTTACCTTTGTCTCAACTTTACCGGATTTGTCTGGACCGTAGACCAAGAGACGCACCACACGGTCACGGTTGAGTTCTACGACCGGGAGACTCACCGTGACTTCCATTTCACCGACCCGTTCCTATACGACAAGGCATGCTTGAACGAAAGTGGCACCCTTTTCTCCTGCCAGCCATCAAAGGACCATCCTGCTATGGTCTACTACCGACCGCACGAGACATGGACAACGCGAACGGACTGGAGAACAGAGTTGCCTCCAGGGGAAAGCATCACTGCCATCTCACTCAGTGAGTCGTACGTGGTGGTACTAACGTCTACCGACTACGTCCGCGTATACAGTCTTTTCGGTGTCCCATTCCGCATCTACCGGCAAAAATCATCGCCCGCCGTGACTTGTGCGAGCTGGCGAGATTATGTAATGACTATCGGCAATGGTCCTGTTGGTGGTGACGGCACGACGCGCCTTTTGTACACGATCGAAAACGTGAAGCGCGACGAGATCTGCCAGAGCGAAGACATTGTCGCACTTAGCGAGGGTGCCGAATTACAGAGCGTCTTCTTCTCTGATCAAGGCGTAAGATATACGTTTTCTATTCCTGATGCAACGCTTCAAGCTCACGCTATTCCTCTAGGATCCATGCATCTACGATACGACTGGTACGCTTCTGGTCCTCCAGCATTGGCGTACACCTTCGCAGGCTCGCTGGGTGCCCCTACTCGACACCAAACTTCTATCGCGCCTGGCTTCCGGCCGCAAAGAGGAAACATACTGGCCCGTGGCCGTGGCAAACGAACGTTTTCACTGCATCATTCTCAAAGGAGGCGACAAGTATCCCTACTTTCCACGCCCCTTGCTCACTGATTTTGAATTCCAAATTCCACTCTATGCACCCAAACCTCCCCGCCGCCATACCAGTCCCGACGCCATGGACGAGGACTCGGAAGAAACTTCCGGTCTTACCGAGACCCAGTCACTGGAAGAGCAGTTTGTCCGCAACTCGCTGCAAATCTCGCTGCTTGATGACCTCGTTGCTGCGACGCGCGCAACAACGGCACAGAAGCAGGCGCTAGCACGCCGTGAGCTCGACGTCGACAAGGCGCTGCTGCAGTTGCTGGCGGCCGAATGTCGCGAGGGCGAGGAGCGCGGGATGAAAGCGCTCGAGATCGTCGGGCTGATGCGCGATCGCTCGGGCAAGATGCTGGATGCGGCGGCGAAGATCGCGAGCAGATTCGGGCGCGATGTGCTGAGGGGTAAGATTGAGGAGTTGGCGGAGAGGAGGCTGGTCGGGTTGGATGACGAGGATGATTGATTGAGGCGCGTCCAAGCTTTCTCAGGGTTCGAGAACGTGCGCACCGCGGAGCGTGAATGCCTCCCCGAAATAGGGGTAAGTCGGAAGTCATTTGTTCGGAACGAGTTAGTTCAGCCCAGCTTCTTCCCCTATTTTTTGCATCTGTCCGGATCAGCCACCTCGTTGCATTTTCCAAAATCTCACGTGCGTTCGCGCCGTCCTGAGAACATCGACTGCGCGGGCAGCGCGGTGCTCGGCGCCCAGTGGACGCCGTGGCTTTGGTTCGAGGTGGAGGCTTGCGGGGGCCCACCCATCGTTCGGGCCGGTCCGTCCTTTTCCCTGCATAGGGACACCCTATTACCAGGGTCCGGCTAGCTGTCATGAAGTTTGGGTTTTTCTCGGAAGAAAGGCGCGCCCGGAAAAGGGACACATACATGAGGCTTTCGACTACCTTGTCAGTAATTAATATCATACCGCATCATGATTAAACAGCCAAAAGTAGGCAAGGTCACGCGCTACATTGCTTTCGTCCGCAAAGTGCGTGCACCCGCCACCCCTGATGAGCTGAGGTGGTCGCTTCCATGAAGTTGCCGCGTTATCTTCCGCATATCTGCATCTGATTGCCAATTATCCGCATTTCTTGCTATTTGTGAATGGCCCCGCATACCGATGACGGCAAGGGAGGGACCAGACCATGCGAATTATTTTTTTTTAAAAAAAAAACACTACATGCATTACCGGGGGCGTTAGGGGACGACACCATCTCAATAATGACTTCACATGCAATTCCTTAAGAGAGAATGGTTCACCTGCCACTTTACAAGCCAGTCATGGAGCGAGATTGCAGAATTTCCCATTTTATTAAAAGCAAGTACCACGAAAAACGCACTCCCGAGCAGGCGAAGAACATAATTCTAGGCCTATAAGCTTCCCAATGTGCTCGCCTAGGCCCCTAACCCCTTCTACGACGTGAGACATACTCCAACTAGTACTCAGCCTCAAGACCCTCCTCCTCGCCGAGCGAGTCGGCGGCAACCTCCTCGTAGTCCCTCTCGAGAGCAGCCAGGTCCTCACGGGCCTCGCTGAACTCACCTTCCTCCATACCCTCACCAACATACCAGTGGACGAAGGCACGCTTCGAGTACATAAGGTCGAACTTGTGCGACAGAGCCGACCAAGCCTCGGCGATGGCGGTGGTGTTGGACAGCATGCACCTATGACGGTCAGCTCACGGTTGAGATGCAGAAGCCAGGACAGAACTTACACAGCGCGGTCGACCTTGGCGAGATCGCCGTTGGGGACGATTTGCGGGGGCTGGTAGCAGATACCAATCTTGAAACCAGTCGGGCACCAGTCGACGAACTGGATGGTGCGCTTGGTCTTGAGGGTGGCAACGGCCTGGTGGGTGTCCTTGGGGACGACGTCTCCGCGGTAGAGCAGGCAGGTAGCCATGTACTTGCCGTTGCGGGGGTCGCACTTGACCATCTGGTTGTTGGGCTCGAAGCAGGACATGGTGATCTCCTGCACAGAGTTGGCCTCGTGGGCGGCCTTGGCGGCGCTGATGACGGGGGCATAGGCAACCAGAGGGAAGTGGATACGGGGGTAAGGGACCAAGTTGGTCTGGAACTCGTTCAGGTCGACGTTCAGGGAACCGTCGAAGCGGAGCGAGGCGGTAATCGAGGAAACGACTGTTGTTCTATCAGCGGGAAATTTCTCAAGCACACAGGTGGTTATCCTCACCCTGAGCGATCAGGCGGTTCAGGTTCTCGTAGTTAGGCCTCTCAATACCAAGGTTACGGCGGCAGATGTCGTAGATGGCCTCGTTGTCGACCATGAAAGAGCAGTCGGAGTGCTCCAAAGTGGTGTGAGTGGTAAGAATGGAGTTGTAGGGCTCAACAACCGAGGTGGCGACCTGGGGGGCCGGGTAGACGCAGAACTCGAGCTTGCACTTCTTGCCGTAGTCGACGGACAGACGCTCCATGAGCAGAGCACCGAAACCGGAGCCGGTACCACCACCAAAGGAGTGGAAGACAAGGAAACCCTGCAGACCAGCGCAGTTATCGGCAACGCGGCGAACCTTGTCAAGGACCTGGTCGATGAGCTCCTTGCCGACGGTGTAGTGACCACGAGCGTAGTTGTTCGAGGCGTCCTCCTTGCCGGTAATCATGTGCTCGGGGTGGAACAGGCCGCGGTAGGCACCGGTGCGGACCTCGTCGACAACATTGGGCTCGAGGTCGGCGTAGATGGTACGGGGAACGTACTTGCCCTGGCCTGTTGTGCATTTATCAGCGGCGGGGCTCTCGCGATATGCACGTGGTGTGGAGTGGGGAAAACAGCGTACCGGTCTCAGAGAAGAAGGTGCTGAAGCCATGGTCATCGTTAGCAGCCTTGCGCTCCTCAGTGAGGTAGCCATCGGGCTGTTGCAGTGTTAGCGGAAGTGCGCGGAGAGCGGTGTCCTCGTGGGGCGGCGAGCGGTGTCCCTCGCGGGGCTGCGGCAAAAAGCGCGTACCTGGATGCCATGCTCGAGACAGTAGAGCTGTTGGGACAGTGTCAGCGAATGCAACTACAGACACGGTCTATCGAAGCCCCAAGGCGGGAAACTCACCTCCCAGCAGGAGTTTGCGATCTGGCAACCGGCCTGGCCGACTGTTCGCGCGCTTTGATCAGTATACAGGGATCGCGGAGGCAGGCGGTCAAGTTTTCGGCGCGTCGGCGGGGCGTGGAAACATACCGTTCAAGCTAATAACCTCTCTCATGGTGGCGGTGGTGTGTAGAAGGAAGTGTGTGGATTGTGGACGGAGTACGAGGGGGCGCGAGAGAGTATTGAGGCGGAATGAAGAAGCCCCGTGCGGTGCGTTGATCAGAGCGTGTGGACCGTCGCGGGTTGGCTTAGGGAGAGGGTCGCAGCCGACATAAACAGAGATGTTGTGTGCGCCATGCCCCATGCGGCTAGCCGGCATGTGACATGGCGACGCCAAGCCGACGCGGGCCGGCAGCCAATAGCGGCGGGCGCGACGCAGTGTGTCGACCGTCGGCGTTCTGGCGGCGGCGGCGCCGACGAAAAGTCCATTGCAACAGTGCAGACCCAGCGCTCCAGACAACTCCACTGCTGCAGCGCCTCTCGCACACGCCGCCACCATGTCTGCTTCCGACGAAATCGTGTGGCAGGTCATCAATCAGCAATTTTGCTCCTTCAAGCTCAAGTCCGCCTCTCGCCGCAAATCTTTGCGCTCTCTCTTGCTAACCAGGCCTGCAGGCTTCCCACGAAGAATCAGAATTTCTGTCGCAACGAGTAAGAACCCTCAACCCACTGGGTACGAGTGAACCCTGTTAACAATGCCACTGCAGATACAACGTTACTGGCCTCTGCAACCGTCAGTCGTGCCCTCTCGCAAATTCCCGCTATGCCACGATCCGCGCCCACCCCGAAACGGGCGCACTCTACCTCTACATAAAGACTATTGAACGGTCGCACCAGGTAAGAAGCACACTGCGCGCTATCTCTACCCTGAGCTCATTCTAACGGTACCGCAGCCGAACCGCTGGTGGGAGCGCATCAAGCTTTCCTCCAACTACGCCAAGGCTCTCGAACAGGTCGACCAGCGCCTTATCTACTGGCCAAAGTACCTTGTACACAAGAACAAGCAACGTCTCACTCGTCTGACTCAAGTCCGTATCCGTTCGCAACGTCTGGCCAAGGAGCAGGAACGCCTCGGAGAGACACTCGTGCCCAAGCTTGCCCCGAAGGTCCGACGCCGTGAGGAAACGCGCGAGCGCAAGGCTGCTGCCGCCGCCAAGGTCGAGCGCGCGATCGAGAGAGAGCTCATTGAGCGCCTGAGGAGCGGTGCATACGGCGAGCAGCCCCTGAACGTCGATGAAGCGGTCTGGAAGAAGGTATTGAAGGGGTTGGAGCGCGGCGGCGAGGGCGAAAGGGATGAGGATTTGGACGAAGGCATCGAAGAGGAACTGGAGGAGGAGATGGAGAACGAAGAAGGTGTCGGAGACGTTGAATACGTTAGCGACATTGAGGGCAGCGAGTCTGAGGACGAAGATCTCGGCGACCTGGAGGACTGGATTGGCGACGACTCCGGCGAAGACGATGAGTCTGAGGAAGCAAGTGATGAAGATGAAGACGACAGTGAGGGCAGCAGTGAGGAGGAGGACGAAGAAGAGGAGGATGTGGAGAAGCTGAGGAAGGCTCTCGCCAATATGAAGAGGAAACGGGGTCCGGAGCCTGCGCCCAAGTCTAACAAGAAGAAGTCGTCTAAGGGCCCTAAGCGGGAGATCGAGTACGAATATGAACACGAGCCCGCGCCTCGCCAGACCATCCGCGCGTAGAATGGTTTTGGTATGGTGTTTTGGGGAACTGGCGTTTGGAAGGGGACTCAAAAAAGCATTTATCCTGATTTCGGTCCAATGGTCAGCGAGTTCATTACGCACAAGCGTCTCGCGTTTGGATACCTTTTAGAGGACTGAGTAATTGTTCCGGGAATAGTAACGATTCGAAAATTTCTTTTCTTGCTTTATTGTCGCGCTCCATTCTTGTCTGGTGTAGAAAAGTAACCTACTGCACTGTGTATGCTTTACGCTTATCATAGGCGCTCAGAGTCTCCCGCCCAGCAGCGATCTTAGTGCAATGATAAGCTCTCTTCCAGCAGAATGTGTGAAACAACTTAAAAAAAAAAAAAAAAGAATGGTGCGGCATAACGCGGGTTAGGGAGGCAATTTCCCCCGGATTGTCTGCATTAAAGACGACCTGAGGCCAAGTGACAGCATAACATTATGTTCAATTCATAAGGGCCCTAGATTACTATTTAGAATGAGGCGATTCAAGCCAACTACTAAATATTCTGTATGTGTCCTCCATGGGTTGCACCTTTCGCAGTAGAGAATGAGCAGTTGGAAGCTTGCAGTCCGCCACGCAGCAAAGCTTCTAAAATACATGCACGCCTTAGGTAACCAATCTTGCACTTAACCCAAGCTACGGGCGTATTAATTTTAATCTTGACAAGCCAAGTGGCTTAGCTGCCTCCGCCGTTGTTCCAGCAATGGAATATTGGAACTAAATATCTTAATAACGGCTCAAACTTGGCTTTTACACCAAGTATAGAATACAATCTATAGCATTGCCGAATTATTATAACAAACCTCCTTAACTACAGTAAATGGTAGAGCTATCTTTCTAAACACCCCTTACCAAATACCACGCTGTGGCTATACCTCAACGTATTGTCTTCGTATATAATAAGTCTTTGGTTGTAACTAAGCTAACTGCGTCTCTTTGGCGGACTTAGCTATAACCTGTCGTTCCGATAGTCCTAAAGACTGAAAGAACGGAAGAATCTTAAACTAGTAAAAACGTGATGGTAATGAAAGAGAACAGCAAGCTTCTCCAACGGAATTCATTCCACGCTCTTTACATATTATTATCCCTTTCTTTGCTCTAAAGCTCTGTAACCATGTTAAAAAAAAAAGAGTAAATCTAATTGCCTAATTATTCCTTAATTCTGTAAGTAATAGCCTTGTATCTCCGATTAGTGTTGAGATGCGCGTTCCGAGTGCTGTTGGAGATCTCGAAGCCCGTCAAAATTCTGGTACTGGAATTACCGCTAACGAGCTCAACAACGGACCGTGCAAGCCTGTTACTTACATTTCTACCAGAGGCTCCACCGAATTGGGAAACCTCATAAGTCCAATCAGCCTGCAGGAAGCACAACGTTAGTGCTTCGGCCCTTGGATAAAGTGTCTAGTACCCTACTGGGACATTTGTCGATATAGAACTACATTAGCGTATAAATAACATTGGTCGATGGCCAGGGCGGACCGATATTCGCCAATCAGCTTGAATCTTAGTCCGAGATTGTCATTCAATGTGTCGATTACCCTCCTGGTTTGTTCAATAACTTATTCGGCGACTTTGTCGCTGGCAGCAACGAGATGAGCAGGCTCTTCGGTCTTGCCGCTTCCAAATATCCAAACACCACCATCGTCAGCGGTGGATACAGGTAAAACTCGGATCTCCTCAGCGTGAAGATTGCATTCTTGACATTGTTTCAACCATGGTACTACCCTCACTCACTGCCTGGTTGGGGGCTTTTTAGCTAATGTCCGCAACAAAATTGCTGGCATTGCCACGTTTAGCGATCTCTACAACTCTCTGTCTGGTAGACGCATCCAAGGACTCCCACAGCAAAATCTGAACATCATTTGCAACCCCTTAGAACCCCGTCTGCATTGGGTTCCCTGTCATTAGTCTGACTTTTGATTATGTCCGCTATGTCTCGAAGCCATCCTCCTTCCTGGCTAGCCGTATCCAGGCTGCTCAGGCTTGAACAAATCCTTGAGACGATGTTTCCTTTTGCCGTCCGTAATTTTGTCTACTTCTCGCATTCCCTCATTCGACTTAGGAATTGATGGTTTTGACGAGTACTTGCGGAAATGTTTTCTGGTACTATGAGTGTTCGGGAGTAGAAATAAGAACAGTATTTTTGAGCTGAGTTCTCGTCCCTCGTCTGCAGAATCATTCTTTTGGTTCTACATAAAGCGCAATAATATGCGAGCGTAACAGTTCCACATTTAAGTCCGGACCACGCAAGTCGATTCCCGAAGATGTATCATTTCTGCTGGGAGAGCACGGCACGAGCCGTGAGGGCTATGCATATTCAGCCACTAATCCTGCCGCATATGGGAAGGCCTAGACTACGTGGTTACTGGCATCGAGTCAGAAATTCGAGGTCGGTGCTTGGTCCTCGGCACTACGTACCTGGCTAGTCATGCACTTCCCGAGATCAGCATGGTTCCCTCAATAATGTGCGCCTTAGCTCGCACAGATTACAAACAAGGCGGACAGATCCTCATCACTAGTAAATAGCAGACTGCTGGTGAAGCATTTTTCCCGGTTGCTGCAAGACAGTCACTCGGGCTACAGCGAGGCGAGGTGGTAGCAGCTCCAGGCTCCCACCGACCCCATGTTCACCGTATCCGATAAAGAGAAGCGGAAGTGGCAATGATCTGGCCGAGAGATGGTCGGAAAAGGTTGCGGCGGCGGCTTGGCCTCTTGGCTTTCTAACGGAGCGGATTACCAGTGAGGCTCTTGCTCCTTCCGCGAACTCCTACCAACAATCCTCCCGAAAATGCGGGGTAGCATTGCTTACGCAAACCAGGCCGCTCACCGTCAAAATGCGGCAAATTGCTCGCATTTGCCGACGTCGGGAGCGGTCTGCGGTAGGTACTTCCGTGGATTAAATAAAAGGAGGGTGTTGAAGATGGAGCAGCCCGGCGGAGCTCACTCAACCCCACTCACTCAACCATGCGGTATCCGACAGGACTCGCTGCCTTAAATCTTTCCATTCTTTTTAGCGCAGCAGCTGGAGCAGCAACAACATGCTCGCCCGATGCCATTCCTACTCCTGAACTACTGGGTGGCCAGGTCCTCTCCATTACGGCGACTTCGGTTAAAAATTTCGGCGGAAGCACCAGCTTCTGCAATGTCACCGTCCTCTACACGCATCCTGGACAGAATGATAAGGTCAACGTCTACGTGTACCTCCCCTCTGCCGAGGACTGGAACGAGCGCTTCATGGGCTACGGTGGCGGAGGCTACCGCATGAGATCCAACGACAGCCTCATCACGAGCGAAGTAGCCAAAGGCTACGCTGTGGCATCAACCGACGGTGGACATGACTGGACAGTCAACAGTGCTGAGTCCTGGGCGTTGGTTAGCCCTGGCAACATCAATGCATACCTCTTTAACAATTTCGCCGCCGTGTCTTTGGAAGACGCAACTATTATCGGGAAAGCAGTCACCGCCAGCTTCTACGGGCAAACCCCCAGGTACTCGTACTGGAATGGATGTTCAACCGGCGGTCGTCAGGGGCTTATGATTGCGCAAAGGTTTCCGAACCTGTACGACGGGATCTTGGCCAAAGCTCCTGCCATCAACTGGGCCAATTTTGTCGCAGCAGAATACTGGCCGCAGTTCGTTATGAACCAGCTGGACGTATACCCAACACAGTGTGAGCTCAACGCCATCACTGCCGCCGCCATCGAAGCTTGTGACGGTCTGGACGGGGTTGAGGACGGTATCATTGCAGACCCTCTGGCCTGCAATTTTGACCCGTTCACTATCGTCGGTCGCGAGTACACCTGCGATAACTCCAGCTCCGTCGTTTCAGAGGCAGCCGCCACTATCGCCCAGAAGACGTGGGAAGGCGCCCGTACGAGCAACGGCAACTTCTCTTGGTATGGTCTGAGTCCGGACGCCCCTCTCTCCGGCTTGGCCAACACATCGTGCACTGGTAGTGACTGCACTGGCGCTCCCTTCTACATTGCTGAGGAATGGATAAACTTCTGGGTCAAGCGCGGCGATCCGACCTTCGATATTACCAATATGTCGCACACCGAGTACGATGCCATCCTGCATCGCTCCGTCAACCAGTACAAGTCCATCATAAGCACTGACGACCCGGATCTGTCCGAGTTCAAGGGAGCCGGCGGAAAAATGATCACCTGGCACGGTCTTGCCGATCCAGTCATCGCTCCGGAGGGCACGACCGATTACTATGATAATGTTCTGGAGCTCGATCCCGCGGCGGCAGATTTCTACCGTTATTTTAGGGCGCCGGGCGTTGGGCATTGCAGCGGGGGCACTGGACCGGTTCCGACTGAAGCTTTGGACTCCTTGGTAAGTTGGGTTGAGCAGGGTGTCGCGCCTGACACTCTTCCTGCGAGTGTACAAACAGGGAACGCGACCAGGAAACTGAATCTCTGTGCGTATCCGTTGGTTCCTGCGTACAAAGGTGGTGACATTATGGAGGATTCTTCGTATGAATGCAAGGAGACATTCACTTGAACTCTTGTAGGGGAGAAAGATGGTGGTTACTCGCAATTTGAGAAGGAATGGAGAATTTATGAAGACAGACGATTGCGGCAAATAGAGAGATTTGATATAAGAGAATCCGAGACTGCAGGCGCAGGTACGCTTTCCATATGCGTCCAGAGCTCATTGGCGGGCACTTCAACTCGTCGATGGTAGCTGGATCTCCGGATAGCCATTCAATTGGTTTTCGTGTACGTTTTGCAAGATGCGCTGTTGATGATAAATAAGTTCGCTGCTGTTCGGATCCCATACATTCAGTCCCGTTGGTGGCTGTTTCTTGGGTGGCGCTTGCCTTTGAAACGACAGGAGAAACGGCAGTGCCTTTCCTCAAGGCCCAAGACAAAGGTCCTGCCCAGAGCCGCCATTCTGGACATCCCCTCTGCCATAAGAGTGGTAGGCTACACATCAGCCCTTAACCGTTTCCGTCCTCTGGGTGAAGCAGCCGCAGCTGGAGATTAGAGCTGTCGACTCACGCCAACAGAACAAGCGCCGCAAACGATGCGCAGCGAGAGATCAGCAAGAAACCAGCAAGTTTGCGAATTCACGCGTATCACCTGTGTTTGAGGTGAGCGCAAAACACGTGATGGGCGTGGCTGCAGGTGGGGAACGGGCAGCTGCAGGGCGAGCAATAAAGAAGCTGGCTGGGAGCTTTCCCTCGTCCTGCTTGCTGCTCAGGCAAAAGCAGGTGCTACCAGCGTTAAGTTGTGTCGCCTTCCGACGCGCAAAGTTCAAATTGCTCCTTCCTCTGAAACGGACTTGAGCGGTGCATTGAGCGCATCCGCGCCCGCTGTCTTGGCCGGCCCCTCCGCCAGCCGCAACACCCTCCGCAACTCCCACCTCGACTTCACCGCTTCGCCCACGCCGAGACCCAGAATCCCTCACGCGGCGCAGCGTCGCACCCGCCTCCGCCATGTCGTCCTACCTCTCGAACCTGCTCACAAACACCACCTCGCGCTACAACTCGTTGCGCCGCAACCTCCTCGACAGCGAAGCCGACGGCGACACCGAAGACGACTCGCACATCGCCCGCGTGCTGCGCGCGTACTACCAGGAGAAGGGCCGCCCCTTCCCGCCATGGCTGCCGCCCGACCCACGCGCGCCTTCGCCTGCTCCCACGCAGCAATTCGTCCGCTCCACCGGCCCTGCTGCCCAAGCCCCCCCGGGCAGCAGAGGCGGCCTCAGCGATCTCTGGGACGCTCCCGCCTCGCAGACGCCGCCGCCACAGCCCGGCTCTCTGAGAAGCAGAGCACCGCCCAGAGGAGGCCCCGGGGCTGGCAGGGGCGGCTTGCTGCAGCCTGAGCCCAGCCAGGGAGGCGGACGACCGCTGCCCAGCCAGCGTGCGGGCAGCTACCAAAGCTCGTTCTCGCAGGGCTCGCGCCCCTCGTTCGACTCGCAGCCACCGGGCAGTGCGGGCAGCGGCTCGGCGCAGGACAGGTTGAAGGCACGCCTCTGGGGCTCGGGCAGGTCGGGAAGCCCCACAGGTTCACAGAGCAGCAGTCCGGCAGGTTCACCAGGAGTTCCCACGACAGGAGCCAGAGACCCGTTTATAAGATCACACAGTGCTAACCCTAGCGGTAGATGGGGCGGCGGTAGTCGAGACGAAGGAGGCCAGGGCCGAGTCGGGCTGCCTAGCGGGCCTAGAGCGTACAAATGAGCGGGCGGCGAATCCTTTTGCGAACTCGAGCGAAGACAAAGGTTGCGGGAGGAGCATTGGCAGCGGTTGTGCAGCGTTCAGCGGGCGGCTCATTGGTGGCGTCAAAAGGGAGCTCCGGCCAGGTTTGCATTGGGACATCTTTTCATGGTTTCTGGGACTGCGATTTCTGATTCATGGCTGGGCCGTCGCGCATGGGCGGGGGAGCCAATGGATAATAATGGACCTGTATGCACTCAGGAGCGGACGTTTGCTCGAAGGCGGCGTATCTCCAAATCAAGAGCACTTCACACTTTTCTAGCGCTTGCTTCCATCTTCTGTTGGCGACAAGAGTGGGTGGCCATGTGAGGCGTTGGGAGCTCTCACCACTGCCGAGTGGCGTGCACCGCCTCCCCCGCGATCTGCGTCATTCGCCTGCGCCCAGGCAGCCCTGGTTCCGGAAGCTCTGGCTCCCTCTCCACCCAGTGAAGCCACCCACGACCATATGACCCACGGCTCCCGTCCGCCTGCGCCCGTTTCTGCCACGACCACGCGCCGCGCCGTATGACGCGTAAAAAATTAGGCATCACTCGTGGTAGAAAACTAATCTTGCGCCATGCCTTCCACTCCGCCGCCGCCGCCCGAAAACCCTCACCCAAGCCCGCCCTCCCCAACAGCTTCCTTCTACGATATGAGTGACGACGAGGAAGGCGAGTACAATACTATCCGCCACACCAGCAGTGGGAGCGGCGTGAAGCTGTTGTACTCGAAAAGCAAGGTAAGCTTAGCTTCCGGCCTGCCGTCAAAGAACGCCTCGCTCTAGGCAGCACTGCTACGCAGTCCTCACACAGTTCTGACGCCTGATCCGATAGGTTTACGTTCACCCCACGCCATCTGCGAAAGACAACATCCCTGGCTTTATCGCCCTTGTCCAGCAGAGGTCGCCGGCCACCCACGATGCCCGCCCTACGTCATCGTCATCCTCCACTTCCGTTGCCGCATCCTCCCTTCTTCTGTCTTGGATTCCCGAATCCGCGCTTGGTGATGCCTATGATACATACGTAAAAGTCGACCTCTCGGACTCCTCGTCCCCGCCGAAACAGTCCTATCTCGTCCCCCCGCCACCAACCACAACGACCCACAGCAGTGCTATTGGGACATATGCTTTCGCCGTACCAGTTAGTGAAATATTCTCGTTACTCGTGCGGCCACCAAGCATAGGATGGTGGTTCGGCAGCGTGGTCATCAACACTCGCGCGGGCGACAGCTTCCCTGCCCTGTTTTTCCACGATAGCGAATGCCAGTCCACAATTATGCAGCGCAAGAAACTGGCGCGGGAGAGTTTCGATCCCTTCGGAGATGGTGGTGGGATGTTCTGGGGAGGCGACGAAGTCCTGAGGTGGCTGAAGCGCTACGTGAGGGTTGTCCGTTCTGCTGCCGAACCCAGTGTCTATCTCATTGAGCCTAGCGAGGAGGACCTGCTGTCGTTCGGCCAAAAGCCGACAACTGTGAAGACAGACAAGAGTCCACCTGGCTCATCAGGCGAAGGGTCTTCCTCAAAAGCGGCTGCTGGCAAGAAGAGAGATGGTGGTATGGATCCGCTCATGTCAGCCGTCAACCAGGCAAAGTGGACTTTTCTGGAAAAAATGAGCCAGGTCACCACCTTCACCCGGCGGACAGCGCAGGCCGTTGCCGAGAATCCCAAACTCCCCCCGCAGATCAAACATCTGTTGAAGAGTCCCGAAGTCGAAAGGTTGCAAGAGGAATTCGACAGTGCCAGAATCTATCTCGCTCGATGGGCAATGAGCATTGCAGAGCAGAGTGAGAAAGAGCGGAAGCAGAGGATCTGGACTGCACAGGATGTTTTGGAGATGGAAGACAGCGCGGTTGGGGAGTTTGAGATCCTGGAAATGGAGGCAGGCAACATGTCGCTCAGCGACCGGAGGAAGCCTGTTACTATCGAAGAGTGGAAGGGCTTCTTCGACACACAGAGCGGAACTCTACTGGTTACTCCAGATGAAGTCAAGGAGCGAATCTTTCATGGTGGCCTCGATCCTGACGACGGCGTCAGGAAGGAGGCCTGGCTTTTCCTACTGGAAGTCTACGAATGGGATAGCACTTCTGAGGAACGGCAAGCTAAACTGAACAGTTTGCGAGACGAATACATTCGCCTTAAAGGCGCGTGGTGGGAGCGTATGGTAGAAGGCCAGAACACACAAGAGGAATCCGAATGGTTCCGGGAGCAGAAGATCCGGATAGGTATGCATGCCAGTTGAGCTATGCTACATTTCGTCAGGCTGACCTTTGCCCATTCTTGGGCGTCCGCGCTGTAGAGAAAGACGTTCACAGAACAGACCGCAATATCGACGTCTTCGCAGGCGAGGACATCCCCCATCCCGATCCCGACTCTCCTTTCGCGGACGTTGGGACCAATGTTCATCTCGAGCAGATGAAGGACATGCTTCTTACTTACAACGAGTACAACAAGGACCTTGGGTACGTTCAGGGGATGAGCGACCTGTTGGCTCCGATTTACGCTGTCATGCAAGATGATGCGGTCGCATTTTGGGGCTTTGTCGGATTCATGGAGCGCATGGTAAATATTCTCGACCTTCGCATGCGTGTTGGAGCGTTCTAACTAGTAATAGGAGCGGAATTTCCTCAGAGACCAATCCGGCATGAGAAAGCAGCTTCTCACGCTGGACCAGCTCGTGCAGCTCCTCGATCCCAAGTTATATCTGCACCTGCAATCAGCGGATAGCACCAACTTTTTCTTCTTCTTCCGCATGTTGCTTGTCTGGTACAAGCGCGAATTTGAATGGCAGGACGTCCTACGCCTATGGGAGGGTCTGTGGACGGATTTCCTCTCTGGTAACTTCCACTTGTTCATCGCTCTCGCTATCCTGGAAAAACATCGCGATGTCATCATGGAACACTTGACGGCTTTCGATGAGGTGTTAAAGTACGGTATGTGTTACAACGGTTCATTTGACGCTTCACGGAGCACAACTGATTTTCTCATAGTCAATGAGCTTTCGGGCACAATCGACCTCCAGTCGACTCTGATCCGCGCTGAGGCACTATTCCGCCGCTTCCAACGCACTGTTGAAGCCGTCGACCGTAAAAATAAGGACAGTAGCCTGCCTGTACCATCGAACGTCCGTCGGCGCAACCCTGCACCCGCTCCGGCTCCTGCATTTGATTTCAACCCATTCGGTCGCATTGCAGCCCTAAACGCACAGCGTAATGGCAACAGTGCGAACGGTACTGCTACTGCATCGGGCAGCTCTGCAGGTCAGGCTAACAACCAGAACGGCAAGAGCAAATCGACAAGTACGGAAGAGGAGGATGAGAGACCAAAGGTGATTACGGATGAACTGAGAGAACTTTTGAGCCGGAAAGTTCCAAAGCTGGACAAGAAGCAGAACACGGAAGGGGCTCTGCATAGGTATCCCTCAAGGGAACCATGATGCTATCTCTATGGATTTATGATGGGCATTCTCCAATAGCGGCTGAGATTGTATGCGGCGTTTGTATGAGTATTCTTTCGTATGGGTCGGAAAGGATAATTGCATTGGTAGGATAAGGATGGAAATTTGACACGGACATATTGTCCCTTCGACGTTGTAGTCTCACAGCTTTGACTTGTTCATTTTCATAGCGAAAAGAGAGGAAAGGAAGGTCCCAGCGCCTGCGAGGTGTATTGCAGCTGAAAGCTAGCGCGAAGAACAACAGGCGTGATCCTGCGTTAACAATTCTCAACGAAGAGTAACACAGATGGGCAGCTATTGACTGGGCGTTAATATAATTTCACAGTTACGATTACGTCCAGATAATTCCTTCAGCTACTCACGGCATAAATGAAAAACAAAGTCACGTTAGCCATCGGCTGCAGTCCCCGCCTGTACAGATTGTCAAGGAGCAAGCCACCGTCCGCATCTCGGAAACCTGACGCCACTGAGCTCCAGGATCTAATCTATTACCAAAATTTCCTGCCATGTTTCTTAACAATTCTTTTTGCTGGATACTTCGAGTAAATTGGCATTTTCGGAAGTTTGCAGACCAGTCATGACCGCCGCTCCGCGAGAGCCTGCCTGTTGTGCATTCCCAAGCTGTTCGCCCTTTCCTTACCCACCGTTCCATAGTAAACAAACCCAAAGCTGTCTTTCTGACCTTGGACCGCCATCATCAACTGCCATAGTTATGACAATTCCCACGGTGATTCGCGCGTCATTATTTCAGTGGCACGCCATATATTTTCTTCCCGCTTGCATCGTCATTCCAGTCGCCTATCTCTACTTCTTTTTCTGAGCTGTAAGTGAAGCGAGATCCCGCTCTGTTACACAGCGACCATTCTATTTCGTACGCTAGATCAACCGCCATTAGCTCAACGTAGCTAGTCTCTTCGTATTGACCGGATTATCCCATCAAGATACAAATTTGCATCGCCCGCCTACTTTGCGCACCAGAACCTTCCGGACACTCAGAGCATCATTGCGCCTCCGGTTTACTCTGGAGGCTTCTGTGCAAAAATGCTGCTCACCCTTCTGTCCGCCCTATTGATCGGCAACCTTCCAGTGAACGCCCTTTCTACCACCTACGACTACATTGTTGTTGGTGGAGGTACCTGTGGGCTCGTTGTCGCCAATCGTCTGTCGGAAATTGCAAACGTCTCGGTCCTTATCATCGAAGCTGGCGATTCCGTGTACGATAATCCAAATGTCACAGCCGTGGATGGCTATGGACGAGCGTTAGGATCAGCCATCGACCGACAGTACAAGACAATCCCGCAGACATTTGGGAATCAACGCGTTCAGACGATTAGTGCAGCCAAGGCGCTCGGTGGGACCAGCACTATCAACGGTATTCTTCTCACTGAACATATTGGGAGGAAATGCTCAACATGGCAGGCATGTCCTACACACGAGCTGAGGCTGCGCAAATTGATGCGTGGGAAAAGATAGGAAACGCGGGGTGGAATTGGAAAGCTCTTTATCCGTACTACCTGAAGTCAGAAGGCTACCAGGCTCCTACTGCAGACCAAGTTACAGGCGGTGGTGCCTCTTTCGACCCGGAATATCATGGACTCGAGGGGCCGCTCAGAGTTGGTTATCCAGAGGACCAAGCCGTCAATGATTTGCCGTCCCTATTGAGCAAATCCTACGAAGCCCTCGGAATCCCTTCTCCGCAGGACGTCAACGGGGGCTCTATGCGTGGCTTTACTGTCTACCCAAAGACCATTGACACAGAAGCCAATGTTCGCAGCGATGCGGCCAGGGCGTATTACTGGCCTTTCTCTACGTCCCGGAAGAACCTTCACCTCAGTCTGAACTCCACCGTAACAAAAATACTCTGGAAGTCTCCGTCCGGGCCTGAACAGGAGGTAGTGGCATCAGCTGTTGAGGTGGTTGCAGCCAATGGTACGAAAATCACATTTAACGCCTCTCGCGAAATTGTCCTTTCGGCTGGAGCCCTCCGCACGCCCTCTTTATTGGAGTTGTCGGGAATCGGAAACACACAGTGAGTCGCCAGACGAGGCAGGACGCTGCAGTAACTTACCTTGATTAGGATCCTCTCCAAGGCCAACATCGAAACCAAAGTGTCACTTCCTGGGGTCGGAGAGCATTTGATCGACCAGACAAACAATGGCTTGACCTTCTCCAAAGTTGCGAGTGAACAATACACTGGAGTGTCGGGATATGCATCCTATCCGAACGTGACGGACGTTTTTGGAAATTCCACCAGCGCGTTCGCGTCATCGGTACTTGCAGCTCTGCCAGCTTATGCGTCGGCCATTTCAGCACAGAACAACAACTGCACAAGCACTGAAGATATGCTTTCTCTGCTCCAGCTGCAGCACTCGTTGATATTTGACGCTCAAGTACCTGTTGCAGAGGTCATTACTTGGCCGACAGAAAAGTCCTTCGGGACGCAGTATTGGAGTACTCTGCCGTTTGCGCGAGGAAATATCCATGTCACATCCTCAGACCCCAGCACAGTTGCGAGGATAAATCCGAACTACTTCATGCTGGCGTACGATTTGGATTCACAGGTCCAAGTTGCGCGGTGGATGCGGAAGCTGTTTTCCACGGCGCCGCTCGCGGATGTCGTAGGTGCAGAGACATGGCCAGGCACCAAAACAGTGGCGTCAAATGCCAGCAATGCAGCATGGTCGAAATGGCTGAAACAGAACTACCGCGGCAACCACCACGTCTTAAGCACTGCGGCCATGATGCCTCGAGAGAAGGGCGGCGTTGTGGATGAGAGACTGAAAGTTTATGGGACAACGAACGTGAGGGTTGTGGATGCCAGCGTCTTCCCCTTTCAAGTCTGTGGCCACTTGATGAGCACTCTGTATGCAGTGGCTGAACGTGCGAGTGATCTGATCAAAGAAGATGGTGGCTTGTGAGGAGGGTTATGAGCAAACGGGCAGCAGACTGGCGGGGGGAGCAGTTCTTCTCAGACGCAAATGTAAACCTAACGGAGGGGGCGTCCGATTGAGAACCTAATGGAGCATGGAAATTATTAAGTGTGGTGCTGGTCCCACACGTGCCGTGATGACGCAACGCGTAAATCAGACGCGTCTCACAGCCGACGCGCCGCGCCACCCGCGCCGCATCTCGATTGTCTGTCGCACCGCATTAGTACTTATTCATCCGGGCCCATCCGCCAGGCCTTTCGCGAAGCCGGTCTGGCGTGCTCAGAGCGACTCACCATGGCGGACGAGATGGATGTCGACGCCACGCCTCCCTCTGTCACACCGCCCGTCGCACCTCGCCGCATCCAGGCCTTATCGCAAGATGTTGTCAACAAGATCGCTGCCGGCGAGATCATAGTCGCTCCAGTCCACGCCTTGAAAGAACTCATTGAGAACGCCGTCGATGCCGGATCTACTGCATTGGAAGTACTCGTCAAGGATGGCGGTCTCAAGCTGCTTCAGATTACCGACAACGGCCACGGGATTGATGTGAGCCTGCATTTCAAATCCCCTCGTCACTGTCCGACTGACCCGGCAGCGCGATGATTTGCCCATTCTCTGCGAACGGTTCACAACCTCGAAGCTCAAGGCGTTCGAAGACCTGACCTCCATCGGCACCTACGGCTTCCGTGGAGAAGCCCTGGCAAGCATCAGCCATATAGCGCATTTGAGCGTCACCACTCGTGTCAAGGAGTCCAGCTGTGCGTGGAAAGCGCACTACGCAGACGGGAAGCTGGTTCCTCCCAAACCAAACCAGGGCCCGGATCCCAAGCCGTGTGCCGGCCGTCAAGGGACCCAGATCACAGTAGGCCGGTTGCCAGCGTTGCTTTTTCTGAGCTAACAAATTTCAGGTGGAAGATCTGTTCTACAATGTTCCCACTCGCCGCCGTGCTTTTCGCTCTGCAAGCGAGGAATATGCTAAAATCCTCGACCTTGTCGGCCGCTACGCTGTGCATTGCGTTGGCGTTTCGTTCTCTTGCAAGAAACACGGAGACTCTTCCATGGGCATATCCGTCCCGGCGAGCGCAACCATTGTCGATCGTATACGCCAGGTCCAGGGAAACGCCGTGGCTAACGAGTTGATTGAGGTTCATGCCAGCAATGATCGCTGGGGATTCAAAGCTGATGCGTGGGTGAGCAATGCAAACTACAGCGTCAAGAGAACTACCTTGCTCCTTTTCATCAACCACAGATCAGTGGACTCGTCAGCGATCAAGAAGGCCGTCGAGCAAACTTACAGCACTTTCCTCCCAAAAGGTGGCCATCCTTTCGTATACCTCAGTCTTGACATTGACCCTCAGCGTGTCGATGTTAACGTGCATCCGACAAAACGCGAGGTGAATTTCCTCAACGAGGACGAGATCATCGAAGTAATTTGCGACGAGATCCGCTCGAGCCTCGGTAACGTGGATACAAGCCGCACCTTCATGACCCAGAGCTTACTGCCTGGCGCAAAGGTCCCGACAATTCAAACAAATGCCACCCCCTCGCGCAATTCTGCTACGGCTTCTTCCGGAAGTCGTTCAGAGGAGCCGGCATCCTCAAGACGGACTCCCCAGCAAAAAGGACCAACCCAGAAGCCGTACGAGAACAATCTTATTCGTACAGATTCCCGTCTACAGAAGATTACCACCATGTTCTTACCCGGACAATCTTCTTCCACATCAGCTAAGGCTGGCAGCCGAGAAGAAATGAAGTATGAGGTCTCGGATAAGGAGCCAACCATTTGCCGTCTGACCACCATCAAGGAGCTTCGAGCCGAGGTGCGTGAGAACATGCACAACGAGCTCACTGACGTTTTTGCAAGCCATACCTTCGTTGGTGTGGTCGATGAGCGGAGACGCATTGCAGCCATCCAAGGCGGCGTGAAGCTGTTCCTTATCGACTACGCAATGGTCTGCAACGAGTACTTTTACCAGGTCGGCCTCACTGACTTTGGCAACTTTGGGGCTATCCGGTTTGACCCCGCCCTCAGCTTGCATGAGCTTCTGTCAATCGCCGTGACGCACGAAAAGAGCACCGCTGAAGTCGATGAAGACTTTGATTGGGACGATGCGCTTTCAGCCGTCAGGGAGCAATTGATCAGTCGCAGAGACATGCTCGCCGAATATTTCTCGCTCGAGATCTCCGAGGATGGCGATCTCGTATCCATACCATTGCTCATCAAAGGCTATACTCCGAGTCTAGCCAAACTGCCACATTTCCTTCTCCGTCTGGGGCCGAACGTCAATTGGATGGAGGAAAAGGGCTGCTTCCGGGCGTTCCTTAGGGAACTGGCATCCTTCTACGTCCCTGAGGCGTTGCCAGTGCCGCCACAGAACACGGAAAGTGAACAACCAGAGGAATCAACCCCCATTGACCCGGAAATCGAGTCCAGACGCAAACATCTTGAGCATGCCATTGAGCATGTCCTCTTCCCCGCGTTCCGTGGCCGTCTTGTAGCTACGAAAGGTTTGCTCAGAGGCGTGGTTGAGGTAGCCAACCTCAAAGGCCTCTACCGCGTGTTCGAACGTTGCTGAACATTTAGCACACGAAGGCGAAGTCGTCGCATCGGAAGTCTAGACGAAGTCTGATGCATGTGCTGAATACAAAAACTTAGCCGGCCGGGGATGCCATGCAACGCGCTCACTTCCTGAGCTGTTTTTGCCACATCCACTTCTGTCCGGCAACGACGGCTTCGGGGGCGCTGTGCAACGATAAGACAAGAGATACTAAATGGGGCGCGCTTGCTGTACTACTTGTCGATATAACTCCACGGTGGATGCGCTGTTCTTGATCCGGGAAAAGCTGGTGGCTCAACTTGCTAATTTGGGCTGCACTTTTTTTATATTGTTTTTTCCGAGAGCTGGTTGAAGAATTTATAGGCCGAGAGGGTTGAAATGTACAGGAATAAGCATCCTTCTGTACTGTATTAGTTGAAACAAACATTCAGATGCAGATATGGGGTTCAAATTTGTCCCAGAATAAATATAAACTCCTAGCACAGCTCGAGATATTTGAGAAGAGCAAAGCCCTTTATAGCCCATTGTAGCTACATACGGGAACAAGACTGTGAGGAGAAGAATAGTTGCATACCGTTTCCTCTCTTCAGGGTTTGGACGGTCAGCAATATACCTTATTGGTGGTGGTCCACATCGTTGCTTCTAAGTATTTTGGTATCTCTTTAAATCCGTACAAACCAAGCAAACGCCATCCGATGCAATTTCAACCATGACTCCTGATATCTGTGAGAAGCCCAATATAACGCCAGCTCCGGTTGGTGCACGTCCTAGCTCGCCCATCTTTGTCAACTAGCAACTCACGCAGGTGTCGGCTTCGGGTCCACATCCATGGCGTCTCCTCCATGCTCGGGCTCGGGTTCAAGCTTCTCAGCACCGGCCGTAGCTTGACTGTTCGATGGCTGACCGTTGATCACAGGAGCTGTGAGGGTGGCCTGTCCATTCGGAACGGTGCCGTTCGCCTGAGCGGCTTCTTGGGCGGCGGCCTGGGCAGCCTTCTTCTTCTCGCGCTCAGCCTTGGCGTCCTTGTAGCTTTGGGTCTTGGGAACGACGTCGGTCAGGAACTCGAGGTTGTCGAGGCGGGCAACGGCTTGTTCTACGATTTGTGTGTGTGAGCGCTCGGGACTTGTAGGGGAGCGAGGGACCCGGATGAGGTGGACGTACGGACGTGGGTATAGCCCAAAGAGCGCTTGGGTTTTTTCTCCGCCTTGGCCATCTTGTGGGCCTGCTCGGTCAGGTAGTAGACGAATTCTTCGGTTGCGACTGCAATGGCGAAGGCGGCGTTGGCGGAGCAGGCGTTGATGTCTTCATCGGCCTGGATGATTTTCTTGACGCGCGCGACTACGCAGCAGTGTTAATTGGAGTACATCAGAGCATGCGGCTGGACTCACGAGGAAGCGACACGGAGCCGGTGATGTTGGCTGGGCGTGGGATGGGATTGTTGTTGTATGGCATGGCGGCGGGGCGACGGGACGGGTTGCAGAATTGGCGGTAACTGGTGCTGAAGCACAGGGGGCGCTGTTGAAGGTTGCTCGCAGAGCTGGCGACAATCGCAAAGTTGGTGGGAGGTACTCGGCGAGGAACGCGTGCGTGGAGCGCGGTGGAGAGTCGCGACGGATAAGCCAAGATTGGCAGGGATCGGCGGGCGATATGATGGCCGGAGCTGTAAGGTACCCTGGTGCATAGCCAGCCGACATCACCGCGCGTTCGACCTTCCCCCCTGCGCGATCAATGACGAACTGCCCCGCTGCCGCTCGGATAGGCACACGATGCGATGACTAGCCGCTCAAGCTCCGCTTCTGGCCTGCGCGCCTCCTCCCAGCCGCGCGGAGGTACGCTGACGCGCCGCGTGTCCGCCCTCTCCAACGCCGAGGAGGGTGTCGACCACGAGCGCACCACTGCCGACCACGCCATCCACGAGGAGATCGCCGAGATCAAACGCTACGAGGACTTTACAACAATCGATTGGGTGCAGGATGCTGCGCGCGAGCAGCTGCGCCGCAAGGCCCGCCGGCAAGAGAAGCAAGGCTTCTTTGAGCGCGGCCGCGGTCCAACCTGGCGCCGCAAGCTGTACGATGCCTACGACGCCGGGCAGGCCTGGATTGTCGTCAGTCTGGTCGGCATTGCCATTGGCTTGAATGCGGCCTTCTTGAATATCATTACCGAGTGGTTGTCCGACATCAAGCTGGGCTACTGCACCACCGCCTTCTACCTGAACGAGCAGTTTTGCTGTTGGGGCGCCGAGAACGGTACGGCCGTCTGGACACGAAAGCTTCTGGATGGTATGCTGATTGCTGGCAGGCTGCAAAGAGTGGCACCGTTGGAGCAACTTCTGGCCCGTCAATTACGTCCTGTACATTGTCTTTTCCACCGCCTTCGCTTTCGTTGCCGGAAGACTCGTCAAGTCGTTCGCTCCCTATGCTGCTGGCTCGGGAATCTCAGAGATCAAGTGTATTGTGGCTGGCTTTGTCATGAAGGGGTTTCTGGGATTCAAGACCCTGGCTATCAAGTCCATTACTCTCCCTCTTGCAATTGCCTCAGGCCTGTCCGTCGGCAAGGAGGGCCCTAGTGTTCACTATGCCGTCTGCACAGGAAACGTCGTCTCTCGCATGTTCAACAAATACAAGCGCAATGCCTCCAAAACACGCGAAATCCTGACAGCCAGCGCTGCCGCCGGTGTCGGAGTTGCGTTTGGTAGTCCGATCGGCGGCGTGTTGTTCTCCCTTGAGGTGCGCTGTCCAGCTCTTGGTTGTGTGTCGATGTCTGCTAACCATGGAATTAGGAAATTGCAAACCATTTCCCTCTGAAGACAATGTGGCGAAGCTATTTCTGTGCCTTGGTTGCAACTGCGGTGCTAGCTGTATGTCTCTGGCCCGTGACGTTTGATTCTCCATGCTGATAAGATCAGGCCATGAATCCCTTCAGAACCGGCCAGTTGGTCATGTTCCAAGTCAAGTACGATCGCGACTGGCACTTTTTCGAGGTTATCTTCTACATCCTTCTCGGCATCTTCGGTGGTCTCTACGGCGCCTTTGTTATCAAGTGGAACCTGCGAGTCCAAGCCTTCCGCAAAAAGTATCTTGCGCAGTATCCAATCTGGGAGGCTACGATACTGGCTCTAGTCACAGCCATCATTTGCTATCCGAACATGTTTCTGCGGATAGACATGACTGAGAGCATGGAGATTCTCTTCCGAGAGTGTGAGGGAGCGCATGACTATGACGAGATTTGCGAGTAAGTTGAGTGGCCCAAATACGTGTGAGATGCGCTGACAGGTGTAGACGCAAGCATCGATGGCATCTTGTCTTTACACTAGGTGCTGCGACTGTCATTCGGACGTTTTTGGTCATCGTTTCATACGGCTGCAAAGTTCCTGCAGGCATTTTTGTCCCATCTATGGCTATTGGCGCCTCGTTTGGCAGGATGGTTGGGGTTCTTGTGCAGGCCTTGTACGACGCTTTCCCCGACTCAGGCTTCTTCGCTGCATGCGACCCAGATGGTCCATGCATCACGCCCGGTACATACGCGTTTCTGGGAGCTGCGGCTGCGCTCAGTGGAATCATGCACATAACCGTCTCGGTTGTTGTCATCATGTTTGAGCTTACCGGAGCTCTGACCTACATCCTCCCGACAATGGTACGCGCTTGATTCTTTCTTAGGGTTGTCGTGTATACTGATTCGCCTTGCAGATCGTCGTGGGCGTCACGAAAGCGGTCAGTGAACGCTTTGGAAAGGGAGGTATTGCCGACCGCGCTATCTGGGCGAACGGATTCCCATTCCTCGATAACAAAGAGGAACACACATTTGGAGTGCCCGTGTCCCAGGTCATGACAAGCAATCCCATCACTTTGCCGGCGTCGGGATTGCAATTACGTGAGGTAGAGAAGATTCTCGCCAACAACGATTTCTCCGGATACCCGATTGTTGAAGACAGGACATCCAAAACACTGCTCGGGTACATCGGTCGCATCGAGCTTCGCTATGCCATTGACCGGGCTCGACGACTGCAGTCATTGCCGTCATCTGCGAAATGCTATTTCACACCAGGGTCAATGGGAGTCCAAACACCCAGCAACCTTGCACCGGCCATCTCGTTCGACACAATGGCAACAACTTCGGCTCAGATGACGATTGACATGAGTCGCTTCGTCGACCCAACTCCGCTTTCCGTGCATCCCAGACTGCCGCTAGAGACTGTCATGGAGCTTTTCAAGAAGATGGGCCCACGAGTCATTCTCGTCGAGTATCGCGGCCGTCTTAGTGGACTCATTACGGTCAAGGACTGCTTGAAGTACCAATTCAAGGTTGAGGCACAGGAGAATCCGCGCGACGAGAGCGCGATGGAGGAGCGCGGTGAGAAACTCTGGACAGCGATCAGAGGAGTGGCCGAGTTCATTGGCATGAAGATAGGGTTGGGTAAGGGGAAGGTCAGATTGAGCGAAAGCCACACAATGGGAGCTGCAGGGCTCAGCCCCAGAGTCCCGCAAGGTCACTCAGAGCGAGAGAGGGCGGGACAAGAGGATAGAGACGACCAAGGATTGGAACTGCAGGACAGGTAGAGGCTTTGGGCCACATCGCTTAGAAGTTTTCGCGCGAAGCAATTCATTTCCCTCGATTCAGAAGGCACAAGGTGGAAGAAGGCACTTTCCCTTTCAGGCGACGGCCCGGGATTGTGCCGTGGGACATACAAAAAGCTCCGCGTCGCCCTTCCCCATCAACTTCCACTGCGCGTGTGCCTGACTGACCGTGTTCTTACAGCACCATGCCCCTGCCTTTATGTTAGGCGGGGCAGACGCCATCAGAAGAAAGGTTTGAGGCACAGAAGTAGACGGCTGAAATGCGTTTCTTGCAGATCACCGATTGAGGAGTGGTCACATTAAGCTCTTTGAGCTCGTGGGTCGCGCCAAATCATGGCGCCGCCCATTCTCGACAAGCTCCAAGAATGACAGCAGGGCTCTCTGACATAACTCGCCTGATAGATCGTGGCAGTTATGACTCGTTTCACCCTGGACACGCATAGGTATTGTGCAGCATGATCTGTTGCTGCTGAAAAAGCAATCGCTTCGTATGGACATATGTACTTCTTATTGCATCTGACTTGCTACGAAATGCACAATGATGATCTGGAGCGGGGGTTGACGGTTGTTCGGCGCGGAAGCTGGCCATTTTTCGCAGACGCGTAGCGCGACGCGCGAACTCGCGCAGTCACGTCCCGCTTCACTGATGTCAACCACCTTTGTCCAACCTACAATTTACATCCCGCACACGCTTCTCTCGCTCCTTCTAGAGCTAAGCTGCGGTTTCCTTTGAATCACACCCTCAGCGCCTGTGTTTCTCCGATCTTTCTGTGGCGCGTCCTTGCCTCCACTACCACTTGCATCGCCGACGCCGCGCCTCGGAACTCCCCTCCACCCTCTCCCACTATGGATGCCAAAGCGTTCACCATAGCGGACTCTACCGACTGGCTTGGCACGGTGCTCGCAGACTTCGCGCCTTTGGAGTCGGCGCTGCGGTGCCAGGTATGCAAGGACTTTTTCGACACGCCGATGATGACGTCGTGCTCACACACCTTCTGCTCGCTATGTATTCGCCGCTGCTTCGCCGCCGACGGTCGCTGTCCCACCTGCCGTGCCGCCGATCAGGACTCGAAACTCCGTCGCAATTGGACCGCCCAAGAGCTCGTCGACACCTTCCAGAGGGCCAGACCCAGCGCGCTAGAACTGGCGAGGAGAGGCGTGGCAGAGACCGGCCCCGAGAGTGGCCCAGGAGCAAAAAAGGCGCGAGGACGCGGGAGCGAGAAGAAGAGGAAGCTAGACGAGATTCAGGACTCGGAGGACGGAGAGGACCAGAGCGAAGAAGAGGCTGAGCGCAGGCCGGTGCGCAAGACAAGGACCCAACCTTGCAGGTCTTCTACCAGCTCGCGGACTCCTGAGATCATTGACTTGGAGGATGACGGTGACGGAGACTTTGTAGCAGAAGAAGAGGACGAGGAGGCTCAACCAAATGACGGTCTGGTCGCATGTCCCATGTGCAACAAGCGCATGAAAGAGGAAGCTGTCTTCTCGCATCTCGATCGCTGCGACGGCCAAGACAAAGATGACGCTTATTTGCGAGCAACGCGGACACGGTACATCATATTATTTCCATTTGGTTGAAGGATACCCTGCGTGCTAACGTTGATTTGAAAGGCAAAACAAGACAGCAGCCTCGACCCATCCTCTCCAGCGCTCCCGCAATGGTCTAGCCCCCTCGAGAAATACAGAGCCCTTACAGCGTCTCCCGCAACTCAACTACTCGCTCCTTAAAGACACAGCCCTTCGCAAGAAGCTTTCGGAACTTGGTATACCGAGTACTGGCACCCGCCCCCAGCAAATCAAAAGACACACCGAGTGGGTCAATCTTTGGAATGCGAACGTCGACTCGCTTCGACCGCGGACAAAGAAGGAGCTGCTATCAGAATTGGATAAATGGGAGCGAAGCCAATCGTTGGAGAGCGGCGGCATTATCGGCAGCACGAGTGGTTCGCAGGTCATGAAGAAGGACTTTGACGGCGACGGTTGGGCAAAGAACAACAAGAGTCATTTCGACGAGTTGATTGCGGCAGCCAGGAGCAAGCGTGCTGCGCCGAAGGTCGAAAGTGAGAACTTAGAAGAGAAGAACGAAGAGGCAACATCTTCAGAAACGAACGGTACTATGCCTCCTGCGAGCGTGGAGAACCTAGAAGAAGGCAAAGAGGCTCATCCATACGAAGACAATGAGGGAGCTATTGAGAAGGTGCGTGACAGAGTCGACGACGCTGCCAGCGGTCGTCCATCGCTTCCGCACCGCAACTCGAACACGATGGAGGATGCGAACAGTACCACTACAGCTGCCGATCATACGCAGGCCCCAACCTCGTCGAGCCAGGCGACAGGATCGCCTTCAAAGTCGGCCTCGGCTGACCGAGAGAAGGTACCTTCGTCGTTGCCGGCACATTTGGCTTCGTCAAAGGACGTACGGAAAAGGCCCATGTTCGAGGTCCCATCGGAGCCGATCATCGACATGGATACAGAGCATGGTAGATAATCACCAGACATATTTAGCGGCGGCGCTCACGGATGGTACATAACGGTCATTCTTTACTTTCTATAGACAGCACAAAAAGACCAGCAATTTGCAATCGATACCCATAATCTTCCTAGTGCGCCAGCGCTTGCCGTGTCCGTGCCATGATACCCTTACTCCAAAATTAAAACCCTCTGTCCAGACCCCCGGAGCCCTAAAATCATTCGTGTTCTAGCATCCACACATCCTCCTACTCTGCTGGAACAGGCCTATTTTCGTCCAGCGACATACGCTTCAACTCTCGCGACGTCTCCAGCACCTGCGCTTCTTCTTCCTCCTGAGAGGACCTCGCCTCCTCGGCTCGCCGTTTCTCTTCTTCCCTTTCCTTCTCCACCCGCTTCCGATCCTCCTCCAGCCTTTCCACTTCCCTCAACCTCGCCGCCGTCCTCTCCGCCTCCTCCATCTCCCGCTTCTCCTTCTCCGCCCGCTCCAGCGCCGCGAACTCCTCGTCCACTTCGTCCTCATCCACCGCAGCGCCTTCGCGGCCAACGTCGTTGATGACGTCGTTGACCTCGTCCGCCTTGCCCATCTCCTCGCGCAGCGCCTCGACGACGGCCTCGACGCCCTCGGTGCCGCCGACCTGGGCGTGCAAGCCCCTGAGCACGCCGGCGCTGGCCTCCATGGCGCGCACGACCTCGACGTTGTCGGCCGCCGCCTCGATCTTGGCGTACACGGCCTCGAGCTGCGCGAGCGTGTCGGCGCGCCGCTGCAGGCCCTGCTCGGCCAACTTCTTGGAGCGCAGCGCCGCCAGCGCCGTCGTGCGCGCCGCGGGCGTCTTGGTCGCGACGGCGGAGCGGGCGGCGGCGTCGCACGCGGCGATGCGCGCGTCGAGGGCCGGGATCTGCTCGTTGAGCGAGGCGATCAGGCCGCGGAGGTGCGCGATCGTGATGTCTTGTTGGGTGATGGGGCTCGGCGTGGCGTTGGCGGGGGCGAACTTTATGGTTTGCGAGGCCGGGTCGTAGGAAAGGGCGGACTTGTCGCGGGAGAGGTGGGTGAGGAGGACGGCGATGTCGGTGGGCGTGAACTCGCGCGAAGGGGAGAGGGCGTGGGCGAAGGCGGCGCGGAAAGAGTCGAGAGAGTAGACGCGGTCGACGACGGACTTGTGGCTCGAGGCTTGGGCGATGACGGCGCTGCTAGCGGCCTGTAGGAGCGGTGGGTGGTTAGCTGCTTTCTCTCGTGCATGGTGTATTGCGCTGGCCGGGAAAGAATACCTCTAGGTTCGCCATGACAACAAATTCACCGACTGCCAGCTTGTCTTGCGATGTTGTTCCGCCGATAACGCCTAGTTGCTGCAATCCCCAAGAGAGAACCGAGAACGGGTTCAAGTTCCAGCTTCGCGAGTAGATACTGGTCTTTGCGGCGAGGAAGTCCTTCAGTGGTATCATTTCCTTGCTCGTAGCAGCATCGTGCTAGGCCAGCGTTAGCGGAACCTCTCTCCACATCATATGCCTTGTCTATGCCGGGAACGAACTATTACTGCGGCCAGCGCCAGCGGTCTGCCGAAGTCCTTGCTTGCGAGCTCTCGCAGCAGAGCTTCACCGGTGCCCAGGATGAGCAGGTTGTTGGCGCCGGTCTGAGAGGGAACGAGACCAGCTCGAGTGGCGTGGGCGAGGGCTTGACGCCATGCTAAGATGTTGGCGTGGTAGCCGTCCGGGTTTGTTGCTTGCTGGATGCGAAAGTCGGAATACAAAGACGCGAGGCGGCCTCTACTGTATGAGAGTCAGTATTTTTGCATGCAAATAGAGGTCCAGCTGGGGTATCAATACCTCTTGAAGGCGTCCTCGTGGGTGAAAATAAATTCCAGCAACTCGGACATAGCGGGCGCAGGTGTTGTCACGGTTGATGTCACTTTCGCCAAGCGAAGCGTGTGGCCTAGCAACGCGCTCGAGCCGGGGCACGGAGCATGGGGAGCCGCCCGACTTCACCTCAGCATTCATCACGGCTACGTGCGGCTTATCTTTACTCGCGCAACACTGTCCTATTCCTTGCCGCCTAGGTATCTATACACCACCGAAAAGTCCTTGCCCTTGCACTCAGGCTGCTCCGATGCTGCATCGTAAACGGCGCGAGCCGGCTCGCCCAATTCGACCTTGATGTTGAACTCTTCCGCCCCCTTCAACGCAAGCTTAAGGTCTTTGTTCATCAGGCTTAGCCCAAATCCTCCCTCATAACCCCTGCTTGCTGGCGACCCCTCAACCACTCCTGGAACTGGGTTGTTGACCTCAGAAGGCCAGCACTTGCCCGTAGCAGTGTTGATAAGATCCGCAAGCGCCTTGGGCTCGAGGCCCCACTGGATTCCCAAGTTCATGGCCTCGGCAGTCGCAATGTTGTTGATGGCCAAGAGATAGTTGTTAGCAAGTTTGCCTTTCAGCCCCGAGCTTGCAGGTCCCAAGTGCACCGTCCGCTTGCCCATCAACGACAAGATCTCGCGCACGCGGTCAATGATGTCGTCAGGCGCTCCGACCATAAAGGTCAGTGTGCCTTTCTCTGCGCCCACAACGCCTCCAGACATGGGCGCATCGACATATTTGCCCTGTCCGGTTGAGTGCACCGCGTTTGAAACTTCAAGAGACGACTGGGGGTCAATGGTAGACACGTCAATAAAGAGACGTGGCTGAGCTCCAGCTTGCTCCAGTAGTGTCGGTGGTATTAGCATGTTTGCATATACACCACGCACATGGTGAGGCTCTGGAAGAGCTGTGATGATTGTTTCCTGTATGACGAGTTAGTTGGTCTGATTGAAAGACTGTGGATTCCTGTTGGAATCACGACAAGCGTCGCAAAACGTAGTTCCCACTGGAATGATAGCGGGAGTGGGGGCGTTTTCTTAAGGTGAGCTTACCGCCTTCTCAGCAACTTCGCGCACCGATTCAGCTACGTGGATGCCTTGCGGGCCAACTTCCTTGGCAAAGTTGGATGTCGCTGTAGTGTTGACGTCGTGAACAACAAGAGAGTCTTCCTTAGGAATTTTCGCCCGCAGGTTCCTGGCCATGGGATAGCCTGCGAAGACGGTCAGTCTTGTGACCACGCGACAAGTTGGCGAACATACCCATGCGGCCGAGCCCAATGAAGCCCCATACGGCCTGGTTCGCGGGCGAGGTGGAGAATGATCGTTTCGCTGCGAAGCGTGCGGGGCGCACAGCGGAAGGGATCCGCCTCAGGGACGCAGCCATGGTGGTCATGATGAGCCGCACGCGATCAGAGTGAGCAGACAAGGCTCTTGTGGGAAGCAAGGGAGTTGGCAGATGTATGTGGACGGAGGAACGCCTCCGCTGGCCGATCCCGACCATGCCCTTCAGCCGAGGTCGTCAATGGCTGGCACATCATTCGATGCATCCCTGCGGCACCGGCGGCCTTCCGTCGATGCGGCTGCGCGACCGCCCGGCTAAGCCCCTGGGCGCTTTCGGGTCATTGAGGAACGAAACACTCCGGCAGCTTTCGTGTGACGGCGTGCGGGGGTGGGGGATGGACGCCTGATCCTCCACTCTGATGGCGGGGAGCGGTGGAGAGAAAACTGGAGAGTTTTGTGGTCCGGGAATCGCTTCGCCGCCGGAGAAAATGACCTTTTTAATCTGCATGCGATCTCTTTTGGTCTCTGTACCTGCAGGTGATAATTAGCGCATGCCGTGCCCAGACACAATTGCTGTCAGACCATCAACGTGCCATTGCTTGAGGCCTGCATGCGCGGGAAATCATTCCACAAACAGCAGTTGTGAATCTGCGTTGAGCTCTCAATCCCGTTTGAGCAGTCTTTGCCCACCAATCTGTTGAATTCACCTGCCGAAAGTTTGCATCTGCGCCTGATACCTAGTTGCAGACTAGCATGAAGAATAGTAAGGCCCTAGGCGTAGCTATGCTTTAGCTCCTTCTTGAAAAATAACGTATATGGGTGGCTGAAGCTATCGTCCGGACGTGTATGTGAAGTTTTCAATCCACATTCTTGTCTAGAGGATAGCTTCAACTACCCATGGCATGAGCAAAAAACAAATCCATGCTAGCCATCGGCTGTGAGAGGGGACTGTATGGACCGTAGATAGAATCACCCTCTTTCTCATTCTTCGACCTCAGGCCACTTTGATCTCCTGGATAAAGCGACGATGCAGATGAGGACTGAAACACCAAGAAAGACGAGGTACTGCGCCTGATACCTAGTAAACGCCGTTTTAGGTTCGTTGAATTCCTCCAACGCCGTCGCTATGCCTGAAACAATCAATTCCCTTATTCCAACTTGTCTGTCTCGGCGTGTGCTCCCTCGTCGTCTTCGGGCACGTCGGAATCCTCCGAGTCTTCAATCCGCTGCATCTGCTTCTTCGTCAACGGCTTCTTCTTCGAACGCCCGCTCGGATCGTGGCGCTCAGCGCTGATGGCGTCGAGGTACTGCTCGTTCGTCATCGACGACTTTAGCTTGGCGGCGTTCTCTGTGTCCTGCACAAACATCTTGTCGTGGTACGCTTCGAAAGCTTCGTCGGTCTAATGATGGTTAGCCGCAAACTCCAGGACGCATGCAAACACGATGGCATACCTCCTCATCATAGTATCTCAGTTTAGTCCACTTCTCTTCCTGTGCGCGGGCAAGAAACTCCTTGGATTGCATCGAATCACTGTCTTCGTTCTTGATGGTCATCTGCACAGCGCGCGGTTCATTCGCCCTTGCGCCCTCGGCGGCCTCACGCTCTCTGCGGCGGTTGGCATTGGCAAGCTCACGAACAGCATCCAGGTGATGGAACTGAGGGCGCATCTGGACGATGCCGGCGATCTTTGTGAGATGAAGCTCCTTGCCACGGTAGGTACCCAGCATGTAGATGGGCTTGCCCGTCTCCTCCTTCATAATCTGCCCACCAAGAGTCTGCTTGTTCATCACGTGTCCCTTGTCATTGGCATCGTCGAAGCGCTGGAGAAGCTGCTCCACGCTGTCCTCTTCCACTTCCATGTCCTGGATGTCGGCGCGACTGGAAGCAGCAGCTCTCGGGGGTACCGCCCCCTTTGCAAGGCCGCTGAAGCCAGCCGCCAAACCAAAGGCGCTTTCGCCGTTGTCTTGGGCCATGCGCATAGCCTCGCCCCATTTCACGCCTTTGCGCTTGTCGTAGTTTCCGTGGACGTTCACTGGGACGTCGACCTCGATGAAGCCTGTATTGGGCTTCATACGCACTTCGACGGGTTTCGAGTTGTTGCGCTCATTATACGGCTGGTCTCTTCCACGGTTGGGATATTGTAGGAGGTAGATTTGTTCTTCGAGCTCCGGTGTGATGAAGACGTCGTACTCTGCAAGGACGGGGTCGTCGTCGTGGTCTACAGCTGCAGCTGATTTCATATTAGCTTCTAGTTGAAAAAATAGCTGCGGCAAGTTTGCGCGACTTGAAGGAAGATGCGCTGGAGGGTTAAGGTGTGCCAGTCACCCAGAGCTCCTTCACGGCGCAAATAGTTGGCGGGGCGTTTAGGCGCGCAATGATCTTCAAGGTGTGCGAGAAACCAAAAATTTTCCAAGGTCTCGGGTGTGCATCGACAAGCAGCAGGCATAACGTGCGGGAGAGATAGTGCTTACGAGACATGGTGGGCTGCGATGAGGTTTCGTCAGAGTCGGCAACGTGCGGCGCGTCAGAGAGAAAAAGTGCGGCAGCGGAGGCGGAAGTGCAGCGATCGTCACGTCGGCGTTATGTAGCCAAAGTCCGGGGAAGCTGAGCTTCGTCCCGCCGCCCCGAATCTCAGAGCATTTCCATCTTCCTTCCCCACCCTGCCTTGCCTGACGCGCGGTGCCCAGCATGGCCTACATTGCGCCAATCCACCGCCCGAGCAGCGTCCGTCACGCCATCAAGCTCAATCTGCTCTCCAACGACGAGGAGAGCCTTGTGGTCGCGTGCGTGAGCGCCCAAACCATCCCGCCATGACGTCTTCCGCGCTGACCGCCCGCCAGAAAATCGAACCGTCTTGAGCTCTATCTCCAATCCGACGATGGCCTCGTCTTGCACCATTCGCAGGCCGTCTACGGCAAAGTCACCATGCTTAACCGGCTGCGCCCCGCAAACGAGCCGACCGAGCACCTCTTCGTTGGCACCGATCGTTACTACTACTTTACCATGGCCTGGAGCCCCGAGGAGAAGCAGTTGAAGACAGTCAAGACATATCAGGACCTGGCAGACAAAGCTGCCCGCGATTCTCAGACCGGAGACAGAAGCTTGCTCGATCCTACCGGGAAATTCATGACCTTGGAGCTGTACGAAGGAATCATCACCGTGGTACCTCTTACAGAGAAAGGCAAAAGGAAAGGCGACCCCGAAATCAGTGTCCTGGGCGAACCCGTGCCTTCCCGCATAGAGGAGATGTTCGTGCGCTCATCAGCCTTTCTCCATCGCAAGTCACCCGAAACCGAGAAGCCGCTCCTGGCCCTGCTTTACGAAGAAGACGAAGACAGCAAGATCCGACTGCGGCTACGTCAATTAGGGTTTCAATCTGCTGGTGCTGATGAACAGGCCATAGCAGCGCTTGATACGGTTGAGGGCTTGAAGGAAGACCTGGATCTTGGTGCAAGTCATCTGATACCCGTCCCCGCTCCATGCTACGGCGTGTTGGTTCTTGGTGAAACGTCAATTACCTATTTCAATGACTATACCAAGGCTCTCGTCAAGAAACCTCTGGATGAGTCTACCATCTTCGTTTCCTGGGAGCAGATTGACAACCAGCGTTTTCTCCTCGCTGATGACTTCGGTGGATTGTACTTGTTCATGCTCCTCCTTGACGAAGGCAGCGGTGCCGTTGAGGGGTGGAGATTAGACAGGATAGGGGAAACTTCCAGAGCTTCTGCCCTTGTTTACTTGGACGCAGGCCACGTCTTTGTAGGCTCCCATGAGGGTGATTCGCAGGTCATTCGCATTACCGAGGGTTCGACCGAGGTCGTTCAAACTTTCCACAACATTGCTCCCATCTTGGACTTCACCATCATGGACATGGGCAACAGGAGTGGGGAAGGCCAAAGTAACGAGTATTCCTCTGGACAGGCTCGAATCGTCACAGGCAGCGGTGCATTCAAGGATGGAAGCCTCCGAAGCGTCCGAAGTGGTGTTGGGCTAGAAGACCAAGGTGCGCTTGGTGAGATCGGCAGCATCTCAAACCTTTTCGCCTTGTCGTCCACAGCATCTGAAGACTTTGACGACACTCTGTTGGTTTCTCTCATCAACGAATCGCGTGTATTCTGCTTTGATGCCGACGGACAGGTTGAAGAGGTTGAGGACTTCAAGGGTCTGCAGCTCGCAGAAAGCACTTTGCTAGCCAGCAATGTGCCAGGAGGTCGGCTCCTTCAAGTCACAGAATCTGCCGTGAGGCTGACAGATCTGGAGAATGGCATGGTCGTCTCAGAATGGAACGCTCCGGCAGGCCAAATGATCACTGACGTTGACTCAAATGATCGCTTCGTCATTCTTTCCATTGGCGGCATCCGTGTCATCATCCTTTCTATCACGGATACCATCCAGGTGACTGCGGAAAAGGAATACGGTGCAGAGGACCAACTGTCTTGTGTAGCTATCCCGCACACGACCGACAACATCTGCTTTGTGGGATTCTGGCAGAATTGTGCGGTGGCAATCCTCAGCCTTGACGGACTCGAGACAATTGAGACCATCCGTCTGAGCGACGATGGCTCTTCGGTGCCGCGGTCACTTTTGCTTACCCAGATTTTTGCGGATCAAAGCCCCACTCTCTTCATTGCCACCGCAGACGGGAACGTGGTGACTTTCGCAATGGACCCATCCACCTTCGCTCTATCAGGACGCAAAAGTACTGTTCTTGGTACCCAGCAAGCTAACTTCAAAGCTCTTCCACGTGGCAACGGGTTGTACAATGTGTTTGCAACCTGTGAACATCCCAGCTTGATTTACGGATCCGAAGGGCGCCTGGTATACTCAGCAGTCACGGCGGAGAAAGCGACCTGCGTGTGTCCCTTCAACGCCGAGGCCTATCCTCGATCTATTGCAATCGCTGCGTCCGGGGAGCTACACCTTGCCGTCGTGGATGAAGAGAGGAGAACACATGTTCAGACCTTGCACGTCAATGAGACGGTACGAAGGATTGCTTACTCGCCACATCTAAAGGCTTTTGGTCTCGGTACCATAAAGCGAGTACTGAGAGATCGTGAGGAAGTAGTTCAGGGTCATTTCAGACTCGCTGATGAGGTCGTCTTCAAAGAACTACACAGCTTCGAGATGAACGAGTACGAAATTGTGGAGTGCGCGATCCGGGCCGAGCTCGACGATGGCGATGGGGGAGTAGCCGAACGTTTCATCGTAGGAACCTCGAACTTGATAGACGAAGAGGATTCAGGCAGCACAAGAGGACGGATCTTGGTGTTTGAGGTCACCGAAGACAGACAACTCAAGGTCATCGCAGAGATGTCGACCAAGGGCGCCTGTAGGTGTCTTGCCATGATCGATGGCAAGATTGTCGCTGGATTGATCAAAACGGTAAGTAAATATCCGCTGAATGGTAGCTGCAGGCCTACCGATGGCTAATAGTCAAAGGTCGTTGTTTACTCTTTCGAGTACCCTACCGCGAGCACGCCTCTTCTCGTCAAGAAAGCCAGCTACCGCACTTCGACCGCACCCATAGATATCACCGTGACCGGGAATCAGATTGCAGTTGCCGACCTCATCAAGTCAGTGTCGGTGCTTGAGTATCGCCCCAGCGCTGGAGAGCAAAACGACGAGCTCAAGGAAGTTGCACGCCACGTCCAGGTCAGCTGGAGCACGGCTCTTGCCGAGGTCAATGAGAACACATATCTTCAAGCCGACGCGGAGGGTAACCTGATCTTGCTGGAGCGCGACGTGAGCGGCGTCACCGAAGAGGACAGGAAGAGATTGATGCTCCGGGGTGACATGCTACTTGGCGAGCAGGTGAACCGTATCCGGCGCATAGACATGGCCACCGCCTCCGACGCTCCCGTCATCCCGAGAGCATTCTTTGCTACGGTAAGTCGTCGCTCATCGGTTCTCTTTCGTGCGCTGACTGAGCAACTTGCAGGTCGAGGGCTCCATATACCTCTTTGCTCTCATCACCCCGTCCAAGGTTGATCTCCTTATCCGCCTGCAGTCGCAGCTCGCGGAATTCGTGAAGAGCCCCGGCAACTACCCCTTCCTTAGATACCGCGCCTTCAAGACCCAGGTCCGCGAGGAAGAGGAGCCGAACCGTTTTGTTGACGGTGATCTCATCGAGCGCTTCCTCGACCTCAAACCACAGGAGCAGGAAGAGTTGGTGAAGGGAGTGTATGCGGAGATTGATGTTGAGGAGGTTAGGGCATTGGTGGAAACACTACGGAGGCTACACTAGAACCTATGGTGTAGGCGATGAGAAATGACGGGTGTTCGTCAGTGGTGGGCTATTAGAGAAATGAAGAGATGAGAAACGAACTGTTGACGTGAGAGGTATACAGTGCATTGATGAAGGTAGAAGCCTGTTTCAAGTAGCGTTTGAATGCTGTCTAATTTTCACCTGAGAAAAGTCTCATGATATACGGAAATTCATATTTTCTGATGATGCAGATAGATTTCACTGCTCGCCATTTCTGCCGGTTGCATTTTGGATCACATCCTCATGTTGTAGCATTTACGAACCATCTTAGATTCATTGGCCCAAACAAGCCCCATATGATACAGCGTGTCTAATGCCAGGTAGGCATGTTCGAAAAACAAAAGCGTACTGGCTGAGCCGGTCGACATATCATTTCATCTCTTTATAATCAAACATAACGATTATACAGTTAAAAAAGCTCGTAAGTCGTGACAAAACTAATCTCTGGTCGTAAAAAGACAAAAAGAGAGAGAACCCATCGCCTACTCATGCCCACCTAACGATACTCCGGATCAACCTTGCTTTGCTTGAAAAGACTCTTCCCCCTGAGCCATTGCCTGTATCTCTTATAGCGCTTCTTCTCGCCATCTTCCTCAATGACCGTCAACGGATTTTCCGGCACATTCAGGAAATCTATGTATTCGGCAAGCTCATCCCCACTAACTTCCCAGTTCCTGCCATCGCCCGTTGCACCGTTCACGCTGTTGACATACTCAACAAAATCCATGTTGGAAAAGTCATCCGGTAATTCGGTTGACACGACGAGTGGAAGATTGAGCGGATGACTGATGTATCTTTCATACTCCGATGCCTCCGCCACTGTTACGGACGGGTTGAGCGAGCTGTGGTGGAATTGGTTGAGCGTCCATTGCGCCATTTGTGATTTATCGGGTGGCTTAAACGAGGAGAAATCGGTAAGTGTGGTGGACGAGTGTGAGGGCACACCGAGTTCGAAATGAGGATCTCGTAGGATACTTTGCTTTGCGGGAGAGCCCTCGAGGAGACCGCCTGGTGCAGACGGACCTCTGGACATGGGAATTGATCCCTCCCGCATGGATTCTTCTTCACTATGTGGATCAAGAATAGTAACCCCCTTTCTGGTTGCGACCTTCTTCTCAGGCGGCTCAATCTCATGTGGAACAGGCTTTCGAGGCGTGAAAGGACTGAGATCGTAGGATTTGCCGCCACCAGGCTTCTCCGACACCAATCTCGGAGTCGTATTCATCTTGAATGTGAAGATTTTTGCGATCGACGACAGTGCTAGAGGGCGGTAGTACTCTAGCCAGTAGTCGTCGAAGGCCTCAGTCATGTCAGCTGCCCCATTCGGCGCCGGTCTGCTGCACGGAGGCAAAACACGGGGTTCCAGGAACTCCGGCGTGAACCAGTTGATGTAGTCTTTTCGCTTTTTCATCGGCCATTGTCTGGGGTCGGTGTGGTGCAAGTAGTAGTCCGTGGCGAGGTCCCAGAGCATCGGCTGGCCTTGGGCGAATTGGTAGTTTCCTAGAAACAGGTTGTATGCTTCTTGCCGCTGCGAGTCTAGAAAAGAGTTGTGGTAATATCGCTTGAAGCTCTCCACCATATCTCTAGAATGGCTTTGCCAGTGGTTGATCTTCCGATATGTCGCCATTGTATTAACGAGGTGCGAGCCGCCGTACTGGATGGCGATGGTGTCACCGTGATCATGGAACATATATGTGAAGATATTGACAGCATCGGAATCGTACTCGACGGTGTTGCCAGATATGACTCCCAGCGCTTGAAGCTGCCGACCGAGAGCACGTTTGCCAATGACAAATTGCGCAGCATTCGTCCGGTCAAGGCAATCAATGCAGTTGGTTCTTGCCACACCGTTCTGGACTTGTGGCATGTCCCGCTCCGCATCTCCATTGTGGAAGAAGCCCGTTTTTTGAAGCACGTCTTCAGCAATCATCTCTAAACTTCCAATGACATCCATGCCGCGCGTTTTTGATGCTCTGCTCATGTCGAATGCCTTGTAGTCGATCTTTTTGTCTGCGGGTAAGGATTGATTCAGGTAATCGACGGCTTTCTTGAACTCGTGTAGCAATTTGGATTCACGAGGAGTGCGCTCTCTTGCTTTGATGAGGTTCAGGACGTAGCAAGGCGCGCCATACCGCTCGAAAAGGTTGTCGAAGTGGAAGGCGGCAGCGCTGTAAAATGGATCCACAAGGTTCAGGTCGATATCGGGCTTGGGAGTCACACCGCTATTGTCCTGAGTCCAGTACAAGGGGATACTGCCTCGATGCTGGACGTACGATGTATAGGTGGGATTAGCGTACAAGCGTGGCCCAGGAGCATGGAATGACGTGGTCAGCAGGTCGGAAATGATTTGCTCGGTCTCTACATCGTTCGCAACGTAGCCGAGATCGTTTGCGCCACGCTTCAGAAATCTGGCACCAGCAAAGTATCTCGACCGCCTTGCAATGATCGTTATGTAGACGCGACGTCCGAAGATGTCCAAAGTGGACTGGTCGATAAAGCCATGGATTATGGGCAAGCACCAGTCATAGGTGTTCTTCAAAGCACCGCGTGCAGGCTCAAGGAGGTAGTGGTTCCAGACAAACATTTCTTGGAAGTCGGCCTTGGGAAATTGGTGGCCCTTGCACAGAGCTTCCCGCTCACGAATGATGTTCTGCTGAAGGGATCTGGTCACATTGTAGGCGTAGCTGAAATAGAAGGAGCGGGTCAGATCCAGGTTATTGAGGCTGCTAAGGAACCTTGCTTCCTCGGGATTCCGGTCTTTGGCAAAGCGAGAAGTGGGACCGGTGGTTAACGGGATCATCTCGGTGCCGTCTATCTGGTAGATGTAGTGCCCTCCGAGCATGGCGACGGCAGTTCTCTTGGTGATGACCAGCATGTAGTAGGCCTCGGTAAAGCGGATGAAGCCCAGCAGGCCCCACGCGACGCACTTCAGCTTCAGGCCGCCGGAGCCCTTGTTGCCTTCATCGATGGTGTTCAAGAGCTGGTTCATGTCCTTGCGGTCGTAGACGTTGTCATCCTCAAAGATATTAAGGTGGCCGGGCGGGGCGGTGCGGTCAATCTTCAGGATGCGGAACTGCATGTCCAGGACGTCGGCACCAACCAGGTAGAAGCGGTGGCTGGTCTCGTAGAGAGTGAACTTGTGCATCTTGTTGATGCCGTCCTCGCCCACCTTCTCGTAGGCCACGGCGCGGGTGCGGAGCATCTGGGCGGGGCTGTTGGAGCGCTCGAAAGACTTGGGTTCAGCAGGTTCCTCATCACCGTCGTCAAGATTCACCGGGCTAGCATCCTTCTCGGCGCCGTCGGCGGGGGGCAAGAAATCATTGACAGGCGGGACGGTGGTCGGAGCCCAATCGGCGGCCAAGCCCGGATCCAGGATGCCGGGAGGTAGCAGTGCATCCTCACGCGGGTCCATGGGGTAGCTGGGGGGATTTTCAGGGTTAGGATGCGCGGAGGCAGGGTCGGCGTCTGGCTGGTCCATGGTGACGGTCAGCTTGCGGATCGGCGGGTTGGCAGGCGGTCTCGATGGCAGCACGTGCGAAGCGCGACCATCACCGGTGACGGCTCCCGAGCGAGCAGAAGCGTCCGGGCGGCGCCGAATCCGGGAAGGGCGCAGGCGGAGTCGGTGTAGAGGGCTGGCGTAGTGTGTGGTGCGGTGCAGGTTGCAGACGAGTTGGCGTCACGACCGGGCGGAGGCTTGGCGCCCGCCGCACCGCCACAGCGGACGTGGTTGAAGCAGAAGAACACTAGTAATATATATTGCCGTAAGATAATAGGGTATATGGACCCGCGAAAGACTCCTCTCAAGCCACCAGCAAGACGACCAAAGCATGACATGACAGACTTCCTGCACGATGAACAGTAGACAAACTCCTCCCAACCGTGAATCCGAACCGCGCGTCTCTGCACCCTTACCGGTGCACGTCAGAGCTGTCGCCGCGCATGCGCTGGTACTGCGACTTGTACTCGAGCAGCTCCTCCTGCTCCTTCTGCCAGGTGTCGTCCTCCAGCTTGTGCGCCTTGGCGCCCTGGTTGCGCTTCTTCAGGCACCAGAAGATGAATGCGCCCGCGCACACGGCGAAGCCGCCGAGCGCGCCTGCGATGATGCCGCCGCGCGTTGACGCCGGCATCGCCGCCCAGTGGCCCGACACGCCGTGCACGCCGTACAGCTCGTCGTAGGCCGCCGAAGTGCCGCTGTGGTTCCGAGTCAGCCACTGCCGAGACATGCAGGGGTCCGCCCCGTGCATGTGAAACAGAGTGATACTTACTTGATGGCTTCGATGCTCTCGTAGCTGCCCGTCATGTCTCCCCACTTGTACTCTTTGCCTTCGCTGTAGTCCTCGATGTAGACGTCGCGGATGGTCATGGTGAAGGGCGCATCGTGCCACAGCACTTCGCCACCGGCCCACTCGACGGTGCCGATGTTGTTGTTGTCGGGATCACCGCCGGGCCAGTTGCCGAGGCGCAGGTTCATCGGCGTCTGCGGGTAGTTGTCGCCGTTGTTTGCGTCCTCGTACTTGAGCGTGCGGATGAGTTCGCCGTTGACCCACCACTCCAGCTTTTCCTTGGTCCAATCGATTGTGTAGTTGTGCCACACGTTCTGCGGGTCCTCGATCGGGTGCCAGACCGCACGGTCGTAAGTCGTCGTGTTGCCCTTGCCGAAGTAGTTAGACTGCCAGTGGGTGTTGTTTCCACCGATCCACTCGATGTCGATCTCGTCCAAGTCCTCCGACTGCAGCACGATACTGCTGACGATGCCCTGGCCGGGCGACGGCTTCATGACGATCTCGACACGGCCGAAGAAGATGTAGAAGCTGGACATGATGGACACCGAGTCACCCTGGCCACCGATAGTAAATTCACCACCTGCGCGGCACGTTAGCATCATTGCGGGGCCGTGGCGGGCGTGCGAGGACTACCTCTGGTGGTGAAGTCAATGGTCCCTGCAGTCTTCGTCCACAGGTCCGAGTCGGCCTGCGTCTTGTTCCAGTGGAAGGTGGCATTTGTACCGAGGGCAGGGTTGTTGTCGCAGGTGGTGTTGAGAGGGTTGCAAGAAGTCCAGGTCTGCGCCAAAGCCTGGGGCAGAAGAGTGGCTGCAAGCCCGGAGAGGGCGAATGAGCGTGAGAGGTACATGATTAATGCAGCTGTGGCTGGTGAACGAGGGGCGGCCTGGGGAGCGAATGAGCGATCGGCGCGGGAGCCAGGCGCGATGGAGGCCTTGTATAAAGAATGTCGGGGGCGCAAGATATAAAGAATGGCAGTGCAGGCGCGCACTGAAAAATGCAGACACTCTCGCAACGGAGAGGAAGGAGAGGAGGCGCGATAGAAGAGGGCGAGGTGGTGGTGCAGAGGCACGGACTTAGCGAGTCGCCGCGGACGAGGGATAGGCCGGCATGAAACGAGCGGGCTCTCGGCGGCTCAGATTAAGGGGAAAACGCCAGCAGCGAGTCCAAGCCGCGGCCCCGGTGCGTGCGGCAGCTCCCGCCGTGGAAAAGCCTGCCGCCGCGGCGAGTGCTGAATACGAACAGAGCAGTCCACTGCGGAGCCCAGATATGTGATCGCCGGTGGCAGAGAAGCTGCGTCGCCGCGCGCTGCCAGAAAGCCCGCCAGGGGTCGCTGCATAACGCCGTTCGCCTGCCGTTGGTTGACTCGCCACAGCCCGATCACCAGTGGATCCCTTTTCCATTTCGGTGAGTCCGCTCTTCGGCAATGACGTTGGATTTAGGCCCCTTATCCGTCTCCGGCTCCCGAAAAATGCTTGTCTTGCGCCACGACCACTCCTCGTGTCCCTCCTATTCACACTCCCTAGAGCCAATAGAAGCCGCTGTCACCGACCAGCCGCCATCCGCCCCAGCGCCTCCGCTTGCTGCTCGTGAGAGTATTTAGATCGTCGGATGCGCCAGGATGTGCCAGGATGGCCTGCGCACCCCTGCTTGCCGCGTGCGCCAAATCATTTGTCCGCCAATGCACCCGAGTGCTTGGAAGCCCTTGGTCCGCCAGAGCACGCCCCGCCGCCAAGCTCAACATGCCATTTTCCTCCGCCTTACCGAGAAGGGTTCATCTCCGCACGCCCAAGGCTTGAACGGCTGGCCCGACTACACCCTAGATATATTTATCGTCAGCATTTCGGACCTTTTCCAGATGTGGCCGTGCAAATAACTCGCCAATCCGCCGCCGGGCCCCATGATGGCTCAGACTTGCCTTTGCTTGATCAACGACTTGCGCCTCTCCCGCAGGCTGACGACAGCAATACCCGGTTATCGTGAGGAAAACCCAGAGTAGCTGCGCTCGCCGATGCTTGGGGACGCTCCATCTCACAAGTATCTATCATGGTCCGGTTGCGCTTGCGCGCCCCCGGCCAATCATCACCACCATCGTGAGGGGGGCTCAGCCGAGACTGCTCCCAAAATACACTCACCTGTTTATTTTATTGCCTGCGTCCCCTTTACCTTTCCAGCCTCCATTTTGGCCGTGCGAGCTCCGAATTGAATCTATCTTGCGTTAGCACTTCTCAGTGGCTTGCAGGATCGAGCAGAGCAACTCACTGCGCGCTTCTTCTCAGCTGCCACTCCCCTCATTCCCAGCGTCCATGCGAGGAGTCGTAAGACCTTCTTGCCCGGCTCCATCATCTCGCCCCTGCTGCTGTCCTGTCCGAACCCAGTCTTCTCCCAGACCGGCGCCTGCAGCGCCCAAGAGAGCAACTGCTCGTCTAAATATGGAAAGCGCACTTCTTTACCCCAGTTTGAAATGACTCGGTCATCTCGGCCCAGGTTCCGCTTACCGAGCCGGTTGATGTCTAACTCAAGTTCGTCGACAAGACCGCTGAAGCCGTTGCGGCTGAAGGCTGTGGCGTGGCGCTGGTATCCGGCAAAGAGCTCGTCCGCCCCGAGTCCGGACAAGAGGATTCTCGCAGGGGTCGCATACTCGACTTGTTGGCCCGCGAGCTCCTTCACCGTGCCACTGCCACGGGAGGCGAAGTAAAGAGCATACGAGATGGACAGATCCATTTCGGTATTGTGCGGGTGCATCAACGCGATGACCACGTCGCGGTGAGCCAACGTCTCCACATATGGAACATTAATTTCAACAAACCTCCAAGCTCGCTCTGGGCAGACCTCGCACAGTTCGGCATAGGAAGCCCTACCGGTAATTCTGTCGGGGCAGAGCTCGTAGGGCGAATACTCGGACCCGCTCTTATCGGTGTGGGGACGATGGATACGAGGGTTTTCGAATGCCACGTTAAGAAGATCGACAGGCTCGGAATACGGCAAAATTTTGTGCGCGAGACGAGCGATGACCGTGCAATCGAGCCCACCAGAGAAAAGAACAGCGATTCTCGCGAGGCTCTGGTCCTGCTTGCCGCCGTGCACAGGGGGCATCTCGTTTCTCAGGCGCAGTTTGAGCGATCTCGTAAGATGATCCCTCAGCGAGTGCACAGGCGACGATTCTTCGGCTAGTACAGGCGGACTTGTAGACACGGCGCGATTCAGTGGGGGGTATGGCAGTACCTGACGGCGGAGTCAGTCAACTCAGTCAAGGCTGGCTAATCTGCCTGGGACTCACCAACGCCTGGCGGGCAACATCGTTAGTGCCTGCATGCAGGTAGGGAATGTGGGTGACATGGAAGGTGGTCGAGATGCTAGCGTCCAAATCAACCATGTAGATGCCGTCGGCTTCAACCTCGCGCCAAGACGAGCTGACATGGCCGTCACAAATGCTCGAGAGGACGAAGTCACCGGCATCGTTGGTGCTCTGCAGCAGTGAACGTCGACCCAGGCAATCTCTACCGTAGAAAAGGCGGTGGCCAATTGCGTCGTAGAAAACGAAGGCGTAAGGCCCACGGATGCGGGAAATACAGTCGACGACAGCAGAGGCCGAGTTGGGCAGATCTCGACCGCATGCGTCTTGGAAAAGCTCCAAAACAGCCTGTGAATCGTTGCCGGTCACGGGCTCTTGGTCGATCTCCCAGGCTTCTCCATTCCAGCACAGGACCGAGCCAGAGGCATGATCCAGCAGGGGCTGCGCGACGACGCTCGATCCGCGCAGGGCCAAGACCGTCGAGCGGAAGACAGCATGCACACGGGCGGCAGCGTCAATGGTGCGCTCTAGGGCGTGGCAGCAATCGGGGCCCCTGTTGTCCAGGAACTGCGCGGTGCCTCGGTCGGGGTGCACATGTTGCTGGCGGCTCAGCGAGGCAAAGATGCCGCACATTGGGTCTTCGGAGGTGAGGTGGGATGGGGGCGGGGACAGAAATAGCTGGGTCTGCGGGCGACCCTTGGCGCGCATGACGAAGGCGGTGGAAGGCGCTAAGCCCTACTGCTGCTCTCCTCCTGCCAGACCACCTGCACCTTATCGACCATCTCCACGCTCCCCGAGTCGCAAGCCCCTCCGCACCACCACTGCCGATCTCCTCCAGACCTCCGCCTCTCTACCATTACGCCCGCCCCGCCGCATGGGACCTTGGGCTGCCCGTCTTGAGCTCCCGCCCCGCCCTGCTGCCCGCACCGCGGCTGATGTCTCCCCCGGAGCTACTCGCTAAACCCGACGACCAGTCTTCTTCTGCTGACCCTGCTGCCCCGCCCCCGCAGCCGTCTCATCAACCCTGCGATTCTGCCTCTAGCGTCGACAATGTCGATTCGAAAGACCCCGCCGCCGTAGCAACCTCTGCGAAGAGTGAAGCTAATGTCGAAGAGGGTGCGCCTCTGGCCGAGGTGCCTGCGGAGACGGTTGGCAGTGGCACTAAGGCCTCTGATGCCTCTGCCGAGCCTCCAGAAGCTCAGCTGAATGCGCTATCCCTGGAATCCGCCCCTCTCGCCTCTCAATCCGCCGACAGGGTGCGCTCTCCGCCGCCGCCGCCCCCTCCAGCAAAGGACGAGAAATACCTTGTACCCAAACATAGCTATTCCCCTGCTCCTGAGTCGCCTGTATCCCCCGGCTTCCCGCCGCAGGACTACGAGGCTGCTGCTTTCAACGAGAAGGATGATGCCGCTGCGTTCGGCGAGAGGGATGACGCTGCGGGCAATACAACATCCACCGGTGCAACGGAGGACTCGAGGTCTGAAATACAGAGCATCATGGACCAGTTCGGCGAAGGCGGCGAAGGACCTGGCATGGATGAAATCATGTCTCCAAGATTGGAGAAGACGAACCCGACGTTCGGTCAGCCGCAGGCCTTCCCACCCAGGAGGTCAAGCCTGCTACCACCCGAAGCCAATCCCTCTCACGTTCAGCAGAACCTCGAGGCGCCACCTTTGTCTCCTGTTATCCAGTCTCCATTGCCTCCTGGCATTTCGTCGAACACCTCGTTACCCAGTCCTGCTACCGACCAGGCTCCTATTCCAAGCCCCGCCCCGTCGCATCCTCACTCCATATACAAGCCCCCACCCCCGGAACCCGATCCCGAGCCAGATCTTCCTTTTGATTTCCATCGATTTCTCGAACAATTGCGCCACCGCACGGCCGACCCCGTTGCAAAGTTCCTCCGATCGTTCTTGTATGAATTTGGCAAGAAGCAATGGATGGTCCATGAGCAAGTCAAAATTATAAGCGATTTCCTGGAATTCATCAGCAAGAAGATGGCACAGTGTGAAGTCTGGCGTACAGTATCAGATGCCGAGTTCGATAATGCTAGGGAGGGGATGGAGAAGCTGGTCATGAATAGGCTGTACTCTCAGACTTTCTCTCCTGCGATACCGCCGCCAGAACCCATGTTCGGTAAGGGCCGGAGAAGGGGGACACCGGCAGGCCCAGGGAGACGGGGCCAGCATCAGGAAGATGTTGAGAGGGATGAAGTCTTGGCCCAGAAAATCCGGATCTACAGCTGGGTTTCAGAGGAACATTTGGACATCAAGCCTGTGAACGACAAGGGGATGAAGTTCCTCAAACTCGCTCAGCAAGGTAGATATTCCCGATGCCTCCCTGGCCAAACCGGTAAGCTGACTTGTTTCCAGAACTCCTCAAGATTAAGAACTACCGGGCTCCCCGAGACAAAGTCATTTGCATTCTTAACTGCTGCAAGGTCATCTTTGGTGAGTGAACTTCCAAAAACTTACCGCATAGACGATCTGATCAAATCAGGGTTCCTACGAAATGCACAGTCGGATCAGTCGGCAGACTCATTCGTTCCCTTGCTTATCTTCACCGTTCTTCGAGCGAATCCGGATCACCTAGTTTCAAATGTTCAATACATCCTTCGGTTCCGTAATCAAGAGAAGCTTGGGGGCGAAGCAGGCTATTATATCTCATCTTTGGTAAGAGGGTGGTCCTGGCTAACACGAAGTGCTATGTGCTTACTCATGGCGTCCAGATGGGTGCTATCCAATTCATTGAGAACCTCGATCGGACCAGCCTCACAATCACCGACGAGGAATTCGAGAAGAACGTGGAGGCGGCTGTTTCCGCAATTGCGGAAAGGAATTCTTTAGACGAGCAACGCCAACGACCGCAAACCCACAACCGGCATCCATCACCAGGAGTACACGTTTCGGAGAAATCGTCGCTCAGTAGACCCGAGGTAACTCCAAGAAATTCCCTAGACGCAGAGCGCGTTCCCGCGAGAGCATCTTCGTCGCGAGGTGGATCGAGTGCGGGCAATGGGCAGGACGGCGAGGAAGAGAACGCAGCAGTGGCAGGGCTTCTACGCACCATCCAGCGACCATTGTCTACAATAGGCCGTATTTTCTCGGATGACAACATGTCCGAGAAGCCAAGTCTCTCGCAACCCGTCTCTACCCCTCAGCCAGAAAACACGCCCCGCTTGACACCCGACCACCGTAGCAGTGAAGATGCGCGGCGGACGGCAGAGAGGAGGAACCTGGAACAGCGACAAGCCTTCAGTGCTGAAGACGCAGCCGCTAGGCAAGCAAGTGCGGAGGCTGAAGAAGCGCGCAGGATACAGCGTCAGGAGCACCGAGTCGTGGTCGAGACGCTGGCGGGCATGTTCCCGGACCTTGATCGCGACGTCATTGACGACGTTGTCAGAATGAAGGAAGGCCGGTAAGTCTTCAACGTCCACCATCATACCAGGATCAAGGTCTAACGAAATCGTGGCTCAGAGTCGGGCTGGCAGTTGACGCTTGCTTGTCATTGAGCAACTGAGTAGGTTTTTCCAGCTGGAAGAGGGGAGCACGTCTTTTCGGCGTTGCACGGATCATTGAGGCGGTCACCTAGCAGCTATCTTCTGAGGAGGTGGGTGAAGGCCTCTTCTTCAGGCCTCTCTTATCTCAGATATCGGAGGACGTAGCAACGTCCATGGGTCAACTCCCCGACAGAAGCGCTGGCTCTTCCCACACCTGCATTCTATGTGAAGATGAACTGACAGGAGATAAAACTGAGGCCTAACTGCAATAAAATGAAACTAGTCCCTTAGCACCCTGTCTCCAAACGCCGCCAACCCCGATCCTAATCCGCGCTTTTTTTTGGTTGTGTATATGCATTGTCAGTCAATCAGCCGTTAAGACTACCTTTCTGGTGTTGAGAAATTTCGTAACCGGGTATTCGGAAAATTGACAAACGTGAAATGGGAAGGCTTCCATATGAGTACAGCCGTGCTTCCAGCCAAGGTAAAGACCTCTTGGATATAAGAGCAAGCGAGCATGGTAAAGGCCTGATCGACCTAATGATGCTTCTTTGCTGTGCTGAACCCCTCAGGGGGGGTCACGTGAGCTCAGTAATGTCTTTTGAGTATTTCTAGGTTGCAAGGTTTCGCTCGCGACTAGTGTGGCAAAAGTTTCGCGGCCCTTCTTTCTTGAGCGTCTAGTATTTGGCAGAAGTAGGCGTGGTGGGCGGTCAAATTGAGCGACCCAGGCTCGGTCTCGAACCTCTTGGCACGAGCATCATGCGCTAGCGCAATGCACAACAGCCAGCATGTCGGAGCGAGCATTTGCCCGGAGTAGTTAGTATTGTCCAACGCTATGGACCCGAAAGGCGCGGCAAGGACTATCAGTATGGCCGCGACGATGGCGCAAACAAGGCGTTGCTTTCCTCGATCATGCTCTCAATCTGCTCTGGCCCATGAGTTTGAAGGCTTTCCAGAAGCTCGAATTGTTGTGCTTGGTTCAGCCCTACACCGGACCTTTCCATACTCCATGAAGGCTGCTCATTCCCCAGGTAATCGCTGTACAAAGCTCCAACAGCTGTTGCAAGCGGCGCTCCCGAGAAATCTTCTACAGAGTTCTGGTATCGCTGATGTGGAATTTGCTGGCCGTATGCATCTGGAGTTTGAGAGGTTGTGAAAGAAGGCGACCATGTCGGTAAATCCGGGAAAGACACTGGTACCGGATTATATTGCATTTGCTGGTCAAATCCGGGACTTGATATGTTGGTCATGCTACTTGGTGAGCTCATGTCGGCCGTCATTGGTATAGAGTTTGTTGGCGTAGACTGCGTCGACTGAAGATGCTGCGGTGATTGATAGATTGGGAAGCCCGTTTGATTCTGGTCATTGTTCATATTGAAGTCGAGTTTGGTTTGGGGAGAGATGTAGCCGAAAGGCGCGTCGGGGCGCTCTGGGGGAGTCGATAGTGACCCGGAAGATACTGTTGCTGGACTCATTGTTCGAGATCTGGTGCTGCCGTCGTCTCTTATACTCGGAGATGCAGCTGAAGCACTGTCGGACGGAGATGTGGCAGATATCGGAACGTCTCCCTTCTTTTCGTACACCTTGAGGCAGGCCTCAATGAGGTTTTGATAGAGGACTCTGGCAGAAGCGACACCAGGCCATCGCTCTGAAGCCAAGTCGATAGCATCCAATGCAACTTTAAGATGGCGTTCCACATCCTCTCGAGAGTGCATACGACGGACTTCGGCGTATGAGAGCGACCATAGCATGGTGTTGATGGCCATGAAAATGGACTGAGTGAAGATCCAAGTAAGTTCAACGCTTCTCGTCTCAATCTGCTTGCGTTGCATGTAAATGTTGTATTCACAAGCATCGTAGCATTGAGTTGCAGCCCGAACAGAGGGGCGGGATACTTGTGGCGAGGGGCGGAACAGGAAGACAATCATCGTATTGTAACGGCCAACAAACCTGTATCACGGCGAAGATCGTTAGCATATCATGTGTGCAACCACAGTCAGCGCGAGATACGCACCAGACTTTGTTGAGACCGGATCCACCATCAACCTCGGGGCTCGTGTCTCTCCAAGCAATCAGTTTCGCTTCCATCTGCTGAAACCAAGGGTCCTGATCATCTTTCGGCTCCGGTCTCTTTTTCTGATACAATTTTCTCCGAATCTCCAATTGCAACAGCCTCATCCGGAAGAAGTGGATGGCAATCCATTTTTTGAGGCAAGGCTGAGCAGGTGCGATGCCAGAAGGCTGGATATAGTGATCTTCGACCATGGAGAAGAACTGGAGGTCAAAATGCTCTTGGCGCGTCGCCATAATTGCCGGACGGCCCAAGCTATGTGCCAAGCCAAGGTCCATGGTCAAGATACACCAGAAAACACGCCGTCTCATGTCCACCTCGAGAGGGTCGGCTAGCTTTCCTCCTTTCCCTAGTACGACGGTCTTTTCCTCGTTCAACCCAAGCGCCTCGGCCAATCTCACGGCTAGGCCCACGATGTAGTATACAGCGGTACGGGTAGGTGTGGTCAGAGAGTAGCCGGCAATGAGGCAGAAGCATTGGATTGTGCCCAAGTCCATTGGTTTGACCGCATCTTCAAGGTAGCGCAAGGCTGCGAGATAATATGCATCGGCTAAACCAGCATACTGGGTGTCCATTTTCTGCAAGCTGATGGCAATGACCATGCGTACCATGAAGTTCTGATAGGAGTTGGCGGCATTATTGTAAACGGCTTCGACGTCTTGTAAGAAGGACGGCTCGTGGACGATGGGGTACATGGGCTGGACTGCAAGCACACACTGTCAGACGCGGCACGTACAGGCCCATGGGAAGACTCGCCTTTGAGATAGAAGAGCTGGACGAGCAGATTTGTCAGGTCGCGGGTTGGCAACTCCTCGGCAGCGACATCGCTCACGAGCGGGTAGACTTTGGACGTGGGCTTGGCATCCTCTTGACGGAAACGCTCCTTGACGAAGCGGGCGTGCGAGTCGGGGACGATGTCAGAAATGCTCTTGGAATCGGTGAACTGCTTGGCCAGCTGCATGACCAGCTTCACGATGGCAATGCCGCTCGACGGGCCGAGGAAGCGGTTCTCGTCGCTCTCGTGGATGCGCACGGCGGCAGCGCCGCGCACGACGTCCTCGGCATCAGGCTCGTAGTCATCCTTCTCCAGCTCCTCCAACTGGCGCTCGAGATCGCGGACCTTGTGCTGCAGATGGACGACGTAGTTGCGGGGGATCTTTGCGTTCTTGGCAGGGTCGAAGTACTCGCAATGGGCGTTGTTGCGCTCGCAGGGTCCGCAGCGGGGCAGGCCGGGGTCGCATCTTGTTTTCCTCTGGCAGCACTCAGTCAGCAGGGTGGCGACAGCGGCGAGAGTGGGAGCGTACGGTGCGGCAGCGCACACAGGCCGTCAGCGTGTGGGCGATGCGGGGCCCCGAGTGCGCGTCGCCGGCGGCGCGCTTGCCTGGCGGGGCGGAGGAGGGGTGCGCGGCGGCGTGGGCGGCTTCCATGGTCTACGATGGGGCGGGCCTCGAGACTGGGAGAGAGGACAGGCCGCACGGGGCCATGGCGGAGGTCGAGCAGTCGCGGGCGGCACTTGGGACTGGGCTGGGACGAGCCTCGCAGGGCAGGCGGGATCGTCAAGCCGCAGGGCCGGGCGCCAGGCTCGCGAGCAGGCACGCCGGGCTGGGCTGCACTACGGCTCCGGTGATAGGCTCCCGTCCGCGTCGCCTAGAACCGCATCATCACCTCTCGGCGGCCCGACTGCCCCCAAACTGCTCCCACGACCTGCCCGACCTGCCCGACCTGCTGCCTGCGGTGCCGTTTGCGCACGTCCGCGTAACCCGCCCACGTTGTGATACCCCACGCCGCCCGACACCCCGCCCGCATCAAGACCCCAGGTGAGCCGCCGCGCCTGTGCGCCGCCTCGCCCACGCACGTCCGCGCATTGATTGACATGTTTCCAGACGACACCGCGCCAGACAGCGCTCTGATGGTGCTTGAGACGCCGCTGCTGCGCGTCAGCCGGCCCGTCGCCGCCTGCTCGAGATGCCGCAGCGCCAAGGTCAAGTGTGATGGCAAGCTCCCCGCCTGCACCGCCTGCGAAAAGGCCAACCGCGCTGCCGAGTGCTCCAGCACCAACGACCAGTTCGCCCGCGGCAAGGAGCGCAGCTATGTTGCCACGCTGGAGGCCCGCGTCGAGAAGCTGGAGAAGCGCCTGCAGGAAGCCCGCTCGCGCCGCCACTCGTCCGTGACCATGACCGATCCTGATGTCCACCACACTCCCCGTCCCGCGCCCTCGCCCGAGGCCTCCAAGGCCACGGACAAGGCCGCTCGCCGCAAGGAGGAGGCCGACATCAACGACCTCGTCTCTGACTTTGGGCTGCTGTAAGCCTACTTCCCGCTCGCTTGTAACCGCCCGCTGAGCCCCTCCAGGTCAGTCAACGCCACAGCCCGCGATTTCTACGGATTTACTTCCGCCATGTCCTACGCTCGCCTCATTCTGTCTGCCTCGTCCAAGGAGCCCTTGCCCTCGGGAATGGCCAAAAGCCTTCCCCCACGATATGCCATCACCCCCCAGATCCAGCATTACCTCAACACCATGTTCGTGCTCCTGCCCATCCTGGACGAGACCAGCTTCTATGGCTCCGTCGACGCCGTTTACCAGCCCGACCAGCGTACCGCCTCTCCCATCGATATCTGGACGCTCCGCATGGTCCTTGCCATTTCGTCCATCAGTTACTCGGAGCAACGCGGAGATGTGCATTACAGTGATGCTATAGGTCACGTCAACGCAGCTCTCGAGCATGCAGAGGCTGTGCTCCGGCCGGGCTCTGTTGCGAGCATACAGGCCATGTTGCTCCTGGCACAGTACTCGATGCTCGATCCGCATCACTTCGACAGTTGGACCTTGGTTGGCGCTGCGTCCCGGGCAATGGTTGACCTCGGGATGCACGTGGATCCCTCAAAGAGCGCCTCGATGAGTAAGCCCAAACTTGAGCTTCGAAGGCGCGTATATCATTGTTTGTATGCCATCGACAGGTTAGCATCCCTCTGTCTCTTGTCTTAGCTGGGAGGCTAATGGTGTGCCCTCAGGGAAACTTCATTGGTTCAAACCAGGTCCTTTTCGTTCTCCGATGACTCGGCCAACGTCGCACTTCCGTTCTCTGGCAGCGGGTCTTCTGCCTTGAAGACGGCTTCGTTGAACCAATGGGGTCAGTCATTTGAATCAGCCCTTGATCTTTTCCGTTTACGCCAGATACAGTCAGCCTGGTACACTGATCTCTTCCAGTCGGAACGTGACGCTTGGGCAGACCCTTACCCTCGTCTGTGGAAGATTTACAATTCGATGGCGTCCTGGTTCACGAAACTTTCGCAGAAGATCTCGCCAGCCTCCCGTACCTATTTCGAGCTCGAGCTTCTTTACAGCTACGTCTACATACTCTCGCCAAGTCCACGCTGCCCCAGGATTGGCGACTATGCTCAACGGCTTATCGTCGAGCATTGCGCCACGTATTCATCAAGGCTGCTAGCAGTGTTGTCCGAGGAATCGAATGAGAAGATGCCCGTCACGTTCTATGACGCTATGAGAGCGTACATGACTGGTCGCCAGTTTGTGGATGTGCTCTCGAGGAACCAGGAGTCACTTTTGGAGGGCCCACGTCCGATAGCATCACGAGCAACGTCTACATCAACGACCGACGATTACCTAGATCCTATGTCAAGCGGTAGTGACACATTACCGCCACCATTCCCGGAAGCGAGAGGCGGAAATAATGAGAACCAGGTGGTTAAAGCCATAAATACCATCAACAACTTCTCGGCTATCCTAGCGCGCCTAGGAAACCGCTTTGGTTACATCAATTGGCGCGACCGGTTCCAGCAGGATGCGGCGGCTCTATTGACCCAACTTTACGTTCGATCACAGCAACAGAAACAAGATATGAACAACGGGTATGGGATGTGGAATGCCACAGGCAGCCCTGAAACAGACTCAGTGTCCGGATCGTCACCAGCAACGTACTTTGACGGGTCGACAGCAGGAGGTTCGCAGTCGTATGGATATTCCGACGGTAACAGCTACCAACAGCTTAGCCCCGGATGGCCAGCATCCAGCGGAGCGTCGAATCGGAGGATCTATCAGCTTGGGCAGGCGACGTCTGCAAACTTGGCTGCGAGCACAACGGTAGCAATGGCTGACGATATGGGTCTAAATACTGCGTGGGAGACATTACCAGGAGGAAGCATGAACGCCCGGTTTTCATGAGCTATGAATACATGTAGCGCTGGGTGGATTTTTTGTGCGTGCGAATAAAGCATTTGAATGGGCGTGTGGTAGTGGTTTCTAGGTGCTGGCGGCATTTTAGAGCTGTTTTTACCTCTGTAGTTCCCATGGGCTATTATTACAACAGGCGTTTGGACTTGGGCGTTCAGATCGGCGGAGCATGCATGACTCGGCATCCGGCGCGGGCCCTACATAGCTCCCGCTGCCGCAGGAACAAGCTCCACATCTCCACAACAGCTCCAGTCTCATCCACTGCGAACCATGACGCCTTGAACAGACGCGCTTGTCCTCCCTCTCTCACCCGTCGACCATGCACTTGCCCATCAGATGTCTGCGCCTCATCTTGCTGGCAGTCGCAGCGCTGCCCAGCGTGCACGCCGCTTCCGACAAGAAAGGCGGCCAGCACGCGCTGAAGGCATCCATCGACAATGCCAAAGCCCGTGAGGCTTGCCCTGATTACACTGCCTACGCAAGGCACCGTCAGTATGTGTCGCCCATACCAGAAGATGCCAGCTTTCGCTAACTCTTGCTGTACTACAGCCCGCCCTACAGCGAAGGTCCGATGGAACTCCCCTACCAGCGCCCGGCCGCCGTGTGTCGCACATTCGAATCCCCGCTTGTTGAGGAAATCATAGATGAGCTTAAGCAAAGGATGGTGGACAAAGACCTGGCTCGAATCTTCGAGAATGCCTTTCCGAACACGTTGGACACAACGGTACGCTGGCACGTTGAAGGGGACAAGACGATAATGCCAAACATGCGCGCGCCATGGCAAGGCGCCCAAAGTTTCATCGTTACTGGAGACATCAATGCCGAATGGCTACGAGACTCGACCAATCAACTTGCCCAGTACCAGAAATTGGCTAAGAAGGACAAGGCTATCGAAAGTCTAATCTTGGGCGCCATCAACACCCAGGCTGAGTTTGTTATCGGATCCCCGTATTGCAATGCTTTTCAGCCACCCCCTCCGAGTAAGCTCTCGCCCTCGAATAATGGCATGGATGATGTCGTTCATCCAGTCTACGAACCATCCTTTGTCTTCGAGTGCAAGTACGAGTTGGACTCGTTGGCACATTTCCTCTCGCTCGCCAACCAATTCCACAGCCATACCGGATCTACTGAATTTGTGAACACACGCTGGTATACCGCACTCAATACGCTCCTGGATGTTCTCGATCAACAATCAAAGCCAACTTTCGATAAGAACGGCGACTTTAGGAAGAATGAGTATACCTTCAAGCGTCATACCGACGCTGGAACCGAGACGCTCAACCTTGGCGGAATTGGCAACCCTCTCAATGCTGGCACCGGCTTGGTACGCAGTGCATTCCGGCCGAGCGACGACGCGACCATTCTCGGCTATCTCATCCCTGCAAATGCTATGATGGCCGTCGAGTTGAAACGCTGTGCAAAGATGCTCGAGAAAGTTGGTGGTGCGAAGGCTATCGAGTATTCGAAGAAAGTCATGTTGTACAGTGAAGCAATCGAGGCGGGTGTGTGGGAACACGGCGTTGTCCACCACAAGAAGTACGGTGATGTTTTTGCATTTGAAGTCGACGGCTTCGGTTCCTCAATCTTGATGGACGATGCGAACCTTCCATCGCTCTTGGCGCTTCCTCTACTCGGCTTTGTCGATGCAAAGGACCAGACATATCAAAACACCAGGAAAATGATCTTGGAGAAGCAGGGGAATCCCTATTACCTCAAAGGCAAAGCTTTCGAGGGCATTGGCGGTCCACATATCGGTCTTCAGAATGCCTGGCCTATGAGCTTATTGGTTCAAGCCATGACTTCTGATGACGATGAAGAGATCACGGAGGCCATTAACTATGTAAAGGCGGCTAGCAAGCTTGGCTTGGTGCACGAAAGCGTCGATGTCAATTATCTGAAGAGCTACACCAGTGAGTCTCTTCGTCATCGAGATGTAATGACGCCGTGGAAACTAATTTGGTACCAGGGCCTTGGTTTGCTTGGGCAAACTCCGTCTTCGCACAAACAATCCTCGACTTGGCAGAACGCAAGCCTCACCTCCTCTTCGGGCACGGTTCCAAACCTTACAAGATCGCATGAGGGAATTCATCAGAACGTGAAAATGTGGATTGATGAATAGGAACATAAAAAAATGCTTTGCGTATGTGCTATGGACACCGCTGCCAACTTGAAGATGCAAGAACAGCCTAACATCACGGGGCTCAAATATCCAATTAAGACACCACCGGATCACAATGCTTGCGCGAATGTCCGGTTGTTGCTCGATTATTCCACAGTGGGACGAAGGATCCATGGTAGATTGTATTTTACCATTCGAAAGCGTGTTTCGTAAGATACTTACCCGGGAAGTTGGGTTGAGAGAATTCTCACGCTACTTGTACGTCCAGATACTGATTACCCATAGAACCTGGCTATGGCTGCAAGGATGAGTCAAGAAGCATATTGTCCTTGCAATCCTCTGTGATTACTACAATGCATCCTAGCTGAATGTTTTGGTGGTGAGATGGAGGGGAAGCACCGAATCTCGTGCATACTCCTCGATGAACATCGGAGCACCCTCTCTTTAGAAACGGAGTTGTAGTCTTAAAATTCCTCAAAAAAATGAGTAGTCGTACGGGCATCGTATTCCTCTAGGTGACCAGCATTGCCTGAGGCGCCGCCCCACAGCCCGAGTGATTTCCAGGCGCACACCCCTTTCAAGATACGAGCATCTTACGAAGATAGTGATAAGATTGCTCTCGACTCGAGTACCCGCAAATGACGTATCTCTGCAGGTCAGTTCCTGGTTGCAGGGGCCGGGAGCGCTAAACCTTACCACAAGCACGGGTCCGCTGCCGTTCGATGAAGCTGCAGCAAGTCGCGCCTGCCTTGTTGCCTCACAGTATAGTACACCACCAAGCCAGACTCAACACCATCGTCGCCCGCATGGCTTAGTGGTACAGCGTCGCACTCGTATGTCTCCATGCAATGCGAAGATCCCTAGTTCGATTCTGGGTGTGGGCAATGATTTTTTGCCTCCGTTTTGTTCTCCCCGAACGGGTGGGCAAGTGGCCTGAAAGACTGATCGTTCATATATACATCCATTACGGTATTCGTATAACTACATGAATATCTACGTGTAGAAGTGCCAGTCGTCTCCGTAGAGGAAGACCTCACGGCCGTCAATTTTTGACTCCATCCTCGCGCCGTTGTACTGGTTAAACTCCTGGGGTCCCTCTGCGCTGATGAGGTAGCCCATCTCGCAAGATGTGAAAGCCACCTTCGGCTGCTTGCTGTAGAAGCTGTCGTACTCGGCATTCAGAGCATCGGTAAGCGACTGGACATTCCCGCTGGGATGAAGCTCTGCCCAGGGTTTCGTGCATGCGATTCCCTTGCAGGACTTCAACACCATCATGAGCGCATCAAGACGGGAGATGACCTGCCCCAGCGAACGCCCGGCCAGCTGGTAGTTGGAGCTGGCGGTAGCATTGGAAGCCAGGTTGTAAATTTGGCCAGGGTCGGTCTAATGATACGTTAGAGACTGAATTTCTGGAGGGTTGAACAAGCGTCGAACCTTCACGTCGTAGAACTCTGCTTCGTTCGTGCACCACACACTGTAGTAGATGCTGTAATCATCTCCAACCAGCCTGAGGCCCTTGTAGGTGTTGTTGTAAATGTTCCGGGAACCGACGGGGTTGAAATAGATTCCCTCGATCAAGGCCTTCATTTGGTCAGCTGGTGCAATGCAGTTTCAGCTTCACAGCACATACCCTTCCCCAGTACTCAATGGCGGCGTGCTCATATGTTCCATTTTCGGCCTTCTCAGCCGTAAGAGGGATGACTTTGCCATCGAGCTGCTTAGGAGCTCCCGCAAGCTCGAGAATCGTAGGGGCAATATCGGTATGGCTGGTGACGGCCTCGATGGTGGCGCCCTTGGCAATGCCGGGGCCACGGATGGCGAGGGGAATGTGGATATCCGTGTCTGGCCACTCCTGTGTTAGCCTTGTACTCCACGGAAATGGCAAAAGAACATACCAAACCCGCACTCCTTTCCAGGCGTCATCCTGTGTTGCGAGATGTGGAAGCCGTTGTCGGTGCTGAAGATGATGTATGTGTCGTCCAGGACGCCGGCATCATCCAGCTTCTCCACGAACGCCTCAATCATCTCGTCAACGGCTTGAAGAGCCCTCAGCCTAGACCTTTGGAACTCATCGTTGTACTCGATAACCGAGGCGTTGAGAGGAGCAAGGTTCTTGATCCAGCTGACACCGCCTTCAACCTTGGCATTGAAGCTGGTATCTCTTGGGATCGTGTAGTTCTTGAAAAGGTGGGCATGGCGAGGGGCATACTGGGCAAAGTCAAAGTACGTCGAGTTTGTTGCCGGGTCCGTGGTCGTCGTCGAGTGCGGTGCAATGGGGGCAGCAACGACGAACCAGGGGCGTTCGTGGGAAAGAGCCTCATCCAAGAAGCCAAGAATCTTGTCTTTGATGACGTCGGTAGAGTAGTTTCCGGCATAGCTGACAGGCTCTTCTCCGTTCCTGGTCATGACTGCATCGTAGTACTTGTAAGTGTACGGATCGAGCAAGAAGTCGGAGCCGTTGAATCCCTTGGCAAAGGTCTCGTTGTAGTTGGTGACGGTGTGGCCATTCCAAAGCTTGCCGGAGTAGTAGGTGTTGTATCCAGCGTCTTGCATCCAGATAGGCAGGTAGTTGTCGTTCCAGCCCTCGGAAATGACCTTTTGGAAGCCGCCTTTGGCGGTGTCAGAATTCAATTACAGTGGAGTTGGGCCGCAAGATCATACCATAAGGCGGAGAGACGTCCGTGACTAATTCATGTCAGTTGAGAGCTGCTTTTGTGAAAAATATGCTCGTCCCTTACCGTTGGTGTTATGAGCAGCATGTCCAGTCCATAGGTTTGCGCGGGACGGACAGCAGATGGCCACAGTGCAGAAGTGCTTTGCAAATGTTGTGCCCTGTTCTATAATGTGTTTCTAAAAGCAAGCCGAGGTCAGCCCGGCGATAAAAGAGAGGTCTGGAGGTGCAATTACCTGGAGAAGAGGCATGTACTCCACCGAGTTCATGTGCAAATCCTGATCGTCAGTCAAGACAAATAGGATATTTGGCTGCTTGGCAGACGCAAGAGCGCCGCCAAGGAGAAGTCCCAGAGTTGACAGCTTCATGGCAATTGCTAGGGGCCCGAAGTAAGCAGGAACAGTCCTGGTTAGCAATTCATCAGATTCAGCCCGTCTTATAAACATCACAAGTGGGGCTGCGGTCCACGGAATATCTCCGGGCGTCTATCAGTTGAGGGCGGGATGCCCATATTTTGGGTGTCATCTCCGCCTCGGGTGGATAGAACTCATGCCAGGTACAGTCCCGATTGAAAATGTGAGCTAGTCTGGCGGGCAAATAGCTGGGCAGCGTGATCGTGACAGCAAATTGCGCCATGCACGCTAACGCCACTAAGCGAGCAGTTGGTTGCCCAAACGGGTACCAGCAGATTTACCACGCTGCTTACGTCGCCACTGTGTCGTAATCGATAGTCAGATTTTTGCAAAGACTCGTAGCAGTGAGAGGCCACGGATCATGCTCCCTGGAGAAGATCCGTCTCTGGACGGAGATTCGGTAACAACTACCGAGTGCGGCAGTGCCCACAGCTCTGTTCATGTTTGTACACCGTTTTGTAACTGGACAGGGATTAGGAAATAATATTCTTTTCATGACGCAATTGCGCTTCCCTGCGTGACATGACTTGCCGCTTTTCGGGATTCCCCGTCTCCGGGTTGTAGTGCTGCGTCAAACAACTGTCATCTCTTTGTAGTACATCAAATCCCACTTGTAGGCCAAGGGAAAATTCCAGTTTTCAGCCATGCCGATTCGTCTGAAGATCTTGGGGTTCTGATCGCCTTGCCTTGCACCCTCGAGGAGCAAAAAGGAGATGCGATGTCGAGGCCTGTCATCACGCGCCACGAAGTCGTACGAGAACCATGGCACGCACCACATCCATCGCGGAAAGCTTGAAGCTGGTTCAATATGGTCCAGCTTTACAGTGGGCCGACACTTTTGCCAGAACTTCTGGGCACTTGCTGTATACTTCCCCACCAACTTGAGTCGAGTCTTTTCTCTTTCAAGAGTCAACAGAGTAGGGATACAAAACCCCACGAGAGTAATGAATCCATCTGCAATGCGGCCAGTCGGGTCGGCCGAGTTGAGAGGCTTGGTTTGAGCATGCTTTATATTGACAAAAGAAACAAGATCATGCCCATAGCTGGAGAGCGGAGTGGACACGGGAGTATCCAGGGATGCCCATGACCAGGATGGTGCGCGATAGATTGGTTTTGTCTGCCTCGGGCTTTTCTTGATGGCTGACCACATCATCATCCGGAGAAGGTCATCCTTGTCACCCCACATGCCGGCAATATACGTCTCCTCGGGCAGCTGAAACTGGAAGGCCTTTGCAACTCCGGAAAGTGCAGCGAGCTTGTCACGATCGGGGTAAGTCAGTTGACGCTCGGAATAGTCTTTCACCAAGCCAGCCCAACGGCGGTGCCATTCAGAAGATGGAGTTTCGTGGGGTGTCGTCGAGAGTTGCTGCAAGAGCCCTGCGAACTGGCGGCACGTCGAGTGGTCGGGAACGAGCTCCGATCTTCGAACCTTGTCACATTCCCAAAACACGCCGAGCGAGCTATAGTGCAAAATGCGGCGCGAAAGCACCCGCTCTTGAAGTACCCAAGCTCGACACGGTAGCCCAAGTCTTCGCCGGCTCTCTACCCCAAGGTCCCATAGATCTCGTGGAGCAAAGCTCCAGAAGCTTGGTGGTATGCCGCTGCTTGAATGCCGGAACATATACGGCGGTCTCGGCTGAAAGCAACCATCGCTTGCTTTTTGTGAGGCCGTTGCGGAGATGGTGAGGATAGAGTGTTGATAAACTTCGCTCATCCTACCAGCCTCTCTTACCCAGTCTTCTTCTGAGTCCTGGATGATGCAGAGGCTATCAATCCAAAGATACTGGTATCCCAGTCTCCGAGTGATGACCATGGCATCGCGAAATGTCTGAGGCAAGTCTCCTGTTGGCAGGGCTTCCATCCAGTTAATCACGGTTCTGGACGTGAGCGTCATAAATATCTCCTTCCCCCAGCAGTGACTCAATGTCACGTAGGGAGTGCTTGGTGGTAACGAGTCTCCGTAGCAGAGGCGGGCTTTCGGATGCTCGTGTGCATTGGCAACCTCAATCTCCACAAGGCGCGTAGGGAGCGGCGCCGAGAAGTCCGAGACATGGTTGCACGTCGTGTGTTCGGCCAAGCATTCGTCCAACCATGAGCCGACGAGATCGAATGTCTGCCTCGATGCAGTTGAAGGTCCCAGTGAGCGAAAGCCATGGTAAACGTGATCTACGAAAGAGTAAGCTCACTAGCTTAGGATAATAGCATGGCTCATACCGGTGAAGCTCTCCCAACACGCAATGATCATCTTCTTGTCCGTCCATTTCCCACCCTCTTCTTTGAAACTGAACTTCAGGTAGCGATGCGGCTTGCTTCCATCATTGACGAGCTGGGTTCTATAGGGGCTTTCTTGCTTGGAGGTGCTACTTGTGTCCTCGCAAATCAGGATGCTTATGAGAATACAAAGCTCGCAGGTTTTGCAGGCACGCAGGTCGGAAAGTGTGACGTGGTGCTCATGTTCACAGTTGGGTCCCATCCTCCTTCTCTTGGAGTCTATGCCGAAACCAGCATGTTCACGGTGTGGCAGACGGTGTGATTGCAGTAATTGTTTACACGGTCTGCAGAGACTTGTGGTGTGAGCTGATTTCTGGATGCACTCCAGAGCTTCTCTACGTCAGTCTTCGCCGGGTAGCCAGAGCGCATTCTTACCCATGCGCTGGAGACTTTCCAGCGAGCCCGAGTCATCCTTTGCGAGGTCCGGTATATCTTGAATCCCAAGTGATCTTTTTCGCCGACGACCAAGGCCTCGTACTTGCTGCAGTGGAGCCATGGTGAGATGAGGAAGGCGGGAACGGGCGGGCGAGTGCAGAGCCGTGCGGCTTCGCGCACTGGAATTGGTATTCGTACGTGACAGCCACGCGAATCGGTTGGTGATGTGCAGAGCGACGTGGCGCGAGACTAGGCTTTCAGAGTCTGAGGAGATGCACGAGGCCACGGGTCCAGCGGGTTGACAGAATTCGGCCCCCACGGCCCACGTGCATTTCCTAATACGGTATGGCGCTAGTGGTCGTATTCGATTGCCAAAGTATCTCACCTTCGACATGTTCAGAGTGCTGTGCCGAATTTCCTCGCATCCGTCTCTGCTAGAGATATTACAACCGAAGGCTAGCTCCAATAATAGTAGGACCCTCGAATCCAGGGTAACTAAAGAAAAGTAAAACAACACGTGGGTAGTTGAAGCTATCGTCCGGACGTGTATGTTGAATTTTTAATTTGACATTCTCGTCCGGACGATAGCTTCAAGAACCCACAAAATGAGCGAAAAACAAATAGATAGTAGCAGTGCGGGTGAGGTGATGGTTGGGCATATGGTTCGCTTGCCGCTTTTGGCTTAGTCGGACACGGTCTACGCGAGCCCGCCATCATCCAGACCACCTTCCATTCTTCTTCGACATCCTCTCTTCTCTTTCTAAGCCGCCGCAACTACGCTAGTGCTCGCTATCACACACATCCTTACACACTTCATCATGCCAATCTGAGCTGTCGTTCATTGAATCTATCCCAATCGCTTCCGCCTTGCATCTCAAGATCTGGAACACAAAAACAACGGTCCAGCGTCATTTTCGGCCTCACCTTCGCTGAACCACAATGCATGCTGGAGTGCGACTACATTGAGTGAGCTCACTTCGCCATGGCTCCCGTGGCGTGTCCGCGACTTCTTTCGAAATCCCGCCTTTCAATCTCTCTTTCCTTACCACCATGCCTCGGCTGATCATGAGAGCTGCTTCTCGCTCGGAAACCTGACGTTCATGAAAAAGATCTTCGAACATATCTGAAGATATCGGATGGTTATGGCTTGGAGAAGACAGAAGGAGAACGGCGCGAGTCGCTTCGGGCTCGCCTTGATGGAATATCCCCGGAAAAGAAGCGCCTCTTCGATACGCTTCTTAACCTCGACAACACGAGCAAACCCACTCGCATTACTCTCACCCGAATCGATTCAAACTTGTGCAATGCGGGTATGAGGCAGCAAAGGCTCCTCTTAGCTCGGCGTTTTGATGAGGAGCTGAGCGAAGACACTGAGGGTGATGTTTCCTCCACAGATCTTGTCAGCTACGTGAAGACGGAGGAGGAGGAGAAAGACAGCCAGCTCGACGTAATGAAGTTCATGGAGGGGCATTCGGATCCTGATCTGACGCTCGAGGAGGCCAAGGTATATCTTCGCATCCCTCCCAATGCGCAATTCCCAAGGATCCCAGGCATGCGGTTGTCAAGACGGTTCTTGAAAGATCATCAGATCAAAGGCATCGCTTGGGCCGTGAAGAAGTTGTCAAGTTTAAAGGGCTGCATCTTAGCCGACTCCATGGGCCTGGGGAAGACTTGCCAGGGGGGCTGCGCATTCTTCGTGCTGGCCCAGCGTCAGATCAACTCCGACGAAGCCATCAAGAAGCCTACGCTGGTGGTCTGTCCTGCAGACCTCGTCCAGGAGTGGGAGCGAGAGCTGAAGGAACTCCTGCCCGCCGACTTCATCATCTACGTCTACGACTCGTCTGCAAAGGCCGACATCCTGGAAAAGGACAGCTCACTTTTTTCTGAGGACGAGCAAGCAGCGAAGACGATCATACTCTCTACGTATGGTGTCATGCATCGACAGCATGGCAGGAAGCGATACGATTCGATAACAAGAAGCCAGTTCTGTATAGAGACTGGAGGCTTTACCTAGAGGGGTTGTCTCCGCTCCTCATCATGGATGAGGCCCACAGCATCAAGTGCGGCCCCAAGTCTGCCTGTTGGGCCACCTTCACGGAGCTAAAGACGGACATGGAGGTCCATGTCTTCCTTCGATGAGCCAGTCGAGAAGGCATTCCAAGGCCAGACCTGGTCAACAGCCATATTGGTGACTCAAGATGGCGACTGTGGTTTTCTAAGACACAAGACCATCCGTCTCCAACTGCGGTCGGACGTACTATTGCCATCGATTCGCCTGAAGCTGGGCGAATCGGAAAGCTCAAAAGGAGCCATAGTCTTCCAGCTGGACCCAGACGTCTTTGTTGCCATCTACCAGGTGATATCGCAAAGTCGACAAAGGCGCGAGCCATGTTCAAGCGCCTGGGATGCCCGGAGTATGTCGAGAAGGACACGCTCCTCAAAGTCTCCCTCCAACCATCAGCAGACTTCGGCCATTGGGTGTCGAAGAACACCAAACTCACGTCGCTTGCCAAAGTGCTCATCACCGGCCAAGAAGTCCAAGTCCTGCCCATCGAAAGAATCGCCCTATTCCGCAACCCCGATCCCCTCTTGAACATGGTATGGTCTGCGCTGAGGACGGGCGAGGTCCATATCTGGGCGGTAGCTCCCAGAAACTTCCTGTCCTGGAGCAGATCGATGGACGCATTCAAGCTCAGCCTCGGTGAGCCCAGCAGCATGTGGTTTTACAACCAACTCCCACTGGTGGCACGCAATCGACCCGAAAAATTCCAAGCTCTCCTTCACCGCCGCGAGGAATTACCAATCCCACCCTTCCTCCATATCAGACCGCCTGCGTATGAATGGCACCAGTGTGCTCAGTGGTGGAGCCCCGCCAACCCCCGGGTCATTTACCCTACCAGCAGTTGTTTCCTCAACGTGCAATTGCCAGCTTTGCTCGCGGAGTACAGTGCGCGCTCCCAGCGCATAACCCAGGTCTACAACCTCAGTGTTGTGCACCGTGGCTTGATTGAGACCGGGTCCGAGCCTAACACCGTGCATGTGAACATAACAAGCGGCCCCAGTATAGCGGGATATGGGTTAAACACATGTTTAGTTATAGCAGGGCTCCACTGCACGAAGTAGATAGTATATCAGAAAGGTCTTACCTACTATTGCGTTTTGTGAAACCAGTCTTGAACTTATCCTGTGCTTCTCAAGAATGGAAATGATGACAGTAAGATCTTCAACACCAGCTGATGACGATTTGCAGCTGGATCCAGCAGCATTCCATTTACTTTTGGATATTGAGGTGAGCCCAGCAGCAGTTTCCAGATCTGGGGAGATCTCAACTGTCACATGTCGAAGCCTCCTGCCTCATGTGGCCGCCTCTGATCTTCTACGCTCAAAACTCTTCATACTTCCAGCCTCCCACCTCCTGCCCTCCACACCTCCACACCTCCACACCTCCACACCTTCAAACCCGTTGCCCTCTACACACCTTGCAAGCTTTGACGCTTTATCAAAATCTGCCGCGCAGTCTTGCGCCAATTCACGCGGCAGGTGTCGGTGCCTCTACACCAGCGAGTCACTGACGGCGTCTGCGGGCTCGCTTTCCACCTCACTCCGCTTGCTCGACCGTCTGCTTCCAGACCCGCTCGGGCAATCTACGTTCGACAGGCTTCCTGCGCCAGCTCGTCGTTGGCGGCATCTGCGGACTCACCTTTCGCCTCAATCCGCTTGCTCGACCGTCAATTTCCAGAGCAGCCTGCATAACCTACGTTCAACAGGTTCAGCTTTGAGCGTCTCCAGGATCGCCTGTTCTGGAGGTATTTTTATAATCTAATCTTTACATACACCTGCTGACAAAACATCTAGTCTTCAAAGGCCTTTGGTACAGCTCGTTGCTGTTGATAGGCAAACCTTTATCCGCCACCGTGTCTGCGACCACTGACCTGCCCGAGACAACTGCATCTGCGCCCGTCGCTTTTGCTGGAAAATTTCTTATCCGCCGCCCCTCCGCGCTCGTATCTACGACCCGATCCTACGGCATCTGCGCCCGCCGCTTTTGCAAGCAAGTTCCTGGTCTACCGCAACATAGCTCTCCGCGCTCTGCTTTTCCTGGAAAATGACAGAAGCACAGTATCTGAAGAAGGCCTGTTCGCTTCTTTACAAAAGCAACAGCAATGAGGTGAAAGATACCGTCATATTGACGGACGAGTTTCTGGAGCCCTTCCAGTTCTTTCGGGATGAATGGATGTGGCATCCCAGGAAGACTTTGGGGGGTCGAGGTCCTGGAGTCAACACCACAGCCTCACTCGTTTCCTCGGAGTATAGGAACGGGTTCAACTCTAAGTACACATCTCTACGTGGCTACGATATCGAGACATCTGGCTGGAAGGACAGCGACTTTTACATCTTCACCATCCTTAGAGTTCTCCAATCATTCCAGATTTCAGGCAAGCCTTTGCACACCGGCCGTTCAACGGCGTACAACATCGAGCAGGCCGCAAAAGGGGTTCACTTGGCTCTTTCGGCGGTAATGTCCTGGTACAATCCAAGTAGGCAGTCGGCAATGGCGCAATTGATTGAAGCAAGACTACCGCCGTCGAGACACACGGCTCAAAGTTCAAAGCTGAAGTCGAAGAGCAACATTACCAGCCCGGTATCCGACATCATCTGCTATATTTGGGCCGGCAGGGTAACTCTCGGTCGCAATGGAGTATTCAGCCATATCGACTACCGTAACGCACCTCAACCCGCAGCAGATCAAGGTGGAGATCCCGCAGCGAGGCTCTGGCTTGAAGGGGAGACGGAGGATGTTGGGCTCGACGAGAATGAAGAGGTTCAAACCACCATCAGTACACCATCGATATCACGGAGCACGACGCCATCTGACGGACCGGCTTCCAAGCGTCCCCGGACAAGGGCTTAGTTCCTCGAGAAAGATCGATGCTGAGAAGTCTGGATTCTACTCCCTTCTACAAGACTTCGACGACTCAGATACCGTGGGAGGGGGCCGCCCAGCTCGAGGAAAACAACAGATACGGCACCCTGCGGCGACTTTGGGTGGAATATAGAGATCATTGGGGAGTTCACGACGCCCCGGAGTTGCCCGAGTTCCCAACGAAGTTCACCCTCCAGATGAAATTCTAGGCATTAGTGGTTGCTAATGCAAAGCAACAATCACGGACACCACTCCTAGGAGGTGCAAAAAAAAAAAGCAAACTCGGAAATGCACACACGGGCATGGGATTTCATACTTTTGTCAGACAAGTTTTTTGACGGCATCGGGATTTTCACAATCTTGGAGGTGGATATTGGCATAGCACTTCGTGCTATTGCCGCGAAATTAATGGTCAGCGGCTGGGGAATGGCCCTTTCTTTTCCTTGGATTACTTTTAGATAGCGCCTTGGGATACTCTGACTCCTAAAGTCATCAGGGTTGAGAGTAGCACTTTCGTGGCGTGGGTTGAAGACGAAAAAGTATGAGTATGCCTGGGATGGCAACCTGGGCTTACAAGACTGAATTTCCGTAGGGGCAATAGACACAAAATCAGAATTTAATTGAATACCAAGTTCAATAGATTGTAAGTGCGGTGATAGTCAAGCTTGAGGTTTTTCATATAAACCACGCCTACGTATACTGGAGGCAAACGAAAGCTATGGATAAAGATTGAGCCTGTGAGTGAATTGAGCACCATGTTTTTATTTTTATTGAATTATTCGGCAATATCCCAGAGGCGGTACCAGTGAAAATCGAGAGAAGCCTGGAAACCATGGTAGGAGCACGTCCAGCCATGCAAACTCGTTTGCTCATCACTTTCTTGGCAACCGCCAGCAGGCGGTGTTAGCCAACCCGGACCAAAACCGCTTACTCCTCCACACAGTCTTCACCCTGGATCTGCTCAAGTAGCTTGATCGGCTCTTGCGTTCTCAGGTGGGAGTATCCACGGATGTTCTTCTCCCTCGCCTCCGCCTTGAGCTCCTTCTACCTTATTATTCTTGAGTACTCGCTGTGCAGCAGATTTCTGCTTGACGGCGGGCTCCTGCGCATGTTTGTTTTCCTGATTCGTTGGTGAGGAGGTTGTTTTTGCAGCTGAAGACGACTTACCCGCCTTTATAAACTTGCCAACATTTGGAGTCGAGCCGAACGGCTTGCTTGGAGACTTGGGCGTGCTGTTACTAGAAGAAGCAGTCTTCGTATTAGGCCCACTTCCATCAACCATGCCTCCTTCAGCCAGTGCTTCCATTGAGAGGCCATTGTACGAGCGTTAACTGAGGCTTTGCTGAAGATCCGATCAACAACACTCATCAAGATCCACTCGCTGCTCAGCGGTCGGAGTGCTTCCTTTTCTCCCCTTACGTACTTGACCTGCTAGCTCTGAAGTCAGTCACAAGAAGAAATTCTGTCGGAGAATCCCTCAGTATCCTTCAGGTCTACTATCTCGTCACACGGTCACAGCATTCCTCCGAATAGACAATGTGCGGAAAGGGCCAAGAATCGATCTTAAGAGTCTTCGGGTACTCCTACTTCCCGATCGCGGTTGCTTTGGTGTTCTTTTGAATATGCTTACGCGACGGACCACAGAATTTTGACCGCCTGCTGGTCAGAGACGACCCCACCCCGATCCTCCTCAGACATCGCTCCTTGCGGTTTGTTGAAGAGAACCTCTCATTTAGATCGAATTAGAAAATCCTCCTGGCCATGGCATGATTGTCAAATCCCGCCCCAATAAGTGAGTTCGAGTGCTACGGCTACAGGCCTATCTTCTCTTGCCTCTGGAATGTTATGATACACGAAACGATCTTGCTAAAAAGCACAGCTTCTTTATAACACCCAATACTGTTCCTCGCTTGGTTCCCTCCCCTCGCGTAGCTCTGCCCGTAGTGGCAACATCACACGCGTGTTGTTGCCTGCCAGCTTAATGCAGGCAACCCGTTGCTTCTCGCACCGTTTGCAAGAAAATTCGGGCGAATCCCCCCAGTCGGACCTCTTCTGGTGAATGCAGAAGGACTCCATGCAGTATTCACCGTCGCGGTCTTTGTTGAAGAAACTCTTGAGCCGCTTTCGATTCTTGGCCGCGCATTTATTTTCAGTCTTCTTAATGAGCTTCTTCTGCACTTCGGAAGCTAAAGAAGCGTCCTGGCCAGGCAACTGGATCATGTAATCATCTTTCTCTGCCATCTTCGTAGAAGAAGTGGCCAAAGCATCGTCTAACTGGTTCAGTCGTGATTTGAGCACCGATACCTCATCTTTGAGGGACGTGCACTTGCTTCTCTCCGTGAGAATGGTTGCTTCAGCATCACTGACACTCTCCTCAAGCTGATGAATTCTGGCGTTTTTCTCGCCAACTTCCGAAGCGGAAGTGGCCAATGCAACCTCTGACTGGTCCAGTCGTAATTTGAGCTCGGAAATGTCTCGTCGCTTTGCCGCTGCGGATTTCTCGAAATGGCCGCTGATGCGCTTCGCTACAGAGATTCTCTGTTCCAAGATTTTGGCGTTGCTTCGAAGCTCAATGACCTCGTAGTCGGATCTTTGTAGATCCAATCGTAACTGCTCAACTGCTTCTTTCTCTCCATTCAAGTCGGACTGGATCTCCAGAATGGCAGTCCGAAGCCCCCGGGCTTGACGCCGCTCTGAATGAACTTGCTCTTGGAAGCTCTGGGCACGGTTTCCTTCGTCTCGAACCCTGACCTGGAGTTGTGAGATCTGAGCTTCAAAATCTTCGGAGCGATGCTGTTCTTTGCCCAGTCGAAAATATAGCTGGGAAGTCTTTTCTTTCTCGGCTTCCAGCTTTGCTTCCAGCTGGGAAGCCAGCCTTCTCTCTGCTTTCATTTCCCCCTGTAGTCTCTGCACACTCTCGCTTTCTTCTTGTAGCCGGGCCTGAAGATCCCGCACCTCAGCTTGGGTCTTCTCCAGTTCCCCCTTCCGAGCGTCGAAGAGGGCCTGTCTTTCGCGCACCTCGGCGACCTTGGTCTCCGCTTCCTTGAGATTCGTCATCCTCTTCTCAATTCCGGTCAATTCCTCGAAAATTTGCTCTCCGGCCCCTATTCGATCGTTAGCTACCCATCCAATCATATTTCGGCTGACCAGGTTAATGGGGGAGACTTACGGTTGAGAGCATCCCCACGCTGCTTCAGAGTGGCAATTTGCTCTCCGTACAACTTCTTAGAAGTGTCTTTGAAATTATTCATGACTGCTAGAAGCTTGGCAGAGTCCTCACGTTGCCGTTTCATAAGAGGTGGCCCTACTAGGCACCCGTGGGACGCGATACCGATGCTCTCCAGCTTCTCGGAAGTGCTGGCGTAGAGAGCACGTAAGGAGGCCTCGAACCCTTCAAATTTGAAGTGTGACAGGTGGAACTGGGCGTTCTGTTGGCCTTGGAAGCTCGTGAATGCGGAAGGCATCCCGGGCCGCGACGGCTGGTCCTGAGGGGCCATCTTGGCCGCAGGCGATTGGGGATGGAGAATAGGATGAAACGAGAGCGAAGCCTAACATATGGCACGGGTAAGGCGGAATGTGTACGATGGGAGATGAAATGTGTGTGCGGGGCGCCGACCTTTGCAGGGGCGGGACGTCGAGGGCAGGCGCGCAGCAGCGCGGCTTCCACACCAGCCACTGCCAGCTGGCACCCGCGCAGCCAATGATGCATGTGACAGCAGGGGGACATGTTTGTTCCATTTTTTTTGTGCACATTTACGACTGTAAGACGCACTCCTAGAGCGCGATGTTAGTACAAGTAGGTGGATGATCTCGTGTAGAAATACCATCGGATATGGCGCACCCTTAAGATGCGATTGCGCACAAGTAACACAGTGCTAGCGTAGCTTAGTGGGAGGGGCTGTAGAGTTAAGGTGCGCGGGTGGGGAGGAAGTAGAGATCCTATAAAGGTGCCAGAAACCCTGCAGGGCAGGTTCGCAGACACGAAAAGAAGCGAGACGACGCAGTTAGCAGGCCTGCTAGAACCGCGGCAAAGCAAGTGATAGGCTTGGTGCACCCTGGACCCTAAGAGTGTCAGGCGATCACGTGTGGCGCGCTTCCAGGCAGGCATGTGTGAAATCTACTGTGCCCGACCACCCTCACCCTCACCCTCACCGCACCGAGCCACGACATCATGCCGAACTTCTCCAAGGTTGCCGGCGACGCCGATGCCGCTCTCTAGCGGGAACAGCGCCGCCTTGAGCAATACTCCAGCGATGAAAAGCTCATCACGATGGAAAGGTTCGTATGTCAATGCGCTGTTTCTAAAAGGTAATACTACTAACATGATTGCAGCTCTCCCGCCGTGCCACCAAGCTTTACAAGTCGCCCAAGAGCATGCTGGTGCAGTATCTAGCGATCGAGAGTCCTGGTTTCAGGCGTCCGCCCATTCCGTACCTGCCCACAGACTGGCTCTGGACATGGTCCCAGAACGTCGACGACGCCTTCTACGAGGGTCTCAAATGGCTCTCGGTCGCGACTCGCAAGACCCACCCCACTCTCGAGCGGCTGGCCGAGCAGATTCTCCAGCAAGGCCTTCGGGAAGCTCTTCCAGAGCGCTCCCAGCAGATTTACCATCCGGCCGATCGAGGCAAGTTCGTCGTTTCGGGCGAGGAGGACCACTTGGCCCTCATGGCCAGAGCCGCCGGTGTGAGCGTCGCTATCGCCCAGCCTCTTGGGCCATCGACCAACCCCCAGGGACTCTCCCTTCCGCCGGAGGACCGCCCTGCCGCTGACATTGCCTTCCGCTGGCTTGCAGCCAGTGACCAAGAGCTCGCGCCGCCCGTTCACCTGGGCAGATGGGCAGACAACTGGTACCACCTGGTACCAAAGAAGAAGAAGATGCTTGCCTGGATGGACTCGGAGGGCGTTGATTGGAAGCTTGCCCACGCTCTTCTCGTCAAGAAGGGCTTCCGCCTCGACGAAAGAGGTTTCATCACCACGTGCGCCTACGTCCGCCAAGTCATGCGGATGGGCATGAAGATAACTGACATTGATGGAGCGGTCATGGAGATGGCAGCCGCAGCGAAGAAAGGCCTCAATCCGCTCAAGGCTCCCAAGGAATGCAAGCTTACCCCCAACCCCAATGCAGTGCTGAGCCTGGAATGGCTTGATTACGCCTTCCAGGTGGGATGCAACCCCCTGGCCTGTCTGATTGCTTCAAAATATGACTCGATTGCTCTCAAGCTCAACGAAATAGTCAGGCTGACGAAGGAAGACTTTGAGGATGAGGAGGAAGCACGCATTGTTGCTGGCCACATTCAGCATCTTCGAAGGGAGGTCAACAAGGAGATCTCAGCAGCAGCCATAAGATTCCAAAAGCTCTGCATCGTAAGTAAAGCTTGATCGTGCACTACGATGCCTGTACTGACGAATTCTAGACGGATGAGGAGGCCGCCGCCATCGTCAAACAGTTGGCGAATGAAAGGGCCGAAGCGGAGCAAAAGCTCCACACCCATTCGTACACGCCGAAGCCGGTAAACCTGAAGGCCAAGGAGATCAAACACACCCCGAGGACCCTGCGCAAGAAGATGGGGTTTGAAAGAACCCAAGAAACCTTCACCTCCAGCGCCAAGGCATCGGCAAGGATGGCCATGGCCTATGACCTCGTGGATCCAGATGACATCTCGTCGGACTCAAGCGACGAGGAAGAGGACGATGAAAGCTGGCACTTTCTGAAGGACGACCTTGAGCGCCGTCAAGATTGGATGTTGCAGGAGGACGCGATGCAATACCAGAACGACGACGACTGGGTTGACCAAACGACGGAGCAGAACCTTGCCGCTTACGTATAACTGGCGCTGCTGTCAAGCAAGTGGCTGCAAAGTATGGGAAATTCGGTGAAGATATGCGGGTGGTATTGCTGTGAATGATTGTCAGAAAACTTTTTTATTTTCATTAGGTCAAGAAAAGCAATGTTTACAGATAGACGAGATAGGAGCGACAGTTAGGACGGAAACTACGTCTTCTCGCACAGCACGACTCTGAACCGCATGTGACGTCAGTGGGGCACCTGCAGCACGACTCGTGCGGAACTTTCAACTCCGCCACTTTTCGCCGCACAGCTACACCCCACGACACAACAAACCGCGCGAATAGTTCCCATTAGTCGCCGTGGCTCTCCTCCGACAACTCACACGCGCAACAATGGCATCCAAAACTCCCAAGAACATTGTCGTAATAGGCGGTGGTATTATTGGCAGCACGAGCGCCTACTTTCTCTCACACCATCCCGCCTTCGACGCCGCCACGACGAACATTACCCTCATCGAAGCCTCGGAAATTGCTGGTGGTGCCAGTGGGAAGGCAGGCGGCCTATTAGGCCTATGGGCCTATCCCTCATGCATTGTCCCACTCTCCTTCCGCCTGCACAAGGAGCTCGCCGACAAGTACGACGGTGCTCAGCGCTGGGGCTACCGCGGCGTCCATTGCGGGCAGATTCTCATGAAAGGACGGCCGGTCAAAAAGGGCGCTGATGTCGGCGAGAGCGTTAGCCTGCAGAAGCGGACGCCGCAGGCACTAGGCTTGCTGCGCGCCGCGGGCGTGCCAAGGGAGCTAGATTGGGTAGTTCCAGAAGGCGTGAGGGCGTACGAGGAGATGGGCGCGCCAGACGACACGGCACAGGTTCACCCGTACCACTTCACGACCAGCATGGCCAAATTGGCGGAAGAGAAGGGCGTCAGGGTTGTTTTGGGAAGTGTAACCGACATCGACACTAAAGACGGCGCGGTACGGGGCGTCACTTACACGCCGAAGGATGGCGGAGAGGCGCAGACTATACCAGCCGACAGCGTTATCATCTCGGCCGGCCCCTGGACACGCAATGTCTGGCCGCAAGCCCCTATCTCAGCAACCCGCGCCCACAGTGTTGTCATCAAGCCTCCTCGGGAAGTGTCCAACTACGCGCTATTCACAAGCATCGAGCTTGCTTCAGAGAATGGAACGTCTCGCAAGCGTCGAGGCCACTCAACGACCGTGTCTCCAGAAATCTACGCCCGGCCGTTCCAAGAGGTGTACGCATGCGGCGAAGGGGACCATCTCGTGCCACTGCCCAAGACGACAGAGGATGTGGAAGTGGACCAGCAACGGTGTCAAGACATTATCGACTACGTGTCTGCGGTCAGCGACGAGCTGCGTGACGGCGAGGTCACTGCTCGGCAGGCTTGTTACCTCCCCAACGTTAGCAGAGGCAGCGGCGGTCCGATGATCGGAAAAGTGCCTGGCGTGAAGGGCTTGGTCATTGCGGCGGGCCATACGTGCTGGGGCATCCAGAACGGGCCGGGGACGGGGAAAGTGGTGAGTGAAATTGTGTGGGAGGGGAAGGCGAAGAGCGCGAACATTGCAAGCTTGGATCCTGCAAAGTGGCTATAAGGCCCACATGGCGTGGTAGCAGTCGGCTATTCTCGAGTCGATGGCTGCCCAATGGTGTAGCGGAGAGGTCGGTATAGTATAAAGCTTCAAACGCCGTCAGCGATTGGCAGATCAGCGCCGCGAAGTGGATAAAAGACAGCGTGCGTTGAAACGGCACAGTGACTATGTGTTGCATTGCGCCATGCAGATCAACAAGAGCCGGCTGCTAGTGCATCTGCTGGACCCTAGTTCACGCCCATTCGCCCCGGTTTTCCCCACGCTCGCGGCCACTAGGATGCATCTGAGACCTCCAGCAAGCTTCACTAGAGCTGAAAGTCAAGGGTGTACAGTGTCATGGCGGACCGAAAAGGCCCCTTCATCAACGCCCACGAGAGCCTAGATGAGGTGGCTGAGATTCGCCACCCACGTCGACAGTCATGACTGCTGCCCGTTGCATGGGTTTTCCTCGCCACGGGACAGAGCTGCGACGGTGAGGGTGCGGGTGGTTATGCCGGGGTTGTGCAATCAACGATAGACACGAGCCCCACCCGCTTCGTATTCGCCTCGGCTGAGGACGATGAATGGTGAGCAGCCAGCCAGAGATGCAACAGGCGGCCTGACCCTGCAGGCGGTCGACTTGGCAGGGCGCGCGGTACTAAAGGCCGGCGCGGTGCTCGCTGGGCCGGCCGGGAAGCCGCGCTAGCCTGGGCCCGAGACGGGAGGAAGACAGAGCCATCGTCGTCGCGTCAGGATCTGCGTCTGATTCGCGTTGCCCGGTTGCGCAGGTGCAGGATTTGCAGGACCCCTGCTCGTCGAATCGCCTTTTCCCCGGGACGCGCGCTGCTTGCTCACAACAGTCCCCCGCCGCACGCCCCTCTCCCAACACCGAGCAGGCCTCAGCATGCGCACGCAGCAACAACAACACTCCAAATGTCGCCTCCTCGAGCTCCCGGTTGAGCTGCGCCTGCTCATCTACGACTATGCCCTCTTCTCCCACGAACACGTCACCATCGCAACCGGGCTCAAGTGCAGCTTCGCCTCGCCCGTCGACAGCGGCTACGAGAGCGATGACGGCCGCGACTCGGACGAATTGATCCCCGACCTGCCTCCAGACGTCGAGCCCGTCATTCTGCCGCGCTTCGACCCGGACTTCCTCCATCTTGAACAGCCGCCGATCTTCGACAACTGCGCGAACAACGACCATGCCGCGCCCGTCGTGCCGCTCACTACTCCGCTTGCCCTGCTTCAGACGAACCGTCAAGTCAGGGACGAGTTGACCTGGCATCTCAAGAGCCAGCGCACCCACGACCGCAAGCTGTCCCTGTACATGACTTATCCCTACGGCCTGCTTGTTTTCCAGCATCTGTGCCCAGACCTGATTCGGCTGGTCCGAAGCATCCACATCAGCGGCTACTACTACCCCACGCACGCCCAGGAACAGGTGAAGCGTGCCGCCGAGTGCCGCTGGATGCAGCGCCTGTACACGCAGCCGCCGCCCATTGACGAACCCGTCATCAAAGCTGCAAACGGCGTGCTCAAGCAATTGACGCGCACCATTATGGGGCAGAGCCCCAAGGTGCCCATGGAGGAGCTCGAGATGCGCATCTACCACCCCGGGCCAAAGGGCAACGAGCTCATCTGGCGAGGCGAGAATCCCAGCAGCCCCATCTGTGTCGCACTATGCAACACTCACGGTGGGGCGATAGACAGCTCGGTGACGCAGGGCGGGAGAGGGGCGGGCGCATGGCTGAAGATCACGCCCAACCCAGAAGCGCGCACTCTGACGCAGAGGTGGAAGAGATTCACCGACGGCAACAGCAAAGAAGAGTGCGAGGGCTGGGTGGTGAACCCAGAGTGGCCGCGAATACCACCGCCGCCCATAGCGAGCAGCCCGTCGAGTCCCGGCGACCAGTCAGACGCGGGAGACGATGCGGCCTCGTAGGCGTTGGCATCTCGTAGACCGCGAGTTTCATTTTTGGTACGACTAGCGATGTTTGGCATGACTGCACGCTTGTTACGGGGCGTTTTTTGGTCTTCCTGTTCGATATTTTTCCTGTCGGGGCACGAGGCGATGATTCGTGCACAGCCATGGGCGGTAAATACGATGGTTTATCTGTGGCGCATCCATTGCACTGGTGATGACTCCACGCGCACAGTATTTGTGATACGGCCACACAGCCGGCTGTCCAGGCGTCAGCAGACCCTGAACCCAGCCACAGCATGGCCACAGATCTGTGACGCAAGCGATCCCAACCAGAGCCCCCGCCGCCCGCCGCAGCACTTCGGTTCCAGCTCTCTCCGACGGAGCACGTCGCGATCCATAAATCTGCCGCCACCCCTTTGTTAAGAAACCTTACTCGCACTTTCTTTCATCTCTTCACCTCGAAATCCACACCAGCACGCATGTCAGAATACGCACCTCCAGTCGTAAGTTGTTCCCCACCGATGACGACGCGTGGCCAAGCCCTCCCCGCATTCCCGCTTCATGCACGCCAAGTATCACCACCACAACCCACGCGCTAACGCTGCAGCCTTCGCAGGGCCCGCCTCCTCCCAAGGTCCCCGCGGGCTGGAAAGCCGTCTTCAACCAGCAGTACCAAGAATGGTTCTACGTCAACATTTACACCAAACAGTCGCAATGGGACAAACCAACCGAGCCCATTTACCCTCCTTCCGAAGCAGAAGCTAGCGTGCCACCTCCCGGCCCACCGCCGAGCTACAACCAAGGCGACGCGAAGCCGCTCGGCTCGGAGAAGACAGGCCTGAGCAGCAACAACCCGTACGGTTCCGGCTACGGCGGCGGCGGCGGACAAAGCAGTCACGACATCAGCGAAGACGAGCGGCTGGCCCGCCAGCTACAGGCCGAGGAGGACGCCCGCGCACACGGCGGCAACTCACCGATGCCGGGAGGCGACTCGCGCGGCGCCGCCGACAGCTACTATACCCAGCCAGGCGGCAGTTCCTACAGCCAGCAGCCGCCTGGCTACGGCCAGCAAACGCCGGGCTACGGCTCGCAAGAGCTGCCACCGCGCCCGGACGACAAGGGCAAGAAAGCCGGCGGCGGCTTTCTGGGGAAGCTTCTCGGCAAGGCGAGCGGTTCCAAACCGGGCGGTGGTAGTAGCTACGGCCAGCACGCGCAACCGCAGTACGGCGGGGCCGCCGGCTACCCACCCCAGCAAGGCTACTACCAGGGCCCGCCCCAGGGCCATTACGGATACGCGCCGCAGCAGGGTTACTACGGCCAGGGCGGCGGCATGCCGTACGGCGCAGTCCAGCAAAAGCCAAAGAAGAGCGGCTTGGGTGCTGGCGGAGCGGCCGCGTTAGGTGTCGGCGGTGGCCTGCTCGGTGGTATGCTGTTGGCGGACGCGATTGACGATCACGATTATGAGCAGGGTTATGAGCAAGGTTACGATGATGGAAACGATTTTGGTGGTGGAGATGACTTCGGTGGAGACTTTTAAATTGCTAGTGGCACAGTAGGTGCTGAGCCATCGTAACTAATTCCTATCAGCATGGGCTCGTTACGTAGGCAGCTGAAGCTACCTACGTAAGTCATGGATATTCGAGTGGGATGTATTTTGGATCCGGATTCGGATTGATTTTCTATGGCCTTTACCTAGACAGATGAGGCGCTCGAGCCTTCTGACTTTCCATGAGAACCTATTGTGCGCTTCGCGGGCGTTCCCAGGCGTTCCCCCCTTTCCTTTCACATCGTTCTATGAGATCATGTCATGCCAGTTCGCTCTTTCCTCGCCCATCGCCCATCGCTAGATTTCTGCAAGCTTCGGGCTTTCTATTCTAACCTTGACCACCACATGCCAGTCCCCACGTCGACTTGCAATCCCTTCGACGACGTTGAACTGGATGTCTTCGCGCATCCGCTGCGCTCTATCCACTCAAGAGCATTTCCAGCTCATGCCTTCTTGTTGTTGTTCTTCAGGCCCCTGAAATCACCGATAGTGCTCTATGGATAGAGCGACAATGCAGATGAGGACTGAAACACCAAGAAATATGAAGGCGTGAACTGGAAATGGTGACACCTAAAAGGGGTCGGGGTCTCCAGCATCGGCGGCAAAGTCGTGGTCGCCATGAGTGTAGGATGTGGTGATTCAAGGTCAGGAATGAAGCCCGATGCGTTTATTCACCATGGAGCGATGGGCGATGGGCAAGGAAAGGGCAAACAGGCACTGATCTCATGGTGATGGGAAAGGAAGAACGGGGAAGGCACAAGGCACAATAGGCTCTCATGGATTCAACACACACCTCTCTCGAATATCCATGACTTGCGTAGATAGCTGATGCTATCGTCCGGACGCAGACGTCGATTTAATAATTCTACATTTGCGTCCGGACGATAGCTTCAACTACCTACGTAAGTTATGGATATTCGAGCCTGTTGCGCATTGTGCCTTCCCAGTTCTTCCTTACCCATCGCCATGAGATCACGTCATGCCTATTCGCCCTTTCATTGCTCGTCGCTCCATGGTGAATAAAAGCTGGCTTCATTCCTGACCTTGAACCACCACCTCGCAGTCATGGCGAACACCACAGACCTACCCGACGTACCGCTGGATATGTTCAGGCATCCATTCCGCTCCATACGCTCCAAAGATTTCCCAGCTCACGCCTTCATCTTTCCTACCGGTTGCTTCCTCATCTGTGTCGTGGCTCTAACAATCGAGCACTATCGTAGATCGCGGTGGCCTGATGAAGAACTAGAACAAGAAGAAGGGGGGATTCCACTTGTCCACCTAAACTTCAACTGAGCAGCTTCCGAACGCAGAAATCGCCAGGTACTTGTACTTACCTCACTCTCCTTCTCCTTCACCCATCCTCAACCACTAAACAACCTAGCTCATCTCCTTTCCCGAGAGGCGCGCAACGCGCCTATCAATTTCTAACCTGACCAGGAGTCCGTTTACCCTCTCCATGGCCCTCACGACATCTCCCCTCTCCGCCCCCTCCATTGCAGGTGACGGCGACAGCTGTCCATCCCTCAGCGACCGCTTCCGCTCCTTCCATGAACTCCTTCCGCGCGTCCAGAACAACAAACAGCAAGAGAGTCACCACCATCGTCAACCAGCATCCTTCTCAGAACACTCGTTCCTAGACCTGCTCGCAGTCAGCTGTTCAGAACTGCGTTCCCCATCCGACTCGCTCTACGTCCACCTGAGCGGGCGCCGTAACCGTTTCGCCCGCAGGAGTTCAAAACAGCACCTCCGCCACCGCTTCCTCCATCCCTCGAAGACGGGCCATACACCCACCGAACTCCCCGCTCATCCAACCTCCACTGTCTCCGTCGACGGAGAAACACGAGCAGAACCGGCGATGGCGACTGTGACGTCCACAACAACGCCAACAAGGGCGGCCGACACTTCTTTTACTGCTGCTGATCAAGGACGGCGACGACACCACCATCAAGGGCGGTTCTTCACCCGCGGCGAGCGCATCGGAGCGCGCCTGCGTGGTTCCGACGGACTCTTGCACAAAGCCATCCTTGTTCCAGTACTGGTGCTCTTAGCCGTACCGGCGGCGGTGCTGACATGCCCTATTTGCGTCTTCATCGTAGTCAAGAATAGTTTTCAGGCCTCGTAAGTCCTTCTTTCTTTCGAGCAATCTCTTTCACCAACAAAAACAACCTCGACTGATCAAGAAGGACAGAATTGAGACGCACACATACCACACAGCATGCCGCGCACGAGGCCACAAGCCACACCCATCCTGGGTACCACCGTCGTGTCGAGGTTGCGTATTCAGTTCATAATCGGTCCACGAAGCGTCACTAGCGATGGTACACCAAGAGCAGGCTGATACAAAAGGGAGGAGACAAAGAGAAAATCAGGAGCCTGGTGGTATATAGGAATTACAGAACCGCTTTGCTTGCAAAGACCGTTTTCTTCCCCGCCTCATGATGCTTGCTGCTATTGAAGAATCCCCTTTGCTACATGCCAACGACCACGACTCCCAACAACCACCCCTTGGCGTGTGTGTGCCGAAAAGCGCTCTCGCTATGCTATGTAATCCCTTTCAAGCGGAAAAAGTTTCAAACCATGACCATACCGGTGAACAAGAGAATCTTTGCTTCTCTCGATCTGAAACCCCCAAGAAACGTAAGAAAAGGCAAAGAGAAGGAAACAAAAATCAGTTAAAAACGCACACGAATGAATTAGAGTACTAATGAATGGGAGCTGAAGATCTCCCGACAAAGGAAAATTATCACCTTTCCGGACCAATAAGGAAAAAAAGTTGTTGACGAGTACTCCGCTCTTCACAGGAAGATGCGGGGGAGAGATATTAAGAGCAAGCATCCGTTCCATTCGGAAGAGCGAAAGGAAGAAACGATGCTACGAAGAAGTGGTATGAGTTGAGAGGTCATTTCCCAAGCATAGACAATACGAAGAGAGGTAACTTCGACTCGTTTACTTGCTCGAGAGATACTCGACAGCCTGGATTGAAGGCGGCATTAGTACGGCTATCATTCTTTTTCACGTCAAGCGTTTATAGCGTACCTTGTTAATGTCATAATCATACTTCTCTAGCGCAGCTAGAGCATCACCCCTCTGGTAGCCCATGCTAGTCAGGTTCTTCAGAATCGGGTCATCATGCTCGGTGCCGGCGCTCAGTGCCCTGCCAAGATGGGGCTTCTCGGCCTCGTCACCACTTGCCGGTTGCTCAGATCCCGAGGGCGCGCCCAGCATTTGGCTGCTGTCCGCCGTCTGCGGCGCTGTGTTGCCACCAGTCGAAGGCGCCGGCTGGCTATCAGACAGGCCGGAGAAGATGGCATCCCAATCGTGGCCAGAAGCAGCAGCGCTCTGCGTCGCAGGCTTGGAAGAAGCGAAGCTCTGGGTGAGGTGCTCAAAATCCGAGAAGGAGTCTTCAGCATGGTTCTTGCTTGCGTTGTTAGTCGGAGTAGCTTGGCTGGCCATTGTGTTGCTCTTGCTGGCAGCCGGGCTGTCGAAAACCGGGTTAAACTCATCCAGACCGTCACGGTGGCTCGAGCCGAAGAGGTCATCGTCGTCGTGGGCGTTGGTGGCATCCTTGGCTTCCGCGAGATCGTCAAATCCAGCATCGAAATCATCTCCGAAGGATTGACTGCCGGGCGCCTGGTTCGCGGGCGAAGCCTTGTCCGTAGATGGGTAGGATTGCGCAGAGTGGTAAGCATCTGAAGGCACTGTTGACGATGGTGTGTTAGCATTCGAGGTCGATCCAGGAGAAAAGGGGCCGGTGGCCGGAGCCTTTCCAGCAGCGCTGGACCCTCCAAAGAGGGTTTGACCAGGGGTGAGCACGGGCGAACTGAAGGTCTTCTCTGGGGATTGTGATCCGGACTGGGCCGTGGGATCCTGACGAGAAGGCAGCAGTCCGCCGAACTCTGGCGGGAAGGAGTCAGATCCCCTGGCACCGCTACGGTTGCCGGTGGTCTGCTCGTAGGTAGGGGGTGGTTTTTGGGCGTTAGGAGTGGGAAGGTTGCTATTATCGCGGGAGAAAGGATTACCTGAGTCTCCCGTACCTTCGGGACCGCTTGTAGTGGGGGCTGGGGCTGCATCATCGCGCTTAGCCTGGGGCGAAGAAGGGGCAAAGTTATCATCGAAGCCATGTTCGCTGTTGCTGTCGCTCTCGTCATCACCACCCAGATTCTCGATCGGAGGGAACTCTTGGTTAAACTTAGATGCCGATCCAACGGAGCCATTGAGAGATGACCCGGTGTTCTGTCTTTCCTGGAATTGTTTTCCAGCACCGAATCCGGCAAAGGCGGCATCAAAGTCAGCTTTGGCGGCAGATCCCTGGCGCTGGGGCTGAGAGCCGAAGGGATCAGACCTCGGGAAGCTGAAGCTGCCCTTGCTGCGGTCACTCATGGCACTTTGGCCGGTAGTTTCAGGCTTCAGAGGCGTGCTCACTTCGGGGAAAGAACCGGGCATATCAACAGAAGTTGACGGAGGGCCAAAGGATTGGAAGGTGTCCTTACGCTCCACACCACTTGCGGACCGCGCAGCATCACTAACGTGACTGGCGGCAGGCGAAGAAGTGAGGTTGCGGTTGAAGGGCGACGGGCCAAACTCCGGTGCGGATGTGTCCTTCGCGGGCTCAGCAGCAGATGCCGACGGAGAGCCAGGGGCGTTCGTCGGAGTCTCGTTGCCAGGGGCACCGAACCTGCTGGTCGGCGGAGCCGCCTTGACCGAGGAGCTGAAAGAGCCCTGGCGGGCCGCCCCTTCACGAATGGGCAGGATGCTAGAGGAGAATTGGCGGGACTCCGGGGGCGCGGGGGGCTCGCCAACACGTGGCGACTCATGGTATTGCGAAAGAGGGGGTGAAGTGGACGGCGTAGGAACGCCTGGCTCGGAAGACTGTACCGACTGCCCAGAGGGTGCAGAGATGTTAGGCGCGCCGGACTGACCAGAGGAGATTGACGGGCCAAAGAAGTTATCAAAGTTGGCCTGGCTAGCCTCTCGGGAGAACCCGGAAGGGGACATGGTGTTTTCAGCGGGCTGAGGTGACCTTCTGAAGAAAGGGTTAGTGCTATGGCTAGCATTCGAGGGCGCAGGGCTTGCAGCGACCGTGGGCCCGGGAGTTGCTTCCGGACTGCGGTTGTAGCTTTCCTGAGCAGCCTTTGTTAGTTCACTCATTTCATTTTTGAGTTTTTCACGCTCGCCCTCGTTCGTGGCAAGCTGCTTCTTGTTGATGGCAACCATGCCCTTCTGCTGACGCGCTTCTGAGCGCATCTTGTCAAGTTGGGGTCGGAGCTGCGCGACTTCAGCGTTGGTCTGGCGGATGCGTTCCTTCAAATTTGCGTTCTCGCGCTGATCGGCTTCGAGAGCACTGGCAACTTGCTGGTGCTGGCTCGAGAGATCCTGGTAGGACCCTTCAAGCATCGCCATCTCTTGCTGAAGCTTCCTTGTCTCCTGGCGAGACGCATTCAGCCTCTCCTCCAGCTGCTTGACAATCTGGACTTCAGCCTCATACTGCGCCCTGAATTGGGAGAGGCGCATTTCCAGGTCACGCTTCTGGGCGCTCGTGGTGTTGAGCTCCGCTTCGGTTGAGGCCTTTCTGTTATGCGTCTCTTGCATTTGTGTTCGCAGAGTGTTGATCTGGTTCGACATGTTCCCGAGCTCAGCGCTCTCGTCCGTAAGCTTCTTACTCTGCTCCTGATCATTGTCGCCAAGGAGGTCATCCATCGCTGAGGGCTGCGGCGGTGCTGGGCTGCGAGGCTGTGAACCAGAGCCACCGGTTCCCTGAGCAGTCAGGGTCTGGCCAAAGGAAGAAGAGGGCATGAACGGCTTGAATATGCTTGTGGGGTTCTGCGGAGTTGGCTGGAAGGTACCGCGCGATGGGGATGCGGGAGAAGCCGCTCCATTGCCAAATGGATCCTTGTTAGCGGGAAAGTTTGCACCAGAGCCGCCAGTAGACTGCGGCTGCACAGGCGGGGAAGCGGTGAAGGCATCGAGGCCAAACAGGTCCTCCGAGGCCGATTTAGGGGCGGGAACAGCAGGGGCAGCGGGAGCAGGAAAGGAAGCGGTGGTGCCGAAAGTAGCAGGAGGCTGAGATTGGGCCGGAGGTCTGGCGGCACTGCTCCGCATGCTAGGAGGAATCAGGGCAGGCGGCAGAGAAGGTGGCAGAAATTGGACACCGGGCTTGGGCCGCTGTTGACGGATCAAGTACATAGCAACTGCGAACTCATCCCGGTTGAGTTGGCCCTCGGAATTTATGTCAGCCAGATCCCAGATTGCTGCCAAAACCTCCTCAGGCAGTCCAGAATCGCTAAAGAAGACAACAGCTTGCTCGCCAGTAATGAAACCACGGCCCTGAGTATCCACTTTGCTGAACAGGTTGTCATAAGATGCCTTCTCCTGGGGCGTGATGAGCCAGTCGTTTCCAGTAGGCTGGGCGGACTGCGGAGGGGTCGCAAATGGCGGCCTTCCGCTCATAGGGCTCTGTCCACGGCCGGTATTCTGGCCGCTGAACTGGCGGGGGATGGGGCCTTGAGCAGATCCGGGAGGGCGCATTGCAGGCCCGCGCCTGGATGCGGCCTCGTAAAGACCTGCAGGAAGCGAGGAAGGAAGGCCCTTCATAGCGCCGCTGCTCAGGGACTGTATTAAATGCATAGCAATGATGAACTCCGTAACTCCCAGAGCACCACGCTGCTCTGTATCCGCAAGCGCCCAGACGCGACCAAGGGTCTCGTTTGGTAACCTCGCCTTCTCGAAGATGTTCTTGGCCGTTTCCCCTGTTACCAGTCAGCATCTCTCCTTTCAAAAGCCTCATTGTGATGTACCTGGAAGAACTCCGTTCACTGCGCCCGACTTCTCAAAGAGTGCAGCGTACTGTGCGGCGCGCTCGGGTGCCAACGGCGGCACGCGGATGGGACCGCTCATCTGGGGCTGGATGGGACCGGGGGCAGCGGGACCGGAAGGAGGCGAGTTGTCGAACTTGGGCAATGGGCCGGCTGTTTTCGCGTCAGTTTGCGCCTTCAGGTGGGTGGGAAGCACTCACGTTGGAAAGCCAGCTCAGGAGTAGGGGCCTTGCCGGCCTGGAAGTGACCGATGAGACGGAGCACTTGACAGAAGCCAGACGAGGTCAACAGGCCCCGGTTTTCTGTGTCCGCAATTTGCCATATCTGTGTGGCGCGACATAGCCTCGGTCAGCGGTCATCTGCTCTCGATTGCGGCTTGCTTATATGGTGTGGCGCATTGCGGTAGGCGACGGCAGGACGCACCTCTCCCAGAACTTGCGGCGGCAGCTTCGTGCGCTCGAAGAACTTTACAGCAACCTCGCCGGTCACGACACCCATCTGCTCGGTGTCGGCCTGGCGAAAGAGCTCGCCGAACACGCGCTTCTCCTCGGGCGTGAGGTTGAGCGGGGTGTCTGCGTGGGCGGCGCCAACGGTCAGCGGGAGGCTCCAGGCAACGATTGGGACGGGAACGGCTAGCGGCGTGCGGGAGCCAGGCGGGAGACTCACTCAGCTCCATGCTTTGCGATGGATCCGTCATGGTGTTCCGCTAGGCTGCCAAGTGCAGCATGCGATGGGTGGCTGGGGTAGGTCGGGCGGAGCGGCGGGCGTCAGGGTCAGGGTGACGGCTCGTCCGGCGCGGGTGTAGGGGCGGGCGTTGGAGTCTGAGGCGCGGCGCAAGCTGGGATGGAGCAGCGGGCCGCGGCGACAGCTTGGGGCGTGGGATGGAACAGCAGCGAAGATGCTGTGGTGAGTGGTGAGCAAGGTCCCAAGCTCGGGAGAGTGCTTGAGGTGTCCCGGCTGCTGGCGCTCGCCATGCACCGCGCACGGGCAGGAGCGTGACTTTCCTGGCAACAAATCGTTGGCCGGACGCTGCAGCTGAGCGGAGCTGCGTCAACTCGACCCTCCAATGGCCCGCTCCGCCAATGCAGCCCGCCCCCATGCGTCACAGTCTGGCCAGCCTGTGGCGACAACAAGCTCGTGGAGCTGTTAACGCTGTCCGTCGCATGTGCACTGCCGTGTCACCACGCCCGCAGCCCGACGTCAGCGCCGCGAGCAGCCGCATTGTTGGCCGTGTCTGTCCGCCGGTTTTCCTGAAGGTCACTGCCGGCATTCCGCGAACTGCTGGCTCCCATTTCCAGGCGGCCCGCGGGTTGGACGGTTGGATGGCCGGGGTTGGCGCGTCGCTTCCACCAACGACGTGCTCTGCTGCCAGGGAAGCACGTCAAGACCTTGCCCGTCGGTCCGGTTCTGTATATGCAGCGCATTGAAGATAGACCAATGGGATTGGTATCCGCGCGTCTGCCGTCGACCCTATCAGTGCATGTGGTTGACGAGCCGTGCGGGCGGATGTGGCCGCGGCGAATTTCCCCACAAGTAGATGTGCCTAGGCCCGGCCGCTGCCGAGTGTGTCATGAGGAGTGGTATTAATATAGTAGGATGAATGGAGTTTTGTAGTGTACAAGCCTGCTTTACAGCGCAGCCGCTTCAGGCTGCAGCATGTCGTCCCAAACGCCAGAGACCGTGATTTTCCGATATCCACATGCAATCATATCGTCAGTGCCGGGCGTGGGCCGACCTTTTGTACGAGTCCTCGTTCTTGCAGAATCCCAATGCCAGCCCAGCAGGCTGCTTCGCCCCCCATGCCTTGCCCAGCAACCAATCTGTGACGCTTATGACGCGCGTCATCTTATCCCAGTTACCGCCTTCTTCAACGTTTTCTATCGTGTGCGTGAGGATGCGGCCCTCCTCATCGAACTCGAATATGAACAAGCCGACAAACTCCTCGTCGTCCCTCGCATCGCCGCCCAGAAATTCTGTGATCTTGTCAACCTGTTCACTGCCGGAGATTCCGCGGTAAAACGCGCCAACGCCTTTGCCCTTTGTTTTACCACACGTCCTCCATTTGACGATCAACTTCTCATGCGCCTTGCCGGATGTGCTGCCGCAGCCGTTGCGCATCATGCGCTCCGACAGTATCTCGAGCTTGACGTTTCCTACCACCGGAACACGTCCCCACGCCACGGGTGCTGTCCATAGTGCTGCCGTGTATGCGATCCGCCCGCTGACGGTGGGAAGATGGGGGTGTGTGGAGGGAAACAAATGGAGGGTAATCTGCGGCGACAGGATTTCCTGTGGCAGTGGAGATGCTAGGAGGGTTGGCAGACGCTCGTGAAGGACTCGGATTGCTACGTGGCTGCGTCAGTGGGCGTGATTTCGTGTTTGGCTTGCACAGCACTTACTCTTTCCAAGCTTCAGGGTCCGCTCATCCGGAGGCTTTCCATCCTCGCCCTTGTGTTCGGGCGGCAGTGGGCTGGGGGTCGATGCGCTGAACCATTCTGCTGCCTCGGGCTGTTGTACTTTCGCGAACCTGCGGACGCCGTAACGGACAGCCGGGACGGCAGCGGATGGCGTTCGTGAAGGGAGCCTGTATGCGCGCGCAAGCCTTGAAGGCGGAGTGCACCGCATTGGGCTGGCGGTCATCTGTAGGTGTGCAAAGTCATAGATGGCTGGCGCAAGTGGAGTGACGGGTGGTAGCGCGGGTGGACGTAGCGAAGGAAACGGAATCCAAGGGTAGGTTATCGATAAGGATGGACAATGATGCAACGCTCATTCGCCAGAATTCCATCCATCACCGAAATCGCTCCCGACGCCGGTCACCGTCACCCGACCGTAGCCGCTCGGCCGATGACACAGGTGTTCTCGTGAATTCATTCCTCACTCAACTACAGAGGGGTGCTGCAGCCGATGGCCAGCGCGAAGAATAGCAGGGTCTTCGAACATAGCGTAAGTATGCCTCAGTTCTTTTTTTTTCCACAGTGAAAAAGAACACGCATGGGTAGTTGAAACTATCGTCTAGACGTATATATAAAGATATTAATTCTACATTTACATCTGGATGATAGTTTCAATTATTACCCATATTGTGAGCGAAAAATGAATCCACGCTAGCTGTCTGCTGCAATGGATATTGAAATCAATTTGGATCGTCGGCCCCATAATTCATTCCCATTGGGTATAAAACTAAAAATAAACTCCTGGTGAACGCCAAGTAAGAGAAGCGTGCTACTTCTCGTTGCGCCTCTCATCCAAGCAGATGCACATGGCTGCAATGACGGTCATGTCGACGTTGGGTGCAACCGTCACGACGTACGTCTGCTGGCCGCCAAAGATCTCGCGGGCGTTGAAGAACTTGCGGTCGATGGTAGCAACAAGCTGGCCGGTGGCCTCGTCGGTGATGTCGGCATACGTGTCGAAGAAGTTGCCCTTCATGAAGAGCCGCTCCTGCTTGCCGTTGGTGGACGTGAAGCTGCACACAGCTTTGGAAGAGCCGACTGCCAAAGTCAATACCAGTGTCGCCTCAAGCGCACGGGGTACTCACAGCTCCATTTGCTTTGCACGTCGAGAATTCTCTTGCCTGACGGATCTTCGGCGTAGTATGAAGTCGGGAAGGTGAAGTGCTGTTTCCGGATGGTGAAGAGCACGTTGCCTTGCATGTCCATCACGTGCTTGCGTCCGCTGAGGGAGAAGTACTCGCCCTTGACCTGGACAATTGCGCGGCCATCGACCGTCTTGACGCTGAACGAGTCGCCGGAAAGTGACAGGACCTTTTCTTTGAGCACGAGTGGTTCGGCCTGGCGTGCAAAGAAGCTGGGGAAGAGCCCGAGCGGGGTGGGGTAGGGTGGGAGCTGGAGGTGTTGCTGAGACGACATGTTGTGTGAAGAGCTAGGAACTCAATGGCAGGTTTCAAAATGCAGGGAATACGAGGGAAGTGCTGGTGTTTTATTTGCTATAGTTAGAGTCCAGCTGTGGAAGGCACGTGCAACCAACATGCCGAAGGATCGCATGGCTGTGTAGGCAGCCGCGCCGAAATGGAAATCTGACCAAGCCTCTTGCCGATCTCAGCAAGGCTTAGCACACGAAGCGATCCTTATGACGTTACAGCAACAAAGAAGCTCGTCGCTGGGAGTACAAAGCCACGTTGGTGAGGCAGGTGTTACAGTGGGTGCTGAAAGACCTGAGCCATCGCGACTAATTTCTGTCAGCATCTGAGCTCATTACATAGGTAGCTGAAGCTACCATCCGGGCGTAAATGTAGAATTGTTGTAGCTTCGGCTCCCTACGTAAGTCGTCGCGAAGATAATTGCGGGGGGTCATGTCTTTTGTGGATGTATTGTGGTGGGGTATGTATGGCACGCTAACCTATCTGCCGACCCAAGCTCGCTTTTTCATCTCACTCGTCGCGTGTCCAACGTCAGATGCGTTGGCGAAATGCAGCCGCTTTTTGTGGTCCGACGCTTCCGTTTCCGTCCATATAACTCTTCTCAGCTGTTGAAGCCCTCTCAAGCAATTCACGTCGCATTCCGCACGCGCGCACCACAGCTCTAGCGATCAAGGTGCCAAACACGGTTGAGCTCCGTCCTCCTTATGTCACCGAGACGAATTGTAGCCTCTGCTGCCAAGTTGCACTAAGCGCCGCCCGCGCGTGTCTCAGCCACCTTCACGTGAAGTTTTGGCGTTCAAGAAAAGCTTCTCGCAAGAAGGCGCATCCCTGGCACGTTACCTTGCGGAAAGTCGAGACCGTCCACGCCTGCGGGAGACGCGCCCGCTCCCGTGGGCGACAAAACGTCCGCCTTCCGCAGCGATCCTTGCGAGGATCAAGCCCTTGGAAAATTTCCCACGAGGAGAAACCCTACGAGCCACCGGATGGGACTCCGGTACCGTGGTCCTCCGGAGGCTGAGGGATCATGCCTTCACCTCATTCGCGAGCCGGAAACCTGAGGCTGGCCCAGGGATTCACTAACGCCTTGTGCGGCCACTGACAGACAGGGCTCCCACAAAACTTTGAACTTTGTGCCTGGCGGCTCGCACTAGCAACCAATGGGCGCCACTCAACCGTACAGCCAGCTCCCCCGCAACCGCAACAGCAGCGACGGCGCCCTCTCCCATGGATGGGCGTTTTTCTCTAGCGTCCCATCACCCCTCCTTATATACCTCTGCCGTCATTCGTACCCGCAGCCACGACGCTTCCACATGTTACCACCGTCTGATGAATCCCTGGCTCCTCTCCATCTATGGAAATGAGCTATGGCTATGACTCTGCTATCAGCGTGCCAACACTGATCGGTAGCCTTCTTTCCTGCCTTGCCACCAGCTGTGTCCTCGTATCCTATCTCTTCCTCGCGCCCCAGCAGCCTTCCTTCCGACACGCTCTCGTCTTCGCTCTTGCACTGACCGGTGAGTTTCTCTTCGCAAACAAGGATTAATCCTGACTCTTGTATAGAATTCATCAACTCGCTCAACAACACCGTATCCGGCATCTATGTACTTGAGCATCGGCATGGAATCGCGCCTGGTGTAGCTTGCCAGCTCAACGGCTTTATCGGCCAGCTATCTGTACAAGTATGCCAAACCATCCCCCAGCACCAGCAGCCTTACGCTGACGCCCGACGCTCCAAGGCTACAGACTTTTCCATTCTTACCATTACCCTCATTACTTTCTTTACTGTCATCAAGAACAGCTACATCTCTTCGGCATCTCGGTTGTGGAAAATAGTGACGTGTGTGTTGGTATGGATTGTCCCCCTAATAACAAGTAAGTTGCAAGACCCAAGCCCACTGCGCCCCGGAGGCTAAGGGCAGTCAAGGTAGCATAGCCGCAAGTTCCGACGCAATACAGCCGGTTGGTGGCAATTGGTGCTGGATTCCGAAGGATCGCACGGTCCTGCGTTATGCTTTAGGCCATGGCTGGCGTTTCGGCATCATCGTCGCAACGATATGCATGTATATTTGCATGTATTTCTACATCCAGCACCATTTCTCCAGCAGCAACGCCTTCGTCGATCCAATCTCGACGTCTCCACCCGGTCGCTATCTGGCAACAATAGAAGCCGATTTGGCGAAGCCACGGCCAGCTGTGATGCGAAGGGCCACGGAACCGAAGGACCTCAAGATGATTGCTGAACTCGACAAAGCAGTTAGCCAACGTCTTACCGAACACGTCGAGACGACCCAGCGTAGCATTAGTGCCATCGTCCCAGCACACATGGATGATACCACCGCCACTACCTCCCTAGACATGACAAGCCCCAAGGTTGACGCCGACGCATCAGTTGCCCGCAACTCGGTGCTCACCATCGACATCCCCCGCCACAGCCTTGAGCTGTCCTTTCTCAGTCATTCAGCCCCACCAACGAGCACAATATTATCCCGTAGGCTTCGCGAGAAGCCGTCGCAAACACTGACCATCGACACATCCATTACACCGTCAAGCCCACCACCTCGAGAGCTGTTTGACTCGCCCACTTCGATTCGCACACACATGCAACAACAGTCCTTCAACCGCCACGCACAGGTTGGGCGAGAAGTGCGGCGTATGCTTCTGCTCAATGCCTATCCCGTGGCATGGGTAGTACTGTGGCTGCCTGGGATTGCAAACAGACTCGTCGAGGCGGCTGCCGGAAGCTCGCCACGCTGGTTGCGCATCATGCAGAGCACGACACAGTATGTGGGATTGGCAAATGCCTTAACATATGGCTTCAATGAGTACATGCGGAGCAGAGCGAGGAGGGATGGAAATGAAGGATATGGTTGGTCGTGGAGAAGAGGTATGGTCTGAGAAGTGAGACAAGGAGCACGAAGAAATGCCCAAATAGAGATCCACCATCTCTCTCTTAATGCACTAACTCCAGCCGAAGCGCCTCCCCGGTCTCGTTTATATCACCCACTTGTGGGGCGAGCCTCCGGTTACGGGCCTTCTGACCATCACCTAGACGTCATGGTCGTAGGAACCGCAATTATTCATAATCGCCTTCTGTACGAAGTAACGCCAACAAGATGCAGCACCCATGTCTCAGTAACGAAATGCAGCAACTTATATCCAACTTCAGTACTTGCGATGACGTCTCCTTGCATTAGCGCAAATTCGGACACGTAGTTTGTATAAAAAGGCGGGGTTCACACGTTCGAACATCCACAGGATCAGGCACCAATCAAGATGATCGATACACAGATCAATCCCTTTGATCCAACTGTCTCTCAGGATGAAGTAAACCGGCTCTTCCGGAAACTCAAAGACACGCGTCTCCCGGAGTATCCAATCGTGCCCGATTCGGCCGACAATGACGACTACGGCGCACCGCTGGACTGGGCGCGCCGGCTGAAGGAGTACTGGGAGACCCAATACGACTGGACCAAGGCGCAGGAAGAGGTCTGCTCCTGGCACCACTTCAAGACGCGCATCGAGGGCATCGACATCCACTTCGTCTACGAGAAAGCCGCCGCCTCTCCCTCGTCCTCGGCGAAGCCAATCCCGCTACTCCTCATCCACGGATGGCCGGGCAGCTTCTACGAGTTCTCGCGCGTCATCAGGCCGCTCACCAGCCCGCCCTCGGCCGACGCGGGGCCGGCCTTCGACGTCGTCGTCGTCTCGCTGCCGGGCTTCGCGTGGTCGGGCCCGCCGCCGCGGCGCGGGTGGACGCTGCAGGACTCGGCGCGCGTCTTCGATACGCTGATGGGCCGGCTGGGCTACTTTTCGTACTGCGCCCAGGGCGGCGACTGGGCGCACTTCGTTCTGCGCGAGCTGGGATCCGGACGCTTCCCAGCCTGCCGCGCCGTGCACACCAACATGTGTCCGAGCGAACCGCCCGTCGCCCCCGGCGAGGAGCCGACGAGCCGCGAAAAGTGGGCGGAGGAGAGGCTTCAGTGGTGGCTCGGCCGGCCCCGCGCGGAGCGGCACATGGGCTTCGCCGTCGAGATGCGCACGCGGCCGCAGACGCTGGGCGTCGCGCTCAACGACAGCCCCGTCGGCATCATGATGTGGGTGGGCGAGAAGTACAACGAGCTGACCGACCCGGAGCGCTACGCGGACCTGCAGGATCCTGAATTCAACCACCGCCTCGCCACGACGCTGAGCCTGTACTTCTTCACGCCCCCCAGCATTATGACCAGCATGCTGTGCTATTACGAGAACGTGAGGCACGAGGACTACGCCGAGTTCAACCTGCGGCCCGAGAACAGAATCACCGTCCCCATGGGCTTCACCAGTTACAAGTGGGATACTTCGCCTACGTCGGAGCGGACCGTTGCGACGACTGGAAATGTCAAATGGTTTAAAGAGAGGGATTACGGCGGGCATTTTGCGGCGCTGGAGACTCCACAGGAGATGGTTGATGATCTGAGAAGCTTTTGCGGACAGTGGTACTCGGAATAGACCTCTGTTTTCCTTTTTTTGGGGGGGTGTCATATGGCTAACCACTTATCCAATCATTTGAATAAACCCGTCAATCCGGGCGTAATGTGAAAATGTCTTCCTAGGTTTTCATCCAAGTGAACAAATGAAAAGAAAGTGATATCGGATTAGCCACTGCTGTTCGGTATGATAGGTCACAAATGTAACGAGCCTTCTGCATCCTATAAAAGATAATACACTCTCCCTCTCCATATGAAGTCTAACCCGACGGCTGAGTGTATTTGCATGAAAAGTCAAGTTCTCTTGGGATCCGCTGGGGATGGTTACAATTTCGCCTTTGAGGGTGCCAGTAACTTGGCGAGGTTTCCCATTACGAACATGAACTGGTTTCATTAGCTCGAATTTTCTTCCAGTCCCTCGGAATTGTCGCTTACTGCTTCATCTATCAACCCAATATTCCCCGGCAGCGGAACATAAGTGTCACCATCATAGAATGATCTCATAGCATGCCAAAAGCCCGGATACGTGTCGTTCTGCAGCAGGTCGTAGAAGAACCTGTCCGGTGGTTAGATGACCTCCGCATGATAACTTGAAAATGTTGCTCACTGAGCCTTGTGCGCTCCGGCCGGTACCACTTTCTCCTCAAGTGTCACCTTCTCGTTCGGGAAGCTTTTCATAGAATGCGTGTGGCGAGCCGGTATGAAAATTGCAGGGTCTCCTCCCTGAACCACCTGCGTCTTGCCGTCGAGCGTTATGGCTACTCGGCCTTCAACCACTGTGATGTACTCGGAGTGGTTCTCCCGTCACACGTCAGCATATCCTGAGATGACTTGGGCCCATCAAACAATACCTTGTGCCAATGTGGCGGAACAGTGAAGACTTCGGAGCCTGGTTTGCCGTCGCCGAAGACGCACGTGGTCCACCTGTCTATCGAGTCTTCTGGTAATGATTCATCAACGGTAATATCCATCCATAGTCCCTTTTGGAATAAGTCAACTTCTTTTTGTTTGAGCTGCAACGTTCACGAACCTTTCCCATTCCAACGGTCTTGTAGATCTTGCGAGAAGTCATGGTTACTATGACGAGCGATTGTGTGAGCTTATTCTGACCTGAAAAGATCGTAAGTGTCGACCTTCCATCTTCGGCGGGGGTCAAAACTAATTATACGGCTCGGATGCGGGGCTGATCGTCGATAACGAATGCCCGTTGGGATCGGACGGAGTACGGAGGCCACGCAACTGCCTTATGTCCGTTATTCTTTGTCAGCAGCAACCGAAACTTCAAGATCTAGAAGATCTATAGCCTTCTCTCGCAGCCGATGGCTAGCGTGGATTTGTTTTTTGCTCATGTCATGGGTAGCTGAAGCTATCGTCCGGACGAGAATGTCGAATTAAAAATTCTACATACATGTCCGGTCGATAGCTTCATCTACCTACATATGTTCTTTTTCTAAGGAAGAGCTGGGGCATAGTTACTCTATGTTCTAAACCCGGTTCCGAGCTCATGTAGGATTACTCGCTCTATGCCAAGACTTGCCGAGTCCCATGTAGACTCTCCATTGCAACTTACGGGATGATCACGGCTACGTATAGTGTTTCGTATGTGTTGAAAAACTTCCATTATTACCTTTGCATTTTGATCAAATTATTGATCAAGAAGCTTATACAGATAGAGAGTCGCGCTAAACTCTCGGAACTCGGACATTTTCGGAAGCTTATAGGTATACTACAGTACGTCATGCTAATAGGCTGGTGCAAATCTCAGTCAGCCGTATAACTGGGTATTGCAGCCGAAAGCTAGCGTAAATTTATTTTCTAACGCCTGTCTTAGGTCGTACTATATATATTTAGTTGAAGCAATCATGCAAACATAAATGTAGAATGAAATTCCATACATTCACGTCCAGACGACCACTTCAAGCCAACTCTCTTTTTTCAATGATTAGAAAAGAGATTTCTTTTCCGGGGACCGCATTTATTCACTGGAAGGGAAAAAAAAAAGGGGGAAGAAAATCTACGTGAAACAACGCGAATAACGTTATGCTTGGACAAGAAAAGCATCATAGTGTATTGTTAAATAGTCATATATACACAGAGAATAGACATAGCAGCATCCTCGTTAGAGAGATTTAGTAAAATAGCATACAGTGCGAACTTCTCTACCATCCGTTGCACTTAAGCTTAGCCAGGTTGAGGTAATCGGCGTTGATGTCCCACAGGTTGGACAGACCAAGGTTACCGGCGTCGTTGACGATCTCCTGCTTCAGCAGCTCGATCAAGCGCTCGACACCAGGCTGGCCGTAGACGTTGGCGTAGTGGAAGGAGCGGCCCAGGCCGACGGCGCGCACACCGAGAGCGAGCAACTTCAGGATGTCGGTGCCGTAGCGGACGCCGCTGTCGGCGTAGACCTCGAGCTGCTCGAAAACCTCGGGCGCCTGCTCGTAGATCTCGATGGCAATCTCGAGCGGCGAGGGCGCGCCGTCGAGCTGGCGGCCGCCGTGGTTGGAGAGGTAGATGGCCGGCGCACCCACCTCGACCGCCTTCTTGGCGTCCTCGACGGTGTAAACTCCCTTCAGGATGACGGGGAGATCCGTCCACTGGGTAAGCTTGGTGGTGTAGTAGTCCCACTTTCTGCCGTTAGCGTGGCTCTTTCGTATCATCTGAAGCACTTACAGTCAGGGCCTGGAGCTCTGCAGTGTCGGTGGCCTGGCTATCGCGATCACGGTAGCGAGCGTCACGGGTGCGGTCACCATCAGCCACAGCGTCGATGGTGAAGACGATGGCCTTGGCACCAGCAGCCTCAGCCCGCTTGATGTTCTCCTGAACGCTGCTGTCATTGGCCGTCACGTAGAGCTGCTGGAAGGTGACTTGAGACCCATTGCTCGGCTTTGCTGCAGCAAGCTCCTCAATGGTCTTGCTTGCGTAGAGAGCAGGCTAGGAGATAGTCAGCGTCTGATCCAGCATGAGCGCTACATTTGACCGACCATGTAGAGGATATCCTGGGCATAGGCACCCTTCATGAAAGCAATCTCAGCTTCCTCGGGGTTGGAGTAGGCAGCACGGGCAGCCGGAGCAATGAAGAAAGGAGCCGAGAAGTTGTAACCCAAGATGGACGTGCTAAGGGTGTTCTTGGTGTTGGAGATATCCTTGAGCATCCTGGGCCTGAACCTCAGTTGCTGGAAGGAGTCCAGGTTGTTCCTGTATGACCATTCGCCACCAGAGGCGTGTCTGTACCAGGTGTAGCTGGAGCCGTTCAGGCAGTTTCTGGCCGCAAACTCGAAGTCCGGAGCGCATTGCATCTGGTCGAGCTCAGGGCAGATATTCGGGGGCTCGTAACCCTCAACGCCGAGAACACGTTCAAGACTGTAGAGCTATTAGCCAAGGGCTGGGAAGGACGAGACAGCGTAGCTCACCCAGTGTCAGGCTCGTTCAACCATGGGTAGGCAGCAAGGGAAGAGCCCACAAAGGGCGCGAGCAGATGGAAGGAGCGCATTTCAGCAGCAAAAGAATGACAGCAACAACTGGGAAGGAGCGGTAGGCAGCAGTTGAAGGCATATTGCCGGTCTACAGGCGGTTCTTATATCCACAGATCCGCAGAAAAGCCAAGCTCAGTATCTCCAGGCGCTTCCCAATGCCACGACCCGCAACGGCGCGATTCGTATTGCAGAGCGCACGCGGGACAAGCCGCCGCAAAGAGAAGCAAGAGATGGCACTGGATCGCATAGATGCTGTGGCCAAGGCATGCTCCGATTGTCGGGGGCTTGGCGGCGATGTGAAGTTGAACCGAGCGAGTCATAGGAAGGTCCGCTGTCGACGCAGGTACGGAGCTATGTCAAGCGTCGGCTCCGGCGGCCAGGAAAGCCCATGGGACATGCTTAATCTGGGAATGCTTTCCGCGAAATTGGCAGGTGTAGCGCGTGGGATGGGGCACAGCCGTAGGAGAACGAGACTAATTAAGGAGCAACAAGGAATTCTGGGGACTGGAGAAAAATTTGGAGAACCCCGTGGCGGAAGGGAGACAGGGCTGTTTCAACGTCTGGCGGGGCTGCTCCGACACTGCACGGTTGCAACCCGGCGGCTGACCGGTTCTTCGGTTAGATTAAGTGCCTTGCAGAAGCTTAGCTGTAAACATTAATGCATATCGACAGCTTCCTATCAAGGGGGCGAGGTCTGGAAAGAAGTCGAATGGAGAAGCTGCGACGGGTGCCCCAGGTCGGGCTGCCTTTCTAGTCATGGTGGGCCGGAACACCCCCACTGAGTCGTGTGCTTGGCCGCATAGACGCCATTTCAAGGGTTGTTTCGCGAATCGCAATGATGATCTTGTGGTGTCGACAGCACGCCTGGCTTGTTGACGTTGGTGGTCCAGAGGTGACTAATGGGCCAGCGGAAGTCTTCCGTCCCGAAGCCGGGGGAACACCAAGCGAGCGCTGGGGTGTGGCACAAGATTTGAGCCTTATGAACGCAGAAGGCAACGACGACCTGCAACTTCTAGAAGTCGCGACCTTCAACTGCCAAAATTCCATGCATCTAATCCTCCGTGACTCAATAGCCGATCGCTCCCACGATAATAATGAATGTTTATCGGAGTCTCGTCTTTCATTCACAACGGAAGGAGGGGGGGGTCAAACCACGCGCTTTCCTTTGTAAGTGCTATTTGGAAAACTCTCTTTCAGCAACTGCCACTCCAGTAACTCAGCTGGATCTAAGGAGTTTGTTACAAACAACTCCTCCGTGGCGCAATTGGCTAGCGCGTCTGACTGTTAGCGGTAATCCAATTACCATTGCAATCAGGAGGTTGACAGTTCAAGCCTGTCCGGGGGAGCAGTTTCTTTTGATCTTTGGTGTATCTTTCCTTTTTGTCCACAATCAGGGGTTAAGTTCATTTATACCCGTTCGTAAGTGTCTTTTTGATTTTTATCCTTCTTATGCGAATCTACGCAGTGAAACCATGTGCAAATACACCTTTACAGTCCCATCTCGCAGCCGATGGCTGGCGCGAAGAATAGCAGGGCTTTAGAACGTAGCGTAACCATACCCCAGCTACCTATGAATGACATGAGCAAAAAACAAATCCACGCTAGCCATCGGCTGCAAGAGGGGATTGTAGATATAAAACTCCCTCTGTCCTGTGCAATCCATAATACAATTTAATGGAGCTTAATACTTGCTAAACTTGATCACGAGCCTACTTTTGCACATGTGCTTCCGCTACACTGATCTCGCTGTAGGATTTGGTGTTCGCTCGACTACTCAAACACCGGTCCTTGTGCTCCACTGCGTCTCGACGCGAACCGGCGGACAGACGTCCCGGGCGCCGGGCCGGCGGTTTTGCGTATAAGAATCCCGGGCGAACCTGCCCCAGTTTCACTGTCATTTCGGCTAGCCCCACTCTATACGGGCATCTTTCTTGAGGCTGTACTGGGCAGCTTATCAAGCGATTACATTATCGCCGTGAATGCTCCGATGGGATAGCTACATGGAGCAACTTTTCGACACATTGGCCCCAGCCCGCCTTGCACATGCCGTCATGAAAACACGCCCGGATCTACGCCTAACACATGCCCAACCCATCGCTTTGATGCAATCCGAGATCCTTGTCCTTCGTTTCCTCCCATAAACGCCTCCTAGTCAGCAGAGAGCAAAACAAAGCCTGTCGCAACGCCACCCATGCATGCCAACGGGGGAAATCACTCTAGCGTGGCTCTCTTAAAGGTGCAGGGAGATAAGGTAGCAGAGCTTCTGCTTCCTGCCGTGGCTGGAAGGCTTGCTGCACATCTCCTCGCTTCTCGTACGTGTCGGCCAACATGCTGTCAGCTACGCACTGCCAGAGTCGGTCCCCAGCTCTCTTTGCCAGGACCCGTCCTGCCTTGGCACTCTTTTCCGTCTGCTCACCAATGATGTTGGTGAAAAAGGCCGCCGTCATGTAGTTCATGCAAATCGAAAGCAGCTGGTTGTTTGCTACAGCCTTTGCTGCGTGAAGTGCCTGCTGGATGCATTGCTTCATCTTGACAATCGATGAGTCCTTACCTTTGGTCGTTGCCTTCAGCAACTGGCAGGCCGATCTCATCGACAGGTTTGGATGCGTTAGAGTCTGTCCTTCGATTTTCTGCAAAAGCCCCTCCGCGTCTGCATGCATCGGGTGCGATGGCGAGCGGATTATCAACAAGGTATTCATGATAGCCAGGATGCTGAGATCTGACTGGGCTGTATGCTGCATGGGTGTCACGTTCGTCGCCCAGAGCATGCGGAAGTGGCCCAGCGCTGCCTGCGTGTTCCCGGATCCTTGCTCTATGACTCCATCGAGATAGATAGCAAAGCGGCTCATTGAAGGCCTGCGATCCTCCGAGAACATGGGTGCAGCTTGATCTAGAGCAGTGAGGTGTGTCCGGGCTGTCTTCCAATCTGCCTTGTTGCACGCCATGAAGCATTGGTAAAGACGGAAATGCCAGTCCAACGCACGGTGCCATTCCATGCAGACTGATGCGCCGTGTATCGACATGGGATTGGGATCTGGAGCGGCAAGACTTTCTGAGAGCATTATTTAGCAAAGAGGAGCAGCCTGTGACTGGCCCTTTTGGAGCCACTTACCTTTGGTGAGTTTAAGGCCTTCTTTCAGATAGCTCTCGGCCTTGTCCTCAATAGGATTCTTCAACAGGGCAGTCACGCCGCTCAAGTAGTATCCCAGCATCCATAGATCCCTCTTTCTCATCCACGCCAAAGACAATCGATCTCTACCATCTCCGTTCCTCTGGAAGATACCGCCAGTGGTACCAGTAAGCTGCACACTGGGGGGTCGATGAACAAGTACAGAGAACGTGCCGTCGTCTTTGCTATTGTCACCGTTCACAGCGCTATCCATGATAGCTTGCAGGTCGCGCATTTTAGCAACAGCCTGGTCGGGCTTGTAGCTTTGCAGGTTACACGCCAAGTCGATGAGATCGAGCAGAGCCACAATCGGGCCAAGTTCTTCCATGGTCAATTGCAATTGAAGGCTCCTTGCGGACGCAATGGAGCGCTGAGCTTGCTCGATGCTGTCGGGGTTCATGAGGCGCAAGTACACCATAGCCAGGATGGTGGTGCTGGCAACGTAAATGGCCTGATCACCCAACTTCTCGGACAGGGTAGAGACTTCGATTAGGGTATACATAGCTGCGGTCAGATCAGCATGTGTTGCTGACTGCATACAGAGAGATGCACGTAGGAGTCGGAAGGCGTAAGTCCACGGAATATGCTGGTACCTAGGGAGGCCTTTAGCTTGCACACAAACGCGGGGTCAGGGTCAGTTGTCTCACATTTCAGCGGAGCGAACCACGCTGTCAATGGACTTCAGAGCAGCGGCATGGTTGGATGTGAATAGAGAACGGGCAAGGAGATGTTGCATAGTGTACTTCAAATCCAACATGTGGTGTCTCTCGCAGAGACTAATGCCCCGGCTCAGGTACTCCTCAGTCTGAAAGTTATTGTCCGTCTCTTCATGCAACAGAGTAGCATATCTCAGGATCGTCATAGCCTCTTGCCGCGGATTCATGCGGGATTCTTTGATCGCAGCTTCTAAGCAGCCCAGAGCGGTCGACATGAGCTTGTAGTATTTGTCTTCGTCCGACTGTCGGCGCGAAAGAGCCACCGTGGGCCCCATGGCATGAGCAGCAGCGATATACTCATCTGCGAGCGAGAGCAAAAGTTGCTGAGGATTTAGGGGGGGCGGCGAGGCGGGGTTTGGCCGAGGGATCTGAACTTGGACTGTCGGCTGGCGCGGAGGCGAGGCGGCCTGGGAAGCAGTATGAGGGACGGGAACGGGGTTTGGACGTGAATACTGAGACTGCTGCGGACGATGCGGGTGGTAAGGCGGCGGCGAATGCTGCGCAGGGTATTGCGCAGGCAGAGGCGGGTAGCGTTGGTAATGCTGCAGTTGCGGTTGCGGCTGCTGCATCATGTGCTGCTGAGGTGACCGCTGCGGAATCATGACCATTGGGTGGGCCGGGTAGCGCTGGGGCTGGGGCTGGGGCGGCGAAAGAGCAGGAGCGAACGACTGCGGGTGGTGCTGCTGCTGTGCCGCGAGGTAGGCGCCAGGTGAGCCGGCAACAGGCGCGGGCGCGGGAGAGCCATGCATCTGCGGATAGCCTGCGGGCTGTTGCTGATAGCCATGCTGAGGGGGGCGCGGGGCGCCATAGCCGCCGGGCTGGGGCTGCCCGGATTGATGGTAGTAATGCATGCCTGGCGGGGGCGACGGCGGGCTATATGGGCTTTCTCATGGTGGAGTCGTCGCGACCTGGTCATGATGCGGGCGGCGATGCGCGAGTAGCGGCGGGAGACGTGACGGGGCTTGGCGCGGGTGCTTGGCGCGCCGCAGGGTCGCATTGGCTGAACAGCCGCGCGCTTCTGCATCGCGGGCCGAGGCTTGCGGTACGGCCGCTGCGGACTGAAGAAATGCGCACAACAGCACCGAGCGGACCGCCGTCTGCACGAGGCGCCGCGCCGGCTCGCGCTTCGGCCGGACGATTTCCATGTTCTGCCCCGGACCGTTGCCACTTCCGCCCATGTAAAAGCCACGGTGCTGCTCTCCACCCAAGTCCGCCCTGCCTCTCGAGCCTCAACCCCGACGATGATGGATCTCTCGTGGGTGCTGGGACGCGCTAGAGTCTCCTTCACCAATTGTGCCAAACCCGTGACAATTGTAACCAGGTCCGGCCAGTCTGTCCCGTTGCCGGAGCTGATCAAGGATGTGACGCCTCCATGCCACCTCAATCCGCTGCTGTTCAACGGTCATTTGCAAACCGCATACACCGGTCCGTGCGCCCGTCTGCTGTAAAGCACCCTTGCTAACCTTAAAGCATCGCAGTTGTGAAAGGCGTCGATATCCCTGTGGTCTACAAGCGCAAGGTCTTCGCCTCGAACAACCCGGCCGTTCCTGGCACCTTTGCTGTCGACTTCGTCCACCGCATCGCTTCTAACGACGTCGACTCGACCTTGCCTCCGCGCACAACCTACTTTACCGATCAGGAGTTCGGTGAGATCGGCTCAAATGACAGCAAACCCATGCTGGTCACCCTTCACGGCCTGGCTGGAGGCAGCAATGAAATCTACCTGCGTCACGTTCTTGCTCCCCTGACCACCGAGGAAGGTGGCTGGGAAGCTTGCGTAGTGAATTCTAGGGGCTGTGCTATGAGCAAAATCACCTCCAACGTTCTGTACAATGCCCGTGCCACATGGGACGTGAGACAGGTCGTGACCTGGCTCCGGGAGAAGTTTCCCAACAGGCCCCTTTTCGGCATTGGCTTTTCTCTGGGGGCCAACATCCTAACCAACGTGAGTTCCACATGTACTGCACCGGAAAGCACATCTCCCAGCTAACACGCCTCATAGTATCTTGGCGAAGAGGCCGAGCACTGTCAACTCAAGGCCGCCGTCGTCTGCTCGAATCCTTGGAATTTGGACGTCTCCAGTGAGGTCTTGAAGAACTCATGGATGGGACTGCACGTCTACCAGAAGGCCATGGGAAGTAGTATGAGGAGGCTATTCGACAGGTATATCCCAAGAGGCTGTGCTGCACACCTGAGACAATGCTTACTCCATCCCAGGCACGCCGAAGAAATTGCAAAGAACCCAAACATTGACGACGAGGAAGTTCGCAACTGTACCTACCTATACGAATTCGACAGGTAACTTCTCCTTTTCAACCCTGCTGACCGAAGCTCTGACTGGTCAAAACAGAGCTGTACAATGCGGAAGTTGGGGCTATCCTACGGAGAGAGCATATTATCGAGATGCTTCGTCTTGTGATTCTATGCTTGCCATCAAGATCCCCTTTCTCGCCATCAACGCCGAAGACGACCCGGTGAGTAGTGCTCTTTTCATCCCATTAATCGATCGAACGCTAACTGGTGAAACAGATCTCTGTGAAGGAGGCCATCCCGTTCGGGGAATTCAAGCAAAACCCATACGCCGTTCTGTGCTCCACTTCTCTCGGCGGTCATCTCAGTTGGTTCCAGAGCAACGGCGATCGTTGGTTTGCAAAAGCTGTAAGGACTCCAGCTTCCATCAAGAAATTTTTGTAGCTGACTTTGGCAGTCCGTCGCTTTTCTGAAGAAGATGGCCGAGGACGCCGATTTCGATGCCACGCAGAGCCTCAATTCCCAGAACGCCAATGGTTCTGTAGGGGGCAGGGGCAAGCCGTTTGTTTTCGAACCATTGCGCCGCAAACTGCACATTCCGAAAGACCACGCCGAGTAAAGTTTGAGGTAGCGACGTTGTTGATGCGTACTGCAAGCCCAGCATACTTAACTTGCGGATCTTTGGGATTGCGAATACGAAGAGGGAACTCACAGTCTGCTTTGAGATTGCAGGTGGGGAATCATAGATTAGAATAGACCAGAGCTCAGCCGAAAGACACTCTCTTCTTGTTGGGCCTAGTAGACTTTGTAGATTTGGCTTCTTCATTTTTCTCAGGCGCAGAGCCAGCCTTGGGTTTGTGCTTCTTGCGCAGAGAGTCCTTGGTCTCCTCCTAGAATTCTGTCAGCAATCTGCAGTGTGGAGAAAATAGCCAAAGTGTGCTTACGAATTTTTCGCGCTTCTTATCCAGGCGGGCTTCTGCTTCCTTCTTCCTTGCCTCGCGAATCTCCTCCATTTGCCTTGCCTTCATCATCTTGGACTCGATCTGACCCTCCTGCTCGGCGTTGACCATGGCGAGAATAGTCATCATACCCTCCTATTGTCATATTAGTCACTTCTGCGCAAGCGTATCACCATCCACCACCTTGAACGAGTCCACAAGCCGACCGTTCTATCGTACAAAGCAGAAGATATGCTTATGAAAGAAGGCAAGGAACCGGTGATAGTAAAGACACTTCGCCGGATTCTCAAAGAAGTGGTCTCTTCTACCATCGGGTTGGCCCATTTTTGCGCTTGTTTTGCTCAAGGGAAAGGTGGCAGCGGCGCATTGGGTAATGGCGGTAGCACGCATACCTGATCATCCACAAAAACCTTGCCCTTCTTCTTGCCCTTGGGCTTCTGAACGCCGACCGGAGTTATCATGTTCAACTTGGGAATGCCCAGCTCCTCCTCAGTGTAGGTTCGCTTCTTCTTCTTTTTCGGATCGACTTTCGCAGTACCGATCGAAGTGTGGGTTTTGGACTTCGAGTGCTTCGAGGGCTTTGCGCCCTTGGCGCTCGAGCTCGTGGAGCCCGATTTCGACTTCTGCGGCTTGACGGGGGCCATGGCGACGATTTGCGGTGCGGAAAGCTGGACGAAGAAATCTCGAAGAGCGGCCTGGAGTTTAGGCGGCGTTTGCAAGGGTCTCTGTCTTGGCGCGCCCGGACCTCAGCCCAGCTGCCCGGGCCAGGCCGCGACAGCAGCAATCAAGCGCCCTCCGAACCGCCGTCATCGTCAACTCCGCCGACAACAGCCCTGCGCATCACACATCTCAGAGCTCCCATCTTTCTGCACAGTCAAATATCGCGATACCATACAACCATGTCGAGCCACAGGCTGTTCCGCTTCCCCAAGCCTCAATGGATTAACAGCGCCAACACGCGCACCGCCGGCGTCTATGCAGCTGGCGCACTGGTAGGCGCCCACTCGTTTTGCAACAGAAGACTGTGGCGATGCTGACAGACCGTGTAGTTCTCTCTTGGTTTCTTCTTCTTCATCGACGCCGCCGCCTACTCCAAGTCCGCAAAGAACGGGTCCGACGTTCACATCACATTCGTCGACTGGATCCCCTCCATCTGCTCCGCCCTTGGCATGCTCGTCATTAACAGCATCGACAAGTCCCGGTTGAGCGCGGATAGCTTTAGCTACTCTGGCAACGGTGTGGCGTGGAAGGCCAAACTTGTCTTGTTCCTCGGGTTTGCTCTTATGGCTGGTGGCCTTGCTGGTAGTGTGGTATGTACCGGCCTTGCTGGGCGGTCTCTATTAAATAATGCTGACATCGCGCCCCACGGTAGACTGTCATGGTTCTAAAATATGTTGTTCCTGACTACAGCTTCCCCACCCTCTGGTTCGGCGTCTCCAACGTTGTTGCAAATGCGTTGATTATGGTTAGGTATGTTGCGTGATCCGCTGATTTCGAGACGCTTGCTGACAGGCACTAGTTCGGCTATTCTCTGGGTCGTTCAGAACATGGAGGACGAGTACACATACAATCTTGCGCTGTAGGGAAGAAGTACTCTCAGACATGCAGTGTTTCAATCGGTTGGAGTAGAAGATTGGCGCTACGGTTGCTTTGCAAGATTCAAGTATATGATAAGCAAGCTTTGATTCTACGCACTCGTGCCTCATATTGCCTCGTGCTGTCCCAGCATTCTCGGCAACATCGAGTAGCTGGTTGTCGCGTGACGTCAGGTTGCACAAGCAGACAGTAAACAGGCACAGAGTTGGAAGCGCCTAGTGCTCCGTCACCGTTCCTTGATGTTACTTGCCAAATCAATAAACATTTCTGAATAGGAGTTCTATCCAGCGCGTCAAGCATGAAACCGCCATTGCTCCAATTTTCCTCCTCCGGCAACAGTGTGAACACGGGACAGACCAATTGAATACGCCATGCCTCCAGCGCTAGAATCTAATGTACAAGATCCCCACAAACAAAGGCAAGGAAACCCCCTCAGAACAAAAGGCCGGACATGCCGTTTAGAATTCCTCATCCTCCTGGAAAAACATAGTGAAACTTATGATAGTGCCGTAGATAAGAAGGCCACCGATGATGGACATGACCATGGCAGACGAGGAAATGAGGGCGCAGTGAGCGAGCGCAGCAGGCAGAGCTAGATGCAGTCCGTTGCGTTAGCAACTATGCCCACGTATCTTGGACGACGTTTGGCCGCGGGGAAGGCGGTGACATACCAATGCCCATGACAACAAGGAAACCGGTGAGGAAGCGGCCGAAATCAATCACAGCGCTGCTGGAGCTTTCCATGAAATCATCTGGATTGGCTGCTCTGCCACAAATCCAGTTCGGCAGCGGCGCTATAACGTATGTCGCGACGACAAGCAGCGGGAAGTAGTTGTGCCATAGCGCACACGAGAGGATGACGAGGAGGAAGCCGATGGCCAGGACCTGTAATTCGGCAATGTGGAGTCAGCGGTAGGCCGAAAGCGATGGCGCATGCATGTCTGCGGGCGGAGCGCGTACGAAAGAGAGCGCGATGATGGTCTTGAGGCCAGCCATGGTTGACCTCTCTTCGGGACGAGTCGGCGACGACGTGATGGCGGTTCTGGCGGCGCACAGGGGTCGGGTGTTGAGGGGCGGCGGAAGCGCAAGCTGCGGGCTCGAGATGCGTTGTGTCTGCGGGGTGTCGACAGGCGTCGTTGCTGGGCGGGTCTGGAGAAGCTGAAGGCTGGCGTAGGCGCCCGGGCGTGCTGTGCTGACGACGTCTTAGCGCAGCCTGCGGCTCTGGCACGGATCCCTGCCAGCCCAGGTGCTGAGCTCGGAAGCTCTGATCGGCCGCCGCGTCTGCCACGAGGTTGCCTCAGAGCTTCACAACCACCACTGTCCATCCCACCTCAACCCCTTCCAATCCGGCTGCATTTGGCTGTCGCTCTCCAACCTCGCTCCCGACCGTCCATCCGCAGCTCGCCACCATGTTCCGCAATAACTACGACAACGATTCCGTCACATTGTACGCTCCGCCCGACGGCCACCACAACCATAAGAGCACCGCTGACAGCAGCTTGCAGCTCGCCCCAGGGCCGTATCTTCCAGGTCGAGTATGCACAGGAGGCGGTGAAGCAAGGTTCCGTCGTCGTTGGTGTCGTCAGCAAGACCCACGTCGTCCTGGCCGCAATCAAGGCAAGCAGCTGTCCATTCCGCAACACATCAACCGATCGAGCTAACACCAGCCGCCGTCCTACAGCGTAACGCCGAGGAGCTCTCGTCGTACCAAAAGAAGATCATCCCGGTAGACTCGCACTATGGCGTCGCTCTTGCCGGTCTCGCGTCGGATGCCCGCGTGCTGTCCAACTTCATGAAGCAGCAGTCGCTCGCCTCGCGCCTGACCTACGACCGCGCCATCCCGCTGGCAGAGATTACGTCGCGCATCGGTGACCGGGCGCAGTCCAACACCCAGCACTACGGCAAGCGGCCCTACGGCGTGGGCCTGCTGATTGCCGGCGTTGACCAGAAGGGCCCGCACCTGTTTGAGTTCCAGCCGTCGGGCGTGACGCAGGAGATGGCAGCGTGCGGCATTGGCGCCCGTAGCCAGATGGCGCGGACGTACCTCGAGCGCAACCTCGACGAGTTCGAGGGCTCGTCTCGCGAGGAGCTGATCAAGCACGCCCTGCGCGCCCTGAAGGAGAGCTTGAGCCAGGACAAGGAGCTGACAGTTGACAACACGAGCATAGGAGTTGCTGGCGTGGGCGAGAACTTTAAGTTGTACGAGGGCTCGGCCATCACCAACTGGCTGGAGACTACTTTCGAGAATAGGGAAGGTGGTTCGGAGGGCATGGAGGTCGACACATAGAAAGGACATGTACCTGGGAAGAGATCGGAGGCTGCGATAGACGGATTCTGATTGTAGCACGATGCACCCTTCAATGAAAATGGCTCTAATGACTGATATATTGCTATGGGCAGTCAAGACTGGACCTTCGCTAACCAAGTTGTATTATTCATGATGCGAGCTCCAGTACATACTTCAACTGCTCGTAATCCATCTACATGCTGCTCAGAAGTCTATCCGGTGGGTGCTAGAATCTATTGCTAGAGTGGAAGCCATGTTAAGTGGCATTCACGTGCCCGCGCGTTTCGCGACGGAAACATGACGAGCACCACCCGCGAACTTTCCCCCACCGTCCAACACCAACAAATAGCACCTGAGCCAGACATTCAAAGAGTCCACCATGGCTCCGTCACAGACACTATACCCTCGCGCAACAGTCAAGCGCATCGTCAAAGCGCACAGCAACCGCCCTCTCAGCAAGAACGCCGACATCATGGTAAACAACCAACGCGCCTCCATTTACCGCCCTGCGCAACGGAGGGAAAGCCCGCTAATCGAAACCACTCCCTTCACAGATCTTCCTCGACTACATGCTCTTCATGAACGAGTACGCAAACACCAAATAACCCCACTCGTCCCGCGCCACCTGCTCTCCCCAAGACCCACCCTGCATCCATTCCACAAACACGCCTTTGCGGGATTAATATCACGCTTCTTTTCAGCGATAGACGGGAGTATAACTCAGAAAGAGGCAATCAATTCTAACATAGGGAACGATTGTAATAGGCTTATCCGTGAAGCGAGCATCAAATCGAAACAATCCGGTGAGCGGGGCATCTCTGCGAGGTCGGTCCGCAAAGTGCGCGAGGTAAGTGTCTTGCCCTTCGTCACTTGTCAGTTTTTCTCCAGAGAATACTGGGGTATCATGCGCGCTTTGCAGGAAGACACTGACCTGTGGGCGTTGTAGACGTCGTTACGGAAGTTCAAGGGTTAAACTACTTGACTTGCTTCGCGCCAATGGGAGTAGATAATGACACAATAGACCGAGGGTTCAGGCAGGCGTTCTTTGAAGCACATCATTGGATTTGGGCTTGGGGTGATTACACCTGGCGTTCTTCTGAATTTGGGATCAATTGGGAGAGGGATTTTTAGACGGTAAAGATGATACCCCAGCATACATGAGATGATGAGTTGAGCTGGCAAGAGACACGGACAGAGGCAATATGCCGCCCGTTCAACAAAGCAATGACATGCCCTGTGTGGGGCACGAGTGCGTATTGCCCGAGCCATATTTCGCAGTCTATGTATGTTATCCTACAACTTCCACTTTCGGTACCACCCACCAATTGTGATACTTCTTGCTCTGCTCCGCCTCTCCCATCTTCACGGAATTTGCCTCCACCATCGCCGGCAGGTTCTCGGCGTTCTCCAGCTTGGCAAGCGTCGCTCCAGCAAGACCCGTGGAAATGCAGGAAAGCAGTACGTTTTGTATGTTCTGCATTTGTCTTAGCAAAAGCGCCGGGGCATGCTCAAATTTGTTGGCTGTGGAACTTACCTTTTCCCAAGCTTCCTTGACGCCCTCGCTCTTTGCTGCTTTAGCACCCAGCTTCTTCACCATCGCGATCTCGCTCTTTGCTTCCTTGACCATGTTCTCGACGTCGTGCGTTAACCTGTAGATTATCTCCTGGAGAGGTCTTTCCGGCGCATCGTATGGCCCAAACGGATGGATGTCCTTGTCGAAGTCTTCGAAAGGCGCCAGGCGAGGCGTGTCAATCATCAAGAAAGGCTTCATTCGTAGCTCGTACCGCAGAGGTGGTTGCCCAAAGGGACGTGAAGGCGTTGGAACAGCTTTAAGGTAGTGGAGAAGGATGTACAACTGATGAAATTAGAATTTGCTTTGCGTGGAGAGCAATAGTGACTTACGCTGCAAAGAGCTTCGGCAAGCGATGAACAACCCTTGGTAGCATGGAGCATGCTCTCGACATGCGTCTGAGTCTCAAGGACTTCCGCTGCGTCTTCCTTTTGGCCGGTCCGCAAGAAACGGGCATGTCGCTGGCTTACAAAGTCGAGGATCCGCTCGAGTAAATCAACCCGCGAGGCGGATATGCTTGATAGCCACCAGTACATACCCGCGCGCTCGTCCGGAAGGTAGATTTCTTGCTCAAAACCAAGCTGAACGATCCATTCCATTTGGCGTAGCTTCATGTGGTAGACCCATGAAGCAAAAGGATAAAGAAGGATATCATCTGTCAGATGGTGGAGCTCTTGGTCGAGAACTTGGATCTGTTACGCGTCAGGTGCCTGTTTGCTGCCACTGCTCTTATAAAGTCAAGGGCTAACTTACCTCTGACTCGAGGTTGTTGAAGGCTATTAAATTGTGGCAGAGCTCACGCCGAGTCCTGCAGCGGTTTTGGCATAAACTCGTCAACACTCCGATATAATTCTGTCAAATTTAGCCACCGGTCTTTCTTTGAATAGCTTGCATCCTTACCTGCACAGCTCTGTTCGTGAAATCATTCACCAGCGACGCCATGATGGCCCGCTTATCGGTCGGGACGAGCGGGTTCTGAGATGTTTCGAAAGACCAATTGACAGGATCCAGTACCGCGTCCTTGGGCATTACGAGTTCTTCCAGCTCCTTGCGGAGGAGCTCTTCATACATCTCGTTCGGATTCCCGAAAACAAGGCTGGCGAGGCAGGCGCGGGAGTAGCTCAGGGGCTGAGGCTTCCGAGAGTTGAATTCCCAGATATAGGACTTGATGACCAAAGATTAACCATTCCGTTTGGTGCCATTGTAGCTCTGAACTTAGAATCAACTTACGACTATCTCTTGAGGGCTTATGGTCTGGAGTTTTGTGCCGCGAACGACTTCCAGATTGTCTTGGCACAACTCCAACAACACCTGGCACGCATCGGTGAAAGGTAGTTCGACCACTGGCCTCGGAGGCACTGTACTCGCCAGACGTCGTTGTATTTTAGGGCTGAAGGCATCCTTGACGGGTGTGCCTGTCGCGTGCGAGTCCTGGATTTCTTGGAGATATTGCCGCACCGCCAACCAGTCATCTTCTTGCTGTTCCAGCGGGTTTTCAGGGGAGGTCACAACCAGCAGCTTCTCTCGCAATGCCAATCTTGATAGAAGCGCTTGTCTAGCGCTCTCGTGAAGCTGTAGCTCCCCACTTTCTGCTGTCAGCACTAGAATCAACATCGTGGAGCGGGCATGGGTCGACATACTCCTTTCCCCACTTCCCGTCATGCTCTATCCACTGCTCTGCGCGCCTGATCACATCGATGATGTCCTCCTCTGGAAATCTAGTCAGGAGTTGTCTGCTGTAAGTGTGAGTGGAGAAGTCTTCTTCTTCGAAATAATCCCTCGACGTGACCCTCTGAATGACATTGTCACAGTACTTTAGTAGACCGAGACAATAGGCGCGTAGGACCATGAGCATGGGTGATTTGCTGCCAGGGTATCTGTAAGTGCCCTCTGGGTCCTCGCTCGAGCCACGCTTTAGAAACTCGCGAGGATTCGAAGACCGATGGAATAGGGCTTCGTCCACGGTCCTGGGTTCGGGCCAAAGGAGCCTGTCTATGTGGACCGAGACGAACAGAGTCTGGGACAGCGGGTAGCCCTGGTGCCATGACATTTCGTAGCATAGTAGCTGATCCATGATCCCGATGACTTCTTCTGGCAGAAGTTCCTTCAAGGCGTCGAAGTCTTCTTCGAGAGTCTCGCCGGGAGCAAGAAAGCCGCTGTCCATTTTTGGATCCATGATCTGCATTTCGTGTGAGCAAGATGTGCATCATCGAGGCTCACAGGCGGGCGCAGACCTCCAGAGCCCCCACGGACTCGAAGAGAGTAAAATACTCATCTTTCACGAGTTGGCCGGTGCTAAGCGCTGCAGGATGTTAGTATCACCACCAAATGGCTCGCCGAGCACACGAGCAACTTCCAAAATTTCTCGCGACATTGAAACACAGTAGAGGAACATGGGACGTGAAGGCATGTGCAGGATAGACCTGCGAGCAAGAGAAAGAAATCTGAGGCATTACCGGCACATGCTTGAGTAAAGTGTGCGGTGATGTCGACCGCGTTAGGATTGCCGGTAGGCACAGGCCGAGAGTTGATTGCCGCCGGCGGAGCGGGCTGGACGGCGGCCTGGGCTACGCCTTTTTGCGATGGCGGGGGTGTCAGCATCAAATGCACTGCTCCGGAGCTACCGGTGACCTCACCCTCTTGGTTGAGTGCAGCATACTCCTGCTCCAGACGGAGGCGGGCTGTTTCTGCCGACGGGACATTTAGCAATTGGCGGGCGCTGCGGGGAGCGTCAAAGCCTGGCCAGCGGCGTACCTTGAGCCAGACCGTCGTCGGCATCAGCGGGCGCCTGGTGGTCGACGCCGGGTATCATGTCTGGTCACACACAATGTCGGGCGGGGGGTGGTGGCGCGTGTGAGGCACGGCGAGGAAGTTGTCATTGAGATTTGTTGGAGGATCGCGCTCTACTGCGACTGCCTGAACCCCATCATACAAAATGCACCCAGTCGGCCGCGCTAGCTGCAGCCTCCCATTTACACCCTCTCCATGTCTTCCTCCGTTCTGCCATCGCTTCTAACCTGCCCGGTTCTGCGTCTAGGCTTCCTTAGCGGCGGCCTCGGTGGCGGCCTGGTTGGCGCTGTTCAGGCTCTTGACGTCGCCCTGCTTGCCATTCTGTGCCCGCCGTCAGCCCGCGTCCCACTCCCCTTCTCGCAGCCATTGTCACTCACCTCCCACTTGGCGAACCTGAGGTCCGACTCGCCACGGCGCGAAGCGGCAAGTCTCTGCTCCTCCTTGAGAGAGCGGCGGACGACGCGCGAGGCGATCGTGAGGTAGCGGTTGTAGCTGCGCGGCCATCCATTGTCAGCGTGCGAGAGTACGGGGGCGGTCGATTGGGCGCGTACGTGAGACCGGCGGTCTTCCAAGCGAAAGCCATTGTGAATGCGACGGTGATTGTTTGCGGGACGGGAGGTTAGATGCACTGCGGCCGCGAGCTTGCTGCACGTTGAAGCGCTCCGAACTTCGTCGGAGCTAAGCCGGAACATGTATCCACCACGTGACCATCCTGCCGGGTCTTTCCCGCCGCGGACAACGGGAGCTTCAAGTTTCGGAAACTACGCCATTACTTGATCGTCTCCATTTCCGTCGCATATGAAGTTCGACAAATGAAATTGAACATGGTCTTTAATGTATCCACAAATACAACTCTCTAAATAATGGTACAACCACTGCGACCCATCGTCTTCGTCTTTTGCTCTATCTACACCCTCAGACCCAGTTCCTCCGCAAAGGGTAGTGCGAAAAGGTCGCCGACGGTCGAAACCGACGCCTTGGACTCGAGCAGCTCCGCGGCGGCCTGCATTAAATTTCATGTTAGCCAGCTTTCTCAACGTGTCATGCCGCGAGCCACTAACCTTCTTGACGACCTCTTCCGAAACGCCGTCAATGGCCTTGGCCGTCTCGTCCAGCTGGTAGGGCTTGCCGCTCTGGGCAAGGCCGGCGCCGGTCAGCTCGAGGCTGCCGAAGATGTTCTGGCCGTGCTCAAGCTCCAGGTACTTGGCGCGGGCCTTGGCCTTTTGGATGTCCTCGCTCTTGATGTTGCCGCCCGCAATCTCCTGCAGCGTCTTGACAGCCGCAGCAGCCGCACCGGAAACATCCTTGGCGGCACCGCTAATGGTGACGGTGAGGAGGCCGGCATCCGAGTAGATGAGGCTCTTGGTGTCGACCTTGGCGCCGGGGAACTGGTCGCTGGCCTTGGACAGGAGAGAGAAGCCAGAGGTCCACTTGATCTGAGACTGGCCGCCAAGGAGAGAAGCCAGGACCGAGATCTCGGGCTTGTAGAAGCCGCCGGTGTAGGAGCTCGAGCCGGGGAAAGCGATGATGATGGTGTTCTTGCCAGCGTGCGCGATACGCTCCTCGCCACCGTAGTACTTGGTCTGGGGGGACTCAAGGGCCTTGGTCGTAGACGCATCGGTGAAGAACTCGCCGACCCACTTGCTCAACTCACTGTGATCAGCACCGTTGGCGACAATGGCGAAGTTGGGCTTAGCGTAAGCCTGCGCGGCGAACTCGGCGACCGTCTCGGGCTCGATGTACTTGTAGTAGCCGGCGGACGAGGTCGGGACAATGGGAGCGCCCAGGCCACGGTGGAAGGCCAGGCCGTGGACGGAGTTCAGAGCGAGCTCGTTGGTGTTGGCGAGGCCCTTCTGGTGCGCCATCTGGATGAGGGGGATGACCTCCTCGTGGAGAGTGTGCGCTTGGAGTCCTCGTCAGCAAATAGTCACACTGTGATTGCCCAATGGCACATACGGGCAAACTTGGTCTGGGTCGCGACCTCGGCGAGCAGCTCGGCGTAGTAGGGCAGGTCATCGCGGAGGAACTTGGTAGCGAGGACGAGGTTCTCGCGGGAGTGGTAGGGCAGAAGCTCAGCGCCAAGTAGCTCGGACTCGCGGACGATGCGGAGGGTAGATCTGCGGTTGGTGCTCTGAGTCGCGAGTTCAGATGTCAGCACTGGGCTTGAGATGGCGGACGAGCGGCAGCGGAGTGGAGCGCACCTTGAAGGCGAACTTCTCCAGGGCCTCGGTCAGGCCAGGCAGCGGCTGGTACCTGGTTCCAGCCTTGGAAACGAGGGCCAGAGTGGTGGTGGGGCCGGCCAGGTCACGGCTGGCGAACTTGACGCCGGAATGGTCGCCGGTCTGGTACTGGAAAGAGCCTGAGGCGGGAGCTGCGAGGCCGCGGCGGCCGGCGGGCTGGGCGCATTGGCGGCGCAGGGCACGCTGAGCGTGGCGTCCGACAGACTGGCGCGACAGCATTGTTGCGAGGAGCGGCGTCGGACGACGGAGGACGGGGCGGGTGGGAGCAATGGGTGATGGAGGTGGTTTTGCTGGAGTCGACGGCCGGCCGACGAAGTTGCAGTTGCTGACAGCGTGTGCTCTGATTGGCTGCCGGTATTCGAGCCTCCAGTGTGCCCGTCACCCGGATCTACCCGCATTCGAGCACCGCGCCGCCAGATACAAACAATCCATAAACTTCTAATCGTCTTTCTAGAACTAAGACCAAGGGCTCCAGTTTCATGACTGGCCCGACACTCGCGTCCAATTTGAGCTGGCCCTCTATCGAGGCGCCATTCCTTGCGCTATGTCGCGGTTGCCTGGACTGCTCCAATGCGGCTGAACAAGCATGACTAGGCCGGCATCATTCGAAGCTAGAGGTCTTGCAGGCTGCACTTCATGTCTATGCGTCAGAAACCTGTGAATCATCGATTTCCGGGGGGCGATAGTCATGGCCAACGGAATATATCAATGAAATAGTATGAGCGAAGACTCGCAAGACTGTTTTTATCCTATGTATCGAACACTGATTCTCATGAATGTAGCATTCCTATTTCATCTTCGAGGGGGTCCAGCGACTTTCTTCTTAACCAGTTGCGCATACACTACATCTTACGTTCGACTGGCTCGTGCGGCAACAACTTTGCTTGAAGCCGACGAATAAGCGAGGAGCTTCTTGCAAAGATTCCATCTGCTGCTCAACCCGCTCCCGCCTTCTGCCTTCTTGCCCCCGCGCTTCACTCGCACGCCACCGCGCACTCATGCGCTCTCACCGGTAGCCCCCCTGACCATTCTAGAGAAGTGAGAGTCTCTAGAACACAAACATGGCCGAGGTACACTCCCCTCCTTCCGCGCGAAAGCTAATGCGCGCAACGCTAACGCTCTGCATAGCACATTTCCGAACTTTGCACGCTCTTGGTCGACGACCTTTACGGCGAGCTTTCTTCAGTATGTGCTCCCACGCGCGCCGTCCTTTACCTCTATTCCCACGGCCGTTTTTCACAATTCGTTCTGCGCCCTGCTCACTGACTTATTCAGCGAGTATTCTCCACCCTCGCGAAGCTCGGGCGCCTCACCATCCGCGGGATAGTAAAAAACTTGGACCTGACCGCCCGCGACATAAAACATGGGCTTGCCGTGCTCATCCAGCAGAATCTCGTTCTGCATTACACCACCGAAGAGGAAATCTACTATCAGCCCCATTGGGAACAGGCCTACGCGCTGGTGCGCGCGGGTAAAATCGTAAAGATGGTTGAGGATAGATTTGGGGAGTCTGCTGGAGGATTGGTATCGAACCTGCTGCTCCTTGGCCATGCCAAAATCAGCGACTTGGCCGATGCCTATGGAGTTTCCTCGAAGGCTGGCGGCGTCGATTCAGAAGGCTTGCATGTCAATGGAAATGGCATTGTGAACGGAGATGATGCCAGTGTGGGCGCCGACAAGAACCAAATCCACATTAAATCCCTCGACGATCTCCACCGGATTTTGCGCCAGCTTCTCGATGCCGGTTTCGTCATTCCAGTCCGCCGCCGGCATTTTCATCCTACCTCGGACCTCCGCAACGAAGCCGAACGTCTAGTCAAAGCTACTGTCTTCAATGGATCAGTGAAGGGCAAACAGATTGCTGAGATGGAAGTTGAGGTCAACAAGTTGTTGAAAAAATGGAGGGATGAGGAAGAGGACGAAGAGGAGCAGGCCGGCGGGATTTCCGCTGGCATGAAGCGTGGAAGGGATGATAATAATCCACAGGCTCGCAAGCGCGTCAAAGTGAACGCCAGGCTTCCGAACGGGTCCAACTCTGTTGCTGCTGCGAATGCCATTCCCTTGGATGTACGTTGTTCTTGCAGTTGTAGCAGGAAAGTTCGGTTACTAACCTTTGCAGGACGACCTTGTTGTCGCCGTTAGCCAAGATAAGTGCACAGTCGCACTCCGAACCGAGCAACTCGTCGACTACGCCAGCCGCTATCTCGGGGAAACCACTTCCAAGGTCTATGAGGCTTTGCTCAGACAGATGGAGAAAAAGGTGCACCGTTGCAATGATCCGTTCGACCAAGCGCCGAGCGAAGATGACGAGGCCGACTCCCTTCCGTCCGTGACTGCTCGCGAGGTGCTAGAGCTTGTCGATCCAAACCTCGACCTTGCTGCTGGAATCGGAAGCCAGGAGACCCAGATGAACGGCGATTCCCACGATAGTGGGGATGAGGAAGGTGCATCTACGGTTAATGGAGTCGCTCAGACTAATGGAACCGGTCCAGCCGCTTCGGGCAGCCGCTTGAATCTTGTTAAACTTCACTGCTCCCTGCTTTTTGAGGACCCGCGGCGCTTCGTGCGGTGGGTGGGTTCACGCGGTGGTGGTGAATACAAGGTGGATTTCCGGCCTCTGACCAATTCGCTTATTCAGCACGAACTGGAGGCTACTGTGCTTGCTCGTTGGGGTCCGCTCGCCGCTAGGATCATCCGTATCCTTCATGCTAAAGGAAAGCTTGACGAGAAACAGGTCTCCACCACTGGTCTCATGCGCACCAAGGAGATTCGGGCTGCTCTGACCGCTATGCAAGAAGCTGGTGTTGTCGATACACAGGAAGTGCCCAAGGACAACACGCGCGCTCCCAGCAGGACCATGTATTTCTGGTTCTTTGACCAGGATCGATGCCGACAGCTTATTCTTACCGACACATTCAAAGCCATGGCGCGCATTCTCCAGAGGATCAGAGTAGAGCGAGCTAAAGTACAGTCAGTCATTGATAAGGCGGAAAGGTCGGATGTTGTTGGAAATGAAGACCGCTTCTTGACTGAGACGGAAAAAAGAGCACTGAGGACATGGCGGGAAGCGGAGGAGAAACTTCTGGTGCAGTTGGGACGGCAGGACGATCTTATCGCCATCTTGCGTGACTTCAGGATGCCGCCCATCCCGAAGTCCTCTTGGAACGACAACTAAAAACATTCCCTATTCCACGGCTGCTTTACTGGACACCACTTGCATGGCGGACGGCGTTACCTTGCGGGATTCTTGAAAAGTTTTGGTGGTGGTTTGCTGGGGGACTTTTGCATTTTTTGGAGCGCTATTTCGGGATCTGGGAAAAGGGGAAAAAGCGACTCTTCTCTTCTTTAACTCTTTCTTCTGTACAGAGAATTCACCTTCTTGTGCCTTCTGTCGGAGGGAGAAGAGGCATGACATTCTCTTGTCTTGGTTGTTCGGCTTTAAGGCGACTTCTGGACCATGGTACGAGGACAGAGAGATACCCCCGTTCGCTGCCATTCAGCGGTGCGATGCTTCTCTATTTTTTTTTCTTTCTTTTCTTGGCTTTGAGGGCACGATCAATCCGTATCGTCCGTATCACAGAGCGTGCCAAAAGATTCCTACAAGCATCTTAGCTCGTGTTATGAGGGAGTTGAAGCAATGGGTAGTTGGAGGTATCGTGCGGACGAGAATGTCAAATTCAAATTTTTACATACACCTCCGGACAATAGCTTCAGCTACCCATACGTGTGTTTTTCCTGAAGGAAAACAAAAACCAGGAAGAAAAGAAAGGGCTGGCGTATGATTACGCCTGAGGCCTGACTATTTTTCACGCCAGCCTTCGGATATAAAACTACCTGCAAATACACACCTTTAATCTCGCTTGTTTGTCGACAAAGTCAGAAGCATGATTGTTGAAGTACGAAGAGCCACACATAGTATTTACCTAGGATAGAAGGCCTAGTTGGGTTTACTCCTAGGTACAACAAGAGTGGCATGAAATCCAAAGTAATGAGAGAATGAAAGACATTAATAGACTATCGCTGAAACGAGACCAACCCGACCATGAAAGAGGGAAACCAAGCGAGACCGCTGATTGAACCCCAAAACAAATTGTGGTATCCGCAAGACAGCTAGCGAAGGTGCACCGGGCTCCTTCCGATGGAGATCGACAATCCATCGGTGGTTCCCTAAAAGACGTCATCCGGCCACTCAAAGGGAGCATTGCTCTGCTGAATGGTAACAGGAGGCTTGGAGGTCTGCATCCTCAAGTTCTCCGGCACCGAAGGCATCGGCGGGACGGACTTGCCGTTGGGCACAACGCTCACAACGTTCTCTGGTGAGGTCGAGCGAGTACTGCGACGTGTTGGATGAGAGGGCGTAGCGAGAGCAGATGGCCGGTTTGGGGAACTACCCCTGAGCAGAACTTTGGCGGTTGTCACGTCTTCCTCGTTCATCGACTCGATGGCCTCGTCAATGCTAGCGTGCACAACAGGCTGTTTCTCAGCCTTCGTGACCGCCTTGTCAGTTAACTTTCCGCGTACCGGCTTGTCCTGTCCCGGGGCTTCTGTCGACCCAGCCTGCTTCACCGGCTTCTCTGGTTGTGCTACGGAAGGGTTCTTCTTCGGCCTGCCAGGACGCCTTTTCGGAGGGACCTTTGCGGGTCCTGCCAGCTCATCATCGTCGTTTGATTCAGGGCCAGGGTTGAATGGCAAGTCCTCTTCGTTACCACTCTTCCTCTTGGCCGACATGGGCTTGGTCGACTTTTTCAGCTTGCCCTTGGACTTCGCCGGCGAAGCATCTGCGATCCAGATGTCGTTAGTCACAGTGAGTGTGGGAGGGTCTGTCTCTTCAGCAGCGGGTGCATGCTCGTTATCGTCCATAACAGGTGGCGGCGAAGATCCCATCACGTCTTCACGAGTGTCGGCTTGGTCCGGGAATAGCAGGCGTTCAGAGGGCAATGTAGGCAGAGTTCCTGTGGGTCCAGAAGCCCTTTTACGGAGAGGAGTTGGAACTCGCGGCTTGTTGCTGTTCAGAGAAGCGGCCAGGTGCGCAGGAAGTGTGGGAACAGGAGCACTGTCTCCCAGACAGTCATACAACTCGCGGCGCGCCTCCTTGAGTTTGATTTCTAGGTCACTGACCCGCTTGTGCAGTTTAAGCTGTTTCTCGATGTCTTTCTTAGAATGGATCCCGCGAAGCGTGCGAGGTGTCTGAGCATCACTCAAGTCGGCAGTCGGGGATGAAGGGGGAGCACGCTTCGCCAGTTGGGCTTCGGACCGGGCCTTCTTCAGGTTCGCGAACGACGGAGTCTTAAAGTGAAGAGCGGACTTGCGCTCCGGCGGAGAAGAGAGGTCAGCGGCGCCTTTTGCAGCATCCTTCTGCTCATAGGGACGGGAGAAATCCGGCTCGATGCCGGCAACCCCCGAGTCCCTCTGGTTGGAGTGCTCACCTGCTGGCGCGGTGTAGCCCGGGGTGAAGATCTGGGTTCCATTCGGGATGGCATGAGTGCCCTGGGTGCCCAGCTGGCCCGTCTTCTTTAAGTGCGCATATACCTCGTCGGCCTTCAGCGCCCGTTCCCTGAGCTGACGCGCCTGCTCGTCAAGTGCCTCTTCAATGAGTTCCTGTCGTGCCTCGCTCCATTTCTGCTGCATTTTCTGCCAGATGTTGATCGGATTGAAAGTCGCGGCAAGCGAGCGCCCAAAACGAAAGATGCCCGACTCCCTGGTGTTAGCACTATTCGAGGAGGCAGTGCTCGTCACGGATTGGTTCGGGTGGTGCGAGGAACCGCGGAGAGAACCACGATGGTGCGTCGGCGCGGTATCGTTGGCAGCGTGGTAGTCTTCCATGAGTTGGTCAATGGGCGCAATGCCGCGAGAGGCGGGAAAGAAGCGGGTAAAGACACTGGGTGGCTGGCTGCTGGCACGGTCGTGCATGCTGGCCTCCTGGAACCTAGACAGGCGGCTGGGCGACGAAACTTGGCGACGGTTGTGCGAGCCTTTGCTGCGGCGACTGCGCTGGGAGGAATCAGGAGACCAGGCCTGGTCCTCCGTCAGCGGCCAGTTCGCAGAACGGCGGCGCTTGGATGAGTAGGAGGCATCGTCCACCTCGCCACCGGGCCGCGGTCCAATATCTATGTCGTGGGATTTGTGGCGGCGCTTCCTTGACCCTTGGTCGGGCTTCAGATCGGTTGGGGCGTCGTTGTACATGGAGGTCGAGGGAAGCTGCAGGCCGTCGGTAATGGACGAACGGCGGCGAGATGCGGCAGGGAAGTGAGAGTCGTCCAAGTGTGTGTCCTGCGGGCACTTGTTAGTCGTCGCCGGTGCGGCCAGTGGAGGTTTTGCGCACGCTGTTGAGTTGCGCCATGGCGAAGGGCGCGCGCGGCGGTGACGCGCTGAAACGCTGGAGAATTGGCGGATCGTCTAGCGTCGTCGGGCGCGTGCAGGCAGGCGGGCGGATATCAATGGTCTATATGTAAAGCGGGAGCGGCCGTAAGTCGTGGAAGCGTTACGCGGGTCGGCAGTTGCGGGGAGAGGCTGCGGCTTGGACGTCGCGTGAAGAGCGGGCGCGGGCGTGTCGTCGCGTTTCCACCCATGCCCACTCATGCAGCCACGCTCGCGTCCGTTTCCACGGCGATGGCCTGTTCACCAACCATTTGCGCAAGAGCACCGTCGCTTCTACACCAGCCGATTTCAACCGTCGTGCTCGAATACGAAACCTCCATTTTGTGTGCTTATCTAACTACCGAGAGCCACGTTCCAGATATCCACCCATAGTGACAAAGCGCTGGGCATTCGCTCTAACCACCCAAGACGAAGCCGTACGTGTCCTCCCGGGGACGAACAAAATCCAAACAAAAGCATGCCGGCTGGCGGAAAGTGTACAGGCTAAGAGAATGCTGCATTAAAGGGAGGGTCTGGGCCAATGTGCCCTCGGTCAGAGAATAGGAAATGGCAACAACATATGAACCCACAATGCGCCGGCTCAAAAGGGAATCCAACGTAAAGAAAATGGTATCGTCGTCAGGCCGAATGTTGCGGCTGCAAAGAATCACACAGAAAGCAACAACTCCTAGCGTAGCAACGCTCACAATCTTAACAACTAACGCAGAAACTTCGTCCACAGCCGCCGGACTTAGTTCGACAGGGGCACACGCCTGCTCCGGTGCGTGCCGTCCGCGCGGCGGTAGCTCATTGCACGCTCGTCGAGAATCTCCTCGTCCGTCGACGCGTCGAGAGCACTCAAGCCATTGTCATCCACCGGCAGGTTCACGTTGGGGCGGGCCCCGCCGCGCAGCGGTTGCTCAATGTGGTTCGTGTCGAACGTAGCCGAAAACGAGCGCTTGGTCGAGCCAGCCAGCGTCTGGCTGCTCGAGTCGCTGTGGCTGCTGTAAGGCTTGCTAGCGTAGCCACGCGATGCCAATGGCTCATTGGGCGCTCCCACTGGGCCAGACATGGGGATTCCAGCAGACATTGGGTACGAAGGAGAAACCGGCTCAAGCTTGTCAGTAGGAGGCTGGAGTGTCTTGAGAGGCGCAAGACTGTAACCATTCATCGAGTGCGAGCTGGCAGGAGCCTGAGATCCATTCGGGTGGGGAGCCTGGGAGCTGGGCATGGGTTGCGCAGGAGGCGGGTTCATCTGGCTTTGGTGCCGGTTGTATCCCGAGTCCAAGGTTCCGAAAGGCGCGCCCATTTGGTTGGGCGTTTGCTGCGGGCCAGCCAAAGACGGACGGCGGTATTCCGAGCCAGCGCTGCTGTAATCCAAGCTGTCGTGTCGGACAGGAGCCGGCTGCTCGTAGTGTCCGTACTGCTGGTTCGAACTGTAACCGTAGGGCTGGGCCATCGGCATCTGGGGCTGGGCCTGCGGCTGCCAAGAGTGTTGAGACTGCATGTAAGGGGCCTGAGGAGGATGCATGGCCGGCTGCTGCGGCGCAGGAGGATACTGGCTCTGGTATTGCGGAGCAGGTGCAGCCGGATACTGCATCTGCGACGGGTACGCATTCTGGGGAGCCTGCGGAGGCGGCATCTGGTTCTGGTAGCCCTGCTGGTACGAATTGGCCATATCTTGCATCGAAGGACGACGAGGCGGCGGAGCAAACGACGCGTTGCTGGCATTGCTCTGCGACCTCGGACGGTCGCTTCCATCGGTCATGGGCTGGGGCGTGTGCACAGCATTTTGGCCATAGACATCTGGGGTAGCCGTCCGGTTCCGCTCGTAAGCCGTCTTTTCCTCGTACTCATCCCAATCCTCCTTGGCCTTGTTGTCGCGCCTCCTCATGCGCACATCACGGCGAATGCGGACGCGGCATCCCTGCTCAGCAACCATACGACTCAGAGCAGTGCTCTCGGTAAGACCAGGGAACTTCTTAGCGCTGAAAACGCTGAAAGGAGCCGACTTGACTTCCAGCCGGTGGGACACGTGGGCATCAACGCGGCCATTCTGAACGTTTTCGCCGCGGTCGTCGCTGTCCATATCCTTGTGCTCCTTCAATTCCTCATACAGGGCAAAGCTCAGACGATACTTTCCTTCGTGGCGAACAGACAGATCCGGGAAAATGAAGTAACCAGCGGGATTCGGGCGATCCAAATAAGCCATGCCGGCCACGGGAGTTCCAGTCAAGACGGGGAAGCTAGCAGGGTTAGGCTGAACGCGTCCTTGGGCAATGGAGCGTGCATTTTCGAGCGTAGCGAACAGGAAGAAGTTCGCGTTGTAGGAAAAGGTGATGTCGTTCTGCCTGTTCTCACCCTCGAAGATACGCAGCTCAACAATCGGAGGCGGGTCGACGGGACGGCGATCCGCAGAAGCTTGATACAAGTCAGTCGAATCTCTCGGGTTGCGTCGTCTGGTGGGTAAGCTCACACTTAGCTCCAGAGCCACAGGCTCTGGCGCGCTCTGGCTGCTGTATGACTGACATCTGGTACGTGATCTTCTTGCCTTCCTTGGTCATCCTGGAGGACGAGCTCAAGGTCTCGTTGGCCACGGGAATGATACTCGTCGCCATGGTTGCTGGTGCTGAAGGGGATCAAACGGTCGGAGAAAAAGATGCTGGGACACGAGGGACAGTTTAGCGGACTGGTGGCCTAACAGCAGAGCGTGGGCAGCGGCTCCCTTGCATGGCGTGTCGACGCGCATGCCTGAGAAGAGCCAAGAATGGCACTCACGGGAATGATGGAGTCGCACACAAGGACGATCCAAGAGCAGCAGAGGACGACGCCGCTGAATTGGTATCTGGATTGGGGGCACTGGTTAGCTTGGTTTGCGTGCGAGGAGCCGAGGGCAGGGCTCAAGCGAACGGGCGTGGGGCGTGAGAGAGGTCAGAGGCGGACGAGTGCGGCAGCACTCACAATTGCAGAGATAAGAAGCAGCGAGCGACGTTAGACAGGGACAATGGCGCGAGCGGGAGCTGGTGGGCGCGGTTGTCAGACGAGCAGCAGCAGGCAGGCGGGCGCGCGGTCGCACGGTGTCGAGGCGGCGCTTGCACAGGGAGGTGCAACGTACGAGGAGGTTCGGCAGGCCCGCGGGCGTCGACGTCTCGGAGGCAGAGTCGACGGAAGGGTTGCGGGTGCGTCGCTCTCTGAAGGGCCAGAGAGGAGAGGTCGCAGCGATGGGTGAGAAGACGGGCGGGAGCGAGTCGGGGGATGGAGGAACCGGCTGGCTGGGGACTGGCGCTCGGACTTTTCTTTGGAGCGCTCGCTTTGGTAGCCGCTCTCCCCGTCGCTCCCGCCGCTTGACTCGCCAGTTCCTCTCATCCCACGCTGCCGGGCCTGGGGCTTGGGGCCCGCCGCTTCGCCACGGCGACACACGGGCGCCCACGGCGGCCCGGCGAGCAAATCTGCCTGCGCTGCGCCCGCGCTGCGCCTGCTGTGCTCTCGCCGGCGCTGGAGCGAGCCTATCGCCCAGGCGTCTCGAGCCGAGAGGAGAGACACCAGACAGCGCCGCGTCTCGACATCCCTGCTTTGAGCTGAGCCCATCAGCCGCCCCCCGGCCTGTGCGCCCGGGCCCGGAATCCCGCCCAGCGCAGACGGGACGGCGCTGCGGAGATGGCACAGCGGGACGCGGGTGCGTTTGGGCTGGCGAGATTGAGCTGGCCGTGGTCCTTGCAATGGGTCCCTCGCACTCTCGCTTCCTGCGGCGCGCCCACCTGGAGGGCTCTCGCAGCCGTCTGCACATCGGCGATGCGCCCGATCAGTCACACCATGGCTGAAGACCAGCCTGCCGGCACTCAACGGTGCTGGGTGGTCCCTGGCGGGCTTTGTGCGCCGGAAGGGGAATGGGAGGGGCTTGTTTGCCAGCAATCAGGCCATTTGTGCCGTGGCGGCGCCGTCCCAGCCCGGCAGTGATTGGGGGCCCACGCACAAGGGTGCTGATCCTGGGCTCCAATCGGCCGGCGAGCCCGCACACCCTCTGATTTGGTGCGCCCTTTCGCAGCAGGCAGGTGGCTTTGGCGATCAGATCACCCTTTGCAAGAGACACAGCTGTCGGCGGGGAACCAAGGAGGCTGTGGCGCCCACGTTTTGCACCGCGAGCCTCAGCCGGCCGCCTGCCAGCCTACACGCAACCACCCGCATGCGAACCACTCCTGCTCGTCTTGACACATGCAGACCATCGCGGTGCCTGCGCCGAACCACCGCCCCGGCAAGCCAGCTGCCTGGGAGCTGCCCGCCGGGCCTTTTCGCTCCAACATGCTATTGCACGATCGGCTGCGCTCGAGCACGCATGCATCCCTGAGCGAGCTTACCTTCCTAGTTAGGGCCTCGTTAAATTTAAATAAAAGTGCCGCCGTCCTCCAGCCTCGCCGCATCACCCTCGTCGCTCCAACACGTGCGGCCCTCTCGCGCTCGCCGTCTGCCGCCAGCGAGCGTGCTCTGCGACACGACTCGGCCCCGTCTGCAACCTCTCCACCGCGGCAGCTGCGAGCGCGGCTGTGTCGGCGTCGGCATCTCTCCAGCCTGCTACTAGCGTCAGCCGCTATCGTTATTGTGCCGAAGGAACCTTTCGACTTTCAAGCCACCGAGACCCCACGTCACCGCGCTTGGACGTCATACTGGAGAGCGACGCCAGCGCCTCGAACACGCCAAAATACCACCTGACGACTTAGGTTACATGCAAGCGCGCCGCGAAGCATCGAGTTGATTAACCTGCTGCAGCCGTTACCTGACACTCGCGCTGGGTCCTTCGAGGCATGCGCTAAAGGCAAGCTTTCTGCCAGTCTTCTTGCTCGTTCCGCACGCGCTGCGACGCAATATGGAATGTCTCGCATCTGTTCGACAAACACGTTGGATCCGATTGACGTATTCCGTCCTGCTGCCATCGCGTGCTGTCGAGCATTCCATTAGCCCTGCGTACCAAACCCAGATCCGACCGCGTGTTGCCTCGTCGCCTGAATGCTGGGTGCTCCTTAGCACATGTCCCGGTGCCAGGGTACGAACTCTGCACCCTTCTAGATCCTCAGTAGAATTATCCTTTTCCTCGGCACCCGTCAGCAGTACCGCGCTTACCTTCAGGGCCGTGGACCGGATTCCGACACATTCATGCAGCGTATCACATCAAACACTGGGGGCGTATTTGCGCAGCCTTTCGTTTCAACCATGCAGGCCTACGCACGCGTACTCATTCTCGTATGCCCAGCCGAACTCAACCACGCCGGCTCGTTCTAGCTGCGCACAGCCGCAGCGACAATAGCACGGCCGCGTCCATTCCATTATATCCTTGCCCCCTGCGAACGCCACACATGCACTAGTTTTAACCTTAGCGTCGGAAATGTCATACTTGGAAAGCTCCCAGCTAACAAAGACCTACCTCCCATCGATCCAATTTCCAAACAAAGCAGCGGCTCTTCTTGCTACGGCTGACGGAAAGGGGGGCGGGCAAGGAGGGATGCGGTGGCGGCGAAAAGGGACGGGATTCGGGTGAAACCAGGTAAGACATCGATTACTAGTTTCGGCATTCTTGCTGCTTTCTGTGCGATTGTCATGACGGGGGGACGGCACTACTTTGAAGCGTCACGCGCTAAACTTGGGCCCCCTACCTCACCCGCCCCCAAATATTGTGCTGCCGGTCAGCGCTTTTGTGCGTTAGTCTCCAGATATGTCTATGGTTTCTTTTTCCCGGGACCCGGCCTTTGGAGAAAGAAGAAAAGACAGGGCGAGGATCACTATGGATGGTCTTCCCAAATCACGTGGAGTCCTTATATTGCTCACATGGTTGACCACCATCGTATCATAGCAGCCGGCTTTGTTAGAGCATAGAGACATCTCACTTTGTCGCACAATAGTGACCAGCCGCTTCTCTGGGCTTGACAGGCACCAACTATCGCGTCTCATGCGCCCCTCTCCTTCCCTTTCCCCAAACTCTTGCTTTTCTTCTTCTCGATCACTTGGAAAAGAAAGAAGGAGAACGGAATGACTTCATGAAGTATATCTATGCATCTTTTCTCGCATGGTTCTATGTTCATCTCTAAAACCCAGCGTAAATCAGTGACGTGATCATTGCCTGACCGAACATTAGTCATTTCCAGGAAGCAGAACGCGGCATTTGCTTCTGTCCCTGCCAAAACGACGAATATCTTGATCGCCCTTTCTCCCTCGAAATCATATGATCGTTCAGCCTTCATGAGCGCGAGTAATGTCAAATCGCGCATAACTGGGAAGCGTCATGGCCCAGTACCTCCTTGTCAGGTCAGGTGTGGAACATCTGGGCTTCAGGTAGCGCTCCATTTTGACACAACGTTGCTCTAAGACAAACTACGCGAAAGAACTATTATCAAGATGCATATGAGCCCTTGGATTCTAGATAACTGTAGGGTGAATCGAACTAGAACCCTCCCGCACACCAAACGCATCACATATATATACCTTTCGCGTTGAAACTTCCGGTTGTGCATCCGTGCCAGAGGGACAAAGCAAAAGGTAAAAGATCCTCAATCGAATGTTGAAAGCAGTCAATTACAATGTCTACTCTATAAACCCATTCACTCTCAAACCGCCTCTCAACAATGATCCAAGCGCTTCATCTAAGTCATCTCATGGTTTGTTCATCATGCAAATCACTCCCGACCCTCAACCGTATCCTAGACCTCAGCTTCGACCTCAGCTTCCGCCTCAGCTGAGTCCCCGTCTCCATCCGCTTGCTTCTCTGCAAACTCGGTCGGCAAGCCCATCGCAGCCGCCACCCACTGGCCTTCTCCCAGCTCATCCGCGGTTCCGTAGTATTCCTCCCTGCCTCCTGCCTCCAACAAGACCGACTCGGAGGCCACCTTGTCCCCAGCCTCGCCGCCGAACACGCCCACGCCCACCGTCACGCTCTTCCAGTCCGGCACGACCTGGACGCAGGCGTGCTGGCTGATGAGATCCATTTCGCAGGTGATCAACTGCTGGTCGCTCCCGCCTCTGTCCCTGCTCGCCTCCCTCGACCCGATCCCTCCTCCGCCCGCAGCCTTGTCCTCCCTCGGCAACGGCCGGATCGCCACGCTCGGCAGCCATCGCGGATAACCCTCGCGCAGCGGCACGAGCGTGAGCGGGAAGCTCTTGATCTCGCCTTCCCTGGCCTCGAACTGCACGCGGCGCGCCCCGCCCAGCAGCCAGATGTTCGGGTCTGCGTCGATCTCGTACACGAAGCTGACGGGGTCGTCGGGCGCGGTGAGGTTGGCCGCCTTGACGAGCGACGACACTTCGTCCCACTTGCGCGTGTGCTTGATGCGGAGGGTGGCGGTCAGAGGGGCGCCCAGGGGTGCGATGGGCGGGGTGAAAGCCGGCGACGGGACTGGCGTGATGAGGTCGAGGTGGGCGATGTTGAGGATCTGGACGCGCGGGACGGCGACGGTGATGGTGATGCGGCGAGTGATTGGTGAGATGATGGCCTCGGTACGGTCTTTCGGGGGAGTGACGTCAATAGTGGGATTGTTCTTGTGCCACTCCTCCAACCAATCCTGCAATTCCTCTCGTATGCTGGTTGGGAGGCTACCAATGGTCGCGCTCCAGCCGGCGTCTTCAAACGAGCCACAACGGAGCTCGTCATCAAATGAGGCCCGGTGCCAATCATCGGCTGTAAGGTTTACCTTCAGGTGCTCCCACAAGCGGGGAAATAGTAATCTGCTCAAATAGGCAAACTTGCTTTCCTGAACCGATCTGGAAAATTTTTCTTCCAGCTTCTCATAGACGTGGTCATCGAGACAGCGGTAGTTGATTGTGAGGGAAAGATTGGAGTCTGCGGCATTTGCCAAGCTGGTGCCCTCTTTCCTGAGGATTCGATACACAAAGGCAGGCGGCTGACCCGGGCGTACCGGATTCCGAGATCCATAGAGCTTGGCCGGATCAACATCAAACGCATGCGTGCCCTTGAGCTGGATGTTCAGCACGTCCAAAGGTACATGATTGGACGTGGTAACTTTAAATGTGGAAAGGAGCATGCGCTCCATAAATTGGTCATGCACATTGACATCGAGCGGCAACTCAATGTTGATAGTGCAGTTATCGCGGAATTCGCATTCCCCTTGCTCCGTGTGGTAGATAACCTCAAGCTTGATGTGGAGCTCGGACAGGTTTACCTCCAACTCGTATGGAATGCTGATCCTTGTGGCAGTCTGTGCCGCCATCTCTGACAGCCCAAAGACGCCTGGGCCCGGCCGATCTGTGATTTTGCCGTCTCCATCAAATACCTTCGCATTGGCAGTGCGCAGCCTCAGTCCAGCTGACGCGGCTTTCAGATGTACCTCGGCTTTAGTAATGTTGTTTCCGAATGTGCGGCAGTCTAGCTCTAACGACTTGATCTTGTCGATATGGATTGCGCGTGCTACTGTCAACTTGGCATCGAATGCTTCTGCGCGGGGGTAGACGAGAACGCGAAATTTCTTGGGAACTCGCGAGCTCGACAAGGATGCACCTGGGATCGAGATGCCTAGTGGCTGCAAGGTTTCTTCTTTCTTGACCGTCTCGTATGTGAAGTGGATCTTCTTCGCTTCCAAAACGACTTTATCGACGGCGTAATAGCCGAGAGTAACCACCTGCTCTCGTTAAAAGCCGCTAGTCAAGAAGCTTCCGGGTCAGAACTTACATTAGTGTGGACCCATGCAATGGTTTGTCCTTGCTTCACGTCAAGCTTTTCTTTTGTTTCCAACCAGATGTCTCGATTCTCCCCGGGGTCCATGCTGACAAGACGAATCTTCGCTCTGTCAAACTCCATGTCGTCTTCAAGAAGATGACGGAAAGTGAGCATCATTTGAAAGCCATCTTGTTCCGGGTAATGTTGGATGTAGGGGTTTACGATGACGTCGGAGAAGTACCGGTTCATTGGCGCAGGAACATCATACGGCAACCCCTCGGAAAAGGAGACCAACTCATGGAGGATGCCTGTCGTGTCTAATCGATCATCGTCAATCCACGGGGTGTGAATTGATGCTCGACGCATCTTGAGAGAGACAGAGGGCTTTCTGTTGGATGCTGACTTTGCCAAAAGATCAAGCAGTACCCTGACATACTCGTCCTTCCGGTTGAGTTTCTTGAGACACTGAGCATACATCTTCAACATGGTGACCTCCACAAGGTTCCACCTGTTCTGCGCGTACAGCGGTGCCATTCTGCTGAAGTATGTGGCCGCTGCAGAGAAGTCTCCCGATTCACTGTAGATTGATTAGAAATATCTTTTGCAGGGGACGAATTCAAGCCTACAATTTCAGTGCAGCGAGATCGCCCATTATGCTCTCTGCAGATTTGGACCTAGTTGCTGCAAAATAATGCTTGACGGCAAGATCGCTGAGTTGCTACAGAATATATTAGCAATTTCACCTAACCGCTGGTGAACTTCAATACCTCGTAGATGTTCCTAAAATCTTCGTTGGAATCCAGGGCTCCTCGCAGCGTGCTTTCGCAGATGCCCGCAATCTTCCCGTCTTTAGAGCCTTTGTTGTTGTCATTCTGTTCCTGCTCTTCTTCGGGTGCTGGCTCTGGCTTGTCGTCGTCAAGTGAAACATCGGTAAACTTGTTTCCTTCGTGCTGTGCAGCTACCGCGGCCCAACCAAGGAGCCAGCTTAGCTTTGCCCCAAGGCGCTCTAATATTCTTCTCTGGACGAGGTATAACTCTGCTCGATGTGCAGCAAGCTCCAGCTGGCCAGATTTTGTTTGCGTGCCGATGGTGGCTGCTTGATCTTTCTTTCCCAGTTGATTGCCTGTGCTGTTGAACCTGCTGTGTTCATAGATGACCTGGTCCTTACGATTAGACGATGATAAATCTTGGACCGATGCACGACGGTCAAGCAGCGAGCTGTTCCTCTTCGGATGAGCTAGGCCCTTGTGTTCAGGAACGGACACCTTGAGATCCTGCTTGGGCCCCAACGGCTTTCCTGACAAAGAACCCGCGGTTTTGTCGAAAGTTGTGATTGGGAGATAAGACGATGTGGTATCGTCCAGAATCTGCTGTGCAACAGCATAGCTCCACGAGGTCACAAAATTGTCTATGATGTCAGTGGAAACTTTCTCGACTTCGTTTTCAACCCTGGCCCAATGTCAGTTGAAGGTGGGTAGTCAGCTTGCAGTCTGACTTACGCATGAGTCAGATCATCTCGTAGTATGTGTGCTGCAATGTTTAGAAAGCTCATTGCTCGACGGCAAAGCTCAGCGAGAGAGGTGAGATCCTCAGTCTCATGGTCTTCCGGCCCGGTACGTGTTCCCAAGAAAAAGTCGTCCGTCGACGCCTTCGCTTGCTGAGCCGTCGACGGCCGAGAGTTGGGTCTGGAACTAGGTCTCGAGCTGGAGAGGAACTCGGATCTCGAGATTGAAGCGTTTCCCAGTCGTAGAAGGAGGGCCATTTGGCGTGAGAATATGTAGCATCTGAAATCGAAGATTGAAATGTTATTGGAGAGGATCATGGCTCGATAATCCTTTCGCGAAGAGCTGATGGGCTTATCGCCAAAGGGGTTGGTTCCTGATGATTTTTTACAAACGAGGAACTGCTTCTTGACATCTTCAGTGTATTCAAGAAACGAGCCGCCGTAGCCATCAGCTGCACGCTCACGGATGATGGTGTCGAGGCCAACGGAGAGCTCGTCGTAGCCCACGAGCGCATCTTCGACAAGACCCACGCTTTCAAACCCCCTTGCAAGGCCTTCTTTGAGGACAAAGAAAGTATTGAAATTCCAGCCAGGCAAATGGCGTTGGGCGTCCTTTTCTTTAATGTCCTCCTCATACTGGCTGACGCGCAGATCAAAAGAGGAAAGGATCAACGTCTTGAATTTGATAATGGTATCGCTCCAGCAATTGAGGATCTCCTGCGGGCTGTCGCTGTAAGGATTGGAAGCTTGGCCAATGCCGGGAGGAATCAGATGCGGCGGAATGTCCTTCATTTCCAGGCGAATCTGGGAGACTCGATCCGCGGCGGACTTGCCGGTGGAGTTGAAGTCGGAGCGGATCTTCTCGAAAATGGTGGTGGATCCACGGCCCGGCCATCGCGAGCCGCCGGTGGACTTCTCGATGGCACCAGTGGAGGCGCTGGCGGAGCCGCTCAGGCGCGGCTGTGTTGCAGCAGGCGTATCAGGCAGCACCACGTGCAGAATCAGCCATTCGAAGGCGTCGTGGTTCTCCTGGGTGCTCTTGGTGCCGCTCTCGGAGGCCGGGGTGTTCTCTTTGACCCACTCGCGCAGCAGCTTGCGGGACGTCACCTTGTAGGTGTCGTTGTCGTCACAGCGCAAGATGAAGATTTTGAGATAGGGCGTCTGGCTGAGGCCGGGGATCTGGTGGCGACGGCGCCCCGAGCGGCCATCAGAGGAGCCCGGGCGCAGCGACGAGGCCGAGGCGGCACGGCTTCTGCGGCCATCACTAGAGGGCGGCGGCAGCGACTTCAGAAAGTCATCGGTGGGATCGCGGCCGGGCACAAAGTCCACGTGCAGCGAGTCAATGGAGCGCAGCGGGCGGGCGGGGGATTTCCAGTGCAGGTTGCGCAAGGGCAGGCGAGCCCTCAGGTGCGGCTCCAAGATGCTGAACAGGCCATTTGGGTCGTGGTACTCGACTACAAGGAGGGGTTAGGCTGGGTTGGGCATGGGCTGCAAGCTGGCGACATACCCGTGACCTTGGAGCTGGAGGAGGAAGCCATGGTGTCCAGGGCGTGACGCGGTGCGCGGCGCTGGTCGGCATGCCCCCTGGTGCATCAAACGGCCCGGCGCAGCTGCAGGCTGGAGGTGCGGTGCAATTTAATGGGTGTTGGAGTTTTGGCCGGTGAAGGGGTGCGCCCGGGGCAGCCCAGGCCGCGAAGGGAATGCGTGTGGATCTGCCCCACAACCAGATCCAACTGCCGCAACGACCCTTTGCCCCGCGCAACGACGTCCCGCCCGCCCTCCTTGCGCGCTTCAGCCTTGCGCCAGCCCAATCCTGGCGCAGCACCTCGCTGTGGTTGGCTGCAATGAATACGCGGATCCTACTGCTGCTTCGCCTCGCACCGTTCCTGGGCATCGCCAGTCGCAAACCACCGCCCTATACCCTTTCCGGCCTCAGCTGCACGCCATGTCGCGGCGCTGCCACGCGCACTCTCTGCTTATTCCTATCACGTTGAATCATCTTCCATCTATAGCGACAAAGAAATCAGCCTGGCTGGCTTGCTTTCTGTAGATCCTGTGTATATAGACATGGCGCGTGCCGCTGGAAATCGGCACCAAAATCTCAATCTCCTTGTTCTTTTCATCAGATATCTCCTCATTCACATTTAGCGACGCACCTCTTCAACATGGGCGGACGTGTCGAAGGAAGCATGTGGTACTACGCCCCCGATAAGGCGGCAGCCATCGTCTTCATGATCCTGTTTCTCCTCTCTGGCGTCGTACACCTCTACCAATGCTTTCGGTACAAGTCATGGCGTATCACAATATTCCTCCCCTGGGCTGCTCTCATCATGAGTGCTGGCTTTGCAACACGCCTGGCCGGTGCCTACCACATCGAAAGCCTGGATCTCGTCATCGTTTCAACCGTGCTGGTCATGACCGGTCCACCCGTCTATGCTGCGAGCAACTATCTTGTTTTCTCGCGGCTCCTTTTCTACGTGCCATACCTATCCCTGATGCACCCTGGCCGTGTCCTGACTACATTTCTCGGTCTGGATCTCCTCGTCGAAATCCTCGTCAGCAACGGTGCGGTTCGCGTCGCCAACACCTCGCTCACCGATTCGCAGCGCAAGGTCGGCGATATCATGGTCAAAGTCTCACTCATTGCGCAAGCGCTCATCTTCTTCGCTCTCATCGGCCTCGCAATCCAATTCCACATCCGCGCCCGGCGAGCCCGCGTCCTGACGCGTAACCTACGCACCGTCCTCATCATCCTCTACACTACCTCGGCGGCCGTCTCCATCCGCTGCATCTACCGCATCGTCGAGTACTTCGAGGGCTACCACGGCGTGCTCATTACGCGCGAGTACTTCTTCTACATCTTCGAGGCCGCCCTCATGTTTCTCACCACCCTCATCCTCAACATTTGGCACCCCGGTGCCCGTCTGCCGCGGTCCAACACGGTCTACCTCAGCCAGGATGGCGTGACGGAGCTGCATGGTTTGGGCTGGGGAGACAATCGCAACTGGGTGCTCACCACCTTCGACCCGTTCGACTTGGTCGGACTGTTCACGGGCAACGACAAGCGGACAAAGTTCTGGGAGATGACACCTGATGAGATTGCGGCGATCGAGGCGGAGCGGAAGATGAACAAAAGGAGCGGATGGAAGGTTGCGCTGGACCCATTCAACTGGTTCGGAAAGAAGAACGAGGCGAGAAATGGCACCAAGGGAAAAATTGACGGTACGGCTGCGCAGAATAAGACGTCTGCGGAGGATGTTGTGTGATTAAAGTACCTCCGTAACATCATCATTACGTGGAATATTGTATATTACGTAGCAAGTAATTTCTGTACCTCTCTTGAATAGATAGATAATCGCCGGAAGACGTTATATTCCTATCGTCCGTGCATCAACGGCTCATCGTACTGCACGCGTTGGGGGACTGTCACACCATGTTCGAGCATAGGGATAAGTAATATTATAAGCGGGCAAGTGGTATGTACCTCCTACGAGCCCTTTTTTCTCTGGTATCGAATTCATACCGCTTCATTGTAAGCGACATACACGAGTTTACAAGAATTTCCCACCCAACGCCCTCCTCACAATCGTGGACACATCTAAATAGTCTAGGAAACACGCACTCCCCGCACATGCGAAGCATCTCCCGGCCGCCAAGTATCCTCTTGCCTGGTGCCTGGCGCCAGCCACCCCACGCCACTCTCCCTTCTGGGTCTACCCGGTCCTATGTCATCATTCTTCTTATCATCCTTCTTGAATCCATTCGCGAAACCATTAGTGTACGAGTGTTGCGCCACAGGGGTGCCGCTGGAGCTCCTGTCATTCATCTTTTCGAGGGAAACCGGAAGTAGCGACTCTTGCTTGGCAGAGTGCAGCATCTTGGCCTTTTGGTCGGCCTTGTTGTCGCGTGTTCGATCGTATAGGTACAGGCCCAGAAAAGTCAGGGCAAAGCCCAGTGCCTGGATATGTGTGACGGGCTTGCCGAACCAGATGATGGCGAAGACAATGACGAAAACGCGTTTGATCAAGCTGGCGACCGAATAGGTAACGGGCGACACCATGGAAAGGAGGACGAATGCAACCAGGTTTTGGCCAAAATGGAAAGTTCCGTTGAAAATGTACTCCAGGACCAGGGGGCCGTGGTCCAGAGAGCCTGGCCTGACGTTGAGATCGATTGAGGCATCATACAAGAAATCTCCCAAGATATCGATGCCTTCCGCGAAAAACCAAATCGGCGCTGTGAAGATAAAAGCCAAGCCAGCGGAGTAACAAAGCAGATTCAGCTTATCGGGCTTTCTCCGTTTCATTGGTTGGTTGTCCTGCTCAGCTTGCTCGGCTTCGTTGAATAGCTTCTTCGACACAATGTTCTGGGTAACAAAGAGCAGGGCACTCCCGAAAGCGCTGATCAATCCGATGAAATTTCCGGAGAAGTTCGCGGAGCAGGCCATGATGACGCCAAAGGTCAACGGAATCAACGACAAGTAGGTAGTAGGCGCGTAGCGGATATTGAAGTAGAAGCGGTAGGCCAAGACGGTGAACAGAGGCGAAAGACCCTTGATGGTGTGGACCAGCGAGACTGGAATTCGAGACATCGCATCGGAACTTAGGATGTGTCCACCAATTTGGAACAAGGTCAAGGGAAGCGTTGTCATGATGAGATCCCTACTTGGAGGCCGAATGCCATATTTCAATGCCGGGATCATGACCTTCAAACGTGGGAATACCGTGGCTAGCCAAGCCAGAACAATGCACCAGGAGGATACGAAAGCGAATTGTATGAGCGTTAGGGTGACCGGTTTGGGGAAAGCCGTAAGGATAGCTTTCGACGACGTGTTGGACATGATGGATGTTGAGTACCAGATGCCGCAGAGAACCTATGGCGGTCAGCGCAATTCTCGAGGGTAGTGCGGTGTCCACGAGGAACATACTATGAGCTTGGCCGACACAGGAGCCCTCAGCGCGTCGGCGATTTCATGCGCGTTGGCGCTGATGCTTCCTCGACGGCCCTTGATGGTTCTAATAGCCTCGCTCAAACTCTTCTGGCGCCCGTGTCTTGTGCCTGTGCCGGCATTTCCATTGCCCCAGCGAGATCCCTTGTCCTTTCGCGGATACCAGCGGTCGCCCGGCGGGAAGCCGTTTTCGCCATTTTTTAGCGGGCTCGGCGAGCGCACGGGAATGCCAATATCGAGAGTGGTCTCTTGGTATGGGGGTAGGACGTCGGGCTGAAAAGCTGGGAACTTGAAGGTGCTCGGGGACGCAGAAGCCGAGGAATGTCCCTCGTTGTGGGAGTGGGAGTCGTTTGCCATAAGGCCGGGTCGATGTCGGTATCTCAGGTGTCGCTCAAGCCATGGGAGTGGTCAGAGGGTGGGCGGGGCGGTGATGTGGGCAGGTGAGCGACCGGACAATGGCGCAATGTGCCCTCGGGCGGGCGAGACGCGACGGCAACGTATGTCGTTCGGGAGTCTCGTGTTACGCGGGTGACGGCGAGGGTGGCGCTCTTAGAATAGACACGAGCGTCCAGGTGTGGGAAGGGAGCGGCGCGGGCGTGCTTCTGGCTTCGAGACCGGGCGTGAGGCTCTGCAGATGGCGAAGTCCGGGCGGTGTTGCGCGCTGCTCGGTCAAGTCTGGAAGTCGATGAATGGGCCGCCGAGAGTTATGCAACGCGCGGCTTCAACCAGGGATCTTTATGCAAGCTAGTGTCATCCCACCCGCGCTAGTCCCAGACAGGCAACTCCCTCCAACTCCACCTCATTTCAACACCAGCTGCAATCACCACCATGCTTCTCACCAATCATTCATGTCTTCGTCAGCATGGCGCGCCTCTTATCCGCGTTGTTATGTGTCGCTTTCTCACTCGCATGGGCCGCCCATGCCACGCGTCTGATGGAGTCCTTCATGATACCTATGCAGAATCTCTTTGCTAAATCCATCTCCTTCGACGCTGCTCCTGTTGAGTTCTCCGCGCGCTGGGAGGTGCTTGGTCCATTCCAGATAGGCACACGAGGTTGGCAGCCATCCTCCTCGTAATCCTGTCCCCGCACTGACGTGATGTTCCATAGAGGGCCCGTGGGGCGCCGACCCGCTCGAGTACTTCGGCGGCTTTCGGACGTTAGAGTTTAACGAATCTGCAACTTTCAAGAGCTCGCTACCCACCGACGCTTCTGCCAGGTGGTCCACCGTCAATGCCACCAGTGTGGAAAGTAACGAAGCCGGGGCCAATGCTTCCCTGGCTTTAGCTTTCTCCAATGTGGACTGGCAATTTCTGCAAGCTGTATATGGTTGGTCAGCTTTGCAGTACCAATCATGGGCCCGTGGAGAGATTATTGTGAATGGCGATGCAACCCAAACCGTGGTCTTGTATACCGATTGGATCCTTGAATTCTGGCTTGACGGCAAGCTTTACTTTGGCGGAGATTTCTATTCTTACCGTAAAGCACCTCCTGTGCTGCGCCTGGAGCCGGGAACCCATCGGATTGATCTGAGGACGTGGCGGGACGTCCGATCTTTTGGAGGCATCACCGAAGGCGACCCCCAGATCACGACCGATCTTGCTCTCAGAATTTGCAAAGACCCGTTGGAAGTGACACAAGAGCGAATAAAGATACCGGATATCATAGATGGAAGATTTTCTAGCGAGTATGGCTCAGTTTCTGTCCGCAATACGGGTGTTAACACCGTCCGTATCCTAGGGGTTAAACCCCAAAACAGTGTACGTATCGCATTCGATTTTGAGCTCATCTGCATGGGCCACCTTCTCGACTTATCCTCACGTAGAATCGACCAATTGCTGATCATGGCTATAGAGTGACTGGGAGACCGGCTCAGGTAACTTTTCTCATCTGGAAGTTGTACCTGGCCAAACAAAGCCAATCTCCTTTAGGCTTTCCCTGAAGGATCCGAACATATCCGAGCTACGATTGGAGGTCCTCTACACATATGACGGTGCCGGATCGACCCTAAGCGCTCCAGGCGTGCAGCCCGTCGTCAAAAAATCTACCTTCGAATCCCATAAGGTTACCTTTATGCACCCAGGTGGGATTGTTTCGTATGCAATGTTACGCCCACCTGCCAGAAATGCTACCTGTAGCTCACAGTCATCCGCTCCAATCCTTCTTCAGTTTCACGGAGCGGGACTTGAGGCAGATGTAGATGGTGTCGCTCGCGCTCTTGATCCTCTCCCAGATCTTTGCGCATGGGTACTCTTTCCAACCGGAGTGACGCCCTGGAGCGCAGATGACTGGCACGCATGGGGCTTTCCGGATGTTGAAGCCGCTGTTTCGGCTATCTCGGAATGGATCAGGCACAATGTCTGGAACGGGACGAATGCTGACATAGATCGTTGGCTTGTCAGTGGACACTCGAACGGCGGCCAAGGCACCTGGTATGCAATTACCCATCGGCCAGATAAAATCATTGCAGCGGTTCCGGTGTCTGGTTATGCCTCCATCGAACGTTACGTGCCATACGAATTCTGGTCACCAACTATTGATCCTGGCCGACAGTCGGTGCTCCGTTCAGCGCTAAACACATATCGACATGAGCTCTTGGCCGAGAACTGTGAATCGATCCCCATACTACAGTCGCATGGTGGAGCTGATACAAATGTGCCAACATATCATTCTCGGCTCATGAATTTCTTGTTGTCTCAACGCGGAGGCAATGTAGGTTACTATGAGATTCCTGGATCCGAGCATTTCTTTGACGGTATCATGACCACGGAACCATTGCGCGACTTCTATCGGAAGCACATCCCCAATGGCATAGCCGTCACACGATCTTTGAAACGGTTCACCATCGTTGTTGGCACACCTGGCGATATGGGCTCCAAAGGTGGCATTACCGTCACACAGCTCGAGACTCCCGGCCGCTATGGTAGAATGGAAGTCTCTATTGACCCTCGTGATGAAGAGACATGCATATATACCATTCAGACGAAAAATATCCTCAGTTTCAGCGTTAGTCCGCATGAGTGCCAGTCAGCGACCGTCATCGTTCACGGGCGGACCATGGCATCAGCAACAACAACATTCACTACGACCGGTACCTCAACCGTGACATGGGTAAATAACAACTGGGAGGTAAATATAGCACTGAAACATGGCGATGCACAACTAACGTGTATAGCAAAACGTTGATTTGCAGAATGTCCGACGCGGAAAACAACTCGGGGCGATGGATGCAATTTTGCGCTCGAACGGGACATTCAACATCGCCAGCCACGGTCCTGGCACTGGAGAGCTGGCGCTGCAAATTTCCCGCAACCTGTATACGTACTTCTCGGCAGATTCCATCATCAATGGTACAGCGGGTCCCGGTAACTCGATCACAGTTGCCGTGGGCACTGAACTCCCGGACAGCCAAAATGGCAATTTCCCCATTCAGGTTACAGCTTCGGGCGCGCTCCTTGTGCGGGCGCCATCGGGCGAAGAGTATCTTTTTGGCGAGGACGAAGATGTGGCGGCGATCTACCTGCGGCCAGGAACAACGGGGCCGGAAAGCCTGGAGCTTGTTGTGTGGGGAGGAACCGCTCAAACTGCGGCGATAGCGGCGCGGCTGGTGCCGACCTTGACGGGTGTCAGCCAGCCTGATTTCGTGGTTCTGGATAAGAGTAGCAGATGGAAGGGCGCAGAAGGTGCTGTGGCCATGGGCTTCTTCGATGAGCAGTGGAACATCGCGAGCACGTCTTTCTTCGCTTGAGTGTTAGCCATCGAAAGAAAGCTAGCCTCAGGCGCTTACTGTACAGTCCAGCGAGCGACGCAGGTGAAGCGCGGCAGCTGCTGCGCCCGTGAATGTGAAGGCGCGCTGCGGCTCAGGGTCCAGTCAGGGTCCATAAAAGCCGCTTTCCTTGAGCTGCCGGCGCAACTTCTTCCACACCTCTCTTCCTCCTTCCTCCTCCCTCGCTTGCTTGCTCTATCGACAATCCCGCTGCCGACCTGCCGCGGGATTTTGGCAGCTCTGCGTTGCGCGCTTTGCATCGTGGTCTCCCTGCGCGCCCGCTCCCGCGTGCTCGCGTCCTTTCCTGCCGCCATAACACCTCGAAGATCTCGGTAAGCAAGCTGCCACCCACAGACGCTACTAGTTTTGAGCCCGGCAACCTGAGCCTGCAAGTCGATGCTCGCCGATGCTGCCTTTGCCTCCTCCCCTTCTACTCATCATCCACTCCACCCCGCCGCAACCCACTCTCATCTCGTCTGACATCTACGCACGCTTCGATCTGAGTTCAAGCCACTGACCCCAGCCGACCAGAACACGTTCGTGAGACGCCTCTCGCGCTGCGCATATTACGCCTGGTTTACTCTATACCATCCATCCTCTTTGAGCTCCTGCCACTTGTATCCAGCCAATTGCACTTGCTCTCCACCGACTTCGGAAACATGGCTGGAGACGGATCCACTCCTCCGCGCAAGGTCTCACCCTCGCCGTTCGGTCTGCACAGTGATGAGAACGGATCCGAGTCGTCTCCGATCACCTTTGCGGGTAGCGTGGTAAGTGCAATGCCCCACCCTGCCTACTTCCCATGGCTTCCGTGTCTTCGACGCCCTACGGACTTGATGCCAACTCTACCCCAGGGTGCCAAAAGAAACAGCCAGACCATCGCCCGCACCGAGTCACCAATCCCATTGACTACCTCAAAGCTAGGAAACCAGGCTGCTCGTGCCTCCAGCCGCAAGCCTTCCAAGGTTAGCCATGTCGATAGCTCCGATGCTGTCGACATCACCGCTGACACCCTGGCCCAGATGTTGAAGACGGACTCGTCTCCCGACTCGACTTCTGGCAGCGAGTCTCCCATGAACACTCTTCTCGCCAAGCTTTCCGAGCAGCAGAATATCTTGGACAGGCAGAAGAACAACCTGGTAGTTGCTCCTGAGCCCCCCGTGGGAGGCGTTCCGCAAGATCTTCTCATGGTCGGCGCCACCCCAGTAAGTGCCAGCAGCTGCGAGATCAAGATCTACCTGGAGCATGACTATAGCCACCCTCCTAAACCCTCGCCGCTCACTGCGTTTCAGATCGACTCTTCGTCCAATGGTGAGAATTCGACCTCGGCCACACCTGACAAGTCCAACACCCCTGCGACGGACGAGGGCTACAATCTACCCAAGCCCGACCCTATTGCATTCTTTCGCATGCAGAAGGAACTTGCAATTGCGAAGCAGGAGCTCAATCGTATGGACACTGAGCTTTCTCAGACTCGCATCGCCAACCACACTGTCAATCAGGCCCTTGGACCTCAGTCGGATGCCGGATATGACACTCACAGCCATAGCCCCGAGAAGATGATCCCCTATGCCTTCAACACGGGTACCAAAATCGCGTCCGCTCTGTCACGTCAGGACACATGGTCATCCCAGGATGAGGCGACGGCTCCGGCAAGCGAGGTGTTCCCTACTGGCAACTTCAACCGTGGCCGCGGCTCTACAAACCAGGCCATCTGGACCAACGGCTTCAAGCCCAACCTTGCATATCAGGTACCGGCACCGTTCGAACAGGCTTCTGGTTACGGTGCGAGCACGTGGAATGCCGGTGGACGCCAGACTTTCGGCGCAAGCGTTGGATTTGCCATGAACAGTCAAACCGGCTATGGACCAATCCAGCCGCAGCAGTACGGTATGCCCGGCCCTGTGGACAATGGCTATCGTGGCACTCCACAGCTCGTAGATGAGGCGGCTCATTACTCTATGCCGCGCATGAACCCTCCCAGCAGGCCGACTTCTGCATTCGGTGGACGCAACAATGGCTGGAACAGCAACTACACGTACAACAACCCTATCGGTGGTCCTCGGTTCAGTCCGCCCCATATGCAAGGTAACGGCATGTACCAGGCTCCGGGCGCTTACCAGGCCGGCCCCATCGGCAGCCGGCTGTCCCCCACTGCCGCTGAGTTCAATGTTGTGAACGACACTAAGCCGGTCTGGGGGGCTCCTGGTGACCAGTCGAGTTCCACATACATCTCTCCGAACGAACCGATCAACTACCGTCGCCTGCTTGACCGCAACATGAACTGCAACTGGGATCTCATTGTCAACAAGATCGTTCACAACAACGACCAGCAGGCTTCGATCTTCCTCCAGCAGAAGCTTAAAGTTGGCACTGCGGAGCAGAAGTTCGCCATCGTCGAGTCTATCATTGCGCAAGCTTACCCTCTCATGATCAACCGCTTTGGAAACTTCCTCGTTCAGCGATGCTTCGAGCACGGTACTGCAGAGCAAGTCATCGCCATTGCGCAAGCCATTCGCGGCAATACGCTACAGCTGAGCATGGACGCATTCGGCTGCCATGTGATTCAGAAGGCCTTCGACGCTGTTCCGGAGGAGTACAAGGCGATCATGGTCCATGAGTTGCTCCGCCGCATTCCAGAGACGGTTGTTCACCGCTATGCCTGCCATGTCTGGCAGAAGCTCTTCGAACTCCGTTGGAGCGATTCCCCTCCCCAGATCATGAAGTACGTCAACGAGGCTCTCCGCGGCATGTGGCATGAAGTTGCCCTTGGAGAGACCGGTAGTCTCGTCGTCCAGAACATCTTCGAGAACTGTCTTGAGGAGGACAAGCGCCCTTGCATTGAGGAGGTCCTGGCCAGCATCGACATCATCTCGCATGGTCAGTTTGGTAACTGGTGCATCCAGCACATTTGCGAGCATGGAGCTCCGCAGGATCGCACCCGTGCCATCGATCACATCCTCCACTATGCCACGGAGTACAGTATGGACCAGTATGCCTCCAAGGTAATCGAGAAATGTCTCAAGATCGGCGGCACTGAATTCCTCGACCGTTACCTTGAGAGGGTCTGCGAAGGTCGTGCCGATCGTCCTCGTATGCCACTTGTTGACATTGCCGGCGATCAGTTCGGCAACTATCTTATCCAGTACGTCTTGAGCAACTCTAGCCCGCAGCACCGCGAGATTGTGGCTTCGCACGTTCGTAAGCACATGGTCTCCCTCCGTGGCTCCAAGTACGGCTCCCGTGTGGCGATGCTGTGCAGCAACCCGGCTTATGCGACGCGCCCTGGCCCTCCTGCAGGCATGCAGTTGAACCGCAACAGCAGCTACAACCATGGCCGCGGCTATGGAGGCTACCGCTAAATCCGCATCGTCTTCGCTCCGACCCAGAGAAGACAGCGCCGTCACGATCTTAACACCTGAAAATTGATACATGTAGGTATCAGCCACCTTTCGCGGCTCTCATGTCGAGCTTTTTCATCATCGAAATTTCTCGACTGTGTTCCGATCGTATGCGTCTTGGTATAGTCGGTGCGACTTGCCTTTCTGCCGCGCATAGACGGAACAGACAAGGTGCCGTTTCTCTCATTTCCGATGTTCATATCAACTACAGTCAGCATGATATCCGCGGCAGCGGCTGCAAGTTTCATTTTGCTCTTCCGGAATTTGTTTTCTTTCACCAGCTCTTGTTTTCTACTGCAATCGTGCCATCTTCAAGCTTACGGATCGTCACGAAGCTCCGAGGCTCGTTGGATGCGGCAAGCAACAAAGGCAGCTTTCCTACGTGGTCAAAGGTTGGCTTTGTTCGCCTTTGGCATATCAGCTTTAAAATCTCAGTCTTCTTCTGGAAACATCTTTTGGGGAAGGCTCTCACTACCTGCAGCTGTACCTGGGTTCTTTTCAAAGGGAAAAGTTTTCTTCTCTAAATGGAAGTAGTAGTTCGGGAGTGTCGAGCAACGGACACGGTAATGTGACGGAAGGAGTGGGCGGATGATGGATGCTTGCTTCTTTGCTTATTCTGCTTCTTATCTTCATCTCGGCAAATGGTTTCTTTCGTGCTTTAGGAGCAAAGGTAGACAGAGTATTGACAGGGATAACCGTGATTGCGATGAACAGCACCGTGTCGATGACGTTCGCTCGTGATATCCGAGACACGCCAAATGTCTTGCATTCGACTGCAGCACGCCACAGGAGCATGCACGTGCACCGCACCAGTCCGTACCGAGGCGTACCAGCGAAGGCTAGCGCGAAGAATAGCAGAGCCCTTGAATATGGGGTAGCTATGCCTCGGCGATTTTCTTTACAAGGAACAATATACGTGGAAGCTACTGTTCGGGTGAGAATTATGCGTAATTTTTAATTCCACATTTACATGCGGATGACAGATAGCTCCAGCTACCAATGACATGAAGCGAAAAACAGATCCTCCAGCTGCAATACCCTCTGAAGGGGATAGGGACAGATGCCAGGCGAGGGAGCCATGTCTCGCCCGGTGCGAGGCCGGTTCCAATAGTATTATTGCGACAGGGATCCATCCGGACATGAATGCACGATGTTAATTTTAAAAAGTGCATCGGGACAAAGCTTCAGCTCTCTGATTTTGTTGCAATGTTGAGTGAAGCGATCTCGTAGCACGAAGGGAGTAAAGCGCAACGGCCAAGTGGGCGATCTCGTGGTTTGTGCTCGTAGGTCAGGGCAACGACGGGCGGTGATCCAGCCGGCGGAGGGGCAGGGGTCCCCGGGCTCCACGTCAACTGTTTCCAGTTCGCTTGGCCCCCCATCATGCCTCTGCTGCACCTGCCACCCAGTCGACGTTCAAGCCGCGCGTGATCCCTCCGCCAACGCCGTGCTGCCGTCTCCCCAAACTTTTCTGCGCCGCATCCCTAGGCGAGCGACCAGGCTCTCCAGAACACTCAACTGCAGCCCGCATCACTAGCTGCAATGGCGTCACCAGCTCTACAAGTCCCCAATGGCTCTGACAACACCGCGCCACGTCCCTCGATAAGCAGCTCGCATTCGACTCCCTCAGTCGTCATGAATGGCCACTTCGCCGCCGTGGGCGAGAAGGCCACGCCCGAGCAGTACGAGCACGGCGTCCAGGTCATCGACGAGAATAAGGAATTCAAGTACGCCCGCCCTCACTGCTCTCACCACCTCCGTACTGACTGACTGGCCTGCAGCTCGAGTCTCTCCAACTATCTGGCCCTCGAAAAAGTCATCCCCGCCGGCTTCAACTACCATCTGATCTCCGTCTTCGGTTCTCAGAGCACCGGCAAATCGACCTTGCTCAACCACTTGTTCAAGACGTCCTTCGGCGTCATGTCCGAAAACGAACGTCGCCAGACTACGAAGGGTATCTGGATGTCCAAGAACAAGCGCGTGGGGCAGGGTGACAAGTCTATGGCCGACAACATCCTAGTCATGGACGTCGAGGGAACCGACGGCCGTGAGAGAGGCGAGGATCAGGACTTTGAGCGGAAGAGCGCGCTGTTCGCCCTGGCAACGAGCGAGGTATTGATCGTCAACATTTGGGAGCACCAAGTTGGCTTATACCAGGGAGCCAACATGGGTCTGCTGAAGACTGTTTTTGAAGTCAACCTGCAGCTGTTTGTCAAGGACAGCAAGTACGTGGCAGATTCTGGATTTTGTACGACTTGTGTAGCTGACATGAGATTCCCAGGACTACTCCACGCTCCCTTCTGTTCTTCGTTATTCGCGACCACATCGGCAACACCCCTCTGGCCAACCTAAGAAACACTCTCTTGCAAGACATGCAGCGTATCTGGTCGACACTGTCGAAACCTCAGGGTCTCGAGAACTCGAAGATTGAGGACTACTTCGACTTCGCATTCGCCACACTTCCGCACAAGATTCTGCAGCCGGAGAAATTCGTTGAGGATGTGGAGAAGCTCAGCACACGCTTCCGGGAGGGCTACAAGGACCCTAAACTTGCGGGCCTGATCGATGAGGAAACTCACCCTGTTTTTCTGCCGGAGTACCACAGACGCATCCCCGCCGACGGTTTCCCGACCTACGCGGATGGCGTTTGGGAGTCAATTGTCAACAACAAGGACCTGGACTTGCCAACCCAACAGGAGTTGCTCGCCCAGTTCAGGTGCGACGAAATTTCACGAGAGGTGCTCGTCGAATTTGACCAGAAGATTACACCTTTGGAGGAGAAGCAGGCCGAGGGCGTCCGCTCCGGCAAGCCTTCTGTAATTACCGGCCTCGGTGAAGCCATGAACAGTGCCCGCGTCGCTGTCCTCAAGGAATTTGAAACCAAGGCTTCACGGTACCACAAGGGCGTCTACACACTGAAGTCGAAGGAATTGTCTGGCAAAATTGACACTCGTCTCAAAGCATTGTTTACCGGTCAATTGACCGCGGCACACAAGTCCGGCGTCAATGACTTTTCCGAAGCTGTCAGTGCAGCAGTCAAATCGGGACAGAAGAAGGGCAACAACTATGACTTTGCTGAAATTGTGGCTTCCGAAAAGAACAAAGCTCTGTCCACGTTCGAGGAGCACGCAAAGGCTGTCGTGGTGGATGGTGCGCCATGGAGCGAGTACGACCAGGAGTTCGACTTGTACAAAAAGGACCTCGATGATGTGTCAGCACGCTTGCGTCAAGAAGAGATGCGTAGGCTGGCTACTCGCGTCGAGCGGTGGGTGCGCTCCCGTTTGAACGAGTCGGTTGGTTTGGAATTCAACAAACTGGGCTCGGGCCGTGGAGGTTCTGGTGCTCCGGCTGAAGGGGAGAAGCACACTGTAGCAACTGAAAAGGAGCTGTGGGACCGGATATGGGCAGTGTTCACTGAGACTGTCTCTCAAGCAGAGAAGCGTTTCACGGAACGCGCAGGCAGCTTCGATGCATCGCCAGATGAGATTGAGGTTGGCCTTTGGCGTTTACGACGGAAGAGCTGGGGCTGTCTGAGGGCGAAGCTCGATGAGGAGATGATGGAGGGAAACCTCCTTCTCAAGCTGCGCGAGAATTTCGAAGACAAGTTCCGTTACGACGAAACCGGAGTCCCTCGCATTTGGCGTCCGACCGATGATATTGAGGGCATCTACACACGCGCCCGCGAATCCACCCTCACTCTCATTCCCCTCCTCAGTCGCTTCCGTCTGTCGGCAACATCGTCACCGCCGCCTTTGGATGCGTGGATCGGCGCTGCTCCAGCTACCGTCACGCCGGCCGATGAGGAGGACCTGACCCCTATCGGCGGCGTGGACGAGGAGGAAGGAAAGAGCCTGGAAGAAGAGATGACAGTACTGAGCGAAGCCAAGCAGGCAGATCTCAGCGTTCGCTTCAAGAAGACAGCCGACGGCGTCTACGTCGAGGCCAAGCGCGGCGCTATCGGCGGCATCACGCAAGTGCCCTTGTATTTCTATGGACTGTTGCTTGCACTGGGTTGGAACGAGATTTGGGCTGGTAAGTCATGCTCAAGAAACCGTGCACGCGAAACGATCGCTGACTGAATTTTAGTCCTCCGCAACCCTCTCTACTTCATCTTCATGATCCTCCTAAGTGTTGCTGCCTACGTGACGTACACGCTCAACCTTTGGGGCCCCATGTTGCGCATGAGCAACGCTGCGTCGCAGCAAGCGGTCGAGATGTTCAAGGAGCGCCTGCGCGAGTTCCTTGAGAGCAACGAGACTGGCCGCCAGGCCATGGGCATGCCAAGCCGCACCAACACAACGGAGAGCATCGGGCTGGACAGGCTCGATAGCCAAGGCAAGAAGGCCGAGAACGAGGATGAGGATGACATATAGCATGGCCGTTCATTGGGTCAAGATGAGCGTTGTGTTGATTGGGTTGGCTAGTAAAAATAGAAAGGTGCTCAGGGTTGTCTCCTCCCGGTGCTGGATACACAGGAGTACCGGAGTACAGGCGGAGCCGGTGGCAATCTCGCCCTACTGTAAACCACCCTACTCGCCGTGTTTATAGAATGCATTCATTTTTAGCAACACGTAGACCGAGAGACATGAATGCATTGTGCAAGCTAGCGTTGTGACTACGGATCCAGCATTCCACGGCTGGTACGACACTCACGCCGCTGGCAGCAAGCGGGATGGGAACAATTGGAAGAGATGTAGCGCCGTTGGTAAGGAACAGAACGTCATGGGGCAGAGCCCGTGGCCTGCTCCAGCTACGGAGCCCTGCGAGTCGTGGTCTCGGACAAATAGCAGAGGAAATTCTGGTCGAGAAGGATGTCCAGAAGCTCCCACAATAAAAGTTGTCCTCAAAATGAGTTGAGGAGGAAAAGGAAACGGGCAGCGGGCGCTGGGCGAAAGGGTTTTTGTAAGCGACGCCCGGACTTCCAATCAGAGGCGGCGCGATGCGGGTAGGTCAGAAATGGCGCTAAACCGCAAAAGACGTCAATGCGGTGCCGAGTGCCTCCAGTGTGAACCACGCCTCCAACACCACCGCCCATCCAAACCCAGCCCTCCGCATCCCTCTCCACTCCACGCCATGCTGCGGCAACAGCTCCTCCGGTCGGTCAGGCTGCCCCAGCGGCTGGCGGCCGCCAATGCCAGCCGTACCTTCGCCGCCACCTCGCACCGGCCCGCCGACGTCGAGCTCACCATCGGTGCGTCCCACGCTTGTGTGCCTAGCTTCATGAACCACGCTGATTGAGATTTCAGATGGCAAGAAGGTCTCAGTCGAAGGTGAGCCCTCCGCTGCCGCGCCATTGCCCCGCGGGCCACGATGCTGACGCCTGCACTCACAGCCGGCTCCTCGCTCATCCAGGCCTGCGAAAAGGCCGGCTCGACCGTCCCCCGCTACTGCTACCACGAGAAGCTCATGATCGCCGGAAACTGCCGTATGTGCCTTGTCGAAGTCGAGCGCGCCCCTAAGCCCGTCGCCTCGTGCGCCTGGCCCGTCCAGCCCGGCATGGTCGTCAAGACCGACTCTCCTCTCGTGCACAAGGCCCGTGAGGGTGTCATGGAGTTCCTGCTCGCCAACCACCCCCTCGACTGCCCCATCTGCGACCAGGGTGGTGAATGCGACCTGCAAGACCAGTCGATGAGATACGGTGCCGACAGAGGCCGCTTCCACGAGATTGGCGGCAAGCGTGCGGTGGAGGACAAGAATATTGGCCCATTGGTCAAGGTATGCGCCTGGTGGCCAGAGCAGAGTCCTGCATAATTGCTGATACGTTGCAGACTTCGATGAACAGGTGTATCCACTGCACCAGGTGTGTCCGTTTCGCCAATGACGTCGCCGGCGCCCCCGAGTTTGGTTCCACTGGCCGTGGCAACGACCTGCAGATTGGTACTTACATCGAGACCGCCCTCGACTCGGAAATGTCTGGAAACGTCATCGACCTTTGCCCCGTTGGTGCCCTGACCTCCAAGCCCTACGCTTTCAAGGCTCGTCCGTGGGAGCTGTACCACGCCGAATCCATTGATGTCCTGGACGGCCTTGGCTCCAACATCCGCGTCGACTCCAGGGGACTGCAGGTTTTGAGGATTCTCCCGAGGCTTAACGACGATGTGAACGAGGAGTGGATCAACGACAAGTCCCGTTTTGCCTGTGACGCGCTCAGCACCCAGAGATTGACCATCCCGCTTATCCGCCGCGACGACCAGTTCCAGCCGGCTACTTGGGAGCAGGCCCTTGTGGAGATCGGCAACGCTTACCAGAAGATTGCGCCGAAGGGCAATGAATTCAAGGCTGTGGCTGGTGCACTGGCTGAGACGGAGACTATGGTGGCAATGAAGGATCTGGCCAACAGGCTTGGTTCGGAAAACCTTGCTCTTGACACCAAGAATGGTAGTGAGCCGGCAGCTCACGGTGTTGATGTCCGCTCGAACTACAGCTTCAACTCCAAGATCTACGGTGTGGAGGAGGCTGATTACATCCTCCTTGTTGGTACCAACCCCAGGCACGAGGCCGCCGTTTTGAACGCTCGCATCCGGAAGCACTGGCTGCGCTCCGACCTTGAGATTGGTCTCGTCGGCGAGGACTTCGAGAGCACCTTCGAGTATGAGAAGCTTGGCGATACGGCCTCCGACTTGAAGTCGGCCCTGTCTGGTCCTTTTGGTCAGAAGCTGGCTCAAGCTAAGAAGCCTATGATCATCGTGGGTAGCGGTGCTGTTGAGCACGCTGACGCCAAGTCCATTCTCGAGACCGTTGGCAGCTTTGTGGAGAAGCACAAGTCCAACTTCCAGACCCCTGAGTGGAACGGTTACAACATTCTCCAGCGTGAGGCTTCTCGTGCTGGTGCTTACGAGGTCGGCTTCACCGTTCCCTCGCCCGAGGTCGCCAAGACGGAGGCTAAGTTCATCTGGCTGCTTGGTGCCGATGAGATCAACGAGGCGGACATCCCTAAGGGTGCTTTCGTCGTCTATCAGGGCCACCACGGTGATAAGGGTGCCCAGCTTGCTGATGTCGTGCTCCCTGGTGCTGCCTACACTGAGAGCGCCGGTACCTACGTCAACACCGAGGGTCGTGTCCAGCAGACTCGGGTTGCCACCGCTCTGCTCGGCGCTGCTAGGCACGACTGGAAGATCATTCGTGCTGCTAGCGAGTACCTCGGCACCCCTCTTCCCTATGACGACGTCGAGGCTCTCCGCGACCGTATGGAGGAGATCTCGCCCGCGCTCAGGAGAATCGACGTTGTCGAGAAGACTGCCCTGGCTGAGCTTAGCAAGGTCCAGGTCGTTGACCAGAACAAGGGTGCTAACGCTACGAACGCTCCCCTCAAGAAGCCGATCGAGAACTTCTACTTCACTGACGCAATCTCGAGGAAGTAAGTACATCCCGTATCCTGAGTTCCCAACCAATTACTAACAATCCATAGTTCGCCAACCATGGCTCGCTGCTCGGCAGCCAAGGCCGCTAAGAACCCGAACACCAACTTCCTGGCACCAGGAGAACCCTACCCCCAGGTCGAGTACGGCCCGCCCGGTCAGCAATCAGCTGCAGCTGCATGAATGTAAAGAAGTTTGAGAAAAAGAGAGACACATTCATCACCGAGGGACTGTGTAGAATCTACGGTTGTTTTGATGGTTTAAAGCGGCGTTTTTATTATTACCAAGCTATGTACATACTGGACAAATATTCCCTTTTCCCCTTTGCTCCGACAAGCAAAAAAAAGAAGACGTCCAGCTACATGAAGATGCGCGGAACAGGGTATTGGGAATCAACGTGTCCAGTCAAGACGGGGGAGATACGGGGAGGGCGGTAGCAACCAGGGGCCAAACGGCTCGCCAGGGTCTTTGTTTTCTTTTCCTGGTGGCGGTGGAAGAGCGGGACGGAGTAATGACGGCTTCATCTACCGCATTAGATGGCGGTAAAAGATGGATGACGGGGTAGAATAGAATGCATAGGCGGTGTGCGGCCGCTCCATCAACTTTTTTCTTTTAAGACTCTATGATGTCAAGATCTGTGCCCGGACTGCTCTGGCAAGTGCCACCCCTCAGCAACCATGGTTTTGCTATATTATAGTGCCTAGTGACTATGACGCCTCTTTAATGGTTGATTTTTCATCTGACAACTCACTTTAATTAATAGCCAGACATAGTAATACCACACGGTTTCATGACATCTTTAATACTAAAGGATTAGAAATCCGTTATCTTGTTACCCTTCACGCAAGTAAAGTCAACCTCTTCTCAGTCAATTCTTAAGGTCTCTTAACTACCAGCTGCCAATGATCCGAAAAGTTGTTTTTCAGTTGCAGTTGATTTCGGTATATGTTTTAATATTTCTCTAAGTGAGAAACATTGCTTTCTCGTTCTCAGTTAGCATTGGAAATAATGTGCGGACCCATCGCTCGTAAGCTCTGCCACAGCTTTTGAAAGCTCACCCGAAGTCCGTGACATCCTATTTTCCGCCGCACGCACGTGCCCATAGCCCTTCCCAAGGCAGTTCACATTGCATTAGACGGCTTTGCCACGATTCAGTTAGAAAACCGAAATTAATTCCCCCCATGGTCTGCCTATATCCTTTAGCCCCATTAGAATTTGCTCGCCTCTCTCCTTCACGCATTTAGTACCCCTCCCTCATCTAGTTTCACAGCGGAGAAGCAGGTCTATCCTGCCACAAGCTATGGTAATGCTCCTGTATACAGTCCTCACCATCATCTGCGAGGTAATCATGTCCTCTCCTTTTATCCCTCTCGACCTGCGCCTCCCTCGGCTTCCTCCTCGTCGCCTTTTTACCGTTGTCATGAGCCGATCCCGCTGCTGCTGCTGCCGCTGCAGGCGTTGTCGTAGGGGCCCTCCTCCGGATCCCCATCATCCGCGCGCGCTCGTACATGAACCGTTCGTCGTCGCGGGGGTCCCAGCCCTCATCATCGCCGCCATGGTGTTGGTAAACGAGCTTGTAACCCAGCACGTCGGCGCGCCAAACAGCGCGGCAGTGCAGGCAGAAGACGCCCGCGATGACGGAGTCTTCGTTGTGCGAGAGTATCCCCGCCTTGCGGCCGCAACGGGGGCAGCCGAAGTTGCAGCGCTCGCAGAGCGGCTTTGACGCGTCTACATGATCGTCGTCGTCGTCGTCGTCGTCGTCGGTGGTGGCAGCGGCGGCGTCTGCTTCCGTGCGCGGCCGAGCGTGGCGGATGTTGCATTTCGAGCACTTGAGGACGGGCAGTACGATCGAGCTGTTGGCTGACCGTGTGCCAACCTTGCCGTTGTCCTGAGAGGAAGTGGTGCGAGCTAGTGAGCGGAGCGCGCCAGGGATGCGGTCGGCGGACCTGCCTGAGTCGCCAGCCTCTTCGGGAACGATGTTGCTGGATGCGGCTTCGTGGCAAGCTGGGAGGCTACACTGCTCTGTCGGCGGAGCACAGTGGAGAAGCTGGAATTGCGCCGCTGCCTGGCGTAGTTCTGGCGCATCCGCGGCGTTGTCATACGGGCCAGCATAGTTTGGACCTTGAACCGCTTGGCGGATCGGGAGGCTGCCCATCTGTCGGAGAGTCATCTGCTGTGTTTGCAAAAGCTGCTGGGCAGTGGCCACCCCTGAGTCTTCTTTGTTGCTCTTGTCTGTGTCATTCGCATCGTCAGATGCATGTGCCTCATCTTCGAAGGAGATGAGATCAAAATAGTCTATGTCCTTGATAGAGCGGCCAACTTGGCCAACTTCGAGGGCATTGATGGTGCCGTTGACCTCGCCGAGAAGAAGGCTTGTGTAGTCAGGACTGAATGCACCGGACATGACCCCGGAGTTTAACTGCACAACATCTCTCACAAAAACGTCGTCTGGGGCCCGGTAAGGATCCCAGATTTTGACCACGCCGTCTGACGAACCAGTATATAACCTTCTGCGGTCGTGCCCCCATGAGCAAAAGCGAATACCGGTGTCCAAACGTTCTCTCGACGCGGGGTCGTCGTCTCCCAGCTCCATCAACGGTTCTCCGTGCACGAGAGAATAGAGATGGTCCTCGGGGCGTGGCTGCCGGATGTCCCAGACGTATGTCTTGCCATTCGTGCATCCAGCTATAATGAGGTTATCGTCGTAAGGGCAGAAAAGTACGTCGTTCATATCAAGAGCTGGGCAGTCCAACTCCAACGTCATGCCGTATCGTCCAGGGGCCCGGATATCGTAGAGTTTGATTACAGAGCGAGTGCCGCGATTGACGTTTGTGCCGGCTACACACCCAACTGCGAACAGTGGTGCCTTCCATCTGTTCGAGTTCCATGCGACATCGAAAACATTCCGTGTTTCAGGAAATATTGTCATCTGAGCACCGGTACGGACATCCCACAAGCACGTGTCGCCGCTTGTCAGTTCCTCCCTCTTCGTCGAGGCGAATCCCGCTAGTAGGTATTCACCAGACCAGTCGAAGCGAAGAGCTGAAGGGTATATGTCATTGTCGGGCCTTTCTGCCGCTTTCCTGGAAGCGAAGCTGTGCACAACCCGCTTCAGTTTAATACCATTTTCGTCGAAGCGCTCTGATGACTCGGCATTGAGGAGGTAGGGGTCTATCACCCTGATCGAATTCTTTTCAGACCGTTGGCAACCTGTAGCGAGGAGACCTTGAGGACTGACAGAGAGGAGATCAACTTTACTCGCATGACGAATAGCAGGACGCCACAATTCTGGTTGTTCAGTGTCGTAAACGTCGTAAACCCGCACGACATTATCGTATCCAGCCGTGAATAAAAGCGAGTTGTCAGGTGAAAAGGCAACCATTGAAACAGTCTGAAAAAGTCGATGATCCTGGGTGACGTGCATTGAATGACTCGAATTCACGCCAGATTCTGGCCGCTCGCGCTCAGTGTAGTGATCAGGGATCTCGTACAGCACTTTTCGTGAAATGTCTCCAAAAAGAAGATTGTTGGGCCTGTTGTACTGCATGCTGTCGGAATCGACAAGGCAAGCAGAGCCGGCGGCAAATTGAGTGCCATTGGGCGCCCAAGCTATGGTATTGACATCGCCCGAAGTGCCGGTAAATGTCAAAGAAGGTCCAATGCTCTCGACAATTGGCGTCTGAAGCTGGATAGCTCCACCTTTGGAATAGTCCCTCTGGTTTGTTCGCATGCCCAGCTCCCTGTATCTGAGTACTGAACCGATAGTCGGCGAAGAATACTTCTGTCTACCGAGACGCAGCACCTCCGCCTTCGGCATTCGGCCGTCCACCACATCTCTCAAGAACGCTTCAATACTCTCCTTGGTACGTTCTGGGAGAGAGCTCCGCGCCTGGCTTGCAACTCTAAGGATCTGGGGCTCCGTCAAATTCTTCAAGATCGAGTCGGTCGTACCAGTGGATTTTGGGGTCACGACATGCTCGATGCTCCTCAACTCTTCCTTGGTGAACGGGATGTGGACTTTTGTTCCCTTCCAATCATTCAATTCTTGCCACTCGCCCTCTTCAAACCCACCTCTCAGAGCGAATCGTTCGTGATAGGATAGATATGGCTTGTATGAGTGGGACTTTCTCGTACTAACAGGTCCTCGGACTGTTCTCGCGCTCCTGCCTCTTATCTCAGTCCCAAGGAATCCAGCAGTTTGCGCACTGGGATGCCCTTCTGTGGGAGGCTCCTGCGGCTCCGTGTTCGAGGGAGCTTCATGCTCAAACGCGTGAGTATAATAATCTTTAGAGTAGTAATTCGTCGGTCTTTGTGCGGCACGCCGTTCCCTTTGTAATGTGACTGTACCGTCTGCTGTAGCTGGTAACGGTGAATCGAATCCTGTAGAGAGTCTGGTAATTGTGATCGGTGGCAGTGGTACTGGGCGCGCTAAAATTTCGGCGTGCTTCTCAGGTTGCAATACATGAGCCCATTTCGAGTTCTGAATGATCTCAATTGCATGCGCCATGTCATAACCGTATTTCAAGTGATTGCAGTACCTGGTATTGGCAGCACCTTGACTTCTTCCCGTTAGCACATGGGCAATCTGTTTGAAGCCCCACTCTAGCCCATGCTTCAAGTAGACTATCACGCTGTCTTCTTCCGACGTCCAAGGTGGGTATCTTTGCTTCCCTTTTCCCAAACTGGAGGGATCTGACTGTGGGGAGCTGATAGCAGCGCATTGTCCCATCGAAGGACCAGCATGACTCTCAGAAGAAACAGCGATGGGAAGTGAGGAAGCAGGGTTCGTAGGAGAAGAATAAGCAGCGCTGGGGCGGTCAGACGTAGGAGCCGGATGTCGGAGCGAAGGGTTGGTGGGCGGTATGGAAGGAAGTGGGATAGGAGTGACCTGGAGCGGCCGTGGAGCAGTAGGTCTGGAGATCGTGGTGGGACGTGCGGACGGCGGATGAGAAGCATAGGGAGGCGTATATGGACTGGAAGGCTCAATGAAATTGTTAGGCCGAGGCAACGGGAGCCCGTGCGGATAGTCCTGGGGGACCATAGATGCACTTTGCGGCATGTTCCTGGTCTGCGCCGGCGTTTGGCTGGACGAGTAGTACGCTGCGCCAGACCCTGGAGTACGAACGCCATTGCCGTATACGGACGCTGATTGTGTTCCCACTGGCCTGCTGAAAGTGGTTCCTTCTTGCTCCTCCGTCAGCCTATTTTTACTTGTGTTGGTTGTACCAGCTTTTATAAACGAGCCACCTAATCCCCTCAGCTTCGCCAGCTTTTCTAAGGTGGTCTTTCTGAATGGCGCGAAACTCAAACGATTGACATTGGTCGGGCCCGGTTGTTGTTTTGTAGGGGAAGCTGGCGGGCATTTACGGAGGGAAGCTCGTTCATGCGGAGACGCCTGGGTAGACGTACCATGATTCCCGCTCGAGATGTTTTTCGTCGATGGAGTCGAGCGCGGTCGAAAGCTTTTAAGTAGCGCAGTAGTATTCTCGCGGTCGCCATCGTCTCGTATGTGGTGAGTCTTCTGGCGTTTCGCAGGAGATTCGCGAAAAGGCATGTGCGAGAGCGGGTGAGAAATGTGGTGATGGGAGTTTGAGTCTGCAGCTGGGTCCAGCTCCGGCTCCGGGCTGGATGTAAGGTCAACGATCTCGACCCTATGATTACGGAGATTACGGTTAGCGATTGCGCGGGGTCTGGCGGGAGGTGAGATCGCGTATGTACATGGTGGGAAATCGCTGGCGTCACTGTCAGTGCATGCAAAGGACAGAAGCGCATGCTGACGATGCGCTGATTCTGGGACTGTGCCGGTCTGCGCAAAGCAAACAAAGCTGGGTATGAGTCCCGAACAGTCGCGGGCGTGGGGGTGTGGATGAGCGGAGGAGGGTGCAGCAGATAATCAGCGAGTAGGTAGTCGCGAACGCGCGGAGACGCGATGAGGGTCCGCGCCACCGCGCCTGCCGCATGTGGAGCTGTCAGCCATCCACACTTTCACTGTGGCGCATGAGTCGCGCGTGCCGCAACGCTCGCCAAAAGCTGGACAGTACAATTATAAACTCGTAAAGCAGCGAAAGAACCTGCGCGCTGTCCAGGAAAGAAAATGACAGCAGAACGACCATTCCCAGAGGCACCAAACCGATCGCGCCCAAAAGTGTCCACGCCTCTCCAGATTGCACCGCCGACTGCGGTGGGGATATCGTCGGAAAAAGAAAAGGAAACTTGTACATGATTTGTTTAGAGAGTCGCTGTGGAAAAGTAGTACTGATCCCACAAGTACTCGTAGTCCTCGATGATACCGCCGGCGATGTCAATTAGCGGCTTTCCCCGAAGCTTCTTCGTCAAAGATTGGATCCAGGCCCTGATTCTAGTCAGTATCACGACGCAGCCGAGAGATTGCAGCACTCACTTCGTGACGTTCTCATAAAAAGCGCCCCTCAGAAGCCACCAACCCATGCCCCAACCCCGCTTTCGCAGCTCCTCCCGCTCCAGACCAGTAAGGCCGCGCAGCCCGCCAGCTAGCCTCTCTTGGAAGTCCTTCTTTGCGAGCTGCCGGGCACCGTACTCAATACTCACACCCAACAGCCACGGCCTCCAGCTGTTTCCTTTCTTGGAACACCAGTGCTGCATCGCCAAGGCGTAGATGACCGGTCGGAAGATGTACAATACTTCGGCAAGCTCGCCAACCCCGGTGACCCTGTGCAAAAGAGCCTTCGGCGGTTTGATATCATCGGCAGTGAGAACCTTGGACAGCAGGTACGACGAAATATCGTGCGAGTCGGGTAATGATGGAAGCGACAGGCCCGTCCGCGGCATGGTCCAGCTCGCGTCATCGCTTCTTTCAGTCTTGGGGGTTTCGGTGCCATCGAAGGACGAGCCATCCTGGTTCTCCTCCAAGGTGCTCGGATCGAACTCACGCTGCGGGAGCGGCGGGCTGAGCAATGGGCGCGAGTTGGTCAGGCGCAGCAGCAACAACCTACAGAAGGCCTTTACAGCCTCGAGCAGCACGATCACCCTCCATCGCGCCTTTTCGCCTTTTCTCTTCGCTGCCATTTCCCATAGCAGCTCCGTGTACTGGATCATCTGCAGGGTCAAGGCGATGCGCTTGTAGGTAGGCGACTTGTCGGTCCAGAAACGCGTGTAGCGGCTGTGGGGCGTCGGGCGCGGGCGCTGCTGCGGGGGCAGGCGCGCAACAGCTTTTGCGAGGAGGGAGTCATGATAGAGCGACAGCAGCTGGACGCCACTGTAGACTGCGTTGCTACATTTCAGCACGGCCGCATGCGACCACGATAGGAGGTGGACTGACTTGATTCTGATGCGATTTCAGACTCGCGGAAGCGACCTACGGAGCTCGGTCAGCGTTGGCTGCACACCAGTGCGCATACGCGACTGCGCATACCAGGAATGATGTAGGTCAGAGACCGCAGGGCCGACTCGATCTGCGAGACGGCGCTGGCGTTCTTGGTGATAAAGTCGCTGTATTGGGCCAGCCATTTTGGAGGAAGCGACAGCGCTTCAGACACCTTACTAGATGCCTGCTTGCAGGAATCCATCACATGGAAAGGCGGAGAAGCAATGCGAGGAGGGAATGAATCAAAGAATCGAAGTGGAAGCACGAGGGAGTGCTGTGAGAGTGCCGCAAGCTACCGAGACTCGGTGATCATGACGCCTTGCCCGTGCCGAGGTCCCTGACATCGTCTAGCGCCGCCTCGTGACAGCGCGCCGGCGCGCGCCATATCGCGTCTTCCCGTATTTCTGACCCGCTCCACACGACTTAACCCGCCCCTGCAGTTCCAGGTAATTTAAAAGTCCAATCCCGTCACCTTTGCCACGATTCAGTTGTGGAAACTTCACCATTTCAGTATCAAAACAATACCAGAAAGACACCGACCTTCCCTTTTGGGGGCTGACAGTGCAACATGAAGTCCAGAAGCATACACCGTTATCAGGCAGCAGTAGGGCAAGCCTCAAAACAAAAGCTATAAGGCGCGTCGAAAGCGTTTGGACGAGTTGTCTCCCTTCCTTCTCAACCACCACCGCTCCAGACTTCAAACAATGGCCAGTCAGACCGAGACCATTGTCTCGTTGAAAGCACCGCTTCATGAGAGCAAGGCTCTGGTTGAGTCAGTCGAGACATACGTGGAGAAGTATATGTCTCGTTACGATGCCAGCCATGACTTCGACCACGTCCGCCGTGTGCTGGGGCTTGCAAAATACATTCTTGCCGAAACGCAGAAGAGCGGCCAGAATGTTTTAGACGAGACAGCAATTTACCTTGCTGCGTAAGTCAACATCCCCAGATTTCCAGGCCTCGTAGACTAACGCGCGTTTACCACCAGGCTTGTCCACGATGTCGGTGACCACAAATACCTACAGCCTGGCGAAGATGCCGAGACGCAGATCATGAGCGTCTTGTTGGAGCGCGGAGCGTCACCTGGTCTGGCGTCCAAGGTGCACACAATCGCAAAGAACGTGTCCTACACGAACGAGCTTAAGGACCCTGGAAAAGTTCGGCAGGTCTTACTGGAGCACCCTGAACTCGCCATTGTCCAGGATGCCGACAGGCTTGACGCCATTGGTGCGATTGGTGTCGGGAGATGCTTTACCTTCGGAGCTGCGAAAGCAGGCCGAGGCATGCAAGGAGCGGTAGATCATTTCGAGGTCAAATTGGAGAGGTTGGAGGCTATGATGAAGGTAAGTGGCCATGCTGATATGCAAACTGCAAGCTAACAGCAGTAGACTGAAACGGGAAGACGGCTTGCAAAAGAAAGAACCGAGAGACTGAAGATGTTCAGATCGTGGTGGGATGAGGAGCGAAGTTTCGCGGAGGTGTGATGCTTTCTGTATCTAACGAGCTTTCGGGTATCGTTTTTTGTACTCGCTCGACAATAGACGTCATTCGTATAGTTCCGTGTGAATACGCTGCAGCTTTCGGGGCTGTAGAGAGAAGAAATCCCGGAGCACCTTTGCGCGTAAGCCGAGGCTGGTGTTTGAAGCCCGGAGTATTTTGGGAATGGAAAGCTCCGAGTCGAGGGACCATGGGCGTTAGGCAAGGTAGTGCGACAACGGCGCGCATGCACTGGTCGGTTGGTGTGGTGTGTTGCAGAGCGCATGCTCCGATCTGATTCGACACGGCGAAAGCGTCGGACGGACGAGCTCCATGGAATCTAGGGGCCGTGTTATCTGCTGGCAGCAATAGTCAGCGGTCAACCCAGCCGCTGTGCGCCAAGCCTTGCATCAGCAGCGACCACGAACCCCGGCTCCGCCCATCAGCCCTCCGCCTCCCTCTCGCTCTCCACTCAGTCCTACGCCCGCCTCCACCTCCGCGCCCGCTCCCTTCTCCAACCTACGCCGCTTCTTGCAGCGCTAAGTCGCCGCTCAGTCGCCCTCGTACGCCGAACAGCCAACTAAGCTACGCCTCCCCCGCCGCGTCTTCTCCCATGAGCCTGTCGCGCGCTATCTAATCACAATGTTCTGTCTGCGGAGCTGGATACCTATACTCTTCTTCCTGTAAGCCGCCTCCTCTCGGCCTCTGTCGGCATCGCCTGACTCGTCTGCGCATAGCACAAACGCCTCGCCTGTCTATCTCGTCCTCTTCATCTCTGCCACCTATTTCCTGAACCGGCCCTGCGTCTACTGCAGCCTGCTCCTCGCCATTTTGGTCATCGCCCTCTTCGATTTCAACACCAGCTGGTTCGAGCCGAACGGCCGCTATCATTCCGATGCCGACGCCGCATCTGCGCACGAGCCTTATGTGCCGCCGTCCAATGCCTCCATGGCCTTAGACGTGGCCATGGAGACGGTGAGCCTGCTGGCAGGAACGGTGAACAACACGGCGGGCGCGCTGGTCTCGGCGGCCATGGACGGCATCAAGCGCAAGCGCGGCACACCGGACGCGGCAGCTAGCGTTGCTGGCGCCTCGGCCGACTGGGGGAAGGGTCTCTTCGCGAGGAAGGAGTGGAAGGTGCCGTGCATGGACGTCATTGTTCGGCTTTGAGTCTTCTCGTTTTTAGCCTCGGCTCTCTTTTTGGCAGAGAATGAGGTTTGGATTTCCGCGTCGTCCCTTTCTCCGCTCCATCTGTCGATATTGGCATCTCTCGCAATGGCGCTGTCAGGGTAGGTTTCACCGGGCAACTACGCACACAGGGATTTACGAGGTTTGTGTTTTCTCGGGTTGCATAGCGTTGGCGTTCCTGGTAGTGTTATTGCCCCCCTCTTTTCTTGGAGGATTTTTTCTGTTCTCTGGACACATTGTACAGCATCCGCTGCATGGAGTCGCCGCTGATTTCAGCCAACTGACAAGTACACCCACAAATGAGATACTTTTTGATCGTCACATCGTCAGTCCGCGAGAATTTGCTTTGTCTGATTTATGTGTCGGTAGAGATCTACCGCCAGGATCTAACGATAGCCACAACTGTATGAGCATGCCTTACTGTATGAAATTGTATGCAGCTGACTACTTCCTAACAAGCTTACCTGCTATTATTTCTCCTAGCACTATCTACCGTGTTGAGGCATGGTTATCCCCCGGTTTCAAGGTCCTGCTGTACCGTGGGTTAGACTCGAGTAAATGTGGAAGCCGGAACTGCCTATATAATTACCACAGTCGCCACTACTCACACCTCTCCCAGAATGCTGCCGACATTATTGTGTTCGCCCGGTCCCACGCTTCTTGAGAACTGTGAGCAGCTTATGCCTCACCTCCGATGCCACTGCGACTGACTCCAGGATATCTAGTAACTATCATGGAAGAGAATGCACGCCTCCGTCGCGCATTGCTTCTGAAATTAGCCATCTTTTCAGTTGTCTCCGTCACGTCCATGATTCCAATTTTGTTTCCTGATCGTAACGGCGGGTTTCTCCTCGATCCCACATATAGGCAGCTTGTTGCATCGCTTATTTGGGATTACACGACTATGCAAGCATGCTCAGAGATCCGGCTCTATCTCCAGGCTCGCGATCAAGATAGATGGAACAAAGTCGTTTGGATTTTTCAGATACTTGTTTCGGCGGTAGGCAAATCGGCGATGGCTCATAAAAGTCTTTGGACTCGTGTATTGTCTCCTCTAGATCAGGAAGAGAGATGATACTGACAAGTAAGCATGCCTTGTGGCCTTAAGGCAACAAGACATCGTTTATCTACCGTTCATGTCCCGCTTGGCATACTGGCAAATATTCACGAAAGAGGCACAAAACACATTTGTCACACTCTGAACGCCGTCTATTCGAGGCAATGTGGCATCTATAGTCTATTTCAACGAGGACCCCAACGCCGTGCAAATGCTTGCGTATGCGCGCAAGAGAAAGACAAGGTGTGCAGACATCCAACGATCAGAAGGAAAAAGAACAAATTCAGACCCCGTTGGGCCCCGCTGAATAGTGAACATGGATTACTCTCTGACAATTGCTCATCCGCTCTTCTTATTTTAGGCGCAAGTACCAATGTATGAAAGGCCAAAATGGAGAAAGGTCAGAGCAGATCTTAGGATTCGATACCTTTGAGCTTCCGGTAGATCTTCTTGTGCTGTTCCAGGAAAAGGAAGGTAGCAATGGTGTGTGGGCCCAGGCGGATGAAGCTGGGAACCCAGCCACGGAACATCCAGCCGAAACCCTCAATGCGGTTGATATCAACGAGCAGCTTCGCCAAGCTCTTACTCTCACCATGAGCACTCATGACACGAGTCTTGATCACATCCACCGGAGAGCAAACAGTTGTGGCGACGAAACCGGCAGCAAAGCTGGCGGCGAAATGGGTTCCCAGGCCGTCCTTGAGCGGCGTGTATTCCAGGATCATGCGCTTGAAGCCATCGTACGAGGCCAGTTGCGAAGCCGTCATGAGAACAGCACGCATGCTGTTCGGCCAAACTCCGCGGAACAAGCTCTTCGCGCCCTCCTCGCGCGTCATCCGGATCAGCCCGTCGATGGCATTTTTATAGTTGCGGCGGTTGGCAGGCGGCAGAGCAGCATCGTGCTGCATGCGAACGTTCAGCACATCGGCTGGGTTTCCGACAATACCGCCCAGAAAACCGGAGGCGGAGGACAGGGCGATCAGCGTGGGCATGGAGGGGGTCGAGGTAGGGGTGGTCATGGAGGTCTTGAGCTGCTCATAAATGCCGAAGCGGGTTGTGCTGTAGGTAATCTGGCGCAGGAGGGAGGCAGACAACTATACTGCAAGTCAGTTAAGTGGGCTATGAGGGCGGGCAGAGAGCTGGTTAAGTGGTCTGAGGAATTGAGGTCGCTTGAGTTGGAGAAGTAGAAGTCGGCCCGCGCAAGGCAATGGCACGGCTGTGACTGTCAGACTGCAAGACCAGCTAGACGCACTCTGTCTTCCTGCTCACTGGGAGTGGTAACGTACCCCACGATACAGTCCAGTCACACCGTCGGTCTTAGCGACGTGGACGAACATCTGCAGCATGTTTTTCCGGGCGCCATCGTGAGGCTGCGTCTGGAGGCGGACCTACAAGCAGCGTGTGAGCGAGGCTTGGTGATTGCGCGGCGCATGGCATACCTTGACTGTGGTGTCGCAAAGTTAGCCAGAGTTGCAGGCGGCTCCGGTATCGCAGTACTCACTAAGGTCGAGCGGATGTGTCACACCGGCAGCAAAAGAGCTCGCAGAGCCTCCAAACCAGAAGGGATAGCGCACCGGCGCCTTCTGGATGTCCTTGCTCTTAGCCGTCTCCAGGGCTTTGGCGGCGGCAGCCGAATTGGCGGTGGTGGTGGTGGTCGCCATGCTGGGTGGTAGATAGGTCCAATCTACAGCACGCGCAGCCCTACCCTCGGCCGGAATGCAAGGGTATTAATACGCGGAGGAGGGAGAAAGAAAACGCGGAGAAAGCAAAAGGGTCCAGGCGGAAGTGAGCGCGAGGGCAATGGGGGTCCACTTGGCCGTGATTAGGTGCTCTGGGCCGAGCCAATCGTCAGCCAAGGCTTTTTTTCGCCGGCTTTTGTTTTGGCCGCCGCCCCATCCATTGCGCCCCAAGCGCAACCGCGGTCGATCTTCAACATCCGCCGCGGCTGACTCCGGTCTCCAGAACTTCGCCCAAGATGAGGCTACCCGTGGCTTTGCATCACTTGGCCGTGCCAATTGCTTCCGCTCGGCCCGGTTTGCTGGCACGCCGAGCCCGCCTTGGCTTCTCCGCCTACCGATGGTCGTCATCTGCCGCAGGTATGTCTGAGTGGTTGCTTTCAGCTCTTTCCTTAGTCTATCTCCTCATCACTAGCCTGCATGTGCTTCGAAGGCTGTGGACGGAGAAAATATTTTTGCCCGAAATGCAGTCAATTCCCTTCGTCCGCATGCCTTGAACTCTAGTCAAACATCTAACCTTGCACCAGGGCAGGCCTCAAAAGCCATAACGGTAGAAGGCCGAACATATCAGACAGACGAGTGGATGAACACTCCGTCAAGCATCCTTGAAGCTGTTTCTCGCCGGTTACATCTCCAACCAGATCATCCCATTTCCATCACTCGCCAGCTTATCGAGTCGCGCTTCCCTGGCTACCAGTACCACAATGACCTCTTCCCCGTTGTGAGCGTACACCAGAACTTTGACTCCCTTGGCTTTCCCGCCGACCACCCTGGCCGCAACCGCAGTGATACCTATTACATCAACAAAGAAACCGTCCTGCGCACCCACACGTCGGCACACCAAGCCGACACCTTCCGCGCTAACACCTCTCCTGGTTATCTCATCTCTGCCGACGTGTACCGCCGCGATGCTGTTGATCGGAGCCATTACCCCGTGTTCCACCAGATGGAGGGTGCCATGACCTGGGACAAGAACCAACTCGACGGGTACGCTTCTCTCGCTGACCGCATCTGGGCAGACGTTGAGAAGCTCCCCAAGCACGACATCAAGGTCGAAGATCCCAACCCTACTACTCACCCAGAGCGTAACCCTCTCCAACCCGGACATGACGCCGCTGCCGTCGACGCCGTCGCCACGCATCTGAAGCGTAGCCTCGAGAATGTCGTCGTTGAAATCTTCGCTCAGGCCCGTAAAGCTGCCGCTGCGGCAGCCTCGTCCCCCACCGTCGCTGCTGAACTCTCTGCTGAAGCCGAAGAGCCCCTCCGCGTGCGTTGGGTGGAAGCATACTTCCCTTTCACCTCTCCGTCCTGGGAGCTCGAGGTCTTCTGGCAAGGTGATTGGCTTGAGGTCCTCGGATGCGGCGTGGTTCAGCAAGCCATCCTCAACAACGCTGGCGTGCCGGATCGCATCGGCTGGGCTTTTGGTATTGGCATCGAGCGTATCGCCATGCTGCTCTACTCTATTCCAGACATTCGTCTATTCTGGAGCAAGGACCCTCGCTTCCTCAACCAGTTCAAGCGCCCCTCTGAAGGTGCGATCGACAGCGCGACTGGCCTGAGGGACTGGGGCATCAGCCGTTTCCAGCCCTTCTCGAAGTACCCGGCCACGCCTAGAGACGTGGCGTTTTGGCTGCCTGGCAAGGTGACGCCGAAGAAAGAATCGGCGCCCAGCTCTGCGGGAGGCCTTACCACGCCGCAGCAGGATGAAGCGCCAGCGATGCACGAGAACGATGTGATGGAGGTCGTGCGCGAGATTGCGGGCGATGTGGTCGAGGACGTGAGGCTAATCGACGAGTTCGTACACCCAAAGAAGATGCGCAAGAGCTGGTGCTACCGCATCGTCTACAGGAGCTTGGAACGCACGCTTACGGGCGAGGAGGCGAACCAGTTGCATGAGCAGGTGAGACGTCGGCTGGTAGAGAAGTTCGATGTGGAGCTGAGGTAAATGTTAAAACCTGTATGATTAGCGCTGTATATGTATTGTGTATGTGGGAACCAAAAGCTCTTCTGACCTAACTGCTGCATGCAATACAATTCAGCAACCCGATACCTCTAATTCTATTTCCCCCTTATTAGTCCTATCTCTTTGCTTTCTTCCCTCCCCTGTTTATCATTCCTCAACCCGCTACTCCAGGCCAGACTCAACGTTGACATTGCACCTCCGCGGAAATGTAAGCACTTCGAATATCAACCCTCGTATACCCTGACCATCTACCCAAGAAGCAAAATGACTCGCCAGGCTTAGCTTCCACCCTCACCGCCGGCGCAAGGTCCTCCACGAACACCCGGCCAAAGCTCCCATCGCCGAGGACTGGGCTATGAATCGTTGCCCGCGACCCGCCAACCGGAGCAACTCCTTCCGGCGAGCCAACAAAGCTTGTTTCCCCGCTTTTTCTGCAATAATAAAAAAAGAAATTATTTTTTTTACCGGATCGCTGTGGAAGATCAGCGTCAGCTGCAAGCAAGCCCCAGAAGAGGAAAGAGATGTGGATGACACCGCCTGATTGGTTGACGCATGCGAGATGATCACAGATGAGCGGCGTAAGCACTTAAATCCCACTTTGTCCCGCTCCGCAATTTATAGCCGACGTGGATCATCAGTGGTAGGGCATTGTAGCCGGAGGCTAGCGTGAATTTGTCTTTCTATATATTCAGAAGCATTTCTAAGCATGTGTTGGGCACTTGAAGCAATTGGCTGGACAGAGTTGTTGAGTTAAATATCGCCGCCACACGAAGCGGTGAAAATACTAATGCACGTAAGGATTACTCCAGCAGTGCTTTCTGATGTTCGACATAGGGCCATCGTCACCCTGTATTCTAATGACTTGCTGTTCTTCGCGCTTGCCTTCGAACTTAACACTTATCTATACATACATGTACACACACATTTTAGGGTGCTTATTTTGTACTCATATTGACAGCCACTGCGGGGGCAACACATCGAAGATCTGACACATAAGCATAAGCACGAGCAAGAGTCTGAACCATTGATTTCATTCAATTCGTCACTATATGATCATGCATATGGAAAATCTTAGGCCATGTCAGCTCGACCCGCCGTCAGATGCAGAAGCAACTTCCTGATTCTCATGTGATCTTCGTCCAGTTTAATATTCTTTTTTTTACTTCCTTTTTATTTCCTGCTCCGGCTAATTTAGACCTTCTTCTTCAAGAACAGGGTCTGGACGTTGCAGTAGGCCTTCATGCCACCAAGACCCCACTCGTAGCCAACACCGCTCTCCTTGTGGCCGCCGAAGGGAGCGTTGGGGTCGAGCTCGAGGTGAGTGTTGATCCAGACGCTGCCGGCGTCGAGCTGGCGGGCGATGCGCTCGGCCTGGGCGAGGTCGTTGCTCCACACGGAGGCGCCGAGACCCATCTTGGTGTCGTTGGCGCGGTGGACGACCTCGCTCTCGTCGCTCCACTTGAGCAGCGGCACGATGGGGCCGAAGGGCTCCTCGGTCACGATCTTGCTCGTCTCGGCCGGGTTGTCGATGATGGTCGGGGTGATGTAGTAGCCGCCCGTCTTGTCGTTGACGCCGCCGACGGCCACCTTCATCTTGTGCTCGTGCACGTCCTGGAAGAAGCCCTTGACGCGCTCGTACTGCATGGCGTTCTGCACGGGGCCGAGGAAGGTGTTGGGCTCGGTGCCGTTGCCGAGCACGAGCGTCTTGGTGTGCTCGACGCACGCCTTGAGGAACTCGTCGTAGATCTTCTCGTGAACGTAGATACGCTTGATGGCCAGGCAGATCTGACCCGAGTTGAGGAAGGCCAGGGTGGCAACCTTGGGGGCCGTCGCCGCGATGTCGACGTCCGAGCACACGATGGCCGGGTCCTTGCCACCCAGCTCAAGCGTCACGCGCTTCAGCGTCTTGGACGCCGACTCCATGACCTTCTTACCCGTCGCCGTCGAGCCGGTGAAGGAGATCTTGGCCGGGCCCGGGTGGGCCGTCAGCCACGGGCCAAGGTTGTCATCGCCCGAGAGGGCCTGGATGACGCCAGGCGGGAAGAAGCGAGTGGCCAGCTCAACCATCTTGAGGTCGCAGTAGGGGGTGAAGGGCGAAGGCTTGACGATGATGGGGTTGCCCGTCATCAGCGAGGGGCCGATCTTGCCGCAGGCCAGGACAATGGGGAAGTTCCACGGCACAATGCCGACAACAACACCCAGGGGAGTGTAGCGGACGATTGTCCTCTTCTCGTCATCCTCGCTCACGCTGTCCTCCTTGAGCTCCATGTCGGCGAAGGTGTGCAGGAACAGGCCGGCGGTCTCGACCTCGTTCAGGGCCATGGGGATCTGGACACTTCCAGTCAGCACGTGGGATTCGCGGCATGGGCACCTCTGATACGTACAGGCTTGCCCTGCTCCTTGGTGAGCAGCTGGGCGAACTCGTCCTTGTAGGAAAGGAAGGCGTCAGCGAAGGCGTGGAGAGCCTTGCTGCGCTCGGCCCAAGTCGTGTTCTTCCACGACTTGAAGGCCTCCTGGGCAGCCTCTACTGCGGCGTCGACATCCTTGGGAGTGGCGACAGGCACATCGAACAGGGGCTCGAGAGTTGCGGGGTTGATGCCCTGGCGCACCTTATCGGTGGTGGTGAGCTTGCCATTGATGACGTTCTGAAAGGTGGTGAAATCGAGCTTGGGAGCAGCCATGGTTGCGGGAAGATTTGAGAATGAACAAACGGAGGGGTATCTCTGAGAAGGAAGATGGATGGGACGGCACAAAGTAGTACGCAAAAAAGGGTCCTCTTATAATCCTTCAGGAAGCTGTCGTCCGCTGCTATCCGCGCTAGGACCTCGGCCCAGAACAGTAGCCGGTGGGGCAACTTGCCCCCAAACCCACAAGTGAAATCGGTGGTTTGCCGTAGTTCTCACGGCTGTTGCAGCGGCGCGGGGCCCTGATTTCGAAGGGGGCCCTGCGGGGTACGGAGATCTGATACCCCAAGATGTGCCAAGATGGCGCGTGGCCAATCAAGGCGTGCGAAGAGTCATGGTCTGGGGCGTGCGCTGCGTCCCAGCGCGTGCCGCCTGGCCCAAAAGCGTAAAGACTGCGGCGGTGCGTATGCACGCTGTCGCGCAGGACATTGGCAGTCGTCAACGCTTACACAGCTGGAACCAACGCCGCGGTGTAAAGTAATCGCAGCGGTGTAAAGTAATCACTGCTGCAATTCCGCATGCGGAATGTGCTGCTCTGATAGATCGTCGAGCTTGTTGCGTGCAGTCAGCAGCAGATAGTCGAGCCAGATCGCGCCCGCGGGCAGATTACCCGTCTCGCCTGCTGCGCCTAAGCAGCCACAGCGCTGCCCGTTAAGTCCGCCTTCTTCCGGAGAGCAACTGCTGCAACGGGCAATCTTCAGTCCTGTAACCACAATGCCTGTCGCATCGTACCTTGCGTGCGCTTGCAAGGTCCTCCCCGTGGGGCTTCGACGACGCTGTGCTTCCGCTTGCCCTCGCTCGGTGCCGCAACTCCAGCAGAAAGGCAGCACGTCGTCAGTTGACATCAGAAATCGTATGATGGGCCCTGCGGTGTCCAAATGCAGCCGGCCGTTGTTGCGGCTCCGCGACCTCTTCCTTTGGCGCGAAGCCTAGCCGAGTCAGCCCTCCCTGCGAGGCGAGCCGCTGACGTGCCAGACTGGGACATAAGCTCCACCGCATGACCCGCAACGGCCATCAGAAAACGGCGACAGGCAGCCCCAGCTCCACGACTCCGGGACTTGACCTCAACATGAAGAACTCCGTACGCCCGCGTCGCAGACGGACGGAGGAGTCTGTTTTTTGCGCCGCTCTCTGCGGAACATGCTCTCTTTTGGTTGCGACACATATGCTTTGGCACGACGTTGTATACAAGCTGTCTTGTTGATCCACCTGGGGCCACGCCCATGCTCACTCGCATGGGGATTCTGGTGAGCCCCTCAACACCATGCACGCCATCATACACGCCTCTAAGCGCGGTGGCAAACAAGCCCACCCACACCCCTGGCCGACCCAGTCTTTGACAACGGTGCGGCTCCGGAAAAGCAAGCACCTCGCCTTTCGGCCGTGCCGACATAACGTGGACGATGAGAATCTGCACTGACCCCGGATCTCCACCTCTTATCGTTTTGTCATAAGGCCCAGCCTCGAATCTTTCAGTCCACTCGATAAACATTGGTATCCCTCCATCTCTTTGTCTTCATGACGTCTCTTCCTTTGCCTTAGAGCAGCATCCCATTCGCTCTATTTCCTCCTCTTCCCTTTTGACATGCCGTGATGCTACAAGACATCATCTTGCCAAATTAAACAGCCCCTGCATTTCGCTGATCTGTCTTTCTCTGGGTCCTCAGTCCTCTCACACTCCTATGTTTTCCGGCAAGTAGTCCATCGGACTTGCAGCGGCATCCAAGAATTCCCTCCATAGCACAACCTTTGTGCCCGTCTCGTCAAAGGTCAGCGTCCAAATCATGTCGCACGCGTACTTGCCACCGACCGTGTCTGCCCTGGCCGTTAACCAGAGGCACACCTTCCTGCCGGGCACGTCGTCCACGACCTCGAGCACGTCGAGCGCGTAGTGCCTGAAGACGGCACGGTACATGTTTAGCGTGCGCTGGAAGCCGTCGGCATCCTGCGGCGTCTGGTTCAGGCTAGCGGGCAAGACCTCGCGCGTGAAGTTAGGCGCGCGGAACGACGCAATGGTCTGCGTCTCTATGTTGTTGCGGTTGAAGGCTGCCACAATCTCAAGCGCCGCGGCGCGCTGCTTGCTCATTGGCCCGTCGTGACGGTGGTGCGAGGAGCTGCTGCTGCTGCCGCTGCCGCTGCTGCTGCTGGTGCCGTCGTATTTCAGGGACCACGGGCTGCGCGACTTGGACGAGTATCCTCCGCCGGACGGCAGTGACATGATCGCCGCTTCGTATGTGCTACGTTCGTTTACTCCTTTTGCCGTGTTGTTCGAGGCCGAGTTTTCGACGACGCCTGGTCAGTCGATACGGAGCTAGGCGCGGTGGCTGCGGTAGTGTTTCGAGTCGCTTCCTGGGAAAAGCCACACCAATGTGCTTGACGTGTGGTATGCAACGGGACGGCGGCTGCGATTCCGAGTGGACTGGGTTCTTGAACCTGTTCCTGCTCGTCGTAGGAATTCTTACGCTGCAGGGGACACTCTGCAGGCAGATTGGATGTTTCAGAAACGTGAGTGATTGCTTATTCCGGCTGTGCTACATGCGCAGCGACGAATTGCCCGATCCGGTGGCTACACAACTAGTGCGTGCAGCGTGAGAAAAAGCAAAAGAGGCGTGGTGTTTGTGCTTGATTGGCAAGGATTCAGTCAAAAAGACGACAGGTCGTTGAGGTAATGGCGTGAGAAAGGGAGAAGAGCGCTCAAATCGACAGGCAAAAGAAAAGAGATGAGCAGGCAGGGATCCGACGACAGTAGTATTGCAGCGGACCGGACGAGATGAATATATGGCCGGAGTGCAGCCCAGCGCTTGGAGACGGACCGGTCACCGGCTGTTCTGTTGGCGTAGTAGTGTCCGTGTGCGCTTGTGCGCGCCTGCCGCTCATCATCAGTCAGACAGAAGGGTCACCGCCAGCGTCATTGCTGTCCAGCCAGGAAATTTCTGTGAGGCCGACGGGAAACGCGCCATCCGAGCCGTGTGCACCAGGAGGGACGCGCCGGCCAAAAACCAACGGAGCGCGGGTCCGACCTTCATGCGCTAGGCCAGTCCAACCTCCACTCACGCTGCTCGCAAACATTGTTCGCCCAGCATTGGCTGCTGAGGCTCGGTCGTCTCAAAGCCCGACGCGTCCCTGACGCAAAAAGGAGGGCGGGGCGAGCCGGCGCAGCCAGGAAAGCGCGGTGCGATTCGAAGCTTCTGGTGGCCTTCTGGCCCACATCCCCAGCCCAACGGTGAAACGTGCCCACCGTTCTACCGGCCGCCTTGCCAGCCTTTCACCGCCGTCGCCAACCGGGCCGGCCTGCTCTGATATCCGACCATCGAATTCCGACCCATCTCCGCGTATCGCACAACATAGTCGCAGACGCCGGCCTGGTCACACAGGGCGTCAGCGATCCGCTGCCCGCCGGGAGATCGATGCGGCAATGCAATAACAGCCACGTAGTCGGCGGGCGAGATAGGGTGGGGAATTGTCTTTTGCTCGAGCCCTGACGATCCCCGGCGTTAGTGAGCAATGCTAGTCTCGGTGTAGAAATATCTCCTCGCGCTTCGACGAGCGCAGGACGTTAGCTGGCTGCATCGTAGGACCCTTTTCTTTTCTGCTTTGTCGTTATCGCTCGTTGCTTGGGCGAAGGCAACATCAATCCGGGGTCCCCATCCATAAGGCCAGCATCCAAAGAAAGCCGAAAGTATCCGGCGGCGAATATCTCGGTAGGTTGGGCGTTTGGACCGCGTGGTCGACGGGGATGTGCGATAATGTGGTATGATAGTGACTAAACCTTGTGCCCATGTCGAACCTGGTCAGAAAAATGTGCACGAGGTTCGTCGCTGCTGGAAGGGGAAAGTTAATCGCTGCGTCGACCAATCGGCGTCAACTAATCGGCGTCAACTCCCTTCGTGCCTTCCCTCCAACTGCCTGTCACTTCGTTTGGCGCGCATGTCGATAAGTATAATTGGGCAGGCTAGCCGCGGTCGAAAGTGTATCTGGAACGAGGCACGTCGGCAAGCAGCTGACAAGTCGATGAGGAGTGCTGAACAAGAGGCCAATAGAAAAATTGATAAGTCGTCAGGTGAGGAGAACAGTCTTGCTGAGCGCTGCTTACCTGATTTTCTGTTTCTGGCGAGAGCTCCCCGCAACCATCGCTGCCCACAATCCTCCTCGGGTAACAAGGCTAACCGGCACTTCGGTTGCGGAAAGAAGTCAGATGCATCGTACGACCGCAGTCATGCGCGTCATTCTCGCTGCATTGCCCCCGGGGCGATTTCGTCCCATATTGCTCGTGCTCACGGGATATGGGCCCGTACGCCCGGATGGAGGATTCGGGATTGTGGAGAGCTCCACAATGCATCTCCCGCGCCATATTCCTTTTGCTGCTGCACCCAGCAGCTGGAAGGCACCAACTTGAAAAAGTCTGCACCAGGATCGTCGGAGATTTTCAACTGCCTGCGGGAGCACGATCCACTTTCTTCCTCCGGCCCGTTGTTTGCTAAATCCATATCACTCCACCATAGTCCTTCTCTCCCAAGTGTCACTCCACCCAACCGTCAATAGTCAGACCCTCTCGAATCTCACTAATATGCACCTGACGCCATTTCCCCGGTCCCCACGTGGCTGTCGGAACCTGCCGCCTTCCGTTGTCTATATCGAACTATTGTGCCGATGATACCCATTGTCCATCCCCGTTAGAGCATCTCAAGGACTGCATACGATCCACTCCCTCTCCGGGGTCGGCCATCGGTACCTGCGTCTTCTCCAGCCGACCATCTCCACTCCGCTCTGACCGTGATCTCTTGTCCAAATTCTCGTACCTGCATCGTCATTCTACCTACCCGTTCCCACTTGCCGCCACGCCATCAATTTACCAAAAAGACATGAGCCCACTTTATCAGACCCTTTTTCCGCCACATTTTCGTTTCCCGTCAGCCGCCAACGTCATCGCCCCCTTTCCTTCTCTACCACGCATCCACGCTCGCATTGCCGCTTTCGTATCCGCTCGGCACCATGGGCGCGTGTGTGTAATACTCCTGCAAGACGCGCTCCGCGTACTGCAAATCGTCAACGCACATGCCGCCACCCGTGGGTCCAATGTGCGGGCAGTGCACCTCCGGCCGCAGGTGAACCATGTTCTCGTGCACCATGCGGCACAGCAGCGTGTCGCCGCCGAGCTCGTACGCCTTGCCGAAGCGCTTCGCCCGCGCCAGCGTCTCGTAGCACTCGCCAAAGTCGGCGTACTGTCGGGTTTCGGGCGTCGTGCAGTGGCGCTGCGCGATGGTGCAGATCGCCGTCGCCAGCCCGTCCGTCAGGGATGCCACGGCCGCCGTGTAATTATTGCTGCCGCTCTTGCTGGCCACCGCCTCGATCGTGGCGTCCAGTAGGTTCGCGAACCACCGGTACGTGGCGTCGTACTGCCAGATCTGGCCCTGCTCGTTCCAGGTGATCCAACTGTCAATCTCCACCGGGAAGGTGCCCATGATGGCGCTCTTGAAGAAAACGATCGTCGCCGCCGCCGAGATATCCTGAGTGCCCGCGAAGTGGATGATCTCATACGACACGGGAACACCGAGCAGCGTCAAGCTGGTGCTGTTCGCGAGGTTGGCGAAGAGTCCGAAGAGATATTCGGTGTTGAGCTCCTGCCCATCGAAAGTACGCGTGGCGTCAACCCGGCCGAGGATGTCTGGCGCGAGGAGTGAGGAGTTGATTGACGCAGCCTGCGCCGTATTGTTGTAGACAAAGTTGTCCCAGAAGCGGACCTGGAGACTGTAGAGTTCGTCCAAAGTGAAGTTGGCTCTTGTATTGGGACTACTGTGACCTGTGTAGGGTCGGAACACAGGATGACTCTGCTCCATGGGGTTCGCACAAGCCGCCAGCAGTACCGAGCAAACGACAAGGATCGGGGACCACATTCTCGACTTCACCTTGGTGGTAGTGTTTATCTGCTTCTATCGTTCTTCTGTGGCGATGAACCAGAAACTTGAAGTGATGGTAGATTCCGGTTCTGCTGGAGCCGCGGTGCCGTGAGACTTTGTCTTGAAGAAGGTAGGAAGAGGATGCGTGTCGAAGGCTGCACCAAGAATTCGAGCTTTTCAACGCCAGCAGACTGGTGTTGAGGTTGATGCAGGTCATGCGCTACGATCCCTGTTGAACATGCGCCTCAGAAGATGCGAAATGATCATGCGGCACCTCTAGCTCCTTCCATGAAGTTGTGACTTTAGTATGAGGTCTGTATTTCTTAAAGAGACCGCCCGTTTGCAGAGATGACTATTTTGGAAGTGAAATGGGACTTTAGGGCAACATGCAGCTAACCGCTTAAGTTGATCCCGAGGTCGTACAACAACGAGCCCATCGCTAAAGCCCACATAGCGCTGGACTGACATCATTTGTGTCTGCAACCGTGGTACACCGAAATTCTGCGATCTCTGTCAAAGGTACACAGGTAGAGAAGCGGAAGAAGTGGGTAGAACCAAGGCACGAATGAAACTAGAAATGAGTGCCAAGCATACACTATTCTGAAGAAATTTCCCCGGGGATGGCTGCGTTCGACGTAAGCGAGGGTATGTGCACCAAGAAACGGGGGGAGGCACAGATGGACGAAATGAGCAACCTCTCATCTTGTTCAACCTGATGTATTGTTGTGGGTCACGGTGGCACGAAACCAAATCAGAGCACTTGGACAGCCTACCTATACCTGTCGTGTCCTTGGGCCCCACATATGAGCTTTGGGCTACCAAAAATAGACGGTCCCTGGTCTGCACTCGTGTGCGTGCATGAAGAGAGGGATGCTGTCAACCGAAGAGAGAGCGGACGCGAAGTGCCTGGCCATGGAACCGCGTGGATGCGCCCATGTGGGTGCGGGGCATGTACGACGTCGAACAGAGGTCCTGTAACTCGGTACTCGTAATGACTTATTCAAAGGAACCAAGGGAGGAGACCCAGGGACTCGTCATCGGTCGTCGGGCGCACCATCCAACTCCATGGCGCGCGGCCGGAGTGATCGTCGGCATGTTCCAGTCTGAAGCACGAGAGGTGGAACCACGGTTGAAGAATGAACCGTTGGAGCTGCAAAGTGCTGTTCATTTCATGACCGAACACGGAGTCGGCGTCATGGAATATCCATGGAGGAGGCATATGGCATTGGGCGAGGGGATAGGTAGATCGGGGGTCCCAGAGGCCTGATTGCAGGCGGCCCAAGAGAGCGGAGACGACAATTTGAGACAGGAGCAAAAAAAAGACAGGCAGGCGAGTGGCGGTGAGTGCGCCGCTGGAGGCGAAGGCGCCTCTATTACAGACGAGACAAAAGAAAAGCGAGACGGCGAGCTGTCCGTTTCCGGCGCAACTGGCAGGAGAAACCAAAAGACAGGCGTGATGGGAGAGGTGAGGTTGGTGCGGTCGTTGCACGAACCTTTCGGGGAATTTTACCTACGCCCCACGACAGCAGCATAGCACCAGGGCCGTTAAAGCAAGGGCTGCAGCCCAATCCCTGCCTCGCTAGGGACCATCACCCCCACATCTGCGCAACGCTGCCGCATGGGTGACGTTGCTTTTTAATCCGGAGGGCCCAGAGGGTCGATGGGCGGGCTGTAGTGATTCGTGGGCAGCGGCATGCTGCTTTTTCGTGCTTGAAGGCGTCGTGTGGCTGCGGCAGGCGTCCCATAGGACCAGAGGTGCAGCCGTCCGGACCTGTATTCGGATATGAGCAAGCCGAGAAGGGGCGTCGTCACCCGCAAGTTCCGCGAGAGTCGTCTGTGATCGGGAGATGGATTACTCGCGGCCGTCAGCCAACCGGTCAGGACCTGCGTGCCCGGCTGCTGTCGTTATCTTTGCCCTCCACTCTTCTTCTCCACGCGCCCCGCGCATGCGAGGCAATCGCGGTCTTGAAGAGCGCTGATCGACCCGGGGCCCAGCAGCGTCGGCGAGCGCGAGCGTCCAGGCACACGACGGCACGGCGGGAGAAAGTCGCCCTAGCGCGGGAGCAGCTAACGGCAGCTAGTGCGCGGGTGCTGAGTCGTGAGAGTGGACGACCCCTCCCGGATGAAACAACAGTGTGTACGGCATGGCGGATTAGGGGGAGCTCGCCAAGGGTGCTGGGCTGGAGGCGTGAATTGGTGGGAAGCATGAAGGCGGAGGGATGGAGGCGGCTGGTTACTTGGGCTGCTTTCTTCACTGCTGGCGGCGGGCGTAGCTCCGCCGCCCCTGCCAAAAATGCGAGGCGCGCGGAAACGGCAGGCGGGCGGCGCCGCATTAAGCACAAGCGCTTGAAGCTGCCAAAACACCTGCGACCACGATGCCGGCAGCGACCGTTGCCGAGCCAGAGCTGCTGGGCCGCAACGGCACAGGCACCCATTCAGAGTGCGCAGCAATCAACCTGACGGCCCCGGTCTAGCCGTCCGCGCCCGCTGAGTCGTCGCGGCTGTGGTCTCCCCCGGCCGCGCTCCCGACAGGGCGGCGAGGGCCGCCCGCTGCCACCCGAGCCCTCTGCCCACGATGGCCTGACCTCCTGCTATTTGCTTCTTCGGCCACACATTTGCTGCTCCGCGCGAGCTCGCGTCGAGCGACCGGGATGGACAAGGCTGAGGTTTTAGTCGTAGCCACAACGATCCTCCGGGGGGTTGGAGGTATACATTTGGGGCCTGCTGCTCGCACACCCCTCCCTCGCCCCATGCCGAGCAAGCCAGAAACAGACCTGACATGGTCCGCGAAGCCGTAGCTGAACAGGCCTGCGCCCACGCAACTCACGATTCGTCGTCGTAGCATAGCCTGCCGCGCCGCCCGCCCTGCCCCGACGGCCAATCTTTTCTTGTTGTTGTTTCGACCCCAGCGCCACTGAGCCGCCTCCACGTTCGCCCTTCTTTTATACGCCCGCCGCGCGCGTACGACTCCACGAAGTCCAGACGGCCTGCCCGTTCCTGGCGTCCTCCGCTTCCCCTTCCAGAAAGGCAAAAGTTCCCACTTCTGGTCCCCATCCGCATTCCCGCGATCCCCCGAGTTCCGACCCACCGCAACTGCCCGAATTTTGCTAGATCTTTCCTACTCCAGTAATCGCCATGGCCAGCCACGGGAGTTCCGCGGCCGCGGGCTCGCTCAGTTTGTTCCCGTCGCCCTCGCGCCAGCACACCGCTTCTTCCACGACGTCAAGTCGGCGAGAAATCGCGCGCGAAGGTGGAGCTTCCGCCGCGCCAAAGCTGTCCGACCTTAGTCATCTGGCGCTGGTCAAAGGCCAACGCGACACCATCCGCACTCAACTACGCGCGACCCAGGCCGCGACCCAGGAAGCACAACAGTCCGTGTCGTCGCTGCGCAAGCTTGCCTTCCGTCTTGCGGTGCGTATCAGCGTCAAGGAGGCCAAAGTTGCCCAGGCTGCCCGCAGCCTGGCCAATTCCCGCCGCCATGACTACGTACACAGCCGCAAGCATGAGGGACGGATTGCGCAGCTTCAGGCTACCCTTACTCGCCATGAGCAAAGGAATCGGGAACTGCTTCATAATCTGGAACAGGCTGCTCAGCTTACTATACAGTGTACGTGTGGAACCGCAATTGTCCCCATGGTTCTTGCGCGTGGCTGCTAACGCATGCCGACATAAACGTTTAGCACAGCAGCAACACCTCTCATCGAACCTCCGCCCGCTCAGCTACGTACCTACCGGACAGCGCCCCATTTCACCACCGCTGACCTCGCCGCCCTCTACGCCTCCGCCCTCGCCGCCAGCCAGGATCTCGAGCCGAACGTCGCAGACCAGACCGAGGCGACCCTCCGACATTGTCGCCGACCTCACCGAGATCCGAACAGCCAATGAGCGCTTGATCAAGGCCAAGAAGGAGTCCGACCACGCCTTGTTGCTATGTCGCTCGCGAATAGCTTCCCTGCAAGATGATTATCAGCAGTCCCAGAACCATGTACACAGCCTGGAGAAGTCGAACAGCTCTCTGGAGCACCTGGTCAAGGATTATGAGTCCAAAGTCCGTACGCTGGAGGAGGAGAAGGCTCGTCTCGAGCAAGAACTTCTCACCACCCAGGAGAAGCTCATCTTCTCTTCCAAGACCGAGGAAGTCTTGCGTGCTGAGCTAGAAGAGCACAAGTCCAGGATTGCCGAATTGGAGCAAGAGTGCGAGGCCAGTCGTGCTCGCATCACCGAGCTGGAAGAATCCTGGTCTCATATCGAGGAGGATCTCTCCGGCTGCAAGCTTCAGCTCAAGTCCTTGGAGCGTGATCGCTTGGCACTTCAAGAGGAGCTTTCGTCCGTCCGCAGGAAACTTTCCATCTCTGATCGGTCGCATTCTGAACTGCAACAGAAGCTTGCAAGCAAGGAAGCGGACATCGTCAAACTCCGACAGGAACTCAAACAGGGTCAAGACAGTGCCGATGCTCTTCAGCAGACCGTGACCTTCTACGAGAATGCCGCCCGTGAATTGCAAGCCAAGATCGCGGCTGCTAACGGTGCCATGACCATCCTCGAGAAACAGCTCGAAGTTGCCGAGTCATCCAAAAACAGCATGTACGCGGACATGGAACAGCTCCAGGAGTCGAAAAGGGAAACGGAGCGGAAACTTCAGAATGAGATTCAGGCTCGCACCGCCCTTCAGTGGGACGTCAACCAGCTGGAACAGTCCAAGTCTCGTCTCAGCCAGGAAATCCAGCGCATGCGAGCCAAGATCGAAAGCCGCAACCTCGAAGAAGCCCAGCTCAAGGACCAGGTAACCGAGCTCCTCAAGTCGCGACGGAGCCTGCAGAATCAGCTGCGCGAAGCATTGCGTCAACTAGACATCGAGGAACAGAAGAATCCGGAAGCTGCCGATGAACTCGAGAGACTGAGAAAGTCTAAGGAGGAACTGGAAGCGAACTTGGCCCATCTGAAGGACACGACAGGAAACCTGCACGCCGATCTCCAACTAACTAGGAAGAAGCTCGAAACGGCCGAGAAGTCGAGGACGGAGTTGCAGGAGCAGTTGGAAGTCTCGCAGAAGGCGAACGACGGCCTCAGAGGTGATGTGCGTGCCCTGAAACTCTCCAAAGCCCACGTGGAATCCAACTTGAGCATGGCCCTCCAGTCCAGAGCAAACCTTGAAGCGAGTGTCCGCGCGAATAGGACGAAGCTTTTGGTTGCTGAGACTAACGAAATTAATCTCCAGGCCAAACTTTCGGCGGCGGAAGAAGAGGTTGCCACACTCCGCGCGGTTGTCATCGAAGCCAGACGTGTCGAGGGCAAGCTGGAAGCTCGCATCGCCGTTGCCGAAGAAGAACTGACGGCCGTCAAAAAGGCGAATGAGGAACTTGAGACGTTTCTCAGCGAGACGCGTGACAACCTCGACGATGAGACCAAGGCAAAATTGTCCGCCGCCGAAGAACTCCGGGAAAAGTACCAGAAGAAACTTTCGATGACTGAAGAAGAAATTCACAGACTCCAAGCCGAGAACAAAAGCCTGAGCTCGGAAATTGAGAGGAAGGATCATGACATCGAAGAGCTTCGGTCCCAGGAGAGCAGCCTCAGTGCTGAACTCCGCTCCAAGGATAAGTGGATCGGGGACCTTAACCAGGCAAACGAGGAATTCGCCCAGGGTATGGAATCCATCGAGTGTGAGCTGCGCGTCCTCCGCGAGACGAAGAAGGCGTTCCAGACGGTGGTGAAGGAGCTAAGGGAGAGGGGCGCTCACCTTGAGGTGCTGAGAGAGTGGACTGGCGACGACAAGTCGACGCACTCCCAGGAAAAACCACTTCCCAACGCTCCTTTCAAAATGAGAAGGACGTCCACTTTGCTTTCAGAGGAAGGGCGTCCCGCATCTCGTGCTTCGTCGCATCGGTCCACAGAAGGCGAAGATGAACTTGACGCGTGGGCGAAGGAAGTCGAGCGCGTCCGCATGCTCCGTGATGAGACTGTCATTCAACTGAAAGGTTTGCGTCAGTCGGAGTCTCTGCTGAGGAAGAACCTGAAAGCCAGTGAGCTGGAACTGCAGCGGCTGGGTACTCATCAGCCACAGTATGCCATCCACACCAAAAAATTTCCCTATCTTCCGATCAATGTCAGTGCTGACAAGCTTTGTGCCCAATACAGATACAACCAGCCCCAGAAGAAAAGCGGCAACGTCTTCCGCCGTGTCTTCCAATGGAGCTCACGCAATCAGAAGACGAGCGGTCAGGTGTCGTGGAACAAGCCAGTCCACCAACAGCAAGCCGCGCGGGGTATGCAGAAGGCAGGTCTCTCCGTCGGTCGTGTCCCAGATGCGCGTCCGTCGGTGGACGTGCGGCCGCAAGTTGGTAGTGGTGCGAAGGGGGGTGACATCTACTTCGACATCGAGTCGCGGACATGGAAGACGGTAAACGAGGACACGGGCGCGGCGCTGACGCCGGTGCGCACGCGGAACATGAGCAGCCCCAACCCGCACGCACTGACAGCTTCGCCGGCGTCGACGATGCCAAAGTCGCGGAGCGGGACCCTAAGCAAGGGTCGCCGGCCCAATACTCGAGGCAGCAACAGCAGCGGCAGCATTGGCAGCGAGCGCCGGGTGAGGATCCACGAACCATTCGATGGAGAGAAGCTCTCCTGGGGAGGAAGGATGAAGAAGAGAATGGGGTTATAAGGAATGAGGTGACGACCGATAACCGACGAGATAGCTGTGGAGAAGGCCAGCGCACCCCGCCTATATGGCGTCAGCATCACGGATTGGTGGGGGAGGTAATGGTCATACGATGCACTTACTAAGTGAGAATGAGAATCGCGACGCTCACGACTCTACCAAAAAAACAGGAGGTGGGGAGGAAAGGAATCCTATGATCCATTCGCTTTTCTTTTGTTTCTTGGGGGAATGGATGGGAATGAGGCGGGACAAGCAAGGCAGAGGCTTGTACTTAGAGGAAGAGCTCTCCACCAACGAACCCCCCGACACGCACACCATGTTTAGTACCATACCCTCTCAAGTACTAAGCAACCAATTTTTTCCTTTGTGTGAAACATCGAGGCCTTTTAGTAGCTTTGGCTGCTTTCTATCAGCGAAGACTCTCCGCGCAGTGAAACTCCGATCAGCTGATGGTGGTGCCGTGACATACGTAACTTCCGCAAACAACAGGGAACGGGACCTACGGATGATCTGACGGGACGTTACTCGCGGAGCTTCTGACCAATGGACGGCCGGAGCTAGCTACTCCGAGATGGATTTCTTCGCGATGCTGTTGGGTTCATCCCTGATCCAGAGACGGAGAGAAGGAGCCTTGGGCAGGGTGGCTTATAGAGAAAGACGTCCCGCAGCGGCTGAACCTTGCGGCGTGCTCTACCTCCGGAAGGAGGTCCGGAGTCTTGTGGCAAAGCTGGCTGATTTCTGACTCGAGAAAGAGATTGGTGGCGGCTTAGAGGGCCGCTGTTCAGCTTCATTCGCCCATCTAGAACCATTGATACCTACGCGAGGGCCGAAGAGCGCAGGACCGTGTTCTTTTCATTTTTAAATTAAAAAAAAAAAACAGCTGTTCTCTTCAAGAGTCCACAAGCTTCTCTGCGAGTTTTTTTTTCTCTCCACTTCGAGCCGTCTCCTAAGGCGTGCAGTGGCTAGTTCGGGTCGAGACCTGGGAGATAATATACACGTACGAGGTTCTTCCATGTGTGCGGTTGGAGGCCCTGCGCGGCTCCGGGAAGCGTCGGAGCGAGGTTTGTCCCGTGCGAGAGCGACCCGAGATAGGGTTGTCCTGTTGGATTCTTGTAATTGCTCGCCTAGTTCTTCTGACTTCGTGTATGTAGAATATAGGGGCGACCAATGGACGTCCGCCGTGAGAGGGACGCGTAATAACTGATTGCTTGGCACTTGGTAAGCTGTGACTTCAGCATCTCTTTCATCCTTCTTGAATGTGTTATTGCTGATGGTAAATGCTAGAGCTGAAAGAAAGAAAGAAAGGCTGGAAGGTGGTCGGAAGGTTTTTTTCTTTTTCTTTCTCTTCGTTTGTCGTTATCGAGTGCTTTCACCTTCGAATTAGCGAACTAGAGATTATGTCATAGTTCGTAAGGTAGGTTCCTTTCGTCCGGATGGCTGGCTAAGCGCTAAGCACCCTCTCTCTTCTCCCTCTTTTTTTTTTTTTTTCACACATTAGTTGCAACCTCATCCCTCATTTCAATGGACAAAAATCGACAAGCCTGGAAGGGAGAGAATATTCGTCGATCACGACGTGTAGATGTTGGTTCACGAGTGTTAAAAGTGTAACTGCAGACGAAACAGTTAAAACGTTCAATTCGACGCGAAAGTATGTACATACAACGTCGGAAGGAACAACCGAGCCTCGGACGAGGCCATGTCGTACATCCTTACATGGATTGGGATGGTGTCGTTGGGAGTTTAACCAAGCAGGCGGCTACAGCTGGGACCGAGGTGTGCCGCAGTGCTGGGGAGCGGGCCGGCCCTTGACCGGTTGGAAAAACGGCGCGGCAGGGTCATCACAAACGTCGGGCCCGATCCTTGTTCGTCCCGATCCCTAAGGCTTCCCGGGTTTCGGGATGTCACGTGAGTATCCTTGACGTGATGTGGGTCGCGACATACTAATCATTTGTCTTCAGGACCCTCAAGCAGTTTGATATCTGGAAAAAGCAAGGACAAGGTCCACCGGGAAAATTCTGCAGGATGGTCGTCGGCAGAATGTGGACCGCATCGGACTTGGAGAGCTTGGACAGGGCATCGAGGTGCACTGCCAACCCGCGAAGCTCTGGATCTTGTGAGAACGAGCGCGATGGCAACGGCCCCGAATAGGCCCGAGAGCCTGAGGAAGGATCAGGTATCGTCGGCAAATTCACAGGGATCCCCTCCTGTGTTGCACGAGCACGAGCATGATACAGGTACGATGGAGGCACGCGTTTGATCGGCACCGGGAGGGCCTAGAACCACGATTCACGGCGACGCCGGGAGGCGAAAGAAAAAAAAAAAAGGATCATAAAGTCTGGGATGCAAGTCTCGCAAAGGAGAAGGCTACTGCTTCGGGAGTGCGCTTGCTGAGCTGCGCCAACTTGCCCTACTCTTTCGGTCGAGCGTGGCGTCCCGAGACGCGGCGATGACTTCCCGCTGGGAGATGGCTTGCGGCGCCTATAGTACCTCTGATTCGAAGCAGGCAACTGCATGTCTGCAAGTCGCCCTGAAGGAGTGGTGGCGTCCGCAGCAAAAGGATCGAAGCGGGTTCGGCGCAGCAGGGCGCAGTTCCAGAAGCCCGCCAGCAGCCCATAGCTCCGGCAGCGGTGAGAGCTCCAGTGATTAGCATTGTATTGTAGGAGGACCAACTGAAATCTTCACCAGGCATCGGAGATTTAGGGACGGGAAGAAGGCTGCTGATAAGGGCGCGGGCGAGGACGAGTGGGCAATAAAGCTCAGACGGCTACACAGCTCACGGCCGGACGGTTCATAAAGTCAGTCAGTTGTGATGATGCAGAAAATTTCCGGTGTCAGAGTTCCATGACGCCAGGAAAATTCCCGGATTTAAGCCCCTGCGACGCTCCGGGCGGAGCGCGGACAATCGATTGTTCCACCCGGCCCAACAACGTCTTGCGGAGTCCCGACTTCCGCACTCCCCCCCACTTCACTCTACCTCGAACGCCTTGACACGGGGCCTGCATTCTTGGCCTCGAATGTGACCTGTCGTCATAGTCCGCTGACCTGCTTCCGCTACGGTAGTGTCTCCGAGCCACGTGTGCGGCAACGGAACTGGCTTGCTTCACCGGTCATCACCACTTCGCTTGTCAAATCATGATTTCGGCTCAGAGTGGACGAATGAGAATCATCGCTTATTCATGTTTCGAACGTCTACTACTCCTGTCTAAGGGGCCAAAGCTGTGCCCAACGCCCGCAAACAACCAAGGAATATTTCGCCTCCATGTGCGCCGTTAATGAGCAGAATGACACGGTCGGGGGTATCGCCACGAATAAAGAATCTGTTGTTGGTATGACAAAAAGAGAAGATGAGAATGAAATGTCTGCTAGGGCCGTAACGGGGGCGTAAAAATGACTGCAAGGGAAAAGCAACGCTCGGGCTGCACAAGACTCCAATCTATCAGAGAAATGCGAGTCCAATAGAAATTAAGGGTAAGTAGCGTGTTCGAGGGGATGAGTATGTTCGTATATGGCGCGGCTAAGCTCAGCAAGCCTCGCACATCTTGCCGATGGCCTGCTCAATGTCGTTGAAGAGATTGAGCACGTGGCCATCCGCGTAAATTCGGATTGACTCGACGTCCTTGCGGTCGATGCGGTGCGGGCTGTCCGCGCCTTCGGCCTTGATCGGGCTCCGGGGCGGAGTCGCCTCAGCGGCGTCGCTGACCGGTGATGTGGGCGGCAGCGTCATGGCGGCGGCCAGATGCTCAAGCAGCTTTTGGCGGATCCGAAGCCTGCGGTTCTCGGCCTGCTCGATCTTGGCCATCCAGTCGTCAATGGAGAGGTCGAGCTCCACCAGAGCCTCTTCCTGCTTGAGCAGGCTCTCGCGAGAGAAAACGACCGTCTCACTCCTCTTCAAGTAGGAAATCATACGTGCGTGCAGCTTCTGCCTGCCAGCGCGAAGAGACTTGTAGGTCCTGCGCAGGTATTCGCAGCGTTCGTCAAGAGCGCGCATTTCCTGACCGTCTGTTAGTATGCATGACAGCGCGTTGGTCTCAGTTTTGCTGACTCACCTTTGCAAGAGCGTTGACATCCCTGGAAGAGAGAACTTCGAACTTCTCGGCTTGCTCGACAGCCTTGCAGCGCAGCTTTTCTCTCTCCGCAGGGGCGTACTTGATGGGAGCTTGGCGGACAGAGATGCCCTTCGGAAGTTTCCAGGTATCTGCGCCCTCCTTCTCCGATGAGCTGGTTGCCGAGGCCTGGCGGCTGCGGTCGCGGGCTGATCTGGCAATGGGGCGGCCCCGATCCATGATGGACTGTTCCGACCTCTTCCTTGCGTGCCCACGGCTGGAGTCACGTCCCCGCACATTCGACTCTGGAGACGAACACTCAGGGATTCCGGTAATGGGTGTCGTGTTGGTCGGGGGCTCGTTGCTGTTGCTGTATCCCATGGCAGAATCGTTCCGAACTTGTTGGCGCATGGCCGGCGAAGACTTCTTCCTGTACAGGGAGGGCGACTTGGGAGGAACCTGCGGGGGGATGTCGTCGTCGTCGTTATGTTTCGCGGTCGTGTCCACCTTCAGGTCCGGCTTGGCGGGTGGGATGTTCGTCGGGCTCAGGATTGGAGACAGAGGCTTAACGGCGGGAAGGTTACGTTCGAATTCAGGCTTGGCAGAATCTGCTGGCTGGGAGCTGGGGGAGATTGGCTTTTGCTGGGGCGAAACAAAGGCCGGGCCGGTGATGCAAGAAATCATGGCGTCACCAAACGGATTGGCGCGCCAATGGGTTGCGGGAGCGCTTCCGGATCTCTCGTGGCCAGGGCTCAATGGTGGTGGTTGACGGATAGGCGCCGGTGGCCTGCCAGGGATGGTTGCTTACAGCGTGTCAGCCAAGCGCCCGAGTGACAAGGGCAGCAACCACTTACGGGAGTCCATCAAACCTTCCTGGAGGGTGGCCATTGGTGTAGGAGCCTGGAGCTCGGGCACGCTGACTTTCCTCCTCCTCGACAACGAACCATGCCTGCTGCGGGCGGCGTAGCTGTCGTTGGTGACGATTGCGTCGCCCATGGCGGTTGCGGAGCGCTGGATAGACAGTGCCATCTGCTTCTCGGGGGAGAAATTGGAGCGGCTGGTGGGGGCAGGAGTCCTGTTGGAGGGCCACAGCTGATATCTGGGCTGGCCGCGGCGGGTCGACTGCGAGCGGCTGGGGGGTCGGTTGCTCGTGCGGCTGTCGGGACGCTCAGGCTCCTTTGGGGAGGGATTGCAATTAGCAAGAGGTGGAAGAGCACAGAGCTGAAGGTCCAGACTTACATTCCGAGCGGAGAAGTCGTCTGATATATGCATCTGGCTTCTGTCCAACACGCTCTCCCGGATGCAGTTGGCGATGTGTGTCATAGTAGGTGACGGGTTAGTCTGCTATCCACCAGGCTACGTCGTAGTGAGACTCGAGACGTTACGGGTGGACCCTTCCCTGCGGAATGGCGCATGGGATCCGGGAGCTTTAAGTTCTGGCAGCTAATTACAAGGGATGGAAAAGAGAGAACCCTGGCTCGTCGAAGGTACCGGTTCGGGGGCGATCGTTGCCCTCTGGAGGATCTTCCCGGAAGGGAACGAGAGCCGACTGATCTGAAACACGACGTCGACCCGAAGGCGCGATTCGTGGGGTACTGTGCAGAGGCCCGAAAGGCGCTAATGCAAGGAATCCCTCGTCTTAACACACAGTCTTATCCCGCGTGCGCTAGGCCACGTCCAGCTGCGTTTCGCCTTGTGGACGACACCAACACCAGCCGGGGGGCTGGCGGGTTTCCAGTCGCGGCGGTGGCGTAGACAGGCGCGGAGTTGTGCGGATGCCTGCCTATCGATAAGCCTCCGTTGTGCGTCGAGCGTGCAGCATGCCAAACAGGCAGAATCAGCAGCCAGACGCCAGACGTCTGGATGCCTGGAAACAGATGCGTTCTGCACCGGGCTGCCACGCGCGGCGGGCAGCAAGCCGTTGATCTCCTGGCCGTCCTCGCTTCGCTTCGGGCCCCGCCTTTTTTTCGGATCCTGACACCAGCAGCCACGAACAGGACAGGCACCCGCTGATCCCTGCACCCTCTCAGCCTGCGATGCCCTCTGCTATGTACTCCTCCCCTATAGCACTAGCGGCCAGAACTCGCGACGTCCTCGCCTGCCCGGGACGAGTGCTAAGCTTCATCACACACAGCGACCCACCCGCAAAACCTGGACGTCTAGCCCGCATCGGGCGTGCGCGGGAGCTTTCGTGCGATAGAGCGAGCTCGAGCCTCAGCTCGCCTGCCATGACTCGAAGCGTCAACACCAGCCGCAGTCTTCCAACCGAGCCAGGCCCGCGCCCTCCCCGTTGCGGACACGGCCACCACGTTTCTCGACTCTTCCGGCCGCGCCTGTTGCTTTTTGCGCTGCGCCGCCCTCACTGCTCTCGCTGCTGCGGCGGAGCGGCGTCATGGATCGCTGGCGGCGGAACCCTCGCCCCGGCTGCCCGCCCGCTCTCACACCACGGCGATCACCCCTAGGCCCCGCACAATCACATCGTGTTGCTGCACTCAAGGTCACAAGGCAGGCTTGCACCTGCTTTCTCTTCGGCCCGCCGCGCTAGTCCCGTTCGCGCATCGCCATCTTCTCCATCTTGTCTTCTTCAGCCCGCCGTGGGTTTCACGACTCTGATCTCCGCAGCAGGCGTTTGAGATGTGCGCCCGTCCGCCCGACGCTCTGATAAGTGGCCATGCCTGAGGCCAGCAGATCCTGCATGGCGCATGACGCGAAATCTCCTCTGATCAGCTCGGGTTCTTCGCACAGCTTCCGACCCGACGCGAGTATCTATAGGGACACGCACGGAGCGCCTGTTCCTGGCTGCACAGACTTGCGTCTTCTCCCTGAACACGAAGGCATCGGAAAATGCCCGTCGAGATTGGACTTCTCTACAGAGTCCACCGAGGGCAATCTCCACGCCTATCACGCGGCACCTTCCACCAGACGCTTTGCCCGCTCGCTTGATTTGAACCAGAAGAGAAAACCCTTCACCGCTTGCTTCAGGTACATCTTTCACAAGATGAGAGGAGCTTATACACGGATTTTATGTGTCGGACATTAGTGCTCCTGCGAACTGGCCATGGCTCCTTCGCGCGATATTCTTGCACACTTAGACGAGAGCACGACCACCGCTCGCGTCATGCGCTATCCGCCCGGGCCATGACTGCATCACTCTCACAGACCTTCCAAATCCTTCGATCGTGAAAATGGACCCATTCGATCTCGCGACTCAATGCGATGGCGATGCGCGGCCAATGGATCTGTATTGCGCGGCCGGGGTACTCGTCGGCTTTACATCACTGACCATAGCGGCGGGGAAGCTCGCGCGCCCGCTGGGCTCCGGCTCCCAGCCCGCTGGTGCTCGCGGAAATTTTTGAAAGCTTTGTAGTGCTGATGAAGAAATGCAGTGCACCGTTCCACCTAGAGATCCCACAAGGCTCGTCGCGACGGAAATAGATTACGATGACCGGGTTACCCCTGCTCCCAAGACGTGTCGACTGGCTCCTGGCGACATTTCAAAGCTGAGAACTGTAGCGGTGGCGGGCCGCTCGCCTTGGCTCTCCCCCCTCCGAAGAGCGTGCGCTGTGGCTGCCGGTTCATACCTTTGACCACATTTGCCGACGCGCTCTGAGAGACGATAAGGAAGCACGATCTGCGTGAGCTGACTAAAGAGCTGACGCCATCTGTGTGCTAATTCAAGAGCAGAGCGAAAAGGCCATCTGACGGCCTACGATCTGGCTTCGCGAACGGCGTACGTATTTTGTCTTACCTCGGGCCGGCGGGCAAACGACGGCAGCCTATAACCAGCAGACCGTTATAGATGGGATCTGCTCCGCCGGAACATTGCTCGCAGCGCACATCACTTTTGGCGAAAAACGATTGCGGTGCGTTTAGAGTGGTATATGTGATGCGATATGAGAAAACGTTTGTGTGACGCGGATTGCCTCAACTACACGTGGGCGCACGTGGGAAGGTCCCTGCTTCCCGACGATTTGATCCTATCGGCACGCCAAAGGGCTGGCTCGGCAGGCACACCAACCTTGGGTGCCCTGGCGCCCGCACCCTTTCTCCACCAGCGATTCTGCATCTTTACAGGTCGGGGGTAAAGAGCCAATGAGTCCATTTGGGAATGAAGGCGGGGACCTGACGCTTGAGAATACATACAGCCTAAAGCGATGGTCCGAAGTCGCTTCTTGGAGAAACAGGGTGCGGCAGGTGCAGGGGGCGGGGCTATCACTACTGAGAAACAACTCCAGCTCGAGGGTGTGCCTCTATCCCCTTGCGCAGCAGCTGTGTCACACACCTGAGGCACCAACTGATTTCGTTGAGAGGCAGAAGCCTTGTCAAGCCTTTCTCGTCCTATAGGGTCCACAGTGCCGATCCGCACTGCATCAAGAGATGGGTGCGACACACAACTCCGTGTGGGACACTACCGGTCAAGAGAAGCAGATCACAAGCTCGATCGACGGCCGGCTGCGGACCCTTCAGCTGCTTGAAGTCTGGAACGGATCTACTTGATAGCAGCTCCACGACGAATGAGGGGTCGCGCAACAGTCGCAGGTTTGCAACACACTGCGCGCCAAAATAAAAACACACTACCCCAGCACCTCTTTACAGCCGGCCTTCCCTCAACCAGTTTAGAGCCCGGCTGCGCGAATTGTTCAGATCCTTGGTCAGTGAGTCGCGGGGTATAGCCACCGTGCTTCTGGCACCCGCAGGGTCTGTCACCACACACTTCCGCACCACTTACTCTATACATGCACAACAGCACCGGTATGTCATCCATCACACTACTATATGCAAGTTCAGTAATCAATCACTCTTGAACGAAAGCGCCGGCCAGGTGTGCTGTGGCTGTACCCCATACATACAGCAAACCGCCTTCTCCTCAATAATCGCGATCATACGCCAGTACTTTCCCTCCTGTTCCGCGCTTCATAAGCCATGGTGCCGTGCCATGTCCGGAGGCCCCGCTGCACAAAGCCTCCCAGTGCTATCAGCCACAGAGCGTCTTGAGGCGGGTTTGTCATTACGCCACCAACCTAAGGAGGTGTATACAACCGAGTTACGGACGAACACGAGGAATAGCGTACCACGGAGCGCTAGAACAGCCTCTCGCACTGCCATACCGCACTCATTTCCGCAGTGGTGCGGCGTTATCCTTCGACCATTACCGTTGATGGGATTACGTCCGTTGACGCACGAAAGGGAGGTGAAGCTCTGTGATCAGACTCCTGCTTTCCCGTGGGGTACGTGATTCTGACGGCATGTATATGGATTGAGTCACGGATAGCGGGACGGGCTGAGTTCCGCATTAGGAAGATGCCGCGCGCTGAAGAGATGGTCCTTCGGGCAGCTAAAGATGATGTGTCACACTAACAGCACAGCTTTACCACCGGAACGGTTCGATGCTGTAAGCTATCCGGATTCAAGCCCATGCCGAGGTGCGGATACGTCTGTCCGGATGGTGGAGCTCCCGACCTTGTCAGCGATCCTGAATTCTCAAGCCAGCCGTCTCGAACGCCGCCCGTAGGCCTAGATTTGGTCAGTGACCAGGCAGAAACCCATAAGCGAGAAGAGGAGGCGTTATTGCCTTGGGCGTGTGCTGTTTTTAGTGTTTTTTTAGTCTCACTAACAACACACCGGCGGTGATGGTGGCTGGCTGCAAGCGAGCCAACGCCGGTGCCACACCCGGCGCCGGTCCAAGTCCCCGAACCACGCGAAAGTAAAGTGCGCACCTGATCATACGCGGATCTCCCGAGGGACCAGAAGCAAACACCTACGGAAGGCACGGCACACCAGTCGTCCCAACTAATCGCCGATGCTTGCACACTCCTGACGAGTTTTCACACACCCGCCGCTAGAGATTACGGAAATATCGCCACCAGAGTCACAGCAAGAACCGGTAAAACCTCCGCTTTGTCGTCTACCACTAAATTTTGATATCAAATTTGTGCTTCTTGGATCTTTGGCCAAGATTTGTCATATCCACGGTATCTCTGCCGCCTCCGCAGTATCCACGGCTTCTTAGACTGGTACGACATGACACTGTACTGCCACTACTATACCAAAAGGTAAAGTACTCCCGCCAAAAGTGGATCGTACGATTCATTCGCCTTTAGAGACAACCAGTGCTTCCTTATTTTCAATTCTTTACCCCATGCGCCCCTCGTTTATTGCCCTTTTTCAATGGATACTTTTCCTAAAGGCGTTATTACGGAGACCCTCCAAGGTAGATAGGCACAACCGCTGCGCAAATCCTCATTGTGTCTCATGGCCCCGCAAATCTTGGTCTCCTTCTTGATCCTCGTGACACACTCTTTCTAGGTAGGACCGCGGTTTCGCCTCTCCACCCTGACTATAAAGTATACTACCTTGATGAAGCCAAGCAAGATTGGATTTTAGCGCCTCTGGGGTTTCTTTCTGATTCCCTCTCAGATCACAGTTTCTCAAAGTGATAAAGAAGGCCAAGCGAACTCGTGAATGCCCCTAGTCACCTCCGGGTACATCTCCGAAGTAAAAGGTGTCGCCGGGACCTATACCTGCGCGGTTTTTCTTCCGGCCGATGCATGATTGACTCAGCCACTTAGCATATGTGGACAGCTCTTGAGAGCGACAGGCGTGCAGCGCGATTGGCGTTTCGCCGCCTGCGCCTCCCAAGCTGTTACGATTTAGACGCATTAGCACCATAAGGGTGTGCGAAATTGGTCTGAACGACTACTTTGACTCCTTCATCTTAATTCGTATTTCCTTTCCACTTCCGGGCCTATTACTTCTTCAGTGGCACAACAATAATAGGTTAGGGGGAAACAAAAAGGGAAAGCATGAAAGGAGTAAAATACCATATTGCATGATCGTGAGACTCCAATCGGCGTAGATCTTATCTCGCCTCATTTATCAATACGGTGAATCACGGGGTTCCTATAACAGGCTTACTATTCGTGCGTGTTTCGCCACCACAACGCCACACCGGGCAGATATATGAAGCGAAAATCGAAGAGGGGTAAACTTTGAACAACGTAGGTAACACGCTGAGAAGTTGTGGGAGTTGATCTCAGGTTCCCACTGGTATTCCCCCTTTTTTTTTCTGCACTGTTTTTTTTTTGTCACGAAGCCCCTCTGCAACATTTCCACGGCTGCAAAATTTGCCCCGTTGCGCGATGGATAAAGCGAAGATGAACGTTCTGTTATCACTCGTAGTGGATGACTCAAGGTACCCGTGCATTAGTCGAGGACGATTGCTCTGTGAATGAGTAAGGCAGGCCGAAAATCGTAATCGAGACCATACGGTCTCAGTGTGTAACAGCCTCATGATCGATCCGTCGTACCACTGCTGCTGCCGCTCACGTCTCCGCTTGCGTAGCGAGATAAGACGGACGAAAACGGTGGTGAGCAAGCGATATTGGGCCGAGGATCCCTCCTAGGGCGGATTGGCGGAAGGCGCAATATTGTAAGAGGGGTAGGAATCGTCCAAATGTGGGGATGGGTGGCCGGGAAAGCGACGGGGACGATTGTTGGTCTGAGCTCCCGGGGGAGCGGGGATGTACAGGGAACCGTTGTATGTACCGCTCCATCTTCTGCCCGTCTTTTCTTTTCCCTTGGCGTGGCGTCTAAGGCGGCCTGATAGAGGACGGTTGTATGAGTCGGTCGGGCGAGAAGAGGAGTCGGTGTGCGAGAAGCCAAGATGTATCAGCCAAGGCGGGAAGGGAAAAAGCGTTCAATGTTTGACGCCATTTCAAACGTTAATTCGGTTAAGCATGCTTTTTTGCTCCATGATGCGCCGGGCCGCACGGATTAGGCTGATGGACATGCATAAAAGAATCAAAAGGAGAAAAGACCAAGCTTGGCTCCAGGGGAAAAGGCAAGAGTACGGTACACTAGCAATACAAAGCCGGTTATTGTTGCTTCAGGTTGATCAGTAGTGATTGTTACCGCTTTTCAAAGCAGAATGTTTTAATAGACAACTAATTCTAGACAAGGAACACATGTTCACGAAGAATACCTGAGGGCAGACGACTTCAATATTATTTATTTTATATCAGCTCAATCTTGTTGACGTGGCTTGCTTTTATCGCCAAGTGAGCCAGCAGGGATCCTTTAGGCGGACGGCTCGGTCAGATTATCCGAATTACCGGTATCGAGCACAACAAGTTGGGCTTCAAGTGATCCAAGGAACGCATATTTTCAAGCTGGGACTTGTGGAGAGATGGGACTTTGGGCCTCAAAGAACTGTTGGCTGCCACAATTCCCTGGTTCTGCTTTTTTTTTTTGCTTGTGCAATTCCATTCTCGCGCCTTGCTTGTTTGCGTTGATGTTGCATTAGTGCAAGCATGGCCAAGAAAAATGAAGCTCCTGGCTGAAGCTTTGGATGCATCGGCGTCTCGGCCAGATTCCCTGGAGCGGGGCTAGTGATAGTTGAGCTTGTTTGAGTGGCTGCGAGGACAAAGAAAACAAGTCACACCAAGATGGATGAAAAAGGAAAGGTAGGGGAGAAAGGCTGGCAAGTGGAAGCGAGTTGGTGAGATACCGGCTCGTACACTCTTGCGCGCTTCCCCCCATTCCATTGTCCGATGCCCGAGGATGAGCTCTGAGAGATAGCGCCCGCATTTCCAAGGGGGGTGACACGAGAATACCCCGGCCCGCTAGTCAATAAGTGGCGGATGGGCAAAAAGAGCTATCGTTTCGTGCATGTTCCTTCTCCCTTAGCGCTGGGAGAGTGTTTGTCTCATTCGGCCCTACACCATAACTTTTAACCGTCTATGACCTCACATACTGAATTCTAGTACTGTTAGCGTACGACTCGTGTGGTGTTGAGGTGGAGATGCCAGACAATAGCGCTACATTAGGCAAGTGACGACACGCGCAAGCGCCAAAGTTTAAATTCCCTTGCCGGTGGGACCAGCATGACAAAACCACCGCCAACCACGTGAGCCGGGGACGCTAGCCAGGGGTCATTGGAGTCACCTATACCTACCTCCTGCTAGGCTGAGCGCTACGAGCGGGCGCATGTCAACGGTTCCGCATGTGGGTAGTCAGCCCGCAAGGTGTCCGAAAACTCTTCAGACGATCGCCATTTGTAGAGTGGTAGAGAAAGAGCAGGACTGTATCTTCTGCACTCAGGCACACTCTTCCAACATCTGGTGCAGTCGCGCACCCACCACAATGCAATCTATTCTATCGTGTTGCATCCAGGATGATCCCCCATTCATCTCTCGATCCCCAGACTGAGACCCTGCCGAGCGTTAGCCAAAACAGAACTGTCTCAGAGGCAATCTTGCACTGCTAGCGTTACTGGCTTGGTAGATCGACGACCGCGAGCCGGCTTCCGATCAAAGAGAATCAGTTCCTTGCATCAACCGTCGCTCCGGACGCTTCCCGAAAAGAGTGTGGCGATCGTTAGTTCGGACAATCGTGCTAACCCTTCTCTGCTGCATTTTGCTGACGGTCGTCATCTCTTCCCTGCAAGAGAAGCGCCGCAACCGTGCGATTTGCGTGATCTGCTTGCCCAGCGACGGGTGAGGAGAACGGCTACGAGAGAGCGTTGCTCTTCCTCTGGCCCGTGAGGCTCGAGCGGGAGAAATCCCCGAAGACACCGAAACCTTAAAAAGCGACTCATGCGTTCGCGCACGTGGGATGCTCTCCTCTTCTAGTTACGGCCTTCTTTCCGCTCTCTTGTGGCAGCGTTGTGGAGAACTCTGGGTCTGTGCTTTTGTGGATTTGCACGGAAAGCGTTTGGACCGGGGCATGATGCGCGATGACTGTTACAAAGAGGAAAGCCGGCGAGATAGTCCGGAAGGGTGGGCACGAGGGTCAGGGAGCTCTGGCTTCAGGCCGATGGTAAGGACATTTTTCGGTCCGCAGGGGCTCGAGCGGAACCGCAAGTGTGGAGCAGTGAGACATCTTCATGAAGAATCATGTTGCGATGCTTAGCGCCTGGACGCCAGATCACGCCGGCTCTCCGCATCTGCATGGCAGACATTACAGCGCCAATGTTGAAATGCACTCAGTAGTCTGAACGAAATGAACCTCAAGGGTGTGGGAACATAGCCTGAAGTTTCATACGTGGAGTAGAATGTGAGGTCGTAATGAACCTGCATACTTACGTTCCTTTAGGACCAAAAGCCGACGATGGGCTCCAAACCCAATAGTAAGCGATTCAATAGTGACTGCAATGGCAAAGAGGGCCCATGTCTCTGGCGCCAGTAGAAGAAGAGGTAGGCATTAGGGGGGAAGTATAACAGCGATAGTATTATAGCTTGAGCTTCTTGCTAAGATCATCCCATCTGGCTGAGCGAAGGGGGTCAAGATGCTTCAATTGGGACAGCCATTCGGCCATCTCGGTAGCAAGCCCAGCATCTTCTCCTTGTTTTGCCACTTTCAGCGCTGCTGCGGTTTCCAGCAAGGCTTGGTAGATCCACTTGCAGTCTTCTGCTCCGTCGAGCATTTCTCTGATGGTATCCAGCTCTGCTTCCAGGTATTTGGCGCGTACTCCATCATCAACGTCTTGAACGATACGTGCATTCCGAGGGCTGTTCTGGTCAAGCGTGGCCATGAGGAAGGCATGATAAAACCACAAGGACTGGTCGTAGGGATCCGTGTACAACGCGCCTTGGATGAGGTCCAGCTCTGACTTCATGAACTTCTGGCGTGCTTCTCCGTCTGCATTGCGTTCATCCAGCAAACGAGGGATCAGCTTGCTACGGTTATGCCAGGCGGAAAAGTTGGACAGGTTGGTCTTGATCATCTTCGTAGTGTACTCGAACTCAGGCTCGACCATGCTCGTATGCTGGCCATCCAGCTGCTCCAGGTTCGAGACGACAAGTCTCCTGTAGTTCCAGCCGTGGAAGTTGCGACTGTCCCGGCTCAACATCTTGCCGACCAGACCGAGCTCTTCCTGCCACAGGCGCCGCGCGGAGCTGGTAGGCAATAACTCGGTGGACTGCTGCAACAACCATATCCTGTGATTCCATATCCAGTAGCACTTCGGGAATTTCATGATGAGAGGAACGAGAAAGTGCAGGTCGTTTGTAATGTAGTCGAGAACTGTTTGCTGGCCAGAGGAGAGCTCCTCTTCTGCCGACGGAGAAGAGGCCAGAGCATCTTTGAACATGTGCTCGAGAATCAAGCGGCGGTGGTTCCATATGGTATAGTATTCGGGGTTCTGGGCGAGGAGCTTGGAGACAAGGGCCAGCGACTCGGGCGTGTATTGCGTCGCAGCAATCTGGGGAGGCTTGTTAGTCGCAGACGGGACGAGAGCGCGACGATTGCTTGCCTTCGCATTCACTTCGGCGACCAGCTCATTGTATTTCCCTATCTGCTCGAGCTCCTTCTGCTTCTGTTGCTCTGAGCGGTGCTGGAGGGACTGGGAGCGCGGGGCGCCGTGCTGCTTCTGTCAGGACGGTGTGCAAGGCAAAAGGGCAGGCACGACGCACGCTGGCCATTTTGACGCAGTGGGTCAGCAGTGAAAGATGGGCGAGAAAACCGGCGGGTGTTGTTGCCTCGAAGCACGGCTGCCGTCATGCGCGCTCCTTCTCCGACGCGCCGCTACCCCACCGGCCACGACTTCTCACCCATGCCCTCTCTTCTCACCTGCTTCTTGTTTGCCCCGCAACAACCATCGGGAAATTCACTGATAAACAGACCCCGACTTGAAGGCTCGTCTGAGGAGCCTGGCTACTGATATCGCTATCTGACTCGGCTGCCCAACAATTTCCTCCAGCCTCCACGTCAAGACGCCTTGCCGCCTTGACTTCCTTCCGTTTTATTTTTTCCACTTTGTGCTCCGCGTCCTGTCGACCATAGAGCGTCAGTATACCTTCAGTCAAATCGCCGCCTGATCTGCTGTATCGGGTCCTTTCTCGCAAACCGTCGATCCACCTCATCCATGGAACCTGCCAAGAAATCCCAAAGGACCTTCGTTCCGGGCATCGTCATGGACCCTGACTCGTCTTGGAAAAGATACTATCGCAAGATGAAGCTTAGAAATATCCCTTTTTTGAGCCCTAGGGTGTCCTCCGGTCTAGACGGTGGGAAAAGGATGAGCAGTTGTTACAACGGTTCAACATCTCTTTCCGATTCGCCCACAAAAAGGGATCAACTCTCGCCTCTCGGGCATCGAGACTACTTCGGCTTTGACCCGCTCTCTGGAAAGCCGCATACGACACCATCAGCATCGTCGGCTGAATCTGTCGATTTGACGAATCGACCCATCCTCACTCCGACGAGCAACCGTATGGGACATGCCTATTGTGAGGCGGACAAGCTGAACACCTCGTCCAAGAGCATTAAGTGCTTCAAAAGATACCCTAAAGTCACCGTACGAACGGGAAGACGGTCATATCCGCCCTCGGGTAATCAAGTTTCATACGAAAATGACAGCATCTTCCACTCACAGTGGAATTTCACCCAGGTGGATGGGATGGGCGAAGTCGGAAAAGGCCTCCTGCCTACTCCTCCATACTCCCCCCCATTTGCAAGACGTCAAAGGGCCAGCATCAGTGATCATACTCTGGAAGTGGACGCGGATGGCGACATCACCCTTCCAGATGCGGATGCACCACGCCATCAGCGTCGCTGTAGAACTTCGCTTCGAAGTTCCATGTCCATTGACGTCGATCTCAAGTCACCAGCCAATGCGTGCTTCCCTGAGCCGGAAAACTACCAGACCGAAGCGAAGACCCCACTTGTTCCAGCTTGCCCGGCCATCGAGCCGGTCCCACTTCCAGCGAAGCATCAAGAGAAGGGCGCTCTCAATCCCCTTTCACTCAGTAGGTGGGCTCCCGGGAATGAATCCGGTCGTCGGACGCGGGCTGCCAGCAAGCAACTCGATCGATTCATATTGCCGCGGAAGTCGCCGACGAGCTCTCGGGAAAGTCTTCGTTTAAGTGCTCCAGCAACTAGCCTGTCGGATTTCGAGAAGGCGGCACGCCAAAGAAACCCAACATTTGACCCGTTCAGCGGCCATGTACCGAGAAGTGCTAGGGTTCAGGATGCGTTCCAAACTCTGCAGAGACAGAGTCCGGCTAGCAGGAGTCGGTCGTCTCTCCTGGACTGGGACAATTCTTTGGCACTCAGGCATGGTCCACGGCGGATCAGTGATGGAGCCGTCTGGAATGTCGGTGGGTCAGGTGTTGTAACTGACAGCGTCTTCGGGATCCCTGATGGCCGAGGTGGCATGTTTACGAGTGGGACAAATGCACCGTTGCATACTTCGATGTTCTTGACCGAGGGCGACCCTGTAAGCGAGCAAGAGGCTCATGAGAAGCGTCTTGCCTTCGCCATGGGAATCGATCAGTCGAATCGTATTCTCGGCTCATTTGAGGACCGTGCTAATTCTGATCCGACCACACCATCGGGGGCATGCTGGAGAGCGCCAGACCAGAAGAGTCCCGAATGGGTTGACTGCGAGTGGATCAAGCGAGGCTCTCTAACAAGCGGTCTTTCCCAGACGATAGGCTTGCAATGGCATCATGCTGACGGTGGTACAGGAACGAAGAAGAGTTTCAGGGAGAAGAAACCTGTGCCAATTATTCCATTCAGATATGTTACTTCTCTGCGCTCTTTCCTTTCTTGCTAACAGTCATATACAGTACTTGACGCGCCTCAGCTCAGAGACGATTTCTACTGCTCACTACTTGCATATTCCGATACCGCAAAATGTCTTGCTGTCGGTCTAGGGAGTAGCGTCTACCTGTGGTCAGAAATGCAGGGTGTGGGGACACCCGAGAGTATCAATGGCCCTTACAATTCGCATGTGACGTCGTTGTCTTTCTCGTCTGCAGAGGGCGGACAAGGTATCCTCGCTATTGGCCGCGCTGACGCATCTGTTGCTCTATGGAGCGTCTTTGATGAAGAACTCCGTTTCAATGCTCAGCAGCCGCATCCAATCTCCTGTGTCTCCTTCGGGCCAAACATCATCAGACGATCCTCGATGCGAGATCCATCAATCTTTGTCGACACTGAACCGTTGTTGGTCGGAGATGAGATGGGAAACGTATATTTTTTCTCTGTGGAATGGCCCGACAGCACGACGCGTGATCTTTTCGATTGGCCTGGAGCAATGACGCTCCTTGCAAGGCTAAACGTTCACGCCCAACAAATATGTGGTCTTGTCTGGTCACCATATGGTGAGTTCTTTGCCACAGGAGGGAATGATAACAACTGCTTTCTTTTCGAAATCAAACACGTTATTTCTGTCATTCCGGGACAACAGACCATGTGCACCCGCCGCTCCGCTTCCGGCGCCCATCATTACACAGTTACGCCAGGCCATGGATCCGTACCTTCCCTCGATTCCAATGTCGCCAAACATAAGTGGACACTAAATGCTGCCGTCAAGGCCATGGCCTTCTGCCCTTGGCAACGCGGCCTTCTGGCAATCGGCGGTGGTTCGAATGATCGCTGTATTCACTTTTACCACACCTTCTCCGGTGCTTGCCTAGCTACAGTCGATTGCAGTGCACAAGTAACTAGTCTCATCTGGAGCACCACACGCCGTGAAATCTGCGCTACCTTCGGCTTTGCGCAGCCAGAGCACCCTTTTCGCATTGCCGTCTTTAGCTGGCCAGCGTGCGAGCAGCTCGTTGCCATACCCTGGGCAGACGAGCATCGTGCTCTCTACGCCATCGCGTATCCCGGTGGCCCGAATGATGGACACACGAAGGGAGAAGGCGGCACATGGTGGAGCAGAACGCAGGTAGAAGGGTGCATCGTGGTTGCAACAAGCGACTCGAGCATAAAATTCCATGAGGTGTGGAGCGAAGAGAGAAGACGTCCCAAGAGCGTGGTTGGTGGCCTGGGTGGCAGTGAGATCTTGGGTGAGCTCCATGGAGTGGAGAAGGACGGGGAGATAGTCATTCGTTAGATACTCTCCTGGCTCTCATCCCCTCTTGGAGTGCGTAGGCGCATCGCAACTGCAGCCACGCTTGGTACCATTGATAGAACGACCAGAACACTCGTTCAACTTCCTATTTCTCAGTATCACCCACCTACTACCTTCGTAGCATGCTCTCTTTAATGCATGAATCGCCTATAGAAACTCTCGCATCGTCTGAATCCCCTGCTCCGCAAAGCTAAGAAAGACGAACATAGGAACAGTGGCGGGAGCGGAGGCTGAACAGTCTCTGTCCGCCGGCAGCGCATTGCTGTTCCTGTTCAACCCTCACCAGGCAGGGGGTCGCACTTGTGTTATATTTCATCTCCAGAAACTCAATTGACCGGTGTCACTGCTGCGACAACAACTATTGCTTGGATATACACTGTGTGCATCTACAAAGGGTTCAAGGTGGAAGGCCTGCTCGACACCGAGTAAGCTTGAGCTAGACAATTCATTCGGGAAGCTGGGCACAGCGGGGCATTGTCTCTGGCAAACTAAGCTTCCTTTGAGCCCACAGTGCGCAGTTCTTGAGGGATCTACAATAGTGGTGAAGGTGTACTTCAATGGCAAATCCAGCGTTATCGGTGTTTTGAGCTGAAAACTAAAGTTTTCAAGCCAAATGGCACCCGCAAACTTTAATTTGACGTGCTGCCGATCATCCCGAATGCGCCTGTTGCAATTGAGACGCGAACAACGTAGCTGCGCAGTCACACATGGGCGCTACTGTATCACGGTGAAAGTGTCCCAAAGAAACCGGGAATTTTTTGACTGAAATTCGGAAGGTTGATGCCTTGGAGTATATCATTCCATGATTCTTTACGCCCGCACTCAACCAATTGATGACCCCCGAAATGCCCATGCCTTCATTGAAACCCGGTATATCGCATCTGCTTTTTGCCTCCCATTCCGAAGCGACGTTTTTCTTCCCCAATCTCAAGCCCCGACGTCCAGCGCTTACTTGCGCATGGAAGAAGCCCTCCTCTTCTTGGCCTCGTCGTGGGCGGCCTTGCCCTCGACAACACGCTGGTGGAGGAGCTTGGCGTACTCGGACTGTTTCTCCATTAGTTTGCGTCCAATTGCGTTCGCAGAGCATTGTGTAACGTACGGCAGCATCGCGCTGGCGCTCGGCGTTGCGGCGCTTGAGGGCGATCCTGTGGCGCTTGTGCTGGAGGCGCTGAGGAGTAACCAGACGCTGGATCCTGGGAGCCTTGGTGTAGGGCTTCTTGCCCTCGCCCTTGGGCTGGACCTCGCGGCGGATGACGAACTTGCGGACCTATTTTCACAGATTGTACATCAGACTCGGCTCTTTCAACTCAGACTCGGACATCATCTCAAGATAATTGAGATGACCCGGCGAAGCACAATGAGGGGAAGAAAACCCACATCGTCTTCCTTGCTGAGACCAAACATGCGGCGGATCTTGGTGGCGCGCTTGGGGCCGAGACGCTTGGGGTGGACGGTGTCGGTCAGGCCGGGGATGTCGTTCTCGCCCTGCTTGACGATGGAGAGAGCGAGGACGGAAAGGTCCATGGCGACAATGCAGCCGCGGACGGACTTCCTCTTGCGCTCACCAGTGCGGCGGGGGCGGTAGCAGGAGTGGCCGTCGGAGAGCAGGAGACGGACACGGGTGGGGTGCATGACACCCTGCTTCATCGGGAAACCCTGCTTGTCGTTGCCGCCGGTGATGCGGAAGACGTAGCCCTTGAACTCGTCGCCAACGCTGTCGCCGGGAACCTCCTGACCCATGCGGCGGTCCATGAAAACGCGGAGCTTGCGCTCATCTTCGATCTCGATCAGCTTCTGCGAGCCGTTGGCCGGGTAGGAAATGTTGAGCTTCATCTTGACGGCTCGGGGGTCAAGATCGAAAGGACTTGGTGTCGGGGGCTGGTGTGGTCGTCGCGGTCGTCGCGGTAAAGCGGTGTTGGTTGAATTCTTTTCGAGTGGGCTTCGCTAGCGGCGCCGGCGAAACATGTCGCCGCGGCGCACTGGGCGTCTGGCGCCGAGCGGCTGCTCACCGCCCGCTGGGGCCGGCAGGCGGTCGGGCGCGGCAGATGCGGGCGCGAATGGATTTTATCGCATTCTGCAAGGCGGGCGTCGCTCTCGAAGCCTCCACCATGCGCAACGCCAGCAACCTCCGCGTTCCCGCCGCTGCTGCTGCCGTCCCCCGCCATGGCCACCAACTCGATCAAGCTGCTCACGGGCAACAGCCACCCCTCGCTCGCCAAGCTGGTGGCTGATCGGTACGCTGCTACCTGACTGGCTTTGAAGCTGCACTGCGCTGGGCGCTGCGCTCACACTGCAACCACTGCACAGGCTAGGCATCGAGCTGACCAAGATCCTCGTGCTGCAATACTCCAACCAGGAGACGTCCGTCACCATCGGCGAGTCGGTTCGCGACGAAGATGGTACTGCTGCCTCTCTCGCCCTGTCCGCGCAGCCCAAGCATGCCCAACTGACATGATGCACTCGCCCAGTCTTCATCCTGCAGTCGACCGCCCCCGGCGACATCAATGACGGCCTAATGGAGCTGCTGATCATGATCAACGCCTGCAAGACCGCCTCGGCCCGCCGCATCACTGCCGTCATCCCCAACTTCCCCTACGCTCGTCAGGATAAGAAGGACAAGTCGCGTGCTCCCATCACCGCTAAGCTGATGGCCAACATGCTGCAAACGGCCGGCTGCAACCATGTCATCACCATGGACCTGCACGCCAGCCAGATCCAGGGCTTTTTCAACGTCCCTGTCGACAACCTCTACGCCGAGCCCAGCACGCTGCGCTGGATTCGCGAGCACCTCCCCGTCAAGGAGTGCGTCATTGTCAGCCCTGATGCTGGTGGTGCGAAGAGGGCTACATCCATCGCCGACGGCCTCGACCTCGGCTTCGCGCTGATCCACAAGGAGCGCGCTCGGCCGAACGAGGTCTCGAAGATGGTTCTGGTCGGAGATGTTAGCGATAAGATTGCCATCATCGTCGACGACATGGCCGACACTTGTGGTACGCTTGCGAAGGCTGCTGATGTCGTCATTCAGCACGGCGCTAAGTCGGCCATTGCCATTGTCACGCACGGTATCCTGAGCGGCAACGCCATCAATGCGTTGAACAACAGCAAGCTGGAGAAGGTTGTCGTGACCAACACGGTGCCGCACGACGACAAAAAGCTGCTTTGCTCGCGCATCGAGACCATCGACATCAGCCCAACTGTAAGTGCTGCTAATGTTTTTTTTTTTTTTTTCGATGCAAACTGACTTGTCTGTGTAGCTGGCTGAAGCTTGCCGTCGTACCCACAACGGCGAGAGTGTGTCGTTCTTGTTCAAGCACGCCCCTGTCGACTAACTTTGTTTCGCTCATACCACGTATATTTCCTCTTTCCTTCCATTTCTGGCGTATGGCGCGGTGACGAGAAAGCGGATAAATAAAATGTACGGGACCAAAGAAGAAACGATACGGTACTCCTGGTACACACAGCAAAAATAGCTCACGAGAAAGATCTTACTATCTAAACGAGTCAACCAAAGAAAGAAAAACTTCAAAATCTCAGCCTTTCCTACCCGCTCAGTTCGAGTCTTTATCTATCCTTATCATTGGTGAAAGTAGGGAAACAGTCCGAACAGCCCCACCCAATTCCCCGGTCTTACATACGTACGTTCATGCATGCCGCCGGATAATTATGGCCACAACCCCCCATGCAAAACCCTATTGCTCCTTCGGGATGGCGTGAAGGGGCATGTTTCAAAAATGTTTGCTTGGCCAGACGTCGGAGCGTCATGCAAGTGGACAGATGGGGTAATGCTATGTGTTCTATGTTCTAGCTATTTTCTATTTCTGTTAGTATATTTCCGGGTGCAGAAACGGCGCCAGCTCTTCCGTCGACCGGGGGCTGGGCCTTACGTGGACGGGATTCCGTAGGACAAAGTTTGTTCTAGTGGCGAACGATGAGGTCCAGACTCCTCCGGAATAATCCATTTCCTCGATTTTCATTGAGTTTTCTCCGGTTGGCTTTGAGAAAGGCGCCATCACCCCATCATTGGTGTGCCACAGCGGGCATAGTGGTGTCTTGTGCCGGGGGGACGGCTGACAGATGACAGATCACAGGATGCCCAAGCAGCCCGCCTCCCAGGGCCAACCAGACTCACAACCAAGCAGGGAAAATCGCAATATTCACTTTGCTCATTGAATCATGTTTATTTCGTTGCGTTGAAAAAAGCAAATAGATATCATCAGCACGCCGTCCATCTCCGAACACAGAATGTCTGGAATTATCAATACTCCTCGGCCACGATGTACCATCTCTAATGGTAGACCACCTCCTGCTGCCGCACAATGCTGCCCTTGCGCTCCACCTCCTCGGCTCTGCGCTCGAGATCGTGCGTCTGGACGGCGCTCATGTCCATTGTGGGGACGAAGAGAGGTGCGTTCGTGAAAAGGTAGTTCATCTCCTCGAGTGGGCGCTGCTTGGTCTCGGGCAGGATGGCCCAGAAAAAGACGGCATTGGTGAAGTTGCAAACCTAATGGAAGATATTGTGTTAGCTTCGGAGACGAGTATAAAATCGTATATGTTGTTCGACTTACGATGAACAAGATGTAGTACTTCCAGCTGACAGCATCGAGAGCGAGGGGCGTGACCTGGCCAATCATGGTATTGAAGGCGAAGGAGGTCATGGTGGCGATGGCGACGCCTTTGCTGCGGGTGCGAGTATCAAAAATCTCGGCGGGAACTGCCGGGAAAAGGAAGATTAGCCATCGTTTCGATGAAAGGGACGAAGAGGTGGGAGCACTCACTGATCCAGGAGAGAGGGCCACACGTGCAAGAGAAGCAGAAGTTGTACAGCCAAGTCATGGCGATGAAGCCCCAACCAGCAGAGGAGTTTCCGCTGGTACCTGGCGGGAAGCTTGCAAGCAGGGCCGTGGCGATGATAAAGGTCACCATGTTGCCCAAATTGCCGAAGATGAGCGGCCAGCGACGGCCGGTCTTGTCGATGAAGAGGATGGTCAAGACTTGGGCGACAAGGGCGATAATAGAGTTGATAGCCTGGTACTTGAGCGTGTCGTCTCCGGAAATGCCGATTTTACCATAGATGGTGACGGAGTAGTACTGGATGGCGCTGACACCGGTCATCTGGACAGATGCTTGCAAGGCCATGGCAATGAACAGGCGGCGGAAGCAGGACTTGTCTGTGAAGAGCTCAAAGTACGACTTGGCCTCGTGCTCATGTTCGAGGCTAATGGCCTCCTGGATCTGCTCGAACTCGGCGCGCACCCATGCGTCTGTCTCGTCGCCGTGGGAATGCAGCTGTGCCAGAGTCCTCAAGGCCACGTCGGGCTTGCCATGGTCCATCAACCAACGAGGCGACTCGGGGAAGAACAGGATAAGGAGGGCCAGAAGACCGGCCGGGACGACCTGGAGACCCAGAGAGACGCGCCACTGGCGGTTGTCGTCTTCGGCATAGCCAATGTAAGTTCCATAGGAAATCCATGAAGCAGCCAGGGCGCCAATGCCAAGCATGAACTGCTGGAGAGCGGTGACTCGGCCACGGATGCTGGGATGAGCCAGCTCAGCTTGGTAGAGAGGGACGACCATGACGAGGAAACCGACGCCAACTCCGGCAAGGCAACGGCCTGAGTACAGGTAGTCGATTGTTTGAGCACCCGTCTGAAGACCGCCGCCCAAGCAGAAAACCAGCGCGCCAATAAGAATGGTGTATTTGCGTCCGAGCCAGTCGTTCGTGACGCCGGCGAACATGGCACCAAAGAAGGCACCACCGGTGAAGATGGAGACAACGGCTCCGCTGGAGAGAAGTTCAGTGATTTTGCTGGCACCGAGAAGGCTCTGAACTCACTGTTCATTGTCGTTTTTACCAAACTTTGCACGGAAAGACTGGCTTGCAATGACCTCGGCGATGACACCCAGATCGTATCCGTAAAGCACGGAGCCGAGCGAGGCGAAGACGCAGACCAGAAACTGAGAAATGTTAGCAGCAATGTGGATTGGGCTGCGGAGAGAGCATACCTGGTACCACTTCGGAGGAAGAGCCATGATGTCGAAAACTTCAAACTCAAGATGAGTTCAGCGAGGCTGCTGTGCGCATTGTACGCTTTGGGCGCGGAAGACATCTTATAGAGACAACGGTGCACTCCGCATTCTCGACGCGACAACCCTGCAACCCCCGGTTGTGCACGGCGCGAATCCTACGCGGAGCCGTGCGCTCGAGTGTCTGGGGTAGCCCACGCGGGGCTTGGCATGGAAGGGGCATAGCGTGACTGGCGTCGCGTGGGCAGGGAATTGCCGGGGAGAGCAGTGAGGTGAGAGCACAGGGCTGGCAGCAGCCGAGGTGGCCGGTGAGTGGGCGGGATGCGAGCAGCAGTGTCGTGGGCGGGGGCAGATGGGCCGAAGAAACTGTCGTGACCGCTCTCGAAGCGAGCCGCGACCCCAGTGTGGCGTGCCTGCCCGTTTCTCCACCAATCCCCGCGTCGCCTACGCCTGCCCAGCCCAGCGACCGCCGGCATGGCCTACACACACCCGGTGGGCTGCGGTGGGATGGTTGCGGCGCCCGCCCGTTGCTTCTCACGCGCAATGACCCACCTGCTTGGTTCACGAGAGTCGTGGCGTGCTCGTTCTTAGACGGCCGCAGGCGCTCATTGCAGACTGGACAATCGACACCTCTTTCCAGCACCGCCAATCCTCTCTCCAGCCATGGCGACTTTTACCAAGATCCCCGAGGCCGAGACGCCCAGCATCAGCATCAATCCGCAGCACAAGATCTCCAAGATCAACGACAACGTCTATGGTGGCTTTACCGAGTAAGTTTGCCCAGCGCTGCCTCACCCGTGCCGCCTTCGATCTCTGCCTCAGCCCACCAGGCAGATGATCAATAACGGCCTAGCCTCATCACCGCCCTTTGCCCACCGCTGACTCCGTGATCCGATTCCGGCAGGCACATGGGCCGCTGCATCTACGGCGGCATTTACGACCCCGGTAACCCGCTGTCCGATGAGAATGGGTTCCGCAAAGACGTCATCGAGGCCTTCAAGGAGCTAAACTGCCCCGTCGTCCGCTACCCCGGCGGCAACTTTGTTGCAACCTACCATTGGCTGGACGGCGTTGGTCCCAAGGACAAGCGCCCCCCGAGGTAAGCTGGATTTTTTTTTCATTCATTCCCGGTTTTTGAAACCCCCGGTGATCGCATTAATCCCGCCGCCCTGGTTGCAGCCGTCCGGTTACTTGCATGCGGCTCTGCAGCTGGTGGTGGTTGCCTGGTTGGGAAGTGATCTCTGCCGGAGGCACTGGTCCGAGCTGTGGTACATCCAGCTCTCTCACGAGTCCACGTGATATCACCAGACGAGCTCAGTCCGAAAACCTGCTATAGCAACTGTACATGTGGAGTTGAGTTACATGTCGGAATGTTTCGGGCATGAATCGTGTTGTGTCTGCGTGCGAGCACAGTGGCACTCCGTTACGCCCCGTGCCCTCGCCCCGAATTCCCGCCGCTCCCTGTCTTGCACCTATGCCCATCGCCCCAGCTGTCTTGTCTTTCATGCAGCTCCTTGCCTTTACTGTACTCGAAGCCTTGAACTGAAACTTTCTTCGCAGACCTGAGCTGGCATGGCTCGGCCTTGAGACCAACGAGTTCGGAACCGATGAGTTCCTGAAATGGTGCGAGGTCGTTGGCACCGAGCCCTACTTCGCTTTGAACTTCGGTACTGGCACGCTTGATGAAGGTCAGTATAGACAGTGTCGCGCCGCAAGAGGGAGACAGCAAGGCTGACTGTACACAGCCCTCGCCTGGGTCGAGTACTGCAACTCCTCGCAGAACACTTACTACGCCAACCTCCGCCGTAAGAATGGCCGCGAAAAGCCCTACAACGTACGCCTACCCCGCTGATACTGGTTTACATAACGACGTTTACTAACTACTCTCCCCTATTAAAGGTGAAATACTGGGCGCTGGGCAACGAGATGTGGGGACCGTGGCAGGTCGGACAGATGACCAAGGAAGACTACGCGCACAAGGCCTACCAATGGGCTAAGGCCCTCAAGCTGCTCGACCCGTCCCTCGAGCTCATCCTCTGCGGCCAGGATGGTACCAGCACCTGGGACTCGTATGTCGTCAAGGAGTGCATCCGCTGGGAGCCGCACGCCCTGGGCGGCTCGCAGACGGCGTCGCTCATCGCCATGCACAGCATCCACATCTACACGGCAGCCAAGGAGCACCTGCCCAACGCGACGGCGCCGCGCAGCGCGGAGCGCGCCATCGAGATCACGGCGGGCCTGATTGACCTTGCGCGCGTGGAGAACAAGGTTCCGCCGACAGTGCCGCGGCCGACCATCTGCTTCGACGAGTGGAACGTGTGGGACCCCGTCCGCGCACCGGGCGAGAAGGGCGCCGAGGAGAAGTACACTCTGTCGGACGCGCTGGCCGTGGCCGTCTGGCTGAACGTCTTCGTGCGCCAGAGCCGGCACGTCGGCATGGCCAACATCGCCCAGAGCGTCAACGTCATCAGCCCGCTCATGACGCACAAGGATGGCCTGGTCAAGCAGACGACGTGGTGGCCGCTGCTGCTGTTCAGCAAGTACATGCGCGGCCACACGGTCGCCGTCAACGTCGCCTGCGGCGAGTACGAAGGCCCCACCCAGCCCGACTGGATCCGCGGCACCGTCGAGACGCCCTGGCTCGACGTCTCGGCCGCGATTACCGATGACGGCTGGATCGGCTTGGCCGTTGTCAACGTGCACGAGCAGAAGAGCTTCGAGACCAGCTTGGATGGCGTCAGGGGGCCTGTCAAGGTGTACACGGTGACGGGCCCTTCGTGGGAGGCGGTCAACGTGCAGGGCAAGGAGGAAGTCGGCATCAAGGAGAGCGAGTGGGATGGTAAGGGCAAGTTCACATTCCCCAAGTTGAGCTTCACGTTGTTGAGGTGGAAGGCTTGAAGTGGAAAAAGGGGAACATGATACGACTTTTTTGTCCTTTGAGTATATAGATTGCTCGGAATAGAATTGAATATGCTACCTTTGGTTAGTGATCTGGAGATTTGACCTCTTTTCCCGGCAATCTGCATGTTTGCCATTTTCTTTTCTTCGTGCTGTCTCGAAATGAGAAAAGCTGCTCTGATGCTTAAGCAGTTCCATGGGCACACCAAAAACTTTTCAGATATCCTCCGTCACTCCTCTAATAGTATAGCTCATGCCACGTATATTACATCATCTGGTGGATTTCATACCTTGTCCCCAGATCCGCGAGCATCCGCACGACATCCGCATCTGGCTTGTTGGAAAGTTCAACTTGCGGATCCCCAACTAGGCGTGAGAGCGCGATTATCTTTTCCAGATGTGGCAGATGCTGATCCTTATCCTCAGCATACTTCTTCAGTCCAGCATCGAGTTCGGAAGGAGTCCAGGGAGCCCGATAATATGGCTTCCACCAATGACCGGAAATCGAATCGAATCCTTCGAAGGTCTTCCATGTGATGGGGTCATCTCGCACGCGGAGCTCTCGCAAAGACGTCGGAAGACTGCTCAAAGTCCTCCCTCCTTCCCTACCGAATAGGACCGCCGGGGATATTTCGAGCGTTTGGAGTTTGACGAGGTCCGAGAGCGGGCCAATGCTGCCGCGTAGCGAGCATTCGTAGATGCTGTAGACATTGTGTTTGAATAGGACTTCCCGCAGCCGATCGCACCTGTCCTCCAGCGCGATGGGTCCAACGCCGTACCATTGCAGCACTGCGACGTCAGAACACATGTCATCAGGCGAAAAGGAAACCACGAGACGCAGGTGTTCAAGGTTGAAGAGTGGAGGTGCGGAGCCGGCGGGTGCGGGGAATGGACTCTCTTTAGATCCCAGCTGACCGCGAAGAACCCTGCTCAGGACCGAAAGAGGCCGACCCTTGGTGAAGTCAGGCACGGCGTCAAACATCATGTCGTCTATCTTGCCCAGATCGAGCTCGAGGTTCAGGCTGGTGAGGTTGGGGGCGACGAGCAGTAGTGTTTGCAGTTGGTTGAGGAGTTTCACCGTGGTGACGACCTTCATCCTGGTAAGCATCTTAAGCACCGGCGGTGTCCATGACGTCGCGGTAGGGCGGAAGCCGTCGAAGCTCAAGCTAAAGCTGTGGAAACGGGGCAGAGCTGCGATCTGCTCCAGCATCACTTGGCTCAGTTCTTCGGCGTCCGTGATGGCAATCTCGCCGAGATTCTGCATCTTGGAGTATCCAACCGAGTGCGCCCAATTTGATGGGATTAAACCAGTGAATTTGAGCTTTCCGATATTCGGGCAGGCATCCAAGAGCTGTTGCAGGACATATTTGAGCTTCTCATGCTGTCGAAGACGTGAATCACAGGATGGCCTATGCTTCCTGGATGCGGTGAGTGGACAGCGGCAGTAAATTCCTCTTTCCACGAAGTAAGGAAATGAAATCTGGACCGAGGTATACTTGGAGCCGTGCGGGTGTCTCAGCTGGACTGTTTTGACGAGAGAAGCAAGTGAATCTGTTTCACGCAATAGATTGGCAAGTTGGAGTATCTGGTTGACGTTGGTGGTCAATGGCTCGTGAAGCCGGATTGACACATTCTCGTAGAGTGCTCGACTCGCAAACTGGAAGCTCTTGCTGCAAAGCACCATGTGTGCCAAGTCAGAGCATGACAGGTAGCGGCATATCCTGAGCTGGAGCTCTGCCGGCAACGAGATCAAACTCATGGATGCAGGGTTTTCGAAGTGGCTGAGATAGTTTTGGGTTTTGTGAGCGGTTGCATCCGGCGGTGAGTCCCACTGAGGAAGATGGAGGAGTAAAGACCGCCGTTGGACGAGGGTTGTTGCATGCGAGGAAACGTGAAGCAAGAAAGAGATGTTGGGTGTTCAGATATGCCTTTCAAGAACTTCACGACACGAGGCGTATTTATTGGCGAGGTACCGAAGGCTTCACATGCTTCGAAACTCAGACTTTTTGTTATCCACGAGCAAAAGTGAGATAGATGTACACATGACTATGAACACGCACGTCATGAAGTAGGAAATTGATACACCAAACTCGGCCCTCTCAAGCTGAGAGGTTCCGATACCGCACACTGCGATGGCTAATCCTTTTCTATGAGCAAATGGGGGCAATCCGCTAAGCTTGGTGGTAGTAGACACGCGTAAGAGAGCGGATTTGTAGGAGTGAACGAGCAGCAATTTGAATGACATTTGTTGGTCGCGCACAAACGCTCAATATAGGCGGAAGAGGGCGCGGCAAGCGGAATAGCGCGCGAAGGTGAGGATTGTCTTTTCAGAGGAATGATGTAGTTGAGCTGGTAGTCAAACGGATTCGTTTGCTGTGCGGGATTGACCACGACAAATAAAGACCCCGATTTTATGCCTGCCTCGTGCGGTGCTACCTCAGTGAGGCGCGGCCGCGTTTACAGGGTCTGGGCTAACCCTTGGGTCTGCTGGTCCACTGGGTCCGCAGGCGCTTTTTTCCAACACCACGCGCGTTTTTCGCCTCGCTCCAACACCACTCCCGCCCAGCCCACACCTCCAGCCCAGACAAGACTTTGAAGATCGAGCACACGAAGTCCACACGAGGGCAAAAATGCCCGAGCTTCTGGACCTCCCAACAGAGCTCCTGCTCAAGGTCGTGAGCGTGCTCCATCGCTCGCAAGACGTCGCTGCTGTAGCTTTCACCTGCAAACAGCTTAACCGCGTCGCAAGCGGTGAGCTCTACGAGAGAATCCGACTGCACATCACCGCACCTAATGACCCTGCCAAGCTCGGAGTTATTGTGAATCTGGCCTCGTCCCTGTTTCTTGGCGATCCCGCCTTGAGAAATTCCACAAAGACCATTGCAATCACTCTGCCTCCCCTTTCTACGCACTATCTCCCTCGCCTTGTTTCACCCGAGGTCATGAAGAATCTCCATGCTGCGGCTTCAGTTGACGCGAGTGAGGAGCTGGCGCGATGGGGCATGACAGCTTCGCAGCAGAGAGTCAGCCTTGCCGACGGCCAAGTTTGGGCCTACATAACACTTTTCTTGCGCGCTTGCCAGAATATTCGTACTTTGACCCTCGACGGAAACTTCTTCGAGAAGCTGGGATTCTGGGATACTGACCTCTCCGTTTTCGAGGAGCTCGACACGGTTGAACTGATCACGACCGATACCGAGAGGTTTCCTCGCCCTCGGCCCAGCGTCACGATTCTTGCAAGTCTGTCCGACGTTCCAAACCTCCGAACACTCCGTCTCACAGTTAATGGACCCTGGACTTTTCCTCGGCTCTGGCTGTTGCAAGCCCCCCGAAGGAGTTTTCACCTATTCACGAACATTACTGTTCTCGTCTTATGGAAATCCGAGCTTAACATGTTGACCATCCGCACTTTGCTCGGCCATATGCCGCATCTAGTCACACTTGAGATTGACCTCTTATTTGGTATCCAAATTGAGAGCCACGACTTCAGTCTCAAGTGGTGCCTCGTTGACCTCTGCAGACTCCGAAAGGCCATCTTGGGCACCGGGCTTCCTGGCGCCTTGGGTAGAAACCGTGCCGAGGGAAAACACTGCAGCAGTACGCTCGAGAATCTGAAGATTTCAGTCGACTTTTCGTTAAGACGCTCTCGCACCCCGACCGAAATCATGATCTTCGAAGACCATGTCTTGCCGGAGCAGGAAGAAGCTTCGAGCGGCTGGGATGACAGCGACAGCGACGAAAGCAGCGATGAGAGCAGCGAACAAGAGGAGGAATCTGACAGCGATCAAGACGAAGAAAGTGACAGCGATGACGAAGACGAAGACGAAGAAAATGACAGCGAAGACGAAGACGAAGATGAAGAGGGCGACAACGTATCATATGGAGCAGTGTACGAATCAGACACTACGTCCGGACCCATTCACCAACGCCGCACGCACTGGGAAATCAACAAGCTTGGGTCGTTGAAGAGGCTCAAGAATCTCAAGAAATTGGAGATAGAGCCAATGCTGCTATTTGGGAACCTCCGGTCCGCACCGGCTCAAGACGATAGCGACATGGAACCAGAACGCATACCCTACTGGGCCCCTCTCGATGCACTGCTCCCGGATTCTTTGGAGGAATTCCACATCGCATGTGGGCCGGTCGACTGGGTACTTTTGTGGGAGAGCGAATGGAAGATCGAAGAATCGCAGGGCGCGGGCGCTGATCTGGACTCTCTCTTTGAGATGTTCAAGGCGTACAAGGAGGGAGGTGGGAACATGCCAAACCTCCGGAAGGTCGTAAATACCGCCCAGGCATCAGTTGGTCTGCCGGAGGGCGCCAGCTGGGATGAACAGCAGATGCAGTTGAAGAATATGCTGGAGGACCTCGCAATTGATTATGAGTGGTCAGGCTAGGATATCGACGATGGATGGCTGAGAGCCAGCGGAATGACAGAACCCAAAAATAAAAACAAAAAGAAGTTTAAAAGACCGAAAAAAAAGATGATAGGACTGGATAAGTCAGAAGGAATTCATCATAATTAAGATCGAGGGCCTCATGCAAATGCAAATCCAATCAGAGCGGTTACATTTCCAAAAATAAGGTCTAGAGTAGAGGCTAACATTTGCCACTTTTCGAACCGCATCCGCGACGAGATGTTGTACGCTATTAGTAATTACGAGGAAGAAATGGAAACTCTTACAGAGAAAGAGACACGAAAATATTGAGTTGTGGACGTAATGGAGCTTTCCAAGGGCTGGTCCAAGAGCCTGGATATTCGCTAAGTTCGAAAAGAAGGCCCTGTATCGTTCGTAGTGACACTCGCTGAAAATTTGATTGACAGTCGAGGCAATATGTTGCTCACATGAAACCCAATAGCTCACGCTTCGCGCCGCCCGTTCTGCGTCAGTTCGAGTGCCTCCGGCACGTCTCGCCTAACAGCGTCCACGATCTCGTGCCAGATCTGCTGGCGCATCTTCTCGCCTGTTTCTCCCATGAGCATCGGGTCCAATCTGATCCGCGGTTAGTAATCAGACAAATAGATCTGTGTACACGGATGTACCCACTCGAGTAGTTTATCGCTGTGCCAGAATCCGTCATGCGCTTCTTCGCCCAGACAAACAGCACTAACCAAGCTTCTTGCGCCTTCCTCTGCCTCTCTGGCAAAGATGGCATAGAACAGCCATCCAAAGACTTTCGCTGCAGCGCCGGTGTAATGTCTCCGAAGGTCACTCTTGCAGAATCCTGGAGATGCCGACATGACAACCACATCCTTCCCATCCTCGGTGTATGCATCCATAGCCGCAAGGCTTCGCATGGCATACATGACGAGTGCCTTTGAAATTCCATACTGCTTCCGCCCATTGAAGCCTTCTTCTCTGTTGAATTTCTCCAACAGCTTCTCCCCTGGCGAGCCCAGCTTCGCATGCCGATACAAACTCGATCCCACAATCTCCAGAACCGGCGGTCTCCCATCGTGGACCGTCTCGTTGCTCTTCTTTAGCACTGGCAGTAACAACAACCCCAGCAACGCCGTCCCCAGCACATTGACCTGCAGCGTCTCTTCCCACCCGTGCTTGCTCCTCTTCAACTCCTTCATGCTTACGCCCGCATTTAGTACAGCGGCATCCAACCTCTCCAACTCGCTCGCGACCCTCTCGGCAAACTGCTCAACGCTCTCAAAATCCAGAAAGTCCACCTCCCACACGTCGATGACGCAGTCGCCCGTCGCCTCGCGCGTGGCGATCTTTCGCTTTCGCTGCGCGCGCTGTTGGACGGTCTGCTTCGTCTTCTCGCCCTTGGCGGCGGCGTCGCGCACGCCGAGCACGAGGCGCGCGCAGCCGAGCTGGGCGCACTTGATGGCGGCTTCGAGGCCGAGGCCGGTGCTGGCGCCGGTGATGAGGATGGTGCGGCCGGCGAGCGAGGTCGTCGGGTCGCGCGGCGGCGACCACTTGTCGCGGAGCAGGCGAAGGAATCCGGACATGAGAGAGGCGACGGATGCTTATTTTTCCACGGTTCCAGCGTTGGCTTCGGAAGGGCTAAAAGTTGATGAGGTTGGTCGCGGGGCGAGGGTGACAGCTGGCATTGGAACGCATACTGATTGTCAGCAATTGAGTGGGGGCAAATTCTCGTTGCCGCTTCTACTACGGTGTTTCTACGACGAGGTCAGCCACCACATTAAGCGTTTTTCCAAGCCGGTAGAATCCGGCAATTTGGACTAATAACTCTTCCTGATGGGCCTGTATTAACTCACCTCAAAGGGCCCTGCTGACGCCCTATGGTCCTATGTTCAGGCTTGAAAGGATTCCTCGTCACACCACCTGATTTATTGCGGACTATTCTTCCCACAGTGATCGTGTGAACGTGCTTGAAGCGATATGTTGTATACGAATGGAGAATGCGCGCGTCTACAGAAAAAACCCGAACAGGAAGATCCCTGGTTAGTTGAAACGGCGTACCCGGTAGTTAGGCATGTTTTAGGCATACCATTTTGTTGTTCATTGCGTTGCTTCAAGTAAAGTACAAGCTAACCGTTCCTGCGGAAGTGTGGTCGTCCTCTTTTGAATCGTCGTATATCAATGCTGTCATGGCTCTATCTGTGAGATGAGTTATGGCTTTGCTACTACCAGGCATGTCAACCACTTTGGCGTATTCGTACCCAATCTTCACCCAGTGGTTGGGGAACATTGGATCAGAAAAATAACCAGGCCGCGAGGAGCTGGTCGTAGTAAGAAAGTCGGTTCAGGTGGTGATTGCGGCTAGATGGCCGGAGTTTGACGTCAATGACAGGGGTGGGGCGGAGAGCGTGTCACGAGTCATGCGAAGTCTGGGGAAGCCGAGGTCTCTTTCACATGCATCGCGTCGCGACAACATCATCGCCCATCCGAACATCCCTTCCGAGAGCATGCGACGCCGTCCAGCTCCAGCCCTACCCTCCCCGATGCCCCGCTGAGCCGTGACCCCAACTCAACATGGCTGCGCAGTCGAAGCTCCTGCCCTCGGACCGCTCGCTTAAGGGAATCGTCAACGAGCTCACCTCCCTCTACTTGAAGCATCGGACACGTATCTCGCGCGCCGTATATCTCACCCTTTTCGTCGCCCTGATCAACCGCGTGCGCATCGCCATATCCGAACAAAAGGCTGCATCTGCCCGTCATGCCGAAGCCCGGAGGAAGCCAGGCACAGGCTCGACCGAAGGCGAAGCTACCTCGCGCAAGAAGGTTGAGCTCAATCGCGACTTCTTCAGAAACCTCTTCAGGCTCTTGAAAATTGTCATTCCGGGATGGCGGAGTAAGGAGCTTCGGCTGCTCATCAGCCACACCGTCTTCCTGGTCCTCAGGACTCTGATCAGTCTGTACGTTGCGGAACTGGATGGTCGGCTGGTCAGCAGCTTGGTCAGAGGCAAAGGCAAAGACTTCTTGAGCGGACTGGTGTGGTGGATGACAGTGGCCATTCCGGCCACTTTCACAAACTCTATGGTAATTACACACGACTTGCAACCTCAACTGCTTCATGCTGAACAGGGACTAGCTCTCCTACCACCAGTGCAAACTCTCCCTCCAGTACCGCACTCGCCTCACGAACTACATTCACAACAAATATCTCTCTCAAATGACCTTCTACACCCTCTCTGCCCTGGATGATCGCATTAAAAATGCAGATCAATTGATTACCGTCGACGTCGCCAAGTTCTCGAACAGTCTTGCAGAGCTGTACTCCAACATCGCAAAACCAGTCTTGGACATGGTCATATACAACTATTCGTTATCACGAAGTGTTGGTGGGGAAGGCCTGTTCGCCATGAGCTTGATCGTCCAGCTTTCGGCCAGCATCATGCGCGCGCTTACGCCTCCATTTGGCAAATACGTCGCCGAAGAAGCGCGCTTGGAAGGAGAATTCAGATTTCAACATTCAAGACTGATAGACTACAGTGAAGAGGTAGCGCTGTACTCTGGACATGAGGCCGAGAAGGATACTTTGGACAAGGGCTACTTCACTCTGATCAAGCACGTGAACCGGATATTGAGGAGACGGTTTTACCATGGATTCATGGAGGATTTTGTCATCAAATACTTCTGGGGAGCGTTGGGCTTGATGCTCTGCAGCGTTCCGGTCTTTTTCAAGATCCCTGGTGTGGCTGGAAACAACATGGGCGACCGCACCGAGAGTAAGTCATATCGTCTGTCATTGAAGGAGAAAAGTGCTGACTGTGCGTTTTCAGGTTTCGTGACCAATCGTCGCATGCTTCTCAGCTCCTCGGATGCCTTTGGCCGACTTATGTTCTCATACAAAGAGATCATGGAACTCGCTGGATACACTGCCCGGGTTTCTACACTTCTGGATGTAATGGACGAGATCCAAGCAGGACGCTTTGAGAAGAAGCTGGTGTCATCCGCCGACACGGAAGAGAACGCGGCGGTGCTTCGGGGAAGAGGCCAAGTTTCCGAGGGCGAGGATATAGAATTCGTTGACGTCCCAATCGTGTCACCAAACGGCGATGTCCTGGTCCGCAAACTCAGCTTCACTGTTAGGCCTGGAGACCACATGCTAATCGTTGGTCCCAACGGTTGTGGCAAGTCTTCTCTTTTCCGCATATTGGGTGGACTGTGGCCGGTCTATGGAGGAACTGTCAGAAAGCCCCCATTCGAGGACATCTTCTACATCCCGCAACGGCCATATCTCTCAAGGGGGTCTTTGCGACAGCAAATTATCTATCCGGACGGGGTGCGCGAGATGAGGGACAAGGGTATCACCGACGCTGACCTTCTCCGCATTCTTTCCGTTGTGGAGATTGAGTCGATTGTTGAGCGCCCGGGTGGTTGGGATGCAGAGCAGGAATGGACGGATGTCCTCTCTGGAGGACTCCAGCAGCGAGTCGCTATGGCCAGGCTGTTCTACCACGCTCCGAAGTACGCTATTTTGGACGAGTGCACCAGCAGTGTTACTCTCGAAATCGAGAAGGTCATGTACGACGAGGCCAAGCGTTTGGGGATCACTCTGATGACAGTCAGTCATCGGAGGAGTTTGTGGAAGTACCATACGAACATTCTCCAATTTGATGGTCAAGGCCACTACGTCTTCACAAAGCTGGACGCCGAAAGAAGATTACAGCTTGAAGAGTAAGTTTCCCTAGCGTCTAACAGATTCGCTGTGATGCTAACAGATTTATAGCGAGAAGGAAGACTTGGAACTGCAGCTTCGCGCAGTTCCCGAGATTGAGAAGCGCATTGCCGAGCTGACGGCTTGAGCGTTTTCTCCTTCGGCTTGTGAACATAGGATTTGTTCTATTCCCATGTTGGTCTAATGTTGCCATGGCTTCTGCAGAAAGTGTACTAGAGGCGTTTCAAGCGAGATCTGTACATGTGACCGGATCTAGGGTGGAATGGCGCAGGAATGGGATACACATGACCGGCCGGTCATTCTTGGTGGATATGTTGATGATATGCTTGTGCCGGTAGACAATGAGTAATTCCATTGAATTATGCGGAAAATCGCCCCATCACCCCATTCCAGCCCAATTTCAACCTACGACACGCAGGCTGAGAAATGTCGCGAGACATTGCCCCGTTGAAGCGACTGTGGCGGTGGGTGGGTGATGTCACGTGCGCCGATCGATTAGCGCGAAGGACGGGACGCGTCGAAAGCTTGGGGTAAGTTGGATTGACCTCATCCCACAACAGCTCCCATCGACCACCCCCGCTCGTGCTGGGCAATGAGACGGCCGCCGACGCAACCTCATTAGCCTCTCGACAACGCTGTTGGCCCTCGGAAGCAGCCGCCGTCGTAGAATCCCGCTCTTTTCCCCAGACAAGGAGATCGACACGCCGCCATCAAATGAACAACTCATAACTTGCGGCGAAAAGCGACCGACGACGCATCGACCTCGCTAGTCTTTTCGCACCTATCCATCCGCATCGGAATTCACAATGGGGGACGCCAATCTGAAAGTTGGCCAAGTCATTGAGCTTAATGACGGCCGCATCGGCGTGATTCGCTTCATCGGCGACACCGCCTTTGCCGAGGGTCTTTGGGTCGGCGTAGAGTTCGACGATCCTTCTGGAAAAAACGATGGCTCGGTACAAGGAACGCGGTATTTCGACTCGAAGCCCGGCCATGGCATGTTCTTGCGGCCTATGGGCGTGGCCCGCATCGTCGAGGAGCCGAAGCCGAAAGCTCCTGCCAGACCTGCTGCGGCAAGGCCTGGGGCTCCTGGAGCCGTCGCCAGGAGGGCTACTGGGTCAATCGATCAAGGCAAAGGAAGGCCATCGAGCATGGTAGCAGAGTCTTCGACTCCGAGGCCGAGGATGGGGAGTAGGCCGTCCAGCATCGACACGAAAAGCCCTGCGGCTGGTACAAGAATCGGAGTAGGACTTGATCGCGCCTCGAAATGTGTAATTCTGCTAATTTGATGCTGCAGTCTCCCACCAAGAGGCCCGCAGCCGGCTCGATTTCTCGCCCGCGTCCAAGCATAAGCGGCGGAACGACAGCGCCCCCAAGGCGTACTTCAACAACATCGACGGGTGCCGCAAAGTCGGCGACGGCAAGCGCAGCAACCGCCGCCAAACATGCCCCCAGGCCATCTATCAGCGGCGCCCGGACTGGCTTGGCCAAACCAGGTGAAGCTTCTACAGCCAGAACCGCGGCAGCCCGCCAGTCCCTCAGTGTCGCGAAGCCACGTCCGGGCGCGAGTCCTCCATCTTCCAGCAGAACCTCTGCCTCCCCCTCGGCGCCAGTGGCCCAACGGAGCGTTAGCGCCGTGCAGAAGGACGCCGAGATCAAAGAGCTCCAGACAAAGCTCCGAGTATTGGAAGAGAAGCGTGCTGAGGATAGGGAGAAGATCGCAACGCTGGACAGGGTGCAAGAAGAGCGCAACAAGTACGAGCAAATCATTCAAAAGCTGCAGACGAAAATTCAGCCGCTCTCGCAGGAAAACAATGAGCTCAAGAAGAACTTGAAGGAGGCAGAGTCAAGGCTCGAGCAGGTTGAAGCCATCCAAGCTGAGCATGAGACGATTCTGGAGATGGCCACCTTGGACCGCGAAATGGCTGAAGAACAGACAGAAGCGTACAAGGCTGATCTCGAAGCCGTCAAGCAGCGTCTTGAGGAGTTGGAGCTGGAGAACGAAATTCTAAAGGACGAAAACCAAGAACTTGGGCAGGAAATGAACCCGGAGGAGAGGACGAGCATGGGATGGCTTCAGTTGGAACGCGAGAACGAGCGGCTGCGTGAGGCTCTCCTGCGTCTGCGCGACATCACCCAGGAGTCAGAAGCGGAGCTGCGCGATCAGCTCAAGAGCTTGGAGGAAGACAACCAGGAGCTTTCTGGTGTGAAGGAGCAGTATGACGAGACCAAGACGAAGCTTCTGGAAGCAGAGGCGGACATTGAGGATCTGCGGCAACAGCTCGACGCTGCTCTTGGAGCCGAGGAGATGATCGAAGAGCTGACCGACAAGAACTTGGCTTTGAACGAGTACATCGAGCAACTCAAGGTCTCGATCGAGGAGCTCGAGACACTCAAGGAGCTCAACGACGAACTCGAGGTCAACCACGTTGAGAACGAGAAGCAGCTTCAGGAGCAGATTGACTTCAAGGATGCCATCATTGGCGACTTGGGCCGCCGCGCTATGCAGCAAGACGAGACCATCTCAGACCAAGAGTACACCATCTTGCGCTTCCGCGAGCTGGTAACCAACCTGCAGTCCGACATGGAAGACATGAGAGCTTCCAAGGAGATCAGCGAAACGCAGGCGCAGGATCTGAACAACCGGTCGAGAGCTATGATGGATCTCAACAGACAGCTCCAAGCTTCTGCCTCCAGCACCAAGATGAAAACCATCGACATGGAGCTACGGAAACTTGAGGCCCAGGAAGCCGCTGAGCATCTCTCCATTGTCCAGCTGTTCCTTCCGGAAGCCTTCCATTCGGAGAGAGAGTCTGTTCTGGCCCTACTCCGTTTCAAGAGAATTGGGTTCAAAGCATCGCTTGTGCACAACTTCGTCAAGGATAAGGTGTCTGGAGATGCACCGATTAACGATGAGGACATCTTCGAAGCTTGCGACGTCCTCGACAAGCTCACTTGGATTTCGGCCATGTGCGATAGATTCGTCACAGCTATCTCGACATGTTCTCTGGATCAGTTCGCCAGGTTTGAGGGTACTCTGTATGAGCTTGAGCCTGTTGAACGCGCCCTCAACGGTCACATTGATGGTCTTAAGAGAGATGAGCTCAAAGAGAAGCAGGTTGCGGAGGAGCTTCACAGGTATGTTGCTGTTAACTCTGATATTAGTATTCTGTCTAACGTTCACCTAGATCTATTGCTGTCATGTCTCACCTTGCTGAAACTCACCTTGGTGATGGCCTTGAGGGTTATGCCAACGATATTGTCATGCGTACGCTGCTTATGCAAAGTCACCTGGAGACCACCGCTGCTGCCCTCATGCTTGTCAAAGGAGAAGTCCAGACTCGCATTCCATCACAGGGCGAAGATGAATATGATGGAGTCGACCGCTTCATCTCTAAGACTGAAGAGATCATCGCGCAGTCTCGCAGCGCGAAGGTTATTGTTGGAAAGGCTCTTCGCACCCTGCAAGAGCTCAAGGCTCGCTCGCTTACTCTGCAGAACGACACTCTCAACTCATTTGAAGAGTGCCAAGATGCGTCTGACGATCTTGCACATTATGTTCGGAAGATGGGCGAGAACGTGTTCCAGCTGCTCCATGAAGACACCCGCACCGAACCTTTCACTATCAGCGAGGTCCGCAGTGCCATGTTCAAGGCTTCTGAGGAGGTGTTTTCCGTGTCAGAATCTGAGATGTATGCGACCTTTGCGGCCAGGCTTCGCAAGCTTAGCGAGGACCTTACCGAGCTTGTCAACATCACTTCCGACCTTGAGCTCACTGTTGAGTTCGAGAAGCACCCTGCACCTTGGGTCCTGCGGTCCAAGGAGCTCCAGGACAGCAAGATCGTGTCTGTGGACACGGAAGAGGAGGTCCGTCGCCTCAAGGAAGAAGTCCACGCCAGATCCATGCAAATCAAGCTGCAAGAGCAGAAGCACGAGGAAGCAGCCGTCAAGATCGAGCTCCTCGAAAGCCGCACGCGCGACTCATCCAAGAAGGCGCAGCGCATCACCGAGCTCGAGAAGAAGATCGAAGAGAACAAGAACCGGGAGAAACAGCTCGCCGAAGCCCTCGAGACCCAAGTCCGCGATCTCGCCGCCCTCGAGACGGAGAAGGAGAAGTGGAAAACACAGGCAGAACAGGCCAAGGCTATCGAGGCGGCCATGGGCGGCGAAGGCAGGCGCGACTCTGGCGGCGAGAAGACGGTTGCTACGAAGCGCGAGATCGATGCGCTCAAGACGGATATCCAGTATCTGGAGGCGGCCAACAGGTTCTTGCGCCAGTCGAACCGCCGCGAGCACATCGGCAAGGTTGCGGCCAGCACGTCATGGCTGCGCACTACGCTCGTGCCGCCGAGCAAGGTGGCGGCATCGGCGGCGGATGGTGCGGCGCAAAATGCCGAAGCCATGCCTAGGCGCAGGCTTGCGGCACTGCAAGAGATCACAAACTTGCCCACTGTTTCGAAGCTGGTGAATTTGAAGGACACTGGGGACTCGGAGGAGGAAACGGGCGCGGACACTGCTGGCGAGAACATTCGTCCGAAGAATAGTAAGCTCAGGTGGAGGCCGATGAAGAGCACGCCGCAGTGGCAGCTTAGCGAGCAGGAGCTTAGGAGGGCAGAGGCGTGGGAGGCGCTGTGGGGCGGAAAAGGTATGGGTGGATTGTATGACGATGGGGGCATGGACACTCCGTGGAGTGTGAGCACCGGAGCTGTGGGGATAGTGCGGTGATGGAAAGCGGAAGAACGCTATACGTTATGATACCCAATGAGGTCTTATGAAGCGACGAATGAGGAAATCAGATCAAAGGCTACGTGCTTCCTTGGGCATTGTGTTCAAATTGATACGCAAAACAGCAAAATAATCAGGCATGCCGGTTGGCCGTTTTTGGGACAGCCACCTAACTCTCGTCATAACCCAGAAATTGCCTAAACCTCTCGTTCTGAATTTGCATTCGTGCAAATCACTACATCAATTACTGATTTTCCGGCAGACTGAGGGAGAACGGCCTATCTGAATACTCCGTAATTCACCTCACTCCTCAGAAATTAACGCCTTAGCTCCATAACTTTATTCTTGTCGTCTATATTTAATATCACTTGAGCCAGAGATAGCACAGCACTCGTAAACCATTCTTGCAGGCTTTTTTTGTGTTCATCGCTTCGCTAAAGTGACTGCCGCATACGACATTAGATCTAAGACCCTCGAAAGTAGCGCACGGGCCACGACTTTTGCTTATCGATACGAAACTTTTCATCGGCACCGAATTGGATCTGGCGACAAACCACCGCTTCCTCCGCACGCCTCGCCGTGAAGAGCAAGATGAGTCTGAACGAGAGGCTCGACAAGATCCGCTCCTCGCCGAAGCTGCAAAATCAGCAGCAGGTTAGTACTCACGCCCACCTTCGCCTACATTCCCCCCAATAACCTTTGCGCCAGACGGCGGTGGTTCTTTCCGCGGTCGAAGACACGCTCCGCGACCAGAAGTCCGATTTCACGCCCACCGCATACTTCGCGGCCCTCCTGTCGCTGCTGGCCCAGTACATCTCGCCGCAGAAGGGAATTGTCAACAAAGAGGTAGCCACCGCCGTGGTCTACCTGCTCGACCTCGTCACCCCCAATGTGCCCGCCCCGCTGCTGCGCGCGAAATTCTCGCAGATCCTGACCAACCTTGCGCCGGCCCTGACACACCCGGAGGCGGAGGCCCCGCTGCTGCGCTCGTCGATTGGATGTTTGGAGGGCCTGCTGGTTGTGCAGGACGCCCAGGCTTGGGCTCTGCCGCAGTCTGAAGTCAGCCCACGCAGGGCCGTCGCTGGCCTGCTCACCATCGCCGTCGACCACCGCCCTAAGGTGCGCAAGCGGGCTCAGGATGCGCTGGCCCAGGTGCTGAAGAACCCCCCGCCGAGCCCATCTCTGGACCATCCTGCGGCCGACATGTGCGCTGAGACTGCGCTGCGGTCGCTGAAGGAAATCACGGATGCCGCTGCGAAGAACAAGAAACACCACCGCTCTCAGAAGGATGGCCAATCGCACGAACCTGGTCTTATTCACGCTCTTCAGCTGATCAAGGTCATCGCATCCGCTGCTGGAGGATGGCCAAGCAAGAAGATTGACGCTCTTTGCGAACTCCTACTAAGCATTTCGAAGTCAAGCAACGAGTTCCTGACTATGGCGGCATTCGAGGTTTTCGAGGTTATTTTCGCCGGCATGGTCGACGAGATGTCTTCCGCGAAGCTCCCGCGTCTTCTCGAGGTCATCGGCGAGCTCCAGCCGTCACAGAATGATACGCAACTCCTGCCGCCATGGATCGCTGTGCTTTCGAGGGGTTACGATGTTGCTGCTCAGGTCGAGCCGGAGGAAACGTTCCAGAAACTGCCCGATCTGTTCTCGATGATGTCTAACTTCCTCGCGTCCGCCTCGCACAACATCCGGATCTCGGCTTCAGAAGGAATGATTTCGTTTGTCGCAAACTGCATCCCTGACAGTGTCCTTCTCGAGCCCTCAATATTCGACGAGAAGGTCCTCGAGAAGTTGGCGAAGAATGCGGCGGATCTGCTGAGTGTCAAATACCAGGCCGCTTGGATGGAGGTTTTCAATGTCCTTGCTGCTATGTTCGACGCCTTCCGCTGGAGAGCATCGCCGATCATGTCGAATGTTGTCAAAATCGTCGGTGACTTGAGAGGCAACGAGTCGTTTACGGGCAAGAAGGAGGCCGATGAGGTCCTTGGGAAGGCGGTCAGAGCCATGGGTCCCGACAATGTCCTGGAGATCCTTCCTTTGAATTTGCACAAGCCGGTCGCTGGTCAGCCCGGACGCGCTTGGCTTCTTCCAATCCTTAGAGATTCGGTTGCAAACACAAGACTGGCGCATTTCCGCACCGAGATGGTTCCCCTGAGCGAGGCAATGTTCCAGAGGGTATTGAACCACGGCAATGCTGAAAAGACCATGGAGGTCAAGATTTTCGAAACCATTGTTAACCAGACCTGGGCCACTCTCCCAGGCTACTGCGACCTGCCTATGGACCTGCATGAGGCTTTCGATCAGAGCTTTGCAGAGATGATTGCGAACCTTTTGTACCAGCAAGTCGAGCTCCGGACTGATCTTTGCCGAGCATTGCAGACTTTGGTTGAGTCGAACAAGGCCATCGCCGAGGTCGAAGGCGAAGAAGACCTTGTAGCCCAATCTAGGGTCTCCAAGGCTGACGCGCAGAAGAACTTGGAGTATCTTTCAGGCTTCGCATCGAATATTCTTGCCGTGCTCTTTAACGTTTACAACCAGACCCTGCCACAGTCAAGGGGTAACATTCTGAGCTGCATCAACGCCTATCTCAGTATCACTCCCGCTGGAGAACTCATGGAGACTTTCACACGCGTTGCTACTATGCTCGAGCAATCTTTGAGCGAGACTGGCTCGCAAACCCAGGCGGACAAGCAGAAAGACAAGAAGACCACCGACAAGATGCCTCCTGCAAGCCACACCTTGATGGACCTTGTCATTACCATTTCGATTTACCTGCCCCGGGAGAGTTTTGCAACGCTTTTCCAGATTGCGACGCTTATGATCAACAAGGACGACGATCCCCAGCTGCAAAAGAAGGCCTACAAGCTCATTCCGCGCCTTGCTGAGTCTGACTTGGGCAAAGCTGCTCTTCAAGAACGTAACGCAGAACTCCAAACATTGCTTCTGGACAGCGCGCCCAAGGCCACTAGCCCTGCGAAGCGTGATCGTCTGGCTGCTCTCTCCCAAGTCGTGGAATACCTCCCTGGCGACGATCTGCACTTCATTCCCGCCATTCTTTCGGAAGTCGTCATTTCTTGCAAGGAAGTCAACGAGAAGGCGAGAACAGCAGCTTTCGATCTGTTGGTCCTCATGGGCGAACGCATGCAGCAAGGCGGTACTGTCAAGCAGTCGAAGATCCCTCTTATGGACGCGTCTGCGCCAGACGTGCCCGCCACCCTTGAGGAATACATCACGATGATGTCTGCTGGTCTTGCCGGCTCGACGCCACACATGATCAGCGCCTCCATCACCGGAATTACTCGTATCCTGTATCAATTCCGCACATCTCTTCCTGACGCAGTGATTACGGATCTTGTGCAGACTATGGACCTGTTCCTTACCTCGGCCAACCGTGAAATCGTTCGTTCCGTCCTTGGCTTCGTCAAGGTCTCCGTCATTTCTCTTCCTGGTAGCCTTATGCTCCCTCGCCTGAACACGCTTATTCCGAACCTTCTGGTTTGGAGTCACGAGCACAAGGGTCACTTCAAGGCCAAGGTCAAGCACATTTTCGAACGCATGATCCGTCGTTTCGGCGTCGAGGTTGTCGAGAAGAACACGCCCGAAAGCGACCGCAAACTCATCACCAACATCCGCAAGACACACGACCGTCAGAAGCGCAAGAAGGCGGCCGCTGCGGCCGGCGAGGGCGAGGAAAGCCACCAGCCGGAGAAGCGGCGCAGCAAGTTCGAGAGCGAATACGACGAGGCCGTCTACGGCTCCGAGAGCGAGTCCGACTCCGGCTCGGACGTGTCGGACAACGAAGCCATGGGCCGCGGCAAGGGCAGCAAGAAGGGTGGCAAGACGTACATCGTCGAGGACGACGACGAGCCGCTCGATCTGCTCGACCGCCGTGCGCTGGGCAACGTCTCGAGCACGAAGCCCCTCAAGGGTGGCCGCGGCGCGCAGCAGCAGAAGACCAAGGCGAAGGTCGACTTGGACGGCAAGCTGGTTCTGGGCGACTCGAGCGACGACGACGATGGCATGGTGCTGGACGGCGAGCCAGGCGACGGCTCGCTCGAAGGCGGCATCAACGCGTACGTCAGCGCCATTCGCGGCCAGGATACGGGCGCGAGGAAGGGTCGGGGCGGCACGATCAAGTTCTCGAACAAGAGGAAGGGCGGCGATGGAGACGAGATGGAGGTCGACGAGGAGGAGGTGGCGGACAAGTTGAAGTCGAAGCAGCAGCCGTTCAGGAAGCCGCTTGGTGGTGGAAGGGCCGGTGGTGACAGCCGTGGTCGTGGTGGCGGCGGCGGCGGCGGCGGCCGTGGCGGTGGTCGTGGAGGCTTTGGAAAGACGAGGGGTGGGAGGATAGACAAAGGCGGCAGGGGTGGAAGGGGCGGAAGGGGTGGACGGAGATGAACGGGGCCTTTCTTTTCGTTTGGAGGTCAACAACGTTAATGAATGGCGTCGTGTGGAAAAAGTAGTTAGGTTTCGAATTGTTTATTCTGTTTTTGAGATTGCGGAATACCATGATTTCATTATTCTCATGCTTCATACCGAAGGACCTATGCAAAGCAAGACGCAGAATTTGTAGTCGGTGGAGAAACGCTGCATGAATTCTGTTAGTGAAGAGTGGGTCGATGTTATGTATGTTCACGGCCATGGCAAATGTTTTTCTTTTCATTCTTGGTCGTCTGTTAGCTCGGTACCTAGTACCTCATATGTGACGTCAGACGATATCCAATCACTCCCTGCAGCAAGCTCGAGTGAATCGCGGGATTCACAGATGTTAATTCCTTTGTTATACTCAGCAATTAGTCGTGGAAGAATTCACTGCGGCACTCTTTATGATACAAGACTCTTCGCCGCAATATCTATTGCGCTTACTACCGCGACCTTAGTACTACCAACGACGAAATGGATTGGCTATGATTCCATCTATTGGTCAAGGCGGACGGGGAAGGTGCCGGCCTCTGCAAACAGTCGTCAGCACTGAAGACTGCTGCCATTGAATCCATTGGGGAGCTACTCACCACGCTGATCGTTCCAGCGCTCGACCCAGCCGCTAGGGCAGAGCGACCTGTAGGCGAGGAGGAACTACGGCCTAATGTTAGCTTTTTGGAGCACGTGGGAGCTGGTGGACGGAAGACGGCGTACCTGACGGCAAGGAGCGAAGTCCTCACCCTTAGCAAGGATGCACTTGTGGTAGTCGACGTAGTTCTGCCAGCAGTGCTTGGTCCTGTGGTGCGCTATCAGTGCCCGGCAACATTATGGAGACAGACCAGGTCTATGGGAGAGCTCACTGGTTCTGGTTCGGGAAGCGGGCGTCGAAGCCTGTTGCGATGCGGCGTGAGCAGATGCGGATCATCCTCGCTTTAGCGAGAGCGAGCAATGGCCGGTCTGAGGGAACCTCCTCCACCCCATCATTCCAATGCGCAGTCTGCGGAGCTGCAGGGAGCAAGACCGGGGAGAGGAGTGGCCCGTGGGCGCCAGGGAACTTGGTGCGGGGATGACGTACCAGCTGTAAGTAGTGGGCTTAAGGTCAGCACTGGTTCGATCTTTCAACGGATGGACGGAACGAGAGCGCGCTCACCAGTAACGAACTTGAAGGGCTTGGTCTCGCGGTCGTCGGAGTCAGACATGGCGGCGGGGTCGAATTGGAGGTGGTGCGGGTGGTTGTAGGATAGCGGTTGTCGCGATGCAGGTTGCGGCGGGATGGGTGGTAATTCGGCGATGGTGGTTCGATGGAGGAGGGCGCGCAAAGAGAGAGGCCCGCGGCAAGTGCCGCCTGCGCGGTAGCTCCCACCGCCCTGCCGAACACAGCTGCGAGCACCGGCGGCCAGGGAGCCTCAGCACGCAGACGTCTAAGTCTTGGCGCGCAGCTTGCCCGAGGAATACCTATCCAAACGTCAACGCTCCCATCCTCGACACCTGCATCACCACCAACCCGACCCTCTCCACTCAAGACAACGCTGCTTGCCATGCTTGCCTCCCGCTCCATCGGCCTCCAGGCCGCCCGGGCTTTCCAGCCCATCCGCTTCGCTGCGCCCGTCAGCCGCCAGGCCCGCTTCCTCAACATGAGGGCCACCCCGCGCATGATGCGCCCCGTTCCTGTGCGTCGCCATGCTGTCGAGAGCTGATTAGCGACCCATGCTGACATTTTCTGCAGAAGGAGGAGCACAGCGGTACGCGCATTCCCCCAATGGCATCCGGAGTGCGCGCGCACAAGCGCACAAAGCCCGCTCGCCCGCCGGAAGCTCCTTATCAACCCAGATGGACGTAACTAACGCGCTTCCAACGCAGCCCACACCATCTCCCAGCGCATCCGCACCCTCAAGAAGATTCCCCCGGAGTTGATCCCCCTCGGTGCGTTTCCGCTCCCCCGGCGATGACATCAAGATTACGTGCTTGGGCTAACACTGCGTTTTGAATCATTACAGGCATCGTCCTTTGGTAAACACCCACAGCTCTCAGTGTCCATTGAAACATCAGCTAACGTAGGATGCGATTTTACAGCGTCGCCGTCGGTGCTGCTTTCTTCTCCATTTTCAGGAAGCTCTACGTCGACAAGACGCTCCGCCTCTCCAGGCAGAGGGGCCACGAGGCATAGATTGCCTTTAAATCACAGGTTGCAATAGTGGGAGGAGAAAAAAGACGAATCGAAGGCTGCGAGGAAAGCTTTTCTTTTCTGAATTTTCCAAGAAATTGAGGACCCATGGGATATCTTTGTACAGGAAGCGACCAGCTGCCCGTGTCCGAAATTCCAAATTCCTTGACATTAGATTCACATACGGGAAATGTCTCCTTTGTTACGCCTGTGACGCCGTCCCAATGCCGTGATAGCTCACACTTGAGATTTGATACGCTTCAATGCTTGCCCCAAAAAATATTGAGGTTCGGGTACCTCCTGACTGATTGGATCGGCCCCCCTGCCGTTGCTCGCTACGATCATGCAGCATGCCCTCTCAACCCCCTTCATTCAGGCTTTGGGCCAGCGACGTCTAGGCCTTCCAATCCCTGCATGGGATCCGCGGCTGTCATCGCTCCCGCCTTTGCTTGCTCAGCAGCCAAGCGGTCTTCATCACTGACCGCGTGCTTGGCCAAGTAGCCCTCCTACGCGTGGATTAGTACAGATTGAGCCACGAGATAGCATAAAATAGCAAACCTGTTCCCAGATGGCCGTCTTGCTTCCCAGACCCTCGTTCTGGTCCTTCTGCGGCTTCGCGGTGGCGACCTTGATGACGCGGCCGAAGAGCTCGCTCTGGTCCATGTTGTCGATGGCCTCGCGGGCGTCGGCAGCATGCTCGAACTCGACGTAGCCGAAGCCGCGGTGCGGATCGGTCGACGAAGGCAAGTCGGGCTTGGGCAAAGATATGTCGACAATCTCGCCGAAGGGCACGAAGGCGTCGTGCAGCGTGCGGCTGGTGACCTGGTTGTCGAGGCCGCCGACATAGACGGTCGCCTTGAGGCGCGCTGTTTCGGACATTGTGACGACAGCTATGGCGAACAGGAGTAGAGGCAGCGGCGGCGATCGGGATAAGAAAAGTCGATATCACGTGCAAGGTTGGGCAGTCCGTTTTGCTGGGTGGGCATGGTGCGGCGGGGCTGGTGGTCGCAGCTGCTGCCCGAGACATGAGACCCCCGGCTAGGCTTGGCGCTGCCCGCGAGGCCACCTTGTGGGAAAGTCGGCCAGGCATGCGCTCATGACGAACCGAAGCTCTCCCTCTCAATTCACGACGCCACGTTCCACCTAAATCCGCACCGAGCTTCCTTTTCCCTTCTCTCCTTCCCAGTGATACCCTTCCCTAATCCGCCGCTCGGCATCGTCACGCCTGTACTGTTCACGCCGCCGCCGAGCCCGCCGCTTCTCTCGACCACGCTGCAGCTATGGTCCGCCTGCGGGAGATCCCCCGGACGGCCACCTTTGCTTGGTCTCCCGGCGCCGCCCCGCCGCTGCTTGCCACCGGCACCAGGGCCGGCGCTGTCGACGCAGACTTCTCCAACGAGACACAGCTGGAGCTATGGGACCTTGCGCTCAACTCCCCCGAGCACCCCGTCGAGCTCCAGCCCGCCGCCAGCATAAGCCTGGATTCGAGGTAAATGCGCTGCGAGGCCCCGCCCGCCGCACACGATCCCACGCGCAACCGCTGCCGTAGCTAACCGCCACGGTGACGCCAGGTTCCACGACATCGCCTGGAGCCAGCCCGATGAATCTCGCCCAAGGGGCATAATAGCAGGAGCTCTGGAGAGCGGGAACCTGGATCTCTGGGATGCGCAGAAGCTTTTGGATGGCGCAAGGTAGGCCAATTGGCGTTGCTGCTTCTCTCTGCGCTCGTCTAACCAGGTCTAGTGACTCGGCCTTCCTCACCCGCGTCTCCAAGCACACCGGCGCCATCAAGGCCCTTCAGTTCAATCCCTTCAAGCCCGAGCTGCTCGCAACTGCCGGCGCAAAAGGCGAGCTCTACATCAACGATATCAACACCAACAACCCCTTCCGTCTCGGCAACACCGCTGCCCGCGCGGACGACTTTGAGGCCCTCGACTGGAACAAGAAGGTCCCCTACATCCTGGCTACCGGCAGCAATGGAGGTTTTGTGACTGTGTGGGATCTGAAGACAAAGAAGGAGAACTTGACTTTGAACAACTTTGGGAGGAAGGCTGTTAGCGCTGTGGCATGGGACCCCGATGTTCCCACGCGTCTGATTACTGCGGTGCCCAACGACCAGGATCCCCTGATCCTCATGTGGGATCTTAGGAACTCCAATGCCCCAGAGCGTGTTCTCAAGGCACACGACCAGGGAGTGTTGTCTTTGTCATGGTGCAACCAAGACAGTGACTTGCTTCTGTCGTGCGGCAAGGACAACCGGACCATCTGCTGGAACCCCCGCACCGGCCAGGCTTTGGGCGAGTTTCCCGTCGTCACCAACTGGACCTTCCAGACCAGGTTCCACCCTCACAACCCCGACCTTCTTGCGACTGCCTCGTTCGATGGTAAGATTGCCGTGCAGACGCTACAGAACACGAAGCAGGATACGGATGCGGCTGCTGCCGCCGCAGCTCCTCTGGACGGCGAGGATTTCTTTGCAAGAGCGCAGACCCAGCCTCAGGCGTCGACATTCACGCTTCCCCAGCCCCCTAAATGGATGCGGAAGCCTGTCGGCGTCTCTTTTGGCTTTGGTGGAAAGCTTATCAAGTTCGGGCCGGATGCTACTACCAAGAACTCCAAGATCAGCATTTCTACTTTTGCTGTTGACCCTGCGGTTGGCGAGGCGACACAGAAGTTCGAGGAGTCCCTGCAGAAGGGTGATTTGGCAAGCATTTGCGAGTCGAAGATCGCTGAGGCTAAGACCGAGGAGGAGAAGGCGGACTGGACGGTCATAGAGACTTTGATTTCTGGCAAGGCTCGCTCTAAGCTCCTGGACTACCTAGACTTCGGAAAGACGCCCAGCTCAGAGTCGGCAGACGAGGAGAACAAGGAGGCGCAGACAAACGGTACGACCGAGAACGACGATACGTCTTTCTTCGACAAGGCCGGTGATGGCGACGATTTCTTGTCTAACCTGGCAGCGACGAAGGGCGTCAAGACCAACAACCCCTTCAAGATTTACACCGGCGAGGAGTCGGATGCGGACAAGAACATTACGAACGCGCTAATGCTTGGGAAGTTTGAGCAAGCCCTGGATATCTGCTTGAAGGAGGACCGTCTTTCGGATGCATTCATGATTGCCATTTGTGGTGGCCAGAAGTGCATTGACAAGGCTCAGGCGGCTTACTTCAAGAAGAAGGCTGATGGCCCGAACTACCTTCGTCTGCTTGCTTCTGTTGTTGGTAAGAACCTTTGGGACGTTGTCTACAATGCGGATCTCGAGAACTGGAAAGAGGTCATGGCGACTCTTTGCACTTACGCAGATGAGTCGGAGTTCCCTGACCTCTGCGAGGCTCTTGGCGACCGTCTGGAGGAATCCATCCAAGAGGGATCCGAGTCCGGCAGCATCAGGAAGGACGCTTCCTTCTGCTACTTGGCGGGATCCAAGCTGGAGAAGGTCGTGGGCAACTGGGCTCAAGAGCTGCAGGAGAGCGAGGATGCTAGCATTGAACAGAAGGAGGGCGACAATGCCTTCTCAATCCACGTTAGATCCCTGCAGAACTTCATCGAGAAGGTCACCATTTTCAGGGAAGTCACGAAGTTCCAGGATTCGGAGCGCTCCAAGACGGAAGACTGGAAGCTTGCCCCATTGTACGCTAAGTACGCGGAGTACGCTGATGTTGTTGCCTCGCATGGCCAGCTGAGCATTGCTGAGAAGTACTTGGATCTTCTTCCCGAGCAGTACCCGGCTGCGGAGGTTGCACGGAGCCGTGTCAAGCAGGCAACTCGTAAGGTTGCTGCTGCTCAGCCTACCCACCAGAGGACCGCCACTGCTGCATCGACAACCCAAAGAGGACAGCGTGTTGTTCCCGCTTACAACCCCATTGCCGCTGCCACTCCGGCTCCAGCGGCCAATGTGTACGCCCCGACAGGTGTTGCTACTCCACCGCAACCTGTATCTCAGTATGCTCCTCCTAGTGCCACTACTAAGGCCTACACCCCTGCTGGTTACCAGCCGCCTCAGGCGAGCATCCCCAAGCCGAACCCGTATGCTGGTTATGGCGGTTACCAGCCTCCGCAGCCGACCAGCATCGCGCCCCCTCCTCGTAACTTCTCTTCCTCCCCGGCTGTTCCTCCGGCGTCCCAAGCTGGCAATGTGGGCCAATGGAACGACCTCCCTGAGGATTTCGCGAAGCCCAAGGCCCCGAACTCTCGTCGTGGAACACCTGGTGCCGCCGGTGCCATCACTTCCCCGTTCCCCGGCGCGAATGTCGTCTCTCCTCCCCCTGGTGCTTCATCCTTCATGCAGCAGCAGAAGGCAACGCCGCCGCCCCCTCCGAAGGGTCCCCCGCAGGGACCTCCTCGTGTCACCTCTCCTCTCGCTGGCCCGAATTCTCCCACCGCTGCCGGTTTCGACGCGTCGAGAAGATCATCGGCGGCCGCAAATGCCTACGCTCCTCCCCAGCCTACTCAGCAGTTTGCTCCCCCTCAAGCAACCCTCCCTCGTGGTCCTTCGCCTTACAACCCTCCTCCAACAAGTGCGCCCCCTACCAACCGCTATGCGCCGGCCCCCAACATGCAGCCTACTCCTCCTCCCCAGATGGCTGCGCCGCCGAGGCAGGTTGCCCCCAACCCTTACGCAGCTCAGCCGTCGTTCGGTGCGCCATCGCCGGCTCAGACTCCCACTGCTCCTCCGCAAGGACCTCCGCAGTCGTATGCTAGGCCACCGCCTTCTGGCCCACCACAAGGACCCCCTCGTGCCGGTCCGCCTCCGGGTGGACCTCCAAGGGCTGGACCTCCGCCGGGTGGCCCGACGCCTGACTCGAGACCTGGGACTGCGCAGTCCAACCACAGCCCTCCTGCTCCCCCACCGAAGGCTCAGTACCGTAAGTAAAGTCTGTTCTCTGTAGTAAAATCCGTTATTCTAATCCCAGACAACAGCCGCCGGTGACCGCACGCACATTCCGGAAACTGCGAAGCCCATCTTCGAGATCCTCAACGCGGACATGGCCCGCATCAAGGCGCGGGCACCGCAGAACTTCATGCCGCAGGTCCTTGATACGGAGAAGCGGTTGAACATCCTGTTCGACCATCTCAACAACGAGGACTTGCTCAAGCCCGATACGGTGCAGGAGATGGTGCAGCTGTCGCAGCACATCCAGAACCGCAGCTACGACGACGCACAGACGCTGTTCACTGGCCTGATGAAGAACAAGAATGACGAGGGTAGCAACTGGATGGTGAGTTACCCCTTTCCGCTAAGATTCTGGGGTGCGGCTTTACTGATTGTGTTGTGAATAGGTTGGTGTCAAGCGCTTGATTCAAATGAGCAGGGCTACGCCTGTTTAAAGGAGTACAAGGACCGGAACGGAACGACTGTTAGTGATGCGCATATGCATGAATGGGTGTACGCAAAGGTGAATGGGTGGGGAGCATGAATTGATGATTCATCTGACATGTTTGCCGTGAGGGGATGCAAGTGTCGTGTTGACAAAAGAGGAGAGTGCGTGTGGTTTGGTGATGCAGAGCAGGGTCTTTATTTTCTCTATAACAAAAGAACATCTCACTGCTGAAGCAGACAGATAATGCGGATGATTGTCTTTCTTTTCTTTTGATTCCTGGGTCGCTTCTTCTTCTTCGTGTGTAGAATTAAATTTCCCTATCTTGTTCATCCTTCCAGCAAAGCAAACCTCTGTCGTGGCATTGTCAGCGATGATCAAAATCTGTCCCGTCCTCGACAGGCAGCTAGAATTTCAAGTAGGGCGGTGCATTTGCTAGACGCGTGTTTGCGGACGCGTCAACGATAGGGCTTACGTCAGGGTGGTCCTCGTGCTTTTTCGATACACCCGACCTCAGCTTCGCCACTTCAGGCAGCTGGAACAGTCGATATTACACAGCCTCAAAATCAAAACCAAAGAAAATTCCAAATGAGGCTCGTATCTCTCTTCTCTTCGTGATGGTATCTCTAAAGGGGGATTCCGCATTTGCCCAGCACTGCCAGGTGTCCCTTTTTTGTTTTTTTGTTGCCGCCTGACCGGGCAGAATGACTTTCCCAAAACCCTGCCCCCCTACTTCACCTCGTGATTGAATTTCCCGACTTTTTTTTGCCACTCCCATGCATCCTCAGCCGGTTTTTCTCGAGCCTTCTGTGGTCACACTCTCGGGTTGTGTGTATTACGCCAGTTCCGGCCTCGTCTGCTGCCACGCAGTGGTTCTTCCATTCTCTCGTAATGTTGTGCAACGGCTGCCCTTTTGTCCTCACCTCGGCCGTAGCCGGGAGATTTTTCTTCGGTCGAGTTGCAAGACCAATTAATCGTCACTCCTTCCCTTTCCTTTTTGGGTCCCTTTTATAGTTTGTGAGATGGTGTCAATCTCATCGACGGCCTGCTTTTTACTTCTCAGTAACCACCGCCATATGGCTGGGCACCGAAAGGCGTCGCAGCACCGCCCCACACGCTCGTGCTGCCGCCAGCACCGGCGTATGGCGTAGTGTAGCCCTGGTCCATGCCGCCGTAGGCGGTGCCGGCGCCACCGTTCATGTCCGGACTGCGAGGGCCGCCATAGGTAACGCCGTCCATGCCACCCATTCCGCGGTCGCCACCGCCGCCGGTCAGCTCGCCGATGACCTCGGCCAGCTTCTGCTGGAGCACCTTGACGCCCTGCAGCATGATCGTGTCGGGTTCAAGGCCGCCGACGGTCTCGAGGTTGAAGTAGAACTGGTTGGGCTGGGCGTCATAGTTGAATGGTTCGCCCTCCTGGGGCGGGTCGCCTTCGAAGTTGGCGTTGTCAGAGATGGGCCTACGAAGTGATATTCGTTAGCTTTTACCACGAACCAATACGCCACTGGCATGCCAAGCAGCTGGGTTCCATCGACTCACCATTCCTTGGATGGGTCATCCTCGAACCAGTAATCCAAGTGGCGGAGCTTGTTGTGCGGATCGTACTCGAAGCCGACAGCGGCGGTAGGCGCCCACTTGGCGTGCTCCTTCGCAATTCCCTTCTTCGCGATGCAGCGCATCTTAAGCTCCTGACCCTTGCGCAGCTTGGCGATGATGGCGCCGTGGCCTTGAGGATCCTTGATGACGGGCGTGCCGACCCACTCGTTGGCGCGCGCAGCCGAAACCTGCAAGTCGCGGGCGTAGACGGTCATGACCTCGTCGCCAGTGCAGCGGGCATTGAGCGTCAGCAGCACGCTGCAGTTCTCGCAGTACTGCTCGCAGTCGCAGTCACGCGTGTAGGCTACGTCCTCGCAACCGCGGCTGTTGAGCGGGATCAGGCCCAGGCGATGGCAGATGAACTCGTCAGCCAGCACCGACGTGTTCTTCTCCACCTCAACCAGATCGATGGCCATAGTCGGGATCTCGGCCAGCATCACGCGGCGCACCGAGTTGGCGAAGGCGAGGTCGACGTTCTTGAGCACGAAGTCGATGGCGACATCGTCGGCCTGTTGTGAGGTACTCTGTCAGTGGCGAGGCGCGAGGCAGGCAGTGCGCGCAGGTCGAGCCTCACCTCGCGAATCTTGACCTGGATGCCATCGACGGCATCCATGCCCAGCATGTCGTAGTCCATGGTTGCGGCGAGAGGCGTCTCAGCGGACGCGTGAAGGAGGTGGCTGCGTGCGGTTGTTAGGAAGCTCGGCGCAGGCGGTGTTGCGGATTAAGCGAAGGCGCAGCTGGAAGAAGTTGGTGCAGCGGGCGGAGTTTAGGGAGGCGCAGTACGTCGCGGAGGTTGAGGGTTGGGTTGTCGCGTCTCCCCGCGGCGTTGGAGAATGGCCGTGGAGTGTCACTAGGCAGGTGCAAGAGCCGTTCACAAGCTTCCAATCGGCGCACGGGCCCGCAGCCGCCAGGCACACCTGCATGCAGAGCCGCAAGGCCCGTCAACGCATCCTTCGTCGTCCAGCCTCTCTGGCCCTTTTGCTTATCATTTGTGCCTTTGAGGATAGTAATGTACATCTGCCGGATAGGTGGGGCTGTTCGGTTTGATGATTGACTCTGGCATTGAGCTAGCAGTTACAGATTGCCTTTCATCAACATCTACCTACTACGGTAATTCTTTCAAAGCCCTTCGGATTTTCCACAAAAGTGCCACAGCCTTCGGCGTATTTCAAAGATTTGGTCGCCAATTCACCATCTGGCATTCGCTCACTCTTTACCCAAACCCGCCCACCAACGCGACCAGGTAGGTGAGCCATACACTGTACCTGAGACGATTTGATGACTCAAGCCACCTCAACCCATGTTGAGCTCTTCTCAACAAAACGAATTGGCCATCTGAACATGGCGAAGTAATTACAAGGCCCGGAGTGGCCGAAATGCTGTCCTCCAGCCCAGCCACAGTGGCCCGGATCTGTAAAACGTGGCTTAGCAGACTTGGCAGTGGCTGGTGTGCCGATGATCTCCCGCTATCTAATCAACAGCGCACGAGCCAGTGACGTCGAGCCCCGGGTAATCGACAACGGCACCGAGTGCGACTCCCGACCGATATGCTTCTGGGAAAATGGTCAAGTACACCAAGCGGTTTCAGCGCAGTGACTTGATTGGTTATGCAGAGCCATGAGAGCTGAGTAATCATGAGCTCTCCCATTCCGCGGTGACAGGCTTCACGTAACGAAAATTCTAGAAGGCAAGGACGCAGACTGCCCAGCACTTCGAAGATATTGCTCCATCGGGCTCTTTTGCCCGGTCCGACGGGTCACCTGCTTTGTAATGGCCTTGGGAACCCCCACAGTTACCAGAAATGATGTTAGTGGGGGGTCTCTCACAAGTCTTCCTCCTCGACTAAGCAGACGTTGCTGCGGACCATCTCCCACTCACTACCGCAATCAGCAATCATGAGTGAGAACCAGGTGAAACAGTGGTTGACCCTGCAGAATGGCTTGGACAAAGTGTACCAGGGCACAGCGCCCATGCCCTCGCCTAGAGAGAACGAGGTGCTGGTCGAGATCCGGGCTGTGTCGTTGAACTACCGCGACACAGAAGGTCCAACTTTCCCCTTTTGGCAAGTCCTGCGAATTTGCATTGAATGAGTGCTGATCCTTGTTTCGTATCGCAGTCGCCATGGGGCTGTACAACCACCACAAGTCGGTCGGCCACGGTCAGCCGGAGCCTCTCGTCCTGTGCGCCGACATGTGCGGTGTCGTGACGGCCGTCGGCGAGGGCGCCGCCACCGTGCCGTGGAAGGTCGGTGACCGCGTAGCCTCCATCTTCAACCAAACGCACCAGAAGGGCCAGGTCAAAGCGAAGGATATGGCGTCCGGCCTCGGCCTGCCGCTGGACGGCGTCCTACAGACGCATCGCGTATTCCCGAGCTACGGGCTGGTCAAGGTGCCCGAGTACATGACGGACCAGGAGGCGTCGTGCTTGCCGATTGCTGCGGTCACTGCGTGGATGGCCATAAACGGCATGAGGCCACTCGGCCAGCCGGGTGGCGAAGGCGAGGTCGTGTTGCTCCAGGGCACGGGCGGCGTGTCCATCTGCGGCTTGCAGATTGCAAAGGCCAGTGGCGCGAAAGGTCAGTTGAAAGCGACCGGTCTTTGGAGCAAACGCTAATTCTGCCAAAGTGATCGTGACGTCGTCGTCGGATGACAAGCTCAGGAAGGCGCAGAGGCTTGGCGCGGACTACCTTATCAACTACCGCAGCACGCCGGAGTGGCAGGACGAGGTCATGAAGGTCACGGACGACGAAGGCGCGGACATAATTTTCGAGACGGGCGGTGCACGCACGCTACGCAAGTCTTTCGACTCGGTAGCATTCGGCGGCCTGATCAACTCCATCGGGTACCTGTCGGGCAAGGAGGATGAGGCGGGCGACAGGACCAACGTGAACGTGCTAGCACTCCGGCGCAACGTGACGCTCAAGGGCATCCTCAACGGACCGCGCGAGCGGTTCGAGGAGATGTGCGACTTCTACCGGAAGCACGAGATCCACCCGGTGATTGACAGGGAGTTCCCGTTTGACGCGGCAGGCGAAGCGCTGCAGTATCTCTTCTCAGGCGGGCACTTTGGTAAAGTGGTGGTCAAGGTTAAGGCTTAGCCCAGCAAATAATGCCGCACGGATTGGGACGGCTGGCAGACTATTGGGCGTTTGTACATAGCCGCTGCTACCAGCACAGCTTATCGTCAGATCGCGCGCAATCGCATCCGTGCCTGGCGCCCCTTTCGCGGGCCAACTGCGGGGACAGCTGCTTGCGCGTTTGTTGGAGAGAGGAATGTTAGCGGCAAGGCGCTGCTGGGGGGCGCAGTGGCAGCACGGCTCTCTCATCAGACGCAGCGAGGCACACCACGGCACGCCGCGGCACGCGCTCACCCGTTAGAGCGGAGCCAAGAGCGGAGGGCGCGGAGAAAATTTGATTGTATGCCGCGCCTGCGTAGCGGAGTGTTGGACGGGTGATGCGGCCAAGGGTATGGGGGGCTGTGTTTGTTCGGCCGCGCGGGCCTCGAATCTGCGGAGAGACGGCTAAGCGCCAGGCCAAGCCCCGATCCACACCATCGCCTGCCAGAGCTCAGCCACCAGACTCCGTCGCATCAATGATACACTGAGCCCCGGCTCCAGTTCGCTTTTAAACCCGCATCGCACCCAGCCTCGTCTTCTCTGCAGACCAACACACCTCCAAACCAAACAACATTCCTCTCCACACCATCCACACCGGAGAACACTATACCAACACCACTATCATGTCCGCACAATTGTCGCCTCCGCGCTCCCGCGCTTCCTCGACCGGCAGCTCTTTCGCTTCCTCGCGCGGTCGCCGCTCGCCCAACCTCTCTATCGACCTCTCCGACTTGCCGCCGCTCATCACTCCCTCGCCGCCCTCCAACACGCTCCTCATCACCGTGAGTACTCCTTCTCACCGCCACTCGCCCACCCAGCGCCCACTAACACTGAACTCGCAGAACCTGCAAGATGCTTCCATCTTCCACCCGGCGAACCTTGATACTCTCCGCAACCTGATCAACTCGTATGCGCCCGTACACACCTGGGCGCCGCTGCGCTCCTTCCGCCGCATCGTCGTCTCCTTCTTCGACGTGCCCGCCGCCACGACCATCAAGCAGAAGCTGGACGGCGAGACAATCATGGGCGATCGCGTGCGCGTCTACTTTGGCACCCACACGCCGTTGAACCCCACCGACCAGCACCTGCCGCTGCCCAAGAGCGACAAGCTGTTCTTCATCTCGCCGCCGCCCTCGCCGCCGCACGGGTGGGAGGTGCGCAACGAGGACCCGCCGAACAAGGAGGTGCACGCCGAGGATCTGGCCGCCGCCCTGGCCAAGCTGCACGCCCGCCCCGAGGCCCTGCCCCAGAGCCCCGTCGACTCGGAAATGGACGCAACCAAGAGCCCCATCAGCCCCATTGCCGACTCGCAGCGGCGGCAGCGCAGCGGCAGCGGCGTCATTGTCTACCACCCCGAAGACCACGGCGACAGCCCCGATCTCCCTGCCATCGCCGTCGAGGACACCACCGCCAGCCCTGGCGAGATGACGCCCATGGAGGATGTCCAGCGCCCCATCCTCGCCCACACCTCCCGCCCGCCTGTCGAGCTGATGCACCACGCATGAGTTCGCTCTGATCAAAAACACGCGATACGTTTCCTTCTCTGTGCATTATGTCTTATAGAATGATTGGTGTTCATGGATACCTACCTTGGGACGTACGGGATACTCTGCAAGCATGGCGTCTTTCGATTTTTGGGCTCTTCACATGGTTTTGTTCTTGCATCATCGGAGAATGCAATGGGGCGTAGCAAGCATCAAGTTTCATAGCAAAGCCGGGACATTCGCTTTTTAATCGTCCCTAAACGGCATTGTACTTTTTATACAGTTACTCCGTGTCTCGCCGAGAGCCGAGACAATTCAAATGATATACCTTAAAAAGTTTTAACACTTGACGGAACTCGTTTCATGTGATCTTAGATGTGACTAAAGCGAAACTAGAAGGAATGAGAGCAATAGTCTAATGTCGGTTTTTCCTGTATTTCGACAGCAAATGAGGCGACTACAGAAACTGCAGTTGAAGCGCTAATGAGAAATAATCGTTAGAAAGCAAATTTCCTGAGTAATTATTCTCACGATCTACTTCCTACTGCAATACACAAAATACTGACGGGTTTCATCGATAATGAATACAAAGCCAAGGCTAAAGAAAGGCCGGCAGTATCGGAAAGTATCAAGGGGTTCAACTGTCGAGTAGTCACAGGGGAGAGCGGTTAGCATAAGATACTAAGTTACGTCTTTAGACTTCTGTTTGCAACTAATTTTCCGCTCTTGAACGCCCCTAACGTATTGGGATGCTAGAAATCTATTAAAAAAAGTATAGGCACTGTTGTATACCTTAACACCATTCCCCCTGTCTCCCACTATATCCCTATTAATGGATCGCCGTCTGCTTCTTCGCAAACAACACATCAACAGTCTCCCCGACTGCCGCTTTAACCCCTCTCCCCTCGGCACCCACCCGAGCAGCTCCTTCGCCCTGTCGCTCTTGCACCTCATTTCCGTCCCAAACAATGTCGCTTACGCCTCGTCGATTATTGTCGGCTCACCGTCGCCCGCAATTGCCCTGACGACCTGCTCAAAACAGACCTCCCTGATCCCACTGCCCTTCTCCCCGTTGTCAACACTTCCATCCACTCCATCCAACTCGTCTCCTCATTTGCGGCAAAATAGTACGCCTCTGCCACCCACAGCAGCGACCGCTCGCTCCCCTCCTCCCCATTCCTACCCCCCTCCTTCTTTTTCTCCTCCAGCGCGTCCCTCACCATGACAACGTAGATGGCCGCCAAACCGCTCCCATGCAACCCACTCCAACCTGTTCTCTCCCTTCCCGACCACGAACCCGCCCCCTCCCAACCTCTCCATCGCATCGACCATCGTCGGTCAGGTGGGAGGAATGTGATGAGAAAGAGGGCGAAGGAGCGGAGTCGCTGAACAGACGAGCCTTATACGATAGAAGTGATGATATGAGTAAGATTGTAGGGTGTGCATCACAAGGCACGAACTGGAAGAAAAAAGAAAGAACAAGTAGTCTGTAACGTACACGATGCTTGCAACTTTAGACGCCTGCTCGATAATGTCCAAACTGTCAAGGTCGCCGACGATGGTCTTGACGTGACGGTGGCGACTACTCAACCGAGCACCTTTATCTTCGCCCCGGACGAGTGCCGTGACTTCGACATCGGGGAGCTCTGAGATAATCGCATCAAGGACCTCGCCGCCGGTGTGTCCCGTAGCTCCGAGGCTACAAGGCCGGTTCCATTAGTATTTGCAATAGAGGGTAGTCGCAGCATCTGTCCGGACATGATGAAAGCACGATCTAAATGTGAACAAATGCATTCGGACAGAGGCTAATCTGTGAGGAATTGAAAGTGAAAGTAAGCATAGAAGTAATGGGGGCTTCTTACAAGGATATTTTGGTCATTTCGGGCATCGTATGGTAATTGTAAGCTAAGGGTGGAGGGAGTTTAATATGGATATTTGTGATGGAGTTTAAAGTAATGCTCCTCATGGAGGAATTTATATCTCTGCATATTAACCTGAGATATTAGAGTCAACAACTGATTTGCACCCCCGGGGCAGACTAAATGTTGAGTAAGGTCGAAATGCCATAATTGACATACGGAGACCTCTCCACTATCGCGGGCAGGCAGTAAGCGATATGCCAAAATTATCATGCATCCCGGCCGAAGAACGGAAAGCAGATGAAGGTCGAATCAATGGACAGAGGAAAAATATCAAAACAACAAGCAATCAATCCATTCAATCATGAAACCCGTCTTTATTCCGGGTGAATGTCGTACACTAAATCGAAAAAAAGGGGAAATAAACAGTGATATCACAAGCTCCTCATAGTGAGTAGCGGAATGCCGGATTCTGAACAAGTAATTAGCAAGCTGAATGCTGCATGATTCAAACGTTGAAACTCACCTCGAAATCCGTCTTATCCATCAATGGCTCATCATCTCCTGCGGCTGCGCCGCCCTGCTCTGCGAGCTTCTTGTCGCGCTCGTTGTTGCGCTTGGTGAGCCAGAAGCGCAGCAAGACAGCGAGGCCGAACTGGCAGCAGGAGCAAGCGAGAATCATCTTGATGCCTGTCTGGTAGATGGGAGCCTCCTCGTCGAGGAAGGCGTGCGGGCCGATGATGTTGCCAATGCAATATGCGAGCTATTTGGCGTCAGTAAAGTCCTACATGAGCAGCGTGCGGCAAGCAGGTCACTTACGAAGACGAAGGCGGTGGCAGTGACACGCTTTGTGTAGCCGCCCACATTCGCAGCCGGCATCTGCAGAGCGATCGTGAGAGAGGCGACGTAGGCGCCGACCTATCGCAGAAGATCAGTCAGCTCACTGCGAGTTCTGAGGGGCATGGACGTCGTCAAACTTACAATATAGTAGCCGAACAAGCAGCCAACCTTGTTAGACCGAGGCATCTTCCAGAGTATAGAGGCGCCGGCAATGGTAGGAAGTACGTAGAGCGCCATTATAATGGTTCTCGAGTTCTTGAAGTAGGAAGCGAAGAAGCCACCAGACAGGACGAAGCCCACCTGGAAGAAACCTTGCGGGATACCGAGGGCAGTCGTCTTGAGAGGGTCGTGGACGAGACCCTTGATGATGAGCTTGCCAAACTGTGGGAGGTGTCAGCGCGCCAATTTCTGCGACAAAGCTGTTCTGATTGACTGACATTGGCAACACCGCCGTTCATGAGCTCGTTGAGCAGAACAAAGAAGAAAAGGATCCAAACTTGTACGTCCATGAAGGCCTCCTTGATCTGATGTGGTTTGATGGTGCGGTTCAATGTGCCCTACGAGTTATTAGATGTATGCTATTGGTGGCATGCCGCAGGACAGAACTCACAGTCTGGTTCTTCCTGCCAACACCGAGAAGTGCAGCCTTCTCCTCCAAAGTGAAGCGCTTCGCAGTCATGGGGTTATCCGGAAGGAGCCACAACAGAACGCCACCCCAAACCAAGGTAATGAAACCGCAGATAAGGAAGATGGCCTTGTAAACAGGGAAGCCGTCGATTTGTCCGATCGCGTAGGTGAAGATTCCGCCAAGCTGCAGACAGGTGTTAGCGATGCACAAGCCCACCTCGGGGGCGACTCACGGCAGACCCCAATCCATTGCAGCAGTAGAAGCAACCGGCCCTGAAGGGTTGCTGGTCTCTGGAGTACCACATGGAAACAATCAACATGAAGCAGGGAGTAATGGGTGCCTCGAAACATCCCAAGAAAAACCTGCACACGGCGACACCACCGAAGTTTTCGCACGCAGCAGTGATCATGAGGACAGTAGCCCATGCAATGCTAGGGAAACATTAGTGCAAAGCTTCTCGTGAATCTGCTGGGTCAGGGCTTACACAGTGATTGAGACTGCCTTTCCGGTCCTCCAGTGCTGGGCGATGTAACTTGCGGGGTATTCCCAAAACAGATATCCTGGGAGGCGGTCAGCCAGCAGGCGTCCAACGACAGATTCAGCACTTACCGAAGTAGAACAAACTCGCAGTCCAGCCGTACTGGTCGCCCGTCATGTTCGTCTCGGAGAGCAGGTCGAAGACTGCGCCATACGAGGTGGTCGACTTGTCGATGTACTGCAAGACGTAGGTGCCCATGAGCAGCGGTAGCAACCACGTGTCGACCTTCCGGGTAAGGGCCTTCATCTTCTGCTTGTCGTTGAGGATGGCCTCAACCTGAGCCCAATCATAGCCGCTCTCGCGCAGGAAGATTTCACCTTGGTCGAGCTCCTGGATGACTTCTCCCTCGAGGACGGATTTGCCGGTGACGGACGGCGTCTTCTCCAAGCTCGGCTTCTCAGCGGCCGGCTTGGATTCCGGGCTGTTTTCCAGGTCCTTCTCGGCAGTCATTGTTGCACAGGCGGGCAGGGTATCTCGATGGCTCTGGAGGAGTCTTCACTGCATCAAGACAGGCTATTTAATTGGCATTGAGGCGACCGCCACGCGACGGGTGATGATAAGCTGGGCACTGATAGCCCAAGCGTCCCGCGTAAGGACGGAAACATCCATAGCGCAGGGTATTGTAATTCGATGTGTATAGAGAGGCTGGCTGATACCGAATCCTTGGTTCCCGGACTTACTACCTTGGCTTGGGATAAGATCGGATCCCACGGACGCTGGCCGAGCGGGGGAGCGACGCGAAGCGCACGCTTCTATCTGGCCACGGCGAGACAGGCAGCGGAAAAGGCATGATATCCGACGCCTCGTCGCCCGGCCGAACTGCGGCGGTGATCGTCCATTCGGATGGAGGACTCACTTGCCGACTGCAAAACTCACGTGAGCGCTATCGGAGTGGATCCGAGCCGGGTGATTCAGCAGCACCCCAGCACGTTGCGGGGTTAGATTTGGAGGCCGAGAGATACTTAATGAGGGCGCCAAGTTGTCGTCGTCGCTTCCCGAGGGAATTGGAGCTGCTTGAGAGCGTTTGGCAGTCGCAATGGTGTTCCTGCGTGCGTCAGCGGCTGTTCTTGCCGCGGCGGTTATTCTTGCCCTGGCCCAGGTCCAGGGTCTGCTTGACCTTCAGAAAGTCCTCGAGCCGTACGTCCCCACGAATCTGCCGGGCCTTCGAAATCCTGACGTGACTGTGTAGCTATCTCCCGGCAAAATACCAGAGCCAGCAGGTCGCAGTTGTCCTCCCGCAAGGCACAATTGTCGGCAAGACACTATATGGCGACTACCCGCAGCCCGTCGAGGCATTCCGCGGCTTCCCCTACTCTCTGCCGCCCACCGGTCCTAGGCGATTCAGGCCATTGGAGCCCCTCCCGAGCTCCAACACAACATACCAAGCGTTTGAATATGGCCCCATGTGCCCTGGCAAGACTTTCCGCGGCCCTCCCAGACCGTTCGCCGAGGATTGCTTGACCGTTAACGTGTTCCGCCCGGCTGGAGTCAACAGCTCGGCCAACCTGCCCGTCGCTCTCTATGTCCATGGCGGTGCCTTCAACCGAGGCTTTGCTGCCATGCAGGATCTGCCCTCCATGATCGGCTGGTCTGAAAGCCCATTCATCGGTGTGAGCTTCCACTACCGCATCAGCGCCCTCGGATTCCTGCCGTCTGCCCTGACTGAGAAGGAGGGCCTGCTCAATCTTGGCCTCCGCGACATGTATTTCTTCTTCGAATGGTTCAGGCAGAACATTGGCGAATTCGGCGGCAACCCTGAGGATGTGACCGTCTTCGGGCTCAGCGCCGGCGCCCACGCCATTGGCCACATGATTATGAACACCGACGAGCCCTTCTTCCAGCGTGCCATCATGGAGTCTGGCGGCACCACCGCGCGTGCTGTCCACAAGCCTACCGAGAAGCTGCACGAGGACCAGTTTGAGAAGTACATCAAGGGTGCCAACTGCGGCGACGTGCCCGAGGAGTCCGTCTTCGACTGCCTGCGCGAGCAGCCCGCCGAGGTTGTTTTCAAGGCCGCCTTCGACGTCTTCGACGAGTACAACCCGTCTCTGCGCTGGGCTTTCCAGCCCACCATCGACGGCAAAATCATCAAGCGCCGGCCGACTGAAGCATGGGAGTCCGGCAAGTGGAACAAGATTCCCATCCTGACCGGCTTTACCACCAACGAGGCCTCCTCTTATGTGCCCACTACCCTCGACACTCCCGAGGAATTTCCCGACTACTTCAAGGTCCTCCACCCGGAGCTTACCGACAAGGACATTGCCGAGCTGGACAAGCTTTACCCGGACCCCTCCAAGGATGAAGCCTCGCCCTATGTCGAGTCTCGTCCCATTTCGGTAGGCAAGCAGTACAAGCGCGCCGAAGCCGCCTACGCCCACTACGCATATGTCTGCCCTGTCCACGCAACCGCACTGCACGCCGGCGTCGGCCAGGACGCCCCCGTGTTCATGTATCACTGGGCTGCCAACGCCAGTGTGCAGAACGGCGCCAACCACGGCGACCAGAAGCCGTATGAGGCGTACGAGATTGCCGCCCGCACCACGCCGTTCCATGAGAAGCTGGCGGGCGAAGTGCACGCGTACTGGACCAGCTTCATCACCCAGAAGGGCGACCCCAACGCGTTGAAAGGCCGGGCTGCCGATCGGCCAGAGTGGCTGCCATACAAGAAGGGAAAGCAGGAGAAAAAGATGATATTCGGTGAGGGCAATGATGAGCTTGCTGGTGGAACTGGAGTTGGTGTCACAAGCCAAGTGGTTGATGACACTTGGGCCAGGAAGGAGTGTGACTGGTGGTATTCGAAGGGTAAGAAGCTCCACCAGTGAGTGATCATCTCGATGCTGCTGGGGAGACTGTACGAAAAAAGACTACGATGAGCCATGACGTATGGTGATCCAAAACTTGGAAATAGGAATGAGAAGCAAGGGGCGGAAAATAAAATACGTGATGAAATTAGAAACGAATGAAATGATGATGGAATTCAGAGTTCAGTGGTCTTCCCCTTTGAGTCTTTCTGCTAAAATGCGGGAATCAGCATCTCTGTGCAAAAAGACAATTTCTCCTACCGCTCCGTGTATTCTCTCGTCAACCGCCTAGCGATGACACCCTCGATCGCCCTCTCATTCGGTGAGGTCAAACTTTCACCCGATCGTGAACCTACCGGCCAGTGAGAAAGGACGAAAAGGCTCCTGGCCTATCGTAATGCGGGCGAAAAATTAGCCGCATCAACGCGCAGCCGATTAGCCGACCCTGAAGCGATCATTGCATGCCCGATGTCGCAAATGCTGCAATCCGTCGCTCGTCTCTCTCTCTGATAAAGACGACACACCTCACCGCTTCACCAATGCTGACATCTGCTCCAGAAAATATGCCACACGGCGCAGGCTGCGAGGCTACACCAAAGACGAGATACGTGTCTGAGTGGCAAACGACCCGCAGGCAAGAGCTAGGAAGCATAAGAAGATGACGATGATGATGAAAACGACGTCACGGCGGCCGCCCGTCACAGCGACCACGACAGCTAGCCGCGAAGGCTCATCAGGAGAGCAACCCAACACGGCCTCGGAAGACCGTTGTTCGACGCACCCGCTCCTCGCACACCTCAAGACGACAGCCCGGTTTCTGCTGAGCCAATGGATGATCATCGGCATCGGCATCGTCTGCCTGCTGGCCTACTTCTTCCCGCACGTCGCCGCGCACGGCGGCGTGATCCGGTCCGAGTACAGCATCCTGTACGGCGCCGTGGCCGTCATCTTCCTGATCTCCGGCCTGTCCATCTCCGGCAAGAAGCTGCTCGTGCACGCCGGCAACTGGCGTCTGCACTGCCTCGTGCAGGGCGTGTCCTTCGCCCTCTGCCCCGTCACCATGTACGCCTTCGTGCAGGCCATCAACGCCGGCGACACGGCCGAGAAGATCGATCGCGTCGTGCTGGTCGGCTTCCTCCTGACGGCGTGCATCCCCACGACCATTGCGTCGAACGTGGTCATGACGAGAGCGGCGGATGGCGACGAGGCGGCAGCGCTGGTCGAGGTGCTGCTGGGGAATGTGTTTGGCCCGGTCATATCGCCTGCATTTACCGTTGCGCTGCTGCCGAAGGACGGGAGCTTCGATATGTGGAAGAACGTGAGCGGAGATCTGAATGAAATGTACAGGAACGTGTTCAAGTTGCTGGGATTGAGCGTATATCTGCCGCTTGCGATAGGACAATTGGTGAGGTGGATGTGGCCAGAGGTGATCATGCGGGCAATGCAGCGGTGGCGGTTGAACAAGGTCGGGACCTTTTGTTTGTTGTTATTGATATGGTGAGTAAGGCGGCTTCGTGCAGAGGGTCAGCTGCTAAGAAGTTGTTACAGGTCGTCATTTTCCTCTTGCTTTGCAACTTCGGCTCTCCAAACCCTCTCAACAGAAACCATCATCTTGGTCCTCTTCTTCAACATCGGCATCTACCTTTTTTGGACCGCCATATGTTTCGCATGCGCGCAGGTCCCCGAGACATGGGCCTATTACACGAAAGGAGTCGTACGGCGTTTCGACAAGCCGGAAACCATTGCCATTTGCTTCTGCGGCCCAGCAAAGACAGCGGGCCTGGGTATCCCCTTGGTTTATGCTATGTGGACAGAGTTTCCGACGGAAGTTAAGGCCAAGATGTCCATTCCAGTCATATTGTACACCACTGAGCAAGTCTTCTGTGCGCATTTTCTAGTTCATGCATTTAAGCGATGGGTGCGGAGAGAAAAGATCAGAGACGATGGTGTCGTGGTAGAACAGGGGATTGGGCCGGAAATGTCCGCAGCGCCCTCCCCAACAAGGTAGCGCAATAGGCTGGAAGGAGTCAAAGTTGATGCGGTCACAGCTTAGCATCCAAGTGTTGATAGCGGGAAACTCGCCAGAGACAAAAGTGGCAACAACTTGTTCGCGTCGTTACTTCCGCTTTGGGAACGTCGGTTAGACTAGTCAGAGCCAGTCTGTAACCACCGGAGCTAATACGAGCCCGCGCTGGCGTGCAAGCAAACGATTGATTAGCCCTGGTCTATGGCATCCTGGCCATTATGGCTAAAATAATGCTCGCATTGAAGGCGAACTGACGAACTCGCGACGTTACTTCCGCAAATAGGCGGCAGTGGGTGGGCCTGGAAATCTCTCGGTTCTCGGCATGTGACTGCATCCGTCATATATACACGATGACTGCCGCTCACCATGCGCTGCCTGCACAACTGCCAGCTCTCTGCGACCAACACCGTACGACACCACTACGATGCCGGGCTCGTCCAGGCTTCCCGTTAGCCTGCGCGAAACCTTCCAGGCTCAGCGGCGCGCTACTCCGCGCACCCAGCTGCTGGCCTTGAATCTGGACATGTACGTACGGGACAAAGCGGCGAAAGAGCACCCCGCGATTGAAGCTTTTGAATGCACGCTGACGCAGCTATGTTGCACAACAGTATCCGCAACATCGTCTTCCTTCTCTTCCTCCTCCGCTGGACCCGCAAGGCCATCTACCAGCTCAAGGGCCGCGGCATCATCGGTTCCGCCGTCGACTTCTACATCGCCACGCGCCGCATCTTGTACGGATACTTCCTGCGCCTGCCCGGCGTGCGCACAAAGGTTCAAAGCCAGGTCTCCGAGGCCATCACGAAACTCGAGCAGAAGCTGGTGCCCACCGGCCCCGGAGTCGACCGCCATGTGCGCTTGCCGCAGGAGGGCTGGGGCGAGGACCGCGTGCGCGAGGAGCTCACCAAGCTGAGCGAAATGGCGCATACCCGCTGGGAGGACGGCCGTGTTTCCGGTGCCGTGTACCATGGTGGCGACGAGCTGGTCAAGCTGCAGACCGAGGCTTTTGGAAAGTTCACTGTGTCGAACCCGATCCATCCGGATGTGTTCCCGGCTGTGAGGAAGATGGAGGCTGAGGTTGTAGCAATGGTAAGGGTTCATCTGAGGGCTGACTGGTATTGCCGGAGTGCTAATTGACATCTTCCGCAGGTCCTCTCGCTGTTCAATGCCCCTGAGGGAGCCGCCGGTTGTTCGACTAGCGGAGGCACCGAGTCCATTCTGATGGCATGCTTGAGCGCGCGGAACAAGGCCTACGCAGAGCGTGGAATCACGGAGCCGGAGATGTGCGTTTGCTTAGTTGACAACTACCGGCTACTGGAAACTGACAAGTTGACAGGATCCTCCCCGAAACTGCCCACACTGCTTTCCGCAAGGCTGGCGAATACTTCAAGATCAAGATCCACCTTGTTGCTTGCAAGGCACCCACTTACAAGGTCGACCTCCGTGCCGTCTCGCGTCTTGTCAACCCCAACACCGTCCTCCTTGTCGGTTCTGCGCCCAACTTCCCTCACGGTATCATTGATGACATCAGCGGGCTTTCGCGCATTGCCCAGCGCAAGAAGATTCCGCTGCACGTCGACTGCTGTCTTGGCTCATTCCTGGTCCCCTTCCTTGAGAAGGCTGGCTTTGAGACCGAGACCTTCGATTTCCGTCTCAAGGGTGTGACTAGCATTTCTTGCGACACGCACAAGTATGGATTCGCCCCCAAGGGCAACAGCACCGTCCTCTACCGCACCGATTCCCTTCGCAGCTACCAGTACTTCATCTCTCCGGACTGGTCTGGCGGCGTCTATGCCTCTCCTAGCATCGCCGGTTCCCGCCCGGGCGCCCTTATTGCCGGCTGCTGGGCTAGCTTGATGGCGCAGGGCGAGTCTGGATACATCAGCGCCTGCCACAAGATCGTCGGTGCCACCAAGCGCATTGAGGGCGAGCTGCGTGGCAACCCGGCGCTGGCGGCAGACCTCAAGGTCATCGGCAAGCCGCTCGTCTCAGTCGTCGCCTTCACGAGCAACTCGCTCGACATTTACGACATCGCCGATGGTATGTCGGCAAGAGGCTGGCACCTCAACGCTTTACAGAACCCGCCTGCCATCCACGTCGCCGTCACGCTGCCCATTGTCGCCGCCGCCGACCAGCTGATCTCTGACCTGATCGACATTGTCGAGGGTGTGCGCGAGGCGGAGCGGAAGAGACTTGCCGAGGGCAAGGGTGCAAAGGGCGCTGTCAAGGGTGATGCTGCTGCGCTGTACGGTGTTGCGGGTAGCTTGCCGAATAAGAGCGTTGTGGTTGACTTGGCCAAGGGCTTTTTGGATACTCTTTACAAGGCATAAGGCATATTTTAATGACAATTATGACGATGGGGCGGGGAAAGGCTATAGTAAGATCAGGAGGGCTTTTGTGTAGACTGGATAGAAAATCAAAACCTTTCAAAAATGGCGTTCTCTGTAAAATCAGCCCCTTTATTCTGTGAAAAGACATGACACACGGTATACAAAGCGTATGTGCATTTCTCAGCATCTTGTAAGCATATATGCATTTGCCGACGTTATATTCCTGCAGAAATGTCAAGGAAGAAGAACAAATAGAGAAACGGGTATTACTACGCGCCCTTTCTTTTGCCGCAAAGCTCCCGGAGAAAATGCAAACAAGACCCAAAGCGCCTTCGCATAGGAACCGACGGAAGAAAGTAGTCGCAAACCCTTAATCTAGCATGACGACGTGAAGCGACATGATGATGCAGCCGGAAGAGTGAGGTAAAACAAAAAAGAAAAAGGAACGCCCCCCTCGCTCGATTCAAAAGACACAAACAGTGGTATCGCGCGGACCTCCTGGTCCTCGTGATCTACAAACGCGTCTTGCTCTTTCTATATCCTACATCCTACAGCCAGACTCCCCGGTCTCATTTAACCTTGCTCATGATGGTCTCGACACCACGCTCGACCTCGACCTGGCCGGCGCGGGCCTTGACCTCGCGGATCATGCTGCGGTCCGAGTCGTCGCGGGCGCGCAGCACGGCCTCGACCCAGCCGACGTTGACGTCCCAGTACTCCATCTTGAACTGGGCAAAGACCTCGGCGACGGCGTGCTTGTCGGCGTCGAGCAGCTGGACGAACTTCTCGACGACGCGCCACTTCTGGCGGATGTCCGGGCCGACCGTCTCGAACTGGCCGAAGAAGTCGAAGACGGCGAGCACGTCGTCGCGGATCTTCTCGACGTACGGGTCGGTGCGGCGGAACTTGGCGCCCTTGTTGCGCACGGCGGCCAGGTAGCGCGACAGCAGCTCGTCGGCGAGCTCCTCGACGAGCACGTCGCGCAGCGACGGGTGCAGGACCGCGTCGTAGTCGTTGAGGTAGTCCTGGAACGTCGACACGATCTGGCCGACGCGCTTCTGCGAGTACCAGGTCGGCGTGAAGAACTCGGGCAGGATGGTGCGGAAGTCGACGTCGAAGATGAGCCGCACGAAGACGGTGAGACAGTGCGTGCCCAGGTCGACGTAGCCGTCACGCAGCAAATCGATCTGCTGCGCTGCCGCCGCTGAGTACTGAGGCGACGCGAGGGGCAGCGCATCGCGGCTGAAGCGGGAAAGGTATGAGCCGCCCGTCTGTGCCTCGTCCTCACCGTCGTCGATGCAGGCGATTTGATCGTTGGCGATGGCGACGAGCCAATCTTGCAGGGGCTGCAGGCCGTCCACGTCGCCCACGCCTTGCACGTACTTGTCGAGCTCGATGTCGACGAGTTCTTCCCAAAGGCGCTGTCGTGAGGAGAGCGCCTTGAACATGGCGTCGATGACGCCCTCGGCCACATCGTGACGGTTGCTGTTGCCGGCGACGGCGAGCTGCTCGCGCAACATCGACCACATGTCGCCCAGCGTCTTGGTACGAAAGCAGCCGTTGATGTCCGTGTCGAGCGAGTTCTCGGAGCGCGTGAGGAATTCCGATTTGTCCGTCTGCGACATGCGCGACATCCACTCCTCGACGGCCTTGATAATGAGCTGGCGGTACTCGCGCACGAGCTCCGCCCCGCGGTTGTCGAGCAAGTGCGGCGTCAGGTCCTCCTCCGGCACGCCCAGCTTGTTCATCTTCTTGTAATACTTTTCCTCCCATTGCACGATGGCCAGCATCTCGATGGGCTTGAGGTCCGGGTCGTCAATATGCCCTACCAGCCAATCATGCATCAGCTTGTGGTAGATACTGACATATGTCTTGAACACTCGCCACTTGCGCGGCATCAGGTTCACCATGCCGAGCTTGACCGTGTTCAAATCGTTGAAGTACCAACGAACACTCTTCTCCAGCCTGTCCGGGTCTTCCATGAATGCTTCGTTCGCTTCCTCGATCTTAGACTGTGCTGCCAGCTCGATGGCCTTGAGGAACTTCTCTTTATACCCGCGAAGCTCCTTTGGTCCAGTGGCGATAGACTTGAATCGTGATGCCAGTTCCTTGTATTCTCTCTGCGCATCCTGTAATGCCTGGACCTTCTTGTCGACCTTCTCTTCCTCTTCAATGATCAACGCCAGCCGCACCACCATGCCGTTGTTCCCAGTCTGCACCAGAGGAATTAAGTTCATGCAAGCAAGTCCAACGTGCTCGTCAAACAGTTCGATAACACGGTCGAGGCGGTCGAAATAGTCCTGCAGCGTCGCACCCGAATCAAGCTGTAAATTATTCACCAGCTCCAAGCTCAGCGTCTCATCCTCAGAGTTCTTGATCTGGTCCATGGCCGCATCCCTGATATTCCTCAGCTTGCTGAGGCCGTAGTGGACCTGCAGCAGGTTCGGTTGGTTCTCCGGGTCCTGCTCGTCCTCGTCCAGCAGCATCTCGAGCTCGCCCAACTGCTGCTCGAAGCCGTCGATGTCCTTCTTCATCTTCTGCACAGCCTCGAAGTTACGGTGGGTCTGGGCGACGAGGTTGATGTGGGGGAAGTCGCGGATCATCTGCTGGGCCTCGGCGCACAGGCGGTCGATGGTCATCATCTCATCCTTGATGGCGTTGACGGTGCGCTGGCCCTCGCTGATGCTGCTCATGCCGGCCTGCGTGATCTTCAGCTGCTCCTCCAGCCCGTGCCGCAGCTGCGCGTCCACCGCGGCCTTCTTGCGCGTGAACTCGGCCTTCAAGCTGCCTATCTTGTCTAGGTCCTCGGGGTGCCGCAGCAGCTCGGCCAGCTTCGCCAAGCTGGCCCCGTCCGCCGCATCGTTCATTGTTGTCGACGGTGGTTGTGGTGGGCCCCTCTCTTCGGTCTTCTTCTCCCCCCGCTTTTACTCTTGTGATGCTCGTCGGGAAATCAGCCGGGGACAGCAGCGCATTTGGGCCGCAACCAGGCGCAGGCAGAAACCGAGAATGACGCGCGGTCGAAGTATTACGGACGGGGAAAAAAGCGAGCGTCGAGGTCGGGGCGAGGCGGAGGGCGCGGGACGTCCGTTGTTTGTTCCCTCTTCGCGTTACTCGAGGATTGGGGTTCGGCGTGTCTTGGAGCTGACCATGGTTTACGTTGTCCTCTCCCCCGCGCCTCCGTATGCGGCGACGGGGCCCTGAGACCTCGCTGATCGTCGGGCTTGGCATGCGCGGGCGCCCGCTGGACCAGAAAGATTTCCCGCGCGGAACCACACCAAACCATTGCCCATCCGCACCCGCCCGCGTGCTTTCCTCCACCACAATCTTAACCCGCCGTCCTTCGGGAGTGAACGCTCGCCGCCAGTTCAATCGGACCGCTCGACACGCCAATCGCTCGCGACACGACCAGCGAAGCTTCGACTGCACGCACGCCCGTCACTGCCCGCCGCGGAGCTTCACCCACACGTCAACCAAAGTTCTATCGGCCTCCACTCCATACCTCCCGGGATCCGATATAATAAAGGGAAATGGCCTACTTCCGCATCACTCTCATGCGCAGCGGCCTCGGCCTGCCGCAGAAGACACGCGGCGTGCTCGCAGCGCTCGGCTTGCGCAAGCGCATGGCTACCGTCTACCACCCCGTCTCGCAGTCGGTTGCGGGTCAGATTCTGCGCGTCAAGGAGCTGGTAGATGTGCAGGAGGTCGACACCGCGCTGACAACTGCCGAGCAGCGCGAGCTCAGGCGGCCCGACCCGGGCTACTTCGTTGAGAAGAGGGCGAAGAGGGCATGAGGAAGGAAAAAGAGAGAGAAATGGCGGGTGTAAGATCTGAGAGAGCTTCCATTCAAATCATGGTGATCTAAACGGATTGGGTTGGGTGGAGGGATTGGTGGAATGAGTGGGTTAGGATCCAACGGCAAAGTGATGGTCTTGGTGGGGATCCATGAGGAATTGCGGACTTCAGGGATGTAGCTGGAGCATAGCCGTGTGAGTTCGGCAAGGGATTCTCTTGTTCCTGAGCAGGAAGTCTCCCTGAGCCTTTGAATCCTGGAGACCTTTGTGGGAGGACTCTGCTTTGAAGGATCGAATACTGCATCAAGGGCGTTTTGGTCATGAATTGGAGGGAAGCACACCGTTGTATTATTGAATGGTCGCAACAAATTCGCTCAGCATGTCCCTACCAAGGGCATGAGTGCACGTCATAGGTTCGGCCAGGAATTATCATCAAGCTGGTCAGGCAAGATATTGCGGAGAAGGTCCTTGATCATTATGTCCGTGCTTCTTCTGAGCAGCCCTATTTCCAACCCACTTTTCTAACCAACACAATGCCCATGGACACCACCCCGCCAGATCATTTTCATACAAGTACAGATGAAGCCCATAACCGAAGTTCATAGCAAACCAGCCAGCCACAGCGCTTCCCAGGTGAGAGGAGTATCGTAGTCTTGAATATACAGGAGAAGAAATGGAAGAAAGTGAGAGATTTAGACAAAAACGCCGGCTTTTTGCCCACCTTTTCCCACGACATAACAAAAGTGGTATGAGTCACGCGTCGTGATTATACATTGAGAGCAGGCAAGCGGCGCACTGCTCATCTATCGAAAGCTTGAGATGAGTCGCAAGTTGTTTTTATTTTGCGTAGGCGCTGTATTTCATGCATGGAAATTTACGCGTTCTTGACGACGCCAACCTGAGCGGGCTATAGAGGGTACGTTAGATGTTGTTCGGCGGAAAGGAAAAGGCGGAGTGGACTTACCCTAAGAACTCTGCCGTTCAGAATGAAGCCCGTCCGCTGGGTGAAGAAGCAAATGCCGTCCTCCTTGTCGGGCATGGGGGTCTGGAAGACAGCCTCGTGGAGGTTGGGGTCGAACTTCTCGCCCTCAACGCTGGGGTCGAAGCGCTCAAGACCATGCTTCTTGAGGGTGTTCATCAGAACGGTATCGGTCATCTTCAGGCCATCGTACAGAGTCATCAGGTCCTTGTTCTCCTCAACGAGCTTTTCCTTGGGCACGGTGGACAGAGCGCGGTCGAGGTTGTCGACAGACTCGACAAGATCGCGGGCGAAGCGAGAGATAGCAAAGTCCTTGGAAGCCTGGATCTCGCGCTTGGTGCGCTCTTGAAGGTTACGGAAGTCGGCGACGGAGCGGAGGTACTTGTCCTGTAGTACGGCATGATTGTCAGCGAGCTGCACTATCATTCGACCCCCAATGCGATGCGGCGACGCATTCATCGATCGAGGAAGAAGGGGAATGCGATGCTCACCTTTACTTCAACAATTTCCTTGTTCTTGGCCTCAATCTGTTCCTTCAGCTTGTCGACCTCGGACAGCTCCTGCTTCTGCTCTTCGCCCTCCTTCTTCTCTTCCTTCTTCTCCTCGTTCTTTGACTCAGCCGACTCGGAATACCATCTCGAGGCGACTCTGAAGGGAGAGACGGCGGCGGCGGGAGCTACCGAGGCGCGGAGCAGCGGCGACTGAGCGCGCAGAGAAGCAGAGGCGACCTGCGCCGATAGCCTGGAGCTCACGGCTCTGGAGGACCTGAAGACGGAGCGAGACAGCATTTTGGAGGCAGAAGCGACGGGTGCGATTGGGGAATTGGTGGGGGCGAGCTCGTGGGCAGGCGGCAGATGGAGGTTGTGGTGATGATGCAGTTCCAAAAAGTTCTGATGAGTGCCATGCCTTGTGCCCCGAGCTCCCGCGCCCGATGTCGCCCGAGCGGCGATCACCACAGCTCCACCCGCGCGCCCCTCCTCTTCCCGCTGCATCACTCAGCTCCTCGTGTTTTACCCGCCTTCCAATTTGCCATGACAGTTGCAAAGGCAGCCACCTCCCTGTCAAGCAGACTCGTCATGGCCAGCTCCGCACGGTTGACAAGCCGGAGCTTCTCCGCTTCTGCCTCGGCACTAAGGCAGCGCTCAACACCGGCTGCCTACTACAGAGGTGGCACCTCGCGTGGCGTCATGTTCCAGGAGAAACATCTGCCTGAAGACGAACAAGCCCGTCGCAGTATTTTTCTTCAGGTAATGGGCACGCCAGACCCCAATGGCCGCCAGCTCGACGGAATGGGTGCCGGCATCTCCAGCTTGTCCAAGATATGCCTCGTAGCCCCGACCGATGACCCCAAGGCCGACGTTACCTATACCTTCGTCGGCTTGGGCATTGAAACGCCCATTGTCGATCTGGCCGGCAACTGCGGCAACATGAGCTCTGCCGTTGGTCCGTACGCCTTCAACGAGCGGCTACTGGGCGACATTGACTACGAGAAGGAGGGGACGGCAACCGTCCGCATTTTCAATACAAACACTAAGAAATACATCAACAACAGCTTTCCCGTCGCCAATGGCCAGGCCCAGGTGCAGGGCAATTTCTCCATCGATGGTGTTGGCGGCACTGGTGCCAGAGTAACGTTGGATTTCCTCGACCCATCTGGATCCAAAACAGGCAAACTCCTTCCCACTGGCAATGTTGTTGACAGGTTTAATGGCATTGATGTCAGCTGTGTTGATGCCGCCGGTCCTGGGGTTTTTGTGCGTGCCGAGGACATTGGCGTGGATGGGACCATCCTACCCAATGACTTCAACAAGCTCCCGGATAAGCTTCAATTGTTGGAGGAGATTCGTCGACAAGCAGCTGTCGCAATGGGCATGTCAAAGGCTACCTCGGATGTTTCCAGGGTCACGCCTAAAATTGCCATTGTCTCTGCGCCTGCAAGCCACAAAATTCTCTCAGGTCAGACGCAGGATGCCTCTGCAGTGGATGTTGTCATCCGATTCATCTCGGATGAGCAACCCCACAGAGCGATCCCACTGACGGGTGCTCTGTGCGTCGCCGCAGCTGCAAAGGTAAGTGGTTCCATAGTGCAGCAACACATCACCCAGAATCTGGTGGATCCCGACATGATCACAATTGGTCACGCAAGTGGGCGTATCCAAGTCGCTGCAAAGATGAACGATTGCAACGAGGTTGAGACTGCAACCGTCTTCCGTACTGCCAGGCGCATAATGGAAGGCCAGGTCTACTGGAATGAATAAGAGCGGTATCTCTGATTTCCTTAAATTTCTTTCAAAGCTTTATATCTTTCCTTCCGTCCCGTCCACAATGTGCTGCACCAGCGCAGTGTCCAAATACGCCCTGACCTGCACAATCTTGCCTTCTTCGTTCCATCGAGTCGCCCAGCAGAAAGTGTTGTTGTAGTCCAACCCAGTCTTGGTCTTGCTTGTGTTTGTCATTTCAACCATGGCCCATTCGTCATCCCCGCCGCCGACAACGTTGTGGACTACCGGATGAACTGGGTGCTCTGGATCCATGATCCGGCCTAAGCGGCCAAACGTCTTTGCGCGGAATTCATCACGGCTGTGGTATGTGCCTCCAAGGATGGTTTTCGATTGCACCGTCCATTCTGTAAGAAGTGGTGAATTTATGCTACCGATCTTAAGGGCCTGCGTTTACTAACCAACATCAGGGACAACATTGGCAAAGAAGCCGTCATAGTCTCCCACCGCCATGTGGGAAAAGACTTCGAGAATATGGTCTCTGCTGGCGTATCTGGGCATTTTTGTTTCAGTTGCGAGGTGTCGTGTTAGGCCTGGATATGGCTGCTACTTCGACACCTGCGGTCTCCTGCAGCACTTATAACATGCCTACCTGCATCACCGCTTTCCTCTCGCTATGCCGAAACAGCATGATCAGATAACAGCGCTATCCGACCGATGTCCGAATCTTTCAAGAAATCATTATGGCATTTTCCGAGGTGGTCTCATCACGCGAAGGCCCGGCAACAGAGCCCGGGTCAAAGTCTGCGATTAGGTCCTTCTTTAAGATCACGAACTAGGAAAAGGAGTCCTCGCGATAGCCATGGAACGCCCAGGGCCAATTTGACGATCTGTGGGGGGTCAGGTCATGATCTCGCTTCTTGTTGTCTATACTGACGCGTCGACCGACCGAGAGCCTCATTTAGTCCAACGTGCAAGGGTAAGTAGTCTCAACGGCCCGATCACATCGTTCATCGGAAGTACGATCGGAGGTACGGCCGCAGCAGGGGCATTATTTTCTTTATTACCTTTTGGGCAGCCGCAGAACCAGACTACGGGCTGCGGAATCATTCCGCGTTAACATTGACTATAGGTGCCAGAACGCGTCGTCAGTTGCCCCGTATTGGCCTATTACTTCGTCCTTTCTTGGATGGGCTTATTAATTTGTGATTAGTATTTGGTCCCGCCGACCTGTCTGTCGGGACCAGAAGATATCACTGCCAAGCGCCTTGGTGACTGCCTGTTCTGACCAGGGACGCGTATACCTTCGCGCTTACCGTTGTACTGATGCTTAGTAGTACCGCTGCGTCGCTAGCATGAAATAAAGAACACCGATCGCAGTGTGAGATCAACATAGCTCCCTTCCCATCATCACATTTTTGGTTTCGAATCATAGGTCTTCTTTGACTTCGCCAAAAGGTAGTAGTATGCGCGTTGATGTGTGGAATGGTCTGGAACAAGAAGTGGGGATAACGGCAGGCATATCTTAATATGGGTTAGTGCGCATCATTTACACGTATCACACGCTACTGCTTGTGGAATTGCAATTTACGTGCGTTTATTAAGCCGACGCGATTATTCCTGCTCTAGATAAGAGGAAACGATAAAAAGCTACAATGAGAAAGAAATATACTTGTGAGATTCAGGCTTATGTATGTACATCTTTGTTCGGACCTTCTTAGTGCATTCTATGGTCTAGAGTCTAATTTATGGACCCTAGCAATATCCAAACGCAGCGCAAGTGCGAGAGCAACTGAATACGGGATATCTCAGAGCAAGCGCGAGAACTCTTTAAGGCTCATACCTTCCTTCCTATGAACCACTACACTATCCGCGGGAGAGACTTGCCAGTTGCTCTCGCTCCATGTATGCCAAAACTTCCCACTAAAACATTTGTACATAAAGATGCAAAACGAAAGGCTGCAAATTGTAGGCGACCCGGCATCGTGGTTCATGATTCTAATATCCACCTTTCTTTGACATCCCACTTGACTAAATATCCATCAGTCTCATTCGAAATCGTGTCTGAGACAGGGAGGCTCACCAGACGAGATTTTGGTTGAAGTGGCGCCGGGACGATGTCCAACCGACGGCTGGTACAGACTTTACCTTCACTCCATGTTAGCTGTAAGCTGCAAATATACTTGGTTCCAATAATTACCGTCAAGAGACCAAGCCATATGTCAGTCACGGCACCATATGCGTTGATCGAACAGGTGCTTGAATGCCACAGCCTGGACAGCTGAATGCATAGTGTGAACGGATACCTCTTCAGCTCGTACGCGACCATAAAAGACAATGTAAAGATAAAAGGGTAACTTGGAACACAAGAAAGACAACATTCTGAGCCCCTGCGGCCGTTACTGAGGTTGAATCATGGTGGGATACCTCTACGATAGAGGCAGAACTGAAAGAACTCCGCAGCTGACCGGAAGACGGAATGAGGGGAGATGGATTCTCCCTGAATGGACTGGGCAAAGTTGTACTGAGCCATAAAGATGCCATCACTGTTGAGCAATATGTAGAGTATGAGACGAGCCGCATCATCAACTCATTATATTATTTTACCGTTCAAGGTCAGGATAGTACGAGAAAAAGTCGAGAGACCCAAATTCGCTAGAAACATGATCCAAATGCCATTTTACCCCCTTGGTTGCGCCTGTATCCAAGCAGAAGATTGTACACACAAATGCTTATGCGTTCGCATTACCATTCGCTTGCGGCGCCGGGGCGTCATCCCAGTTAACCTTCAGGGCTGCGAGAACAGGGTTAGCAAAGTCAACATGGCGTGGACGAGGGGGAAAAACTTACTCTGAGGGAACGGGAAGAACGAGTCGCCCATCTCCGTCAGGTACTTGTGGTACCTGACCTCCTTCTTCTCGAGGTCAGGCGAGTCCATTGGCTGCTCCACCTTCCTGACGGTGCCCTGCGGGCCTTTGGCCACACGAAGGTTCGGACACTCCTTCAGCACGACCTTGAACAAGGTGGTGAGGGTGATGCGCGTCATGGCAAGGCCGAGGCACTGGTGCTGGCCGGCGCCCAGGTGGATGTAGCTTTCGAGCGGGCGGTCGAGCCTGACCTGGTCCGGGTCCGGGAAAGCCTTGGGGTCGCGCGACGCGGCGCGCAGGTGCAGCATCAGCCGGTCGCCGGGCTTGAGGTGCACCTCGCGGCCGTTGTCGTTGACGGTCGTCTCGCGCGTGGCGTAGCGGAGCACGCCCGTCTCACCGTACAGCCGGCTGCCCTCCATGAAGTAGCGCATCAGCGTGTCGAAGGACTCGTCGTCGTCGCGCAGCGCGAGGGCGCGGCACTTGGGCAGCAGCGCCCGGCCTTGCTCCGTCGTCAGGAAGAACTCCATCGTCTGCGCGAACAGCTGGCCCTGGTTCGGCGCCATGCCGCCCGCCGTGCCCATGATGTGGCCCCACACCAAGTCGGGCACATCGTGGTCGTGCTTGAGCAGGCGCTGGATGAGGTGTACACCGTAGTCCTCGAGCGTGTTGCCCGTCTCCTTTGAAGGGAAGATCATGGCCATGGCGTTCGTCAGGATGCCGGCGCCTTCTTTGATCGACTTGACCTTCAGCTCGACGGCCTTGCCGAGCTTTTGCGTGACCTCGTGGCCCTTCAGGCGGAGCTTGAACGACTCTGCTGGGTCCATGTCGAAGAAGACGACGGTGAAGACGGCGGCTAGGATCATGTACAGCTCCATTTCGGTGAAGATGCCATGGGGATTCTTCTTGGTCTTGAGGGGGAGAAGGAAGAGATCTGCAGCGAAGTGAATGTGAACCAAATTGCCGACGTCACGGATTAGGTCAACCTGGTTGAGGTCATTGCCCAATCTGTATGATTTCTCCTTCAGGAGCTCCTCGCTTTTGGCGAGATAGTAGTTCTTGACCTCCTTCTGCCAATCGGAGATGTAGAGAGCGTCCTTCATCATCTTGCGGGATTCGGCATTCTCATATCCGTCGCCTGCAAGCATGAAGTTCTTTGCTGGCTTGCCCATGAGGAACTCCATAGCCGGTCCCCAGGTGACGTTGAAGGTTGCCTTGTCGCCGAGAATCTTTTCAGCACACTCGTAGGAGTAGATGAGCTTGAAATGAGGGGTGAACTGTGGTCTGTCGAAGCTGTACAAATGCGCTTTGCCCAACGTCTTGAGCACACTCTCCATCTCGGATGGGATTGTGAGCGGGTAGTGGGCATAGACAGAATCAGGCTTGAAGTGGTTGGGGAAAGCATGCATGAACAGCTTGGAGAAAACGCAGCCATTGTCAATAGCCGTGTCGGATTTGACGAGCGCAAAGCCCCAGTTGGTCAGCAGCTTTGGGTGGTAGTCCAGAGTGTAGAAGCGATCGCCGCGGACAAGGGCTACAGCATCCGAGAGCACACCGCGTGAGATGGTGTAGTTGGTGCACAAGCCCGAGCCGGGTACCATGGGCTCCTTGGCCGACTCGACGACAAGACCCGGATAGAGCTCGACCCTGTCGGGAGTTTCGTAGAGATGCCTTAGCTGATCCGCAACTTCGGGGTTAATGTCCTCAAACGTGTTGTGCGGGGTCAACTTGAAGTGCTTCCTGAACTCGTTCAAGGTTGCGCAGTTCCAGGCGCGGGCTTGCTCGATTCCCAGAACCTCGATGGCGCGCATGACGGCGGGCACGCGCAGAGCACCGAAGCTGTTAGCACAGTCTTCAACGCTTTCGACGACAATCTTAACCAGCTCATCGTCATCGTAAGTGCCAGTTTCCTTATTGCGCTTCATCTTGTTAAAGGGCCTCTTTTCAGGCTCCTTTGGAATCTTGTCGGCGAGCCCGTTCAACAGTTTGAGGAACTCGTGCATCTCCATCTTCTTCGGGTCCTTTCCTGGCCAGAGTTCGTTCCACAAGTCCTCGGTCCATTTCTCGTCGCGATCCGAGATGACGGAATGCCAGCGGTAGACCAAGTTGAACTCGGCCGAGACCTGGTTTCCGGCGGCCATTTCAACGCCGTCGATGTCCGCACGAGGGTTAAGAGCCCAGTTGTCGTCGGTCTTGTTCAGGTTGAGAATGGTGCGGACATAGTCAAGCAGAATACAGTTGACGTAGAGGCCGCAAGTAATCAGACGAGCGGTTTGGAAGAGGTCCTCATCATATTGCTTCCACGTCTTGGCATGAGGACCGGTCCGTCCCTCGACGGGCTTGTTGAACCTACCGCCCTCATTTATTTCGGCAAGATTCTTGGCGACGAAGTTGTGGAAGCGGTTGAACATGATGAGGAGTACGCCAACGCCGGGGGGGAACAGCAGAAGGCGCTCCTCGGAGAAGCAGTCGGGCTTGATCATTCCGTCCTTGAACGTTCTCATGAGAGAAAGCTCTTCGTCGTTGCTACCGTACAAAGGAGCGAGGTCGAGGTATGACGAGGTTTTGGACCTGGTGAAGTCGTCATGGTCGGTGTCGAAGAGATCGTGGATGATGATGGAGGCCAGGTAGAACAGCATGCTGGAAATCTTGTTGGGGTGCTTTTCGCTCTTCTTTCGGGTCATGAGACTATCGAAGACAACGCCTGCATCGGGCAGGGCAACCATCTGCGGGGTTTTAGGTTGTACGGTCCTGGCGTAGGGCATGCCAGCAGCTCCAAGCTGGGGGTGCTTCAGGCTGTTGAACGAGCCATCTGCTTTGCGGTACTTGAGGTCTCCTGACAGGAAGGACTGCGGAGGGTGCTGGAGATCGCCGTAAAGCTGGGTCAGGAAGCCGTCGGTGAGCTTCTTGGACATGAGAGAAGTGTCAGGAAGTTTTGCGGCAGCCTGGATCAGGCGCTCCATGAAGTAAGTCTTGTCGTTGATGAACTCGCCGGTGATTTGGTTTTGCAGCACGTCGTACAGGGTCTTGTAGTCAGTGATGCCCAAATGGCTGAGGTCGGCGAGACTGGCCTCAGCGAGCTCGACGGCATCGGTGTGGTAGTCGTCATCGTTGAGGTCGGTGCCGTTGCCAGTGCCGGTGGGCAGGGGCTTGACAGCCTGGGTAATAAGAGTGCTAAGGGCGGAGACCTGCTTCGAAATCTCCTTGCGCGTCTTATCGAGCTGCGAGAGCTCGGGCTCGGAAGTGAACTTGGCCGACATTGTGGTGGGGAATAAACTAGGGGCTTGTCAGATAAGAGGAAAGACTGGGGACAAAGAGAATCCGGCAGTATCCGGATTAAAGGATTGACGCGAACGGCGGCGGGGTTTTGGGGATTCGGAGGCGTAACGGCGCCCTCTGCGGAGAGGAGAGGCTGCCCTTGCACAGGAAGAGCATTGAGATTGGGTGATGTGGTGGAACGAGTGGAGCAATGTCCGCCCCGCAGCTTCCTCGGCGGAGGCGAGACACGCAAATTGACCATGGCAATGCGTACGACACGGCGGGATGGCACTTACGTCGGCTGGGGTATCAATCAAGGGAGTAAGAGAGGGTGCTGGTATCAGAAGTTATGAGACAGGGAAAGGAAAGAATTCAAGCAATTACAGCAACACACGTGGTCGCGGGGAGGAGGGGGTTGACGGAGAACGGCCTGAGGCGGCGGTGGCGGCGGTAGATATATGTGCAAGGCTGCGCGGTGGAGGCCGCACGACTAAAGGGTCTGGAGTGCGGCTGAGAGCAATCATGACGGTGTCGTCGCGGTCAGCGTGCGTCTGCAACCGTTTGGGCAAGGTGCCGGGCAAGGCGACAGAAAAGACCGGCAAGGGGCCACGGCGCAGGGGGGCGGGCCAATGGTGCTCAACTGATTATCCGCGCTTCCGCCATGCCACGCTCTCGCCGAAGGCCACGGCCTGGGGCTGAGACGCGGATGCTGCTGCTCGTGCTCTCAGCTTTGGTGGGGCAGGCATGTGCCAATGTGCCAATGATGACCGCAAGCAGCCATATGCGCCGGGCGAGGGAGCGGAATCGCGGGCGCCGGGGCGGAAGGCAACCTGGAACGCTGGGCACAGGCTGCAGCAGCGCCCAGCGTGCAAGGCTGTGGAGGGCATTGGCTGGAGGGGAGATGGGGGACGGAGCTGAGCTTACCAGGCGAGCTCCATGTGCCGAGGCTGCCCGCCGCGCTTGCGTCACGCTGAGCAACGTGCTGCCACTTCATGCTGCACGCCACCAGACTTTCTCAAGCCAAAGACCGACTGACGTCTGTCGGTGCGGGTCAGGGTTTACGGCGCACGAGCAACATAGCACAGCCTTAACCGTCGCGCACGTGCGGCCGCAACGGAGCCGCCTGTGCGCTTTGCTCGACTTCGGCAGTCGGCCGACTGAGACCCGGAGCTTGGACCTGACCGCCAGCCCTCAGCCCGCCCGCGACAAAATCCGTTGAACTCCAGCACACCCCTCACTGCAGCCATGGCCGAACCCATCACCCTCGTCGTGCAGCCGCGCGGTATGATCCGTGTTCCACTGCGCCCTGCGACCGCGCTGACCCAATGCCCCAGGCAAGCCCATCAAGAAGCTCCCCGCCGAAACCACCATTGCCCTGTCCGACTCGACCGCTGAGCTCTACAAGCGCATTGCCCAGGCCACCGGCTTTTCCGTCCACCGCCTGCGCATCGTCAAGGGCAGCGATGGCTCTGTCGTCCCCAATTCGCCCCGGACGCTTGTCCAGGACACCGGCCTGCGCCAGAAAAGCAACATCACCGTCAAGGATCTTGGTTGGGCCCCGAGTCTCCCGTGCATCACAGCCTATCCGCTAACCTCCTCGTGCTACCAGGTCCCCAGATTGCCTGGCGCACCGTTTTCCTCGTCGAGTATGCCGGGCCCCTGCTCATCCACCCGCTGATCTACTTCCTGCGCCCGTATCTCTACCCTGTCCCTAGCCTCACCCCGTCCGCTCTCCCGGAGCCCACCTCGCTGCAGAAGCTGTCGCTCGTCCTGGTCACAATCCACTTCCTCAAGCGCGAGCTGGAGACGCTGTTTGTGCACCGCTTCTCCAGTGCCACCATGCCCGCCTTCAACATCTTCAAGAACTCTGGTCATTATTGGATTCTGTCCGGCCTCAACCTGGCCGTCTTCGCCTATGGCGCTTCGAAGACGGAAATCGACTCGAACCCCCTGGCCGTCTATGCTGCCCTTGCCCTATACACTATTGGAGAACTCGGAAACCTGTATACCCATTTGGTGCTGCGTGGCTTGAGACCAGCTAACAACCCCACCGCCCGTGGCATTCCCCAGGGTCTGGGCTTCTCGTGGGTCACTTGCCCCAATTACCTCTTTGAGGTCATCTCCTGGACTGGTGTTTGGATCATCAACTCTCTGATCGGCAAAGGCGGCTTCTTCTCCACCGCCCTCTTCGTCGTAGTCGCCGGCGGCCAGATGGCTGCATGGGCTGCCAAGAAGGAAAGGAGGTATCGGAAGGAATTCGGTGCTCAGTACAAACGCAAGAAGTTTGTCATGCTCCCGGGCATCTTCTAGGCCAACAAAGGAACAAAATGCTGGTCGTGCCCATGTGGGGCAATGGATCGCAATATGATCTACATTATGGATTGGCCCCATCGCGGCTACAGCAATCCGCGTGGACCATCCGCCGATGGAGGATAGGGCGAGCGGTATATTTTGCAGTGATGAATCAATATCTGGACTTATCTCCACCCTTTTGCTTTGTTCTTCATTTCTCCGATATCTCATGCTGTTTATAAACTTGGGGGCCAGATCTTGCGCATCAGCCTCCCAATCGCGTGCATGCCCCCCGAGAAAATCGTCAGAGATCGACGTAAGCTGACATCCTGCATCCTCCAGCCACCGTGCCACCATCAGCTTATCCTCGCTTACTCACCTTCTCATCACATGCCTGACCTCTTTGTTCCATTTCAATATCAGGTCACCGCTGAACGCCATCGACACAAACACCATGGCTGCGGCGTCGTATGGGACGACTTTTATTCATTAAACCCTTGCTCATTCGTTCGTCCTTTTTTTCCTACCCGCATGAAAGCTGAAAAAAAGAAAGCACGATTCGTGTCGGATTACTGTTTTCGATATCAGTTTCCCCGCATAGGGCTTCCGAGGCAGGGAAGCCTCTCGACTGGCTGAATAGTACGCACTGATGCGTGCTGCTGTCTTTGAGGCACCATCTCGCGTCTTTAGTAGTACAGCTACTTCCCTGACCTCTTCTTGCTTTAGCGACAGCTGTCATTCGCCCCCTAGAAAGAGGAAAAGCACGCATTTGGCAACCCCAAGAAATTTCCTTTTTATTTACTCTTTCGACAAGATCAACATGACTATCTAATTGTTCTGCAACAAACAGAGATCACTCGGAAATAGATCTTGACTTCCTTTTCCCGGACCTTGGACGATCATTTCATGTTGGCGAAGACGTACTTCATGCCCGCCCACATCTCCTCGCTCGTCGGCCTGATCTGGTTGGCCGGCAGCACGAAACCGTAGCGGCCGGTGTCGCGCAGCTCCGCCGTGAAAGTGTACGTCGACCGCACGACGTCGTTGGAGTAGTCGACGCTGGATCCGGATGCCTGGTAGATGGTCTGGCAGATCGGGCCGTACTCACTGTGACAGATTAGTCTCATTCATTGGCTTCCAAGATTATACCCTTCTCTTCTTTTTTTCTTTTTTTGGAGCAAGTTTCCCGGGAAAAGGGAAATGGGCAAAGGGGGGGACAAGAAGAGCGTCTACAACGTACAATTGCGTGCCGTAGACAGCCTCGATGGCGGCGACGGCGCCGCCGGAGATGGACTGCAGCTCGGCGTTGGCGGCCGGCAGCGTGCTGCACGTGTAGCCGTACGGCGTCATCCAGAGCTGCGAGTACGAGTGCCAGTCCATGTACATCTTGACGCCCTGTTGGTCGCGGACGGCGCGCATCTGGGCGGCCAGGCCGGCAGCCTCGGGGGAGCTGAGAGCGGCGGAGCCTTTTTCATGTTAATTTCCAAAGGTCAGCAAATGTTTATGATGCTTTGGCTATGTTTTCTTTTCTCTCCCTTTTTCCTTTGCCTGGAAAAGAGGACTGCTCGAAGTAGGATTGCGCTTACCTCTGTAGGTCTCATCACATGGGTTGGTCGACGAGCCACCTGCCACGTTCCAGCCGACAGCCCAGTTACGGTTGATGTCGGTGCCGACGCAGCTGCTGCCGGAGGCGGCCTGCCTGTTCTTGCGCCAGAGACGCGTGTTCGTCTGCGTGTAGACGAAGCCTGTTGAAATGCGTCAGCCAATTGCTTTTTTCGACTAGACTCTCACGGGGGAAAATTACCGTCCGGGTTGACAACAGGAAAGACGTAGAAGTCGTACTTGTCGACGTACGACTTTACGGCAGCATCGGTGTCGTACTTGGTGAGGAGCTGGTAGGCCACGTACTCGTTGGTCTGTTTTCAACGAATTAACAAAATATTCTCCGTACATTTCAGGAGAAATCTCACCATGGTCGTGATCCACTCACGCGCGTGAACCGTGGAGTGCATGATGACGGCCGGCTTCGAGTTCTTGCCGCCGCTGCCCCAGAAATGGATGCCGGTGATGTTGCGGCCCTGGGACGAAGCACCGGCGGTCACGATCTCGGCGTTGTTGGGTCGCACGGAGACGAGGTCGTTCAGGAAGGCCAGGTGGTCGGCGTATGAGTGGTAGGCGTCGAACCAACTGTCGGATGGAACAGCCGCAGCACCCGCTGGATTTCCAGAGCATTAGATCTTATGCAAACAAAACAGAATTTGATTGACCGGGTCTTCGCAGAATAGACGGGACCAAACGATGAGCTAAGAGGTCTGGGGACCAGGACTTACCACGATACTCAACCGTCTCCTCTTCCTCCTGCTTGATGGCAGCACCGAGGTCCTCCTGGATGACCTGGAACTCAATGCCCAGGCTCTCGATGTCGCTGCTCTTCTCGGGCGCGACGAGCAAGTCGACCTGGCCGAACTGTGCGGGCTCGTCGCTCAGCTGCTCGCCGAGGGCGGCGACGGCTTCCGGGTTCTTCTCGTACTCGCTGTACGCCACACGGAGGACCCTGTAGCCGTCGTAGTTGAACTTCTCACCCGCATCCACCTCGACCTCCTCGGCGATGGAGATGGGGGAGGCGGTGGCCAGCTGGCCGAGGAGAATCACGGGGAGGAGATACCTCATTGTTGGCGTCGAGTAGAGGACGATAGCTGTGACGATTGGAAGGCAGCTACCTGAGCGAAGAAGACTGCAAAGGGGATGTTTCCGGTTTTATATACTTTTCTCCACTATCGGCTTGCAACGAAACGCCAAGAGAGAACCATGTTGACTAACTGTGGAGAGAAAGGGCAGGTGCATGCAATGACCTTCAGGAACAAGAGATAGGCAAGGATACTGACAAGGCGGTCTGGTAGGTCAGGCGTGCAGATCCAGGTCATGGCGATCCCCGCACAGGCATCGAGCCGGGGAGAAAACAGAGCAATGCAACGATTCTGGCCTTGGAATGACGTGAAATCATGCTGGGGTGGTAGCAATGAGGCCATACGAGAGGTCCAACGTGGGTTTCTGGAGAAACCCCGCGCGGACAGATGGTATTGGGGGCTGCTTGTTGCTCTTGGACAAACTAGGCAGGTGATGGGCTTCCAAGCGCCCCGCCAAGATGTCTCGAAACCCTCGACCTACCCGGACCGACATAGCTCATGTTTGCCCAGTCTCTTGGCTCCAAGCAGCGAGTACAGTCCCCTCTCGTGAGTTTTTGCTCATGTCATGGGCTGTTGAAGCTATCGTCCGGATGTAAATGTGGAATTAATAACTATTCACTCACGTCCGGATGATAGCTTCAGCTACCCACATATGTTATATTTCTAGGAAAAGAGCTGGGGCACAATTATGCCTGGGGCCTTACTATTCTTCACGCTTGCCTTAGGCTGTAATACCCCCCCTGTAATTCGGGTGGTGAGATCTCGAGCCTTATTTTCCGTAAATGGAGCCCGTATTTATACCGCCGCCAACCTCTGCATCGAACCTCCGAATTCAGAAGCTGCGAACATTTCGACTCCACACACGAGATATGCTTATTCAAACATTTAGCCCGGCTAGCATCGGACGACGGCCTTTTTGCCATTAAACCGGAAGCTCGCTACAACCGGACAAAGTCTGGGCCTCGAGCTCCGCGAGCTGCGCCTGCGCCTGCGCCATCTCCTCATCGGTGGGCATATTTACGATCATGAGATACAGAACGTCCTGCAGTTTCGGAATTAGCTCTATGAAGCCACAATCAAATGAAGCACAGTATCCTCGCCCATGCAGTCAGAGTTGAGGTATCGAACGCCTCAAAACTGGCTATCATGTGCGGGCAATCCTGTGCCTGCTTGTCTCGGATTAGAGTCAACTCACCTGCTGCAGAGCTTTTCTTACTGTCCCGATGATATTCGGACGGCCCGTGCGGCCAGCAAGACCAGGTCTGCCACCCGACGGCTGCTGTTGGCCCCGTATCGGAGCTGTCTCGCCTCCACGCAAATCACCCTCTCCCGCGTACGCATCGGTGGCGCCGTAGCCAGATGGAGGACTGCGTCCATCGTCGTACTCTTGATGACCTCGGGAAGCTTGTCTGCCAAGCAGACCGCGTCCTCCTAGAAAGCCTCCTCTGCCCCTTCCTAGACCACCACCTCTTCCCATTCCTAGACCACCACCACCTCTTCCCGAAAGAAACCCCCCACGTCCGCCAAGAAATCCGCTTCTGCTCGCATGGTCCTGATTCTGGCTGTCCCGGCTACCTCTAGAGCTTGCTGCTCCACTCAAAGCTCCTGAGATTCCGCGGGCACCGCGTTGGGGCGTTGAGATCTTGCCACCGCTGACCAATGTGACCAGGCTACCTTGATAGGCCGGATGGTTGGGGTCAGCCCAGCTAGAGGCAAACTCAGGCTTCTGCTTGATGAGCGAAGAGTCCGGGTTCTCCGCCAACTAAAATACGGCGTTAGTTTTGAAGAGAGACAGTATCATGAGTAATGCAAGTGACTCACAAACTTCGCCTGAGCTCGTCTGTCGTTGTAATCATCCAACCACTTCTTCTTCCCCTTCATTCCCTTCGCCTGCTGCCCTTCTCCATCCTCCTCCTCTTCCAGCCCCGGAAACACCAGATCCGCCGCCACCGGCAGCCCCTCCTCCCCATACGTCTTCCCGCTGCTCAGCCTCAACTTCCTCGCGCCATCCTTCCACTTACTCCCCGACGACTCGCCCGTCCCATACTTCTCAAACACAGCATTGATATCCAACTGCCGCGCCTCCACCGGCTTCCCCGTCATGCTATCCTCCTCCCCCTTAAACGCCACGATAACAGCGTACAACCCGCGCGGCTTGAACAAGCGCTCATTGGCCTCGTCGAGGAACGAGTTGGCGCGGTACCGCTGCTGCGCGATCTGCGCGGGGATAACAACAGCATTAATCGCCGTCGTCGTCGCCATGACGGCCACGCTCGGCACGAGCCCCACGACGGCGCTGGCCAGCAGCACCACGTTGAAAACGGGACTCGCCTGCGACGCCGTGTGGAACGCCTTCAGGAACTGCAGGAACGACGCCTGGTCGATGCCTGCCGCTGCTTCTAGCGCTGGCGCGTACGCCCGCACGAAGCCACGCGTCTTCTCGCGCGGCCGCCGCTGCGGCAGGATGACAGGGCAGGGCAGGCACGGCTGTTGCGGCGGCGAGGAGGGCGCGGGCGGGAGCCGGTTGACCAGGTCGCGGATGAGCGCGTTGTTGCTGATGTCGGGCCGCTCGCTGCCGATGACGGAGGGAGAGTCGTCGTCGTCGGATGAGTGGTGTTGATGCTGCCGCCGCTCCTCCGAGGCTTCGTCCAGCGCCCACACGTCGTCGTCCTCGAGGATGGCGGGCGTCATGGGCGGCTCTTGAGCAGCGCCCGTCTCATCGACGGCGACGGCCCGGCCGCGGGCGATGAGGTCAGTGGCTTCGTCTGCCGGTAGCTCGGCATACTGCGGTTGCTCGTCGCCGCCGGGGCGGTACGGTGAGGATGGGGACTCTGGTGCTGCTGCTGAAGAAGAAGAAGATGCGGAGGCTGATGCAGCGGCTGCCTTAGCGGCCTTTGATTTCTTGCTGGATGCGTAGGCTTCTGTGGCGATGCCGACGCCTTGGCTGATGAGCTTGACGAGCATTGGCATGTTGTTCTAGAAATTGTGTGTAGTTGAAGCTTCTCAGACCGCCTAGAGAGGGGGGAAATGGGACGGATGCGAGCCTTCGCCATTAGAGACATTGTGGACTTATATATAGAGATGGTTGCAGGCGGTAACTGGATGGCTATTCGGCGCAGCGCTCCGCCCCAGAGTTGGGGGCCAGACAATCGCACAGGAGGCCCGGAAAAGCCTAGCGCCCCGCGCTCATACCCTTATCCTGTGCCCTTCTGCGAGCCCCGCCAACCCTATAGGCTCCTCTCTCCCTTCGTCCCGCCGGCCTTTTGCGGGGCCTGCCGGAATCCGAGTTTAGCACTGCGGGAGCCAAGTTTTAGCACTGCCCAATCCGGCGTCCATGCTGGAAAGCTTGTCGCATACAAGGCGTCCCGCCCCATTGCTTGGTTATGACTGAACGGAAAAGAATATGCTAGTAGCAGAAAAAGAAAAGAAAGGGCGGTATTGCGCTTCTACTAGCGTGATGTAGTCGGTGCTCGCTCTATCGCTCGCGATGCCTCAAAGTCTTTCTTGAATCAGCACAAACTGGTATAAACAAAACATCACAACGCTTTGTGTCGCAGACAATGCAAAAAACACGAAGAACCAAAGTCTAACATTGTGCATGAATCCAGCCTTGCAGATAAAAACGACTTTTTGACCAGAAAAAGACATGGGTATAACTACAAGACCTCAAGCGTCGCAAGCCTCTCCAAGATCCCGACCCCAAATCGAGTCGATGTAACGCACATTTTGGACAAAAGAAAAGCCGAAGCTCCGAGGAAATTAGAGAAAGGAGCAACTCTTGTCCGCAGTAAGAGTATAGAGCGGAAACCAAACGGAAAATGAGTGCAACGGAAACACAAACAAAAAGATGAGACCCCCACCCGACCCTCCCATATGCTGGGTATTTCCTCGCCCGCGTATATACCCCACCGGCCACCCAGCATGTCCTTGCCTCCATCGTCCGATCCTTCCCTACCTGGTATAAGAAATCTGCCGCCGCGGGCGCGTGAAAGCGAAAGTGCAAAAGTGATTAGGCAAGTCGTAAACAAATCAGAAGAAAATGCAGGAAAAGACCGTCATCTTGCTCACTCCTCCGCCACGCTCTCCCCGAGCCTAAAGTTCTTGCTCGCCTTCTTGCCAATGTTCAGCATCGAAAATCGCTTCTTGACGTTACCCGTCATGCGGTCGCTGATGCTCTGGCTCTGCGACGACTCGCTCCGGCTGGTCTTGGGCCTCTCCATGCTCATGCTCCGCCGGCTGGTCCCGGTGCTCGAATCGTTGGTTGTTGTTCCGTGGAGGAAGCTCAATCGGTGGCTGAGCCCACCCTGCCCGTGGTCCTTGCTTCGGCTGCGCGTTGTCGCCGTGTCCGCGTCGTCCACATCTTCCCCGCTTATGCTATTCAACCTCTTGCCATCCATGAATGGCTGCGACACAGAGCCGCGCTTAAGGAATGTGAGGCTGAGACGGTTCTTCTCCTGCCGCGTGGCACGAGCGTCGGAAAGGGGCATCGTCATGTTCTGCTTTAGGAGCTGTGGTTGTTGAGGCGTAGGCGTTGTCGATGCCGCACGCGACTGCGAGTTGATCCAAGACGAAGTCTGCGAGTTCGGGAACGGCGAATGGCCAAAAGCGAACAATGCCTCCAGCTCGGGGGCATATGTTGTCTCGAACCCTGTTATACAAGTCAGATCAGAGTCGTCGAATGGCATGACATGATATCAACTTACGTGATGTGAGGTCTGCTGCCGTGGCTTGCTGGGCAGGCCTTGTGTATGCGGCCAAGCAACGCTTGACTGTCAAAGCATGATCCATGAGGGCTACCTTGAGAGCATTTTCCATTTGGCTCAGCTGAATTGGTGCGGGCTCTTCATCCTCATCAACGATGGACTCGGCTTGCTCAGGCTGTTGAGGGATAAGTTCGCGATATCTTGCCACCGTTGCCGGTGAGTTCGAATCGACCGAGAGCATCAGAGCCTCGGTAAGTTGCTGCAGAGCAGAATCCTCTCCGCTGGTGACACGTTTCTCCAGCGAAGCAAGTTCGGCCGTCTTCCTGAGTGTACGTTCAAGAGCACTCTGAACGGGGCTGAGGTCGACTTGCTCGATAGAGATGATCTCACTCCTCCGAAGAATAGTGGGGAACGGTTCGGCAGTCGTGTAGATCGTCTTGCGGATCGTCTGCTCCTTGAGGCTCGTGTCGCTCACGTGGCGTCTAGAAGTTGTCGAGAACTTGTTCGGCCGCGCGAGGACCAAATGCTCGCGGATCGCCTGGCCAACCTTCGGGCGCTGGTAGATCGGATGCGTCAAATCCTTCTGCGCACTGACAGAGTAGATCTGGAGATATTGGCCTTCTACGTCCTCCTCGTTGGAACCATTCGAAATCTGCGCAGAAGGATGCTGCTGTTGCAGGCGGTCTGTGAAAGTGGCACGGCTGTCCGTTGGTGAGCCCTCGAAGATGAACTGCTTGTCCCTTAGAGATACCGGGAAACCCATTCCCTTGTAGACGACCCGGAAGTAGCGTGGAATCTGGCGATCGCCCTTGTTGATGCTCTCATAAACAGTGGCCATAGCACGTTGCGTTCGTGCGAGCTTCGAGAAGTCGAAGATGTTGTTCTCGTATTGGGCAGCCAGTTCCTGGTAAGCATGAAGAGCGTTGTGCCATGACATCCCCTCTTCGTAGTGCTTAATCATCTCAAAGTACAGTTGCTCCTTCCTCTCGAATGCCGACTGCGCAGGGAACGGCGGGTCTTCCAGAGCAGGGACTGTTGTGTTTGAATCCCAGTCATAGAGTTCAGCATGAAGACGAAGCGCCAGACCGGCTTCTGTATGACTGCCCGATTCTTCCTGGATTTCAGCGAGCTGATGAACGTATCTGATGTAGATATCCTCCTTCTGCATGTCTTTGAGGAACTCCATCAGATGAAGCGTATCCATGATATGGAAGATCTCGCCAGAGTTCTCTCTTCCATGAACAGCAACCAGCAGGTCCAGAAGCTCGTCGATGGTGCCAATCAGATCCTTGACAGCATTGAAGAGAGGGTCCTCGGGGTCCTCGGCAAGAGGCTCGAAGAGATCGATGAGCTCGCTGATGAACAGCTTCTGAAGGATGCTTTCAGTGATTTCCTTGGACTTGAAGAGATGGTCGAGGCAATCAATCATCTCTGCCTGTATCAGAGCCAAATCGAACGAGAGCGTCCATTCACTGATGATCATAGTCTGCAAGACCTGAATTGCAACGCTGCGCAGACCTTGATGGACACTCAGGCAGAGCTCAACAATAGGCGCAACCAACCCAGGCACGTATTGGACCTGGTAGCCACCCATCTTCTCAAGGCCGTAGGCTTTACGATCCTCAGGTGTTGTCTCCCAACCAATGGTCTCCCAGCTCCTTCGCAGAAGCTCCGCACCCAGTTCACGGACGTCTCCGGCAATCTTCCAGACAGCACGGCGCTTCTGTTCGGGGAAAGTCTCCAGAGCCAGCGAGTCGCTACCCACAAGCTTCAGCAGGGCATCGAAGAACGACCGCCACAGTTCGGTGTTGAAATCATCCGCCTCGTCGGGATCCGGAAGGAATGAATCGATAAGAATGCTGCACACTTTCTCCAAGGCCTTCATCGTAGCTCGATGATGATAGATGTTCACACTTAGCCAAGAGCTAGGGAACGCTTCGCCATCCAAAAACGAAAGGAAAACCTGTAAGGTGTCAAACAAAAATGTGGCAAGTTCCGGTTTCGGTAGATCGGGAGTGATGTTGATGGGAAGATTCGTTATAGCTGCAAGAACTCCAAGTATCTCTACCAATGCCTCGTCAAACTCAGCCTCAGTCGTTGTAGGCTTCGACGGGAACGGATAGGACGATGGGAAGAGGAGCGACAAAGTATTCTTCTGAGATCTTGGGGTCGACGAAATCGCCATGTACGAGTCCACGAGTTTCGGTATGTAGTCTGCGGCTTCTGGGCCCAACTCATTGATCTGCGAAGCCACCACTGAGCAGCAAAGCCGGACTTGATCTTTCCACTGGGCAGTGACAGCCACCGTCTTTCCCCAGTGCGGTGCCAACCAGCGCACGGTGTTTTGGAGAAGGGTAGGCCGAGTCTCTGGGTCCTTAAAGGCCTCGATCTTGGAGAATTGGAGAATGAGGATCAGCTTGTAAAGGATGAGCTTGCCCGTGGCTTCGAAGCAGGAGTCGATAAAACTGCTCGCAAGCTCAAGAACTTCTTTTGACTCAAGGCACACCGTCAGCTCCGGAAGCCACTGGTGGATGTGTTGCACGAGCATGGTCTTGGTGCCCACAAGCGCCGCGGCTGAGTTGGACATCAGGTCTTCCAAGGACTTGAAGATCTTCTGCATGTCATTGACGAAGTTCGTCTGTCGGTTGGCAAGGCCAATACCTTCCTCCTTGTCTTTCTGTTGCTGCCGAGCTCTCATGATGAACTTGAAGATATGTGCTCCAACCTTGAATGTGGCACGAAGCTTCCGAGAGCTGTCCGGGTTTGTGGGTTTCGACAGCAGACGATTGAAGCTTCTGATCAGGGAGGCGGTGGCGAAAGGATAGTTGAACCGATTTTGAGCGTACTGATCGACGAGGGGAGAGAGGTTGAACCGGCGGTCGTAGACAATGCCCAATACAATGACCAAGGTGTTGAATACGAGATCTTCAATTTCGTCCGATCCGGCGTACTCTACCAAGACCTCGAACAGAGCATCCAAAACCTCGGGCAAAAGTTTGACGATTTCGATCTCCGGAACGAACATGAACCTCTTCAGCAGATCAGTGACGCCGTCTGCCTCCTGCTCTCTCCATTTAAGAAGCCCAAGAAGGTATGGATCCTGGGAGTACTTGGTGCTGCACAGGTAAGTCTTAACCTTCAGGGTAGCCATTGTGCCAGTTCCGCTTTCGTCCTTCTTTTGAGCGTTCCAAGGTAGAGCCAAGTAGGCGCCGCGTCCAGAGATCATGCTAGAAGTATACTCGTCGTACTTATACAGGGCCAAGGAATGGTCACCGTCGCGTACGAAAGCATCGTCCGTCCATAAAGGCATCCAGGAGAGGGCGAAGGGGAAGCCTGGCGCGTCTGCCACGCTCATCACCACATGGGATCCAGGAACATCTTCGGGAGCGATCGCAAAACGGATGGTGGTGCTCCAAGCCTCTCCCCTCTCGATTGCAGTGGTCCTCCAGGCTGTGTGTCCGGCACTGTTGCCTGATGGGAAAATGCAGTTTTCGATCCTTTCGCCTGTGGACTTTCGAACTTCAAGGGTGAGCTGGAGATTTGCCATGTTGCTCGATGTGCTCATCGTAACAGATCCGTTCTTCGGGTGGGAGAGGAAGCAGTTTCGCGGCAGAAAAGGTTCGCTCAGCGTGAGATAAATATCGCTCCGTGGCTTGGTTGGAGCGCCAGAAAATCCGATCTTCTTGGTCTGGGTGACATTGTGAAGTAACGTCGGTGTTTTCTGGATCAACGTCTCTGCGTCTGCGTGCGCGAAGCTCTTTACGTGAATCTGCAGCCGGTTCATGAAAGGATATTGCTTGTACCTGCCAGTCACACTCGGGCTGAGTTCTGTAATAAGCTCAGGCCAGGGGTCGGATTCTTCCGCGATCTCATCCAAAGGCTGGCTTGGTGTCCACAATGTGACTTCCTGTTCGATCTCTTGCGGATCTTTTGCGAGGTTTTCCAGATGCAATACGCCAATGGCAATGGCCCTCTTCACTGTCTTCCCCTCCTTAGGTGTTGTCGCGCGACCGTTCGCTCCCTGACCTTCGCTGGATGGCCTAGACACACTGGTGGTCGCGGCTTTCAATCCAGGGGGCTTCTCGCCAGGATCGGACTCCTTCCTCTTTGCCCCCCACATCAAACTGCGCCGGCCACCTCTGACGCTAGCAGAGTGTTGAAGCCCGCCTGGGGCGGGGCTTTGTGACATGTCGCGAGAGACGCTGGCGCTGTGTGTAGGGGTCGATGTTCGAACGGCTTCGTTTGTGAGGACTTTGATGACCAGGTACAAGCTTGTACCTGCACCTGCGCCCTCACCGAGATCATATGAGCTCAGATCGACAAAGAGGGATTTCATTCTCTCTTCAGCAACAGCTGCAACAACAGCCTCTGGAGTGTTCAGGTCCACGGAAAACACCTCGGACAAGGGGACTGCATCCGAGCCGGGGAGTTTGGCGCACAGAGACATGCAGAGCGTCGTTGGATGCTTGATATCGCCGGAGAAGTGTCGTAGCGTCACTGCAAGGTGGTGTGGAAGGTGTTCATCCATGGCCTGCACCGGTCGCTCGTCTAACAAGCTCATCATGGACTGCAGACGGGTAATTTCGATTGCGGAGTCCTCTGATGTCAGAATCCGGCCCTTCTGCGACGGGCTCCGTACGATGACTTCCCCCGACAGCATCTTGTTGCCACTCACGAGATCCCAGACGGTGGCTTCCCGCACCGCTTCCAACTCCTTTTTCGTCAGGACTTTGTGTAGCAGCTGTCTTCGTGACGAGTCGAGCTTTTGAACCAGTGTCGTCATCTTGTCTAATTTTCCATATCGCCTCCCCAACAAAAGCTCGTGGAGCTTTGTCGAATGCCATTCGCGTAAGCATGATGCGATTTCGTCGACCAGCGGCTCCGACAGTGACGTCGGCGTTTCGTCTCCTATCTTGAGCATCGGCACAGGGGCAGGTGGTCGGGGCGCGTTAGGATCTCTCGACGTCACCGAGACAGGCGAGAGTGGAAGGAAGAATCCAGGCGAGTATTCTCCGTTTGCTTTGGACGAACCGTGGCGCAGGAGAACGCTTTCGCGCTTCTTGTCGGATGGGGTCAGGGCCAGGCCGAGATTGTTGGTGACGGCAGGCTGGCTTCTGCCCGTCGCCGGGCTCGTCGAAGTGCTCTCATCGGGAGTGATAACACCGTTCACGGGTTGGTCGGAGTCGCTCCCCTGACTCTCGGTGCTGAGCAGTCCCTGGAAGTAGTCCTTGGGCCGGTCATCGGATTCGCCGCTCGGCCTGCCCTCGCCCAGGACTTCGCGGACCTCGACACAGCATCGCGGGAAGATACCAGAGAAAACGCGGGCTTCGAGGGTCTGGCCCTTGGACGAGGTCAGGCCGGCGAGCAGCGAGGGCGGGGCGACGAGATAGCCGCGGAACCAGGAACCATCCTTGCCACCTTGCTCTATGATATACAGTTCGTCGCCGATTTCGAGAGGCAGGTCGGCGGGCGAGGAGGGCTGAAAGGGAAATGTGCAGATTGCAAAAGCAATCCGCGGAAGGGGCCGCCAGGGCATGGCGCAGGTGTGCGGCGCTATATAGGATAGCGGGAGAAGAATTGCATAACGCGCGATACGAGCAGTCTAGGAAAGGCGAGCGGTCCGGGAGGAGGTGGTATGGGGCCGCGCGTGTGCGTTGGAGACGGAGCAGGATCGCGGCCGGCGTGAGAGCGCGAGCGTGAGTGCGGAGGCGCGGAGAGAGAGCGGAGGGGCGGCGAGATCGAGCGAGCGGCAGGCCGGGCAGGCGTGAGGAGGTCTGGCGTGCAGCGGAAGAATTGGAGTCGGGAGCGACAGCAGCTCGGTGGAGAGCGACGTGGTTGGTTCAGGAGCGTGAGAAGCGTGCTGGGATGCACGGCGCCGCGGGCTTGCAGCTGGGGTGTGCCCGACCGACCTGCACGACGCTCGCCCCCCAGAGGCCTCCCCCAACGGCGCCAAGTCTCCAGCTGAACGCGCCGGCCTGCTGCTCGTCCATGCACGTTGCGACAGCGGATCCGTCCCCAATTAAGATTATTTAACCATACAATTTCATCCTCGCCCACAAGCGTGCCAGCGCCGCCTCCCTGGGAGCGTTCGAAGGGGGACCCTGAGGCTGAGGCACGCAGCCCGGCGACCTGGCTGTTGCTGCCAGTGCCGGATCAACGCTCCAGCGTGAAACGCGTCCCTCGCGCGCGCTCCACCGCCCACCACGTGTGCGAAATCTCGCCTGTTCGCGATCGACAGTGAGCGACGGAGCCAAGCCCACAGCGCCAGGGGGCTCTACGACGCCTCCTTGAGTCAAGTGGTCCCGATGCCGCGCACCCCAGCACCGGCGCGTCGTCCTCCTCCCGTCCATTTCGCTTGTGCGCGCACCTCCCGTGTCACTGCGCCCACTACCTATATCGCTTTTCACTTTCGAGTCAGGAGGTCGGGGTGATTCGTGACATTTCTATTGCTCTACTCTATTCTGGGCCCAAGTCTGCCGGGTATCATTTCAATCCCTACTGCTCTGCCTCAAACTCCTTCGAGAACGGGTAATCGATGTATCCCTCGGCCGCCTTCGCCTTGTAGAACGTGTCCCGGTCGTACGGCGTCAGCTCGATGCCCTTCTTGATGCGGTATACAATGTCCGGCGTCGAGATGAAGTAGCGGCCAAACACGACACCCACATTGTACTCCTTGTACTCCTCGTCGACCAGTTTTGTGGCAGACGCCGGCTTCAGCCCACCAGCGATCAGCACGGGCTTCTCCTTACCCCAAGCTTCCAGCGCGAAATCCAGACGGTCTGAAGCCTCGATGTCGGCGTTGCCAGACACCCTGGATTCCACCAGATGGATGTAGGCAAGGTCCAGCTCCTTCAGCCCCTTGATGATGTGGGTGAACTGCGGAACAGGGTCCTCCATTCTCATACCCTGGAACGTGCTCCACGGACTCAATCTGATACCGGTCTTATCCGCCCCGACGGCCTGCGAAACGGCCTTTGAAACTTCCAGCGCAAAACGAGCCCGGTTCTCCACACTGCCTCCCCATCTATCCGTTCTCTTGTTGGACGTATCCTGGTTGAACTGGTCGATCAGGTAGCCATTAGCGCCGTGGATTTCAACGCCGTCGAATCCAGCCTTCTCCACGGCGTTCTTGGCGGCCTGCGCATAGTCCTGAATGTACGACACGATCTCCTCGTCGGTCAACGGACGCGGAGCGGGCGAGTCGTCGCTCATGGGAACGGCACTAGCGCTGACGAACTGGTCCTTCAGGCCCTCCTGCTCCAGGACTTGGGGGTTTGCGGCCCGGCCAAGCGCCCAGAGCTGGAGCCAGATCTTCGAGCCCTTAGCGTGAACCGCATCCGTGACCTTCTTCCAGCCGGTCACCTGCTCTTCGGTGTGAATGTGAGGCACGTTAGGATAACCGCCAGCTCGTGGCGAGATGATGGTGGCTTCAGAGATGAGAAGGGTCCCCGGCACAACGGCGCGCTGAGCGTAGTACTCGGCCACTACTGGCAACGGGACGTGGTTGTCGTCGGCACGGAACCGAGTAAGAGGAGCCATGGCAATGCGGTGCTCGAGCTGGGACGAGCCAACCTTAAAGGGCGTGAAGAGCTTGCTGTTGGCGGCCATAGCGAAGATCGTGGCTGTTTGCGGATGCAATGGAAAGTTACGGTTCCGTTGTTGATGGTGAAACAAGTCTTTGTGGCTTGCGGGAGTAGTGATGATTCGTTGAGTGATGGGAGGCAAATACCTAATCGAGGCCGGCAAGGACGAACTTATATGTGTGCGACGAGGCGTTTGTAATGTTTGACATGGCCTGCTGATTGATAATACACATAGGTTCGACGCCATTCTACTGCGGCACAACTCGGCACACTACGGGACACTGACTCTTTGAAAGCATGCCAGTAAGAGCCGGCCTACCAATGCGGTATGTGTATTAGAAGCACGCCATTGAACACCTCGGCTTTCCAAGTATATAGTAATCTGACACAGTAGTGCCGTCATAGTCGGCGCGAGGGCGTTGTGGCAGCTGCAGGGCTCGCGCGGAGTTAAACTCATCACGTCATCCGCCCTCGCCCCGGGCTGCCCCTGACGCCGAGGAATCGCAGAAACTCCGGCCCGCAACGCCACCCGAGCACTGCGTCCTGCTTGCGATCCAAGCAATACGCATTGTTGTCGTCTCAGACCCCGTGTCCTGCTTCAAATGCTGTTTCTTGTCTGGCACCAGTAGGACGCAGTCTTTCCGCCCAATCCGCACACCTGCACCCAGCCGGTGGTTGCGAGTGTCATTCCGCGCTAGAGGCATACAAACTTCGTATTTATTTGCTCTCCCGATTCATTCCCCGCACAAGCCTGAGTAGGTTTGCTGGGAATTCCGCGGCCGGCTCCATCGCTATCATTTGTTCGGAAACACCACCTATCATAACCCCGTGACAATAAAATCGGTATATCTCAATCATTCGTCCATTGTGCTATCATTGTAGTCTATTATTGGTTCCTTCAACCTGACATCATTGGTGGCCTCTGATTCCGCCTACATCCTATATGCCAATGGCTGAAAATTGTTGCCCGCGATGCCAAAGCAAGCTTCAGCTGAGGAACTGCAAACTTCAGCGAAGCAAAACCAGATTCTCTTGTGACTGCAAAGATGCTGAGAAAGAGGTAAGAGGACAAGTCTCCGTCTCACTACGCAGATGCCCATGTTGGGAAGTCGCCCAGAGCAGGCGTCGCGCCTACCAGATCTGGTGATGGCAAGAACGACGACCCTTCTAAAATGGAGCCCACTCGCTTCGTCCCACCAACACCCGTCAACTCCACTGCAACGCGGTCTACACCTGGGCCCACGTTGCGAACACTGCCCTTACATGATAATATCGAGCACCGAGTCAAGCAACGGCTTGACAACATCCGAGATGGACCAAAACCAATCCGGTGAAGGTTCATACACTCACCCAACCTCTCTTCTAGCGCACCGACCGCGTCAATTGCCCAACCAGATAGGCTTTCCTCCTGCAGTTGGCCACCTTCCCGCTGTGAGGCGAGCCGCACCAGTGTCCAATTTGGCCATCACCAATGAGAAGACACAAGCAATTCCACAAGTCCCTGCCGACATCAACTTACGCCAAAACCCTCCCCAAGAGTATGTCACTTCGAACAGCCTTCGGACGCAGTACGGTTCGGGTGGCCAACGCGTCCACGTAGCTACAAACTACGTCGAGATCAAAAAGGCTCCGTCGAAGCTCGTCGCCTACACCGTGACAGTCCAGTTCGCGGAAAATGGCGACTCAAGGTTCCCCCTGCTGTCCAAAGAACAACCGCAGCGTCGCCGAGAGCTTAGGCGGGTCTTCGAAAGCTTGAAGCATCTTCATCCGCTACATTCGCGGACGGACTGGTATGTGAAATTCTCGTCAAGCGCTACACCTGCATTGACTGACACTTGCTTCAGGTCGACGGACCTCACGAATGTTTGGTCTGTCAAGAAGTTGTTCGATGGTACAGAGCTCACAATATCCGACATCAAGTACTTCAAGTCGAACGGACATTCGGCCTCTGTGCCCCGGGTTACCTTCACCTTGGACGGAGAACTCGACCTGAGCCGCGGTCACCTGGATCTGATTGAGGCAAAAACCGCTGATGGTAGTACCGACGCCGGCATTAAAGCGCGGGCTCTTAATGGCATCGTCTCGACTTTCATGTTCCTTTCGACCTCGACGCCCATCACACAAATTGGTGCCAACCGGTTCTTTCTCACGGACGCATACGAAGATCTAGGCCCAGACTGCCCATTCTTCACTCTTCGCGGGTACCTTTCGTCAATTCGACCAGGCAACGATCGCATGCTTCTCAATATCAACACGACAACGTCGGCTTTCTTCAAGCCGGTTCTTGTTTCACAATTCTTCCGGATTATGCTCCAATCTGGCATGAAGGAGTGGATGATTAAAGGTCTCCTGAGGAAGCAGGTAGTCCGGATCACCTATGAGAGGCCTGTTCGTCCAGGAGCTTCGGTTGACATCAATGGGGAAGAGGCTCGGAGAAAACAAATTGCAGGTTTCGGAGAGGTTCCAGGGGAGCAAACTTTCCTATTGGATGGCAAAGAGACGACCGTATTCGATTACTTCAAAGGTAATTTCAGGAACTGTATGAAAGAGGCGTTCGAATATTGACCATTCCCAACAGATTCCCCTGGGTGTCCCCTCCGACGCAGCAGTACGATGCCCTGCGTTAATATCGGGGCGAACCGCCCGGGCAGAGAACAGTGGATTCCGGCGGAGTTTCTGGAGCTCGACTTTCCGCAGTTGTACAGAGCACTCCTTCCCTCTGCCTTCACCGACAGGATGATGAGCGTTGCTCTCCGCGGTCCGGCAGCAAATGCGAATCTCATCGTCAACGAGGGCCTGGTCCACCTCGGAATCAAGAGCGATCCCACTGATTCTGATCCGAGTACTTCGAAAAATTTGAGTCTGGCAAGGCCCAATTGATCTGGATAGTCGTGAAAGTAGTACTAACCATTCTGTAGGAGGAGATTGGCTTCGAGATTGACGATAAGCTTATCGATGTCCCGGCGCGTATCCTGGATGGACCAAAGCTTCAATATGCTGCTAGAAAAGGAAAGGCCCAGCCAGTGTCGCCGCAGTTTGCCAGCTGGAACCTGGTTGACCAACAGAAACGGAAACATTCCTTTGCGGTACCATCAGTTGTTCCTAGAATCGGAATACTCACACTGGGACAATCACGAGTAGATCCTCAACGACTAGCTCGAGAGCTCCGCAGGGTGCTGAAAGAACACGGTGTTGAGGTCACAAACGCATCACTGTGGCACAAGGTCGCAATGCCACGACCAGACCAAGAAGGCAGCTATGTCGCCTCAATGAAGGACATCATTCTCAACATTGAGGAGGGCATGAGAGAAAACGCCATAACCCTGGTCCTTCTTCCTAAGCAAGATGCAGACCTCTATGCGGCCCTGAAGACGGTATGCGATAGAATGGGCCTTAGGACCATTTGTTCCGTGCTGTCACAGAACAAACTATTTCAAACCGACCAGCCTCTCTCAAACATTGCTCTGAAGTTCTCGTTAAAGACAGGAGGTCGACCTCACCAGATCGCCGGTGGTATTCGCGCTTTGGGTAGCGATACCATGATCATCGGTGCGGACGTCACGCATCCATCTGCAGATGCACGTGCGCATTGCCCCTCGGTTGCTGCAGCTGTCGGAAGCTTCGATGAATTTGCAGTCAATTACACAGGCTCCATAAGGTTGCAAAAGAGCCGCCAAGAGATCATCGAAGACATTGGCGGAATGACGACCGAGCTCCTTAACTTGTATGGAGCCAAGAACAAGAAATTTCCTTCCAACATTGTGTACTACAGGGATGGAGTGGGCGAGACGCAATATGACGCCATCCGCAAAATGGAGATAACGTCGATCGAGCAAGCTTGGATGGATCTCAAGAAATCCGGCAAGCCTGCGAGTACCACGACAGTGAAGATTACCTGCATGGTTGTGGGCAAGAGACACCACACCAGGTTCTTCCCCAAGAGCCAAAAAGATGCAGACCGATCGAACAACGTGAAGCCGGGGTTGGTAGTGGATTCAGTGATTACCCACCCCTACTGCTTCGACTTCTATCTCCAATCACATGCTGCTGTCAAGGGAACAGCAAGGAGTGCCCATTACTTCTTGCTCCGCAACGACATGAAGCTCGATGCCAAGCAGCTTCAAGAATTGGTGAGTCTCGTTCGTAAGATTCTATGTGTAGTGCTTACTAACAGGTGCGGTCCTCAGACTCACGCTCTTTGCTACACGTACGGTACTGCCACCAAGGGCATATCATACTGCGCCCCTGCATATCTTGCAGACAAACTCTGTGAGCGCGGAAGGTATTACATTCGCGACTGGCTCCTCGGTCGCCCTGGCTTATCCTCAATGATCCCGCCGTACAGCAGGAGTATGGCGCCTACTGTCCAGGACCATGAACGGCTAGTAGCAAGGCGCTTGAACGTTTCCCGCCCGTTCAATATTTGGGAGACCGCTCAGAATGGAAGGTTCAAGGGAAGGATGAACCCTTGGCACCAGAACCTAGACGACAAGATGTTCTGGATTTGATCTGCATGCGGGCAACGATGGGACTTCGGTTGGATGATTTACGAGGTAATCACGGCTTTCATTCGACATATCGGTCCTTTTTTGGGGGGGTTTACATCGGGATAATGCAAAATGCTGAGTCCGTCATGACTGGATGCGGCAGAGAAGACTAATTTCAGGATTTTGCATTTACCTGAGCATTGAAACTCCTGCTTCATTCATCTTCGGAGATCCTAGCTAGCTTTAGGATTTTACTCATGGGCTTCATTTAATGGAATATGTGCTCCGGCGCCATGGTCATGTTGCTACCAAAGTTCTGTGAATTCTCAACACGGAGAGTTGCCGGGTTTTTCCCTCTCACTGATTTTGGCGAAGTCCAACGGAGCAGCTGCAAACTCCGATCTACACCCAGCCAAGAAAGATCCCCACCGAGGTGAGCACCAATAGTCACTTCAATCCTGTTTGTACCACCACGACCATCTACTGAGTAACGAGTCGAGAACCACAGCCTTTAGTATTGAACGCTATAATCCTTTTGTGTATAGTGTAAGAGGAAACCAAAAAGCATCAACACTGTCATCCCCCCACTCATCATCACGAATTTTGCAAAGCAGGACTGCTCCAACGACTTGAATGAACCTCAAGATACCAGTAGCAATACTACTCCAGAGATTCCACTAGGACTTGCAGTCAAGGTACGCAGCTATTCGCTCATCAGTACATTGACATGAAAAAAAAAGGTCTAAAAGAACATACCTTTTCCAAAGTACCTGTAGGACCCAGCATTGACTAGTGCTTTCCTGGCTGTCAACCCGAGACTTTTTTCGTATTCTTCGATGTCACGGGTGGTCGGAGGATCGTATACGCCCGGGAAGGAAGCGTGCTGAGCCACGAGAAAGCCAGCCATGTCCATTTTGGTGCAGGAGGATTCGTCGATAGGCTCGCTGTAGGCGAAAGCATGCCCACACAAGGTGATGTACGCCCGGCCGTCCCCGAATCTCGTCGTGTAGCCCATTTTATCGCCACCGCAGAGCTTGTCCATCTGGCTCGCGCAATCGACTTGAACAATGGGGCCGAATAATGCCAGGCAATCGTTCGATATGGCGATGAGGCGGTCGTGGACAAGGTCCAGGTCAGCCTCTTTGGAAGACTTGAAGTATCTCAGGAAGCTGTACATAGTTTGTCAGTGCTATCATCAAATGAAGCCGGCCAAATGCGTTTCCTTACAAGTGGTTCGAGGTTTTGTTCCAAGTCGCGTGAGCGCCAGCGTCTGCGTACAGAGAACAGCCTCCCAGAGCTTCCTCAATTTTCTTCTTCTGGTCATCATCACATCTTTCGCCGATTTTGGGGATGTCTTCCGGAGGATCGTCGCGCCGCTCAACCATTGCAGTCTCGACTCCACCGACAGTGATCTTGACTGGGTTGCTTTTGTACGATATGAAGCCGAAGCTTTCGGCATCCCAGATGGAACCAGCAGCCTCAGCAGTGAAGGTGCCGCCAGAAGAGAGGTCGTACATATCCGCTGCATCAAATTGGACGGAGAAAGACTGTCCAGCATGAATCTTGGTCAAATCGGTCGGAACGAGAGCGGCGATGGGCTTGGGGTCAACGATCATGCCACGGAATACCAGAGGAGTGCCTGTGAAGCCATGTCAGAGTAAGCATTGAACAGAAACAGGAGAGACCTACTGCCTGAATGCATGGTGACTTTTTGGACGGGACGCGGGTCGAAGAGGCTACCGGCGGTCACGAGAGCGACTTCGGACTCGCCGACGTTCTGGATGGTGACCTGCATGTTCGAGGTTCCGGTCGAGGTGAGCGTGACGTTGAGAGGAGATGAGAGCGGCATGCCAGTGGCCAAAGCCACAAGGGCCAGCAAGCACAGGTAAAAGAAAAACTTCATAATGAGCGTAGGAGAGCAGAACGAGTGACTTGGAGAGTGCGCTGTCGGCGTTCAGAAAGGTCGGTGTAGAGGAGAGGGAGGACCAGAAAGGACGAGGGTTTTTATAGGTATGCCGCTACCAAAAGTGACTGCCCGTCGCCCGGTGATACCGGAACTTCATTCTACCGGCACATGCGCGCTCGTGATGGAAAATCCGGCCAGTTCCATGATATTCGCCTCACTTCTGCTTCCTGTTGGCTCTGTCTGCTGGTGGCTAGCTGCTAGTCATCCACCGGTAGCATACAGATGCCGCGCTGCCTGCAGGTGCTCTATATAAGGAATCTGAAAGAATGCCGATTCGTGAATGCGGCTAGGGGCGCTATATACCACCATCAAGCAAGCTGTGCTGGACTCAGTAATGGGATGAAGCAAAAGCGCAAGTACCAATCGTGGTAGCAGTCTTGGGAAACCCAAGCAAGCAGGCAAGCCGTTGGCATGATGGCAAAGCATGCTCGGCGGGTCACGATGAATAATTCTGGACACCTTGCCCAGCTTGCTCAGAGAGTATCAACTGTAGATGTTCACCCGCATTGAAAGCCCTCCTTTGGCTATGTTCGTAGCAATTTTATCTACATCCTATCACTTAATCAAGTTAGCGAGAACAGAATAAGCCAATCAATCCGCAAGTTTGTTAGTGGAAACAGTATACTATTTTTCCTACTTTCTTCACTTAATTCCCACAATTATGCCATTTTGACTTTTCGTATGTTTTCTTTGCGCCGCGAAACACTCCACCCCACCCCTCGGCAAAGAAAACAAAAAGATAGAAAGGAATAAAGAACAAGACACGCTGTACTGTCGTCAACCGCTCCTAACTTTCACTAAGTCTATGCTATTGTGGATCAATCTAACCCATCTTCGGACCGCTCCGGACGGGTAAGTTGATTGGTGTTGAGATTGCTTACAGTTTCCATCACCGTTCCGATGCACAGGGGATTAGCTTACACAATCACCGCGGAGGTGTCCGGGGTGCAGCAGCAGAAGTAGAAGGTGCATTTGTAGTTTATGCTTAACGTAACCCTCTTCGCATACGCCAGGTATCGTTTTTCAAACATATAGCCCTGATTTGTATCCTCGCAAGGCCTCTTGCAGCACTTGCCTTGAGCGTTTGCTCACAATGTTCAGCCACCGTCAGCATTTGATCATGCTCTAGAATATAGTCTCAACTGACAATTACTACTGATGATACCGAGGCGATTAGGACTCTGTTCTACATTTTGATTTGCTGGCAGCGCGGGCGATTACGCCCCTCTCAAAAGAGCACAAATCACATATTCTATTGGGTAATACCTTCTAAGTTTCCTAAACGCGCTAGTCAATTACGATGACCCATGCGAAACCATGTTCTTGTATTTCAACCTAGGGGTCGACGGGACCATGTTTCCAGATTGACTTTCCTGCCAAAATTTCATGATTCTTAATTGGCCCAGTTGCTTTCAGGTGTCTCAAGATTGGGCCACACGTTTGTGTTTCATCGAGGAGGTAGTGGAGACGCTCTGTATTCTTCGATCTATGGTCGCATGTGACAGTGGGAGTTGCTACTTTACCTTAGGGGCTGCCTTGGTCGCGACGAGAAAACCATATTGTCCACGCTCGGCCACTGTGTGCCCAGCTCTCATCCATATGTTGACTGGGGGTGTTTGCTTGTGCAACCGCTCGTTGCCTCTAAAGCGGGGAATGCTCCGTCTCTCCTCTGAGGGGTTTAAATACCACAATGTCGGGACAGTTCAGCAATTGCAACATAATGTCATCACGACAGCATGACGCAACTGGGCGGCTGGAAAACAATGCCGAAATGCTCTCCGTGTGCTGTTCGCGTCCTGGGACGCTATCTCGCATGCATAGACGCTTGTGGAGTTTCACGGCGTAAGGTAGGTAGCGCCGGAAACTGAAGAATTACGCTCTACGTCACGGTCGGACTTTTGACCGCCACCGCTTCGGATGTAAGTTCGTAGGTGTGCGATGGTTGCTGCCCCCCGATCGAAGCGAGGAGGCTGGCAGACTGCAGGGGCGTTTCAAGGCGGCTTGCGTTGCTGGATGACGCCGTGTTCCGCGCCGATATTGAGCATGCATGGGGATTTCGAAGGAAGGCTCATGGTGCAACCGAGCGATCGAACGATTCTCTCGACAGGTTCCTTGGGCGTTCACTTGGATTCCAGCAGCTTGGTCATGACGTCTGGGTGCTGGGAAGTGGAAGCTGTAGGAATTCGCCGAAAGAGGGCATGAATCGTGTTGATAAGTCGGGTGGGGATTGTCGCTGCAGCAATCGTCATTGCGGCCGGCCTGGCATCCTTCCTGCTCATTGAGGCCGAGCGGACGGCCTCGTATCAAGCGACGCTGGAGTTCTCACCGGCGAGCGTAGATAGAGGTTGCATCCACAAGGATTCTCTGGACTTTGTGGTCAGAAGGGTGGCGACTATCTAGGCCATGGACTGTGCGTTGGCCTGGCGGATGCTCCTGCCTAATAGCCGAAAATATCGCGGCGCAGCTATCGCAGAGAAAATCTCTGCGACGGTCTGGAAGGGTGCGCTGTACAGACCGCTGCGGTGCATTCGCAAAGCAGCAGTGATCTCCATCGTCTCCCCTTTTGCTTTTCCCGTGCTGCACGCCGATCTTCCGCGATGCGCATCTAGGCCCACGGTGCAGAAGCGCTGTCTTCGCCATGTGGCATCTGCGGCGGGCGTCGACGACGGCGTTTCCAGCCGCATTCCCGAACACCACGGACGGGCGGCGCAACGGGCGCTGCAAGCCGCCGCGTGGCCGCAAGCTGTGTGGCCAAGCCGCTCGGTACCGCTACCGAAGTGGCACGCTGCGGAGAAGGGCATCTGGGGTAGCTAGGACCGGGAGACAATTGCCGCCAGAGACAGCCGCACATGTGTGTTCAGGATTCTCGATTCCGCATCGGGCGGCGCGTGCTCATCGTCGGGCGAGGCCTTCCGCAGACCCGTGGAAGGCGGCTTCTTGGGCGGATACGAGAGCGGGCAGGCGCAGCAGACAGGTTGCGACGCAGGTTGCGAGGCGGCTGCCGAAGGTCGGCGCACTCGGCAGTGGTTGGGAGCACCGACCGGGCGGCGACCGGTATCGCCAGCGCTCCCCAACGGCCCTCTACAGTACGTACGCAAGCAAACCCCGAGCGTCGCAATAGACTCGGGAGGCCGATATGGGGCGATGCAGCCGTCCCGGGCGAGCGATGAGGGCGCGCTGGGCGTGACTTGGATGTGTCAGAGCGAACATTATGAGGGCGCTGGGTGGAGTGGCTGTTGGCTTGAGAATCGAACAATTCTCACACCACCAGCACGTGCCTGGGACGGCGGCGGGCGGTGCCGCCTGCTGCAGCGCCCGGGGAGCGCGGGCGGGCGGGCGCCGAGGGCGATCGCGAGAGGCACGGCTGATGCCAGCGCTGACTTGTGCGCGCTAGAAAACGGTCCGTAGTGGGCCAAGGCCGCAGGGCTGCGCTGCGTTTCGCTTCTTTCCCGCGAAGAGCAGAGTGGCCTGATCAGCACGCCAGTCCCTTGCTCGCTGAACGCGATGCGCGGCGACATCCATCTTCTGTGTATTCGACGGGATAAATAACAACCAAGACGCGCCATTGTCGTGACCTCATCTTATCACCACACGCCGCCAACACTGCAACTCCCAGAACACGCACGACATCAGCGCACATCAACCCACCCGACGCCCCCTGCAACACCCCTATCTGCCCTCTGCTGAGGATGACCTGTGATTGGCTGGAAGCCATGTCTCTGAGTGCGCACTGCCGCCGTCCGGAACGAGCCTAGCAATAGGGCTGACCCATGCTTCAGCATCCTTTGATCAACCTGCTGGAAACAGCTACAGCTTCGACGACTGGATTAACTCCGATTGCCTGGACTACCCCACCAGCACTGTCGAACTGCCAGGCGGTCCGTCGTCAACATCGTCCGTCACCACGCCACCCCTGCTGGCCCGCAATCATGCCATCGTCACGCCAGAGTACAGCGATAACGCACGCCGCCCGCTGTCAAAAGAGCCGCATCAGTCCTCTCAAGTCCAGCCGTGGCAGACCAACCTCGCCGCCAATCCCTTCGGATCTACTCCTACCCTACCTGCCATCCAAGACGACTTCCACTTCAACGACCAACAATCCTCGCTGAACACCAGCGACTACCAACCCAACGCCTTTGACTTTGATATGGCCGTGTCGCCCACGCCATCTCTGTCAGGACCTGAATCTCCCTTCTCTCACCACGAAATGGACACCACCTCTGGCACTCAAACCGCCGCCTCATCCCCGCGCCGATCTTCGTTGAAGCGCTCTGCCCCCTCCTCACCCGTCATGGACTCGATCCCCCCTGCTTCCAAGCGCATGCTCCGGAACCGGCCGCAGGGTTCTCTCCCGGGCCAGAAGCAGATCGACTCTGCCTCGCCTCCGTCCTCGTCCCGTCCCACCAAGACCCGCCAGCCCCACAACCAGGTCGAGAAGAAGTATCGCGAGGGCCTCAACAACGAGCTCGAGCGTCTCCGCCGCGCCGTCCGCACCCTCCCTCAGCCCCGTCCTCGCTCCTGCTCCACCTCGGAGGAGGATGATGACAGCTATGGCGGCTACAGCGCTGCCGTCCCCAAGCCCAGCAAGGCTGCCGTGCTCGCCGGTGCCGTCGAGTACATCAAGTACCTCGAGGCCGAGCACGAGAGACTGGCCAACGAGAACGAGCAGCTGAGGGAGCTCGAGGGCCTACGAAGGCGACGAGAGGAAGGCTGGGCCTGGACCAGGCGGGGCCACATGGGCTTCGTGAACTGAAGAGATGTGGCGGATGTAAAGAAAATTCTCATGACTGTAAGAGATGGTTACAAAACATAGCGGCATCTCTGGCGTTCACAGGCGTTTGTGCCAATTTCAACCGGAAAAGCTGGATACCCGGAAAGACTAGCTAGATTCTCTCATCTTTACGATAATAACTCCGGCGTTTTGCTAGGATTAGAGTGTACTCACTCGATACGAAATGTACAGAACTCCACTTTCACACTTCATCTGAGCTCCCAAAATTAGCAGTGACTGCCGGTGGCGTGAGAGCCGCATGACTGATATCCGAGCGCACCAGACTGACCCTTGCCAGCACAAGATGATGTGCATTAGCGCCAGATCAGCCTGCACATCAATCTTTGATTGGTCTTTGACCATTACTACTTCTCTATATCGGTCGATCATAACTAGCCTGTGGTGGAGAGGTTGTCGCACATGAGTGCGAGGGCAGCCAGGGGTGTCTGGCTGGAAGATAAGATCAAGTGATCAGATAATTCTTCCTGCCCATCATGCGACTGCGGCGTCAGGCCATGTCTCGTTAACCATACCCACCCACAGATCTTGATTTCTTCATGTTCGTAGCGACGCCCCTTTGATGCGACCCCGTCTCAACATTCATCAGCGCTTGCCTGACATGCTCCTACCCGTCACGCCATGCCTTCGAGCCACAATTTTGACTCACTTCGTCGGTACAGGTGGTTCCACACCACGCAGGCCCGCAAAAGCGTATCTTTGCTCGGCCCACCATCACCGGTCAGAAAGGCAGTGGTCGTACGTGCTCTGCAGTAGTTCATTTGGCTTTTCTTCGCTGACCGGCGCCGGCGAAATCCGTCAGGCCGCCACTGTAGGTAGTCGAGAACTCTCGGCGGAGCCCAGGACACCACTTGTCAAAGAATCGGCAGCACGCAATCCGGCCATCATTGGAGACGGCAAACGGCCCCTGAGCAGATTGTGTGCCGCCACATCAACATTTCGCTTTATTCCTGCTCACTACGCCCGAAATGACGACAGCCACGAGGAGGCCAAGAGCCCCGAGAGAGGCCGTTGATCACCCGCCTGCATACGTACAACAACCGCTGACCTCACTCATTCTGTTGCCTAGATCCGCTGCGAGCGGTTGTCGGCAACTGCAAACTTGCTCGTCGGAGCCCGCCGGACCCGCTTCAGCTTCCTCTGCAACAGGTTGTTGGGACAATACTGGGTCTCTGATCCTCCTCAGCCTGGACACGTCTTCGAAAGGAGGCCTGATGGAGACTATTATGCCACCGAAAAGCACGAGCATGCAGCTGAGAGTATTTCGTGGCCGAATCCGGCGAGCGAGATCGGTCACATCCGCCGGTACCGCCGAGAAGGAGCGCAATACATGGCCGACGCGGAACAAGATCGAGTACTGACAGATATAAGAGCCACAGGGGCGCAGACAGATGATAGGACATGATACTTTTCATCGAGGGTGGTAGAGACGGCAGGTTGATGCTAGGATCGTAGTACGCGTCGCTGGCTGCGTGGCTTCTCTGAGATGCTCTGAGTGCTGCATGCACGCGTTTCTGCGAATGCATCTGCAGACTAGTAGAGACCGATGGTGTTGCTGAAGAATATGGCTTATTACTTCTGCAGACGTCTGGTGTAGAGCGAGGGAAGACGCGTCGCGACGCGCTGACGTCATTCTAAGATTGGCGAAGGGATCCGATCTGGCAGATCTCTCGCCGCCGCTGATCCCGCCGTCCGCATCATAGACTCGCGCACCATCTCTCTCACTGTTTCCAACATGGCCTTGGCGCGAGCCCGCTCTGACGCCTGCGGCTGCACCTCTGGTGCCTCTACACCTCCCATTGTCCTTGTTCACACTTCCTCCCCTTCCGCTTCCCACCTCAACCTCGAATGCCATACCTACTCCCAACTTCTGCCGTAGTCTCGCGCTCATCAGCTTGCCGCATCCTTCTCTCTCGTGGTCTGCGCCCATCGCCCTCGCCACCCGTATACCCTTTCATAATGCCGAAACGCAGCCGCGCCGCTGCTGCAGTCCCAGCGTCGGAGGAAATGGCACCTCCGCCGAAAAGAACCCCCATCCCATTGCCTGCCACGAATCGCTCCGGGCGAAGGTCCTTGGTGCGGAATGCAGCGATTGCAAGCACCAACCCCGAGGTCAACGATGAAGTTATTGACGGCCCCAATGCCTTGCGGGCTTCGCCCGATAGTACTGTTGACAGAAAGATTGCGCCGTCGCTGGATCATGTCGGGTCAGATTCACCGTTATCCGATGTCCCAGATATCAAGCCCGAGCCCAAGAAGCGCGGGAGAGGAAAGAAGGATACCAGTGCCGCAGCCTTGGCAGAAACCCCGATCGAGACGCCAAAGAAGGGGTCATCTAAGGCCACAGGTGTAGACGAAGAGCCTTTTATGTCCGATCCGGAAGCGGAAGAGGAAGACTTTGCCGATGAAGAGGATATCAAGAAAGCTATTTCTAGGCCTCCGCCCGTGAACAGCGATTACCTCCCATTACCATGGAAAGGCCGCTTAGGCTACGTAAGTTACCCAAAACTCGTCAGTAAGAAGGCTGTCTGACTGGTTTTTAGGCTTGCCTAAACACCTATTTGCGCAACGCTACTCCCCCTGTATTCAGCTCTAGAACATGCCGCATTGCCTCCATCCTTGACCATCGCCATCCATTGAAGGACCCAAGTCAACCTGAACACTCGACCAAGAACAGGCCCGACAAGGATCAGCCAGCAGACGTTCGGCGCGGCCAGGAGTTTGTAGAGAGTCTTGGACTGGCCAATGCCCGTGATATCATCAAGATGGTGCGCTGGAACGATAAGTACGGAATCAAATTCATGCGGTTGAGTAGTGAGATGTTTCCATTTGCTAGCCATGAAGAATACGGGTACAAGCTGGCCCCCTTTGCAGCCGAGACTCTTGCAGAGGCGGGAAAGGTTATAGCAGAGCTCGGGCACAGAGTCACTACACATCCCGGACAGGTAAGTTATCACACTCTATGAGCTAGCTGGAGCAACCTGACCAGTCTTTAGTTTACACAACTTGGCTCGCCCCGTAAGTCAGTCATCGACAATGCGATCAGAGATCTTGAGTACCACGATGAGATGCTCAGCTTGCTCAAGCTACCTCCGCAGCAGGACCGCGACGCAGTCATGATTCTGCACATGGGTGGCACTTTTGGCGACAAGGCCGCAACTCTTGACCGCTTTAGGGAACACTACGCCAAACTCTCCCCTTCTATCAAGAATCGCCTCGTGCTCGAGAATGACGACGTCAGCTGGACCGTCCACGATTTGCTCCCAGTTTGTCAAGAGCTGAATATACCCATGGTTCTCGACTTCCACCACCACAACATCCTCTTCGACGCCGAGAAGATCCGTGAAGGTACCCTCGATATCATGAGTTTGTACCCTGAGATCACAGCCACATGGACTCGCAAGGGCATCACGCAAAAGATGCACTACTCCGAGCCCACCCCGGCAGCGATCACCCCGATGCAACGCCGCAAGCACAACCCTCGCCCGTTCACGCTGCCACCATGTGCGAACGACATGGACCTGATGATTGAGGCGAAGGACAAAGAGCAAGCCGTTTTCGATCTGATGCGCAACTTCAAGCTACCTGGCTGGGACTTATTCAACGACATCACCCCGCACGTCCGCCGCGATGAGAATAGGCCCATACGCGCGCCCGCGAAGAAGAAGGCTACGCCCAAGAAGAAGACGGCCAAGAAAGAGGCTGATGCTGAAGACGTTGTAGAAGCAGCTGCCGAGGATACGGAAGTTGCGGCACCGCCACCTGTCGTTCCGGAGGAAGAAGTGGGCATGGGCGGCCCGGACCGCCGCGTCTATTGGCCCCCTGGTATGGAGGAATGGCTCCGGCCGGCCAAGAGAGTCGTGAAGAAAAAGGACGATGGTGAGAAGGCAGCGCCAGCGAAAAAGAAAAAAGCTGCTATCAACGCAACCGCCCCTATTACCGGCGAGGAAGCATCGGGGGAAACGGCTGGGAATGCATCGAAGAAGAAGCCTACACCGAAGAGAGCCGCTAGGTGGAAGGGGGCAAAGGCGGTTGAGAGCGTACCCACGCCGTCGACGTCGGATGGTGAAGACGAACTGGCGGAGATGCCGGAATTGGACGATGAGGAAGGGGAGGCTGTGGTGACAGGGAAAGGCCCGAGACGGGGCGCGCGGAAGAGTGGCAGAGCGGGGAGGAGCAAGGTGAATTACAACGAGGATATGGCTGAATAACTCGTCAGCGGCGTAGACGCATCGAGGGTCTTGGCGAGCGTTGCTTGCGGGCCTTCCGAAGTACCGAACCATGGATCTACCGGATCTCAAGAATAACAGAGGCGCACTTGTTACATGTCGATTGATAATGAGAAGCCAAAGGACCCTGATTCCAAGCCGTCGTTGACCATTTTTATCTACTTGAAGTCCGTTCTCTACGTCCAGTGATCACAAAGGTAGTAGAATCCTCACTAACGGCTTGCAGATGACCGCAGTAGCAGTCGGTGTAATGCATCTATTCTACATGGGTCGTCGTCCTACTCAGGGCTGAGGGGAACGCCACGGTCCCCGGAAAGCAAAAGAAAGACCCCGCACGGAGTTGAGGCTACAAGATGCGGGGGAGATCGCGCACAATTATGGCATTCGCGTAGCGCAATTATGCAGTGAGAAGGTAATTAGACGGCTTATCCTGACAGGAGTAGGCCTAGAATCTATACGGCAGTGCGCTGCCCCGTCATACAGGCCGGAATTTCAGTCAGAAGCTTGGTAAGCCGAAGCTTCTCATGTCATTCAAACACGTCTTGACTCATATGCGGCACACCTATCTGAAACTTTATATTTTTTTTGAATTGCCTTGGTCGAAGCTACGAACATGACACAAGTCAAGACGCTCGCGAACCCAGGTTCATCCCAGAAAAGCCCTGGTCAGTACGCGTACCACTTATGTATGTCGTCATAAAATCTAGTGAGGTATCTGTACAAATGGAGGCTGTGTAGGTTGACAGTGCCAGTCCCCGTCGAGTTTATGCGATAGCTTTCGGAAGCGTTGGGAAGAGAGCACGGCAGACAATAACGCTCTACGGCTTCCGTCGATTCCAACCCTCATCCCTACTGAATTGCCGCTTCTTTGAAGCTGGGATTGCTGGGATTGCTGGGATTGCTGGGATTGACTGCGATTTTTTACTCTGCTGACCTCAGCTTGGGTATCAAGCCTTATGCCGTTGACAGGCTTGGGCTGGAGCACTGCAAAGAAGGTTCCAGCGTTGGAGAAGAACATCACGCGGGTGAACAGTCTGAAACTGCGGGATTTTCTCAAGGGATATGGTACGGTAGGATGCCAATCTTGCTGCGTACAGTTGTGCTAATACTATATAGGTAATTGCAGAGAGGAAGTGATGTCCACGCTCAGCAGCTTGATATCACTCGACACATTTTTGTAGATATCAATATTAGGGTGTTACAGATCCTATTCCACAGCATGAGAAGAACAACAGTCGACTTCCTTTAGTAAACATCAAAAGATTGTCTCGACGAGCTCTCTGCATTCCCGTTCAACCTCATGCCGCTCAATTCAAAGGCAAAAAGTGGGGACATGGCTGTTTGTTCGGCACACAGACCAACACCAGTCAAAAAGTGTGGTCAACAAAAAATGCAAAACGTACAACAGCCGGGATTCCCCAATGGTCACCCACTTGAGTACTAATCGGCCGGTTCGCAGCTTAAGTACGGCTGAGCGGACGGGAAGCCCTGCATTCTGCGACCTATGGTCGTACGTGGCAGATGAACTTGCTAATTACTCTGATGTCCTCTACTAGTCGACTGACAGTCACCTCGTAGCTTCCAACCAGTCACTGCAGCTCGAAAACCTCGCCAGCTCCCATTTCCTTGCAAAGCCCGCGGGCCGCTTTGCCGTCCATGCAGCCGTGGAGGTAACACTCCCCAACGAACTCGAACCGCGATTGGCCTCGAGGACGCAGGATGTATAGCGCGCGTCCGCCAAACAGCGCCGCCACCACATCCGTATTCTTCACCCCCACGGGGCAGAGTCCGATACGGCCCTTCCGCGTCATGAAGAACAGGTGGCCCGCGGCCGCCTCGATTTCCTCTCCAAATTCAAACGCAAGTTTCCTGGTCGCCTCCTCTCCATCCTGCAGGACATGGGCTCGAAGAGAGGCGCGCGTGGCAGGCGGGAGCTCGGCCATCTCGGGGTCGCCGCGGAAGTGCATCCAGTACGCCGCCACGCGCGCCGCGAGGTCGGGCTGCTCTTCCCAGATCGTCTTCCTCGTCCCGACGCTAGCTCCGCACCCCGTGACTTCGGTCTTACGCAGCAGCGTCTCGACGAACACCTCGAACAGCTCGCCGTCGGTCATACTGGCGTCGAACTGGCACTCTCCGGACGTCCCATACGGACAAGCGTTGCCGTTGTTGTTGGGGTGGGAGCCGTGAAACTTCTTCCCCGCGTGGTACAGCTTCTTCACGACTTCCCAGCATTCGGCCAGAGGGCTCCTATTCGGCGGCGGCTGACGCTGCTGCTGCTGCAGCGGGACGATGGGCGGGAAGAATGTCTCGGCCGTCCAGAACCCCTCGACCGCATCCAGCCGCACACCGCGCAGCGACAGGACGCGCGGGTCGCCGCCGCCGTCTACAAGAAGCAAGCCGCGGTCAATCTCGAAGCCGGCGCCGAGCAGATTCGCATCCGGCGCCGCCGGTAGCAGCGATTTCGCGTGCCCCCTTTTAGCGACGTTCCAGGGCGCCCAGGACGGATGGTCCTTTTCTGCCTCGTTGGCACAGTGGTGCTGGCAGTTCCTGCACGCCTGGTCCGCCAACGTGGTCGTCGTGCTGGTGACGGCGAGCGCGCGGAGCGAGCCCGAGCGCCTGATGCAGTCGCGAGCGAAGGCGGCGTATACCTGGCTCGCGGGGCGTGTGTAGTCCGGGACGGCGTTCCAGTCGGTGCAGAGGCCGAGGATGCCGTAGAGGTGGTCGCGCGGGTCCGATGCCCCGAACAGCGGCAGCGTCTGCTCGAAGAGCCATAGGGCGTCCTTGTAGCCGGTTTGGGGAGCTGCGGCGGCATCTTGTTGCTTTTCGGTCTGGAGCCGATACAGGTCGGACCAAAGCTCGGATATCTTGTGGATGGTGTCTTGCCAAGGCAGGAGCCGCCAGTAGAAGTAGTAGAGGTTCTTCGCCATGATGAGCTGGCTCCACGATATGCGCGACGTGTGGCTGGTCTCGACAAATGCGGCGCCCGGCCGCGCGCAGTAGACTTCCTGTAGCACCCAGACTCGTCCGAACCACGGGCTGGAGAAGAGCTTCGACAGCCACTTCAGCACCATCTCCGTTGGGAGCTCTTCTCCACCACGGCGTGTGAAGCGCGCATTCGCCATGATGTAGACCAGGTGCGCCAACACGTCGTTGGAGCTGGAAGCGACGTCGACGCCGTCTCCGAGCTGCGCTTTCACCGCGCTGGAAATAACGTTGAGAACTTCGGCTACCTCGTCACCGGCATACTTCTGCCCAAGGAAGACCGAGACCCTCGCAGCGCGCGAGTATATCTCCCTCATCATGGCGACCTGGTGGCTCCGTTCGTCCGGGTCGCCCTGGTTGATGCACAGCGCATCGATCCAGTAGAACTTCCCGCTGCACTCGGCAGAGCAATCTTTCGGGTTGTGCCTGAGGCACTGCAGGACATCGTGCAGGCTCCTGGTGACCTGGAACGTGATGAGGTCGTCCTCCTCCAGGTCCTTCGTCTGCATGCCCTCGCGCCAGTGGATCAGCCGGATCGCGCGAGTGTGCCGGAAATCGCCCCAGGTATACGACACAGCCGTGTAGTTCTCGCACCGCTCCATCGGAAACTTGCGCAGCACGCAGACCAGCGGCGCGCCCGGCTGCTCTCCGTCCAAGACCTGGACGAGCCGGATCTCCCTCTTCTCCTTCTCCAGCTTCTCGTACGATCCGTACTCATTGTGCAGCCGGCGGAGACTCGAGTTCTGCGCGTCGTCGATGGCCGTCGCGTGCGATGTGTGGAATACGCAACAGCCTTCGGCGTCTTCGCCGGGGAAGGCTTTGAGATGATGCTCGTGATCGTCTGCTGGCGGCGGCAGCTGCCGGCAGGCGTCGCAGAGATCTTCGTTGCACGTCTCGCACACCCACCGCGTGCCGCGGATCGGGATAACGCCGCACCTGTCGCACTCGTACCTGGGCCTCTGCATTACTCGAGACGTTGCTTAGCGTAGGGGGGTTTGTATTTTTCTTTTTCGGCTGAGAAATGCCCCAACCCCGCGTATAAATATATGTGTTCATGATCGACGTTCTTCGCTGGCGTGGGGGCCAGGATGACGCTTAGTGATACATCCCATTCACGCTCAACCTGGTAACTTGACCCGTGAGAGATCCTCAAGACCATTTCAATGGCCGGTATGGGTCTCGCGGAGTACTTCAAATCTGTTCAGCTTGACCAATGGCAAATGCGTAGTCCAAGTACTTTAAATCTCCATTTCTAGAGCTAATGAATAGTATAGGTTTATACCCTACATATATGCTAAAAATCTCGTTTATCATTTCCGACAATATGGTACAGTCGAAGCTAAGAGAAAGTAAAGTGCGAATCCGACTGTAGCCCTTGATATCAGGCGCACGTTAACCGCCCGCTCTTAAGTGTCGTCGTGCACCCGATCGCTACTCCTTTACCTTCCATCGTATTGTCTTTGGTTATTATAGGGGCACTAGCGCAGAGAAGTAAAGGGTGAAAGCTAGCAGATGGGGGTTAACGAAGTTGCTGTCGAGCTCGGATACTACTAAGGTATGTGGCTGAATATAATCCGTGCAAAGAAAATGTCCTGAAAAGGCTAACAAGATATTGAATCCATGAGTGGTCATCATTCACGACGCCTCTGCGTCGAGATTATGGATTGATCGTCACTTCCCTCCGCACAACAACTTGACACGACTTGCAACGCATTCATCAAGAGGCAATGTACCCATGACATGGGGCATAAATTTCTTGGTTTTTATATGCAAACATGACAGCCTTGAAGACTCGCTCGTGGGGTATATACAGTCCTCGTCTCGCAACCTTTTCCGCCGCCCGCGGCTTCCAGAAGTTATCGATTCGTTACTTTATTGGGAGTTGGAAATGCCAAATTGAGTGGTGTACTGGTAGGCGCCGTTCTGGTCAATGACCAGCATGATGCCGTAGCCCGTGTCGCCGTTGCTGTCCGGGATGCTGGTAGGCGGAGTCCACATGTAGGAGCCGTCGTTTTCCGTGCCATTCACGATGCTGAGGTAGGGAACGGCGTTGGTCGAGGGGCCCTTCAGCAGCGTGAGGCTGACCGTCCCGCCCTGGAACGGCGTAAGGTCCCACTTGATCTCGTAGGGCGAGCCGACTGGCACGATGTCGTGGAGGCCCGGAACGCGGACTGCGTTGGCCGTCGGACCGTCGTCGGCGCGTGCAACTGCGGCCAGGCCGGCCGAAAGAGTGGCGAGGAGGAAGTTCTTGGTGACGAGCATTGTGGCGAGGTTGAATGCGGAGTAGTTGGTGGTTGAGGAGGCTGTCCGCAGGTTGGCAATGGGAGACTTTTTGTAGAGGGCTCTAGACACTCACACGCGCTCTGTAGGCGCACCTGATCTTATTATTCGATTTTCCGGAATCCGGCAATGTAACATCGCAAAACGGTGAATGAAAAGGGTGAAAATAAAGGGGTAGACTTAGGGACCTGTCCGAGGTACGTGCAGCCGATCATAAACGCATGAACCTCTTGATAAGTTGCTCCCCACCTTTGTATGCGTTGGAACGGCCGAATGACAGCATCATATTCCTTGCACCGGCAATTTCTACAGTGTCAGGTGTTTGTCTGACAAGCTGTCCAGTATGATTCAGCCTTCCGCAAGAATGACTTCATCATATGCTTGGCAAATTACGACTTTGTGAATGGTGTTCTTCGAACAGGCCATCTCGTAAAGAAACGGGTCTTGTATTACCGCCTTTTAGTCCCGAAGTTTAGTGCTGGAGCTATGAGAAGCAGGGTGCTGCTTCAAAATCAATAGGTTTCTTCCATGTCCAGCGGCAAACAATCCTCTTGGCGCAGCGGTACTGATCATCACCAACGTTCCGCCATCTATGGTAGTACGTATTATTACTGCCGGCGGCTCGGGGTTGCATGCCACTTACTACGTAGCAACAGCTTCGACACCGCCAACCGTTGGCAAGGCATGGGTGGGTACATGTCAAAGTTCGGCTAACCTTCTATGGCCGAACCAAATGAAACTGATGATCTGCTGCCTAAACCGGACACGAGAGCATCTCGACAATTTCCCGCTACATTGTTGGTAGACCAGTCGCCGCTACCAGTCAATTTACGACACTAGCCAGTAGCGTGGTGAGGCTGCGCTGATCGCCCAGACGAGCCCCGCCATGTTTTCAGGCTCAAGTTTCCAATGTGGGGGAGCAGGGAGATCTCTCGCGATCTGATACTGGCGGTCTTCGGCTATCACAGGTGCATGACTCTAATGCAAGTTGCCTGATGTTCCGATGCACAGTCCAGCAGAAGACTGCCTTACCGTTTGCTTATTTCCCTTGGGATCAAGAAGGAATGGCCCATAAAATCCTCGGATCCCTCCAATCCAGCGCGAGCGATAAAAGTCACTGCACGAAAGCCAGAGCGATATAACTACATACATTACAAAACAAACAAGAAGAATACCGCGAGGCAGGAGTGGTGGCATTGGGACAAGCAAAGAAGAGACAGAATGAGTGTCGGTCACTCAAGACTACATATGTGTCCAAACGTGTTGCTTACGGCAGCAAAGCAAATCCCACCATCATCGTATGCACGAAAAGAAGTGTCCGTTACACAGACGGTATTCCAATAGCAGTAGCCCATGGCAACGAAAAGTAGTGACTCAGCTGCAGGTCCTTATCCTCTAAGATCACTATAGTATTGCTATTTACCTTAAGTCAAAAGGCAACAATTTGCAACTCAACGGCCTTTCCCCTCTTCCGTATGACATCCGCGTGATGAATGTATCTGACTTTTGCCCGTCCGGCATTGCACATTTGCATTCCTCGTAGGACCCGCAGACTACCCAAAGCACCAGCTCGGGAAGTGTAGGATTGTGAATTGATATAAAACTCCGGATAGGAGGTCGAATTCGTGGCATGGGGGCCACAGAGCAACTGAATTCGCTACACATGACGTGAGTTAACAAAGCGTGAGTCCAGAGATGCGAGCTTATCATCTCCAGTAAAGCCGATTAGTATGTACCGCCACAAAAATCGTCAAGGAAACGGGTAAACTTTTCGGAGAACCTATAAGCAGAGCCGGCTCCATGGAGTGCTCATTTTCATGTATCCTCATTTCCCTGGTAGACTTTACGAATGGGTATGCTTAATCAGACTATCGCTCAGGCACCGTGACCGTGCAGTTCGAAGCCCAGTGGCGTTTATCTTCTCCATTAAACAGACGACGTGAGCAATAAACAATTTAGACACATTAAGCCAGGTTATAATGCGTTGGTTAATTCTCATCTCCTTTGTGGTAGACGTGAGAAAGAGATTGACCAATTTTAGATTGACGTTGAAGTAGCAGCATAGCGTATCCGGTTACATCGCGCCACCTGGAAAGCTAAGATAAGCAGCAGTAGGCGACAAAAGATTTTGACTCTTCCGAAGCTTTTCCGCAAGAAATAAAGAACCTGCTTATACAGTTGCATCCGTCGTCCAAACATCCTTATTTGTACGAGTCTGGAACTCACATTTACGTCCGAACAGACGATTCATTGCGGATACAATAGGACTCACATCTCCTGTGATCTAGTATAGGTAATCTACTTTCGTCTATCTGCGCTGACAGACCTCCCGGTGTTTGGTCGCTTTGAAGCTTCAAGTCGATGCCCCCCTTAGGCCAAGGCTGGACCAGGACCAACTTTCCGACGTGGGGCGAAAAGGGATGGCTCCGAAGCGCAAAGTGCATACACGTCACAAAGCGAGTAAGGAATTGAGGCAGGTATCTTGAATTGGCATTTTTTTCATACCATATTGATTGCTAGCTGCAAAAACGCATGCAGCCTGCGCACATGCCCATTGACCGAATTTTGACCCCGCATAAACCGTAAAGAACCCGCAGCCTAGCAGCCAATCCTCTACTTCCTGATGGCACGCTGGTAGAAGGCAAGCTCCTCACCCTCAAGGATGTAGCCGTCAACGCGGCCGCTCTGGCCGGGCCTGGAGGAGACGACGGCGTACAGGCGACCAGCCTCGAACTGCCTCTCGAGGGCGTTCTCGACCTTGCCGGAAGCCTTGACGCGCTCGGCCTGCTTCTTCTCAACGCTCTTGGACTTCTTCTCCTCGGTCTCGGTCTTGGCCTGCCTCCTGCGGCCGAGAGCGGTGCCGTAGTGGGCCTCGTACCACTGCCTGAAAGGAGCAGCGTCGATCTGGACGACGGCGGACTTGGTCAGGGTGTTGGTGCGGACAAGTTCGTTGTTCGACGGGTGGTAGGCGACGACGATGACGCGGGTCTTGCGGGCAACGCCCTCAGAGGCCCAGGAGAAGTTGCCCGAGTCGAGACGGAGGGCACGGAACTTGCGGTTGCCACCACGGGTGCGGATAAGGTGGATACGCTTGGCACCGATACGGGTGTTGGCGGGCTGGCGGCCCTTCTCGAAAGCCCTGTTGCCATGTCAGACATGGTTACTAGGGGCGATCGGGTTATGCATACCTCTTCTTGCGGTAGTATGCTCTCTTAGCACCGGTAGCGGCGCGCTTGTGACGAGAATCGCGAGAGATACTGCACGCAAGTTAGCAAGAGCCATTGTGGGATGAGCAGGCGATTTCTAGTTACCCCATGGTTGCGAAGGATGAAGATTACTGTATGCCAATCGTCAGCGGTCTTGTCCAAGTACATCCAGCGATCCAGGGCGCGCGCAAGGCACTGGAGTCTTGAGCTCCGAATTTTGAAAGCCACGGTGCACCTCCGCACGCGGTCGAGATGGTGCGCCCTAGGCACACTGTCTGCCATCACCGCAAACCAGCACTGCTCTCCCGATCCATAGCGAGAGGTTGTGAGAGCAGACGGCTCGCGAAAGGCCCGATGCTGTGTGCGTGGCTTTGCGTGTGCGGAGGTCGGTCGCTCTTCCGGGGTGGGCTCAAAACTCCAGTGCTTGATGCGCGGCGCGTGGGAGCAAGGGCGATGCGGTCGTAACTAACCTTCCTGTCGAATCTTCGTCCTTGGAGGGGTTGGGGGTCGGCTGGGCGAGGTCGTGGTTGTCGTCCTTAGAGTGCGCTTCGAACTTTTCTGATTGATTGTGTGTAGCTCGCCTACCGAAAGGCGCCAACCCCGTTCGGGGCTAGCGCATCCACCCCGGTCGCAAGACACAAATCCCGTGACGTTGCAAGCATCCCTCCTCGACCTAATTCTGAGTTCACTTGACGTCGGTTTATGCATTCGGAGACGTCCAGCAAGGCGGGACCTGGGACAATTGTTCAAGTTTGCAATTGACTAGTGCTATGCAAATGCAGCGGCGTCGCACGGCACTACATCCTCCTCCGTGACATCTGAGCGCCATTTCATGAGCAACAATGCACTTACAGCGCTCAAGGGCACGTTTGAGATTGATGTTGCTTCCTTTGCAAAATTCAGGCAGCTCGCTTTTCGATGTGGCCACGGTGCCACGCCCACGTACACCCGCAGTCGTATTTTCATCTCTTCTTACTATCGTACTCGCCAATTTCCCCATGTCGACATACCTACTATTTCCGCGTAAATCCGCACAGGACACAAACAGCGTAAGTGTGGCTGAAGTCGCGTCGGAGGATCGTTATTGGACAATATAGGGGGCGTTTGATCATCAGGCGAGCGAAGCGATAATTGGGATTCGCTTTTGGCGTTGCGAGGCGCCGGCAAGAGAGCATACGAATCGGGTAAGAAAGGGGTAGGAGAAGAACGTGGAGGACAAGCCAAGGAAACACAGGAAACGGAAACCTACACATGTGTTGGTGGAGCGAAAACAAGGGCGCGACGCAACGTATAGAGACATTTGTCACATCACACAACACCCGAAGGGGCAGTGGGGGCATCGCTTGGACTGGACATTCAAGCAGGTATGGCCTTCGGCGAAGGCTGAAGCATCGTTGTGAGTTGGAGGATGTTGAGAGCCGAGTGGCCAGATCATTGCTCCAACGACACGCCAACCTAAACAGGCGGATCTTTTCTAGCATCTGCAGCCGTGTCATAAACGCCGAACTGAACGAGAAAAGCAAATCTATGCCACCTGTACCCCAAATTTTTGTATCGAGCCATGAACCGAAACCCGAATGCTTGAACAAAGGAGATGCAATGAGGATGTGATTACGTATGCACGAAGGGGCCGCCCGGCTGGCAGAAGCTCAGGAGAGTGCGGGAGGCCTCTTCGTTCAAGGCTACCGGTGCATGGTGCACTTGTTGAGGGCGGCCAGTAGCTCCGGGCGGTCCTTCAGCGCCTGGGCGGCTTCGGCGTAGGTGCACCACTTGCGATTTCTCTTGTGCGCCTCGGGCCACTGGTTCTCCATGCGCTCGACGGTGGCCTCGAAGAAATGGTAGCTGGCGCGCGGCGCCTCTTTGGTGAACTGCGAAGGGCTGCGTCTCTCATCGATGGCCCCGAGGTCGTAGGTGACCTTGCACACAATGCCGGCCTCCTCCCAGGCCTCGCGGCAAGCTGCATCTTGTGCAGTCGCTTCGTCCGTCTCCCAGCCGCCCTTGGGAAGGACCCACTTGTTGTGACTGGTGGATTGGATCAGGAGGACGTAGTACTTGTCGGCGGAGAGGGGCACAATGCCGGCAACAAGACGTTCTCCGTTGCTGCCGTAGCCTGCAGGGGAAAAGCGCGAAAAATCAGCACCGGGGCGCGCGCAGCCGGGGCGGGATGGCGGGGGTCTCGTGAGGGCACTCACGCTGGTTGCTACGGCCGGTCCGGGCCTCCATGGAAAGAGTCTGCTGCGCCATGGCGTGGGCAATGAGGGACCGCAAAAAGCACGGCAATGACGTCGGGCCTGGCCGGGCGCGTGAGAGGGTGCTGAGGCGGGCAGAACGAGTGGACTGGGCTCGCGTGGCTCGAGATTGGGCCGGGTCGTCGAAAGAGGAAGAGGCTGAGGCCGAGCAAACACGGACGCCGGCGGCGCTGGCGAGGGGAGGCGCGGGTGCAGCAGGAGAAGGGAGTCGGGATGGGATTGGAGCTCAGTCCCGCGGAGGACGGGGCTGAGGGAAGGCGGGAGTCCTGGGGAGGTGAAAGGAGAGAGGCATCGTGGGTAGTGTTAGTCCCTTTCGCATCGTGCCGTGGTCTTTGACAGGGCAGGGTCCAAAAAAGTGAGATAGGCGCCAAGAGCCCATGATCTGCGAGATGCATCTCTCAGCAGAATCGCCTCTCCTTGCCCGCGCGACCCGCGCAGCAGCGCCAGGTGCGCAGGCCCGTGGGAGCAGCCGCGCAGCTGCAGCGTTGGCTGTGTTGCGCGCAGGCAGCAGGAGGAGTGCGGCGCCCGGCAGCGCAACGCGAGCGGGCGGCGCGCCCAAAGCAGCCTGCCACTGGCTCCGGTGCCGCCGGGCAGGGTCTCAATGGATTCTTGTGAGCGCTCGCTGCAGAACATACGTGCCGTGACGTGGGCGCGCTGCCCTTAGGCGGCGCAGCGTCCAGCGTGTCCGCGACCACCCACCTCCCGCCGTGCCACGCCGCGCAGCTTCTCCCGCTAGCCTCACCGCGCTGTCATATCCAGGTCGCTGTTCCGCAGACCCTCCGCCGGCAGGGCGCCTTCTGCCAACCACGCTCGCGCTCCCCCGCCGGCCACCGCCCTCTGCCGGCCGACTGCCTCCCACGCTTGTGCTGCCGCCATGCAGGCCCCGGACGCGGGCGCTGGACCCGCCTCGTTCCTAACGCCGCTCGGTGCGTCGCAATCCACTCATTCGGCAGCGTTGCAGCCCGTGCAGCTCTGCTTGGATGTGATTCCCCCGTGCCGCCCCTCGTCCGCCGGATACCGTTGCGTCTCGCGCTGACTACGAGCAATCCAGGCTATCAGAGCAGCTCGTGCGGGTACTGCAAAAGCGAAGATACGAGTCAGAGAACCCCCGATTCGCGTGCGTTGTCACCGCACGACAGATGCGCCCCTCACCTCTGCCCACTTTCTTTTCAATTTCTTCCCTAGCCCGCCTTGCATCTATTTGAGACTCGGTCACGTGCCTTGTTTCTGTCCCAGTCCACGACCGACCACTGTTTGGCCTATGTCCGTTTCGTGCGTCCCTGCATCATCTTCTCACGCCCCTGTCTCGCATTGATCTGTATCCTTCTCGTCGTGTCCGTCACACTGACCCGCCGTGCCCTCCAGGCGCCGCCTACTACGTGAGGAGCAGGAGCCTGGACGTTGCGCACTACCAGGCGCTCATCGACCGAGGCTGGCGACGGTACGCTCCAGTTTCCACTTTTGCCACGTGGGATGGCACCATGCTCCTCTGCGGATTCGCTGGCCGATGTGGATGCGTGACACCTAATCTGACTTCACTGTAGATCAGGCACCCTCCTCTACAAACCTGACGTTCGGAGAGCCTGCTGCCCGCATTACACAATCCGGTTAGTGCGCTGCAGCTGTGTCGCAAGGCAAGCCCTAAGCTGACTGGCTCTCAGTCTCCCGGCCGCTGCTTTCAAGCCAACCAGAGATCAGAGACAGGCTGTCAACCGTTGGAACAAATTTATTCTCGGCGAGTCCTACATGAATGAGGCTAAGAAGCTGCACCCCAAGACCAAAGAGTTAGAAGTGCCCGAGACGCCCAACTCGCTGTTCAGGGCTGACGGAGCACCGTAGAGAAAAAGCAAAGCAGCGAAATGGCTTCAACCTCTGCCATGTCATACATGAGGCCGAAGACTCGAACGTGAAGAGGCCGCCCGAGCCTGCTCACCGCTTCGAAGTGACGCTGGAGCCTGACAACTTCACCGAGGAGAAGTTCCAGCTATTTTCGAACTATCAGCAAGCTGTGCATCATGAAGAAGCTCGCGAGGTCACCCGAGCAGGCTTCGCCCGCTTCCTGTGCGACTCGCCACTTCAGCGTTGTACAATGGAAGGCACTTCGACGCGTCTGGGCTCCTTTCATCAATGCTACAGGCTTGATGGGCGCCTCATCGCCATCGCGGTGCTGGATCTCGTCCCGCGTGCCGTAAGTGGAGTCTACTTCATTTACCACTCTGACTTCGAAAAGTATTCTCTGGGAAAGATAAGCGCTCTTCGCGAGGCAGCCCTGGCCGAAGAACTAGGCCTCCAGTTCTACTACATGGGCTATTACATCCACAATTGTAAGAAGATGCGGTACAAGGGCGACTATCAGCCCCAGTATGTACTTGATCCCGAGTCATACGAGTGGAACAAGCTCGACGATGAGCTTCGTAAGCTGTTGGATGAGAAGAAGTACGTGTCGCTATGGCGGCAGAGGCAAAACAAAGACGCCAAAGTGCCCGACAATGGGGGAGATACACCTATGCCGGAGGCAAGCTCGGACGGCGATTTCGATGGAAAGCACCTGGATTCGCCGTTGCTCGCTACGGCGGCTGTTGATGATGGTCTCTCCCTCATGGAGCTGGGCATGCCTGGTGTGTTGAAGGTAGATGAACTCTTGGAAAGCATCAGCCTGGACAAGATCAAGATCGGTATCCCCAGTGCCGGGATAGTCGCAAGTATGGAGGTGAGCAGAATCCTCTACCCTCTGTCCATGTTTTCTGTTAATGTGTGCTAGGATCTCGTTACCTGGGACCAAGGAACCATCACCAACAAGAGTTCGCTCAAGGGCCACATCGCTGAGATGGCTGCATGCATTGGTCCTGATGTCGCAAAAGAGATGATCGTCCAGCTGAGCTGATGGGGTTCAAGGCATTCTGCCTATTAGTGGAGATGTTGAGATTTTACGCCTTCAATAAGATAGAAAACGAGATAGAGTAGCGTTATGTCAGTTTCTTGCCTTCTAACGCCCTCAAAAACATACCGCGGAACTGCACTTCAAGGTGTCGTCTGATTATGCACCAAAAGCCAAGTTCCGGGAATTTCAAAAGCCGGCGGCGCGATTGCCTAGCTAGGACTTCGGCTGTTGCAGCCGAACGTTTAAGAAAGCGCACTCCCGTCTTTGTCAGCCAATGAAGACGTTACAGAAACATCGAACAACAAGTAGCCGCAACCATTGAGCGATTGCCAATGGGAGCAGGAAGGTCTCGTTAGAATACAAAGATGCCCCTTCCCGTCATGTAAAGCAAAGCATTACGACTGTTCATCATCTTCAGACGCAATGGCTCGCTGATCATGTCGCCGTTATTGACTCACAAAGGAGGACACATGAAGCTCCGAAGGTTGAGGAGGTATCCACCCACGCGCGCGTACCTTCTCGGAGCGAGCATGACTCACAGCCATCGTACGACCAACCTTGCTCACAATGGCGTGTTAGGAGAAAGCGTGCAACACCTCGTCGCCAGCAATCTGCTCCCTCTCTACAAAAACGTTTCGACGCCAGCGACGATGCGACTGTCAAAGCCGCGGAGAACAGCGCAGCTGAAGGCCATGCCAAAGAAGACTCGCCGCCCAATGGCAGATACGAAGACGACCTCGTAGAGGCCCTTCGACAGAGCAAGATAGAGACGCAAAACACTCATAGAGAGGAAACAAAGTCTCCCCTCGCCGGTGACGACAACTTCATGCTTGCAGAAGCCGAGAAAGCAGATATTCAGAAAGCACTGAGACTGAGCCAAAGAGAGAATATTGCGCTCAGAAACGGATCCGACGAGGAGCTCCGGTTGGCTCTCGAGCTGAGCAGGATCGAGGCAGGACAAAATGAAGATACTTATGACCCAGACACGTTTGGCGAGACGTCGAGAATGGGTGCGATGAGAAACAACGGGCGCAACGGTGGAGCACGTGCCTCTGTGCCTGATTCGGAGATGGGCGGGTGGAACGACCAGTGGGAAGAGCCGCCCCCGCCTTACGAGCCGTAGCTCACGGCTTGATGAAGGGCTGGCTTTCGCTTGGACAGAGATTGCATGTTTACACGGCGAATTGGCGAATCATTAATTGAAAGCAGTGAGGTGATTGGCCGGCGAGATGCAGCTGTATGGTTAGCTCAAACAGGAATTAAGGGTCTCTGGAGGGAAAATTTTGATGGCGCAATGGAGCAGGTCGGAATTGATCTGACGCTTTACCCCGGGCTTCTCCACAGATTGACGACTGCATCGCTTAGCATTGGAGCAGTGAGGGTAACTGCTTACGGGTACTCGGAGCAACGTTAGCGCCTGTGCGTAAGCACTCCGAGTAGTCGTGGAATCCACTTGTAGAAGCAAATATGGATCTGTGAACGAAAGCCCCCGGACCGTCGCTCCAGCTCAATTGAAACGCAGCCGGAATTGCGAGCCGTCATGGCGTGAGGGGCACCATCAATCGGGAGTCATAGCGGATGCTTCTCGCGGAAAACGATTCCACAGCGGAAATGTCGGTGACAGCATAGGAGTCATCCAAGGGGGACGGTTGATCGTCCTGTGAGTCAATGGCTTGCTCTGGCAAGGGGCGCGACAAGGGGGGTGAATATTTTTTTCATTTTCCTGGGGTTATGACGTTGGTGGGCGACGGCTCACACGTGCCTGGCGCAAATTCTTCCAGGCCAGCATCAAGGCAGCTCTGCGCAGCATTGAGCAGCATTCCACGGCTCTGCATGACACAATTGCCGTCCCGAAGCATCCGACAGGCGCAAGAGCAGAGCTCAAACCGAACCGGCAAATTGTGGGCTGCTTATTGTGTCCCCGCATCGCCTCAGTTGGGCCGAGATCGGCCCAGGTCAACTTTCGTGCGCACCTAGCGCTTGCCGAGACAAATACAGTCACCCAGCAAAAACTTCATAAGCTCCGCGCAACCTCGCTCTCCCTCCTCCAACCACACTCCCATCCGCTTCACATCCACCATGTGCCCGACTCCCGACGCTCCGGCCGCCAACGGCCACTCCAACGGCGTGAACGGCCAGGCCAACGGCAGCAACAGCTCCTGTACGTGCAATGCCGTCATTGCGACAAGACTCGCCAGCTAACCCACCCACAGCCCACCCAGGCTTCACTGGCATCACCGTAAGCCCTCTCGCCGCGAACCCTGAGCGCCGCAATCCTGACTCCTGCGACAGACCAACCAGAACCCCCACCCCGCCCGCCCCTCGAATCCCTACCAGCCCGTGGGCGACTTCCTCAGCAATGTCTCGCGCTTCAAGATCATCGAGAGCACCCTGAGAGAAGGCGAGCAGTTCGCCAACGCCTTCTTCGACACCGAGACCAAGATCAAGATTGCCAAGGCCCTCGATGACTTCGGCGTCGACTACATCGAGCTGACCTCGCCTGCTGCCTCGGAGCAGTCTCGCCGCGACTGCGAGGCGATCTGCAAGCTCGGCCTCAAGGTCAGACCGCCAAATCGCGCCGCACAGCTCCCCCAAAACTAATGCGCGATGATAGGCCAAGATTCTCACCCACGTCCGCTGCCACATGGACGACGCAAGAATCGCCGTCGAGACCGGTGTTGACGGTGTCGATGTCGTCATTGGCACCTCGTCGTACCTGAGGGAGCACTCCCACGGCAAGGACATGACCTACATCAAGAACGTGAGTACCCGAGACACCAGCCGCGTTGGATGCAATCTGACAAGTTTAGACTGCCATTGAGGTCATCAACTTCGTCAAGTCCAAGGGTCTTGAGATCCGTTTCTCTTCGGAGGATTCGTTCCGTTCCGACCTCGTCGATCTCCTCTCCATCTACAGCGCCGTCGACAAGGTTGGCGTCCACCGTGTCGGTATTGCCGACACCGTCGGTTGCGCCACTCCCCGCCAGGTCTACGACCTCGTCCGCACTCTGCGCGGCGTTGTTAGCTGCGACATCGAGACCCACTTCCACAATGACACTGGCTGCGCTATCGGTAAGTTTACTCCTTGCATCGTTCTCGGGAGTTCTGACTAACATGTCCCCAAAGCCAACGCCTACTGCGCTCTCGAGGCTGGCGCCACCCACATCGACACCTCTGTCATTGGTATCGGTGAGCGCAACGGTATCACCCCTCTCGGTGGTCTCATGGCCCGCATGATCGTTGCCGACCACGACTACGTCACCTCCAAGTACAAGCTGCACAAGCTCAAGGAGATTGAGGATATGGTTGCCGAGGCCGTTGAGATCAACGTTCCCTTCAACAACTACATCACCGGTTTCTGCGCTTTCACGCACAAGGCTGGTATCCATGCCAAGGCCATCCTGAACAACCCTAGCACCTACGAGATCATCAACCCCGCCGACTTCGGCATGAGCCGCTATGTCCACTTCGCTTCCAGGCTGACTGGCTGGAACGCCATCAAGAGCCGCGTTGAGCAGCTTGGCCTGGAGATGAGCGACGCTCAAGTCAAGATTGTCACCCAGAAGATCAAGGCCCTGGCTGACGTCAGGCCTATTGCCATTGACGACGCGGATTCAATCATTCGTACTTTCCACTTGAACCTGCACTCCAAGGAGGAGCAGCCCCTGCTGCCCAACTTGACGGCCGAGGAGCAGGCTAAGTTCGAGCAGGCCGAGAAAGAGCTCGCTGGCGAGAAGGAGAAGAGGGCACTGGATGCCACGGCTGATGCGGAGGCTGAGATCCCCGCCGCCAAGAAGACCAAGACTGAGGTTGTTGCTTAAGTGCGAGTCCACTGACAAGCAACGATCCCGTCCCACCAAAAGTAATGGTATTATGGGAAACGGAAAAACGAAGACAGGAAAAAGCACACGATGGCTTAATGGCTTGCCGATAGACCGCTTGGAGAGAAAAGTAAAAAACCGACCATGACAGTTGAAACGATGGTTGGAACGAGGCTCCCGGGATATATTGAGTATTCTTTTCATGGGCGACTACCGGAGTTTTTTTTTTTTTTTTGGTTGTATACCTGGAGCCTTTTCTGTATATATATCTCCCAGGCGCTTTCCACCACATTGCTGGATGGTTGCGAGTACATGCCCTCGTAGAAGGGCGTGCAAGAAAAAAGCGAATGCATTCCATGAGATCACTCATACCGAAGCTCCTCGATTGTCGTGATAATAGTTGAAAGGTAAAATGAAACTGCGTGAGCGAATCTCAGCAGTTCGTCATAATTTGGAGAACACCTTTCGCCCCACCTACAACGTCAGGACGTGGTAGAGTCTAGAACAGCGCCCCAATCACGACGTCAATGTAATAGTGAGCAGTGTGCCAATAGACGTGCGGACAAAGCTCTAACTCCTGCGTCCTCGTTGCCCAGCTAAGCGAGACCCTCTTCAGCAGCACCAACCAAATCGACTGATACTAGGAAAGTAGTAGTTTTTGTTAGTTAAAACCTTGAAACGAGTGAGGCTTGGATTTGATTTGAGAGAGGAAGACAGCAACACATGTTTTATATGTTTGAAAGTCTCGAGACCCCGGTGGCTGGAGGTGTTCCTGTCGCCGGGGACATTCACCAACCACACATCTGAAGCAACAACGGGATGGAGGCCACATGAAGGAGATGGGAATCAAGGGATGAGTTTTGTATGGGGTTTTATCATTCTTTATTCTTTTTTTGGGGTTTACTATACTTCTGTGACTACAACTATTAACCGTTATCAGAAACTGAAGAGCTTCATAATCTCAGCCGAGAAAGCCCCCCACTCAAACACGGATACTGGAACTCCTGGAGTTAATGCTCTCTGGGTTTACTAAGTCAATTTGACAGGTTCTGATCAAGAATGAGCAAAGCATCAGAGGTCGTTGATCTTGACCATGCTGTTGTTTATCTGCTTTCCGCATTGCCGCGATAGTCTCCGTCGCTGTAGGGAAAATTAAGAGGAGCTGTCATCGCCGTCATCACTTCAGTCGTTATCAGCTATTCGTCTCCGTCGCTATCATCTAGGACAGAATCTTCGATATCTCTAAGCGCCTTTATGTCCTCCCTTATGCCAAGGCTCCGGTTCAGCATGTTCTGCTCGTCACGCATCGACGTCTTTTTGTCCCGCCAGCGGTCTGAACATTCCCTGCACCACTCGCAGAAGTTGGGATGTTCTGTCATGTAGACAACTTGGCGGATCTGGAGCGTTGGATCATGCGGAGCGCTTCGCAGCAAGAAGTGTTCCATGTCGGCTTCATAGTGTGAATATGCATCCCGAAGGAATTTTTTGTGCTGCGGTTGTTCAAGCGATAGTGCCTCTGCACGACGATGGGCTACGGTGACGATCATGTCCGTGGAGGTGACAAAGTGCCATGATGCTGCGATGAAATGTCTGATCTCTCCATCCATTAGAGTTGCGATGTCGACTTTTTCAAGCGCCTTGAACAGGTTCCGCAGCTCTGGCAGAGCTGATGCCCAGCTTCCTCGGCCAGGAAGAATCTGAATACACTTCATGTTCAGAACTTTGAGCGTTGAGCTGACTTTACTGAAGAAGCTGAGGAGATGCGCTTCGGACGTAGCCACATTTCTAAGGCTGATGTACTCAAGATGCGGCAAGTTACCTTCCGAGAGCCTCTCAACTAAGCATTTCTGGCCATTGAGGAAGAGGTCATAATTTGTTATGGGAAATCTGGTCTCGAAGAAGACCGAGAGTACCTTCAGGTTCTGTAAATTACAGAGCAGGTCACCGACGCCGCGCGTGATTAGTGGATAATGCGTTGCTCCCACGGTCATTTGTAGATGCAGCGATGACAGGTGTCTGAAGGCGGAGGACATGAGCTGGATCGGAGCTTCTGTCGTTAGGCGCTCGCGTTCTTCATTGGCGATACCCAAAACTTCGGGGAATGCTTGGCTAATGCGATGGTACTTGTCGATCCAGAAAGCACGACCGCAAGTTCTCATTGATAATCTCTTGAGATGCTTGTTAAGGGATAGAACCGATAGGATGCCCGAAAGTTGACAGGCAACGTCGCCCCTCATGAACCGGTGCAGACTCCATTTATTGCTCGTCAACCAAAGCCGTCTCCAGGTGAACATGGAGCTCCTGAGGATATCGTCAGACATGACAAAGTTGTCGAGGTTAGTCAGTCGTGGCATTGCGTTGAGCATCATATCGGCCGCAGATTCCATGAATGTTCCTGGAATGTTGTCAGAGGTCAGACCTCGCATGAATTCAGATGCGGCTCCAGAGTCTTCCAGATAAGATTGGTAGAGCCTGCGGATCTCTGCGTCTGAGTAGTCATGTCTCTCTGTCGGCTTTAAGTAGCGCGGAAACCGGGGAGTCGAGCCATCTGGAGAAGTAGCAACAAATTAGAGAAGCGGGCTAGGACCAACAAGGAGGGATGCCTATCGGAATAGGATGCGAGGTCTTTCACGAGATAATTCTAGGAAGAGGTAAACTCTGATGTGAGGTGGAACTCTTGAATGACTTACATGGTCGCTGATAAAGACTCGTCTCGAAGCTTGTGTGATGGGTGAACACCCTCCGCGTCTCGCCAAATTCGAAGATGATGGTCTTAGGATGTTGGCAAAGCTTATCATCAAAGGCAATGCTAAGGAAGTTCTTGATGCTGTCTTTTTGCATCCTCAGCTTGATCTCTTGAAAGACTCGCGGAGTTGCGGCCCGGCAACAAGTTTTAGATGTCAGGCGGAGTTGCTTGCTTTCGAACGCGTTCAGGTTAGAGGCGATCATGACCAGCAACTCATCCGGAAGTTTTGTCAGGTACTCGCGGAACAGCTGCATCCGCAGCGGGTGTCTCTTAGGCTTGTCAGTGTCGCGTGATTGTTCGGGGCCGTCCCATTGCTGGGGATAGCTAGACTGCTTAAGGTCGTCGGACTGCGCAAAGCCGCTAGATTCTTCGAGGTCGCGCGATTGCTCAGTCTTGCGGAGCAGCAGCATCCGCAGGGGATGTATCTTAGGCTTGTCAGGGCCGCGCGACTGTTCGGCCATTGCGACTGCAGTGCTCGATGGCAAAAGTGTGCGGTGGCAACGATGTGGGTGAGAGCAAAGGTGGACGGTGAGGTAGAAGTGAAGAGTGTCGCGTCGAAGAATGGTTGTTTGGAGCCTGCCGACGATCCGCAGATCTCCCGCGCAGAATCAGGCCTACCTCATCGGGGCACTTAAGCGAACGCAGCTCCGGTCTAAACCATTCCTGGGAATATTAAAGCATCGACAGTCCTCGGAGAAACAAACACACATAGCTAGAAGGCACACGGCTCCGCATTGCAGCCGATAGACCGCGCAGCTAACACATTCATCTCACACCGGGCACGCCAATGGAACGTGCTGCTCATAGATAAGGGCTGCACTCATGTTATCATCCTTAGAATCCCTGCCAAGAGCATCCGGACCCCAGTTCTTACGCGTCGTAGGAGTAGAGTTGCTTAGTAAATGCTGCAAAGGCTGGTTCGGGGACTGATAATCATGGCAAGATGCAGATCCGCTCGAATCAACGGCTGGCATTTGCGGCAACATGGCCGATATCAGCCATCCATCCATCTCACCCATCAGCCGTGCATCATCCTCGGCCCTTCTTGACGGCCGGTGGAAGGCTGAAACAGCTTACTACCCCAACACTAATCGAGTCTCATGGCGCGACTCCGCGTCTAAGTGGCTTTCCGTTAGCGCCCTCTCTATCCCCCCGATCTCCCACCCGTTCCTATCGACCATCGTCCGCCGGTAAATGCCTCGAAGCAAGCCAACCGCCGCTCTCGTTCAGCCGACTCTCTAGTTCCTTTTGGTAAGCCCAGCCCACCCGTACCCACCTACAACGCATCCGCTCTTCACCGGTGCGGCACGCCCCGCCGCCTTCTTGATTCATCCTGGCCACAGCCAAGCAGCTCGCCGTCTATTTTGGTTTTCCGCTTTGTACCTTGCGATTTTGGTTGGGACGATGCGAACGAGGTCCGAAGCTCGCGTGTCGACGTTTGCAGAGTCTCGCTATGAGCTAGAGGGCGAGCCGCGCGTTTGAGGGGAAGATGCCCCTTGCTTTTTCTTCGCCCCCAGAAACTCTTTGGACGTGCAGCGAGCTATCTACTGCTCGTCCTGTATGATGTCACGCCACCGCACGGACAGATCTCCGAATCATGTTGAGACCGCCCTCCATCATGACTTCAAGCGTAGCTAATGTTGGCTACGGAATTTCTCTATTTGTTCAAGATTCATGGCCATACCAGTGCGGTAATTGCCTTGGAGTGGTCTTAAGGACCCTCGTTTGAGTTGATTACTATCCGGTCATGGTCCGATCCAGCGGTCGCTCGATTTTGTCTCCTTATTAACAAGGAGTGAAGGGAATTATCAACAAAAAGAATCGAATGCAGGACGCCTCGTCTTCGCCCTGATGCTATTACTCCTCCAAGAGATCAGAAAGAGGAGACGCTTGAACTGACCCTTGCAACCAATGAACGTGTACGCATAAACTCAAGAGATTGACCCCCCAGCCAAAGGCCCAGGAAGAGACCAGCGCTTCGTCTGTGCTAGGAATGTCTCGGGCGATCCGATTGTCCTTTGAGGCACAGCCGCGCACGTCTCAAGTCCAGGCAAAGGGAGTCGCCATCGTTATTATCCAGAAGCTTTTTGCCGAAGAGCTGTGCATCTTGCGATCTTTCATTTGATGGAAAACTTGTTAGCAGAAAGCAGCACCAGGATGATGCAGTCTTCTGAAAGTGACTTCTATGCAGCCGTTTTAGAGGCAACCGAACTCGATCGCTATCGGCGGGGGCGATTCGCTGCTTCTGGAAGACTGTCCTCGGTTATCCGGTCCAGTCGATGGCAGGCTTGAGATCTGCTGCAGCGTGGTGTGTTGCATGGATGAATGCTTGTTTCATCCGCTGTGACTGGCTCCAAAACGGAAGTGTGGGTTACCTCGTGCCCGCCGCCAGAGTTACACCACTCAAACATCACCAAGCGCCTGCCGAAGGATCTGATTACCAAGTATAAGGGTTTCTAGGAACTTTGCGCCTTCCATGAGAGTGCTGCTTTTGCTGAAGCCGCCGGCCTTCAGCCCAGGGACGAGCTCATTCAGCTCGTCAAAGCCCTGCTTGATGAGGTTGCGCCGCTTCTGCTCGCTCAAGATGTGATTGCTGCGTTTCTGTTCCTCGGACAAATTCTCCCGAGGCTGCTTGGCAGCGGACCGCTTCTTCGCTGGGGCCTCGACAGTGGAGTCCCGCTGCTTTCTCGGGCGTGCAGCGACGCTGAACGAGGATGACCGCTGCGAGGAAGCCGAAGGCGGCGCAATGTCGCCCAGTCTTGGACGGGCTGGGAGGCCGTTCTCATTGAGAGTGCGACGGCGCTTGAAGGCTCTGCCACCAGGACTGATGTCACCATCGGATGCAGACTCGTCATCAGACGCGGCGGGAGTAGGCTCGATGGGAACGAGATCCAAAGGAAGGCGGGGACGCTTTGGACTGCTTGGCTGCTGTTTCACCTGAGGAGCGGCTTGGGTGTAGGTTGGGTAGCTAAGCGAAGGTCGCTTCTGCTGCATTGGGCTGTTCGGCTGCGAAGGCGGGCGGGTATTTGGACCGCTTTCCGACGGACGAAGCACGGCCAGATCGGTGAGAAGTCGGCCCCAAACGTGAGGTACGTTGTCATCCTTTGATGGGGCTATGAAGCCTGTCCCTTGGAAACTCGTGTCGGAGCCAAAGTTGGGAGCGGGTCGTCTCCGAGCAGAGGCAGAGGAAGAAGCGGCCACGGCTGCAAAGTTGTGTGGATCGAAGAAATTGAGAGGCTTGCTGTCATTGTCGGCATTTGCTGGAGCGGTCAAGCCGCGCTGGTCGGTACCAGAGGTGAAAGCCGCGGAAGCCGGAGGGCTCGGCAAGCCCATGAAGTTGCCCCAATCCTTCTCAGTATACGTCGGATCAGGCTGCGGCTGGGTGCCCGAGAGCAGGGCATTCGCGGCGCCAATGACCTCGTCCGATGCTCCTCCTCGCGCATCGCTGTGGGGCGGGACGGCGTACTCGGGGCCCAGGTGCGCGCCGAATATGGTGTTGGCATGGGTGGCATCGTTGACAGTGCCGTGGAAAGTAGGAGGAGCCTCGGAAAAGAAGTCGAAGTTGAAGGCGGTCGAGGGATCCTGCAGGTCAGTGAAATTGAATGTGTTGAAAGGGCCCTGGTCGAAGAAGTTCTGCAGCTGGGTGTTCTGGAAGTCGTTGAGCAGAGGCGGGCCGGCTACGGTAACGTTCTCTTCGGCAGCGGCATGGTCGATGTCTTCGGTGCTAAAGGTGTCTGCTCGGGATATGCATCAGCACAGGCAGCAGCAATGGATCAGACGACACGCACATCCAAAAGGGTTTTCGTCCTTCGCAGGCAGGTGATGCGAGCTCATTCCGAGAAAATGACTGGCCGGCGCCGGACGTCTTACGGCTAACATGGGTTCTGGAGAGGCGCGCTTCTTGGATGGAGGTGGATGCGGGGCGGGGAGGAGGAGGCTAGCAGCGCGCCGTGGTTGACCGCAAACCCGAGAGCATGGTCTGGACAAGCGGCGTGAGAGCTGTGACGTCTGCGCGAGCGTAGTGACGGCGCCGAAGGGGCTGCAGACGCGCAGGTGAGGGTGTCTGGCGGTCGGTGGAAGCTAGGGTGTTCGTAAAGGCGGAGGAAGCACAACGCGCGTGGACCGAGCGCGACAACAGCGGCAAGGCCTGGGATGGCGGGCAGGCTGTCTGCGGGCGGCGGAAGAGGAGACGCGGTTGTGTAGGAGCGAGGAGAGCAAAAGCATGGTCTCAAAGACCGACTGGAATCCCAACCAAGAGGCGCGAGTCTCGATCACATGCAAAGTCGGAGGACAACTCGTGCTGCAAATGCACATCCGCTAGGCCATCCCAAACCACCGTGGCGCAAACGCCCAGCCGCACCTTTACCATCGGCGTCGCTACAGTTCCCAGAGAACCTCTGCCCCGCCGCCAGGCACAGATCCCCAACGCTGCTCCATCCGCGCCGCATGCAGCGCTCAGGAGCAAGAATCGCCGTTTCGCCCGCCGCGCCTCGCTGCCGCCGATCGTGTACCGGTCCAATCTCGCTTCTCAGCCTTCGCGGGGGATAGGCGCTTTTTTTCGACGTGAAACTGCGGCCGAGGTTCGAGAGAGTGCTTGTCCTCCGCCGCACCCGCCTCTTCCAGCTGACCTCATGCCGCCGGGGGTCGCTCCTCCCAATTGAGCTGTCGTCAGCCCTGTCGGGTCCAGCAACCCTCGCTGTGAAACGAAGATCACCACGAGGGGCTACCCGCTGCCCGAGCCTCGGCAACCTGAGACAGGGCACCTGCACTTGTCAGGTCCCAACCCCATAAAGTGAAAGCACACTGCCTCGCCTGCTCGCCCCGGTCACCGCTTCATCCCCGCATCGCAGCCTGCCGGATCAGGAAATGGCGGGGATCGTCCGCCCGAGGCGCTCTGGCCATCAAATCGCCGCCCCGTGAGTTTCTCCCCACAGCCCGTCCTTTTCCTCTCTATTGAACCCTGCAGAATCGCCAAAGCCTATCTTCTGGCATTCGCCTCAATTGCCGGCCCGCGTCTGCTTTCCATTGCAATCGCCCTGATCCGCCGCAAAACCACTGCAATAGCCTCTCTGCTCAAAGTAAGTCAACCCATCCGTTAGACTTCGTCCATCTCAATTAGCGCCCCGGCTCGAACCGCAACGTCGTTCCGGGTAATATCAGCCCCTCCTTCAATTTCGACAAGTGATGCTGACGCGTACTACCCAACCTAGGCATGGCAAGCTCTGAAACAATCAGCAGCCTGGAGCCACTTCCCGACTTTTTGCGCTGTCTTGGTCGGTGGCTCTATCAACCTCCAGATTCCTCTGCGAGTTGTCGCCCAAGCACTTGCTGAGTGGCTTCGCCGCCGCCATGTCAGCGTCAATTACGCTTTGGTCGAGCTCCTCACCAAGTTTACAGCAGCTCTTGTTGCTGCCAGCGTCAGCTTCCAGATGCTGAACAGTAAACCCAGCCAGCCTCTGAACTATCGTTCCTCGGCTGAGACTACTACAACGGAAGGCATAGCCGAGGATGCTCTCTCACGCGCCGCTGCGGCGAAGCTTGACTCTCCTATCCCTCCGCTATCCCCCGAAGCAATGGGTGCATCGTCAGTCTGCATGTCGTCCGAACCTCTGGCTGGCCGAACGATGGATCTCACCCTTTTTGCGGCGATCCGTTCCCTTGACATTCTTATAGCCCCACTCCTTCTTAGAGGCAGGTCACGCACCAGCCGTCTTGTTGCCAAGACTTCCACTCCGCTGCTCTTCGTACTGTCGTCAGCCGTGATAATGCACGCGTGGTTCTACACTCCGTATAGACTGCCGCAGGCTTACAACGATTGGATCTCTTCCGCAGCACAGGTGGACCCACGCCTCGTGATTGCCCTGCGTCACGCACGCTACGGCAAGTTTGTCTACGGAAAAGACACTGGAATAGAGCCCCTACTCGGAAGCATGTGCCGGGATTACGGATGGCCCGAGGAATGGGGCAATCCGGCGAAGACCATCCCCGTGCCGTGCGAGATGGTGCACATGGGCTGTGGACCCAGCTGCGAGAAGCATGCCTTGAGCCGCTTCGCCAGGGCTTGGTCTTTCGCTGCGCGCATGTATATTCCCCTGCAGCTGATCGTCCTGCTCAGGCGAGTGCAGAAGGGGGGTGGCAGATCGACAACATCCCTGACTGATGGCCTTGTACGCGCATTAGTAGACGGAAGCAGATCGTCCGCGTTCCTGGGTGCCTTCGTCGCGCTGTTCTATTACGGCGTCTGCCTTGCTCGCACGCGCTTGGGACCCAACGTTTTCTCGCGCAAGACCATCACGCCTCAGATGTGGGACAGCGGACTGTGCGTCCTGAGTGGTTGTCTGCTTTGCGGTTTGAGTGTGCTTTTCGAGAAAGCACAGAGACGGACGGAGATTCTGTTCTTCGTGCTGCCGAGGGCCGCAGCTGTGTGGTTTCCGAGGAGATATCTGAAGGTGGTGAGTTATTCTCCGGACGCCCTCCATTTGCCCTATATCTCCTTTGTAAAAGCGCCTGCACAGAACTAACGCCGCGATAATCCAGAACCAATGGAGAGAGCACGTCGCGTTTGCCCTTAGCGCCGCGGTCGTAATTACAGCTGCCCAGGAGCGCCCTGAAAGGGTCAGGGGTGTGTTCGGAAAGCTTCTGGGCAGTGTGATTAATACCAAGGCGTAGCCCCACTGTAACATTGTTGTACAGCTATGTGTATAATCTAGAGTGTGGTGGAAGACGAGATTCGTGGGGAAGTGACTCGTTCGAGTTGATGGGAAGTATCAATCATGTGACTTGACTCACTCGCCTTAAGATGGATTCTCCATAAGGGCAGTGAGCGATTTGTCGAATGTAAGAACATTAGAATAGAGGCGTTTTGACGTGATTGGTTATTGGCCGCATGGCTATCTCACAAACTCATCGTGCTATGAAATTCCTAATGTCTGACGTTGCCTCTTTTTTCACATGCATATTCGTTTGTTCCAAGGCGGTAGCGGCCGTTGGAAAAAAGCGTGATCGCTTAGCAGAGAGGCGGGAAGTACATGCATGCGAGCGTCCCCATTGGACAGCGTGCCAGAGAACTAAAGCAAGAGCTGGCATGTAGTGGAGCAAGGAGCAGCCATGACAGAATGCCGTTAAGCTGCCAAACGTCACTTTTACCAACAATTTCATGCAGAAGGAGCCTCTAGCGCCGGGTAAGCCAGCACGGTGGGTAGGATTGCATGTAAACACGCTAACGCAGTGTCCGATCAGCGGTGACATGCGGAGCACCAGTTGTTGGGGTCCAAGACAGTTTCAAATAAGCGAAAGGCTTTAGAAGACTTGCAGCAGTCGCTCAGGCAGAATAATGCTCGCCCGATTTTTCATGCTTGGACAATGCTGAAGCTTGCGAGTGTACCAAAAACAATCGTGAAGAGATTAAAATGAAACGCGCTACTACTCGTAGTGGGACAACGGTTGGGATAATCAGAAAAGTGTTTGCGGGGAAATGAAGCTAGCTGCAGCATGGCGATCTTCTTCCTAATGGTGACTTTCCAAAACGCGGGGAAAGGGAGCGAGGGAAGGTTGGCTGGACGCTTGTAAGATCTAGACTTATCTTATTGCTCGCGTTGTTGGTTGGACTTGGAGAGAACTGTGGCCGAACCGAAAAGACGAACAATTGTATTTCCTTTGAAAGAAAGTATTAAGAGATAGGATTGGCCACATTGAAACTCCTTACGAGGGCACCAGGCAAAACTGACGTTGCGCAGTTGCTGCAGCGGAGTGTTCTCCGATCCCTACGCGTCGAACTTCCTCATCAGGAGCGGTGCATTATGTTGCTTGTAACACTGTACGGATAAAGGCAGATGGTGCAACCAGAACAACAAAACTTCAAATAGTAAAGTGTAAAGTGTGAGTATGAATGGTCATTTCATTGGGGATCCACTATATCCACCATTCACGCCTTGCTTTACTACAAGCCGTCAGGTCACTCGATGGCAACAGCTCATTTGCGCGAGAGACTACCATTTTATGCAATTTGGATTCTCATTTTCCTGCAGGCTGTTTCTATCGTGGCCTCCAAGTGGCTTGATGAAGGTCTGGGAGGCCCGCAAGCGTTCACTGGCTTATCCACCACATACAAAGTGACTGCCCTGTTACGACTTTGCAAATCTTTACTATGAAATAAGGGACACTTGTGCTCATCATTTCCTCAGATTTAATGTTTGAGTTGGGACAGCCTTTAAGGAGGTAGATGTGATGCAGGTGCTCACACTATCCCGAAATAAAAAAGCCCAGTCCTGTGAGATCTCACGGCTTCACCCGAGACCTGGAAGCACCCATGAGATATTGGGACTGGCGTATGAAGTAGAGTACGCCACTCTTCAGCACGGCCTCATAAGTACAAATCAGTATCATACGATTGGTAGAGTCCATATTTAGCATGAAACTCCCTGCAGACGGCCAATTATGATCGAGACAGAAGCCAAGCTTGATCGGATTTACTCGGTAGGTCAATACGAACAAATCGAGTTGCGTATCTGGTCTGGTGATCGTCTTAGGCTGGCTCGTGTTCGCGTTGCTGGTGTTGCTCTAGCTTTAGACTGTGCGGCTCGGCAAATACCTACATGCCATAGACGAGACCCTGATGTCCCACAGTGAGTCCAAGCTTCCCTCCAGACCGTCTCATCCAGACCTGACCATTGGAAGCGGGGACACGTCGAAACGGTGAGCTTGGAGATTACTCCACTCAGATCCGGGTACGGAAGGCGGTCTGTGTGGTCCCGCGCCAAGCTTCCGCTCAGTCCCGTCTTGACCCATTGGTAAGTTGCTCCGAATGAAGGGCTGCAACTGCGGCAGACACCGGCATTGGGGTGGTGTAGGCTTGAGTCGGAACCATGCGGCATTTTCTCCTGGTTTGTAGGGGATGCGATGTGCATGAAAGCATGTGTGTGTAGAGAGCACCCTTAGATTGATCTTGATTCTCTTCGTTCCCTCTTTCGTTATCTGTCGCGATACTGAAGCCGACTCATTACTGTAGAGGGGGGCTGCAGGTGAATGCTGCCTTGAAACTGTTTTTATGTGTATCGAATGCCTGCTTAAACACAATATGGATGTTTGAAGCAATCGTCTGACATATACGTTGAATTAATAACTCTGCATTCACGTTCAGACGATAGCCTCTACTCCCTGTACAGATCGATTAATTTCGAGGGGTCATTCCTTTTCGACTACCATGGCAAGGAGCATTCTACCCCCTTATCATAAGGCCTTGCTATTCTTCCAGCTAGCCTTCGGCCGTGCATACAGAGGGGTGCTGCAGCCGATGGCTCGCGCGAAGAATAACAGGGCTCTATAACATAGCGTAATTTATGCCCCAGCTCTGCTTTAGAAAAGCCAACAAATGTGGGTAGGTGAAGCTATCATCCGGACATGTATGTAGAATTTTAAATTCGACATTCTCGTCCGGACGATAGCTTCACCCACCCATGACATGAGCAAAAAATAGATCCACGCTAGCCATCGGCCGCGAGAGGGGACTGTATCCATTCATAAAATGACCCATAGGGATTTTAAACACCCATTTACGTTTGCAGCGGCGGATGTGCATATCCATCAATACCTTCGGGGTCCGGATTGGTGGATTTTTACCCCCGAAGGATCAGTCCAGGGTTTCCAGCGTTAATTCTTGTCGAGCCAGTCCTCGGGCGCAGAACTTGATGCTACACATTCCCCACAGCCAAATGAACACTCCAGCACAGAAAAGTCTTTGAACTGCCACTTTAGAATGCACAAAGTTCCATTCTGCAGTCCGACAACAGGGTGCTCAGAGATCCACAGCTCCTCATCTGTCGGTGGGATCGGTGGTAGGGTTGGTGGTTTTGATGGCTTCGGTTGCCTCTTTCGCTGCTGAGAGGAAGCGTTGGCAGCGTTGGCAGCGTCGGAACCTCCAGTGTCGGAAGCGTTAACAGCGCCAGCGGTGGCAACATCGTCAGCGTCGGAACCTCCAGTGTTGGGAGAGTTAGCAGCGCCAGCGGTAGCAACATCGTCAGTGTCGGTTCGAGCTCGACGCATTTTACCCCACCCAACCTGGGTCGCAAAATTAAATGGATGGTCCGGAATATGTTGTTGGACGAAATCAGACCCTGCGTGCTCTCGCACGTACGTTGCAAGCTCCTGTGGATGTACCCGGACGTTGCATAACCACAGGTATAGGACGAGGTTCGGCCATGCAGCCCCGTCCCGAAGCGCTCTTTCTAGATCCTCTCATGGGACGTTCCTCTCACTAAGTGGACGGAATCGATGAGTTTCGAACCAGCGTTGAATTGTTATCGCAATCAAGAAAATCTGGTCGGGAGGCCACTCGGTAAACGCGCCGCGTGGAGGGTCCGGCTTTAAGGTTCCTAGGAGGTCAACAAACCCCAGAAAGAATGCCTCGGCAACTTTGCCTCCATATATACCAGGCATGAAGGCCTTCTTCTGGGCTGCCTTGTAGAGGTCCTTGACTTTCTCGTATGCCTACCAGATAACCAGGTGAGGTTAGTAAACATTCTTTAGATTCTTTAGATGTAGAAAATTAACAGTTAGTAATCACTTACCTCTTTAGGAGTCACTTCTCCTCGAGGCTGCCAATATCCTAAAGCCCAAGGATCCCTTCCTTCACCTCCAGGCGTTGTTGCGACAAAATCATGCCCTGGATTTTTGATGCATCTGGGGTTATAACGGCAGACTTGCTTCCCGGTATGACACCGGTCGCGGTTTTTATTTTGCCGAGGAGTCTCGATTACTGAATGATAGTAATTCTGACAAGTACCGTGACCACAGAGATGAGACTGATCCAGCCAGATTCTTTCTTCTGTTCGCCTGAACATGTCATCCAGGGCAGGCTCATCATTGCGTTAAATTGCTGCCATGATGTGACATGAACGTAGGTAGGAAATAGTGCTCTTCTCATGGATATGTCGATCAGAGCCATGGCGCAGCCTTGGAAATGTCAATGTCGGGGATTGACCGTCGTCCCAGCATTCGAATCTAGTTTTGCCCGAGAAATGCCTCTCGTAGCTGTCTCGTAATATTACCTGGATCTAGGAATAGTTTTCCATAGCCCAAGGGAAAGGCAATTCCATGTTCTTCTTGCAGCAAGAAGGCTAGCATAAACTTATTTTCGCCCATGTCATGGAAAGGTGAAGCTATCGTCCGGATGTGAATGTATAATTCTTAATTCTACGTCCACGTCCGGACGATAGCTTCACCTACCCAGAAGAGTCGAATATTCGATTTACGTGGGCAGTGTATCGTTCCTCGCAAAGAGATTTGCTGAGGCATAATAATTATCCCTGGTTTTTGGGCTCTGGTGTTCCTGGGTAGCCTGAGGTGAACCGACTCGACGGGGCATAAATATCGACTGCTGAGGAATGGATCTTTCTTTCAGATGTCTCCATGACGAAAGGCTTCAGCATATTTGCCGAATGCTATGATACCCCTGCTTTGAAATCAATGATCGAGGGACTGAATCGCCTGATTACAGTTCATCTCAACAACCACTCGTGCCAGAGCGTTGAAAGAGTGAGATCGAGCCATCGCCTACTATGTGTGGTGACTCATTCGTTGGAGTCTGACGGTACTGTAGTCAAGTTGCGTGAGAGAAGAGAGGGGAAAGCACGTAGTCGAGGGCAAGGGAGGGTGGAGATATCAAGGGCCCC